TAACCCTAACCCTAACCCTAACCCTAACCCTAACCCTAACCCTAACCCTAACCCTAACCCTAACCCTAACCCTAACCCTAACCCTAAGTTACTATATTATAGTAGACTTATCTTTAGTATACTAGTTCTTCTCTAAGGTAGACCTTTAACTCTCTCTAGAAGATCTTAAGTAGCGCTATAGTATTCTATCTAGTTTTATTTCTATAATATTAGAACTCTATAGTATATTAAATTATAGAGTCTATTTAGATAAGAGCTAATAGCTTATATATAGCTATTCTTTTAGTATTAATATTCTTAAATATTTGTTATATTTCTATCTTAAAACTTCTAAAATCTCTAAAGATCTTTCGAGTTATTACTATTATACTAGTAGGTTTATTATTATATTTAAAGTAGTCTCTAATAAAAGGTTAGATCTAAAGATAAGCGGTATTCTTAAGATATAATAAGGCCTATAGGACCTTATACTTTTCTTTACTAAACTAATCTTTATTAAAAGCGAAGTAAAGTTTAGTCTAGATAAGAAATATCTCTAATTTTAAGCGTTCTTCTATATATTATTTAGGTAGTACTACCTTAAGCGATACTACGTTTTTAATAGTAATATTTCTTCTATTATTATCTAGTATACTAATATTATTATATTTCTTATTACTTTTCTATATTAGGTTAGTAGTAAGAGTAAGGTTAATATAACTAGCAGTTAAGCTAACGTTAGATAGTAGAGTAGTTTTCTTACTAGATAAAGTAATTATAAATAATCGAGGTATACTTAGAATAGATACTTAAAGTATAACGATTTAGGTATCTTATATACTATAGATAGAGGTTTTATTAGGTTAGTATATAAGTAAGTATATATAAGATTATTAGGTTATATACTTAAAGGTATATTTATTATAATAAAAGTAAGTTAAATAGATAATATACTATTACTATAGTAAGTTAAGTATAAAGCTTCTATCTAAGAAAATTATAATTATTATATAGAACTTTCTACTCTACTTAAGTTTTAATAAGTTTAATAAGTCTAATAAGTTTAATAGTAAACTTAGTAAACTTATTAAACTCTTAATTATTACGTAATACTACCTAAAACTAAGGCTAATCCGCTAATCTAAATATACTAACGTTAACTAAATTAATCTATTAGATAGTAGTTCTAGAAACTACTTGATTTCTATAACCTCGCCTAATCCTAGAATCTTTAGTTCTAGAAGTATTATAATACTAAGGCCGATACTACTTATAATATATATAGACTTACTAGTCTAAATAGAGAATAGTATTATAAGTAGTATCGGCCTTAGCGTCGTAATACTTCTAGAACCGAAAGTTCTAGAATTAAATAAAGTTATAGAAATTAAGTAGTTTTTAGAACTACTATCTAATAAATTAATTTAGTTAATATTAGTTAAGTTTAGGTTAGTAGATAGACTCTAGTTTTAGGTAGTATTACGTAATAATTAAGAGTTTAATAAGTTTACTAAGTTTACTATTAAACTTATTAGACTTATTAAACTTATTAAAACTTAAGTAGAGTAGAAAGTTCTATATAATAATTATAATTTTCTTAGATAGAAGCTTTATACTTAACTTACTATAGTAATAGTATATTATCTATTTAACTTACTCTTATTATAATAAATATACCTTTAAGTATATAACCTAATAATCTTATATATATTTACTTATATACTAACCTAACAAAACCTCTATCTATAGTATATAGAAGAACTAAATTATTATAATTAGAGAGATTTAGTTTTTTCTTTTTTATACTTACTACTCTTAAAACTATAGAAAGCTATTTCTAAGAATATATACTACTAAGAGTCTATAGTAGTAACCTCTTTAGATATAATAAAAAAAAAAGAAGTATTAAAAAGTCTAATATTTTCTAATATAAAATACTCTTTATAAAAATAAGACTATAAATAAAGTTTTATATAAGTAGTTAAACTATAAAGATAAAATATAGAAAATAACTAATCTCTCTATTAAATAGTAAGTCTATAGTAAAATAGTCTTCTAGCTAGTTATTTAAGAGGTTTTTATACTTTAAAAGTATTTTCTAGAAGCTAGATTTATTTATAATATTCTAGAGTATTTTAAAAGATATACTAACTATAGTATATAGATCTATAATAGTCTTTTCTAGAGTCTTTAGTACTATTTTTAAAAATAAATATAATAGGTCGAGGCTCTATAGATTTCTGTATTTAAAAATAGTAAGGTTAATACTTATAATAAGAAAGAAAGTAGTTTAGAAACATAATATAATTACATTAGAGTATTCTCGTTTAACCTCTTATAACTTACTTTGTCGTATAATGTCCCTACAAGGTGCGTTCTACCTATAAAGGCTAAAGAATACAACTATTTATACAATATATTACAAGAAGCAACAAAATAATCGTCTTCGCAGGATTTCCCGACAGCCAATTGTGCTAATAAACTATACATCCAAAATATCCTAGGGCAAGTGTTACCACTATCTATTGGTTGTGTATTCGGTAGCAATTGCATGCTTAGGCTGCACTCGATATGTATCAAGCCTAGCATCACTAGTGCCAGTCACTAAATATGTTGGAAAATACCAACTTATAAACGAGGTTCGACGAATCAGCGACTTGAATAGCCAGTAAATGAACAACACCGGATGAACTGAACCAAGAAGAAAACCCAACTTGCTCCGGATAAAATGTTGCATGTGTGTCAATGCGATTGGTATCCCCCCGAACCCCCAGCACGTGCCCCAGTAGAAGCTCCACATACAGGGAAGTTCCTCGCTCTCGAGATTGATACGCATTTGACTGTACTGCCGTCAATAGTTGCAGATGCACTTTACTAAAAATGGGTTGGCATTTTTTATAACCTGCCTAGTATAACTTACATGAGGTTATGCTCTCAATATTCGCTCAGACGGATACACGGGTAACGAATTCGAAAAATTTGATGGTAGGCCTCTCAGAAGACTTTAGCTTCACTGAAGCTGCAAGCTTGAGCCACGTACATTGAAGCTAAGCTTAAGTCTCGGTCTTTGCCAATTGTTAACAAAACGACAAACTACGCCCTCATTTTAAGGGCACCACAGTTTCGAAATTCCACATCTCAAGACTAGGTATGTTACTCCGCTGTTATCTCTCAAAATCCGTTTCCTATTGGACTAAAAGTGAGATTGGGACCATCATGATCCGCGACAGCAAGATCAAGCAACTGGTATTCTTCGACTCGATTTCTTCCGCCTTTTTGTCCAGGGTGACCTTCCCCAAGTTTACCAAGTTGACCTGAGGCTTTTTGAAAGTCAAAACGCCAGAGGGTTTTTGCCACGACCAGACTCATCTCATGGTACGCCATTCCCTTACCAAGGCATCCAGTTTCTCCAAGAGCAAAAGGGGCAAACGCTGCTCGCATTGTGACTCTCTGTTTTTCCTCATCGATGCTTTCTTGCTCAGATTCGAGCCATCTCTCTGGGCGGAAACGGAACGGCTCGGGAAAGTATTCCTCGTTATGCATTATACAATATGGGTTCACACCGACCATAGTCCCTCGGGGTATCACTTTTCCATCAACCACGAAAGGTTGGTTATAGTCAGAATAAGGCTCACGCCACTGAAGAATCTCGGAGTTAGCGTTGCCCTTTCAGGAAGTGCGTCTGAAACGTGGATGAAAAGGGAATGTGTGAGGGAGAAGTGACTCGTCTCAAGAGGAAAAGGTGTCTCAATCCTCCTATAACAATTCAAAATGAACGCATAACTCAAGAAAATATCCTTACTAAAGTGCCGGTGAAAGGCGGCGCGACACGCAGCGTTTCGTCAATCGTGGCACGAAGGTACTTGCAGCCTGAGAGCTGGGCTCCGCTTTTGATTTGATCTTCTGAGGAGAAAGTTGTGCGAATCTCAGTAGCCAGTCGTGAATACACATTCAAATCTCGCGACAAATAGAAGAAAATGGCACTGAGAGCTGCCGAGAGAGTAGTGCCACCTGTAAGCGTTAAAAAATACTTCAGGGTAAAGTTTGCTATCTTCATCTCCTGACTAACCTGCTGGCAGAAAAAATACGGCCTCGGCCCAAAGCTCACTATTTCTAAGGGTATCTGCAGCTAGGCCACCATCCCCGGCTGCGATAGAGTAGAAGTCATGCTTTCCATCTTGGGGAATGGTCATTCGCCGTTGAACAATATCTTGAATTGCCTTGATAAAGGTCAAGCCGTTCCTTTTATTAAGTCTTCGGAGAAGAGGCCATGTTCTCGAAACCATGGGCCAGCTCACTATAACAGCCACAAGACTTAGTTAAGCGCAAAGTAACGAATGCCGCGACGAGAACACGCAGAGTATGAGTGCCAATATGGATTTGGTAACAAAGAAAAACACTGACTGAAGATATTGACGAGGCCATTCATGGAGACCATCGCGCGAGGGAACAATCTATTTGTGGCCTCCACTTGTGTGTTGAGAGGTTGACCAAAAGCTAATTGGCCAGCAATGTCCGTTGTAAGACGCTCACACAAGGGCGACATGTTGACCGCTTCATGGTTATGTTTGGATAACTGCTGCAAGAAAATATCAATCTCGCTACTCATAGTCGGTTCAAAAATTCGAAGTGAGCGATCTGACAGGACCTTCCCATATATCTTTCGTTTCTGTTGATGGCGTTCCCTGTCTCTGAGTGATTGAAGTGTGAGTGATTGCCCATTTAGTTGAGTCTTGAAGTACAACACATGAAAACTCATCCGGGAGTGATTCAGGATGAGGTTTATGACAAATGAAAAGAGGACATGGATGAACAACGTGTCTATCAACTTACAAATTGCCGAAAATGTTTGTCTGGGGGTTCAGTTGCGTTTTTTTGTAGATACTGGCTTTATTTATTCCGGGGTTGAGGTAGATAGCTATCCTAGATTAGAGCTAGAAAAATCACATAAGAAAATAATGATAATTACCTCTCAAGGCTGTCGAAGTGTTGAACACCAAACGATTAGGAGCTTGCCGAAATACGGATCCTATTCATTAGAGTGAATGTTTAAAAGCTGTTTTTACATGCGCGGTAGTTACATACCGTACTTTAGATGATCATGATAGGTAGTAAGATGAGACTGCTTTTTTATAGCGTGGAAGCCGCCATACCCATCGGTGAATTTTGCAAGAAATGGGCCAGGATAGTTTCTTAAAGGGTGAAATAAAAGCAGATAGCTAAAAACGAAGAGAATCTAGAACAGAGCGACACTCATTAACTCAAGCAACGAGTTCTGGGAAGATCCGCTTACCGAAGTTGTTATAATACTAATGGCATAGAACCCTAACATGGTAGAGGTGGCCATTGCTTTTATTCAATCTAGAATATAGTAATTGGGGACAGAGTTATACAGAACACGGCGTTGATGACGATATTTTGTAAATAGTATTATGGTAATGGATTCTTGGGGAGGCAGGAGTATCGCCATTATAATGCAACATAACCAACCCCCGTTGGTGTTGCACCACGTGACAGAGCTGGAGGTTTACCCACCCAATCATAATACTGAACTTGCGACAGGTAAAGTGTTGAACAAATGTAGTTAACCTGTCCTTGTCCAGTCTTTAGATACCGTGTAACTCGACAAACAAAGTTGCCCGGCATTTCTGCCGACCAAAGTATGATAGGTGGTGGCGATAGTGAACTACCGGTACTGTACGCCCTAAAAGCCGACCGAGCGATTTTTACCCGACGTCTCACACTTTTTAACTTATTACCTCGTACTTCTTGTCGACAACAGTATACAGGGACATGCGACATTCATTTCAACAACAAGCGCAATGGCCAAGAATAAATTGAAAAGAAGTTTCACAGGACGGCAAAGCGAAGCTACTTCGAAGAAAGCAAAATCCTCCTCCGTGATTATTACCCCTCCTCCCGAACAACCCCACAGTCGCGATACACTCAAAACACTTCAAAGCATTGGGTTGAACAACGACGACATCGACCTGGCGGTCGACACCCTTCGAACGCTGTCGGAGAATGCAAGTGTGATCAAGTCGAAATCATGCAAAGATTTAAGGACAGCGGTGTATGACTTTCGACAAGCATGCACCACCGGCTTGAATGCGTCGAGCGACACCAATTTGACGGCGCGGATCAGCGGATCGCTGGCAGATGGAGGATACACAGAGGCACAAATCTTGCTTGCAGAAATGCGCATCCGGGGGCAGGCGCCGAAATTGGGAGCTTTGTGCCGATGGGTACGGGATTTGGATGTTGTGAGCGGACTGGCGGAGCAGTTGGACGGTTCTTCGACACGAACACCGCTCGAAGAGACTCTCTTGAAAGTGCTGGACTCCATCTTGCGCCTCACCGGACCAATTGATTATGCTACAGGAGTGGGAAGCGCGGGTCCGATATCTGCGAGGGCAGCGTGGGATTTGAGAGAGCAAGAAAGCAGGAAGCAGGTATACCAGAGTGTGCTCTCAGGCGACCTAATCGCAACCGTTCCAACTTCAACGAGATCCCAATTCCGTATCATCGAAACAACGCCTGGAATAGAGAGGAAACCCGCAAACCTTCATCCTGCCATTCTATATGCGTCGACGGACGATGCCATACCCCTCCTCACGGATCCTCCGAAAACGACTCACCATACCCACCCAGTCGTCCCGAATCTGCATCTGCTCAAAGGCGTGCTAACGCCTGAAGAATGCACACAAATTATCGCAGCGGCAGAGATGATGGGCTTCACCCCAGATGCGCCGATTCGTGCAGACGGAGAGGAAAGCAGTGTGCTGGCACACAATTTCTATTGGGTTGTGGATAACGCATTCTGTTCCAAAATCTGGAGTCGAGTCAGGCCTTTCGTGCCAGAGAATAGCGCTGGAAAGAAGGTTAGAGGTCTAAACCGCCGGTTTAGAGTGTACAGATACGTTCCTGGGGCCGAGTATCGCGCCCATATTGGTAAGTGATTCTTGCCTTGTTACTTTGCTTCTGACTGATTCAATCTAGACGGCGCCTGGCCACCTTCCGGTATCGACTCCGAGGATAAATACATCTACGACGCCTCGCCCCCAGAAGCGAAGCAATCTTCTCTTTTCACCTTTCTCATCTACCTAAACGACGAATTCGAAGCTGGAGAGACCACTTTCTTCCTACCTAGTGCCAGGGAAGGCACCATGAATGCATATCCTGTTAAGCCTATCCAAGGGAGTGTGGCCATGTTTCCCCACGGCGAAACGGAAGGAAGCCTGTTGCACGAAGGCACAGGTGTGCGAAAAGGCACGAAGGCATCCGCAAAATATGTCATTCGTACAGATGTTCTATATGACATCGCAGTATAGAAGCAGACAACGCCACACATCCCATTTCAGGGAAGGTCTAAACTTGGTGGCTACATAATTTAGGTCAACAAAGATGTCGTCACTTCTTCCAACAAACTGGGGCATGAATTACATCGCAATTCCGGTCATGATCCCGCCTGGCATAATCAGTCACGACCCCAGCCGGACAACTGTTGTATGCAATTCACACCGTCGCTCAATTTAACATCCTATTTCGAAACCAATACGGAACCACGAGCTAGACGAGTTTCACGTGGAAAGCAAATGGGTATGTCTGCTAGTCCAGGGCAGGAATCTGTTGTTTGATAACTCGAATTGTTACACGGTTGTTGGAAACGATAGCGAAGAGGATTAAAATATGTGGAAACATAGGCAGTACAATAGATATGCTACAGAACACAGGTTGGGGAAGCTACACTCCACGTTGCGAGACTGTTGCGAGACTCCGTGGAGGAGACCCGGATTCTGAACGCCACATCGCTCGAATATCCAGTCATTCGTTAATTTATGACTCTAGATAGACAATACTCAAACTTCATGACGGCAAGAATGGTCCTATTTCGAAATGTTTTTGAAATGTCAAGATAGCGAAATACCACTCTTCTACCCATATCAGTCCCTGGAAGAATTTTAGTTCAAGATATATAGGAGAACCACTTCTGCCAAGGCTGTCTGGCCACATCAATTTCCTTTGCGATCATTGACGTATCAATGAGAATCTGGGAACTGTGAATAGCTGCGTGTCTGAATATATGAGAACATGCGGTGAAGATCATATCTCGGGTTTACTGATCCGGTGCGTAAGTAGAAGCTAGCCTACGTTTTGAGTGGATTTGTGGCATCCTGGAGTTTGCTGCGTCTTTACTTCAAGCATTTCTTTTACACCTCACCTTTATAGATGAAGTTACGGCAATACCAACGATTTATTGTTTTCACCCACTCTGTTGTATGTCTGCGGCATACTCGACAATACCTTCCTGTTTGAGTAGCCACATACGACTGAGGTAAAAGTACTACAGTATCCGCTTGAAGTATTGTTACTGTCGAGTATATGAAAAATAGGAGTTTCTATATCCCACCACATGACCATTTGCGCTTCGGAACTGAATGTGAGACGGCACTTTGGACAATAGTTACGAGCTCATTTCGGTCGAAGATCAATACTTCATCTTCTCAATTTCTTTTTGATTGAGCACAGTGAATTCTCACCAACAAAGGCATTCCCTCGAGTCCAATTGGTCACATTCACTCTTCTTACCTCACAACCATTCACATCCATAGGTCAAAACTGAGAACATAAGAAACCATTCACAGATTCATCCATGTGGGGCAGAAATACGAATATATAAATCCAACAACCACCACTGATCCCTTCTTCTTCTTCTTCCACTCACACTTTCCACCAGCTCTCATCAAAGACTCAGGTTCCAACCTGTTCAAAACTCACAACCACACGCTACAAACAGCTTCACTTGCAACGTCCGCCAGGATGACTCCGTTTAAGTATATCTTCGCATTCTTGTCCCTGGCGCTCATCGCTCTTGCAACCCCGATTGCAGAGAAAGCCGAGGTCTTGTCCGATCTACAGTCCGACGGTTACAATACTACCCTTTCATCGCTTGCTCCTCGCAACAAGGTAAGCTACATAGCTTGGAAGCTGAAGTGTAACTTACTCTCTTTAGGATGGTGTTCATTGTTGCAAAGACAACGGCAGAGGCTGGAAATACGCACCCGTTAAGAATTTTGATAGGGCGCGGAACGATTTGTGAGTTGAACTTCATAGGAATCAAGGTAGTACGATCACTAATACAAGTGCGCTTTAGATTTTTTACGCCTAATCTCAAAATCAAAATTGGACCAAGGGGTTGTGGTGCGACGTTCGGCGGCTGCGACGCAGGTACCGTTGTCGAAATCTGCAATGATGTAAGTACTACAATTGGAAGACGGATCAGGCTAATGAGAAGTAGAATAATTATGCCATCTCCCCGGACGCCAAATACCTTTATAGTTACACAGTCGACATCGTCCGGCAATGCACCATGACTATAGGTGGAGTTCCCCAAGTTTGTGGGCAGAATTTCGACACGGACAAATACAATATTATTATGCGGGGATGCTAGGTGAAGCGAGGAAGCGGGTTTTCGAAAATGCCGAAAAGCTATTAGGCTTCTTGAAGCGTTCACGCCGGAATTAATTGGGCTATTAGCATTAGCAGACCAGAGCTGTTATTTGGGTACTAGGTACTCCTCACACCGTTGCGATGATCTTGACTGACAACCAACATCCTGAAATTCAAGTTTACATTAAATCTTTAGTCTAAGCTCCATGCGAGGTCTCTTGTTCCTTTCAGGTGAAGTCCTTTGTAGCTTTAGTATTTTCGACATCCCTCGTATATTACCTGTACCCAATCACAGCTAGTTCAGCTTCTATCTCTCTCCCTCCACTTTCTACAAGAATCGATTGACGGACGTCAACTTCATGAGCAGTGACTCTCCCCCCAGCCTCAAAATATGCATTGTTTGGCAATTCCATGGTGGATGTCTGATTATGTTCCACTGCATCTGCGTCATCAACAATCTCAATTGCGCCAGGTTTCCGACCCAAGATCTTCTTCAATTGCCTCCACTTTCGGTGTCGCAAATATAACCAGCCAAGCAAAGCAAATGTCAAGATCACTCCGACGACCACACCAGCGATTGGTCCCGAACCCAAACGAGAACTCGACAACCTAGAGTCTGGATCCGAAATCTGCACCAAATTCTGCTCGTCATTACCCCCAAAACTTCTCTGATGCATCGCAAACCTTCTCCTCCCATAAACAACCACCAAATACGCCTCCTGCAAGAAGACTCTCCCAATAGTATAATGACTGCTATTGTCTGCTCTTCTTATAGGGAAGTATCTTGTATCATTTTCGAAAATCGGGTATGAAGCTTGGAGGTCGAAAGCTGCATACGGGAATACGATGTTTCGGGTTAACCCGCCAAATGTGCTGTTTCCAATTTTGAATGTTATGGTGGGGTTTAAACTTTGGAGGCGAGCATGGGTTGTGGTGTTTATAAGGTAACGAAAAGACGTCGGGTCGTAATTGAGACCTGAAATAGTTAAGGATGTAAAGAACTTTGAAGATTAGCTGCTCACCGAATGCTTTCTCAAATGCCTCACAAGCATCAAGTGGCAACCAAATCTTTGGATATGTGGAATCAATGTATGCAGTAATCCCGTTTAGCAACAGGCTAGTCTGCTTTCCCTCAAATGTATCACTGGCCACAATGACCTGTAATCCTACTTCTAGATTCGAAGACGAATCAACATGGAACATCCAATCCAGTTCCTTTTCCTTCATTTGCGAAGCATCATATCCGCCTAGAGTCAAAGTTCCGAGAGATCTGTTAGCGTAAAACGCACCAGCAGAGTATGCGTATGAAAGGCTAGGAATGAGGCTCTGGTTTTTGAGACTCCAAAGATAGCTGGGTTGGGAATCGTTGAAGTCGGAAAAGTTTGTTGGTTTGGGGCCAAGGGAGAAAATGCCGTGCAGAAAATCTTTGGTCACGATCCCTAGGATGTGTTGGCTGATTTATTTCCAAAATCAATGCTTACAGACAACTCACCAGCCACGATTTGATGATCTCGTGTTACTCCACCACTATTCTGTATCTGTAGACCAACAGTATCAAAACCATACATCCCGTTTTCAGAGTAGCCTTGCCAAACTTCCTCAAAGGCTAGCCCATACAAATTTATGAAATTCCACGTGGAGGACTAAAAGTTTGTAAGAAAAATTTTCAACCATATTCTCAACAGTAGCTCGTTGATTGAACCTTATTCGTTTGAAACCCAGGACTAGCCGCGTTCTGGAAAGGCTGAATTCCACGCAGATCCGCACAATTCTTCGGTTCTGAGAGTTCACAGCTTCCAACCAATGGCACCCATATTTCTTGATTCATTGTTGAAATGAGCACTCTAAAAGTTTGTGCTGGAGTGCCGACTCGTAAAAGAAAAGTAGACCAGAGACCATCATTGCCTTCCCAGAACTTGCTAGGCGAGAAGTTGAATGGTTTGACATTGCTTCGTCTTTGAAGCTCCATTTCGGAGGAGGTCCAAATTCGTCAAATAGATTTATCTCTTTGAACTGACAATTCCAGTCAGAAGTCCCACAGCTGTCGCAATACAAACCGTGGAACAGTCTCCAGTAAATAAATATGATGTCTATAGATGCAAAAGGAAACAGACTTATTACTCAAAAGAGATGCACATATTACCCAAGGCTTTCCACATCATCCGTGGGGTGGTTGAAGCTGAATCAAGACCGCATATTTCACTTCCCCTATATTGAGGATACGTGTGAATTGATTCAATAAACTTCCAAAAACCAATCAACTGATGATTGCAATCTAAATGTGCAGTTTTTTTCTAAATACGGTTGGTCTTCTACTCCCTTGGTGTCAGGCAGAGCTTGCTAAGCCCTACCGGTTAAACAGATCGTGTACCACATCCCAGTTCTGATGTAACACGAATTGAGAAAATCCCATTCCAGGGTGCATAACGCAAGTCGAATGACCGATAGTCCCCAGTTAGCTGGAACAATGGAAATGGCTTCTGCAAGGCACCCTCTGTCCAGTCACGGGAATATTTTAAAGTAGACACATGGCCAGTTTTTGCTACTCCTGGCTCTCCGTGGGGTTACAATACGAGCGGCTGAATTGATAGTAGTTGAACACAAGTTTAACTCGTGCTTCTTTTTGGAAATTGATGGTGTCGTAAGGCTGACCCAATAAGATTCAGCTCGGGCGGAGACGTGTGTCTTAGTAACATTGTGACCTTTGAGAAAGGCAACATTTAAATACCTCTCTTGAATCTACGCTTGTATGTCATTAGTCTAAACTTTGAAATCATGACTTCTGTTGACGGAAATAAAGAATTTCACAGGATTAAAGGGATTCATGTTCTATGCCTCCTGGCGACTTGGATCATGCTTTGGGGAGCCACCAGTAAGAGAAGTCGAACCAACTTACTGTTTGACTTAGTATGACTAATCGTTCAATTCAAACAGCTGCCCAGAATCTTCACCCTATACAAAGGAAAAACGATTTGATTGGGAAAACAACAAATCATACCAAAACCTATACAGGTGCTGCAACATCCACAAACGTCATTAAGACGACAGCCTCACAAGAAGAAACTTTCTTCACAAACACTGTTACAAGCACATTGCTAATGACTATGACACAAATCGAAACATGCACAAGCACGATTACCCGTCAGAAAATCCTCACAAAAACATACACACAAACCTTGACGATGACTCGAATCGTAACAATCACTCGAACTCTGACATCTACCTATGTAGGTTACGGACATAAAAGAGAGATAGCTCCCACCAAAAGCCGACCTGCAAGTACACCCACTGAAAAAACTGTCGTGACAACAGCCACAACGTCAATTACAACTTGCAAGATCGTGTATACGACGCTGCTGGGATATTTGACTACGGGAGAGGTGCAAAAGACCACCGTGACGAAGTTAGAAGAGGAAGTTATTACGTCCACTGAAACCATCACGCTTACGGCGTCTGCGAGATCTAGCTCTGCCACGCAGAGTTCGAAGCCACCCATGATTCTTTTGGCTTCCAGTACTACTGGGCTTCAGTCTTCTGAAACAGGCCACCTACCAAGCATTGTCCATATGTCTCCAACTCCTCTACCAGCTCCACGACCAACTCTTGCTTCATCTCAGCCTACGCCACCATCACCACCACGCCCACAGAACGACCCTCCTTTTCCTACACTGATCCCACTCGAACCCTCTCTGACAACACCTATCTCCCCTGTCTCTTTTACATTTACACCACCAACAATGGGGGTAATAAGTACAGTTATGGCTGGAAACTTATTAGTCACAATCGAAGGATTGACTAGTGACGCTGTCCTGGTCAACTATGAGAAATTGGCTCGAGGAGAAGAGATTATCAGCAATGGATTAGTTTTTCTAAACACACCTTCTGGACTGGTTATTAGCACAGTTCCAGTTGTGATTGGAAACATTGGAATCGAAAATGTCGGTATTGTTAGGATTATGCCATCAGGTATCACTCCCTCAATTCCCAATGAGTTCTTTCGCCAAAGACCTAACAGACCTATCTACAGCATCAGGAAGCGGTGTTTTGGTCAATGGTCACACGCTTACTCAAGGTGGAACACACATTCTCTCATCAACAACTTACATTCTCCCAACTGGTAGCTCAATGCCTCTCATCATTCCACCGAAAGCAACAGGTGTAGTGATTGGCAGTTTGACACTTTTTCCTGGGTCAACCATCGTGATTTCGGGCATGACTTATGTACTTCCTACGGACGCAACTGTACCAGGTGTCCTCTTGAATGGGAAGACAATGATGGCTGAAGAGACCGCTATTGCAGGTAGAAAGACTATTGTTGTTCCTAAAGTCGGTACGGTGGCCATGCTTGCGACTGAGCTGTCAGTAGCCGGAGGAGAGGATACGACAAATCAGAAGGTCTCAACTTCGGGCAGAAGTGTGGCCGCTGCCGGCACTGGGTTTAGTTCTCCAACCGGGGGACATATATCGCAGTTCCTTGAAGGGAGTCATATGAGCAAAACTACTGGAGGAATAGACCCAACTGGCGGTTTACTAAATCCAGAATCCGATAGAGGGCAAGACTCGAGTGGACATAAAAGCTTAAGGAGTATATTCAGAGCTGGGTCTGTTGCAGCTGTTGTCGGTGTATTTCAAATGTTAAGGAAACAATCAACTGATGTGGGACTGGGGAATAGATCTACTATAGAAGGAAAATGAATTTACTTGAGAGATGTTCTCATTGTATCCAAAAAATGAATAAAAACTACTTTTACCCAAGCAGAAGCAAGTCGCTTTTAATATGTTAAACAACAATGTGCCACTAAGTCAAACATGACTACTAACACAAACAGTAAATTGGTTAAGATAAACGCCAGCACTACGTAGTTATTTAGCTAACTTATTATGTAATTTGAAACGCTCTCCATGATGATTCTAATCAGGAAACCATCTTACAGAATACGAAGACGCAGAATTCATAAAACTTCTAATCCATGGCCACGCTGTACGCATTTGTTTGCCGTGATAAAAAAATAGAATAAACGACTTGATAGACAAGTCCGAATAAGCCGCTCGTATTTCTTGTAAATATTCAGATCGGTCAGGCAAACCCATCGATTCGGCTTCTAAATGAATGCAAAAACAGTACTGACCGTCCAACAAATTCAGCAGTACCCATCCACAAAGAAGCGGAAGATATCGAGACTATTGTCCAAGTTCCAAACTTCATGACTATTGTAGCTGTACTGGAAGACCCTCGAGCGTATACACGCCATTGCGAGCCTTCAATTTAGAAGGTGGCTGACGATAGTAAAGACTAAGTCTAATCGCTCCGCCGCAATTCTGGGCCAGGTTACCACCGCATCCCACGTAGCACGCGCTGTCTGGCCCTCGAGTGGTACCAGTCCGAACTCCATTTCCACAGTAGCACTTGAAAAGTGTCAGTTGGTAGTGAAGAAGTTCCGCGGGATCTCTTACAGTGTTTCCGTTCTCCAATCCATACAAAAGGTAAGAGCGCAGGCGGTTTCACACATTGAGATAGTCATCCTCGTATTTGTCGCTCGTAGCACTGAGAGGATTTTGGCGCCTGTCGGTTCGGGGTAACAGCCTACACGCACGAAAGGGTTGGCGCGTGGGAAGATGTCAGATGCGAGAGCGATTTTCGCGAAAAAGGCGAGGACGAGTGTCAGGAAATAGGCTTGGGTAATCATGGTTCCGGTTTGTGAGTGATCGTTGATGGAGAAGTTGAAAACTCGATATCCGGGGGGTGCTGTTCTTGTACCTGGCGTTGGAATGATGGTGTTTACCAAGTCTGACTACTTATGTAAAGAATGTGTGACGTCTTTATGGCATTTTGACGAATTGTGTGGTGTTCGACGAAATTTGAGACACCGTGCTGTCATCATTCCACAAATGTAGCAAGATTCCAAAATGGGTATCGAATGTGGTAATACAACGAAGATCCAACACGAAAATGAACTATCTCTATCTGTCATGCGGAACATGTGCTTGAAGTATTCTTCTTGAGCTAGTATGAACGTTTCAATTACATTAGTATTCTAACCGATTCTTTCTTTACCGTCGATAATCTCTCCCTGATTCGTAGAAGCAATATCCTTTTTTAAATATACTGCCATAAAAGGCCATTCTTTTCCGCTACTGTCGGTATGCCAAAAAGCATCGTCAACCCTTTTGTACTCGACATAACCTCTGCGTCTATACCAATCTGCAACGGCGTACTGGGCGTCTGTTACTACTTTGACAACAAAGAGTCCAAGGAAACATGAGACTCACTTGAGGCAGCGGCACTCCTACCGCGTGATATGAGTTTTCCCACCCCTCAAAATCGTTGGCCGCGGTGTTCAGTGCCAAAGTTTTCGCACACAACGGCTTTGCGACAGCCATACGTTCTAGAGCATCCATCGCCTGTCTACCTACACCATTGCTTTGCAAGGCCTTGGAAACATAGAAGTTGGTGATCCGATAGATATCCTTAAGACCGTAAGACAGCTTTCCAACACTATCGGCGCCATCCGAATCCAAAGATATGTGGCCGACAGGAACAAATGAAGAGTTGAAAGAGGGTGTGACAGATTGTCCACCTAATGAAGTTGCAGTGTCTAAAAGCGGGCTAGATTCCGAAGGGAAACTTGATATATGTTTTTGTACCAATTGATCATCCATTGCAGAATCTGGAGAGGAAAGCACCTGATACATTAGCCGGAACACGACACGAGATAGGACGATACATACGATCCAATGAAGTGATTTGTGTCCTTCCCGCTGAAGTCCTGCCCACTTGGGCGAGACCAAATCTTCAGCCCATCCGCATGCGACTCGTTGGAGAATCAATCGTTGGATGTGATCGGGGGACTCGAAATCCCAGGGGATTAAGCGAACTTGTGTTGTCGGTTGGGATGAGGGGCTCTCCACTGCCATTTCGACCACGACTCTGAGTCTGTCCACAAAGATTTGAATGAGCACGAAGAATTGGCTCGAGACTTTGTTGCATTATAATCAACCGCTGCCATCCGCAAGACGCATAGGTGGGGTTCATGACTCATCACCAAGTGGGCTGAATTGAGAAGGTCCACGGGTGTAGAATAAGGGAGGCAACCGATTTTCGAGGGTGCTCAATGTTGTGCCTCATAGTAAGTAAATACAAGTCGCATTGTACGAGGTACATAAAGAAAAAAAATAGAAATGACCGTTCAAAGTGTAATTAAAATCGTTTAGATCATGGCAGCATGCTGGGTGAGGCCGTTGCTGGCAGAATGACAATTAAAAGTTCAAAACAAAATACAATGCATCAATAGTCGCACTGAGGATCGAACTCAGAACCATCTCGGGACATGTTCAGTACTTGTGAACGAGATATCATAACCATTAGACCATGCGACTTGATTGGTTGTCGTGAAAGTTGATTTTTAAGCATTTATTGACAAATCTAAAATAGTCCTCGAGTGGATGTAGTTCGGACCTTCTAACATCGCATGGGTGGGGAGCTGAGTGGTCTTGTTGCGCCGAACCTAGAATACACGCACCTGCCATAAACAGCGAGGCATTGAATTCTAGGTACGAAAGTACATGTTCCATTATTCAAAAGAGCAACCTAAATCATGAGTGTCGGGTGGCGGCTCTTTAGGATGTGGACCTGGACCTCGAGTCGAAATCCCGTGACTCGCGTGGCCTTCGTCTCGTCGCAGCTTCCAAGCGACCCTGACACACCTGCAGCTCTGGCAGACGGAGAGGTCGCAGTCGCTCTCGTGCTCGCTCTCACGCCAGCCTCCAGTTTTGCCCACCAGTTCCATTGATCACCAATTTGACCTCCCCCTCTACAACACCTAACCACCACGCCCAGTGAGAACGCGAACCTCCTCTAATTGCGCTTTTGGAACCACCACTCACGCCAACCGCGACTCACAACACTGCGCCGTCATGGCGGGACGTTTCGTGCGCGCCTCGAAGTATCGTAAGCTTCATAACATCTTCCCCTCGAACCATCTGGCACCCACCCGGCTGACATCCGGATAGGACATGTTTTTGGAAAGTCTACGAGAAAGGAATCCTGCTACGATAACTTGCACATCAGTCGCAATGCTTGGGATACCAACTTGATCAAGGTGAGGAGGGGTTAACAACACCAGCACCTCGCGATTCCGCGACAGGCAGAACACCGCTCATCACGTATTAGGCCAATCCAGAATACCTGTCGGTCAATTGGGAAGCAAGCGGAGGAGGCGCATTCGCCGTCATTCCGGTCAATGAGAAAGGTCGACTGCCAGAGCAGATTCCGCTTTTTCGAGGACACACGGCGCCTGTTTTGGATACGGATTGGTGCGTAGGATATCAGATACGCGCGGGATGCAGCAGCTGACGGAATCACGCAGGAACCCTTTCAACGACAGTGTAATAGCGTCGGGCTCTGATGACGGCAAGGTGTTCATTTGGCAGGTCCCGAAAGGCTTCACCTTATATACGGATGCCGACGAACCAGCAGATGTTTCCCCCGTTAGCAAATTGACCGGCCATTCCAGGTGAGACAATATTCATGCTGGGAAGACGCGAACAATGAAGACGGCTAGGGCTGACGACGTGTAGAAAAGTTGGACAAGTGTTATTCAACCCCGCGGCCGAGAATATCCTAGCTTCTGCCTCGGGCGATTACACGATTAAACTTTGGGATATCGAGACAGGAACGCCTCATTTGACCCTGAAGCATGGAGACATTGTCCAGAGTCTATCGTGGAGCGCGAATGGTTCCCAAATGGTTACCACGTCGCGAGACAAGAAGCTGAGAATATGGGATGTGCGACAAGAGAGGCCCGCTCACGAAGGACCTGGACATACCGGTGCCAAGAACAGCAGAGTGGTATGGATGGGGGAGCATAACCGAGTTGCAACGACCGGATTCTCGAAGATGAGCGATCGTCAGATGGCTCTGTGGGATGTTGGTAATGCGCGGGAACCAATTGGCGGGTTTTCGGTCTTGGATTCAATCTCTGGCGTCTGCATGCCATTCTGGGGTAAGGACGTCTCCAAACGATCTCATTAATTTGCTAACATGGAACCCAGATGATGGCACTCAATGCTTGTATTTGGCGGGCAAAGGGTAAGGCTCGCCCCCCGGCTGAAGTGTGCTATATACTGACTCGACAGTGATGGAAATATCCGATATTTTGAGTATGAGAACGATAAATTCGAATTTCTTTCTGAATACAAGTCGGGCGAACCGCAAAGAGGCATTGCGTTCGTCCCCAGACGTGGCATCAACGTGAGTCCGAGTGCTGTTCTCCAGATACTCGTGCTAGCTGCTGACCAATGTAGGTTCATGAGAACGAAGTCATGCGCGCATACAAAACTGTCAACGATGCCTATATCGAACCAATTTCTTTCACAGTGCCTCGTCGCGCCGAAGTTTTCCAGTCTGATATATACCCACCTGCGGTAGGAATCAAACCAGCTATGTCTGCGGCAGAGTGGTTATCAGGAAAGGATGGGCTTCCCGCAAAGATTGATCTGGAGAGCGTGTATGAAGGAAATGCTCCTGTCGAACTGCCCTCGGATTACAAGCTGCCTACCTCTACTCCCGCCGCCGCACCTGCTCCCTCGCCAGCTCCTGCGGCAGCCGCTACAAAGCAAGCACCTGAACCGACGCCTGCATTTCGGTCGCCACCACCAACCATGTCGGAACAGAAAGGATCAATTGCAGCCCTGGCCGATAAGTTCCAAGATAACGAAATTGACGACGATGACGATGATGCATCTAGCTTTGAAGAGATACCCCAACCTGTGCAGAGATCTGTGCCTGCTGCTGCCAGAACCGAAACGAAGCCAATGTCGCCTCCAAGAGCTGCGGTTACACAAAGGGAAGCTGCAAAACCCAGTCCACTGTCGCCGACTCCTCGTTCAGTACCAGTACCAATCGCTTCGCCGACTCCTGCACAGCCCTCCTCCGCGGGACAATCGAGTAGCGGCACCGTAGAAACTTCACTGCAGCAAATAAAGAGTCTCTTGGAGGCGCAAACCAAAACTATATCGGCACTTGCGCATGAAGTAGACACGCTGAAGATGCGAGTTGGTGCCGGTACCGTAGATCAGAGCGAGAGGATTCGCCAGTTGGAGTTGGAACTCGAGGCCGCAAGATCATAGTGAATTGCACGTGTTGATTTTAAACGGTTCGAGCATTGACAGCACAAAAGATTCGGGAATCGGAGTTGGAACTAGAGCCGCGAGATTATAGTGAATGAGACGGATTGTACTTGGATGAAGCGTGCATTGTAACAGTTTGTCTCCAAGATCGTGGTGGGCTAGCTCAATAACGACTATGAAACACGATCTTTTACCATAAATTTTACTCATGAGATTGTGGTTTTTGATGTGAAATGAAGATGTTCGCGAAAGAAACTGCAGGCTATCTGAGCCCACCGGAAGTCGCCACCGTAAGAAGATTTTTGTATACCTTGGTTCCATCTGTGATCGAGAGCGTAATTTATTGTACTACTGAGAAAATGGAATCTTTGAATCTGAGTGTTTTCATGTTGGCAAGAATAATGTTTTGAACCTGCGAGGCTGCTGTTTATCTCTCATCTTAGGCTGGGTTAACATTCCTATAAATTGACCTGATTGCACAAGAGTCTCCCAAAATATTTTAGCGTGGTATGGTCTTTACAAAACATAATAGATACCTATACTTATTGGCTAGTTTTTTCTTTCATTACTAAATTTGCATCTTCTATTGGCTGGCTGTTAAAAGGCATGCTTGACTTTGAATTATTTTCAAGAACCAAGAGTGTTGAACTTGTTCTCATAACTTCCGGACAAAGACTTCTATGCACGAGAATCAATTAATGTATAGGGTTTCATGGAGTAAGAAAATTGACAGGTTGTACTTGATCACAGTCTCCCCTATCTTTATACTTTTAAGCGAGGTAGTACAAATAGAGAAATCATAGCGGATGAGTTAAAAATCTTCAATATACGAATTTTTCTTGTATCCCAGGTGACATCACGTATTTAACAATCTCAGTAAAACTATGTTTTTGAATAGGCGATCATGTTCTTGATCTTGCCGAAATTGATCAACATCCTCCGCATGTCCCCCCACCAGGCGTAACCTGCACCCAGGCAGATCTTTGTTATCAAAGAAACAACCATACCATGACCTACTAAACATGTCTCAGATGAGCTTCCTTCCGTCGCGGCAGCTGCTATCAATAATATCCACATGTAAATGCCAGGAAACTTTGCACACGTCTGGTCATTGGTAGGATCTTCGACTGCGTAGCACAGCCGAAACGCTTCGTCGTGATTCATAGGCGACGAAAATTGAATGGGTGGATACTGGAAAGCTTTCATGTAAATGGAAGCAGCTAGCTGGATTGTCTTATGAAGACTTGGGTGAGGCTGTGAAATTTGACTAGGAACTGTGTAGAGCCGAAAAGTGTCGAGAGGTTGGATCTCCAGTTGCAACATCTTTGCGGTCAACTCTTGCATATTTTGGAGAAGTTCAATGCTAGTCTCTTCAAAATAACAAGGTGAAATGAGGGATCTGAGTCTCTCGCCACCTAGCAGAGGAGACTTGGATACTACACTGGTGCTGATGAAGCGTCCCAAGATGTTTGAATGGTCCCAACGGCATGGCTGCACTGCTCGAATCGGCTGCAGTCGTGGTTCAGTGTTGCTCAGCATTGCGACTAAGAGGTCAATTCTGTTTGCAAAGTTAGCGATCAAGTGATGGTAGTAGATAGGGGTTGCAAGCGTACAGTAGAACTTTGGCTACTAAATGGGTGTCGCCGGAAAGATTTTCAAGGCCTCCACGGAGCGAAACTATTCTCTGAAGTCCCGTGATGTGGAACACGCATTCGGTAGAGTTTCCTCGACCAATCTAGGATATAGTAAGCGGTTGTATTCGTGCAGAAACTGCATGTCGTTGCAAAGGAGGCTAATGGTATTTTCAGCGACGATTTACTCACCTCGAAGCTCAAGAGAAGCAGAATACTACCAATGGTTATGTCGCTAGTGGCATCAGCGTGTCGTGTGAGACGCCAATTAAGCCATCTGATTGTTTCGCCTTTAAAGGTATAGTATTCAAAACTGCCATGAATATACGGCTAAACTGTCAGCACTTCGGTCACTCTAACATTCGAGAATTCGACCAGAAGAATTTGTAGTCTCAAGGCATTGATAATTGACTGAGTCACTGATCTTCTAGGGGCATTAAGTTATCACCCACCATAACTTGCAAGTGACGATGGAGACATGCGCGGCCTGAGTAGCCGGTAGGTGCTGGAATGATCCTCCCCGCCATCCAAATTGATAAGTTGGGGCTCCCTGATCCCAAAGGTTGTGGAAATGGCCAAGTCTTAGAGTTCATAATCAGCGATGGGGCACCATTGACTTGTAACAGAGCATAGGGTGTGGCTATACGATGCTAAAAATTATTAAGAGATCAAACTGGGGGATTGAGGTGAAAGAAGTCTTAACTGTTGTTGAACGTCCACCTATCAAAGTAGCTTCGTTCTGGAATGAAATCAGTGCTTGAACCAGAAGAACCTTCAAAGCTTTTAGGGAGTTTCGAAATAACCGTCTTCTCGCAGAGCGAGTTGATCCCTAGAAGGCGTGTAGGATGAAAAGACAGGAGTCAAACGTACCACGAAAAAGTAAAGATCCCCCAGAATGGTAATCTTTTATTTCTAGGTGACTTAAGGCTGATGATGGATGAGGGCGACTTTCATTCTCATGTCTGACATCCTTCACTCGAGGGAGTCCATTAGAACCCTTGGACTGTAGGTTGTGCCTCGTCCTTGGGAATCTGTTTTTCTCCTTTCGCCGCCGGTGAACATCTTCCATAACGTGTCTCCGAACAAGTCTCCTGTGAGTTGTATCGGGAGGGCGGTGCGGTTCATGGATCATCACGAATTGGAAACCTGATTCTGGTGAGGACGCTTCTGTGTGTGGTGCATTTCGAGGGCTGTTTGAAGAACGATGGTTCTTCTTCCCATCTTCGCTCTTGGATCTCTCTTTTGAGGCAGGGGACGAGTTTTCCTTGCGTTCGGATATGAACTCGTCGTCCGCACTCGTTGTCTGCATACCGTATGCCTAGACTCACCAGACTCACCGCAAAGTGGCTCCAGGTAGGTTAAACTTCAGGGAGACGTCTACGGCAGAACACGCTCAGCGATGACGAGGGGCTAAGTTTTTGTTTTACAGCTCACACTTCACCCTAAATGAACCGAGGCTTGGTAGTTGTAGTGTTGCCCGTCGGACTGCTATTGGATATACCCCTGGGATGATCGAGAACTTTCTGAACAGCCATAGTACTCCGTAGTGAGCCGAGTCATCGTGAAGACTCAAAAGAGAACTTGTATGAACGTTAGAGAAGAATATGCTATAAACAAGAAGCATATTTGGTAGGAAGAATATGATGATCTGAACGTCGATGGTGTACTCCTCCAAATGTCGATGAATTGCAGTTGTTCCGCGGGGCTAGAACGCTGATTCAGCACCACGCAGCGGGTGGGACTGTGAGGCACGTGGTGGTCTCCCTCAATTCCCCATTTTACAACTCCACTCTCAACACCTTTCCCAAAGAGGGCAATCGACTTCCAATCATCGTCCATTGACTGCGGTAATCCATGTACGATATCTTCTTTGATATTGATATCGTAGCTTTTCTTCCTGCAAGTTGCCCATGCAGACTCGATGCAACCAGCGAAAGCTTCGAGCCACTGTATAAACATTTAAGATAAGGTGTCGCTCGTTGTCATGGCGTATTGACATATTCTCATTGTAGCATTCCTGGGCACGAACGGATTCCATCCCTACTCGACGGTTGACTCTGTTCTCGATGGCGAAAATACACTACAAAATTGGCGGCGGCAGCATCCCAAGCGAGTCTATCAACTCATCTCATGTTGATGATGCTCTGAAATATCTCCACTCCGTGGGCAATGCCGGCGACGTTTCTTTTACAGCTCAAGATGAAAAACAAGTCGTTCGGAAAATAGATTGGATGCTACTACCTCTGATGGCAGCAATGTATAATATTCAATACCTTGACAAGACGATATGTAGGTCCCAAGATCGCCATCATGGTATTCTGCTGACACCATTGGCGATAGTGAACTATGCCAACGTTAGTATGTAACATAGAGTTCCAACCGTTTCTATCAGGCAAATTATTTGTTAAGATCGCGAAAATCCAGTTATGTTAAGCACTCAGCTTCCTCTACCTTGTGCCATGCGCTTGCGGTTGTGCAGTGAGAGCATCAACTCCTAGATACTGACCACCCTCATTAGTGGGACTGGCAAAAGATACCAACACTAGTGCAAGCCAGTTTTCTTACTTAGCAACTGCCTTTTACGTGGGATACCTAATTTGCGAATTTCCTCAAGGCTATGTGATTCAACGAGTTCCGCTAGCGAAGTGTCTAGGAATCAACCGTAAGTTCATTTCACCTACTAAGGCGCAGGTTTAATAAACAGAGTAGTCGTCCTCTGCGGCGTCTGTGTCGCAGCGAGCTCTGCGGGTACTAATTATGCCACTCTTGTCATTTTGCGGGTACTTCTGGGATGTTTCGAGTCGGCTATTTCCCCTAGGTAAATCACGGAATTTCATGATACGCCAACCTTACTGATCCCTTATAGCTTGATGCTTTTGACATCAATGTGGTATAAGAAGAGTGGTGGGTCAAAAATTGTAATTATGTACTAACATGAGCTAATTGTGACGTAGAACAGCCCATCAGAATTGGTATATGGTTTGGATCAGGAGGATTATCAACGATTGTTGGCGGTTTGTCCAGCTTCGGGTTTCAACACTACCACGGACGGATTTTTAAATCATGGCAGGTGAGACTTTGTTGAATATAATGACGATGGCTTTCATGCTGATTTATTTAGATCATGTTTCTCGTCTGTGGAGTAGTCACCATTTTAATCGGGATTTGGGCACTTCTAGTGTTTCCAGATAATCCAATGAGCTCGGGTCTTACACAGCGCGAGAAACTTATTGCGATTGAGCGGCTTCGCTCTAACAAAACAGGAATCGAAAACAAGACCTTTCAGAAAGCTCAAATGTTCGAGGCATTGAGGGATGCAAAAGTCTTGATTATAATGGTAATGGTTATATGTGGATCTGAGATCAATGGAGCTTTAGCCAATTACCAAACTTCACTTATCAAGTCGTAAGAGCTTATCAACTGTTGGTAAAATTTAAGCTGATTTCTATAAAGATTTGGTTTCGGTTCCAAAAAAAGCGCATTATTATCAGTGCCTACCGGTGTAATTTCAATACTTGTTTGCACAAGCAGTACGGTATAATATACGAGTGACGCGGGCTATAAATGGTTGGCTTGACTAATGACTTCACAGTATGTTGCTGGTAGGACTAATCAACGTCTTCTAGTTCTGGCCTGTTTTCTCCCTCTTGGAATAGTCGGCGCTTCATTGATGGCATTCCTTCCCACGAGTGCGCGTCCAGGAAAGATGGTTGGTCAGTATCTCACGCACATGGTTCCTAGTAAGTTTTTCAACCCTTCCAAACGTAACACAATGCTAGATTGATATTTGTTAGCCACTCCAATTATATATTCTATTGCCGCAGCAAATTGTATGTCGCTCCCACGGACGTCTCTGCAGTCATTTAACACTGGAACAGTCTCCGGTCACACTAAGAAGATCACTGTGAATGCTTTGATATTAATGTAAGATTCATATGGGTCCCCATGTACTTGCTTAATTGTCTGATATTGTTATGAGATCGTTCTCAATTGGGAACATAATTGGTCCACTTACCTTCACTGGCGCGACCGCACCAGATTATTTCCCCGCCAAGATTGCTATGGTAAGTTCTTTTCTCAATTGCTCTCTCATTGGAAAGTCTCAAAAGGGCTTTTTTTACTGAATAACACAGATGTGCTGCTTTTCTGGCGCCTTCGTGCTTGTGTTTGTTCTACGATTTGCGTTTCTCCTTGAGAACAAGAAGAGAGACGAGCGTGGAGAGGACAACTTTGAGATTGATAATGCATTTCTGAACATTACAGACATCCAAAATAGAAGCTTTAGAGTAAGTTTGGTGCACCTGTACTTTCATCACTCCGGATTCTCTCAAAGGTTATACTAATTATTGTGCTTGATTAGTACTCGGTGTGAGATGAAAAGCTTTGTGACTTCGTACAGGTGGAAGAAATGGTACACGAGCCCCGTCAAGGTTTAATGAATAAGGATAATTATGATCCTGGAATGAAGTGGTCTCAAACAGGACGGAGTCACGATGCTTACGACATGCCGGTCCCAAAATCGTAAGTCGAAAATTGGAAAGATGCACATACAATATGCACGACAGGGGGCTTTTTGGGTTCCAACATTTGCGGGTCTCTTAAAACCCGTCCCCAAGTAAGCCTAATACAGCTAACCCCAGGACAATCCGGCTAAACTAAAATCAAGCACTTTGCCGCTTCTCCTTCAACGCTGTTGGATTTCTATACGAGCGTGTTCTTTAATATCGTTGGCTGTTGATACGAGTGCACACATTGTATTGATCCACCAAGCCTTTCGTCAACATTTATTATGGCATAAATAATGTTGGGGGGTACTATATGGTTTTGACATTTGATTTGAGATAGAGTTTCATCATGGCTACTACGAAACACCTGACCACTCATGCTGACTTTATCATCATCGGTGGAGGAACAGCAGGTTTAGTGTTAGCCAATCGTTTGACTGAAGATCCGAACACTCAAGTTTTGGTATTGGAGCGGGCACATATCATGCTGATGATCTCGAGTCAATGTTCCGGCCTTTTGGACTACGCTCATGGGCTCTGAAGTGGACTGGAAGTTCAACTCTACTCCACAGGCAAGTAGATTTGTTCTTCTCCATCACTCTTACAGTTCGCTTACTTTACACATAGCAAGGACTTAACGGTCGTTCGGTCAAGGAGCCACAGGGTAAAATTCTTGGTGGCTCATCAGCAATAAACGGTTAAGCATTTATTGCTCCCTTCTCAGGCTGATTTTGACGCATGGTGTGAACTCGGAAATAGCGGCTGGAATTGGTCTTCTATTGCCCCTTATTTCAAGAAGTCGTATACATTGTTACCACCATCTAATCAAGCGACCCTTGACCATCTCGGTATTGACTGGGTCAATGAGGACTATCGCGGGAAAGACGGTCCCATCCAGGTTTCTTTTCCAGGTGTCATTCAAAACCCTCTTTGTAAGGCCTGGATTGACGCTTTTCGCGGTATCGGCAAGGCGACTAGTGGTGGTGGGTAGACTCCTCCGCAAACAGAATTTATGTTACTTACTTTTGTTTAGATCCTTTTTCTGGCAACTCAGTGGGAGGTTACAGTAATGCAGCGACCGTCGACCCGGCTACCAAGACCCGAAGCTATGCAGCTTCGGCGTACGGGCTACCATTCCTTCACAGACCGAACTTTCGTGTCATTACTGATGCAATTGTTCACAAAATCAATTTCGAGAATGAGAATGGTGGCATCACTGCCACAGGTGTGTAAGTAGATGTTGCTGGGGAGCTTCAAACCTACACGGCAACCGAAGAAGTCATTCTTTCTGCTGGTGTTTTCAACACGCCCAAAATCCTTGAACTTTCTGGTATTGGTAAGAAGCAACTGCTTGAAAAACATTCCATCCCAGTCGTGATTCCAAATCCCAATGTCGGAGAGCATCTACAAGACCATTTGATGACGGGTGTTTCATTTGAGGTCGTGGATGGTATTGTGACAGGAGATCCACTGATGCGACAAGAACCGGAAGCTCTCCAGCAAGCACAAAGCTTATATTTTGAACACAAGGCTGGCCCTTTCACCATTGGCGGCATGCAATCTCACGCGTTTATGCCCATTGTTGAGCTTGCAAATGTGGAAGACCGCAAAGTGCAAGAGCTTCTGGATGGGCATCATGCAAAGCCAGAAGATCGAGAGCATTGCGACATAGTGCAGTCTATCATCCAGAAACCAGATGAATGCTCTGCAGCATGGCTCATGTTTCTTGCGCAAGTCAATCTTCACGAAGCAGGCACAAGCTTCGTAGGTAACAATCTTCTACCAGGAAACTTTGCCAGTTTCGGTGTTTCCCAATCTCACCCTTTCTCCCGCGGCTCGACGCATATTGCTTCCGCAAACATCAACGACAATCCACTCATTGACCCCAATTATTTTTCGCATCCAGCTGATCTTGAGATTATGGCACGACACCTCCAAGAAATGGAAACACTCCGAAACACTAAGGAGCTCTCGCCATTTTTCAAACCGGACGGGAAAAGGAATCACCCTGATGCTTACAAAATCTCTACTTTGGAAGGTGCGAAGAAATACATCCTCGATACTGCTCTAACAACGTATCATACGTGTGGTTCAGCAGCCATGTTACCGAAAGAGAAGGGAGGTGTTGTGGATGACAAGTTAGTGGTATATGGCACGACTAATCTCAGAATTGTTGATGCGAGTATATTTCCGCTGATTCCTCGGGGAAATATTATTTCTTCGGTGTATGCTGTTGCGGAGAAGGCAGCGGATATTATCAAAGGTGTTTGAACATTCACAGCCACTGGCACCTATCAATTTAACATATATGGTAATGCTTTCGTTTGTTATGTAAAGACTACGAGATTTCAAACCGCTGGCCAGTAGCTTCTTAATAATGGTCTTCATCTACCCACATGCCCGCATCCACAGCACATGGTCCAATACCCGAGAGGCTGTAGGTTTCCGTATACTCTAGTGCCACCCCTGCTGGACAAATATTTGTACCTGAGGCGATATTCGGCGAGTTGAGTACATAAAGTAAGCACAGGCCGGGGAGAAAATATTTGAAGCAATTAGGTGTCGAGAAACACTTCTGACAACATCCCTCTTGATCGAAGATTGGAAAACTGGCGTATGTAATCGCAATGAAGCTTTGGCCAGGGCCAGGCCAGGTTAAACCTCTGCCATACTTAAATCCATAATTGTCGCTCGCCAAGCAAGCTAAGATGATTGTTAGCCAGCTGCAATTTCGTCTGACTTTGTTGAGATAGTCAATAGGATCAACATACCTGTAGGCTGAGCAGTAGTTGTACCTGTAATGGTAGTAGTAGAGAGGGTAGTGCCCACAGACGTAGCTGTTGTTGTATGTTGAATAGTGACTGTGACAGATGTGCTGGCCACAACAGATAGCCAGAGCGTTGGCGTGGCTGCCGTGACGGTTGTGGGTGTTATTCCCCAGCAGGAACACGCGCTTTGATATCTCACACTTCCGGAGCAAGCAGAAGCATAGGTGGGTACGATACTTGGAACAACTGTCACCTGTCGACGCTCAATCTTGGTCATGTCCGCTGAAGAAGGGTTTGGAACCTCTCCACCTGTCCCGAGGTCGGCTGCTCTCCGACGATCGGGTGGAAATGTGTACTGAATTACTGTCGTAACTATAGAAGTATAAGTATCAACCACAGTGGTGCTGGTCAGAGTAGTGACAGTCTGCGTCACAAAGGTGGTAGGGCTCGATGTTGCTAATGAAGTTGTCGTTGTCGATGTCCTACCATTGTACATTAACAGTCGTTGCAAAAGGTAATTGTATGCTCGAGGACTTACACAGGGATTGGAGTAACAGTTACTTTCTGGAAACTACTACAATCTGCTCGTGCCGTTATAGAGAAAGCAGCGCCTGCTCGTGTCCCGCTTACAGCACGCGCACAGTTATCGGCGTTGCATGCTTGGACGGATATCGCTCCAAGAAGAGAAGAAAAAGCAACAATGGATGTGAGCAGGTTCATGATTACTTGGGATAGTCAATGCTAAGTATGGCGAGTGTGGTAGGATATGCGTACTATGTGGTCAGCGAGAGATTATGCGTAGTGGACTTCTTACATGTACCAAGACCTCGATGTTTATAAACCATAACAGGAAACCACTTAGTACTTATCACAAGTCCCTGATTGATTTGACATTTAAGCTCAATGCTCAAGAAAAATGTATCTATGCCACGTCAATAATTGGTGGCGTCGATTTTGTCCCGGAAAGTCCAGCTGAACATCTGATGCACCGGGGTCACAACGATACTGCGAGCCCACAAAGCTCATGGAGAAACTTCATTGTACAGATCATTTTTGCCCAAACTCCGCATTCGAGTCCAGAGGTAGTATAATCCCAACACCGCGTAGCTTACTTCTGGTGCCCAAAACAATTGGTTTCCTCTTGCTTTCGTGAGGAGAGAGCATATTTTAAAATGCTATTGACTCTTCACTTGGCTATAAGTTATATGGCTTCTTGATGCATTAATTCAGAAGTTTATCCTCGACTCACAAAACGTTCATTGGAGGCTCTGGGCAGGGTAAAAATATGCCAGCGGCCTAGTGAGGACTAGTACAGGAGAGAAAAAAAGCTGCTCCGCAAGCTGCTCATGGTATTCAAGGTAATTACTACGACGAAGAAGATATTCCTTCGGCTAGAGACGTTGAGGATTGGCCAAGATATTCTCACCGTATCGTAGAATGCCAACAAGCTCAGCTTACATTGGCCATCGCAGATCAAAATAACAGGAAAGTGGATATAAAACCAACGCTACGACGAATACGGGTTTACGAACTAACGATTGTCGGCCGCTTTCAGACCAGGTCGCAAGCCTTCACAAGCACAATATCGGTTTAGAAGAAGACCCTGAAATATATTCGTTTGCCTTCCAGTGCTCACAGCAATTACACCCTTATCATCCGTGCCTGTTGCACTTGTTCAGAAAAACACTGCCCGCCGGTGATCCAAAGTTGGGATCAGTCTAGACAGTGGGTAACCTGGTAGGGCACGCTTAGAGACCGGTGTAAAATTGCGGTTATCATGCTCAATGTATTCGCAACCGTCTCAATATCAACCAAAGGCAGTGGTGCCGAGACGTCTGTCTACATCCGCCATTTGTTTGATCTTGACTATTCTCGATGCTAATATATCCCAAAAAACCTAAACACGACTACGATCTCCATAAAGAAAAAATCTATCAAAAATTATGAGTTCGTCCATGAGTTGCCAATGGATTTCGAACTTGCTTTTCAACATAATAGGGAAATTTAATTTGACATACCTGGCATCACGTGCACTGCGATACGATACCGACGCGAATTTATTGTTGTAGGTACAACAATTTACAACTCCACGTATTTTTTTGTGGGCGTGACTTTACACGGTAATGTTTGTTTTCCAACGCAGATATATGTGTAGGAATACAACAATACCAAAACTGCGAGTTAATGCCTGGATCATACAAGCCTCGAGAGGGAAAAGTCTCACGCGTTTTGACAACATTACTCAACCATACCTGGCAAGTCTTTCCACGACCTCTAGTTTGATACAGCTAACGAAACGACCAGACTTAAAATACAAGGGTGACTTGTTCAACTACAATCGCGGACGGTTCGTCATTGATGAAGCGTATGAAATGTCAGAGCGTCGCGTTTTTTTCAATGTGAATGAACTTGGCCGTGTCGCCGCTGAGGCGGTGGGTGCAAATATGTGTGTGGGAGTTGAGAAGTATCCTGATGGAATGTACAATAAGTCCATGCTCCTTACAATGGATGATGGCAATGAAGGTACTCACTTCGCCATGAAGTTCTTAACCATGGCAATATTGACTGGTCGCAACAGTTGTTGCAAAGATCCCGAATCCAAACGCCGGTCTTCCTCACTACACGACTGCGAGCGAAGTTGCTACAATGGACTTCGTGAGTATGTCACGTCGGTTTATGTATTTTTAGGCTGACAACTCATAGGTCCGCAACATTCTTGGAACTCCCGTGCCTAGAGTATTGGCATGGAACTCAAGGGTAGAAGGAAACCCCGTGGGTGCACAATACACCATCATGGAAAGGGTTCCTGGAGTTGAATTAGAAAGCGTTTGGCCGACGATGCCAATCGAAGACAGGCTTTCAATTGTCAAAGAAATTGCAGGCTATCAAAAGACTTGGGCGTCAACATCATTTACAATGTACGGCAGCATGTACTACGCAGCGGATCTGGGCTCTGAATACGCAACCAACATGACCTATACAGATGGTCAAGGGAACGAGATCGAAACCTCAAGATTTGCAATTGGTCTATCAACTGGTAGGGAGCTGATTGACAACAAGCGATCAACAGTCGAGTTTGACCGAGGGCCCTGTAAGATTATCTGTCGGTTTGAAAGTACGTTGCTAACATATGTTCAACGGAGCAGTCTAGAAGACTATCATCTGGCAATAGGACGCCGAGAAATCGCGTCTGTGAAACAACTTCCCCAGCTTCCAAAATCACCTATAACACTTTGCGGACCAGGGACATATCAGCCAACAAAAGACAGAAAACTGAAGGCGCTGGAGTGTTATCTACAGCTCATCAAACACCTCCTCTCGCAAGACCAGAGCATTGGAACCTCTCATCTATGGCACGGTGATCTACATGTTGCGAATGTATTCGTCAATCCGTCCAAGCCAACCGAAATTGTCGGTATAATTGACTGGCAATCTACGGAGCTGGCACCGCTATATTTCCACACCCGCCAACCTCAATTCCTCGACTTTGAAGGCCCGCAGGTGGAAGGTCTGGAAAGACCGAGATTACCTAAAGACATAGAATCCATGGAGGAGAGAGAACAGAAGCGAAGGCGAAACCTCCACATGGATCAGATGCTTTAGTTCATGTACACAACAATTGCTAAACACCGGATGCCACTTCTTTACACTGCGATGGAGTTCCAACAAACAATGAGCTTTCTTCTGTTACTCCTGCCGAGGAATATGTTGATTGACGGCGAGGCAAGCTATTTAGCACAACTGGTGGAGCTGGAAGCCATCTGGGACACACTTCCAGCCTCGAATGGCGCGCCGTTTCCATTATCATTTTCAGAGGAAGAACGAAAGATGATAGAGGCAGATAGCAAAGGCGCTAGCGAAGGCATGGCAGCTATACGAAGCGTTCAGGCGGCTATCGGCGATTTGTTTCCTGAACAGGGGCTCGTGAAGAGTGAGACTTACTATGAATCATTGGATGCTTTAGAGTAGATGAGAGACCAGGTGATTGAACAGTATGCGAAGGATGAGAATGAAGCGGACGCTTGGAGGAAGGCTTGGCCGTTTGGAATATAGCATAAATTCCGGCGGATACGCAAGAAAAACCACGAATACATAAAATATGACTAACATGAAAATCGAATTTTAATGGCCTCGGTCTATCGTTGAAACCATCCATGCGCGCCTGCTCGAACCTGTACCTCATAAGGACAGAGAAAAACATATGGATCTGCCATAGCTTATGAACCCTCTCAACCTCACACCTGAACACCATCCGTCTCTTAAACCCCTCACCACCCTCAAGCTTTCCAAACCCAACTCCAACACTCCCTCCTCATCCCCCCCTTACTCTCCGGCCAAGTCTCCCACTTCGACCCCTCCATCTTGACAAACTCCTCCATCCCCTCCACCACCGCCCTACTCTTCTCATTCCCCTCCGCAACCACAATAATCGCATCTTGGACGCCACACTCCCTCCTCGCCCAGGCGACCGCAGCCCTAACAGCCGGACGCATGATGCCTCGACCCTGATACTCAGGAAGCAGACTATATCCAATCTCGACGTTACGACTTCCCGGCTCCCCTTCCCAGCCTTCAGGTTTGCGACCGGGGAGATGGTAGAAGCCCGTTGGGTCCTGGGGAATGACACCGAGGCCACCGATATACTTTCCCTCTGGTCCTGGGTTGCCAGCGCGTATAGCGCAGATAGGTAAGTCTCCTTTTCCAGATAGGCTGTTGTTGATCCACCATTCGGCGTTGGCTATGGTGTAAGGCCATGGGGGACTGATGAGGGCGAGGGCTACAGACTCGGTACTCATTAGGTTGGTCATGTTTTGGGCGTCGGATTTGAAGAGCGAGGTGAGGTATATTTGCTCTGCTGATTTGGTTTGGATGGGGATATAAGGTGTGCCTTCTGGCGTGGAATAGGTTTGGGACTCCGTCATTGTGGAAGAGAAATGTGTTTTTAAGATTGAAGTGGTTTGGGGAATAGAGGGATGAGCTCGACTTTTAAATGTAAAAGAAGGATGAGTCGTACTCGTGATATTGTATGTGGAAGTAAGCATGCATGCCGATGGAGTTGGACGACCGGGGAGTTGTCCGAATTTGGAAGGCTACTTAGCCAATGAAATTCAGCTTTGATTGATTGGGAACTGACTCACTAGGACAGCCTTACCGGGTGTCTAAGCCAAACAGATGAAAAATTACTGATGACAGAGATTACAGACAAGTTTCGTTGTAAAAGTGAAGACAGGTTGATGGGAAGAAAAAGCTTGACGAGAATGATTCTGAGTAGCGGGCTAGTAAGGTAGAAAGGGAAAAGCTGTCGATGCAGGTACCATTTTTGGGAGCTAAATCTTCTGCTAGGTGGGGGATATCGTGAATTTCCCGAGGGACTATTGCGAATGCCCATCCTTGTAAGTGGGATAGCGAGTTGAACGACGAGTAGAGCAGAGAGTGGGATGTAAATAGACTTACCGCTGAAGCCAGCGACAGAACGAGCGACCACATTACGCAACTTTCCAAACAAACAAAAAGTATATTGACTTTTGGGTATCCGTATAATGCATGATTGCAACTGCGCCATGCTCCTTGAATTCCTGCAACCGACTAGATTTATTTTAGGCACACATCTGGCCTGAATGTCTTGTCCTTCTGCTCTCATTTTGTTCATTCTATTTTCAACGACGTGCTTTCTTCGCTGGCCTATTGTTACCGTCGTCGGAGCTACTGTCGTCAGTAGCAGACTGTTCCAGAAGACCGTTAATTTCTTCATCGCCAGATTCAAAGTCGGCGTCAGAAAGCGCATCTTGCTCTTGTGCTTGTGCTTCTTGAGATTAGCTTTGTCTATTGCGTGAAAGGGGACGGGTACTCGTACTGAAATACTTGATGGCGCCCGGCCACAAATCCTCAGTAAAGGCAATGGCAAGCTCATCACCGTCGGGGAATATCTCTAAGCCCATATCTAAATCCTCATCTTCTTCGTCTTCGTCATCCTCCACCACCACAACGTCATCCGTATTTGGTGCAGCACTCTTTTTGGCTTCGCGCGACCTCCTGCTCTCTTCATCCTTCGCTGTCGCTTCTGCGCTTTCCTCTGCGCTGACCTTTCTCCCAATGAATCCAAACCAAGCGAAGAATGAAAGGCCTCCCATACCAGTAGAATCAATCTTGGTCTTTAGCTTTTCTTGCTCTGGTGACAACTTCGAACCATTGTGTGCCGCCGTATTCCCAGTTGCTGTCTTCAATTCCGCAGCCCGAGCATCGCAGACCATGTCCAGTAGTCCATCAGTCAGATCCTTATTCTTCTTCCACTCTATTCGCACCGGCTCGCTGACTAGACCAGCTGAACCATCCTTGGATCTGCGATACCAAAACTTCTTTTCCAAAACACTGTCTGAGAAAAGCTCGTTTTCAGAAAATTCGAAACGGATGCTGAGAGACCGAGGATCGCCTGTGATAGGTTTCGAGGAGAGATCGAGTTCGAAACGGTCAACGGATAGCGAGGTTAGATGGGAGAGGAGAAGCGCGGAATCAGAAGGTTGAATGTATTGATCGATGTCTGGTGGAGCTTGTTCGAGGACCAGCGGCCAGAAATTGGGAATCTGCGAGACAATCTTGTTGCGACGTTCGTAGAGGGGTGCGGTCAGGGCGACTTGTTGACGAACTGTGGTAGAGACGAGTGAGTCAGTTATTGACATTCTTTGGCTGGAGGCGCAAGATGGCCGCGTCCCGCAAGTTTCCATGAAACGCGCAATGGACGAGACACGGGCAAACTATACCGCCCAGCTCTATAGACATATTTGTACTCACTGATCTCGGTCTCAGCGTCGTCAAAGTCGCGCTCAAGGTCTGCCAGGTCTTCGTAGGACACGGGTGTATCCTCGAGCGCAGCGGACATTGCTGCGGAGGTAAAGGCAGATGGCGGTTGCATTCGAGGGGGGCCGACAAAGAATTAATGGTGATTCTCTTGTGATGGAGCGTAAAAAATGCGCGGTTCCGTAGAGAGCTGTGCTGGTGATCCAGTTCCGTGTTTGCTTTGAATGAATATTGATCGGCCAAGCTGATGTGATGCGCCGAGAGCTCAACCAGCGTCAATTGAAGAGAAGAGAAAGATTAAATTCTAAAGGAGCCAGGTTTTGTGATTCTGTGCAGATGTTTGCGAAGAACTGTATTGATTTCGGTGTTGTTTTTGGATTTGGAGCGGAAGCTTGAGGTGTCAGTGCACAAGCTTTTGCGGGAAGTTTTTCGAAGATCCTAGCAGGATGTAACCAATCTCATGATTTTTGTGAAGTCGTCCTTCACCGGTCCACATCAGCACAATTCTTACCTTTTTGTTTTTTGATTTGAATAAGATGTCGATTCATGACTGTATTGGCTTGACACCGTTACTCAACCGAGTTGGAAGGTATTCTGGGCGTACTGCGAATCATCATAAAGCATTTCCATTCCGAGCTTTGTCCTCGCTCCCGCCACTACTCGAGCATTCTGCGAGCAAGGTTAAGTAGTGATATCCTTTAAAGAATTTTCCTTCAACGCAGCATCATATTTCATTTGCATACCTGAATCGACAAGGGCTTGCAATATACTTTTATTGCCTGTTATTCTTGCATATCACTATTTGTACCGCGAAGTTTGTGCAATTATCGCTTGCAGAGTTTTATAGCTGCAAAAATCTCGCTATCAGTGGAATCTAGACCGTTCCTTCGAGTGTCCCTTTGCCAATCAGCGAAACAAAATTTCTGGACAAGACAAACACAAAGTGCAATCCACCAAGTGTGTGTCACGACGGGGTGCGGGCCTCTTTAACTTTGCTCGTGCGACAGTCACGTCTGGGATCTCCTCGATAGTTACAAGATGGCCGCCCAGTATCCCGAGGGCCGCGTCCTCATAATCATGACTGGAGGAACGATCTGTATGAAGTCTTCGCCTGATGGACTGGTTCCAGCTAGGGGATTTTTGAATGAAGGGATGGCGCCGAGGCCTTCTTTCAATGATGGATCTATGCCAGGTGAGAGAGCATTTATCAAGATTTTTGATTTCCTTCTCTCATGGTCTACTCATGCTTCTTCCACCATCTCATGTAGTAAAAGTATAACTCTTGCTATGTATTTCATGGAACTATCGTATAATCTATGATTCTTCTATCCGAGCCATGAGACATCGCTGCAAGCTCATACCTCATTGCAATACAGAGTCCTGTCCCGTCCATGCTAATCAACACTAGAACCATTACCGATTATGACCGATTCTACAACTAAAAAATATGTTACGAGTCTACGAACACCACCTAGCACATACTCACGCCATGTCCGATATACGCTTTACGAATTTTCTGTCCTGCTAGATTCATCATCCATTTCCTCCGCAGGATGGACACAGATTGCGACTACCGTTCAGAACAACTATTCGCTCTTCGACGGGTTCGTGATTCTTCATGGAACAGACAGTCTAGCTTATACCAGCTCAGCTCTTTCCTTCATGCTTTCTCATTTGGGGAAGCCTGTCATTCTTACCGGTTCGCAAGCTTCCATTTTCGCTCTACAATCAGATGCAGTAGACAATCTCCTTGGTTCGCTTATCATTGCTGGCACCTTTATGATTCCTGAAGTGTGTCTTTTTTTCCATCACAGTCTGTACCGAGGAAACAGGTCCACAAAAGTCTCAGCGTCATCTTTCGATGCATTTGGGTCTCCAAATTGTCCACCACTCGCGAAGATGACGGCGATGGGTGTTGAGGTCAACTGGAATCTGGTGAGGCGGCCAAGAAGCATTGCAAAATTCGATGTCCTCCGAAACCTCGATACCGCCCATGTAGCGTGTCTTCGAATATTCCCAGGAATAAAACCAGAGATGATCGATGGCGTCCTCCGGGTCCCTGGTCTAAAGGGACTCATTCTCGAAACATTTGGTGCTGGCAATGCTCCCAGTGGTGAAGACGGCAGCTTAACAGCTATTTTCAAAGCAGCCGTGTCTCGGGGGATCGTGATTGTCAATGTCAGTCAATGCCAATCTGGAACTGTTTCTCCGCTGTACGCTCCAGCAACGGTGTTAGGAAATGCTGGAGTGGTTTTCGGTCATGACTTGACGACGGAGGCTGCATTGACGAAATTATCGTTCCTGCTAGCTTTGCCGGAAGTCAGCTACCAAGATATCACCACTCAAATGCAACTCTCTCTACGAGGAGAGATGACTGAAACGCCAGCCTCGATGCAATTCTCTCATCCTTCGTCGGAACTACCACACATCACGGATCAGCAAACCGCTTTCACGTCTTTAGGCTACGCCATTACAACAGGCGATATTGAGAAGGTCAAAATTATGTTAACTGGAGACCAATTTGATCTTCTAGGCGCACAAGACTACGCCGAAAATACAGCTTTACATCTCGCTGCTGTAGGACCGAATACCGATGTTCTTAGGGAATTGTTACATCGAGGAGCCAGCGTCCATGTGAGAAATCGAGCCAAGAATACACCTCTGTTTCTAGCCACCCAGGCTGGAAACGTAGAGATGGTTGAAATATTGAAGGAAGTTGGTGGTCATCTTCATGCTGAGGAAGTTGAAAGAAAGAATGGGGACTTGAGTAGGAAGAGGCCAAGGGTTGCAGAAGTGAATGGCCACGAGACCACCTGACCTTTTGATAGAAAACTGTTGCATATTATTTTTCCTTGGTCTGGAAATTTAGAATATCCTTGCATACAGTAGACATGTGAAAAATGTTTCGAATTTCGACTGGCGGTCGGACACGTGACATTAAACGGGGTAGAGTCACGTGTCGTAATTATCTCCTGGTCTTTTCAAGCGTCCATCTCGAAGTCTCTCTCTCTTCCCATCTATCTTTCCAATCTAGTCAAACATCCTCATGTGTACCGTACTCCTAGACTGTGTCAGAGTCGACAATCTTCAAGCCAGCCGGTTATCAGAGTGGATTGCTTCATGTCGACCCCGAATCCTAGCATGTTTGGCTGTTGTTGACGGGAAAAACGCCCATCGCACTGTTGAAGTTGGATGAAGCTGCACGCCGAACGCCGCACGCCGTTGATGATCCGACGACGCTCTGCCGTGTCGGATGCTCTCATAAGGCGTCGAAGAAAGGACATTAGCGAGCAAATGAATAAATATGCTTTCTTGCGGACAGGAACACGTCGACACGGGGAAGAAATATCAATTCCGCAACAAACATTCTCGGCAGATACTTGCACACAACACATACCTTATGCGTTTCAAGAACGAGCAGTTCAATACCTCTTTATACGGCGCAAAACACATGACAGCTGCTGGACTCGACTTTCTTGACCACCTTCCTCATTGGTCAAATTGAGGCTTTCTCTTCACAACGGCATTTGCCCAGATCTCTGGGGTAAATACAGATGTGGCGCCGACGAGACGCTGCTCATGGCGACGGCACATCACACCACCAATCATCCAAAACTCGGAGCATACTGAAGTACGTTGTCGAGCATTGTTCGCAACGTACAGTCTTTTGCTCGTCCTCAGCGATGCATTGAAATCCGCTTTTCGGGGACTCTATTTGTTTGTACATTGGGCATTCAGTGGTGTTACTGTCGAGTACCACTCATGGCAAACATTCTCATTATTCGGAACACGTACTTTAATTCATATCAGCAATGGACTTAATCAGTCAACGTCCTGGTAAGTCTGCCTTCTTGCTTGTCAACCGTTCCACCAACACCTTATCAACCCGCCTCACAACGTCAATTTGTTCCCGTATCGTCGCAATTTCAACGAATCATGTTGGTTGAACTGGCATGGAACTTATATTGCGTGTTGGAGTTGTCTCCAATTCAAGTATGTTACACTGCAGTTGAGTATCGGCCTTTCTCTACCAGCCAATGCCTGATCCTGGCTTTCACCCCTCCTTTCGTTGTAGTCAACACAAGCTCCTGCCAATCATTGCCAACATTTGCCAACCTTTACAAGGCTTGGTCTGTCACCTGGAAACAGCTCCTCTTCTGGTATCAAACTTAATGAACCTTCATGGGCAAATATGTGGCGGAGTGGCCTTGCCTGCGTAAGTATGCGATTCGAAATGCTCTTCGGCGGGTTAGCGACGTCGATTATCCAAGTCATGTTGTACGACGAACCCTCCGAGGATGCAGAACGGATATACTTCGACCGTAGTTTTATTGTGGCCCTTGAATTGCCATGGCCATGGTAAGCAGCTCTCCCGATAGGGCTTGATTGAGCTGAAAACTTGAGCTACCGAGGTGCGATTATGGTTGCAGATAGTCGTGCAGCTTGCATGGGTCTCGTGCTCCATCATACCATTCACCTCACATGGACCTGAGTGAAGCGACCCGGGGTAGTTGGAATCATTCCCGCCTTGCCTGCTTCAAGTGAACCTGGCTGTGTAACTCGGTTTAAGATAGCTAGCCTTCTCAATTATAAAGCTTCTACCCCTCCCTCGATTTAACCTCTCGTCAAGTCACACGGGCTTCTTTCATCCTCATCCCTCGATCAATTTCCATCATGACGACTAACCCAGAAACTATCGCGGCTGTTCCACCGAGTGTGGTTCCTGGCGAAGGCCAGACCACCAAGGAGGTCTCTTCTGCTCACCCTGTCTACCGAAGTGACGAGTATGACGAGGAGATCGAAGGCGAGTTGCCAACAGAAGAGGAATTTCAGACCCTCCGAAGAGTTCCAGACAAAATCCCATGGATCATATACACCGTCGCCTTCATCGAGCTATGCGAACGTTTCTCGTATTATGGCACAACTGTTGTGTGTAAGTTACCATCTGAATCTCCCGTGCATGACATTGTACTCACATAATCAGTCACGAACTTCATACAACAACCTCTCCCTGAAGGTTCCCGTACCGGAGCTGGTTTCAAAGATGGACAGTCTGGCGCACTTGATAAAGGTCAACGAACCTCGACCGGACTTACCACTTTCAACCAATTCTGGGTGTATCTCATTCCCCTCTTTGGCGCATATGTTGCCGATGCTCATCTTGGTCGCTACAAGACAATTGCGATCGCTTTGGGAATTGCTATCGTTGGACATATTATTCTTGTCATCTCCGCTATTCCCCCCGTTATCACCAAGCCGTCAACGTCTATGGGTGTTTTTATCGTCGGTCTTATCATAATGGGCGTTGGTACTGGAGCATTCAAACCGAATATCTCGCCCCTGATCGCTGAGCAGCTTCCTCTCAGTAAGATGGTTGTGAAGGAGTTGCCATCTGGTGAACGTGTCATTGTTGATCCAGCCGTTACTCAAAGCAGAGTATACAGCTACTTCTACCTATTCATCAACATCGGTGCTCTGGTCGGCCAGATTGGCATGGTTTATTGCGAAAAATATGTGGGCTTCTGGTTGGCGTTCCTGCTTCCAACAGTGTTACTGTGCTTCTGTCCTCTTGTTCTCCTGTATGGAAGAAACAAGTACAAGCAGCAGCCACCCAATGGATCGGTTTTCAGCAAAGCAATGAGACTTTTCATTCTGGCTCAGAAGGGCAAGTGGTCGATCAATCCAGTTTCCACCTACAAACGCATGAACGACGGTCTATTCTGGGAGGATGTCAAGCCTTCCAATCTCGCCACTGCAAGACCACATTGGATGACCTTTGATGACAAATGGGTAGATGAAGTCAAACGTGGTTTTGCTGCCTGCACCGTTTTCTGCTGGTTTCCAATCTATTGTAAGTGAAACTTTCAAGCGTGTTGTTATCTATCTAACAAAATACAGGGCTAACCTACAATCAACTCAACAATAATCTGACTTCTCAGGCTGCGGTTATGAAACTAAATGGTCTTCCAAACGACGTTCTATCAAATCTTGATCCTTTTGCCCTGATCATTCTCATTCCTATTTGCGATTTATTCATCTACCCCGCCCTTCGAAAATATGGCATCCGCTTTACTCCAATTAAGAGTGAGTTCCGCCATTCCTCAAAATAATCCTACTTTCCGTGTTCCTTTAATTTATGGCTCTAATACTTACTCTCCCCACAGAGATCACAGCCGGCTTCTTCACCGGTTCCGCAGCCATGATTTGGGCCTGTGTAATCCAAGCCTACATTTACAAGTACTCCGTCTGCGGAAACCGCGCATCTCTCGACGATCCCGCCACCGGCGAAACCTGCGAGCCAGTCTCCATCAACGTCTGGGCCCAAACCGGCGCCTACGTCCTCATCGCTATCTCCGAGATCTTCGCATCCATTACATCCCTCGAATACGCCTTCTCCAAAGCCCCCGTCAACATGCGCTCGCTTGTTATGTCTGTCGCTCTCTTCACCAACGCCATCAGCGCTGCGATTGGCGAGGCGTTCGTGTCGGTTAGTGCGGATCCTTTGTTGGTCTGGAATTACGGGTCGATGGCTGTGATTGCGGCAGTAGGAGGCATTGCATTTTGGTTCATCTTCAGAGGGTTGGATCAGGAGGAAGACCATCTCAATATGTTGCCTGCGGGTCATTTGGTCGTCACAAAGGATATTGAAGAGCCGCCTGCTGAGGAGCAGCCTGTTGCGCGGGAGATCAAAGGGTAGGCCGTCCTTGCGTGATCATTGGTGTTGCATATTAGATATGATGAGATGTTATTGGGTATGGAATAGGATATCTTGGTGATACCATTGGATATTCTTTGGATAGCGTGGTAGATGAGTCTTCGGGGGGTTATGCTAGTTAATCATTATCGGGTAATTAACCACTTTACTAGCATATTGCAATCATGAATCATTATATCAGTCATTCCTGGTGCTGTTCCCAGAATAAAAGATCTGGACAACATCCTAAACCTATTCACGAGAGAGGTCGATACTCGATACTCGATAAACATCCAATTGAGCCAGAACGCGCCGAAGAAGACCTTGTAATTCGACACCCTTAACAAACATAGCTAGACGTCATTCCCAACATCCTCGCTAAGTAGACTTCATCACTCCAGGCTAAGTGGGTAAATCTAGCGTTTATCCGTTCTCGTAAGTAGTGGATGTTTCAGGGCCAATTCAGGGTTCGCTTGATAAGTGCATCGCCTCAAGTTGGTGAATCTTCGCATGAGGCCATGATAGGCAAGAGTCATCGATCAGCCTGCCGAGAAGATGTTGTGATAAGCAGAGTTGGCTCTGATAGGGAAGATTAGGCGTTTTGCTATGTTAGTGATTCACGTGTGATGTTGATGTTTTATCGCAAGTTTGTTGGGAGAGGGAAAGATGTTGGGATTATATTTTGTTTTTGTGAGGAGAAATGGGAAAATGGAGGTGTGGTTTGAGATGGTGACCGGCTGACTGAACGGCGGAAGACTTTTGAACTAGAATTCGAATTCCGCGATGCTTTTTCAAGTGGTGAAGAAGATGTTGTGACCTTAGCACAGTTTCCATACTATTTGTATCAATTCCATGAAGCCTTACGCAACTAGTAGAATACCGAAAGAAAAATTTCTATTCCTATTCCACGGTTGAAATTAAACTATTGTGACCATCTATATCCTGGATGACTGCTCCACTGGCTCAAGGAAACATTTCCCCACGCTACATTTTCCATTCTGCCCATCTTCATCCCATCAGAGCTTGACATCCCTAGCCATACTACCATTCCAATTCTTTTCGAAAATACTCGGTTTAGCTCCAGGATCACAGTCCCAAATCAACCTATCCACAACATCATCAGTATTACTGGTAAATACAATCTTGTGGAACCCAGCACTAAGAACCGGAAACCCGTGGTCCACACAAAGTTCTCGTTCTCGATTCGCTGGCCAGTAGAAGGTGTTGCCATCGTAAGGCAAGAGAGCGAAACGCGTGTGTGGTTTATTTTGAACGATCATTAGGAGACCAGAGCCCTGGGGTATGATTTGCACATTGTAGTTGCCCAAATTATTGAAGTAGACGCCTGCGTATGCAGAGAGGGGGAATGGAGGCGGTACTCCAGTCTTACCCTTTTCAAGCTGAGAAATGAGCTTAGCGTAGGCGAGAAGTTGATTCTGCCTCACCATCTTCGAAAGGTCTGGGAAATTCGTCGGCCGTGTCTCGTTAAGGAGGGCTGATAAGATGAGCCGGCCTGTGAAGTCTGTGGGGTCTGAGAGAGGCAGCGAGTTTGTGAGGACTACGATTGCTGTTTGTGTAGCCGGGAGGAGGAACATTGACGCTGTGGTGCCGGGGAGATTGCCTGTATGATGGAAGACTTCTATGCCGGGGTTTAGAGCGCCAGAGAATGGTTTATTCTTTGGGCCTAGGAATGCGTGGTTGAGACTCGCGATACCGATGTTTCCAGGGAGTGTGGTTTTGTAGAGTCCCAAACAATAGCTCTGTTGGTCGTTGATACCGATATGTGGCGCGAAGACAGTCTTGAGTTGTTTGAATGGTGATCCAGGTGTTGACGTTAATCCTGATTTGAGCTGGTGTTTGTAGGCGGAAAGCAGTGATTTATACATGATTAAAAGATCCCTAATAGAACTCTTCCCAGCAGCACCACCAGCCATTCCCGTTTCATCCGAGAGATTCGGAAATGGGATTTTACAAGCTGTGCCGTTGTCATAGATAGCATGAGCCATAGCCACATTATCTGTCCCTGGATCGCCAAGTGTCGTTCGTCTCAAATCCAACGGATCCAGAAGTCTTTCTTTGACAAACTCGCCAAACGTTTTCCCGGTAACTTTTTCAATAATCGCAGTTGCCAGTGCATAATTCCAATTCGTATACAGAAACCTCTTGCGGAATGGTCGAACGGCTTGGATGTCGCAGCTCGTCGGAACGACCTGGTCTTTGGGGAGCAGAAATTCTCCACTTCGAAGGCCCCAGAATGCGTTTCCCAAGGTCATTCCAGTACGATTAGAGAGGACGTCGATTAAGGTTGCTTCTTGGCCGACGATGTCTTTTCGAAGCTTGAATTCGGGAAGGACATCGCGAATTCGAGTCTCCCAGTGAAGCTTTCCCTCGTCAATGAGGACCCCGATTGCAGCCGCAGTGAGCAGTTTTGTTAGGGATGCAATGTGATATAACGTATCATCGTTCGGCGGTTCAGATTTGGTTATGTCTTTCCGGCCGTGGTGTCCAGTGTAGATTACTTCGCCATGAAGAAGCACGCCGATGGAGAGGCCTGGAGAACCGCTGATCGTTTGCAGTCCTGAGATGATTGGGCTCAGGTTGTGAATTTTCTCAGCGAGTGCATCGCTTCTTGACGGACTTTTCATTTCGTAAACTGTCGGACAGTGTTCTGAAGTCTTAGCGCGTTGAGTTATCAAAGCCACCTGCGTCAATTAGGAACCATTGCTCGTACACTCTAAGATGCTGGTTCCGATGGCGGGATGTTGAGGGAAACAATTGGTGAGGTCGTAAAAGACCAACATCGAACGTGGCAATATGTTGGGGTAAGCTTATGTTGGTGAGTCTATAATGTTGGGCTGATAAGGTTGTTTCCAACTTCTTGGATGTTGGGTGTCTTGAACTTCAGCTGCAAAGACCCAGTCATGGAAATCCCCTTAATTTTTTGATCTTTTACAAATTTGTTTCTCTATCAGGTTTCAAGTCGTACAAGATTCAATTGCTCGAATTAAGTCAAATATGTTCGCTATGTTGGTAGATTTTGCCAGTCCGGTGTCGCTTGACTGGCTCACCCTAAGCGTCATACCAATTCTATTCTACGTGAGTACTTCATATTAGAAAATCAATCCCTCAAAATTGACCAAGATCTCTAGTACTTCGTATATACAATTTACTCCCTTTATTTCAGTCCGTTAGCCAATTACCCCGGGCCGTTCTTTGCAAAGATCTCGTCATGGCCCAATTTTTATCACTCGACTACAGGCTATAGACACATCTGGATCTGGCAATGCCATCAGAAATACGGTAAGGTTTTATGTCGAGTTACATGGTGCTAATGTTGAGGCTAATTTTTGCACAGGTGATGCATTCCGCTTCAAGCCCGATGGTGTTCTGTTCAACTCCCCAAGCGCATATCGTACGATTTACAACTCAAGGGCAAACGTTAAAAAAGGAAAGTTCTATGAAATTTGGCCAAGAAACACTCAGAATATCAATACCTTAACCACAATTGACAAATCTGCACATGGACGCAAGAGACGAGTCTTGAACTCAGCATTCTCGGAAAAAGCCATACGCTCGGCCGCAGGATTTGTTAGCGAGCACGTCGATCGCTGGAATGAGGTCTTTCTTGCAGACAACGACGGCAAAGAATGGACATCACCCAAGAACATGTCGAAAATGGCAGATTATCTTGTTTTTGACATCATGGGTGACCTATGCTTTGGAAAATCTTTTGAGCTCAAGGAACCTGGAGAAAATGAATTTAGACACATGCCGCACACCATTGCAGAGTATATGCAGTTTATGTATCCGGCAAGTATGGTCTAGTATCATAGATTGAAAGCGGCTAATAATTGAAGATCACTCAATCTCCGATGATGAAGTTCTGGGTCTGGTTGAAACCAAGAGGACTCGATAGCCTTTTTGAAAGCATGCTCCCCAAGAACATCAGATCGTACTACGAGTTTGTCGAAGCAAACGTCGCACGTCGACAGAAAGAAGAAGAGGTGCTGAAAAGGTCGGACGCGGAGGAAGGTCGAGGCCGAAATGATTTGTTTCATTATCTTTTTAACGCGACAGACGAGTTAGGCAACCCCGGGTATAATACTGATGAACTCTATGCGGAAGCAAACTTACTTATCATTGCTGGGTCTGATACCACCGCAACCACTCTCGTTGGCTTTTGGTTCTACATTACTAGAAACCTACGGGTGTACGAAAAGCTTGTGAAAGAGATTCGCACAGCCTTCGATCGTGCCGAGGACATACAGGTGGGAACAACGCTTTCGTCCTGCAATTACCTCCAGGCATGTATTGATGAGGTTCTCCGAGCTGCGCCGGCTGGAGTTGCGGATTTAGTGCGAGAAGTGTTACCAGGCGGCCTTGAAATAGAAGGGGGCCGTCTTCCTGAGGGGACTCAACTTGGGTAAGTCTGCTTCCATTTCCCATGGTGGATGTTGAGGATGGGATTTCAGCGGGTATTAACACAAGTAGTGTCGCTCAATGGTCCATAATGCACCACGAAGAAAGCTTCGGAGATCCCTGGACCTTCAGACCTGAACGATGGATTGCGGATTCCAGCACTGGGGTGACTCCAGAAGATGTCGCTCGTGCTCGATCCGCATTCAACCCTTTCACCATCGGTGCAGGTAATTGTGTAGGTCAAAAGTTTGCCATGGAGGAGCTTCTTATCACCGTTGCGAGAACTCTTTGGCGTATGGATGCTCGACTCGTGCCTGGAGATAATCTTGGTGCAGGTTCGTCGAAGCTCGGATGGGGATCAAGAGACAAGAATCACATTGTCCTGCGGGATGCTTGGATTTCGATCAAAGATGGGCCCATGGTACAGTTTCGCAAACGTGTCGACTGAGCTGGCGGCTGAGTTGAGACGAAGTCGAAAGGGCCATCTGATAGCGTGAGGAAGCCATTCTGACCATCATTTTAAGATTCGGATGGTGTTTGATAAGGATAGTTATTTGGATCAGTAAATTTTCTTCGAACGGCGCTAGAAAATCTGCGACCTTGAAAACTTGAAATGGTCAGAAACCTCAACTTGAGTTCTAATGGAGCTGTTGGTGAGACTGTGAAATCAATTTAACGGCGAATTGTATATCCCAGCCCGCAGTGATTAACAAGATAAGTGGTACATATCCATTATATTTCAAGGTGTAGCAACGCCAATTGGGTTATAACGCAAACTGTAGACTTCAAATCAAGACAGCTCAGTCAAGAGGCTAGTAGAATTAACTGCCACTGCCGGTTGAACTGCATTATGTTGAAACTTGTACTTTTGCGGAAATGTGTACAGGAGCCTACCCTCGTTTAATTTGTTGCGTTAGTGTTTTTAGAGTCCTAGTATCTACACGATCACCAGACTTTCCTCCGTTGTGTTAAGAAACCAAGTCAGTGGCACCTGATATACAATCCCCAATCGACTGTATTCTTCATATCCGAAATCACCATCATGATTGTTAGTTCGCACAAGAGCTAAACCAGCAACTATATCCAGATTCCGACGGAGGGAATATACCCTTATGGGCAAGATCCAAATATCCTGCACCGGCTTGTTTATCTCATCAGCCGCAAAATATCCCACCCCATCCTTATTCTGGGGGTCTTCGAGTTTTAGAAAAGAGCGGTTGAATAGCTCCCGAGGCATTTCTTCATCAGACCGGCGCGTGTCTTTTCCTCCAACACGTGCGAGTATGAGATAACCTGATAAGTACAATCGTCCCGACTGTATTTGTCCGAAGCGAGTAGAGCCCTCGATCGGTACTATTTTGGGAGGATGTAGAACAGTAAAAGGGTTAGCTGGCTCTTTTGCGCCGACCCAAATGTTCATAAAATCAACATTTCCGTTGTCAATTGATGCCCATGACCATGTCGGACTCCTGCCGTTTCGCTGGGGCTGCTTTATTGGATGATCAGATCCCGCCAGTTGTTTTCTGATTTGGGTCATCCATAGTAGTGATCTGGGCAAATCAGCATCCCATATACCAGCAAGATAGCGTTCCTCTGGAAAGCTGAGGATCTGTTGTATGGTTGTTGCGATTCCAGAAATGGCAGGCAACAAGTCCCATCCGGTATATATGTCACGCCGAGTAAGATCTTGCACTGTATCTCTCCAGGCCTTCCACATATCATCCCACGCCTTGTCGCCCTCTTTCATATCCGAAGTGATCGGTTCAAAGTTTGACAAGGGATATCCATGTCCAATGGAAGTATTTCTCCTGTCGAAATATGGCTCTGAATTAAACTTCGCAGCCCTAGCTCGTGCGATTACATTTCTCATTGTTGGAATATATGTGTAGCCTCCTGGAAATGAAGTACCAGCCGGACAGACCTCATTTGCTTGACCCGCATGGCATTCCCAGGTCATTTGCTCTGCTTCGAAATTTAGCATACGGATGGACATAGTGGACTCCTGTAGACACCATGCTCGACGATTCAAAGGGGTATTAGCTTCAGATCTTCGATGTGGTAAACTCCAGTGGTAAAGTGGCTCGTAGACTTCACCTACACAAGAAGTGAACGATTCAGGCTTTGTGTCGGTAGGTAATTGTATCTGTATCTTGCAAGGAAACGTACTTAGCGGATTGCGTTTTACGAAGCAGCCCACGGTATCATCCGTAGCGTGTGCGGCGTTGATACAAACGGTTGCATTGCCATAATATTCTCCCATCTTCAAGCTCTCTTCCAACCAGTCTTTTGATGACTCTGAATCGGGACCTGGGATAGACTTCTGGATAATGCACAGAGAATCAATCCACAGGAATCTCAAATTCAACGCTCTTGTTGTTTCGATTGCATCCTGATACGTTTTTGGAAACAAATTCCATGGTATTGATGTGCATCGTTCTTTGAGATTTTCCATCGTTGTTCTGACAGGCTTTATTTTATTCTTGCCCCAGCAGTGGCTGAGTATTGCATATGGCGCCATTTCTCCGTTGCTAACATGTAGTACAGGCGATCGAGACACGTCTATCGTTCTCTTTGGAAGCTTCGGCGCAGCTGAGACTGAGCCACAAACGACCTTATGGTCTCTAAAACAATTTTCCATCCATTTCAGAGCGAATGAAAGGTTTGTTTTGCTTCCAGTATGCCAGTTGTCAGTTGCAAGGCTGCGTATATCACATTGTCGAATTTTGCCACCGACTTCACGTAATGGGCTCCCTAAATACCTAGGTAGTTAAATCTGGTTGAGTTCATAAGCCGGAAGCTTCTACTAACCTGGGGTTATAATATTCAAAACTCTGTAAGTTCGATCATATGAAAGATAAAGACTTTTTCCCAAGTTCGATCCGGAGCCCGGCGTTCGTGATTTTGATTCTCTATACTCAAGCCATACTTTTCTACCAACATCTGTCTTTCCTAGTAATTTGAACTTCGCTAGATCCTCTGCAGAGAACGAAAAGACCATCTGTAAACAGAAATGGCAACCATCGCTAGCGGACTGCTCAAGCTCATCGAAAGTATTGTGTATTGGAAGGAAGGATGGAATGCCAAAATCAGTGTGTTCTGCCCAATTTGGTCGAAATGGCTCTCCGGGTTGATCATAGAGATGGGAGGTCAGCTTCGGGTCAGGAATTGAAGAGACTTCAGATAAGTTCCGAAAACGGAGGATCTCACACTTGGGGCACAAATGCGAGATCACGGTTCCTTCAGCTGATACATATTTGTGTTCAAACAAATCCATTTTCCTAGAGTCTTTCAGGTTCTGGCGACAATTCTTTGCCATGGGCCACGAACAGGGTGACTGGGAGTATTATCACCGAAGACTGCCTAGTGATGTAGGACGAATCTCGGGTTCACAGCCTCTCCCTTGCCGAACCTATGGGTGAGACAGCTTTCAATGAGGTTTGATGATTGGTCACTGAAACGCATCAGTCGCCCGCAAGGCCAGTGAGGCTATGCAGGTTGCCGTCATGATAAAAATGTCAGCACATTCAATTGCTCTGGCAATTCTTTTCCAACATTTGAGCCGCATCGGTTCTTCTTACTAATAATATATTGCAACACCGACTCGATAACAAACTCTTCAATCATGGCAGAGGTGCTTGGGATAGTCAGTGGAAGCTTGACACTAATTCAAGCTCTGAGTGAAACGTTGACGGGAATACAGAAAATCTCAGACTTTTGCTCTTCTGTGCGGGATTTCCCCAAAAATATCAGAGACGCTGTCACGGAACTTCAATTACTGGCTCAAATCCTTCAGACATTAAAAAAAGACCGGAGTTTCGGCGAACAAACGATTAGCACTGAAGCCCTGAGTTATTGCGGCAAGGTCGCCGCGGAACTTGAGGACGTCTTCTTAACAATACAGAGAGAAATACATTATGCGAAAAAGAGTAAACAGTGCTGGACTTCTGTCAAGACGTATGTGCGAAAGACCAAAACGGATGATATCTTCAGGAAACTTGAAAGAGCAAAGACTATGCTAAATCTAATGATTTCAAGCCATATTTTGTAAGTGTCATATGACGAGGTTCTATCCCACGCAAATTCTAACTCTGCTTGCAGAATAATGCAGCATGCGAAAAATGAAGACAATATCGCTCAAAAGGCTGCTTCCGACGAATCAGTAGTGCCAGACAACCCGAAGCAAGAAGGGATCAAGTGTGCTCCTCGTGTTACGAAAGACTACGTCGCACATAATAACTACTCATTGTCATGTTTTTTGGGACTGTACAACCATCATTCGGGTGCTTTACGAGTATCCCAAGTCAAAGATGGTCAAATTATAGCCTCGGAGGGGCACCAAATACAAAAGTGGACCATCCTTCCATCAGCCTGGCTATCGAAATGTGGACTTGCAGGAATGTGTGTAAACAAAAGCTTGCGAAGGGAATATCAATGCACCCCTATTCGAGTTGTGCCGGATTCCGCCCCAATAATTAATGCATGCAGAATAGGCGACATAAGAGCAATTAGATCTCTGTTGATTGAGTCGCAAGCTACTGTTCATGACACAACTGAGTGGGGTTGGAGTCTTCTTCATGTAAGTCAAAAATAACTTACCATCCATAGAGCTGACCGAAATGAAATAGGTTGCTGCGATGCACGCCCAAGTCGATTTATGCCGATGGCTTTTACAGCAAGGATGTAACAAACAAGCCGTCGATGTAAGAAATGGCTGGAGTCCACTTCACATAATTTCCGCCCTCAGTGGGCGAACATCACAGAGTAATCTCCCTCACAAGAAAAAAGAACTTGGAATATTGCAGGCGCCAGAGGTTCCGCATTCGGCGTCAAAAATTCAAGACATGATTAGGGTCCTTGTTGAAGAAGGCTTGTACGATCCACTAGATCTTTCAAGCACAGGCTGGAGTGCACTCCATGAATACTCGGGTCCGGTGGGGCCTTTCCGGTATCTACTCGAGCAGCAGAACGAGTTTCTCATCAACCTTCAGCATTTTTCTAGAGAGAAGCATGATGATCTGGCCTGGAGCCTAGCGGACCAATACTGGAAGAACAGTGCTGAGCTTCTGCTTGTAGCACTGGAGAATGGATTATCACCAAATTTTCATGAACCATTCCAGCCAGCTTGGAATCTTTACAGGTCCTGTACACTCTTGCATATTGAAGCACAGCGAATGGAGAAATATGTGTACCTGGGATATCCGATCCAACCTTCGCTCAAGGTCATCGCCAAGTATATCGAGAACGGTGCGGACTTGCACTGTCAAGATTCATTTGGTGCTACCCCACTAGATGACATATTGAGTTACAAAGGATTTGATAACGAAGCCCACAAAGCCGTTGCAATTTTTGAGTGGATACGACTTCTTCAAGGTCTTGGTGTGAGCCTCCCTGAATACTTCCAGACAGAGCACGCGATCCACAACCGTGGTGCCGTTGTACACGTGAAGCATTACAGGCCAATGATAGAGCGCAAATGCAGCTTTGAGCATGGCAGTGAAACGATTGCCATCACTGTCAAGGACACCTGGAAGGAACAGAGCGTGTCATACGAACCACCCGGTCGTTGGTTTGAAGAGCGAGGAGGCTGCGAAAGAGATGCCTTTGGTCGTTATCTGTACAGAAACTGTGAACCACTTGGCAAGCTCAGTGTAACATACAGCTGGTCTCAAAGATATAGTGAAACTGTAGAAAGTATCCCAAACATTCAACTCGAGATGGGCTGAATGTCTTTACCAATAACTAAACCACATCCAATTGAATGGAGTACCGTGACTTGTCTGGCCGCAAAATTTCATCAGTACCCGGGTAGACATGTCTACAATCCTCACTCACCACTCGTCCCCCCTCCTCCACCAGCACTCTGACTCACACATTCACCGTCCAACTTTTAACGTTTATATTTACAAAAATGCAAATTTGCAGCATCCAATAGTCTTCCGTTTAAAGACCCCACCTACAATGGACCTACCTCCGCAACTCTTGTTAATTCTTAGGGGCTGGGTACCCTCCTGAAAAGTCCGACGGGACCACTAGGGAGGGAGGTGGGCGAGAGCAATAATGGTGTGACGATGCCAACTATTGGGAATTAACATGGCCTCTCGGAGATAAGCAGCAACCCTGGTCGGTCTGGGAAGCGTAAGTCTTTGCCATTTTGTTCATCGGTGATAATTTTTGCTTTTGGTTGTGGTTGAGTTGTGTTTTGACTTTCTTGGTGTTTTGCTCCGCCCCTGTCCATAACAATATTCACCAACAGCCAGGGTTTTTGCGCAGGTTTGGTCGAGGAAGCTGATCGGGGTGAAAGCGGGCGGTTCGCGGTAAAGCTAGGAAGAACAGAATAGTATTTTTGCGTGGAGAAATTGGAAGATATTGTTTCTACAATAGGTACGGATTGGGATTCCACGATTCGGGGTGGTGCCAGACGACAGCCTTTCGTTCTCCGTCCACGATGCACTCTGGTCCTGTTGGTTCGATAACAAGAGGGTGGGGGAACTCTTCTTCATAGCGGCTGTTCTGAAGAGGCTTTCGGCAGTTTTAGTCATAGAAGTGTACCACAAACATTATTTCCGAGTCCCAATGAATTATGGGCAAGATCACCACACGATGAAAGCATTCCTGTCCCGCATAACAGCAATGACCAGAAGATGGGCGAACAGCAGGGAGGCGGGGGGTTAGGGAGGATGTTCTCGCATGTGCCCTTCGTCGATGGATATCAAGGGCTGATGATCGTGGTTACAAAACATTGTTCTGAATATTTCAAGAATCGAACAAACTTGACATAGATGGGCTTGCTTCTCAGACGAGAAGTGAATGATGTGATAGTTATTGCCTCGACACAGTTGGTTCCTGGAGCAATCCGCCATACGTTTGGCCGTATCTCAGATAGAAACCCGTGTTGATGGGCTAAAGGGACTAAATAGCCAAGAGTATCCGGATGGACTATGACATTATACCATCGACAAGAGGGACCCCCAATTTCCGTTTCTCGCCTCATGCAATGTGTATAGCTGAAGTCGGAAATTGCTGCAAGGTTCTCAATGCTTCCCCTTTTTCTTCGCAGACGTATCTTCCCTCACATAACCTCCTCTCACAAAAGCATCGCGAGCAACAGTATTGATAATACTGAATCTCTTTGGACCCAACTGGTGTCCTCCATACCATCTCGTGACGACCACCATAACATTCCACAGATCCATCAACTGCATCAGATGCAGGACTCGTCCACCAGCCGCCGTCTCCCCATCATCGTCGCAATCTTGAAACGTAACCCCGTTTTCGCCTTGGATCCTCCATGCCGTAATGTTATGTGTAGCGGATCGTACTTTCTTGTCTGTATCTAGCAGGTGCTGGAGATACTGCGTGGCCTGGTCTGGTGAAGAGACTTGCGCGCATCGTGCGACGAAAACGGACTTTAATTCGATGACCACTTCCGAGAGGACCCAGGGAGGAGAAATTGAAGACGTCGGAAGAATATCATGCTGTATGGATGTCGACTCTGTGGGTTCATTTGTCTTTTTTCCATCTCCGGAATTATCCACCTCGTCCGTTGTCGTCGTCTCGGCCAGGTTGCTATTTACCTCCTCAATCGCGTCAAACAGGCAAACCTCCCCTGGCTGAAAGAGCCTCCCCACTGCATCGCGGAACTCCTCCACAAACTGTGCGGCCTCTCCCTTTCTCTCTCCAGAGCTTTGCGTACCAAGTATGGTCGGTGGTGCGGATGGGTAGTCGGATGGAAATTGAAGCCGTAATGCGACGGCATGCTGTGGGAGATTTAGAACGTAAACACCATGGTCGTCAACATCAGAGCTCAGGGTGAGGTCACCGTAAATCGAATTTATTGCTTCGACCTCATTAAGGAGGTCTTCGCTCATTCTCGTAGCAGAGTCTTGTTCGAGGAATGATGTTCGCCGTTTGTTGTCGTTGCTGTGCTAGGGTGGATGGTGGGGTTCGCTTGTAGACGTCAGTGGAACCTCGGACGACATCGACTCTGTGTGCAAGCGTGCGCTCCATCTTACTTCTTTACAACTCTTGAACATAATTGAAGATATGTTAGTCTCTGCGTCGATCTTCAGTCTGAGCTGACAGATTGTATGTATGATGGCTGGGTATCGAGACTCGATGACTGATGCGCATGGAAAGAGTGGTGATCCAGACAGTCATCCACCTTCACAGCCGTTCAAAATGCAGACCTTTGATATTGACGCGGTAAGAGGCACTGCAGTTACAGATTCTAGACTTGCTAAGTAAATTCAGAAGAGCCAGATTCAGCGGAATTTGAGAAACAAATTTCAATTTGTATCCATAAGCCAAAAGGTGTTTTAAATCATCATACGTTACAGCAGGATAAATATACACGTCAAACGATGAGTCGCCGTATTCGAAATATCCAAATTTACCACCCAGGTGAGCATGCAAAGCTAGAAACTCCATGTTGTCTAGCTGCGACTTCGGTACCATGAAGTATCCGACTTTAGCCATTTTAAATGTCAGCCTCATATATGGAACCACTTATGCGATGATGGATATGGAAAACTCATCTGGACACTTTCCTATGAAAGTGAGACAGAATAACGTCAGATTCCACTAAATACGATGCCACGTTCGAGTCCCAACTCAAGTAATCCGGTGAAAGCTCTCCTCTTGGGTCCTCTATATCGCTACGCATGTTGAAACTTAACCATTTAGGTAGAAGCCAACAATACGTCCAGGCTAATTACTGGATCAATATTACAGCCACCTGTGCACTGTCGGCCGATATTAAACGGGAAAACTCCTAGCATTGTGCGACTCGATACATTTGATACCTTGTTGAAATATCTGCAATGTATTTTTTCACATATAAAGAGTCGTGCTGCCATGGAAGTTTAACGATTCAAAAGGAGTATAAACACCGCGAACTCCGCAAATCGAGAGATTTATAACGATTAAGACGGAATTGCGCCTCAAATTCCTCGAAACCATATCCTCTAGCCATGACAGCCAACCAGTGCGGCAGGCCGTTGAACCAATTAAGTGTTTATCCAGTGTATGTCGTTGCCTTTACCAGCAGGACAACCTCCTACTAACACATCCAGCTACGAATGCTACCCCGTCTGTTCTCTCCGCAACAACATCTCACCAGAGTGGAACGCCGCACTGACGAAATGCTGCGGCCCATCCCCCACAAAAATAAACTGGTGTTACAGTTTCTGCGCGGTCGAGGAATCGCAGTTCTCCGCATGGACGAGCTGCATCCAGAACGTAACTGGCAGTCCGTATGGGCTAGCTTGTCAAAGGGCAGATCAGTCGCCATATCTGAATAGTAATCCGCCGTATCCGGAATCGTACTCGCAACCGCAGCCGCCGCCAGGAGTTACGGTTCCGCCTAGACCGACACAGTCGAAGGTTTATTGTACGACTACTTCGAGTGTGGTTCTGAGCTCGACCACGGCTTCGACGAGTAGTGGGGGTGTTGTGAAAAGGAGTGTTTCGGCTGCTTCGGCTTCGACAACTGCTGTGCAGAAAGGTGGTTCGCCGAAGAGGTTGGGTTTGTCTGTTGGTGGTGTGCTATGTGGTTTTATGGTCGTTGCAGCTCTTGTCTTGTAAGAGAAGACATCTTCCCAAGACGCGCATCTGGAATCAGAAATCAAACGGGTTTCAAAAGGCTCTCTTCTGAAAGTTGTTATGTTTAGCGTTTGTTGCTTTGGCCGCGAGGGAAAAGAAGGGATGGCGAGGATACACATGAAGATAACCAACCGTCTATTCCGGGACCGTAGTATCAAAATCCATTGAGGTCTTTTCGAAGTTGCTACACTCACTCCCCATGGTGTACGTAGCTTTATTAGTATTCTGAGGGATAGGAAGGTCCCTTCGGCTCTCGTAGACAGTCCAATACAGATATTTGCCGATAAATAATACCCCATTCAATCGAAAAGATCTAATTCTTCAAGTATCCAGGCCCTTTGTAGGACCAACACAGGGGTATGTGTTCTGTTCCGAACTACTCACCATTATTTTAATTGACCAATAGGATGGTAAAATTGGTCAATTTATTAATCAATTGGTCAATTCATCGTGATTAACGAATTGAATAGCTATTTCGCTATTCTAAACTCAAATATAAAAATCGTGTGAAATTGATGAAAACAGATATCAGCCCTTGCCTAACCCTCTACATTTATAATCCCTATAAACACACCCAAATAACTAATAAAAAATGACTAAAATCTCTAAAGAACTACCGAAAGTTTCTATATATTTGAGCGCCCTTGGGGCTGCCGAACTGGCGGTGGGAAAATGCCAAAAATCGTGATTTAATTCATAACATCACATATGTGATAGTTATTGTATATAACTTCTTACTAAGATAAGTAGTAGACGATGTTTATCGTAATTTTCTACTATAGCGTTACATTATATAATATTCGTTAGTGGTGAGCGCTGGAACCCATATTTTACTACCTAAGGCTTTTCACGATTTGACCTCAAAACAGCCACCTGGCAGTACATTACGATTAATAATTAATTAATTTAATAAGATTCGATGTTTATTAGTTTAAATCTACATTTATAACACGCTACGATTAATTCAAAAGGCAACGGTGAAGCACCACTAGTACGCTGGCAATATTTGATGAAAACACCAAAAAAAATAGTGAAAAGCGTGACGTTGACGAAACGAGCGTGTAATTGGTCAATTCTAATATATTAACTAATTGATTAAGTAATTGATTAATAGTGGCATCCCATTAGTCAATTAAAATAATGGTGAGTAGTTCGGAACAGTTCTGGTCTCGGTTTGGAATTGCCCACGAGGACAACCCTCACGTTCTAATCATTCGGTTATTAAAGTGATATGAACTATACACCAAGTAAATCACATTATGTCGAGGACGAGAACACAGCGATAATATGGCTTACACCCCACGAGTTGCGCAAAAAACCTATACCAGCAATTTCACATTACAAGCAGCCTAGTAAAGAGAAGCATATCGTCACTTAATCTACTTACAATAATACAAAGCTCTACATCCATCAACATTGTCAATTGTGAAGATGAAACTATTTTACCCAGCGGTTAACAACTCCGCTTACATTATCTAGCATAAACAACAAAAGAGGCCTTTGCTGAGCGAGTACAAAGCATTCCCATCCCGCAGAGCTCATTTCTTTCAAGCGCTCTCTTTGGTTACAAGAAAGACTTTGTGCCGCCTCGACTCGGATAGTTGACAAAGGGCTTGTAACTTCTTCTTCGTACGGAGCAATGGCGTTTTTCGCTATTCAGGGATACTAAGGAAAATTGAGGTTTGGCGTTCGTTGAGAAATTTACTTCGTATCGAGACAGCGATTTCAAAATCTATTGACCGAGATTAGTATTAGGTCGCCGTCTGAGATTGTGACTACATCTTTAGGTTTCCGGTGTCAGTTGTATAGATGTGGGTGAAGCTAAACCCTGTGAGAAGCCCTGTTAGAACGGATGTATGGAACAGCTCAACGAATCCAAATGCAAGTATCGTCTAAACAACCACACTGATAAACAATACACCCAAGAACAGTCCATCTCAGCAACTCATCCCTCGCAAGAGAACAGCCATCAAATCCCAACACTAAAACAACTTACAAATATCACTATCCCCCCTCCCAACCGAGTTTCCTTTTCCACCCTTACGAGTACCACAGCTTGTGTACCTTATTCAACACAATTAACCAATTCAACATCACTAAGCAATTCAGAAAAACTTTACTCACCCAATACATCATGTCCTCCCACAACCAACCCCGCCGCCCAGGCGACTGGTTCCGCGACGAACTCAACAAAAAGAAAAGCCAGCGCTCCTCAAACCCCTCTTCTTACTCCCACTTCAGTTCCCACTCCCAGCCTCCCACGAATTTCGACAACTTCGACGACGCATTCGACAATGACTTCTTCGACGATGACTTCGGCGACGATTTCGGCGACGACTTCAGCAACGGCGATGGTGACATGCGTCACAACCCCGACGGTTCCACGACTATGAGTTCTGGGAATGTGCATATCACGCGCGACAGAGGAGGGATGTCGAGGTTTAGTGGTGGTGGGATGCCGAAGGGGTTTCGGCAGGCTTTTGGTGGGTTGCCGGGAGGGTTTGATCGGATGGGGGGAGGGGGGATGTCAGGTTCTTTTGGTGGTGGTGGTGGTGGTGAGCGACAGGGTGGACATCATCGGTCTTCAGGTGGTGGATATCGTTCTGATAGGGGAGATGGTCCTTCGAGGGAGCGGTATTCTCAAGGTGGTAGTAGTTTCGGAGGTAGCCAGCGAAGTAGCGGTAGTCAACGAAGTAGCCATGGAAGTGGTAGTCGTCGAGGTGGTGGAGATCGAGAGAGTAGCTCTGGAGGCAGCCAGCGAAGTAGTCGTGGTGGGGATCGAGAGGGTAGAGGTGGAAGCGGAGGTGGTGGTGGTTATAGTAATAACCCCTACGATAGATAACCTGGTGAAGACAAGTTGTTGAACTCCCACTTAATACAAACTTCTCAAAACTATCTCTCTTTCTTAACACTGATTCTCTTTCCTAACACCGACTTTCTTTGACACCTTAATTTCAATCCATCCGAAATCGTTAAAATCAAATCAAGTAACCCAAAACACAGATTATTTTCCATCTGACATGCAAATTACTGGCTGACGAACCCTCGCAGTGACATGAACACACCAAAATGTATAAAGAGCGAGAATAGAAAGAGAAATTGACAGAACAGCGACCAACCAAGTATAATAACGACTGTATAAATAATAAGTAGACTTGAAATTGAACGTTCGAACCGTATCTCGTGATCCTGAAATCGTGAGATCTCGACGAAAAACACACGCACTCAATACCCCAAGTTAAGAAACCTCTCCCAATATCAATATAGAAGCTTGGAATATAACCAAACTCCCTAGAGTCCAGAAAAAAAACTTCTGACCTAGTTATCAAGTAGGATCAAAGGAAAACCCATAGCTAGCAAGTACTTCTCGAGACTAGATTCCAGCTGAATTACGAGTGCGGCGATGGGAATAGCAAATATCAAATCAACATCGAAAACCAAAACGGGTAAAAGATGGAAGATTGGTATTCAATGCGATACCGTATGTATATAATTCGGTTCACTGGTAAACATTATCCAATTATGACGATGAGCTTGTAGGTAAAGGTAGTATCTGCATAACCCCATCGAGAACTCTACAGAAAGATAAGATTAAAACATGGAAGAGAATACTTATCCCAGTGTCAAAACCAAAACAAATAAATATATGTAAATTGCTTGAAGAGACCCAGAAGTTGAAGTACCATGGACTTGTAGTTGTCGCACGAGCCCCACTTCCCTTATCACCACTTATCGCACCAGTCTAACAAAACCCCTTGAATCACCCGCCCGAATTATTACGTCGAAGATCCAGACCCAGCCCATTCATCATGGTATAAAAGTGTTGTTCTGCCCAACTTTGGGAAGACCAACCATCTTTTATCCTTGAAATATACCAACGTCACAAATATCTTACCACGAGTCTTATCGCTATCCCATACACCATGGGCGATCGCTGCGCTTTCTTTTACGGTATGTGACTGAACCCATATACAGAGCTTGACTGACGATATACGCAGGAACATTGGTATGCCTCCCTCGCAGAGTACACATGCCCAACTAACCCCCCAAGATGGTCCGCCAAATCCTCTTCCGCGTAATCTACGCCGACGAAAACGCCGACCGCGACACCGTCCACAACGCGCTCATCTCCCAGATGACCTGGAAACCGGCGCTCCTGCGCAACCACATGCGGCATCGCATAAAGAGCGTCGCCTACCCGGCCGTCGCGCCGCACAAAGGCAAGAATGTGCAGGGTATACTGGTGAGCGGGCTCACGGATGGGGATATTCGACGACTGGATCGGTTTGAAGGGGATCAGTATGATCGGAAGGTGCTAGGCGTGGAGTTGCTTGGGGAGGATGGGGTGTTTGGGACGGGTGGGAACGTAGAGGCGGAGGTTTATATGTGGAATTATAAGTATGAGGGGTTGAGGAGGGGGGAGTGGAGTATTGAGGAGTTTCGGGAGGTGCATTTGAGTAAATGGGTTGGGGAGGCGGGGGAACATGAATATCAGGATATTGGTGAGTTCGGTGGCATAGGTGGTGGAAGAGGATGTGCTAATAGGTGGTAGAAACTGATTATGCTGTTGCTGCTGTCAGTGATGTTCCTGCGAAAGATGGGGGGGACAAATCCAAGGCTCAGAAAGAGAGTGGTGCGAAAACCGATGCTGCTGATGTTGAGGACGATGATATGGACGCTGCTGTTTGAATTGCATTTGGATATCATACTGGCGTTTTCGGACGGATCTTCTTGGGATAATTGGGCAGGCGTCGAAGACTCAGAGGATCATGACGACACCTCTTGTTTGTCTGGCTGACTGGATGGCGTACTCTTCGCGCATACCGCGTCATGGAAGAAGATATTTGTTGCATATTGTAGGATGATTGGGTTACTTTGGATATGCGTCGCATGGTCGATGGGCACTCGATCTCGTTGTTCGAACGTTGACGTTTTGGCTCACACCTGGGCATTTGAGCAAAGGGACATCTGTTGGTATGACGCAGACACACAGACGTAGAATTAGATCTTGTGTTCTCTAAAGAAATCCGCTGTGTTGGTTCTGATGTAGAATTGATCCTGTTGTTGGATAAAAATCACCACCCAAAGCTTCCCCAGCAAGATGACCGCTAATGAAACCACGACCGATCCCTCCGGTCGCCTTGCAGAAACCTCGCTCTCGTATCCAACTCCACCGGTACCCAATAAACCAAACCGAACCAAACACAAATGATCCCACGGCGACCGACTGACCCAACCCGACCAACATGGAGAAGAATCACGAGTTTGCCTCGCCGAACGCAGTGGCAGCTGAAGACTCGTCAGCTCAACCTCGGATGAATAAGTCACATCACCATCGTAGAGAAATCATTTGATATGGCGAGTTTCCCTGACTCAGAATTCACGATCAGAGCGTAGACAAGCTGGTGTCCAGCCACACGGCATGAATAAGGTGTGGATGGGGATCGTCCCGCGGGTTTAATGCGATGCGACTCCCCGCAAAAACAGGCTGGGGCTGCTGGTCTGCTGGTCTGGCCGGCCAGCACCGCGATTTTTGTAGGACCTGCGCTGGCCTGTGGCTGAGTTGGACTTTTGAGCTTGAGAAGAATTATTCGTTTATGCTGGGGAATTTGGGGGAGACAGATACGTGTTTGTGTGCGCAGTTTCAATTAATGCGAAGACGATGGGGAGAATATTCGTTGCGTCAGGTCACCTGTTTTACCCCTTTTCGTTTGTGAGAGTTGGGGATTGATCAGAACTCTACATCTACTTTGCAAACACCCTCAACCAACCAGCTTGACAAACACCCAGTTCGTGTGACTGCCCCTCCTAAAAGCTTGACTGGCAAAAGACACCACAGGAAGCAGCCTGTTCATTCGATCCCTAAATGGCTGGGCGAGACGTAAGTCGTTTCATGGAAGCGGCTTTAGGTGTCCGGATCGGGCTTTATAGGTACGAGAACGTCCTGTAGACCACGCAAGAAGGTGGGGTGGATGTGATCTGGGCTGGAGGCTGCCTCTTCGGACGACGAGGGCCTTTGGGAAGGAGCAACAAGGTGTCGGGTTTGACGTGGTCGGAAAGGGGAGACCGGATGTTGAGTGGCTGGTGTTGCGCTGGGATGCGGGAGACAGGGACGAGAGGGTAGCAATTGGTTGAGTAGGCGGTCGAGTGCTGGGGTTCATGTGGCGAGAAAGCTTAGGTTCAGCGGAGGGGGGTTGATGGTGGTGATTGGTTGGGAGGGCTTTGAATAGAATTTCAGCGCCTCTGTCCTTGGATGTACTTACGAATGCGTAGGATACTAGATCTTGGTCGAAATAGGGGCGAAAGAAAAGAGGTACTCGGGTGTTGCGAGGGAGAGTTCTATGAGCGTATGAGTGGTGGTAGAGTTCAAAGAAACACTTGAATGCTACGCAATCTTCTTCAAACATTTATGACTCAACACATAACATATCCTCTCAGCCTATACAAAATCACCATATCCTTTAATTCTCTCTCTCGTGGCACAAAACCATCCCCTGATCTTGGTAACTATCCTTATCCCTTATCCCCCTACTTTAGCGAGTGATTTACCCGCTTCTCTGCTAGTCAGGGGCAACACCAGCTACCGAATGCACGCCTCTGTTTCGCCATATGTCGAAACAAACCGTCTGCAGCCTATGAAGGGGATGGACTTCTTCACGTCAGTGCATTCTGGAAGAAACATCGTCGGTCCTAGGAGCCCAACTCGAGCTGGCGCATTTCAGACTCGGTTGGTCGTCGTGATGTTCGCTCGTGCCACTGGCCACCGCACACACGAACCAACCGTGGCGGTAAAAGAGCCGAACGATGCTTGGAATCCCTCACATCCAATGACATTCACCGTTTACACCGTTTACCTGCAGCAATCCTTCGCACTGACTGAACTGATGGGCGGATCTCCGAACGTGGGGACTCGTGAGTACAGCTCTTCGTATGCAGGGGCAGCGGCAGGTGGAGTTGAGCGAAGAAAAAGAACATGGTCAAGCGACGGTCGACGACATCCCTTTGGGAATGTCAGCCATAATTCACCCTTTGCACGGTGGAATTGGGATGTCGTGAATTCTTGGTATAAAGAAGGCCCGCTGCCCCTTTCGTTTCATTCTCCTCTCCATCCTCATTCTTGGCATCCTTTGCATCTCCATCTGATATCTTTTCGAGGCTAGCCCTCCGTCTTTGTCTGTTCCCTTCCTCTCGACGACTTTTTGCCTGTGGCAGAATCGATCACTACATTCCTTTTGAAACAAATCAAACTACACTCCTTGACAAAGACATACTCGGCTGTGAATCGCTTGCTCCAAGTTTTGTTCTCATCTTACTGGTATGTGAGCCACGCATTGTTTGTTTTCTTTGAGTTATTCCCCTAGCGACTGTTGCGCATCATTCTTTTGTTCCATTCTTTTTGTCAAAGGATTGTTTTCGAATGACAAGCGTCGCCACAATGGGGGTTGAATCAACAATGCTATTGTCTACAATTAGCATTGTCGCACTCACCACTACTATTGAGTGACGAACACCAAAACAGATCCTGAATCCTCTGTTCAGAATCATTCCTAATCTATATATTCTTTTTCAAATTCCAACTTCTAACTCTTCACAGCAACTCAAGCTATCATATCTGCTACCATCTACACGTTACACAACACGCGCAAGCAATTACACTCCGAGTCCACACTCACTTACAAGCAAAATCATCACATACATTCTCGTCAGGTACTAGAATCGTCAACATGATGTACTCATCCACACTCTTTGCGGCCCTCGGCTTTACCGCCATCGCCAATGCTCATATGGTTATGAACACCCCAGCGCCTTTCAAGACTGGTCTCAACAACTCCCCTCTCGACCCAAGCGGAAGCGATTTCCCTTGCAAATTCTCAGGAACTTACAAGGAAGACTCGACTCCTCCCACCTCTCTGGCGGTCGGCTCAACTCAACCCCTCAAGTTCACCGGTGGTGCAACTCACGGTGGTGGATCTTGCCAAATCTCCGTCACATACGACAAGGTTCCAACCAAGAACTCCGTCTGGAAGGTCATCCACTCGATCGAAGGAGGTTGCCCCGTTCAGGGCGTCGCCGGTAATGCTGGCGGTGATCCAACCGCCCCAAGCCCAACTGAATACACCTTCCCAGTCCCAGACATCCCAACTGGTGATGCCGTTCTCGCCTGGACTTGGTTCAACAAGATCGGAAACCGCGAGATGTACATGAACTGCGCGCCGGTCGTCATTGGAGGCAACACTGCCAAACGCGACGAGCAAGACCCATTGAACAACGCTACCCAGCTCGTTCAACGCGACCAAGCCAAGTACGATGCTCTGCCAAACATGTTCGTCGCCAACATCGCCGGACAAGGTAGCTGCACGACTGAAGAGTCCGTTGATCTCATCTTCCCCAACGCAGGTGATTCCGTCACCTCCATGGGCTCAGGACAATACAAAGGCCCAGCTGGCTGCGCTGCCGGTGGTGGTTCAACTCCAACCAAAGCACCATCTTCGGGCTCAGCCGCTCCCTCAGCTCCAGTCGCCTCCGCAACCAAGTCCTCCCTTCCAGGCGGTGTTTTCGCAACCGTGGCACCAGTTTCTGGCTCCCCATCGGCCTCGACGCCAGTAGCATCCTCCGCCGTCCCCGCATCCTCAGCAGTGCAATCCTCCGCCGCCGCCCCCTCCCCAGCACCAACCTCCGTTGTCGTCCCCGTCGCATCAACCTCCGCCGCTCCCCCCGCCGCAACCGGCACCACCGGCTCCGGCTCTGCCCTCACCGGTCCTTGCACCACCGAGGGCATGTGGAACTGCATCGGCGGGACCTCCTTCCAGCAGTGCGCCAGCGGCAGCTGGTCCATCGTGCAACAGATGGCCGCGGGCATGAGCTGCACGGCCGGTCAATCGTCCTCGCTCTCCATGAAGGCCGCCGTTGCTAAACGCGCCCTGCGCTTCTTTGCCTAAGTCACTCTTTAAGATTGCAGGACAATCAATCTTCTTATTTGGCATTTAAGCGGTAGGGTTTGCACTTTTGGCGTTTTCAAGGATTAAGATGGGGATCTGGAGGGGCGGCTTACGATGAATTTCTTTGTACATAAAATACCCCTTTTTCTTTTTGGTCTTTGGACTATTTGCTGGACTTGAACGAAAGAAAGAAAGAAAGAAAGAATTGGATGGAGAGGATTATTTGATCATCATGATTTTTATGATGTATGCATGCATGGGCGATATTGCCCCTCAATGAATAGAATAGATTGTCAACATTGAAACCGTTTTCTTTACGCGTGATTCCACCTCCAACACTTTGCCTTGATGTGATTCAAATTCGTCAGCTATGATGATTTGCCCTCTCAATCTGGCTGGATGAATAATAAGAACAGTCTTACGACGACATTATCCTAAGGTGCAACTAGATGTTCCTTGTTTGATTGCTCACATGCTTCCTTCTTGTAAAATGAAAGACATCCACATTTACTACAAAAATAACATGCTTCCCCCCAAAAGAGAGCTGCCGTCAAAATTTCGATTCTCTTTGCCTATGATCCTCTTTTCCAATTCCCTTGACGTGACTCACATCCGTAAACAAAATGGTCTTCTTCTTCGATTCGACAGTATGAAGAAAACTCCGCCAAAGTTCCATCCCGAGGTGCGTATCGTTGAGGTGATCACTCGCCTGGTGCGAAAACTAGAGAATATCCGAATTTGTTACAGACGCCAAAACACTTCGCTTGGAAATAGATACTGATACCAAGGAATGTTCGGGTCGTTAATTATATATATGAGTATAATCGCCCAAAGGTACCTATAGGTATTTTGTTCTGGCACCGGCACCCCGGTCCCGGTACTCACCTCGGAACGTGGTCGCGAAATGCGGGGGCGGGAGTGGCAGCACGACCACCTTCGTCGACCGCCAACCAACACTTTAACTCGACCACCAACACCAACATTCAACCTCACCGGATGTTTGGTGACCTACGCATCAACCTCCAGTATCACCAACTGATTAATCATAATGTTTTGTACAGAGGTGGCCTCGGCCTCGGGTGCTACGGTAGATGAAGATCGACCTGCGCTACCGACCGGACTATCGCCATCTTGACTCCGCACGAGATGCGGGGTGGTGGTTACTAGTATGCATTGGAGAGGTATGATTCCGCGGTCTTGGGGAACGTGTAGGTTTTTCGATTATTCTATCCTTTCATTTCTGTCTTTCCAATGTTTTTCTTCCTTCATCTCATCCTCTGATTCAGTCCCCCTTCGATTCAAAATGGATCCCTCACCCATCCCCCTCGTCTCCTACGGCCGCACGACCAACCGCGCCGATGTACTGATTATAGGCGCCGGTATCTCGGGGTTGACGACGGCCATCGAGATGATTCGGAAGGGAAACGGGAGGAATTTTATTATTGTGGAGAAGGGAAATCAGGTTGGCGGGACGTGGAATGATCAGAGGTATCCAGGGTGTTGTTGTGTAAGTGGAAAATGCGGGAGGGGAGATGGAGAAGGGGAGGGGAAAGGGGAGAGGGGAAGTGGAAGGAGGGGATGAGTGGAGGAGTGGAGGAGGTGAAGGGGAAAGGGAACAGGGGAGAATGGGCAAGAGGATGATGAAGAAGATGAAGGCTAATCGGTTATAGGATGTTTGGAGTCATTTGTATAGTCTAAGTGTAAGTGGTGGTGTTTCTTATTGCGTGCTTTTCGAGGATTATATCTTGTAAGAGTTGCTGAGCTGAGCTTTGACAAATTTTGGATTCTTTAGCATCCAGACTCTTCATTTGGGGTTGCATTATCTTTTCTAGAATGGAGACGGAAACCATTTTGGCCAGGACCGAAGAGCATCGTCCTTGTTCTTCAGCGAACATTATGTCTGCTTGCTTCGTTATAATAATTTCAACCTCAATACCACCAAGATACATCATCATTCTCGACCCTTCCTACTCTGCTTCTCATAAAAGAAAATCAACTCCAACTCTGCTAACACTGCACACAGTTCGAACCAAATCCGAATTGGACACGCGAATACCCCGGTCAAGAAGAAATCCTCGACTACCTCATCTCCGTCGCCCATAAATACCAACTCTACAAACACATCCGATTCAGCACCTCGGTCGAAGAAGTACGCTGGGACGCTCCATCCAACACCTGGAAAACCAAAATCACACGTCTCGGCGCCAAAGATGCAGAATTCGGCGAACACTACACCATCACCTCCAACTTTCTCGTTTCAGGAGTCGGTCAATTAAACGTACCCAAATACCCAGACATCCAAGGCGTGGATTCCTTCAAAGGGAAATCCATGCACTCAGCACGATGGGATTGGGATTACGACCTCCGCGGCAAACGAATCGGGATCATTGGAAATGGTGCCACGGCCGCGCAAATCATTCCTGAAGTCGCAAAGGTGTGCGAGAGATTGACTGTATTCCAACGCACGCCGAACTGGGTGATTCCTCGAGATGACAGACCGATTTCATCCACACAACAGGCGATTTATAAATATGTGCCGTTTGTACGACGGAGGTATCGAGCTGCGTTGATGGATTTTAGGGAGGCGTTTTTTGATGTTGTGTTCGATAGCGAGTCGGAGATTCATCAGATGTTCAAAGGGGCCGCGGTGCAGCACATGGAAACGCAGCTTCCGGGGGAGAAGTACAAAGATATGAGGGAGAAACTCATGCCAAAGTACGATATGGGCTGTAAACGGGTGATCATCACCGATGACTACTTTCCTACGTTTACGCGGGAGAACGTGGTGTTGGAAACGAGCGCGATCAAGCGGATTACCGAGAAGGGCGTTGAAGTCGAAGGCGAAAAGGAACATGAATTCGATCTCCTAATCTACGCAACCGGTTTCAAAACAACACAATTCATGTATCCCATCAAAATCTACGGCACCAACGGGAAATCCCTCGACGAGATCTGGGCTTCTGGCGCTTCAGCCTATCTCGGCATGACAATCCCCTCTCTCCCAAATTTCAGCATGTTATACGGTACACCCCCTTCCCCAGTTCTGTAAACTCCCAGCTAATGGTTAACAGGCCCCAACACCAACCTCGGCCACAACAGCATAATCCTCATGATCGAAGCCCAAGCCATGTACATCAACGCCCTCATCACCAAGATCAAAACCGCCCGCGACTCCGGCCACACCCTGAATATATCTCCCAAACAATCCGTCGTCGACGCCTACAACGCCGATGTGCAGCGTCGTCTCGCGCAATCGGCGTTCGCGGACCCGAATTGTAATTCCTGGTATAAGAATGAGAAGGGGCTGATTACGAATAATTGGTCTGAGGCGGTGATCCCGTATCAGAAGAAGACGAGCGAGATTAGGTGGGAGGAGTTTGAGGTGGGCGGGAGTGCCGCTGGGATGGTGAGGGGGAAGGGGAGGGAGAGGTGGGGGAGGGTGGTGGAGGAGACGCAGGTTAGTAATGCGGTGGTACTGATGGGGTTGGTATCGACGGCTGCGGCGGCTGTTGCGGCGGGGGTGTGGGTTAGGGGTGGGTTTGGGATGGTGAGGCGGTGATTGGGGTCGGTGTGGGTGTATGTGTGGTAGTTGAGGGATTCGGGTTGTGTAGATGCTTTTGAATGGAGGAGAGATGAAGGGTTTTCTTATAAACTTGTTCTTGAACGCCTGACTCAAATGGTACCTCCAAAAATACAAGAACCGTACAAATACGCAGTACTTGAACGTATAACGCAACACCCGTGAAGCCAACTATCTTGAGCAAGAATCTCGAATTCACGCCCCAAAGATCTGTACTACATCAAATTGTCACTCAAAACAACATCCCCTCTTCCCTAAACCCGCAACGAAATAAATATCCATTCATCCCCCACCCATTTCCCTTTCCTTACGCGATTAATAAAGACACCTAGGCAGATCATTAACCACAATTGAGAAGCATACAAGAAAACTAGATTGCGAATAGTATAGCCTGATAACCCCTCTCCACCACCCCCCATACTCGCGAAAGAACCTCATAGAATTAATACACAGAAATACGAGATAACTCTCTCGAATCCACAACTAAGAATTTACTATCGATACAACATCATACGCACGGTGGCTTTGTGAATAACTCGGATTCAACGGCTTGTTACTTAATCTTATATTAAAGATATTCGTCGCCTCCTGCTTTTAGAGTTGTTGACGAGATAGAGTAGAAATGGAATGGAATGCTAATAAGCTAGAAATTACAACCCTAATTCTCTACAAAAGAAGATTGTATAGTAATTCTCCTAGGCTAGGATGCTAAGAAAAACTAAAGTAATCCCTTCGACGCTAAAGCGACGTGCAAAAATGAGAAGTGATATAAGCGTGTTTTTTGGTAGCTTTTATATCTATATAGAGATATCGCCGGGAAGATGGAGGTACTTTTGTCAGATAGGAGTACGATTTCGAAATTTGATGTGAGGGTTTAGGGGTGTGGGGATTTAGAGTTGAGGTTTAGAGGTATTTCATGGCCTCGTGAGGTCTTGTTTTCAGGCTAGTTTATTTAATTTTATATCCTACCAAGTTTTCTTTTCCTCATCCAATATCTCCAAAATATACAATCTCGTTAATAAACCCAATCACTACTCCTTCGTATTACTGCAACCTCCACTAACATCTACGTCTCAATCAACCTCCCCTCCTCCCCCTTCCCCCCTCTACACTTCTCTCCTCCCCCCTCCGCTCACCAGGACCAACAACCCTCAACGTAAAACTGACCTCAAACCCATCCCCCAACCCCTTCCAGCCCTTCCCACCCTTCCCACCCAACACCCTCCCCTCCCAGAACCGGCTCTTGATCAATCCCCATATTCTCAAAATCGCCATCATGACGCCCAACAGCCCGATAGCAACCCCCACCAACCCCCCCACACAAACCATAACCCTCACCCTCCCCCTCGCCAGCACACACTCCCGCGTCTCGGGCAACGGCTCCTGATACCCACGAGACGGATCGTACGGTCTATATCTATAGCAGAAACTGGTGTCCGGCCATCCGTTATCGAGGAGGCGGGGGGCGAAGACCAGGGTGACGATTGCGAGGACGAGGTCGGTGGTTAGGGGGATGAGTGGGGGAAGGGGGAGGAAGAGGCGGGGTGTGGTCAGGAGGGTGAGGGTTGCGAGCTGGGGGTGTTAGTTAGTGGGAGTGGAGAGGGGATAGGGGAGAGGGTAGGTGGGTAGAGTGGACGTACGACGATAGCCAGATCTCTTGTGGCATCTCTAGAGCTGGAGGTGTATGTAAAGGGGCCTGTGGCGATGAAGATGTAAGTCGTGATTAGGAGGGCGAAAGTGAGGAGGGAGGTGAGAGATGTGATGGCTGTGAGTATCTTAAGCGGCCGTTTGAAATGGGTAGTTGACGACTTTTTGAGATTCTCTGGTTCGTAGGAGGGGTCATGATCGTTGTCCCCTAAAAAGGGAGTGTTTTCTGACATAGCTCGTTGAGCGAGGGTGATTTTGTTTTAAGAAAGATGAATTTCTGGCGAGGAATGGGAAGAGACACGGAGGATATAAAAGCCAAACAGATACAACAGTATAGTAGTTTATATCTCATACCCGTACCATCATACAAACCACTTCATTCTCCACCTCCATGCCGCACCAGCCCCAATCACGTGCCAGAAGCAAGCTTCGCCCATTCAGAAGTGTAGATCGTCACTACACCATACCTGAAACGAAACAGCTTAGAATGATTGCCTGGAAGTAAGGCTGATTTTAGTCAAATAGCGCGATGGTAGTGGAGAGCGTCTCGTATTCAATGTTCGCTTCAAGCATCGTTTCGTTCGCTTAGTGGGTGTCCATACATCCAGGAATTACACCACAAGGCTCGTAAGAATGAGTCACCAGATCGTCAGCATCGTAAATAAAGAACAGGGCAGGAATCTAATTTGATCTCCAAGATCTGAGGAGAATATCTCCAATTTTTCAATTTCTGTTTTTTGCGTTTTTTTGTTTTGGAATTACAAACTGACGGTAGTGCATTGTCCTCGATCCGTGATATCCGACTAGTGGAAAAGACGCCGAGGATGTCTGACGATAGTCGAATGAAGATCATCTAGGCTGTCGCACAAAGGCGAAGAGTAGGACAGAGATAGTATTTTGGCGTGAATATGTGCTTAGATATTCCAGTTTTTTGCCAGTAGCTTGACGTACTTATGTCAATTTCGAAAAGATGATGAATTTGAACGTCTGTCTATTATGCCGTATATCCACTCACCCAATTATCCAATTATTACCTTTACAACTTACTCTTTACAAGCCCACTCTCTAGCTCCTCAACCTTTGCGAACCGATAGTAGTATTCTAGTGACTTCGGGTTAAGCAGCGTGCCACTCGGTTTAATAATCTTTCCCGAAACGATTTGCTTTACAGGTAATTCGACTTTCTTTAGATTAACCGTAGTCTATCACATATTAGCCCCATTGTACCAGGAGATTTGATTCTCGTCTTCATCCCTTCTTTCTCAAAGGAAAGGCAAAAAGTGAAAAGAAAATAGAAGCAGAAAAACAAAATCTTAAACTCACAGGAATCTCCGGCGTCTCAAAAATCCACCTCGGAACATGACGTTTACTCAACCCCTTCCCAATAGCATCTCTCACCCTCTGCACCAAAGAAGTACTGAGCCCATGTCCCTTATTCATCAACAAAAACAACATCACGCTCTCATCCTCATCCCCCGGTCTCCTCTGCCCCACACAAAGACTATCCTGCACCTCAGGAAACTCGCCACCTTCCAGAATACTATAGATCTCCGCACTCCCAAATCTCACACCAGAAGGATTTAATACACCATCCGCGCGCCCAAGAAAAAATAGCTGTTTGGTGACTGGATGTATGTACACGAAATCACCGTGCGTCCAGACGGATGTGTATTTCGCAAAATAGGCGTTGAAGTAGCGGGAGTCAGGGGAGGGGGAGACGGCAGGGTCGTTCCAGAAAAAGACGGGCATGTTGGGGAAGGCGGATGGGGCGACGAGTTCGCCTGGTTCGCCGTGAGGAATTGGAGAGCCTTGACCGGAGGGGATGAGGGAGTCGTAGACGGATATTGGGGTTCCCAGGGATGGTCCTTGGGTGCCGCCGACGTAGACGGGCGTGAGAGGGTTTTCTTGGCCGAAGCAACCGGCCTGATGTATTAGTATGTTGGGATTGGAGATGGGATGGGGGAATATACCAAATCTGTTCCACCGGAAATATTGCACAAATGTACATCTTTTGAAAACCCTTCATTGTAAAACCATTCAAACTGTTGATCAGAAAGCACCATTCCCGTAGAACTGACATTCGTCAAATGACTGAGATCCGCAATTTCCCTAGGTCTAATGCCATTCTTTTGCATCTCAAACATCCATTTAGGACTCGTTCCTAATTTCGTAACCTTCTGATCCCCTATCAATTTCACAAAGGTCGTCAGATCAGGTTGAAATGGACTTCCGTCATACAACACCGAACGAGCTCCAACAAGCAGGTTTACCACCGACACGAAATACATAATCCATCCCGTGGTCGTGTATTGTAACGTCACGCTATCTGGCGTAAGTTCGCCATGAAGTCGTGTTTCTTTCGCGGAAGAAAGAAGAAAACCTCCCACAGAATGGACGATACATTTCGGAGTTCCAGTTGTACCAGAAGAGTAAGCGATGAAGAAAGGGTCGTGGAAAGCAACTTGTTCGAATTCAGGCGGGGGTGATCCTTTGGCTTTTGATACAAAGTGAGCTACTGTTTGTGTTCTTGGAACACCACTGATATCTGCTGGTTCGGAAAATCGTGGCATAGATATCATTCCGGTGAAGCCAGGCGCATCTTTCATTCCCTCTACAATTGCCTTCATTTTCCCTCTCAGATCTACCTTTTTGCCGTTGTATATCGCAAAGTCGTCCATGAAGATATACTACACACGTGAGCTTCAACAACCAAAAGAAAAACCTTCATACTCCTACCTTCGGCGTAACCTGCAACGTCCTCTGCAAAACCCCCTGCACACCCATATCCGTCGAACTACTACTGAACAGCCCTCCCAACGTCGTGACAGCCAAAAACACTTTCATCGTATCCACGGAATTGCTCGCAACAACCACAACTCTATCTCCCTTCTTCACCCCATGTATCTTCATCGCCGCCGCCAATTCTCCCACTTCTCTCCTCAGCTGCCCCCAACTCACATCGCGTATCTCCGTCGCACCCTCCCGCACCTCTGTCAGCGCAAGCTTCGCATCTTCTTTATATTTGGTACCTCGTTTCGACGATGCGCCGGCGCGAGAGTAAAGGATATTTTCGGCAAAGTTTAGATGTACGCCTTCGAACCATCGGGGAATGGTTTCAATTGCTGCGGATTCGTCGACGACGCGGGTGTATGTGCCGGAGTGGATTAATTGGAGGTATTGGAAGGTTTGGTCCCAGAATTGAGAGCGTTGGGTGATGGAGTATTGGTAGAGATCCCAGAATGTCTGTTGATGTCGAGGATGAATTAGTAATTAGACAATAATTCATTGGATGATACTTCAGCAGATAATAACGAGTGTCCATAATAACTAGAAGAGTCAATGGCATACCTCCAACCGCAACCCATATTTCTCATTAATCTCCCCCATCAATCTATACATCTCCGTCCCTCTCGGGTTCGGATGTTCCCATAGCTTCTTGGGAGTTGACATCTCTGTTGATGCCATCGTCTATCGCTCGAAAACAATCGAAAGACGCACATGAAAATAAGATCTAATATATAAGCAAAAAACAGTGTAGAAGAAAAGAAAAGTTGTTAGAAGTCCCGGTCTCGACTTGTCTTCCGATTCGGGGATCTGAAGCCCGGGTATTGCGGAGGTGGGGGCGGGGGCGGGGTTGAAGGTCAAGCTTTGGGAGCTGGTGTTCTGTTTACCTAGCCAGAACGTTGTAAACTTGTTATAGAGTTAAAATCAGCGTGATTACTACATAAAACGAGTACCTTTCTACATAACCTAGGCATAAATCGTAGTCTACACCAAGATTTGTATACCTAAATTGTAAAGACCTAATTCTCGTTATAAAATCTCGGGACTTGTGTACGAAGGCTCGGAGCCCGGAGCTGGAGCTACCCTGCTTCCGGGCCGGAACCGGGAGGAAGCAGTCTTCCTAAACTTTCTCCATACTCCAGCTCCTATTAGATTCCTTGAACCTCTCCAGCGGATAATGACGTATAAACTTATTTTTGACGCTATATAGAATTATACTTTACAGATTAATTAAGGTTATATAAGAGAGGTATATCCGGCTAGGTGTTGCGAACAATTCGCCGTCGGGTGATTACAGGTAATTTCTAGGGAGAGAAATCATCGACACGGAAAACTACCTTATTACTAACAAATCGAGATACGTTTTATTATTTCTGTTGTACATAAACCGAACAATTCCATTCCTATATCCAAAGCCATACCAACTCCGCGCTCCCACGCCCAAATGTCCCAAACTCCCTCAAATATCCCAAATCTGCCTCTTCCCCTTAGAAACCATCCTCACAAAACCTCCTCCCAAATCCCCCCCTTTTATATCCTCCCCCCTCACAATCCCTCCTCCTCCTCGTCCCTTTCCCCCCTAATATACCTCCACCCCATCCACCCCCCCATCCCAACCACACTCCCCAACCCCCCCGCCCCTACAACCCTTACCCCCCTCACCCCCCTCACTCCCCTCCCTAAACCCCCCAACACGCCCCCCACCATCCCCGCATACGTCCAGTCATCACACTCGACCTGCCCTTTGTTCGCGCGTAACCGCCACGCGCGATCCGCCCATTCGATGTCTTCGCGTGCCCACATGCGCGCTGTGGTTGCGATGGCTAGGAGGGTTGCGCCGGTGAGGGCGCCTATCCCCGTAGATCTGAGGATGGATGTTGGTTTAGGCGTGAGGAGGCCGAAACGGCGGAGAGAGAAGAGGGAGAGGGAAAAGGTGGAGGAGAGGAGGGAACCGAGTTGGAGACCGCGGGTTGTGGTGTGTGTGTAGAGGATTGTTTTTGCGAGGGGTTGGTCTTCTGCGTAGGGGGGGTGGGGGAAGAAGCGGGACATTGTGGTGAGAGTTGAGTGTTGAATTCTTTTGATCTGTTGTGGTAACGCGGGTGCGGATTGGCGTAGGTATTTTGACTGTATCGTGAGATGGCGTGAGTATCGTTGTGGTGTTTCTGTTGCTGTAACAATCCCCTCATCAATCAATGTACGCGTCCTTTATATCACAAACCAAAAAGAAAACCATCCCAACACACCCTCCCTTTATCACTCTCTTTATCCCTCCCCCCTCAGCCTCATCGCACCATCCTCATCCCAACACGCCCGTAACAACAAACATCCCACCCGTGCACATTCATTCGGAGAAATATTTCGCGTCCAAGTCCGTCTCTACGAAGCGAGAGCGAATTGGCCAATGATAAATCCGCGGTTTGATGGGAGCTGGAACTTCAAAACCCCGGAACGACGAGCGTGCAGGGGTTCGGAAATATATGTTATTCCAGGTTTTGCTACTACATAACTAGCTCTCTGGAATTATCCAAGCTATAGCCGTCGAGGCGGAGTCCGATTGACGTGTATGTTTGGGCTGTTGCACGCAAATTGAAAGTATTAAGTATGCTCGGGAGAAATGGAACAAGTGACTACAAGTCATTCGGCATCTTCCAATCTGGGAATAAGCTCAACAGAGTCAAATAAGAATTGCTATTCGATTTGTGGTCTTTCTATCGAATTAGAATACCATTCTATAGTTCACACGACAACAACAAACTGCTATTCTACCATGCCAACATAACTACCCCCCTTTTACGCGCCTAACCCTATTCTCCAAAACGCCAGGTATCTCACGCCCAATGCGACTTAAAAATGCCATCATTCATCATCAACCATGTCCATCAGGATATTGCCATTGGCCCCATACCCGTTACTGAGACGGTGCCTGACTTTCCCCTTTCCCCTCCTTGAAGCAAGAATATGTGCAGCTTCAGCCTTCTTAATCTCCAGATCGTTCTCGAATTGTTCATCAAAATCCATGTCATCCTCGCCGTTCGCTTCGCTACTTGCAGTTTCCTCGAGTGCTTTGTTTAGTAATTCCGTTGCGATGGCATCTTGTGGTGATATCGCCAATGCTTCGTGGAATACATAGACTGCTTCGAATGGTCGCTTTTGCTCCATCAAAACCAGTCCTTTCGCACAGAACACGGATGTATCTTTTCCACCCTGTCTTAACACCTCTTCAAACTGGTCAAGAGCTAGATCAAAATGCCCTATTCGCCGGTAGGCATGACCAAGGTTCGCCCGTGTAGAGATCCAAGCCTGCGAGTCGCTGTCAATCTCATCTGCAATTTCCAGAGCTCTGGTGAACATAGAGATAGCGTCTTCAAGTCGCTCCTGGTGATAGAAGACTACACCCATCTCATTCAGCAGTAAAGGGTCGGTCTTGCAGAGCCCATAAGCCGTCTTGAGAAACTCGTCCGCCAGTGTCATGTTGTTTAACATGTGGTTTTGCATCCCTAGGAAGAGTTGAGGTAAGTGAGTTCCCATAAAAAGTCGTGCTGCAGTCGAATACGCCGATATTGCCTGATCGTGTTCTCCTTCTGCAGCGAAAGTGTGCGCGAAACCTATCCAGGCGGGACCAAAATGAGGGTCCATCATACTAGCCTTGCTGAAGTAACGTCGAGCTTCCGCGACTTTGTTTATGCAAAGATAGTATATTCCTACAGCGAGCCAAGAACAGGGTTCTTCAGGATGATTATCCGCAAGATCGTGAGAGACGAGAAATAACGGATTTTTCAATCCTAGCTCGTATAGACAAGCCAAATGAAGTGGATATATGCTGAAATTATACTTGTCGCTCTGCAGAATTGCGCTTGTAATTCCCAAAGCATCTTTGAATTTGCATTGCGTAAAATAAAGGTCTGCCTTTGCGAGTAGGAGGTCTGGATTTGTCGCTAGGTTGTAATGTGTTGAGAGGGTTTCCGTAGCAGCTGTGAATGCACTCGGATTTTTGTACTTGGAAAGTCGTGTAGTGTAGAGCATCTTCGTAAATTCCGCGGCTTCTTGCGACGAAGAAGCATCGTCGGGCACAGAAATAGCGTCAAAATCGAGCGATTCCAGGAACTGCCATTCCTCGTCTGGTGACATCAGGCAATTCTTCATGAGCTGTTCAAAAGCTTCGAAACACTGTACGTCAATTCGAACAGCATCTTTATAGCATTCCTTGGCTCTATCGAAAGCATTTTGTTTTGCATAACAGAGTCCTCGCAGGAAGCACATTGCGGCTTCGAATCTGATATTTGCTGCATCTTCTTGTGCGACCTCCTCTTTTCGATCAAGCCTATCTGCTCTGCCTACTGCTTTGACAAGTTGTGTGCCGCCATTTCTGTGTTGTCCGTTCGTATGCTGAAGTTTCCGCCGACTGTTACTCGAGCTTGTAATCAGGTGTGTAGGATTCTTATCCCCAAGGAGATTTAGAGCTTCTTCGAATCGCGATTGCTTGATCATACAATGGGCCGCAAGGTATTGGCAGGAAGGATTTCGTTCGATCAGATTTTGTTTTGCCAGAAAGCTTTGGGCTCGAGTGTAATTGCCGGTTGAGAAGTGGACTTGGGCAAGCCAGAAGGCATCTTTGTCGTTTTCTGAGGAAATGTGAGCACTTTTCAATCAAAGGGTAGAATAACACTTACGTGTTATTGCCAGCAGCTTGTCTCCAATGAATATGGCCGAGTCATATTGGTGCTTATTGAGGGCATCCTGGCGCCAGTCCCTCAAGAACTTCTCCATCTTCCTCCACGAAACATTTGCGGTGGATTCGACAGTCGAAGCAAGTTACTGAAGTAGAATACTGGCAGCCGTTTCTAGTTTAATTCCGAAACATGCATATGTACAACAATTCTTGGGTTTGGTAAATCGCGTTGTTGATGTGTTTTGCTTGGGAGACGCGACTCGCGGGGGCAAATCTAGTCTCAGTCACCTGCCCACTAACTTTCGGACTAAATAATGCGACTTCCAATAGAGCTAAAACGATAGTGTTCACTCAAAACAATTGACAAAATATGTGATAGTATACTAAGTTAAATCACTAGATATACGATACCTCGTCAAGTTTTTTGTTTATAGAATTGTCGTGATTCGACTGCCACTGACTATTGATGGGGTCCAGCGTTGTTGAAACCTGAGGCAAGGGACCTACTGGGGTAATCCTGGCAGTGCTCGCGGCTCTTACATCACGTGACTACCCCACCAGTCTTCTAGAACTCAAGAGCCCGCGTCTTCTTCCTCGTTCACACATCGTCACCTCCTCACCTCACCTCACCTCACCTCGACTTTTCCCTCCCATCCCCACGATTACTTTCCAATACACCGACAGCAAACCTGCCCACCGCCCACCATGTCTGAAAGAAAGGTCCTCACCAAGTACTACCCTCCAGACTTCGATCCCTCAAAGATTACAAGATCACGCGCCCCCAAGCAGGCGGGTCCCAAAGTTCAAACCGTACGATTGATGGCACCGTTTCCTATGAAGTGTACCGCCTGTGGGGAATACATCTACAAAGGTCGAAAATTCAACGCGCGCAAAGAGACAACCGAGGAGAAATACTACGCCATTCCTATTTACCGATTCTACATCAGATGCACAAGATGCTCGGGGGAGATTACGTTCAAGACAGATCCGAAGAACATGGACTACGAATGCGAAAGAGGCGCCAAGAGGAATACTGAGCCATGGCGAATGAATGGAGGTGGAAAGCAGGAGAGCGATGAAGAGCGACTGGATCGGTTGGAACGAGAGGAGGAAGAGAAGAATGCTATGGAGGAACTTGAGACCAAAACACTTGATGCGAAGCGGGAAATGGCTGTTGCAGACGCCTTGGACGAGATACGCACACGAAACGCTCGGAATGAAAGGATGGGTAAAGATGGGGTAGAGGTTACGGTTACGAGAGAGAGCATTGACGATGAGAAAAAGCGGCAGGAGGAGGAGGATGCAGAGGCAGCTCGTATAGCTTTCATGCGTAGACAGGAAGCAATGGAGGAGATTATTGAGGAGGAGGATACTGCTGTAGAAGACGCTCTCAAAATGCCACCACCAAGCTTTAAACGCGTGGTGAAGAAGAAGAAGGATCATTCTGTAGCGCTAGGAATTAAGAAGAAGTTGAAGTGATAATGTCTCAAGCGACAAGAGAGATTGGGTTGGGCACCGCATAGATACCAAAGAAGCAATTCATAATTTAATCTACTTCCTTAACTCGAGTTTTCTTGTTTACTTAGAACAATTGACGAAATGTGGATAGTTTGTCAATTATTTTAAATGAATATAACATTTTTAAGTCTCTCTAAAATATGTTTAGTTACTTATTTTAACTAAATATAATATTTACACCTCTATATAAATAAATACATTTAAATGTTTTAAACAAATATCTATTTTAAAGTCTATCTAAAACAGATTTCAAATTAAGCTACGTACCTACTCTAAAGTATATAATAAGTTTACAGGATATTAGACAGGCTCTATCATCTACCGCGAGCCACCCCGTCTCTTCTTTTTATAATATCCGATATCCGATTATATTCTACTTCGAGCTCTCGTCTAGGGACAAAAGGCCGCTTTAGTTTAGAAAAGAAAGGATATATATTTAATTCTCATATTCGCAATTTTCATCCCCTAGAAGGTAATACATTTTGAGCCGACTAGGAAGTATATACTTCAAAGTGATATCGGTGAGTTTTGGTGTAAAGACGCGCTTTGGCCCTACAATTGTGGATACGGCCCCTTGAACGCTCCCCATGTTTCAACCGGCTACGAATCCAGGCCCAGGGTCTTTGGAAATGATTGATTGCTGCTTATGTCTCTTATCTTGCTTTCAACGTTCTCTCCTCATTTTCGTTTTCTCAAACCTTTGGTTTTCCGTCGTTCCAATCATTTAAATATCATATCGTCCTCCATCTCAGTCCACGAACAACCTCAATCAAGATGTATTACTGCCAACAGTGTGACAAGGAATTCATCACCTACAATGGGTTCAATATGCACATGGAACACAGTTCTGCTCATCAGGATCTTGACTATGAGTGCGAATTCTGCGACCGGGACTTCGGTACGGAACAAGCTCGTCATCAGCATTATGTAGCAGCATACGGCCATCATTATTGTGGAGATTGTCGACGCACATTCAACAGCGAGCATTCACTTACACAAGTAAGCCTATTTCTATCCATTCCGGTCAAATGCTGACAGTCCTACTCAGCACATGCGCTCAAGGACTCATGTCGGAACCAGCATCAGTTGTCCATTCTGCAAAGGAAACTACGCAACTGCTTCTGGTCTTACCATTCACCTTGAATCCGGAACGTGCTCTTCAGGACTTAATCGTCAAAAGATCAATACCATGATGCGTCAAATGGACAAAAACAATGTCATCACCAAACCAATGATCACAATGCCCGGCTACGAGAACGCAAGCAACATGGTAGCTACCGAACACGCCTGGAACGGGGATGGTTACGAATGCTATCTCTGCCATCGCGAGTTTGATCGGTTATCAGGTCTCAACAATCATATGAGGAGTCCAGTGCATGAACAGAAGATTTACCAATGCCCGGGTAGGGGATGTGGGAGAGAGTACAAGGCGTTGAGTGGACTGGTACAACACGTTGAGAGTGAGAGCTGTGGGGTTATGCGGTTCGGTCAGGTTCAGGCCGGGGCTAGGAATGGTATTGAGCCGTTTGTGGGGAGGATGATCAGTTACCGTTGATTGGATTTGCATGGAGGTTTGGTTTTGCTTTTTCGGGGTATTCTTGTGGCTGTATGGTTGTGTTTGCTTTTGGTGTTGGGTGTTGGTTGCTTTGCGGAGTTGATATGGAAATATCATACTTCATGGACGCTAATGTACCGTGAGAGCGACGAGATCTTAATTTTACGGCCCGTTTGGCTTTGAGTATAATAATTTGAAGTCATTTCTGTCCGACTGTCGTTTGCATCCCATCACCAACTCTCGGTTAATCCTGCAGCCTCCATTTTCATCCCCGCACCTACTGTGTGCCCATCGGAAACTTGAAAAGATTACAATTCCAGTTTAAAAGCACTCACATCTCACATATCCTCAAGTTCAGACGAACCGAGTGCATCGCCGTATCAGTCGTAATCTTGTTGAGATAACAAAAAGGGGTTGGTCAGGGGCTGTGGATCACACCTTCAATCCCGACCCGCCGTCACGGTAGCGTTGGTCTGACCGGCCCCCCTTACCGGCTCTCAGCCCCCTGCAATAATAATCTCTCCGACGCGGTTTTGCTTCAAACGCGGGGCCCAAGCTCTCTCTTATCAACTTGCAAACGGTTTCTGAACTCTCTCTTCTACAACATATCTTGGAATTGTGACTCCACATATAATTTGATTGAGTTATATTGCACTTTTGGTCTGCAATTGATATCACACATGGCCCGATATCACGAAGACTGATCATATACCATTCTACAGGGAGATAGCTCCCCACAACGAAACACGATGCTCACCTCAACCTCACACACGCAACAATATACTTGCAAATTGCCTAGCTATCGCGGCCGCGTCTTCCCCAAAAAAACAATCTCACCATCTCCACCTCCGCGACTCCAACGACCACGCCTACTGCCGAACCTGTCGCCGTCCCTTCCGTAACTACCGCCAATAAATCCAAGTACGCTCCCTCCCTCTCTCTCCATCTTCATCTCTAACACCTCACAGCACCTACGAAGCAGAATCCATCTTGGGTCCACAATCCCCTGTCCCTACTCCGGCTGCAACTCCACCTCCGTCCACGCCTCCTCCATCATCTCCCACCTCGAATCCGGCACCTGCACCTCGGGCGTCGACCGCACACATATCACAGCTTCCATCCACCGTCTAGACCGCTACCACTGCATCACGCGCCCCGAACTCTCTATCCGCGGCCACGACGCGCGCCGACGTCTTGAGGAATCCGCGCAAGACCCGGAGGACGCTTGGAATGGGAAACTATACCAGTGTTACCTCTGTGATCGGGCGTTTAAGACGATTGTTAGTCTATAGACGCATATGAAAAGTGTAGCGCATGAGCAACATGTTTTTAAGTGTCCGAAGGCCGGATGTGGGTGGCCGTTCAAGGTACTGAGTGCGTTGGTGATGCATGTCGAGAGTGAGTGTTGTGGGTGGGCTGGCTTTGAGGAGGTGCAGGAGGCGGCGAGATGGGGAGTTGGTGGGGTGACGGGGAAGATGTTGGAGGCACCTGAGGTGAGGATGTCGAGCGTTTGTTGTTGAAGGAAGGAGAGCGGGTTGGGCGAGTTTGGCTGTGGGTTAAGGAGCTTTGAGAGGGTTTTTTTAGGCTGGTCTAGTTTCAAGGAGTTTGGTTGGAATATGGGAGGCTACATTTGGTTTTGGGGCTTATGGGCCGGTATGTTAAACATGTTTACTGTATAAACTTTAGGAAAGGTCTACAAGAGACTGTATTGTATGCAAGGGGTTCAAGGGGAAGGGTGTTTACTGAGCAGGCGTCGACGCCCATTTCATAATTTGATAATTACTTAGAGTTACAATCTCTGTACCACATAGTTTGCAAACGAAGCTACGGTGTGTAAAACAATTGAAGCATTTATATCTCATGAGGTCACGTGATGGGGAATTTTTCCCCCTACAATCGTCCTTCATTTATCTTTCAAAATTCTCACAATATGTCAGCGTTTACTATTTACGATACTTACTCTGCAATTCAATCAATCGAAAAGATTCACTTTCCTTCCTCTCATGATATCCTAGGACAAAATAAATGACAGTTACCTACCTGCACACCCCACTGAATAATAAGTCAACTCCGAGTAGAGTTTAAAAAGTCTCATTTACTTAAAACAATTGACGAAAGATGTTATATTGTGCCAATCCAATACACTGAATATACATATTTCGTCAACTTAATTCAAAGAATATCGTGTTCCGTCTCTACCGCGAGCTTTCGCTAGATTGAGTGGTTGGTCCGTGAACGACGCCCTCCCATCTATGCTGGCCAAGCAAGCAACCTCCGCCAACACTCAATTACTTTTCAATTCCCTCCTCCTCGACTACTGAAAAACTCTACACATCACCTTAACCATTTTAAACAGACCCTCAACCTACTCATACCCGTAATACCTAAAATGAGCGACGACCAAGACGCCAAGACGTCGGACTCCTGGGAAGAATGGAAAGCATGGGAACTCGAAGCACTGACCGTCGTGCCTACTCTCCCCCAAGAGATACAAGACCGGATCTTCGACTATTGTGACATGACCTCACTTGCCACTCTATGTCACCTGAACAAGAGCTTCAGAAAGCGCATGACGCCTCTCCTCTGGACAGATATAGATTTTACAGAAACCTTTGACGACGATGAAGACAAAGTCGAGCGAACCCGGAAATTCTTCGTCTTATGCGATGATTTAAAATCAAAAGATCCAACACGCTGGGACACCCTTCGGGCCCGCGTTCGTATGCTGGATCTTGGAAGAGTCCATGGAATTAATATCGTGCACGAGAAAGAGTTCGACGGCGATGATTGGCCTTACTTCACCCCCCTCGAAGAGGGGGCCCCAATCACCCATAATATATTCAATATTATTGCACAGTTCACGAACCTGACCTCGCTGTCTGTCTATGTCAAGAACTGGTGGCCGTATTCTAGTGTTAGACATAACGGAGAGGCATTAGCTCAGACAATGTCTAAGCTGAAGTCTTTGAAGGTTGGTGGGCAAATGCCGCCTGATATTCTCTCGGGCCTTTTCGTCAAGCCAGAGAGGCTTGAAAACCTGACTCTAGTCAATCTACATGCTCTTCCTGGACAAATTGATGGACCTGAAGCCGTTGAGCTCCCCCCGGGCGTTGGAACCCGGTTTAGCAGTCTCAAGATTCTTCATCTCGTCAAATTCGCAGATTTAGATGGTCATCTCTCGGGGGAAGCTAGTTCTGACGATGGCGATGATTTGGGCCAGGAGGAAGATAGAGAATATGTCTCTGGAATGCGATGGGAGTTCCCTCGAGAATCTGAGGCCGTGGTCTTCCGGCAGTGGGCTTCGCTACTCACCCACTCTTCGAAGACCCTCGTGGACGTGATTTTGGAAAACCGCTATCTTACTTCTCATCCACCAGAAGAAATAAGCGAGAAACCAATAAACCCAGGCGTAACCCACCCAGGCACATACGGCGCCCATTCCATCCTCAAAAGTCAGGAATCCTTGTTTCCAGTATTTGACGACAAAAGTGCATGGCCGAACCTGAAAAACCTGACGTTGGTCGGAATGGGCTCAGAACAGACCGTCTCGAGTGCTTTCGAGCATCTGGAGCCTCAAGTACAAGTTCAACAGCGGTTAGCGACCATTGAGAAGATGGAGGGGGATGCTACGCCCGAGCAGATCAGCACACCGATTGAGTTTGCGAATCAGGAGACGTGGGGGTGGCATGTTCTGAAGACGAAGCTTAATGCGCATCTTGCAGAGAGTGATCAAAAGGAAGAAGAGGGGTCCGGGTCGGGTGAAGATGACTCGGAATAGTGGTAGCCAAAACAAGTGACTGTCGAACACAATCTTTCTTCGATGAAGTTGACGAAATATCTATATTTAATGGACTAATTTGGAACATTATGGCATATTTTCGTTCATTGTTTTGAGTAAATGAGACTTTTGAACTCTCTTCGAGGTCGAGCCATTTAGTCCAAGATTAGTGGACAGGTACAAACCAACGCATTTGCTACGTATGAATCTTGCAAATCTAATTTGTTTGTCGAAAGCCTGACGCTTATTTCAAACCACTAGCAGCTACTACAGTAAACTATGCCATCCTTACAATTCCTCGTTAGATCATAATAGAAGGCACTTCTCTTCATCCCAAACCTCAGATCTGTTGGGACTAAGGAAGAACACGACTGTCAAAAACCTTAGTGACCTGTTACGTTCATCAGGTTGATCGCTCTTTTAAGTGCAGGAAACCACCGCGAAGCCATCACAGCATCACCAGCGGCATTAGGATGGATACCATCACTCAGATCCGAGGTACGGAAGCCGGTGTACTGATCCACAACCCAAATAGGCGATGAGGTAGTATTCTTTGACACGGCCCAAGCAGGGATCGCTTTATTGAGGGCTTGAACACCGGGATTGATGTAATTATTTGGAATGATTTGAGCAACCTAGTCTAAGTCAGTATCGTTTCTAATAGTAAAGTATTTTGGATAAGGAGAACTTACAATGATCTTCATAGTGGGGTTAGAAGCTCTCATAACATCAATCAATTTCGAGAACGCAGTGAGAATATCAGCAGTCGGTTTGCCTTGACTAATATCGTTGGTTCCCAAATGCATAGTAATGATATCCGCTGGATTCTTCTGCAACCAACCAACAAGTTGCTTATTGTTGGCAATGTTGATGGCCAAAAACCCAGAATGGCCCTCGTTGTCTCTATCATAGGTCGCGGTTGAGCATCCCGAAGGATTTTGACCATTTCCTGAGCCTACGAAATCGACATTCGTGTAACCGGCGGCTTGGAGTTGAGTGTAGAGAAGGCCGCGCCAGCAGATGATTTCAGTGATCGAGTCTCCGAAGGGCATGTAACGAATCTTGCCAGCTTGGCCTAGCACGGAGGAAACCAGCAGCGGGAGGAACGCGAGTGTCTTAATACAGTACATCCTGAGGAATTAGGGTGAAGCAAAAGTTCTTTGTCGTTTCTCGGAAAGTTAGAGTGTAGAAGTAGCAGTCTAATAGATATATAGAGCAGTATAATCTTAGTTTCTAAGCTCGGAAAGAGCGTCTCCACGCCAGAAGCCCACCGTTTCGAGAGGTTCGGAATGCTACGTTCCGTTATATTGTGGCCTGAAGAAGTTTTGGTATTTATTAGTTAACATAGGGAATGAGGAGGTATTGCGGGGTATCACAGGGTGCACAGATTCGTTGTGTGGTTTAGCACTTTTTCGCTTACAAAACCACCCAACGAAACTATGAATCACCTAATGTGTATGTTCGCTTAGTCTGCGTAGGTGGATGAATGTTTTAAGGAACTTAATACTTAAGACTAGGTAGCGCAGAATCCCGAATAGTCGTAAATGAAATGCATCAAGTAAAATTACTGTTTTATGACCAGGTAGGATATTAGAAGAATGTCCCTGACGTTTTTGACAGAACTTACGAAAAGGCCCCCACAATAGTATATCAATATAAAAAACGGTTGAGATTAGTAATAATGATGTAATTAACCTAGCTTTCAAAGATGAATAAGCAAGGACTTAGTCAGTGTGAACTAGGTAATGTATAGATTATGAGGTCTCTAAAATACAAAATGTATTAATGGTAATAGACTGTATATACTATCATAACTTCTCCTTTACTTGCGCTTTTACACCAAACATCGATAACTTGGAATCCAATCTTTGATAGTACAACGCAGTCACTACTAGTATCTCACAGCTGTTTACAACAATCAGCAATGCGTCAGCTTTCTCCACTTAATCTGGGACTACGGCCTGATGATCGGCAGTTTCTGGGGTGTCTTCCCTGATGTCACGAACAGTGGCCATCTGCCGCGATTATATCGTCTGGTGTTCAGGGGTACACACAGTATGCTAGCCGTAGAGGCTTCAAAGGCTCGATGTTTTGGAGGTGGGAAATGGTGGCCTCCTGACATCAGCGGAAGAAAGGGCAAATTTGGAGATGTGGGCCATTACCAAGAGCCCACTTCCGCTCTGGGCGAACTAATCGAAGATTATCAAAACGAACATATTAGTTGTGCTATAGAATCAGCTTCGTCCAATCTCCCTGCTAGATCTAAAACTGGGAGAAGCGAGTTATCAGGTATAAGAACCGAGCTGACCTGGAAAACAAGACGTTGATTTATTAATTGACCAAGACTCCCTGGGCATATCCGCAAATTACTTCACCCGCTCGTGTATGTCTGCGCCCGTTTTTGGTTAGCTCCATCCGCGCTGGTCCGGCAGATTTAGCACAGGCTAGGTAATCGGTTTCGTCGTATCGACTAGAGTCTAGTGCCGCGACTTTCTCAGTCGACCTTTTCGACGTGCCTGCGCTTGGAGCTGGAGCGTCTTTGTGGGAAAAATATTACAACAATACCCGGATACAGTAACATACGTCACGGCAACGCTGAGCTACACACGACATGGCGATTTACGAACTTCTGAAGAGCTGATTCCGACGATTTGACAGTACTGGAATTGGAAGTGATGTAACCAACGGTTCGAAGACAAACAGATTGATAAAAGTATATTCATTTTGATAGTCAAGTATGCGCAAAACGTTAGTTTAACATGTTGATTCATTCCTTCTGACAATAGGGTGGCGAGGGGAGGACTTAACCAAAAAGGCAGTGAAAAAGTAATGATACTGGGGTCGTTTACATGTTTGATTCATATTGCTTAGATAGGTCTCATGATACTAGATTTGATCTTGTACCTTGTTTTCCTTTATCTTTATATACACCGGGTTGAATACGCGAGAGAGAAAACCATTGCCATTATATGTCATACGAGTCTTAAAATAGGCAAATTGATGAAAGAGGTGTAGCCCGGCTGTGAAAGACCACAATAAGAAGCTGGAGTAGTTTAGTAGTCAGGAGGGCAAGGTGATTCTACCTGAGCGTAATGTGGGAGCAGAACATTGAGTTGTGGTGGAGAGCAAAGTTTATTTGAGGTCATTATCACAAGTGATAAGAGATTGGGTTGACTATATTCATAAGGATTCCGCGTACGGCATAAATACAAAAGAATCAATTCGTCTTTATTCCAACTTCTCCATCACTCAAGTTTTCACAACAAGCGCACCCAGTCTCACCGCTTCATAACCCCACCAAAGTAACCACACCCTGTGCAACCAACTTATGAATCGCCTGCCCAGGATGATAATCGTTAAACCACAAACATTTTATCCCATCCTTATTATAACATTTCGCATCCTTTGCTCCAAAACTCTTCGGATCTTTGATAGCAGTCTCGAACGCGACGGTCGTATCGAGTACCCACGTCGTAACTTCACTATGGTTTCCCTTAAAAGCCTCTACCCCCCGACCAAGTAGCCCATTGTACCGCACAACAGCCTCTCCTTCTTTCATTTGCGTACTACTGCTCTGTAGCATCACACTTGGCGTTTTCTGAATAGGTGGCACACTTAGAAATAGGAAATTCCTTGCCCCTCCCTTATATAACTTCTCAACTTGTTCCATATATCTGTTGATGACTGTTTGTGAGAGAGTAGGCCACTTTGGGTCAGACCATGCGTTCCCAACATCGTTGACGCCGATCCAGATTGCGCATAAGGTGTTGGATGGGGAAAGGGGACTCGGGAGGGGAGAGAGATTCTTGGTGAAGAGGGAGACTTGGTCGACGAGGGAGAGGACTGTAGATTGGAAAGGGCGTACAAGAGTGGCATCTGTAGTAGCGCCGCCGGATGCGAGGTTGTAGTTTAGCATGGTTGTTGAGGTTGAGGGTTGGAGGAGGTAGGTGATCCACTAGTGGTATTAACGTGAGAGGAGGGGAGACGGCATGTGGTATAAACGGGACTTACGTTGTTGCCTCCGCTCGTGGTATAGCCTGGGAAAGGTGGATTGCCGATTGGATTTGAGGTTGAGGGTTTGGTGCCTGTGATTGAAAACCCGGTTTGGGAATAGGAATCACCGCTTCTCAGTTGTTAGAATTTTGAGAGAAGTTCAAGAATTGGGCAACTGACAAAGTGATTAGGTATCTGAAGGGGCTGGCCCTGCTTGCGATGGAAGTAGGCGTCCCGACCACGACGGATACGCATGCCAAAATCATGAGGAAGTGAAGAGAAAACATGTTTGATAGAACTATCTCCGTGCCCAAATGAAAAGAGAATTTCTTTACAAATACATCGAGACTATATATTCCACTCGGAATAACTTTGTTCTAGCGCTTGCGGTCACATTCAACTTCACTTCCGCAATCTTATGAAGGCGGACGGAAACCCGTATAAACCGGCCATATATTGCACTGTTAGGGCTCATGTGGGGTAAACGGAGGAGAAGTAAAATCTTAAAAGGGGTGGGTAGTCGGCAAACGAGAACTATTTGACTCCAAAACTGCCTTGTTTTTTAGGATGTTTTCCCAGTTCTCCTCTGGAAAGTACGCTCAATTAGAATTGGGAATCTATATTAAATCATACCTTTCTTTTAACAAGATGCGGGGTCCGCTCCGTTCCAAGAAAGGTTAGCTTCCTACTCTTGCGCATGAAACACACCTACCGCAACTGCCCGTTTCCCAAGTGCTTTATGTGCCGATTAACACAATTAGCTAGTAGTGAGTGCTGTTTCGTCGATTGTCTTTCGTCGAGGGCTTGTCCGTTTTCTGAGCCCTTTAGCCAAAATTTCCTACTTTTAGCATATCCAAACCGGGACTAGTCCATTCGTCTAAGTTCATAGGAGGAAATATATGAGCATTGTGTGTTCTGCGGAGCAAATCCAGATGGAAATTTACATGTTTCGGCAATGTAAGCGAGATGGGAAACCTATCGTACTTAAACATCGCTATGTTCGCTCTTATTATGTTGAACTACAACCTTCGATCAGTCTCATTTAGCATCTTATTTCTTTATAGCATCCATACTGATGGCTTTAAACACAATCGCAGCCATCGTGCTCACCCTTTTTGTTACGTTCAACGATGTCCTTGCAGTTACACCGTCTCCTGGCTGCGGTATAAACCAAGCTTCCGGCACAGTATCCCACAAGACGACGGTTAATGGAAAACAACGATTGTACATTACCAATGTGCCAACCAATTACAACAGCTCAAGTCCTCATCGACTGATCTTCATGTTTCATGGCCTCGGAAATAGTGCGGCTGCCGTAGCCAACGGTCAGCAGGGCTTTCTACCCTTCATGGGTCTTCCTCCTCTTGCCAATGCAGACAGTATCGGTGCTATATCGGTGGCTCCAGATGGGCTAAACAGTGGATGGGCAAATTCCGGTGGTGAGGATATCGCATTTGTTGACCAGATGATCAGAGAAATCGAAGCCAGCCTGTGCATCGATCAAAATCTCCGCTTCTCAACTGGATTTAGCTACGGCGCTTCCATGACTTATGCCATCGCATGCGCCCGTGCTAAGCAATTCCGCGGCGTCGCAGTTGTCTCGGGAGCCCTGTTATCTGGGTGTACTGGTAAAACAGATCCTATCGCGTATTATGGTCAACACGGCACGAGCGATGGTACAATCCCAATTGCTAGTGGGAAACAACTGCGGGATACTTTTGTGGCTCTCAATGGCTGCACCAAGCAAACGACTATGGATGCGGCTCCCGGTTCCGGTACCCTAGTCAAGACTCAGTATCAAAACTGTAACAAAAACTTCCCAGTCACTTGGATATCTTTCGATGGTGGCCACACATCGACACCAACCACCAAGGGAGCAAGCAAGTCATTTACCCCCGAAGAGTCTTGGGCGTTCTTCAAGCAGTTTACGTAGATGACAAGGAGGAGGAATATTGTTGATTACTTGGTTTACGGCGTGGCTTGTGACGTCCAGCCATTGTTGGTCAGCGAGGGTTGGGTAGGACATGGAGGTGGGGGACACTTATACAGTACTAGTGAGAAAGAATACAGTGATCTGTTTGGTCGAAGGGGACTACCATTTCTTCATTCTATCATTGTTCGTTGGGGTCCCATGTAATTCTTCTCCACACAAGAGAACGACCCCGTTCTGTAAATAGTAGACTTTTTTGACTCCTCGCTTGTGGAAGCTTGTACTTTTTGACAGGTGCTTTTTTTGTAAAATCTCACTGCCCATCTGGCTCCCCCCAAGGGTTGGTTGGGCCTGATATCACCTATTTTGGCACATAGACCTCTAACTACGAGTTTCCTAATACCGGAAGCGGGAACATCAAATTTAGACGATGACTATGATAAGAATGCCCAGTGTTTGTAGTTTGCAGTCTCGAAAGACCCGGATATCCTGTCTTTTGCCGGTTTATGTTTTAGTTTTATTCCGCCTTCAAAACTGTTCATACCCTTGAACTAGTTACTAAATTTAGGGTATTTCATACCAAGTAAGCTTAAAAACGAAAAAAGAGACATGTCTTAATAAATCTTTCCAACTAGTTACTACTTACATAGGACTGGTATGGAAGAACACACTAAAACACAGAATAAGGAAAAAAGGAAAGAAAGAGGAAAAACGGGCCGAATCAAATCTTCTATTGTACTGCCTGAGTGTGTTCTTTGACTTTTGTTGCCTTATGCCTGCTCAATGGTGCATATACACATGCTTTCTCGTGGAACACGCATTTGCAAGTGCTATACTTTCCCGCCGGACGTCCAAGACCATCAAATGCATCGTGTTTGCAACTGCCGAACTGCGGAGAAACGTCCCAGGTGATGTTGTTTCAGTGTTGATTTTAAACAAGCGTTACCAGAATCTTCCAGAGTTCGCTTCTCAATTTATGCTTGAGATCCCAGCGACGTTATGGTGTCCTCATTCGGCACGGAAGGTCACCTTCCGGACTTACATCTCACGACATTCAAGATCTATCATTGACGACAATAGACTCCAAACTGCATGCTACAGTAAATACTAGTTTTCCCACTTGGCAAAAAAGTGTTTACTAAATTACGTCACGCCTTTCAAACCTTAGGCTCTGACATAATAGGCTTGATAGGCACAGTGCAATTCTGCCAGTAATGGGATATTCGTTTCTGTAGATTGTGGCAATAATCTTACCAAGCCTACCGTCATCTTCTTCTAAGTTTCTGAAGCTATTCCTTCCAATTCCAATTTTCATTGTCACCAGAAGACTATCGATAGGGCAGTTCTAGAGCTGCTCCCTTTTGCATTCATATGCCTAGTGACAGCAATTCCCTTCTCCGCAGATTCAGGCAACATTGAGAATGAAACCACATGAAACAACAATCTCAGCAACGAGCAACCTTTCCCTTTGGTTCAAGACGCAAATTCACCATCGATGGCTCAACCGTCCACTCCGTAGAAAGCAATCACTACTAGATCTGCTTCCTCACCAATAACGTTGAGGTTAATACTGTGATGAATCCTCACCTGTTGCCTTGTACTAAAGTCTCCAGGTTTAAACTACATTTTGAAACCTACATTAGGAGTTTGGTACTAGACTTTCATTTTAGGGCAGCACCCAAGCACAGTACTGCTACAATCGGTTTGCAAAGGACTCACTACGTCGTCAAAAGCGCCGAAATAATGGTATTAAACTTATTGCCAATTTCGTGAACAGTTGGGGTGATTATGGGGCATACCTGCCTCCTTAGATGTCTATGGCACCATCAAGATCACTTTGTACACTAACTCCAATGTTCAAGATCAATAACAGACGTATATCAAATCAGTACACTGCCAGTCGTAAGTCATCATATCAATGTTCCCTCTATTTTTGTGTAGTAAGTGGCAAATGAATCGAGATGCAATGGCTGCGCGGTAGGTATCGTTAAAAATTGGGCAACCAAAACAAGTGAGTATGTTAAGAGCTTGATTCCGAATTATTTTGATCACACTGGGTGATGAAGGGTTTATGAATTGTGGAGGTGGTAGAACTTATCCTTACGCGAAAGGAGAAGATGTTGAATTTGAAGGAAAACCTCATGAATCTTGTATCGTCTCCATAATCTTCCTTTGTGAGTCCTACTGACCTGTAAATCAGAATGTCAATTTTGGCTCAACATATCTATATCTTGGATGATGGGGCGTTAGCAACAGTTGAGGCTCCCCTGAGATCGCAAATCACGAGGGCATCTGTGCAAAGGTGGGGAAAATATATATTCTCGAGGAACACAGATGGTGAAAAGCTTGCACGGATAAAGATCGGTAATGAAAGAATGCGAATCGTGGCTCAATACCTGATCATCAGATGTCAATACTAGATTTTAAGAAACTTAGATGTATTTTAACGCTACCGCAAGGCAGCATGTTCTAGCCATATACCAATCCAGCCAGTTTCTGGTCTGAAACCAATTGACCCTCTCATTCCTCTTCCGGAGACATCCGACCACCAGACGCAAGATTGGCAGGATTACCTTCCAATTCCTCCCAGGGAGGAATCAAGAAGTAGAATAGACCATGAACCATGCCCGCCGAAATGTCCGCAACCCTATCCTACATTAGCTCATCTCACTTTTCAGATGTTGGGACACATACCAATGAATCCAATGCCACCCTACAAACCGACTCCCAACAAACGCCCCGAAACACCTCGCAGGATTCATACTCGCACCTCCGCTCCCAAATTTCGAGAACGCAGTCCCAAAACTGATAAGTCCAACTGTCATGCCCACCAAAAACGGACCTAGACTCGGTCCAATAATCTTCTTCTGTCTTGGATCAAGACCAACCCCAAACGCGAGGAACAGTAAAGCAGAGGTACACATGAACTCCAACGCCCAGGCCGAGCCTACAGTTGCGATATCCGTGAACAGAAAACAGCCACCGGTTTTGAAATCCCGAGAGCCATAGGCGGCGCGTACCATAAGGCCGGCGAGGGCAGATCCGGCGGTTTGTGAGAAGACGTAGAGGACCATCCGGGGGAGAGAGCAGAGACGTGCGAAGAAAGTGGCTATTGTTATCGTGGGGTTGAGGTGAGCGCCGGTGAGACCGCCAAAGGTGTAGGTGAAGAGGGTTATGAGGAGCCAGTTTGTGATACCACCGATGAGGGGTCCGATGAAGGTCGCGTTGGCGAAGGGTCCCCATTCTGGTGATGGGGCAGTGGGGAGGATGTCGGGGGAGAGGTTGATGTAGATTGTGAGGAAGTTGAGGAGGAAGGAACCTGGTCAGTTGGTTAATCCGGAATGGTATGAAGGGAGGGGGGCTCAAAATACCCATTCCTTCTAATATAGCTGCTTTCCAGAGTCCCGGCAGGATGAAGCCATTGAGGTCCAGCTGATCCCTCAAGGACATACAAGGAGCAGCATCGGGGACTGCTTTGATTTTGGAAGCATTCAACAAGTCGCTTTCATCGAGAGCAAATTCTTGGTTGCCTCCTAGACGACCGATGAAGGGCTGAGTTGTCGTTTTGTAATGACGATGCATTTTTGGTCGATGCTCTGGTTGGGGAATATGATGATTATTTCCACTTTCTGGGACCGCTTTCTCTGCATCCACCTGTACCCTCGCGCGCAACGACATTTTTAACGATGTTTTCCCAGAATTTTTGAACGACCAAATTTTGTCCCTCGTCAATGACCCCTTACACAATTCAATCAGGGGCTCCTTGATTTTTGTCTGTTGACAGATGAAGCGCTCTCGATGGCGGTTGACGTTTTGAAGATCTGAGAACCGCCCGTATTAGAAGTACTGACAGGGCTCGATAGCCAATCGCAAATGACTGAAATTAAATCAGGAAAATGAACAAATACAGCCGTGCGGGCGGCTTTTGTAAGGATTAGATGCTGAGTAACGACGTTGCATTAGTCGAAATTTCTCGTCAGCACCCTGTCACCACCACTAATTGTGAAGGGTAGAGGATAGGCTATGGAATTGCCAATCTCTATGATAATTCTTTAGAAAGCTAGGTTCTTGCACTATACGAAAGATGTTTATAACACTCACTGCATGGAAATTTATGCTAACTCATAAATTTCCCATATTCCACCAATTCGCATTTCCATCATCTGTTCTTTGTTGAAAGAAATTTTCCGCAAGAACAGCCAGTTCGTCGTCGGAAAATTGGAATGCGCCAGTATTTGTCACTACGGGTGTCATCGCAAAATTCATATATGCACTGTGGTCTGGTACAGCAGTCGTTGGCGTGTTGCTTGCACTGGGTGTGCCAAATTCTTGTCTTTCAACACGGGTCGGTTCCGGCAGAATCGTGGTCTGGGCCATCTCTGTTCGCGAAGCTGGGATCGTTGAAGAAAGTGACGGTCCAAACATGTTTCTAGCTGAGCCGGCGATTTCACTGGAGGATGAGTATTCCAGAATCTCGAAGAATTGACCAAGGTCAATTAACAGTTTGCGATTTTGCCGAATTGGCTCATCACTCGCAACTTGAGTTGATGATACTGTTTCGCTGAGCTTGTGAAGTTTATCTGCCTGGAAATTGTGAGCGACATTCGAAGGTAAGAGAGGTCTAACGAACTATTCGCCCGACATGAGGCCAGTAACTTCCAAACCCTCTAATAAACTTCAGACATTTTTCAAAATGTTCCTGCTTCTCTCTTCTCTTGGTCATATCTTCCACGAAACTTTCCTGCAAGTATATCGTAGCAATAATAGCTACGCAATGTGCCAGAAATGGATCGGTAACTATGAATTGTTTCGAATCCAACATATCGATGAAATTGATAATCCACGATGCATGTGTTGATATTAAATCAGAAGTATGTTGGAGAAAGATTTCAGGAATGACCCCTTTGAAGTTTCGTAGGCGCAAGGATATCAAGAGAGGGTGATTCAAAAGACACAAATTGGTGTGATAGAGAAATTGAATCAAAAGCCATGGTCCCCAGTAATCTCTGGTACCATTTAACTCGTCGATTGATCGTTGAGAGAATTTCGAAGGGGCGAATCGATGGGTAAACGGCATCCGAGTTTCAGCATCCATCTGTTGACCTAGGATAGTCGAGTATTCTGACTGTGGAGACCACGGAGGAAGCTCGTTGGGGATGCTTCTTCTCCAAGCATATCGAGTAACTTTGAACCAGATTTCGCTCATCTGTATTGCGTATGCCACGATTCCCTGGTCCACTGAAGGCTCTGGACTGGCGCTAAAGCTCTGATTTCCTGTCGCTTCATGGTTAATTACTTTACCGGTTGTTTCTGGGTACCGTGGAAAGTTTTCGTCAGTAGCGAAATCAAGCACCATAAAATCAGCACCATGAAGCCTTTTGAGAAGAAAGAGACTCCAAAAACATCTCCTCCTTTCTTCCTTCTGTGATCTTGATACTGGCGCGTAAGTTTCGCCGGTCAAACCAGCGTTATGAGCCAGGCTCATGGCCAAGCTACTATGCACACTAGCACGACGTTTCTTTCCATCTACCAAGGTTAACCACTGAGAAAGAATATTTTCAACATAATCTTACCTGTGAAGTCCACTAGTGCCAGAAGGCAAAGTGATTGAATGGTTGAAAGCTCAACGTCTCCATCAAATACTCTCTTAGAAATAATAGTTCTTGAAGCTTCCACGTATCCGTCTACAAGTTCTATCTGGCTGGCCCGAATTGTACCGTCGGAAAATCTGGAAGCCAGAGCTAAAACCGCAAAGAGAAGTTCCGGATCTCGAGTGCGTAATGACCGAATGAATGACTGTCGATGAAATAGTGGTAGCGGTTGACAGTCACAGTAGAGTAGATATGTTTCGGCAACACTCTGGATCGTGTCCCATGTTGGAAGCCGACTATTGACCGTCAATAGCTGTCCATTAAACAACAAAAAATACCTAATTACCTATCACATGGTGGTCTGACGGGGTCTACTCGAATTTGAGATATACTTGGGGATGCCGATACATGTCTCGAGGGACTTCCCATGTGAGACACTTGATTAGCGAGTACTTCGGCCAGCCGTGCTTCAACATTCTTCAGCCTGTCTTCCTAAGAATACTTCAGTAAATAAGTCGTCGGTATGGATTCATTTCCTTACTAATCTCGGATCATTTGTTGGGGCTCTCGAAGCTCGCGGTGAACGCAGCGGAGAAAGGCTTCTTCTCGCCACGCCATTATCCTGTCGTTCTTCCGCGTATACACAAGTCTGTCTCAACCTTGTACATAAGGAACAAGCTGGTTTCTCACCAGGACATCTTGATTTCTTGCGACTTTTCATTTATATTAGGATGTATCTCGATGATGTGGAGGGGTTGTATGTTTACCGACACGGTTCGCAAGCTTGTCTTACGCGTTTGGCGGGTCTTTCTGATGAAGATGACATGATACTATTCATAGATTGAAGCCATTGAGCCTGAAACAAATCTGGTCAACCCAATAGATATTTGCAGATGTGTTATTTGGTTCAGAAGCCAGAGAAAAGAATCGGTGCTCCCAGTGGAGATCCGGATGACAGCCGGCCCGCGGGTCCTTGGCTGAGTCATCAAGGCTTGGCATTTCAATCCCATTCCAGATGAAATTAATTTCGTGTTCTTTTCAAGCAACACATTATTAAAAAGTGACCCACGGTAGGTACAAATGTGAATGCATGTCTACGGTTGTGCGTCAAACACACAACTATCGATACGACTATGATGTGGTTTCAAAACGCAGTCTTCGAAAAGCCTTCCATCGAGCATCGTTCGATCTTAGAAACTTTCTCCCTGATATCATGACTGACGTCCAGCTATTTACGGATGTTAGAAGTTTCTTCATCTCAGCGTTCTCCAAACCTCGAAATGCGGATCAATCAAAAGCTACTTGGAAGTAAAGGAACATATTGCGGTTTTCGAAAAAGATTCAAGCTCATATCACACATAGTTTGAAAATTGTTCAGAAATAATAGTATTTCGATAAAGACAGTTCATAATTTCGTGTTCGTATAGTAATTCCAATCTTACCCCTTACGTTAATCGAGATATACTCACATTTTCCTAGCCTCGCTTACTTAGGTGTCAAACATAGTATTGATCCTCCACCACAAGTTCCACGACTTCCAATCCTCTTCAACAAATGCAGTCTACACTATCACACTCAAGTCTCAATCAGCCTCTCCTCCTCCGACACTCTCTCACTACTCCCCTCACCGGCTCTAACAATCTTCAGCGAAAAGCTAATTTCAAACCCCTTCCCTGGAAGTCCCCAGCCCTTAAAGCTGCCCATCCTTCCCACCCAAAATTTCGTCTTCACAAGCGCCCATGCCCTCAATATCACCAGTCCCACGCTCAACAACCCAACCGCAATACCCATAATACCGGCCACGCCCATCATCACGCATATGCGATCCCTTGCCGCCACACACTCGGGCTTTTCTGGCAGCGGATCCCGGTGATATGGGTTACTCGGGTCATATGGGCGGTACCTAGAGCATGAGGAATAGCTTGGGTAGCCCTGCGATAGCAGCTCGGCTGTGAATACGAAGATGACGATAGTCATGACGAGGTCGGTGATGAGGGGGATGATGGCGGGGAGCGTCAGGAAGAGGTGTGGAGTGAGGAGGAAGGTGGTAGTGAAGAGCTAGGGGATAAGTTAATAGTCTGTTTTAGGAAGTGAAGAATAGTACGTACGACGATGGCGAGGTCGCGGACCGTGTCAGCAGAGGAGGTGTCATAGCGGCTGTTTTCGAAAGGGGCGATAGAGATGAGGATGTAGATTGCGATGAGCAGGGCGAATGTGAGGACGGATGTGAGTGCTGTGAGACCACCCAGAATCTTGAGGGGACGCTTGAAATAGGTCGAAGCGGCGGGGCTTTTGGGACTGTTGGACTGGCGTTCGTAGTCATCGTCGTGCTCGTTATCGCTCAGAAACGGGGCGCTTTCAGATGCCATTTTGGTTAAGCGAGGGAATGTAAAACAAATGGATGGTAAAATGATGAATCACTGTAGAAGTAGACTCCAGATTTTGATATACAGACTAGAATTATTTCCGAATGAAAAGGCTGTTTATATCTTACACCAACTACCTCGACGCCGCATCAGCCCCAGATCACGTGCAAGGCTTCGCCCACTCGTACTTGCAGATCTTTGCATAAAACAAACCGACTAGGACTGACTTCCTGAACGTAAGGCTGATTTCACCCGCATGCCCGCTACGAGTGGATGGAGTCTCGTATTCCATGCTCCATCCCTCAGTTCTCGCTTAGCTTGCCCAGTCAACGTGCTACAAGCTCATGGCCTTCGGCAGGTATAAGTGTAGGATTTTGAGGGTCTGAGATCGCGGTTAACGTAAATTGCTCCATATTTTGTTAGAGCGTGAGGCTTAGGTGTTTTTTGTTCAAGTTTTGTGAAAAGAAATCTGAATAGGCGGATGAACTACTGTTGCTTTGCGATGTGTCATTGTGTGAAAGGACGATGAAAACTATTAGAATAGCTGAACATGAGTTTTTGTCAAGGGTTGAAAAGCGTTTTAGAATTAGAACTACTAGTTGCTAATTTCCGTTTAAAGAAACGGGGAGATAGTCTTCAATATACATATATGGTATGTAACTTAACAGTGTCTTTGGAGAGAAGTCTACAATAATTGAAGAAAGATTTCACTTTCTATTCTCTACACTTTTTCACAGTAAAATATTTTCAATAAAATAATTTCTATTGTTGAAGGGTGATTCTTACTATGTTTAATTATCTGCAGCTTTCCACTGTTGAGAGTTAAAGACAAAGTTATGATATAAATTCTACTGTAGTAAACTTTTCAAAGCATCATTTTTAATCAACCTTACAAAACCCTTCCCTAACCTCACGACCAATACCCATCCCCTTACGAACGTCTGCAGTATATATTATCTTAGAGCTCTCCAGATCTCGAGATACATGACCCAAAGTGTCAAGCTTCCAATCCAAACTATCAAGATGACCTCCTCTCGTTGCCGCCACAAGAGTAGAGAACTTGTTGTCTTTAAATTTACCTGCATTACTTCTTTGGGCTCTGATTCCCAGAAAGACAGCAAGACCAGTTGTAATGACAAAGAACCCATAGGAAAGTATGAGTTGTACTTTATGGTATTTGAAGACATTTCGGAGTCTGGTTTTAGTGCAGTTGTACCCAATTCCCTCGTCATCTGAGTTGACAAAGTTGGTTGCGTCTGTAACGACAATGAATTCAGGTTTGGAAAGTAGAGATAGTAAGATGTCTTCGTAGAGAGATTGGATCCTGTCCTTAAGATCTGGATACGGAAGATATGGATTAAAACTAATAAGTTTGGTGTTTATTGCTTCAGTCGCCACAATTGGTACACTGTCTTCGTTCAACGTAATATTACCGTCTATGGTTTCTCGAAACTTGACTCCTAGCGAACGGTAGGCTGCTAGCAGTCTGTATTTCGAAACATCCTTTGGAAAAACGAAATTCTCGCTTGGCGACGCTGTCTCGGAGCCGTCCTCGCGAAATCCTAGGGTGGTGTTTTGTATTTGTTCGATGATTTTTTTGCCGGGAAGAACTGTCGTGTTCTGGGTTCCCGAAGAGAAGTTGAACAGCACAGAATATTGGAACAGCTGATAGTCGCATCTGAAGACCTTTCGGGCGAAACTAGTGCTCCAAGTTGGATCTGTTTTGGCTGGAACCTTTCCATTATTCGCTTCGTTGAGCATAGAATGGCCAGCCCATATGACAGTCTCATGTTGGAAAACACCCAAAGTTTGGGAAATGGAGGTTTGGTGGTTGGAATACCTTGCGGACCAGCATCAATTTGCGATTTCGCGTAATCCCCGAGTGTAGCTTTAGCGACATATATCGTGCTTCCAATGGGTACTAAGACATCTGGGTCGAATGGAACTTCTAAAATTAGTCAGAATTGATTTTGATGAGCTAATAAAACAAGATCTTATGGCAGAGAACGAGTGACTACCATTGGCTCGCATTGATTCTGGTTTCTGTTCGGTGGAACCATGAGCTGAATAATTGGCGTTCAGGAACATGCAAAGAGACCTGAATTGTAAAGCAGTAGCCATGATTGTATAAGAACTCTCCACGTACCTGATATTTCTACAACATCAGAGCATTGATAACCTGGCGCCGTAAAGTCTATAACGAAACTACAATTCCATCCCAGTCCACAAATTTCTGAAGTGGCTTGTGACCGAGGAATTGGCTTTTGCGCGTAACTTGCATGTTGTGAAATCATATTCAGCACAGAGTTCGGGGTTGTATAGTAGTCAAAACAGTCCGGATCAGTGTCTATAAAATCAGCGCAGGTAGTGTTCCACCAAGATAACGGCAACTTGATATCTCCATCTATTTTTGAAGTTTTTCTCCAGTCATTGTGCTCCTCGGCAGAAAAATTAAGCGTCTTGATTGAGGGGCACTGGGTGTCGATCTTCAATAGGGATTGCTCCACGGTGAGTGTCGCTGGTGGAACAACACTCATGATAGGTGCTATCCTGTAATCAAAGCTGTCAGCTCTGCACCCAACCGCCTTGACAGTCTAATGCATGAAAGAACCCAATCATACCAGACGATCGCAGCTACCAGTAGTGCAATACTTGCTCTTGACCATAACTTCATATCCAAAAAGGCCGTTGTCTCGCTGGTTGCAGCAAAGAACCTATCAATCGAGCCAATTGAAAAGGGTTCTTTCCTGACAGAAAGCCACATTTGCTGTTGGAATGAAACAATTATGGATCCGACAAAAGCGACTTTTGCCAGGTAGGCAATTGCTGATCCTCGATATTGAACTGTCAACTGACGATCCGCCTCTTTCCCGTGTAGGGATGCATAATAGGCGTAATGGGCTACGGCGGCAAGACATCCGATCCCAAACAGCACTAGCATGATCCACCGCGACTTGAATGCTCTCCAGTGTTCTGTGACAACATACAAAGGAGGGCGAATTGGACGGGCGGTCGGCGTTTGCGAGAGCTGGGCAGTAGCATCAAGCAGCCCAGCGTCAGACCCGTAAGATATATAATTATTCCCTGCATCGAAGGATTTCCTGGGGGTATGAGAATATGGTGAGGCATTTGATGATGCAAATGACCTTCCGAACGTAGGCGTTGCAACGAATGCAGGGGATGTCATTTCGAAGCAAGGACTCTGTGAAGACATGAAGTTCAAAGCGGCTATTACAAGCAGGTAACTGGTGTCAATCAGCCAGAAGTATGGTTCGGGAGAATGATAACAGATACTCGTATTGTTCTTCCTAAAGTTTCTTCAGCTTTCCAAAATTCTCGTTATTTGTCATGCGGTCAGAGACCGAAAAGAGTCTTTCAAAAGCCCAAAATTATTCAAGGATCCCAGAAGAAAACGGCTTCTACCGGCCAGAAAATTGGACTACCGAAATGAATCCCCGTCTCATCGCTAGACAAAGTTTAGAGAGCTTTTGTAAAATGAAATGATTGCTGGTCTGTTGCGTGTTCGGAGACCTACAGTGTCGAATACGCACATTGCCGTAGAAATCAAGTAACACACCAACTTAAGACTAGCCACGATAAGGCACACAGAATACTGTAAAGAGTAGAAACTGCCGTGAGCGGAACATGGACGCGTGTCAACACCCCAATCAGTGTTAAGTAGCAAACAGCTGAAACACGTGCTTGGGATGTGATTTGCCAGTGCCGCGTGCAGACATGCGAATTCCCATGCTGATGTAGCACACAGAAGGAAAGACACATCAAGAGGGGCAGAATGGTGCTCGAGGCAGCCTCTCGCTAACAAAGCCTATAGAACATGAAAAAGCTTCAAATGCCAAATTTCACCTAAAAATCGAGAGTACACTATAGACCAAAATACAGGTCTAATTATGGAAGTTGTATCATGTGTAGCTGGAAGTCCTATGGATTCTCTAATGCTATTCTCATAGATCATGCTAGCAATATGTATATCTCAGTAGGTTTCCATCTTGTGCGGCTTGACTTTCCTCATCTCTTAAACATTGATATTACTCCTACAACCGAACAAATAGTTCTCAACTTTTATCAACTCTTATCAGGAGCTGATGCTTGCATCGTCCGATCCAGCCACACATATGTATGTCTATTCTCTCCCACATAGTGAGTTTTTCCATCATCCAATAAGACAGCCTCGTTCCAATCAACATAATTCCCGTCATCTAGTGTGCCGCGCTCCCGAGGCGGTGGAAAAGCATCTGAAGGAGGAGGTGAACGATGAAGCGGTAGTTTGAGGAGAGGTTTTGGGCGTTCTTCAATATACTCTCCTGGCATTGCGGTCAAATCGAACTCGAACTGGGTTTCAATCGAACGGTTACGTCTACGAACTCTTCGCAAAATTGTGTCTCTGTCTACGTGAGCTTGAACGCTACGTGGGCGCGGATCCTCATCTTCAGGCTCTGCTTCTTTGTTTTCAGTCTCCATGCCCATCATTTCATAAAATTCCTCGACGTATGGATTTTCTCCTGGGAATTCAGTATCTGGAACTGTCATTTTGTTAGAAACTATGTCCCTTGCTGTGACAGTGACGTACAGTAATACTTCCACATCTGCAATTCGGCGCGGTATATGTTGAATTCTACAGTCTGCCCAGGCATATCTTTTCGTGTATCTTCGAGGCAGGATATGATCTTCTTGTCAATATTGTATCGTGTAAGACTTCGGTCTGGAAGGTGTGGACATCCATCACGGAAAATCTTGTTCCACAAAGTAAAGAAAATGTTTTCTGAATATGATCCTGGCGGTCTAGCGTATCTGAGCATGAAACGCTCTTCGTCATCATTTCCTATCGTGTTTCGTAAATATTTCGCTGTGTTATCACGGGTGGTCAAATCGTAGTATATCGCGATGTGTGGGTTTATTCCGTGAAAGCCAGGAGTTCTCGCCCCACCTGTTAATCATGATAAGTGTCAAGAACAACTGGACCCGGAGAGAACGACTCACAAAGGATCACATACAGTTCCCTTTCGGTTCGAAACATCAACCATCCCCTTGACTCGAACCCCTGAGCCCTGCTCACAACATCTCGAAATACTCTCCGATACAGGCTTCGAAACTCCTTGGAGTCAAGACCAAGCTCCAATGCTTTGCTCTTCAACGGTCGTGTCATGTTAGAATATGCGCTTGGAAGCTCTGATAATTTAATCTGATTTAAAGTCTGTGGCGCAATGTAACTTGTCAGCATCAAATCCTCAGTATTGGCACAGAAGTAGTATTACTTGTGAATCAAACATCAAGCTGTCTGGTAGTTTGGGGGTGTGCACCATGTGTCCGAAGTCTTCTGGTACGGGTCTGGGTAGATTCCATGGTTGGCCCTCCACTAAACGCGTATTAGCACGTAACTAAAAGTAATGCAGCACAACTAGAACATACAATACCAATCCCATAACAGTGAGTCAGCTATACATATATGAATGTCAACTTGATACTCCATGTCCTCAGAAGGAATCTCGCCCGTCTCTAAATCAGGCATGCATAGCTTCCGTTACAGGTCCCGCCGGGAGACGAAAGCTGAACGATCTGATTTCGGACCTCTTTCTTTTTGAACTAGCTCCCAGATGTATTTCTCACAGCTTTCGTAGGGCATAGCTACGGTTTGGAGAGACAACGACGTAGTTGTGCTTGTAGGGAGAAATTTGCGACGTTGTTGTTGACGTGATGTAGAAGTAAACACTCACCTTTGAGAAAAAGTGCGAGAATTGTGGCATCACTAGCCGAGAAACACCACCTGTGCAAGTGGAACAACACCAGACAGCAGCTACAACACAAATGCAGATTTGTGGTCAATCCTGAGCTTTTGACACACTTCACATTTACCTTTGAACATATTTCTGGCAAGATACCAATCCCAAGGTTAACGAATCTGGAATAGCATGCTTCACCTTTGCAGTGTCGCTCAGAACCCCAGAGGATAATGCAAACACTGCAGGTATCTCTGTATTGATGCGTGCAGGTAGATTCCTAATATCTTTCAAACGACAGAAAGTGAGAGTGAACTGGGGCGGCCAAGTATTAGCCATCACCACGCCTGGTTTATCATTATAACACTTTGGGTACTTGTTCGTGGCAGTGAGCTTGAGGAAGCACCTCGGACCCTAGATTGGCGCTGAGAAGTATACAAAGAGTTGGGCGAAGAAAGCGACGCCATTCTGTGTTGAGAGGTGTGTTAGGACCCACCCATGAAGATAGCGGTACTGCTTCCATAAATCAATTAGCTTTTAACACGAAATGATTATCAAGATATTTGCTGGATGTATCTGTACGGAGTCGAGCACCTCGATGTACAAGTTCGTCTTCGAGCGAAAGTCATTATTTATTATCTTAAATTACAATTTACTCGCACCTCTTCAACGCCTCATTAAAAATCTGCACAAACTCCCACACCTCCTCGTAAGTATTATACATCGGCACCGGCGCTACACGAATGACATCGGGTTTTCTCTTATCAGCAATAATACCGGCTTCTTCCAACATATTCGACAAAGTCTCTAGACGGCCTGGTTTCAGCAAGACGCTGAGTTGTGTTCCGCGGGCTGATGGGTCTGAGGGTGTGATGATCTTGAATGCGCGCTCGCCTTCTGTGGACGTAGAGAGGAGGAGATGTTCGAGGTATGCAGTGATGCTTAATGCCTTTTTGCGAACGTCGGCCATGGACGACTGGTTGAATACGGAGAGAGATGCGCAGAACGATGTGAGATCCACGACCGAGGGGTTGGAGACTTGGTACCCACTGGCCCCCGGACTAGGTCTGAAGTTGTTGTCCATATTGAATCTTCCGACCTGGTCTCCTCCATACCAACCTGAAAGTCTGGGTCTGAAGACAGCGCTGCCATTTTCTGGATATTCAACCTTTCCATGTCGTTCGTGCACGAACAATCCGGCGATGCCTCCAGGTCCGGAGTTCATGTACTTGTATGTACACCAAGCTGCAAAATCGACATTCCAGTCGTGAAGTTGAAGTGGCACGTTTCCAGCTGCGTGGGCGCAGTCCCAACCTATCAGAAGACCTTTCGATTGTGCGTGTACGGTGATTTTTTGAATGTCGAAATACTGGCCGGTATAGTATTGGATTCCTGGAAGCATTACCAATGCAGTGGTTGAAGCGTGTTCATCGATAAGTGTTAGAATGCTTTCCGTGGAAACCTCGTATTCTCCCTCTTTTGGACCGATCATCACCATACACTCTTTAGGATCATATCCCCACATCCGTATCTGCGACTCGATGGCGTAATGATCACTTGGAAACGCTTTCCAGTCCAGAATGACTTTATTTTTCGTCGCGGTTGGCTTGTAGAAACTTCCCATTAGGAGATGTAAGTTTCCGGTCAGCGTTCCCATCGTGGCGACTTCTGAAGGAGAAGCTCCCACGAGAGGAGCTTGTTGTTTTGATGCATGTTCGGCGAGAAGTTGCCATTGTGTAAGCGGTGAGTCTTCTAGATCTCTGAAATGACCATTGACAGCGATTGATGCCCAGGTGTTGAGATGGATATCCAGAAATTCCCGTGTTGCTTTTGGCTGCAAACCGAGAGAATTTCCGCAAAAGTAAATCACTGGGTCATCCGTTGTTTGTTCTGAAGGAAGAGGTTGTTAGGATCACGTGGTGACGCGGGGATAAAGTGGGTCTTACCTGGCCTGACCACTTTCTTCGATTTTGTGTTTGCTTTCGAGGGGATAATGAACTTTTCACGAAATGATCGCATATGGCATTTGGCATCGAGAGAGCGCGCATATTCTCGTGAGTTTGCATCTTTGCCAAAGGTTGGCTTTGTCTCTTTTGGGGCTTCTATCGCAATGGAACCCATGATGAGCGATATGGGATAAGGAATCGGTTGGTGGCGAGCTGAGGTGGCTGTCTATGTTTTCACAACAACGATGGAAGGGATAAGTGAGTTGAGGCGGTGGCAGAATGAAAAGATAAATACTGATGGAGCTCCAGATCTTATGTGAATGCGAGAATAATGAATAAAGAACAAAACATTCTAACGGATTCTCTCCCACTTTGTACTTCCCTCTCTCTTGGACTACATACTACGACCGCGCGAATCCGCTCTGGGAAGCTCATGACGGCTGCCAATACATGTTCGATTCAGAGCTAGCGGATCGTAAGGTTAAGCCGTTAGTGCGCACCAGGCGTTTTCCGCTCTTCCGCCTCTCTTCCGCTTCCGTGTCTCCACGTGTATCTTGTTCCGGTCCAGATTCCGGCCTCATCCGGCGGGCATGAATCGCCTAATTCGTGTGATACTGGCGCTCGTGATGAATTTGTTTGTCAACAAGCCAACTTCCAAGGTTTAATCGAGAAAAACGGTGGAAGAACAGTGGGTTTTCTTTAGTAAGATTTCTTTTGAGTTTTCTCCGTTGTTTATCCTCATCTTTTGGCGTTGTCCTACAAAAGCGTCATATCTATGTTCACCTCAATCAATACACACGCATTTCTCCTCTCACTTGTTGATTCACATCTTCTCAGCATCAGCGATTACTTTAGTCAGTCTTCACCTTTGGAAAATACTCTAATCTTAATTCTGGCACTCTTGTCAAATTTTGCGATATATAAATCTTCATTTACGAGTCGAGGACTTGAGGAGCTGCTCCGGGTCATCTTTTCATTTCAACGGCAGAGGACGACTTTTCAATATGCTCAGTCCACCTAGCACTAACTTGGCGGCATATGCGGTCTCAATCACAAATGGCTTTCTTCCAGACGAGCACCCACTCCTACAACTCACCGACGACTATTACCTTCCATGGGAGTCGGTAATAGGTCAACTTCCGCAACTCCTGGATTCCAACACACTAAGAACGACAGTCGATAAACTTCCAGTGCTCTCTACATCACATCTCCAGACTGAACCAGAATGGCGGCGAGCCTACCTCATCCTCTCCTTTTTCACTCACGCATATATCTGGGAAGCTGGTGGACCATCAGATGTAAGCAGTCGGCTCATGAACCATCGGAATATCTGCTTACAAGTCTCAGCATCTGCCACCATGTATATCTATCCCTATGCTCAAAGTAGCCGCCCACCTAGCTCTCCCCCCAACAGCGACCTACGCAGCACTCAACCTCTGGAACTTCGCTCCCCTCGATCACAATGTCTCCCTTTCCAACATTGACAACTTACGCACACTTAATACATTCACTGGTACTGCTGACGAAAGCTGGTTCTACCTCGTCTCCGTCGCCATAGAATCCCACGGTGCTTCATTAATTTCAACAATGCTACGAGCAATCGAAGCGTGTTCTACTTCCAATACCTCTTTGGTACTCTCTTCTCTGACTTCATTCACCTGCACAGTGCGTGAGCTCGGTGTTATCCTGAAGCGCATGAATGAAGGTTGTGATCCTCTGGTTTTCTACAACAAAATCCGTCCTTTCCTAGCAGGAAGCAAGAACATGGCTGTCGCTGGCTTGCCAAACGGAGTCTTCTACGACGAAGGCGATGGAAAAGGCGAATGGAGAATGTTCAGCGGCGGCAGTAACGCTCAAAGCTCTCTCATCCAATTCTTCGACGTGGTATTAGGCGTCGAACACGCTTCCAAACCTGGTACTACCTCAAAGAGCGGCTTTCTCAAGGTAACATCCCCTCTCTCCTCTTTCCCTTTATAATTTAACACCCTACCAGGAAATGCGCGCCTATATGCCCGGCCCCCACGCCACCTTCCTCAACTCCCTCCCCACACCCTCACCCATCCGCGAATTCTGCAACGCCTCACCAATCGCCGAACTCGTCGAAGCATACAACCTCGCAGTCAAAGAACTTGCTGCATTTAGAGACATCCATATCCAAATCGTGACACGATATATCATCCGTCCGGCGCGCATGCAGCAGGGTGAACGGGGAGGCAAGGGATTGAATTTGGCAGTTGCGAGTAATGGGTTGGAGAAGGGGCTGTGTGGGACAGGTGGTACAGAGCTACTCCCATTCTTGAAGGGAAGTCGGGATGAAACTAAGGACGCTGCGTTAGGTTAATTCCGACGAAGGGGTGATGCAGTATTGGCTTTGGCATTTGGATGGAGTTCTGGGAGCGTTGGATCTTGATAGCATTTTAGAGCTTGACTACATTTATGGGGTTGATATTTGGATAGATCTTTTCGTGAATTTGGCGTTGGATTTCCCGCCGCATCGTCGAGGAAGAAAGCGGGATGATCGATGATATTCATACTACTTCGTCTATTGAAACGTACAATCTTATGATATAGACTCATACAAAATCATGCGCTTTTCTGTTCAGTCGAAACGGCTAGAAAGAATTATGTTGTTGGAATCTAGATTAGTGTGCTAAACCCTCACAGTCTTACCTCGTTCACAATCCGTATCATTTGCATTCGCACCTAAGCAGTCTTTTCAAGTTCATATTGTCGTACAACTTCGTTTGTGTAATGACTATAGTAAATGAATTTTGTCATAGGTAATTGCTCGTATAATTGAAATGTATTGAATAGGTTACGGTTTAATAACTTGAATACGACTAGAGAAGAAGATCCCGAAGCAAAAAACCGGGGATCAAAAACCAAAAACCAAAAGCCAAGGACCACGTGTTTCTTCCTTTCGATGACTTGCTTAGTAAAGCTCAGTGTCGACCCATTTCGCGCCACAACTCGTTCCTACCGCAGCGGAACGCCTAATACGAACTGCGGCCACACTCCGAACCACTCATGTTTTCATCTTTCAAGCATTTGCGAGACTTATGCCGACCGTAGCGAAATCACCCCCACCGTACTTTTCGAGGAATCCTTGGGTACCCTTGGCTTCCCCTTTGTCACCTGTGTATGATACGTTGGGTTAGAAAAAGAAGTGGATATTGAGTAAGGTTTGTTGGATGTGGTTCACTTACCACTGATCTGGGCACTGCATGCGTTCGAGATGCCGTAGTTCATGGCGTTGTTGCAGTAAATCGCACCGGCAAAGGCTGAGAGCTTCCAGATAAACTTGGCTGAAACGATAATCGCGTTGCCGTACCGATTATCAATGTGAGGGCCGTCGGGACGAATCTTGGTTCGCTTGACTATTTGTACCTTGCCAGCATAGGATACGCCCCAATGAAACCCACCACAGATTGAGCCAACTACTACTCCAAGAGTTGAGGTATAGGTCTATGAATTCCACACTATCAGTTGGAATTTCCCGTGGTGTTGTACTCAACTCGTTGCTGAATGGGACAAGACTTACCCAAGGATCGCCTTTAAATCCTTCGCAATAGAATGCAACTCGCGCGTCCAGCCCTGTGCCAGTATAGCCAGCTGCCTGCCACAATTTGTCGTGCATAGCATTCCACTCGTCTTCGTCAAAGACATAGTGAGACTGATATGTGGTACCATTGTTGTCATCCCAGGTTCGAAGCGGGCGGTGACCAGCTCCTTCGAAAGCTTCAAGAATTTGATGATCCGTTATCCGTGATGAAGCGACGAACTCAACATTCTGATCAGCGGCTATTGCTGTATCGTCTCGTGGATATACAACCGCTGAGGCGTTACAAAAGGTAGCAAGCACGGCTACAAGGACAACCACCAGGAAAGTGGATTTATTGGTCATACTGATGAAGTGATGGTTGTTAAGATCGTGGAATGAATGTAGCAATAGAGATAAAGGCCTTGTTGTAGATAAAAAGATTTGTGCACGAAATGTCTCTATATATATATACATGTTTTCGGAATAGTACTCCAAGGTAGGACACCATCCAGCACTCATTAAGCGAGGTTGAATTTCATCTAAGATGATGGCTCTTGTTCCCGCCACAACAGGACTCTCAATTTCAGTCCTGAATACTAAGGTTGGACGGCTCACAAACCATTAGCGTTGTAAGCCTTGCGCGACTCGACTAGTACTGTCAACATTTGCAGCTGAGCTTCGCCTCTCCCAAACATGATCGGGAATGTGCATGTGCTTCGGGATCGTCTTCACGCATTACTTGTTTTTGGCACATATTGCTTGTTTTGACGATCATAGCCTTACTGAAAACGCATGAAAGCCTTGCGATAGCTAAGTAATGCATTATCGGCTCGTATTACCCGTTTTGGCCTTACACCTGTTAGTCCTTGGTCTCGAATGCTTAATCTGCATTGTAGTTGCTGGCGCATATTATCTGTTGTCACGGATATATACCCTAGTTCACACCACTAAGTGCATCATCCCTACCTTGTTGTCCATCGGTGAATATCCGAATAATTGGGAGCCCTCTTTTTTAACTTTGATCTCAGTCATTATCACCCTCTTCTTCTACTATAGACATGTTTTAAAGCTATATCACCAACCTTCTCATCGATTCATACCTTACACTTTCATTCGATCCTCTTTAACCTGAGAGAAATCAGTTTCTCCCGAGAACTTAATCTAGGCATTTGCCTCTACCTCATCATCAACCTTTGTTTACCAACTCTATCAAAAACCACAGTCATCATGCAGATCAAGTTACTTGCAATTACCAGCCTCATCTCTCTGTTATCAACCACCGTCATTGCGAAATGCGTAGGCGGTAGCCATAGTGTAGATGGCGATTGCTCCGAGTTTGACTTGGACGACAAAGCGTGTGGTAAATGTGTTCTTGTAAGTTCTAAAGAAACACTTGCTCTGAGAGGTTTCATTTCACAAAGCTACAACTTCTACATCTAAGTTCATGAGCACCTACTGACCGATGTTATCAACCATAGTTGGTTTGCAGAGGGAAAAAGTGGCAGCAGATCAGGACTTGTCGTCCAAACCATTGCGCTTTTTGTCAGTGTTACTCTGGGGGTGGCCCCAACGGTTGTGATGATTGAGACTTCCGACAAACGACGGTGTGATTTTGCGAGCATATGGTTCCATGTCGAAATTCACACCTGCGCTGTTACCGCGTGCAAAGGCTCGTGCGCACGAATCATATGAAGGTCAGGAAGATGGTAGTTGTTGGGTTGTCATTAGCAAAAACAATTTTAGATCGATTCGCACGTTGATTTTGACCTGCTCGGTTACTCTTGATAAAATGATGGGCTACGTGAGATTTAGATACAGCACTGCCGGTAGCCATGCCAACTCGCAAGTAAGGTCTGCCTATGAATTTTCATTGTTTCTACACACTCTCCTCTTCAGCTCTCGACCCCAGGTTGGCCAAATATCCGTATTAAAATTAGCAGAAGATAGTGTGAATGAGCGAGGAAAAACACAACGGCCTTTCTCAAAGAGCTGGGCTGTGGAGGATCTTTAGGTGATTTCAGGTTTGTTCCTAACGAACTTTCTGAGACTTCAAGTGAGTGCATCGGTGCCAACTTGATTAAATGATTGAAAGTCTAGGAAGATTTGGTTAAAATCCAAACATGGTCAAGGGTTTTGTAGAAGAATTCATGGCTATGGGAGAGGAGACGTCAAAATAAGAAGATGACCTCAAAGAAAAAAGAATTCTCATAACCTGAGAAATTGGCAATCTATGACTGTGACTTGCGTTTACATAAGGCATAGGCTTGCAACACTTCGCTGAAGTCTTCCATCCGCGGATTCCCATCATTGCCAGGCATATGGTTGAATCGCTCTTCTCGTTTCCATCACCTTATCACCGCAGACAAAGAATCGACATTGCTTCTCTGAGAGGATCGCTAAGATATCTCAGGCCAAAGCAAATTCCTCAATTCCCCACACATTTACACTTCTTGCAATGCCCACCTGGTCGGCAGGAGCTAGTCTCTACCCAGTGCAAATTGTTATTGCATTCCAACTAGACGAAATGCTCAGTCAGTAAGTTTTGCATTGCTAATTAGGCCACGAAGGTCTTGCTATGATTTGTATAGTTAATGAAAACGTGAAGATTAGTTGGCTTACCACGACGTGATCTCCACACGCAAGGTCTTTATACCTGTCGCAAGATTGATCGTGTGCTCTGCCACCTCCAACACAGTTGGCAACCGAATCGCCTTTCGTAAAATGTAAAAGCGAAAGGAAGAGCACGATCGCTGGTGCCTTGATTTGCATCGTGGTAGAATTGCGATGGTTCGCTGCGAAAAGTGGGAGTTGGAGTACTTTGATGCTGCAATTTGAAGTGAAAGCTACAAGAGCTGATTGTAGTGGTATCGAGGTATAATTTGGGTCAACGAATTTACTTGAACTTTTGGGTGGTGAGTGTAACGGAGAGGAAGAGACTTGTTCAAGTTGCAGTAATCTCTACAGGCTCTGATAGATGAAAGACCCTGATCTGATTTGCACAATATTGATTCTTTCACCTCCTATCGATGTTTCAAACTGCATTAGGCGTGCGATCACCGTTCAAATCACTTGTCTAGAACAAGCGAGGCGGAATGAGAATCAAGGCCTTCCACGATTATTTGCCGTTTCTGTGCACGATTTCTTTTTCTTCGGAGACGAAAATTAAGACTTACTTGTCAAAGCTTGCTTTAAGGCGTCCTGTACGTACAAATACTCGTAGGATTCAGCCGGTAAGAATTTAGACGCCCGAGCAAAAGAAGGAATTATGATCTACCTGTCGATCCCGCTCGAAAGCGGGATATTTAGTTTGCCCTACGCAGGCTCGAAGGATTCTTTGTGAGATGGACAATCATCCAAAAAGCCTTGCAACGTGTATATGTAGATCGATAATGAGTCACGGTTATGCACCTTAGCCCGGCGTGCATAAGGCTGAAGACGCAGGACTTCAACACAACCTTGACTGAAACTCTTCAACCACTCGCATCCCCATTGAAATCGGGCACAACCTCGAGACCGGTTCCCCAGTATCAATTTCCGAAATCAAGAATTTTCCAGGATCAAGTTTTCTCTATTCTGGTCACTGTTGTGGCGACTTTATTGAGTAACGAGACACAGCTACTCCTTTTCATATTATGAATCTGAATCTCGACTTCCAGGTTTTGTAACCCATTGGTATCAAACGGAGAAAAGACTCAAACTGTCAAACTGTAATACCACGTACTGATAATTGCTTAGCATAAGCAGATAAGCAGGTGTTTAGGTAAACAATTAGTAGCTTGAAGATAGTAGCGATCAGCAATAAGTGGACTGAGGATTTTATCCGTTTTATTATTGGCAAGTACTGGATAGACTCCTTTGACGAGAATCACCATCCAGGCAACCAACATCGTAGGATGACATGAGCTTCTTACTCGCTCCCTTTGAAAATTTCGGGCATGTCATTTCATTGATTATATTGGTAGTTCTTCGAGGATCTTTTGTATTCGAAATTCAACTACAAATATACTCCTAATAGATTTTTGTATAAACTCTTCATTGGGTAAACTGGGTTGATTGAACGAGTATAGTAAGAAATTCGAGAGGTTGGATCACTAGCAATCATTAATAAATGACGGTTGTACCGATGGTTTGTTCCACTTGACACTCAACGTGAGATAATTTGAGTGAGATCCTGGTCAAAAGGGAGATTGGTCAGCTTTGAGAAGTTAAATCAGATACAAGCTTTAGTTTAACCGAAAATAACGAAAACAATAAGAACACTCTTACGGTCAAATGTATTACAATTTCTACCTGTTAATAGACAAAGCTTCAAAACTTACTTGGTTAATGAAACACATCTAGCACGGAATTGCTTATGATACATGTTATAGTGCTTTTTCAATTCTGCCATCTCTCTTAACGTAGGTTTCTTGAATACAGAGTAGGTGCCAGTGAAGGGAAATTGTCGAAGAAAAGTTGAAAGAGAAAATGAAGCAGAAACGCGAGTAATAGTCTCAGAATAAAACATGTTAGTTAGAGCGTGACTCTAACAGCCCGGTGGCAACCCTTTCGATCTCTCCAAGATCCCAAATCTGCACGTGATGAGGGCCAAGGCCACTTTTACCTGAGTCTGTGTAGAGCATTCCATGTGCAGTACCAAATCCGGATAACAAGCGAAGTTCCGGGTCACCAAACTCAAAAAGCATATCTTTCTTATCCCAATCCCACACTTTTAATGTGCCATCTCTCGCTCCAGTAACTACGAACCTGCCAGCCATGGCCAATGCTCTTACTGGCGCTTCATGGGCGGCAAAGGTTTCTAGCAAATCGCCTTTCTGTGTCCAGGTTCTGATTTTTCCATCAAGTCCACATGTCACCAATTTGCCATCGATATCTCCGTACTGCGACGATACTAAGGCATCGGTCTGGCAGACAGCTACAAGTTCTCTGGTATTCGTTTTAGTTGCGACAATCATATACGACAGATGGGAGTGTGTATTTACCCAGTTCTCCAATCCCAAATACGAAGTTCTCTATTCCCACTGCCAACTCGTAGAAGGGAAAAGTCAGGACTGACAGTAATGGCGGAGATATAATCTGTATGTCCCTCCAGAACACGAACGCATTCTCCTGTCGCAATATTCCAAATCCTGACAGTCTTGTCGCGGGAACCAGAAAACAAGAACTGATCATGGCAAGCCAACTGATGAATTGTTTCGGTATGTCCGACCAGAACGTGAGTCGGTTGGTCTGCCGTGGAGCTCCAAATCATCAAAGCACCATCGCTGAATCCAGCTGCAAAGGTTATTTCGTCAAGAAACAAAACTGTCTTGATTTCGTCGTCTACATGCCTTAAGAACTCGCGAACATAAGTACTGATTCTGTTAGATGTTTACGTCGCGTCAGAACCAGATTTAATTGAGGCTGCTCACCCTGTCTCAACATCCCAGAGGCAAAGTTTCCGGTCGTGGTTAGCAGTCAGCATCAATTTGGACGAAGGATTGAAGTCTGCATTCCACAAGCCCCCTATCTCGAATTCTCGCAAGTGCTGCGTGCATACTTCATTATCTTGACAATGTTGGCATTGGAGGTTATGCGCAATAGCAGTTTGGGCTGCCACGATAATCTTCTCCTGGGTTAAGCGAAACCGTTGTATCGAGGTTTCGTGGTGAACTTGGAAATTAATCAAAGGTTTCATGATAAAGGATTGCCGTAACTGTATGAAACATGAATAAAGGTACAGGCAGAAAGCAAGAGGAACATAAGCCATCAAATTAAGGTGCATAAGCGTTTAAATATGTAGGGTAGTATCGTCGGCCGACCATGTGTGACGGTGGCACTGCACTGCCGTTGTGCGGCTCATGCACAGCTCATTGGTTCGCGTCGAGAGATCAATTAAAACAGGCAGATTTGGAAAAGACAAATTGATTGTGCATGTTGAGATGCTGCCTAATAGACTAAAATCAAAAGCTCCCCAAGTGTTACAAAATAATCAACGATCTATACCCATGGAAACACAAGCCAAATGCAAACACAACGCCTCTCACAGCAACAAGATCAGACCAAAACAAAACGCCATCACACCCTTGCTTCATGCATATGCTCAATCTCAACAGCTGTGACATCGAACAATCAGTCGCGGCACCAGCCCATTTGGCAAGTGCATCCAAGTCCCTGATCGCAATCACCATCGTTGTTGCAAGAATCAGCGCTGCAGTTCTCGTTGGAGTGATTCTTCAAGTTCTTTAGAGAAGTTAGCACGATGAGTTTCTAGCAGCTGTGCCGCGACATGAGACTTACATCTTCATCGGCGCTGCAGCTCCCGGCGGATTTTCCGTGCTTCTTCTTGTTCTTCTTGTCGCTGCCGCTGCTGCCGCTTCCTCGCTTCTCGTGGCTGACGGAATCATGGATTGCTGCTTCTCGCTGGCCTCCGTGACCGGGGTGGGCGGCCGCTGTGGCTCCCAAGACAGCGATAGTGATGAAAAGGAGGTTGGTGAACTGCATGTTGAAGAAGGCGAGTGAAAGACTGTTGTGTGTTGGTTTTGGTTGAAGTGAAATTTGAGAGTAAGTTGGAAAGTTGTGTGTGTGGTGTGTGTTTGATAGTGTTGATAGTGTTGATAGTGTTGGTAGTGTTGATGCTGATAGTGAAGCTGATGATGTTTATTGCAAAGAAAATGTCTCGACCTTATATACTACCTCGATCATCATACTACTGACTGTTTTTACATACTCTACGGGCTTGAGTATCCTTCGTTGCAATCCTAATGCCAGAAGTTCGACTTTCTCAACGTACTCTTGATGAAATTTACATACTCAATCCAAGGGTTTGAATGGCCTTCGCTGGGATTCTACTCTCAGAAGTCACAATATGACAAGAAAAGTCTCAATTTAGAGCATCATGAGCCTCTTTTGCAATGTCATTGAGGCTTTGTTGGTTTCCTCACGATCCTCTGTCGGTCGACTAGTCTTGCACGAGGTGATCTTCTGCTCCACGCAGCAAGCTGCAACGATTCCTGGTCCCCGTTGATGTTAATTAAAGAACTGAACATGCGTATTATACGTAGTAAGAAGGATTACTGAATTGAAAGGAAGGCAAATGGTATCAATGCAGGCATCTCAGCGGAATTTTGAAGTCCATTCGACGAAGTATGTCCGGGCATAGGTAGGGGTAGCGAGGGAATGAGAGGCGTTGGGCTGGCGAAGCCAAACAGCGTAGTATCAACTGGCCTGTGCCTCTTGAGTCTATTTGGATGTTCATTATTTAAGTTTGGGATTATCTAACTCGCGGTTTTGGTGGACCCTAGTGTGTACGTTCGGGCTTGTTTGGAATTCACATAGATTCTTGGATAGAGAGGAAGTGCGAGACACTGTTCACAAACAAGTACTCATTATCTCTTTGCCAGGTGGACTTTTGTTTCCTGGGACCTGGGCAGTCATATTACATCTTGGGGTTCTCTTGAATCGATAAATCACTCTTAAGCAAATTATGGTCAACATGCAGTCCAAAAGTTCCTTCAGCCAGTCAACCAGCCACACATCCGCCTGCTTCCTCCATTCATATGTTTTGTCTTCTTTGACGATCATAAACTAATCTGTGCCCTGCATGAATGTCGGTTCAAGTTTGGTAACCCGCCATGTCCAGTTCGACACATTGAGGGCGTGATCCTTTAAGCGAGGCTGGTGAAGAACAAGCAGTCACTTAGCGAGAGGTCACCGAAGGCCAATCTTCGATATTTCAAATTAAGTTTAATAAAACATTTGTCATAATAAAACCAGAGTGAAAGAGCTTGGATGTTAAAATCTTCTCTTTTCATTACTATAAGTGTCATTCCAAATAGTTTATACATGTAGAAATAACCTTCTGACTTTTGTGGAAGGTGCACGGACTCTCACCCATCTCTTCCTCCACGAGTGAGGGTTACATTGAACCTCTTCCCTTCATTTGGCGAAGTTTCGACCAATGAAAATAAGCTCATTTTGAAGTGGCGTGCCTCGTAAAACGGTCTTTTTCCACTTGCACCTTGTCATGATAAAATATCCTAAATTGGCCCTTGACGAAGGGGCCGGCCATTCGGTGGACAAAAAAGTCCGGATTGTACAAACTGACTACAATTGAGATAACTCAACAACGGTAGCACCTACAGCATCTAGATTAATTCTTAGAATATCAGAGTACTTCACCATTGTTCTGGTACTTTTTTGCGATTTTTCCGATTTTTTGTAGTTGAGTTAGACTATAATTTGCGAATTTACAAAATCCGGACTTTTCTGTCCACCGTGCCGGCCCGGCTGATCGATAGCACGCTCCTTGTAATAAATCCCCGAGATTCGCACATTGCGGAGGTAAGAACCAGACCGGATGTCCCGGATCTCAGCCGTTGTCGATCCTTATTTTCAGAACGTGAATTCCTGGGGTCTCTCAAAACGTGACGTCTCGTTGGTTGAAGCGAGGTATTCAGCCCCGGGATTATGAACATAAACTTTGGGTTAAACAATGTTTTCTAATCTATTTGACAATCCGGTCTCTTTACTATCAGCTCCTAGCATTCGTTGATTCTGCTGAGTCCTTAATTCAAGACTGCTAGCCGAATTTGCAGAATAACTCTATGGAGTATATATACCTTGTCCGTGCTTGAATTGAGCAAAATAGAGCAGATCTCCAGAAAATGTACTTGCTGGATGAGACTTTTCAGGCAGTGTTTTAGTTTTAGATTCTCTGTTACAGGTGCTTTACGCAGCGCCTTTTCAAAAAATCGTCAACAAGGGGGGAAAAGGCGATTCTCGCTTAATAAGGAGGTAGCTAATCCACACACTTTCACCTACACCTTTCCCAATAACGCGTTATAAGATGCCACATTGTTATGTTCTTGCGCCATGAGAGTGCAATCGAGTGCATATTTTGCGTAAGAATGGATTCGGTGGACTTCGCCACGCTCCTTTTGAGTTCATTGGCAACTTTGAAGGGATCGTACCCCTACGGGTCAGCGTAACATTGAAAGGCGACAGTCTGTGGGCTTAGTAAGATTGGAAAATGGCTTTTCTTACGGGCGTTTTAACGAATGCTTTGTATTTGCTAGCCGCTCCAATGTTGTGTTTTTCAAATGGTTGAGTAATCGTGCTCACATTGTGTCCTTGCGGCCTCGAAAGGTGTATTCAACAACTTCTTCGGATGTATTCAAGACAGTTAACTCATGAGGTTAAACCTTTACAGAATCAGGTGGCCCTTGTTACAGGGGATACAGGACTTGATGTGTATCCTGATTCGACTCGTTGAAACACGTTATAGGAAGTATGCAATCTCCGGTTCAAATCTGCCTTTGCAACATATGGGCTATGATAACAGTTTGTGAAGACGAACTTAAAGAACTTGCAGCACACACTCGATGTTTACCTGCTTCTGACAGTGGCTGCCGGTATAAAATGTATCGCGCAGGTACCATCCGCTTCCTTGTCGGGTTGGAATGCTTGAGGTTATGCCTGATCATTCCAGTTTCTGTCCCAGTTGTTGTTAAGTTGGGGGTCTTCGTGTGACTGCTGGGGATTTCGACTTATTTGGTCTACCACGATGCAATGTAAAGATTAATTATACGCCTTCGAAAAGTCCTGGGTATAAGATTGATACGTTTATTTTAGATGGAAAGCTGGGGTGTTGAGGTTGATCATATCTTCTATGGATTTGAATTGCTAAAAAAGCGGTATTGTTGATGTCGACCAGGGTCACGCAACAAAAGCTGCGATTATACCCCGAGGAGAGAACCTTTCTTTGCAAACTATTTATTTTATACTTTATGAATGTTTAAGAGTTTTGTTGTTCTTTATCGCGGTTTTCGGCTTAGAAAACTTCTGGAAAAGTTTCATACATCTAACATCTAGTTGGGTCATATCCTAAATGGCATGAGCTTTCCGACTTGCATTGCTGAACACAAAGAAAAATATCAAGGTTTCGAATTCTCCAATTCACTAATTTCTCATTCTGTAGCTGACAAGAAGGCTCCCAAGCTGGCCCTTCTCATACAACCTTGTCAATTTTCAAGTGAATATCCACTTCCACCCTGTACCCGAGCTGACTCAAATTTCTTCACTTTCACATTTCAGAGCACTTGTCAGAAATCATATTGCAATACCACCATTTTTTAGTCTTCGCACGAATAAAGCTCAATTATAAATAAAACTCAATGATGCCCATATGACTTCTAAGGTCATTGTTGATTGTGAGTTGGATATTTGGACGCCATCAAAGCCTTCAATGAGGCCACAACGCGTCTTTGATGCACCATATCAAACACTTCCTATTAATTCATTGATATCAATTGAAAACTCTATTTTCATATTATCATCAAGCGTTCCACTCTTAGAACGAGCTAGGGTTCAAGTTGTGTCGTTCTCTATAGCTAATTCGGATTGTCACGACGCGTCTCGCTAAAGGACAATAGGACAATAGCAACCCCTGAATCAATTGTCGTCAACACCACACGATAGCAGAAGAGTCTGTATTCTTCTCAAAGTCTGGTTTTGCATTATATATATATACTACTTCTCTGCCCTGACTTCCATTTCTCTGTCTTTCTTCGTTGGAAATCTCTTCGTTTGCTCACAAATTTCTGCAAATTCACAATTTCAACATTCTTGTTCTGTCTTATCCATTGTATATCGCGACTTTCTGAAAATGCCTCGCTACGTCGCCCGAGAGCCTGACTTGGCTCCAAGTCTTTCGGGAGCCCTGAGTCTGCAGAGACCAGGTGACTTCAGAACTGTGAGCCAAGTCAGGCTCTCGAACAGCAGTGCCAGCCCAGCAATCGCATCTTCGTCGAGAAGTGTTGCTGCCAATACATCAAGCCAATCCGCACAACCGAGAGTCGCTGCCGCAAGGCAAAATACCCACCAAGCCGCTCAAAGCGCACCGCAGAACTCTCCTCCTTCGGCTACACGGCCACCCAGGCTGATTATACGGCTAATTCATAATCCACAACCAGTACAATCAGTGGAAGCGGACGAGGAAGAGGACGAAGAAGAAAGGGGGGCGGACGTTCCTCGCCAATCAATAGAGAATGAGGCGGAGGATGAGAGTGATAATGAGAATGAAGAGGAAGACGGAGACGCAATGGAGGAGGATGGTGAAGAAGGGGGGCCGGATGCGACTCGCTTATCGGTGGAAAATCCAGGGGGGGACGGGGACGACAGTGAGAACGAAGCAGATGACAGAATGGAGGAAGACGAGGAAGCTGAGGATGGCAAAGAAGAAGAAGAAGACGGAGAAGAGGAAGAAGTGGAAGAGGAAAATGAGGCTGGTCGTCAAAGAACACCACCAATCCCACAAACTCGTGTATCCCGCTCTCCCGCTCCCTCTCCATCGCCAGAACCACGATCACGGCATTCACCAAAAACCTCACCATCTCCTTCCGCAAGACGATCACCGTCTCCAGTACCACAACCAGGCCGTTCTCCGGCACCGTCACCATCCCCTTCTCCACCTCCATCATCCTCACCAGAACCACAATACGGATCTCCATCCCCATCCCCATCCCCATTTCCCTCGCCCACGCCCTCAATAACCAGATCTGCACGCCCATCACAATCCCGCTCTCCGTCTCGCTCTCCATCTCGCTATGTACCACGCTCTTGGTCACGCTCCCCAACTAGATCCCCTCCACCCCTCCGTCTCCCATCCCGACAACCCTCACCGGTCTTCCCTCGTCGAGCCAGGTCTCCAGCAACGCGACTCAACCCCCGTCCACAATTCAAACCCGCCACGGAGACATCGCCACGGGTATTTATCAGGCCCTGGAAAGCGTGTTGGCAGCGGCTAGCGGCTTGGATAGAGGAGCTGGAAGAGAGGGGCAAGAATGGCATGTATTGGATGTACATTTGGGAACTTGTTGCTAATGAGGGGGTGGATTTGCTTATGGAGGTTGACAATGATTGGGAGCAGGCGTGAGATGGTGGATGGATGTTGGGTGATTTTGTTCTTGTTTGTTTTTATTTTGTGACAGGAGCTGGTCTTCCTCTGACAAATGGAAAGTTTGAGAATAGTTGAAATTTAAATTACATTGTATAGAGTAAGATTTTTTGAACAAGCACTGGCTTGTTAAGAATACATCAATATGTTTCCAACAGAATATGGTCTTCCTCAGTGTTGTGCAGCATAATGTGGATGTATCTACAATAAATTTTTGAATTTATCTGATTTCATCTGAGAGCATTGGTTGGTGGTAGTCAACTGTGATTTTTTGTCACTGCCACAAATTTCAATTGCTACATGTGGCCCTCACCTTCAGACGCTCAGATTTCCGATACACTCTCGGTCCACCACTTTCGATCTCGTCAACAGTTGAACCACGCACTCACCAAACACCCCAAACAACCCAACATGGCAGACGACACCTTTCTCGAGCGCGTTTGGTCCTTGACCGAAAAGTGCGATCGCATGGCCTGCTGTGCGGCTTTCTGTACCCGATCTAATTTCGATAAGCAAATTGAGGATATCTGCACGATTATCGATGTCTATCATCCAGGATTGTGTCCACAGCTGCGCGGATCTCTGAGAGACTACGAAATATGGAAGAGATGTGAGGAAAACTCCCAAGAGACTCTTCTGAGGAGGTGCTGATTTATTTAGATTGTGTTGGGGTTCCCTTTCCGGTGTCGCATCCTTATCTGAAGAAGGAAGAAAAAGAGTCCTGCAACTTGACGATCAGCGCTGAGAGTAAGAAAGAAAATTTCAGCTCTCCTGTCGATGAATTTCCACATCTGAAGGCGACTTCGTCGGTCCCAACTGGCTCGTCAGCCCTCAAGTACCGAAACCCCACCGTCGAGGACGTTACCGACGACGCAAATCCAAACACCACTTCATCGATCTTACTGCAGCTGCAACCCCTGATATACTAAGAGGCGACTGTCGAAGGGGCCGTCGATAACCCAGCTACAAAGACGACATCAAGAGTTCCCACATCGCGACAACCTCTCAAATATCAAAAGGTCACCATTGAAGATGCCGAAGAGGATCCAGTTTCAAACATAACAGGAAAGGGATCATCAAATACACCCATCTCAAAAGTTTCAATGAAAGGCGTGCCGGACGAGAAATCTTCGAAAGAAGAGAGTGCAGAGAGTTCCCAACGATATGGCCCAATCGGAGGCATTAACTTTGCGCAAGTGACTGATGCAGCTGAAAATCGTTTTCGCACAAGGGTTGATGTGTCTGGGTGAGAATCTGACTCTTCTACCACATCAAGCTCGAGTGGAAGCTCTGAAGAATATCCTCATTTCCGGCAGTCTCGCAACTATAACCCATGCGCTCGCAATCGTTCTAGAGAAGCCATCATTTTAGCTAAACCTTCCCCGGTACGAAAAGTACATCGGTACAGCAATCAAGCGGCAAGTGACTCGACGAATGATTCTTTTTGGAGGTGGGAGGAGGAACGTCAACTAAAGCAAAAGTACTGAGGAATATGGGAAGAGCTCAGGAAGAAAGACTTAGTACAATATCTCGGGCAATGGGACAAAGAGTTCATAAATAAAATTCAAGAGGAAATTCAAGAGGAACTCGGAAAGGAGGCATAGATGAGATGTCGAGAAAATTTGCAGAAAATCGAGGAATGGCGGACTCAGACGATGGAGATTTATTAGCTGTTGACCGGGCAGAGGCGCAAGATTCAAAGGATGACGAGGAATCTGAAGACTTGTCGGAATACAAAGACATGATAGATTGGGAAGGGTTGAGTTTTCCATTGTAGGGGGTGTGGAACAAGATGAAAGTCAGATATTGAGCTGGTGACCACCTAAGGTGTTGTTGTAATGAAATTTGAGACGAGAGAGATAGAGGCAACTGATGGTCTTAAAGTTTAGAAAACTGCAGGTGCTTCCCACGTAGGCTGTAGAGAAGTACACGCCATATTGTCTGGAGCATTTGATAAACTTATTGGAAATAACAATTGACGTGCTAACACCGTGACCTTGCAATCTGTCACTCATTATCACAAAAGACCAATAACGCAGAACGATTATCAGTTAATATTTGTTGCTTGTTCCTTCCAGAATCTAAACATAATTATTTTGGAGTTGAGGGAGAGCGGAGATAAGTCCCTTAATTCACCACAATTCAAACACAACCTCACCTTCATCAGCCACCTATATTTCCGAACTTCAATATATTGTTTCCTCCCGCTGCCCGCAGCATCCTCTTCTTTCTTCCACCCCATCTTCCTCGTCATCCGACAACGAGAGCAGTGCTCTTGCAACATCACCATCTAGATTTCCATTATATCTGATCCTCCAACCATCCACTCCTCATATTATCATCCCCACCTCCTCAAATCACCACCTAGAACATCAAACCATGCACATCACCGGCATCTCCACCTACCAAGCCCCCCCTCAATCCCCAACCACATCATCTCCCCCCACCGAACCCTTCATCGAATACACCTACTCCCTCCTCCAATCCGGCGCCTCCCCCAAACGCCACGGCAGCAGCTGGTCCCGCCAATCCTACGACTCCTTCGTCGAATACTGCAAGCTCAAAACTGGTGCCGCATACGACATTCGCAGGATCGAATTCGCATATTTCTACCTGTGGTTTTATTTCTGTGCGTCCCCTCCCTCACCTTCACCATCGCCTTCTAATATCACATAGTTGAAGATGTAGAGATGCCGCAATGGCGACCGGGGAATGAGACTATGCATTTGAAGACGAGGGTGTGGGAGAAAATTGACACGGCACCGAATTCACCTGCGGCCTCGGCGTGTGGTTCGGAGCGGAAGTTTGATATTCTGGATGCGCAGAGATTGTGTTTTGAAGATGAGACGGCGAGGAGGGAGAAAGTGCAGGTTTCCAGGGAGGAGATTGAGCGTATGTATGAGTGTGGGAGGCCGCCGCCTATTCAATCGCCGAGGGTTTGCAAAGATATGGAGAAGGAGAAGCGATTTGAAGACCGTAGGGATTCGGGATATGCAGAGGGGTTTGCTTGTGCTGAGATTATGGGTTTTCGGGAAGATCAAGATGTTTTTGTGGCGGACATGGAGAGCAAGATTTTTGGGGAGGATACAACTGTCGCTATCTCCAATCCTCTTCCTCTGGGCCATGGACTCGACACTATTCTCGAAACCATCAACAAACAATTCCAAGCGGCTTCTGCTACAACTGCTTCAATGGCATTCGAAGAGAACCCTGCACTTCCTCCATCTATCGACGAGCAAGAAGCGGTCGCTTCCAAGACATTCGAGCAAGAAACCTCACTTATCGTCTACGGTCAAAATCAAGAAGTGGACAACCTCGAAAATAGCAATGATGGCGCTGACGAGGATGAAACCGACTATGAAGACTCCACCACAGACGACAATTCACAAGACGAAGAAGAACTCTACGCCACCTCTCTCTCCGACCTCAACACCTCTTTCAACTCCGAAAAGAATGAATAACTGCACATGATCTTCCGTCGCAAAGTAGCGTTGATTCAACTCAGACCTATACACCTAGCAAAGAAGAGCAGATTTCACAGGCAAAGTGGGAGATAACATTACACGACGATGTTTACATATTGTTCCATACCACACACAAAACCACCTCACAACACATACACAAACAGAAAATCTATCACACAGACTCTCACGTCTGGTTTTACGGGTAGGATAGTCAGGGGAGTTCTAGGATCAAACGAATTTCTTTTTTCATGTTTTTGGGTTGGGCGGCTAGGGAGGCTGGGGGGTGTGGGAGATATGGGGGAGAGGGTAAGAGAAAGGGCAGAGGGTGAAAGGGAGAGGACAGAGGGTAAGGTGAGATGGCAGAAGGTAAGGTGAGAAGGCAGAAGGTGAAAATTAGAGCACAGAACTTTGTAGCATGGGCTTTATCATTTGTTGTATATATTTTAATCAAATGGGATTCTTTCTTCAGTGTTGCTGTGTCAGGTGGTGCGGATTGGGATTTTGCTTCTGTTTGACTATCAAATTCCGGTCGTAGGATAGTGGCCTACCATATCTTCAACGGGTGATGGGGAATTATGGGTTCTATTCTGGAGAGGGAGCTTGAGAAAGGGCTAACATATCCAAGGAAGGCAGGAGGCGCGTATATTACCCTTTCCTGACACGGGGAGGTAGTGACAGTCAATACTGATATAGGGCTCTTTTGCGTCTTGTAATTAGAAGGAGTATAATTTAACTCTCTTGACGAGGAAGGGGTGGAGGAGAATTCTGGTGGCAGTCGCCGTAGTAATTTCAGCTGCAGTATTGTGTATTAGATAACTTTCGTAGGTTCCTGTCTAGCTCGTTGTTTCGAGTGTTACTTCCATCTTGATGTACTCACTCACGACCATCACATGATCAAAATCGCAACCTAAGAAGTACTCTCGCCACCAACCCAAATCAGCGAGTTGCATAATCAGATTTAATGATAAGCGGTCAGATATCTGAATGACAGCTCACATTTCCTAAGACAGTAAGATGTGCACATCACGGAGATTCCTCCGAACTTTCCTTGCAAATAGAAAAACGCTGTCAGCTGAAGCGTATAGCGACTCTGCTGACATCGTAAAGAGACCAAATATATTGTTTTCTGTTTTCAGGCAATCGATAAAAGTAAGTATTTCTCATCTTTTGGGACTGGCCCCTTTTTTGCGCGTTTTCCTCTTTCCAAAACCGACAAGAGGAAAGGAGAAATGAAAAAAATGTTACCTAAGTGGTGGGCCCTTCGCAAAACCCATCGACTTACATTATCTCGGAGCACACGGATGGTAATTCCATTGTTAGGAACGGCTAGATAACAAGATGGAAAAGATGAAAATGCGGAGAGCAGGTTGGTGGCGTAGGGCTTGGTAGGACAAGAATGCGGGGTAAATGGTGTGGCTGGCAGTACGACGACTGCATATCTTAGATTGGCATATCTGGACCTGAAGATCATATTTGGGATGATGAAATCGAGAAGTAATTCGGCTACAGCGTGTGATGATGTTGAAGATCTCGTGTAAGCCTATTAGGCAACCTTACCTCATACAATCTTACTCTTTATAGTAGTCGTTGAAGCTGGCCGTCGAAGCTCACTCATCCTTGGGGAAAGCGAATCTGGATCCCAGTTTTCACCAATAACCTGCATGACAGCGGGCTGCGTAATAATAGAGGGTTTTCGAGAGTCTTGGGGACTGGCGGTTTGCGGAGTAATCGCTCCCAACGCGTAGCAATAGCGAATTGCGTGCCTTTGCGAGAACCATGCTCCGTATCACGGATTCCTCATGCTTTGATAGCGACCAGGACAGCGATGAGAGCATAGTTGAGGGCGAGTGGGCGTGTTTCCAGAAGTGGGCAGACCAGCTAGCACCCCGCATTACTGGAAGTAATGTTGCATCAGGAACCACTCCATCATGTACCCCCTGAACCTGAACGCAGTCCATCATTCAGAAAAGTCCAGGCGTGAGCTTATCGACCGAGTATTCGCTCCTTCCAATCAGGTAAAATTCTAGAACAATTCCATCAATCCATTATCGAAATGAATTTCGCAAGAGTGGAAAACCAAGGAATCCCATCGGAGTTCGGAATGGCTTCACCACCTTCCAGACGGAGAACTCCGTCTGTATTCTTCTCCACCATCTCGCATTCTAGGTTCCCGGTTGCATCTTTTTACGGGATTTGAATCCTCAAAGCCGTGGCCCGTCGGGCAAGTCCTTCCATGTTCTTTGGCTGTTCTTTCGTCTCGTCATCAAGCTGAGCTTTTATGTGACGAGCTTGGCATTTTCCAAAGGATTGGACTGGCATTTTCCATTTGCAGATGAAAGATGATAATTATGTGCTAATGAGACGGAGAAGGAGTAGGTATTTGTATGTAAAGCCGGAGATGTTTAGAGAGGGCGGCTGGTTCGTTGGCGTGGTTTACGTAAACCGAGGTATTGGATGACGCTTGAAATTTGGTGCCGTTGGAATTAGCGGGGTGAATTTTTCAAAATTTGTTGTATCATTGAGAGAAATTGTGGAGGTTTTAGGGCAGTGTTGTAATTCGAGTTTTTCGTAACTGGTACGAACGGAGCATGGGAAAATTTTGTCGGTGGTGACTACGACAACGATGCAGCTTGCAGAGCTAAAATAGTTGCCGGGCCGGTCGATTCCCGATACCGAGACCGATGCCGATGCTGCCGCTGCTTAAACCGTAACATGAGCTGAGCGAAAGACGCTTCGAGCTTCATGATTTTCTTCTTCATAGGCTATGCGCATCGATATTGAACTAAACATATATTCTTCTTCTATTTCTCACATTGTTCTTTTCAACTCATGTCTCAACGTGTGAAGAAGTTATCCGGTGTGTGGATAGATTAGCAAAGTTGGAAGTTCCCAAGACCTTCCCCTTCCTCCCAGAAGCAATTTTCCTTTACACAATAGTTTCCTCCGCTTGCGAATAGCAGACTCTCACTGCTCCACGATGGCTTCGTTTTGGTCACGGACAGGAGGCGTATCTTCCACACTCCACACTTTACGTGCCGAGAGACCCATTACGACTGGCTTCGCTTTAGCTCGGGCTTCAACTTATCACAATCACGTTGGCCTACCGTGGATTCCTGGTTGCTTGTTCATATGTGGTATCTCGCTGACGGGTTACTGAAGGTAAATATACTCCATCAGCTCCCAAAAAAAAAGATCGATAGGATCGGGCACATCGACTTGTATCACCTGCAGCAAGTGAGCAAGTTCCAGGAGTGTCGGCATGTACGGGTGACACCAGGGACGGTAAAAGCCCATAATCTATAGTATACTCGGCCAGCTCAACTCTTATGGGCTCATTATATGCCTCTGATGCATTCGACCAATGCTGCCCAGGCGTACAAAGCCATGCAAATCTACATCAACCAATCCCACCAAGCGACAACTACCTCTTTAGGATATCTTTACCCTCGGATCTACTTGGCTCATCTGACTGAATGCCTGTTATCAAGTCGACTACTGCGCCTATGCGCCTATAACAATTGATAACCCCCCCGGGTTTCTAACAGGGTCTTAGAAAGCTTGTCCAATAATGACTATCAAGGTGCGCAAAATCGGGCGCTATTTAACGGAAAACAGCACCTCACAACTGTCTAGCGTATTGTAATTGCATATCAATTTACCATTACGAAGAATATTACCACGTGGCTCTCGACGTCGACTCATAAATCAAACCCCGGATAGCACATCCAGTCCTGTCTGCTGCCCGTAAACCACTTCTCGCCTTTCCATTCCAATATCGCGTCACTTCACCCTCAACAATTATTTTACATATACTTCCTTCTTAAATAGCAAGACTCCAACCTCTGGTGCTGCACAACATATACGCCTTCCTTCATTACAACAAATACTTCGTATATCCAAGTCCGTTGGTGGGCGCACTGCACATAGCCGAAGTCAAGTTCTTTCCGACCGGTCGACTCTGTTACATAACAGTCTCCTCACGTCATTCCACACCGCAATTGACTCGTACAAGCACAAGCCCGCCGGCAGTCGCAATCGGAAAAATCAAAGGAAAAGAATTTGCGCGACTCTTTTTACATCGTCAGCTTCTCGAATCTTGAATCTTCAAAAATTGCGACAACCAGATCAGGCGCTCGACCGCTCATATATCGACATATCAACCCGTGTGCTGCATACATCCAAACGAGGAAAGGTTCCTGGCTTCGACCGTTCACCGGCTTGCCGACCCTCACCGCAAGAACCTGCTGCACCCCTCATTCTTCCGGCCCATCAATCAAAACTTCCGATTCGTGCGTCGCGTCACTTTACTGGAGTGTATACTTGCACAAGAAAGTACGAAGTCAAATTATAGAATTCGATCTGATTCCAACACCATCGTCGTTGCGATAGCGAGTTCTGGTCACGCTGGTATCAACTACCATTCGACCGGACAATTGTTATTCACTACGGAAAACCGCCCTCGGTAGCCTAAAAGAGTCTTCGAAACCATCAGAATATTGGACCCTGATCTACAACGCCAATCGCGCTCCAACTGCGAAGGCTCCAGCTTGAGGAAGCATCTCCGCAAATTGGTCATTCCTACGCTAAGATCTCTCTCCACACCCGCTATAGATCATCTTGCTTGCTCCCGCGCCTCCTAGAATCTTGCTTGTCTAAAGGAAGTGTGTAACAGAGAACGACATAGAGTTTGCTTTGGTGTTTGGACTCTACTGAGGAAGGAAGGTTCTAGACAAAGGAGCGACGACAAGCATTGGGACACTCCCGTCATCAGCAGATCGATGCTCTCCGCAACATCTCACGTCCCTCTTGCAATAAGACCTCATCCTCAAATTGCACGGGCGGGTTCGACACAAGAGCAAGTTCCTAGGAAGCTGAAGCACCGCCCCTGTACTTCATATCCCGAAAACGAAGAAAGCTTTCTCGATACTATTCGCTTTCACCCCGTTCGACAAGAAGCTTCTTCCTATTACGAGTCACGCCCGGCAAAACGACCCATGCCATCACCATCGAAAACGATTGTTGTAGTCAATTCCTCTGGTCGACAAGCCGCTTCTTTTATTCGCGTTGCTTCAGCGGTTGGCTTTCGCGTTCGCGCTCAGTTAAGGAATCTTGATGGCATCGTCGCGTCTGAGATCTCGTCTTTGCCAAATGTCACGGTGGTAGTGGGAGATTTATATAAACGGAAGACAACATCAGCGTCCCCTCCACTTGGCGGGTACGGCGATACCGGGGTTAACCATGCACTTATCGACGACTTGTTCAAGGGAGCGCAGCTTGCGTTTATTAATACGACCTTCTGGGGCGATGAGGTAGCTATAGGTAAAGCACTTGCTGATGCTGCGGTTAAAGCAAACATTCAACATTATGTCTTCTCCTCTATGCCCAATCATGCAAATCACACTCCATCCTCGACAAGAAAGCCATGGCCATCCCTGCCGTTATGGAGCGCAAAGGCTACGGTCTCCTCATATATACAATCGTTACCAGCTCTAGCGTCAAAGACCACACACCTCCTCACCGGAATTTATAACAACAACTTTACCTCATTACCATATCCACTATTTTGTATGGAGCTTCAATCCGATGGGAGTTTCCTTTGGGAGGCGCCTTTTCACCCAGATGTCAAGTTACCATGGCTCGATGCTGAACACGATGTGGGACCAGCGGTATTACAGATATTCAAGGATGGCGTTTCCAAATGGGGAGGACAGTCAATTCCACTGGCGTACGAAATGCTTTCCCCCGTCGAAGCATGTAAATCATTTGCTAGAGGGGTCGGAAGAAAGGTCAAATACCGGAGAAGAAGCAAAATCAACGTCAAGGTCAGTATTCCAAATGGGTACCGGGAGCAACTAGTTGCCCTTGAAGAACTCTACGCTCTAGGCAAAGAAGACCCCAGCAAGCAACCTCCATATTTCGGGGACCAAGAACTTGATGATCGATGTCCCGAACAGGCCCTTGCACTTTGGGAAGGCCCGCGTGGATTGGAAGAGTACGCGAGGGAGGTTTTCCCCGTCGAAGAAGCGGCTAATGGGTTAACTTGGATGAATGAAGGGACTGATGGGGAGGACACGGATGGAGGGGTCATTGCAGGTGGGATTCAGGAGGAAGACGAGGATAGCGAGGATGATGATGGGCTAATTATGGGTGGGGGTACCGGTAGTGCAGGAGAAGCTACACCAGCGAGACGAGAGGAGACATGGTTGGCATGATTTAGTGACCTCTAAGAGATTTGCATTGATTCCTGGTTCAGGGTGAACACGGTGAAAAAAAAAAAGAGAACAGACGTCGGACATTCGATACGCCAAACACGAATACGGAAACAAAAAAGCATAGCATGGAAAATGGGTTTGATTTCACATATACACACAGCGTCCTAGCGACATCGCTCTTCGCATCTGGCGACCGACTTGGGAAACTTGAGGGCTGTCTGGGCGTTTTGCGGTTTATCATGATGAATTTTTTGATGGAATGGTTGCATTGCGAGGGGGTTTGGGCAAGGAAATGGATGGGCTGGTAATGATCGGATGGGGGAAAGAATTGATGGCATGGCATGGGTGATGATTAGATGATGGTAATATGGTGATGAGATAGAAAAATTAAGAACATTACGAGTAGTTGAAAGCTTTTTGGATGGTTCAACCTGGGTTGATAGTCGTTGATTTCGTGTGGTGCAGTGCCTAGCTCACCTCCTGTTGGGCTCCCTCATTGAATTCTCTTCAATATTGCAAAGAAGATTCGACACGTACGCTTGTTTACTTTTTGATTTGTAAAATAAATGATTTGCAGTGGAGAGATATCACGAAAACACTTTCGATCTTAAATTGTCACGCGAACTATTATCGAAGTTAGAATTCCTCTACCTCCTAAGTCCATGGTCGTACAAACCCCCCTCACGGACCACTCGGTACTCTCCCGAAGCTAAGACCATGACGGTATCCATAACGCTCCTCTCATTCGCCAGATTGCCCTTGGCAGCGGGACATTGATTACCTCAAAACACGTGATCTTCAATTTTCCAGGTCAAACCGGTCCCCAGCCAAAATCCAAAAGTCGCGAACCACGAGAGCCTCATCGCATCGAGCGCCCAAGACTCCGCGCAGTACAACCCCAAAACCCCGCTTTCTTCCTCACCGCAACATTTTCCTCGTAACGATCCCTAATATTCGAAGTGCTGAGCTCCGTGCTTGTTTTTAGATACCCCATTTCGAAATATTCGAGCGATATAGTACCGTAATTCGCAATTGAAGTGATCGAGGCCTCGAGGCTGCGACGAACACCGCGTTTTTTTACCGACGGATAAGATACGACGCATGAGGTTTGGGGGCGAACGGGGCAGGCGCCTGTAGTTGCGAATGCCGACATTATGAGTAGTACAATTGATTTGGTTGTGAGCCGGTTGAGCTCTGCGGATTCTGGTACGTCTTTGAGGATTTGGGATGGGGCCATAGAAATGCTACGTGCTACATGGGAGGGCGCTTTTCTTGGGGGGAAATTTTGATCTGCTATTTTGACACTGGTTATGGGCTTGGAACATGGACTAATAGATGCTGAACAGATGTAAAAGTCAGGGTTGAAGCAGCTGCTCAACTGAGAGACAACCTCGAACACTACATTACTGGTCCCATATACTCGCCCTTCTTGAAGAAACTTATACCCATCTTCAAGAACATACTCAATGGACCACCGGTTTTTATCAGTACATCCGCGGAACAGGTGAGAGGGCTCTTTGAATCGGAGGACAATGGTTAATGGATGTTATAGAAACTACGAAATTGTGTTCTTGAAATCATACATCGACTGCCTACAACTCCTGTCGAAGCTTTCGAACCGTATGCGCCAGATATTGTGGACCTGTTGATGCACCTGGTCAGATGCGACAATGAGGAAAACGCTTCGCTATGTGTCAAGACGATTATGGATATCATGCGAAACCAGCAGAATGTCTTGAAAGACAAGGTCCAGCCATTCCTTTCACTCATCCAGGAATTGTTTGACCAGATGGAAACTGTGGTACGGGATCAGCTTAACACACCAGCGACAGGTGTACCGACAACGCCAGGCAGTTCACAGAATTTCCAAAACTCACCTCGTCCGGGATCGCCAGTAGCCTCTTCAGTACAGGAGCTTGGGGCGGATGTTCAGCAGCAGACGAGACCGCTTTTAAAAGGCATGCAGTCATTCAAGGTTTTGGCGGAGTGTCCGATCATTGTGGTATCCATATTCCAGGTCTACCGGCAGACTGTTGGGCCGAATGTCAAGCTCTTCGTTCCATTAATCAAAACTGTATTATTGCTCCAGGCCGAACCCCAGGAACGGGCACACAACGAAGCAAAAGCCAAGGGCCAGATTTTCACAGGAGTCAGCCCGAACATCCGGAACAGAGCTGCTTTTGGTGAGTTTATCACGGCCCAAGTGAAAACAATGAGCTTTTTAGCATATCTTCTGCGCGTTTACTCGCAGCAGTTGAACGACTTTTTACCCACGCTGCCAAACATCATTGTACGGTTGTTAAAGGACTGTCCGAGGGAGAAGTCGGGCGCTCGTAAAGAGCTCCTGGTTGCGATTCGACACATCATCAATTTCAATTTCAGAAAGATTTTTGTCTCGAAAATAGATGAGCTTTTGGATGAAAGAACATTGATTGGTGACGGGCTGACTGTATACGAAACTATGCGCCCTCTTGCATACAGCATGTTGGCAGATTTGATACATCATGTTAGAGATGCGCTTGAGCCCGAACAGATTCGTAAGACAGTTGAAGTTTACACGAGGAACCTGCAGGACAGCTTTCCCGGTACCAGTTTCCAGACGATGAGCGCCAAATTGCTGCTCAACATGGCGGAGTGCATCGCGAAGATGCCAGATAAGGTTGATGCCCGTCATTATTTAATCATGATTTTGAATGCGATTGGAGACAAGTTCGCAGCGATGAACAGACAATACCCTAATGCTGTCAAGCTTTCGAAACTTAGTGCTCAGCAATCGATTGATGCTACCCCAGAGAGTTATCTAGCGGATAGAGACAACCCCCCGGACTGGGATGAGATTGACATCTTCACTGCCATGCCAATCAAGACATCGAATCCTCGAGACCGAGGTCTCGATCCTGTCACCGACAATAAGTTCTTGTTTAAGAATTTGATGAATGGCCTGAAAAATACATTCTACCAACTCAAGACTTGCAATGTTGGCACTCCGATAGATCCTGCTAACGCACCGGCTCATTGGCAGGAGGTGTCGTATGGCTTTACAGCCGAGGAAGTTCAAGTCATCATCAAGTTATTCCGCGAGGGTGCTTATGTGTTTCGGTATTATGAAATTGAGAAGCCTTCGACTGAGTCGCAGTACTCTTCGCCAGTGGAATTCATGGCCAATCACTACATGATCTCGAGCAGCAAAGAGGAGAAAGACTTGCTCGAAACTTTTGCGACCGTGTTTCATTGCATTGACCCCGCTACTTTCCACGAGGTGTTCCATGCTGAGATTCCTAAACTTTACGACATGATTTTCGAACACACTGCATTGCTGCATGTTCCTCAGTTCTTTCTTGCCAGCGAAGCGACATCACCAAGCTTCGCGGGTATGTTACTTCGATTCCTCATGGATCGTATAGATCAGGTTGGTACTGCGGATGTCAAGAAATCATCAATTCTTCTCCGATTATTCAAATTGGCCTTCATGGCTGTCACTTTGTTTTCAAACCAGAATGAGCAGGTCCTGTTACCGCATGTGCTTGACATCGTCACCAAGTCTATTGAACTATCAACAACAGCGGAAGAGCCGATGAACTACTTCCTGTTGCTGAGATCGCTTTTCCGGAGTATTGGTGGTGGAAAATTTGAGCACTTGTACAAGCAGATTCTTCCCCTATTGGAAATGCTTCTCGAAGTCCTCAACAATCTTCTTCTTGCCGCCAGGAAACCGGCGGATCGGGACCTGTATGTCGAGCTTTGCCTTACTGTACCAGCGCGATTGAGCAATCTCCTCCCACATTTGAGCTATTTGATGCGACCGCTTGTTGTTGCTTTACGACCTGGCTCTGATTTGGTAGGCCAGGGTCTAAGGACTCTGGAGCTTTGCGTAGATAACCTTACAGCAGATTACCTCGATCCGATTATGGCACCTGTCATTGACGAATTGATGACCGCACTCTTCGACCACCTTCGCCCAACTCCATACAGTCACTTCTTCGCTCATACCACCATGCGAATTCTCGGAAAGCTTGGTGGCCGTAACCGCAAGTTCATGACGAATGCACCTGGACTTACATTCCAGCAATATTCTGACGATTTGACAAGCATTGACCTGAAGTTGATCGGGTCGAAGAAGGACAGAGCATTTCCTGCAGAGATTGGTATTGATCTTGCTATTGGAAAACTGATGGAGATTCCCAAAGGCGCCGCGGCGAAGAAGACGGATGGCTACTACAAGACTCAAGCTCTTCATCTCATCAAAACACAACTGAAGTTGCGATTGGGAACCGACAGCCTCCCAGAAAACTTCTCTCGGCTGGTGCGACTACAAGCGCAGGATCTTTTAGCTAACCGATATGAGGAGGACACTTCTCTTGAGGCATCCGACAGAGAACGTTCCGTATTCAAGAAGGATGGCCAAGATCTCATTCTCAAGAAGTTAATCAAAGCTGTCATGTTTGCTGTATCTTTACCCGAGTTCACCGTTGAGGCTACTTCCCTTGTCACAAGTCTGTCACAACATTTTACGCTGCTTGAAGTTGGCAAATCTTTCGCGGATATGCGACGCGCCAAAAAGCCGTTCGATGTTAAGGCTGGCGAAGGTCCACTGTACATCGACCAGAGAATCCTCGGCGATGCTCTTGTTGAAGCTTTGTCATCTGATATGGTAACCGTTCGAGAAGCTGCAGAACTTGCCATTCGAGAAATCTACGAATCCACAGCTGTCATTTTCGGTTCAACTACCGAAATCCATCGGCTTTCATTTTTCCATTACCTTGGAAACACATTCTGTCATGCATGTTATGAAGAAGAGTGGTTCACAAAGGCTGGAGGAAGCCTCGGTATCAACTTGATGATTACGAAATTCAACTTGGGTGACACGTGGGTTTACGATAGACTGCTTGACTTCACGAAAGCGCTTCTCTATGTCATCAAGGACATGCCACCAGATCTTCCCGCGAAGACCCGAACAGGTGCTCAGAGCACTTTGGAAATTCTATTGAAACGGACCATGAAAAATGTCCCTAAAACGGACCTCACCCCACCACCCGCTCCAGCATCTGGTGCACAGACAACGCGGCCGTCGAAGATCCTCCAACTTTGTGGTATTTTGAACACCGAGATCTCTCACATGAATAAACACGTGCGTGAGGCAGCTAAAGAAGCGCTTCAGATCATTGCTACAGAGGTTGGAGTGGAAGTCTACGACTTGATTGAGTTCACTAAAGATGGGTGTCTTAGCCGCATTTACAATAAGCCTTTGAGAGCACTGCCTTTCAACGTTCAGATTGGATTCATCGATGCGGTCAATTACTACATGGGTTTGAAAAACGACTCTGTAGCCTTCGATGACCAGCTGAACAGGCTTCTGATGGAATCTCTTGCACTCGCAGATGCTGCAGACGAGTCGTTAGCTGCGAAGCCAGCCGAGCAGCGAACACAAGAATCCATCATCAATCTGCGGGTTGCTTGTATCAAGATGCTCACTACGGCGATGGGTTTTGACGAATTCCAAAAAGGGCCTAATAATCCGACGCGCACGAAGATTGTCTCTGTATTCTTCAAATCTCTCTACTCTGAGTCCAATCAGACCATTGAAGCTGCGAATGATGCTTTGAAGGTAGTCCTTTCTCAGACCACAAAGCTTCCCAAGGATCTGCTTCAGAATGGTCTTCGGCCGGTACTGGCAAATCTTCAAGACCCTCGCCGCTTGAGCGTTCACGGATTGGATGGACTTGCACGCCTCTTACAGCTCCTGACAACATATTTCAAGGTCGAAATTGGTGCTCGTCTTCTGGATCACATCAAGATTCTTGCAGAGCCAGCGATGCTGCAACGTATTTCTTTCACGATGATCGAGCAGACTGATGCCGTCAAGGTCATTTCAGCTGTTTTCAATATTTTCCACTTGCTGCCTCCAGCTGCAGAGCAATTCAAAGAGAGGCTCATCAATACGGTCATGGATTTGGAAGATAAACTCCGTCGCACGTGCAACAGTCCCTTCCGAGAGCCACTATACAGGTATCTTAACCGATATCCAAAAGAAGTCTGGTTGATGCTTCTTGGCAAGATTGAAGATCAAAAGTATGGCCGGTTCTTAGCCCAAGTCTTGCAGGCTCCAGAGAGCGGACCACTACGAGAAGTTGTGGTCGGTAGTGTCGAGTCGTTGATCAAATACTGCGGTGATATGGGTGCTGAAAACAAGGAGACCCGATATGCAGCTGTCATCAACGCCATTAACATTATGCACTCGATGTCTATTTATGAGAGCAGCAAGTCGTGGATGGAAAAGAAAGAAAATCTTACGTGGTTGAAACTCGTTGGGAAGAATCTAGAGTTGCATCTACGAACCAACACGTTGCCACCAAATCTTCGACTCGCAGCTGAGCAGGCTGGAGAACAGCTGATGGTTATCTTGACTAAGTTCTTGGTTTACCATCCTAAGGACCTTGATGCTTTGTTCGGCCTGGTCGAGTCCGTGACCGCTGAGGACTTCAAAGCAAGTCAAGTTCTGTTCGATCATATCTACCATCACATTATATGTAGCGACTCGGTTGAGTACTGGAAACTCGTAATCATGCGCAGTCTGGAGATGTACGCAGCCAAGGCTCCATCACAGAAGACGAAAGCGTTCCTCCTACATTACATCGTCAACCCCATAATCGCCATGGATGTGATGCGAAATGCCAAAAAGCCTCCTGCACCCCGGTCACCCAGATTGATGGACAAGGCGCTGATTGAGTCAATACACACCAAGATCTGGAAAGTCAGTCTGGGAGATTCAAATGAGGACGTGCTACAGCCAGGTATTGACCATACAAGAATGGAAGTCCTTCAGCTCACAGCAATGTTGGTCAAATACCATCACGCAATTCTACAAGATGCCAGGAAAGATATCATCAAGTTTGGATGGACATACATCCGATTGGAGGATGTGATTAACAAACATGCTGCTTATGTGGTTATTGGATATTTCATCGCCCATTACGAGACGCCAGCGAAGATCGTTCAGCAAGTCTACTTCTCACTGTTGAAGACAAATCAAAATGAAGGTCGAACTCTTGTCACGCAAGCTCTGGAACTGATTGCACCCGTGCTTCCAAAGAGAATCAATGCACCACTTGGCGATCGCAATCCAATTTGGTCTGCGGCGCCACGTCGAATCCTCGCTGAGGAAGGCCAAAACGTACAGCAGATGACAAGCATATTTCACTTCCTCGTCAAGCACCCAGATTTGTTCTATGATTCGCGGGAGAAGTTTGCAAACCTTATTATTGCTTCGCTACGCAAGCTCGCGCAGCCTCCTAGTCCTTCGAACGAGAGTAAGAAGTTGGCACTGAACTTGATGACCATGATATGGCAGTGGGAACGACGCCGCGTTGAAGGAACGATGGTCTCACCCATTCGTGCTTTATCAGAATCTCCAAATACAAAGAAACGAAAGCTCGATGCTTTGGAGTCGACGACAACGCCGTCACCAGCGCAGCCAGGCTCGGCAGGGTCTGTGGACAAGCCAGAGTACAAAATCCCAGTCCAGTCGCAGACAAAAATGATCAAGTATCTTGTGGAATTCATCGCATCACTCAGTGAAAGATACCCATTGCCATCAGCCAAGACAAAAGATTCCGCAGCTGGCCCAGCGCCGCCACAACCTGCGAGTTCTGTTGAGATGTGCAAGAAGGCCATAGCTCTGCTTTATAACCTTCTTCAACCTCAGTACTGGGCAGATGCTACTGTCGATCTCTTCCCTAACGTTACCGAGACTGTTTTGGCGAGTGATCGAACGACTGCTGCACTTGCAAGCGAGCACGCTGAGAAGGACAAGCCTGATGAGAAGTTCATAACTAATATGGTTAACACCCTTCAGGTCGTTCGTATTATTGTCAACATGAAGCCTGATGACTGGGTTTTGACGAATATGCCTGCTATTCAGCACATTCTAGAAAAATCGCTGAAGTCTGATAATCCAGAGATCCAAGATTGTCTTCATGCGGCGGATGAGAAAATGGACGAAGGTCGAAAGTTGAAGCCTCTTGTGAAACGCATCCTTGATGCGGTACCAGATGATGTTCCCATGGAGGATGCAGATGCTGAAGGAGAGTCTGAAGCGTCTACGTCTGAGATCATCACTTTCTTGACGAATATGGCTACGGAGCTTCTGTCGAACAACAACTACGTGGCTGGTATCAACATCTTGTGGACCTTGGCGCAACGAAAACCTTCTGAAATGGACCAACATATCAACCAAGTCAGCAAAGCGCTTCATGCCAAGCTTGCTCGAGATCATATTGCACATTACAATGCGCTTACCGGGCAGGCGGGACCGGTTCCTCCTGCCAGAGCTGGAGAAGTCGAGCCTTCCATGGTGATGCCAGCCTACGAGCTAGAGATTCAGACTGGCTTGATCATCAAAGCAATTGACATTATGTCGATGCGCATGGATATTCTTGGAGACAACCGTAGACCTTTCCTGAGCGTTCTTGCCATGCTCGTGGAGAAGTCCTTGAGCAATCCTTTGTGTATCAAGATTCTTGAGATGGTCGAGACATGGGTGTTCAAGTCCGAGGGTTCCTGGCCGACGTTGAAAGAGAAGACTGCTGTGCTGCACAAGATGTTGACTTTTGAGAATCGCACCGATCAGACTCTACTTATAAGGTTCTTGGAGCTTGTCATTCGGCTCTATGAAGATCCCAAGATTGCGCGCACCGAGCTTACTGTGCGCATGGAGCATGCTTTCTTGATCGGAACCCGAGCTCAAGATGTCGACATGCGAAATCGATTCATGGCTATTTTTGACAAGAGTCAATCGAAGACTGCCAGTGCAAGGTTAAGTTATGTGATCATTGCGCAGAATTGGGATACTCTCGCCGAGTCGTATTGGCTTGCACAAGCATCGCAGCTTCTTCTCGGTGCGGTGGATACGAATAGTGCGGTGCAACTTCATTCGGAAGATTTCCGCATCATTCCCGCTTCTTCGGTGTTCTCGTCCTATGCAGGTGATGGTCGTACTCCAACAATACCTGCCGACTCCAAGTATGATAGTCTGATGCTGTCACATCGTCGTTTTATCAATGAATTGGGTGACATCAGAAGCAGGGATATTATTGATCCAATCAGTCAACTTCAGCATTTGGACGCTACCATGGCGCACCAAATCTGGGTCGCACTGTTTCCGTTGTTCTGGTCTGCCACTCCACGCGATGAGCGAGGTGATTTGGAACGTGGTATGGTTGCTCTTCTTACCAAAGATTACCATGCTCGTCAAGTTGACAAGAGACCAAATGTCGTCCAATCACTCCTCGAGGGAGCAGCAAAGTCGTGGCCGGAGTGCAAGATTCCACCACATGTGCTCAAATTTGAAGCCAAAACTTTTGATGCATGGTATACTGCGCTCGTCCAACTCGAGAATGCTGCTATCAATCCGGAAGTTGACAGTAATCTGGTTCGTGAAAGCAATTTGGACGCTCTGGTTGAGCTGTACGCGGGATTACAGGAGGATGACCTGTTCTACGGTACATGGCGTCGACGATGCCAATTCGTCGAGACCAATGCCGCTCTTTCATACGAACAGAATGGAATGTGGGATAAGGCCCAGCAAATGTACGAAGCTGCTCAAATCAAGGCTCGAACGGGCGCGATACCATTTTCACAAGGAGAATATATGCTTTGGGAAGATCATTGGGTGATTTGTGCTCAGAAGCTGCAGCAGTGGGAGATTCTCCAGGATTTCGCTAAGCATGAGAATTTCCAAGATTTGCTGCTTGAATGTGCGTGGAAACAAACGGAGATGTGGCAGACTCCTGAGAACCGCGAGTCGCTGGATAATTTAATCAAGGGTGTCATCGATGCGCCGACTCCAAGAAGGACTTTCTTCCAGGCGTTTATGTCTTTGCTAAAGCTTCATAATAAGACGGAGACGGCGGCAGCGTTTAGCGGGGTCTGCGATGAAGCTATTCAGCTTTCTATTCGGAAGTGGCATCAACTTCCGCAACGTATTACGAATGCGCATATTCCACTTCTGCAGAACTTTCAGCAGCTTGTTGAACTTCATGACGCGAGTGTTATTTGCCAGAGTCTGGCGCAGACAAATCAGACCAACTTAGACGTCAAGTCGGGCGAGCTGAAATTGCTTCTTGGTACTTGGCGTGATCGTCTACCGAATGTATGGGATGATATCACGGCGTGGCAAGATCTAGTGACCTGGAGACAACATATCTTTGGTCTAATCAATACTACATACTTGGGTCTACTTCCTCAACAAGCACAAAATGCCAATGGTGCTTCTTTCGCCTACCGTGGATACCACGAGACGGCTTGGATTATCAATCGTTTCGCGCATGTGGCACGCAAACACCAGCTTCCAGAGGTGTGCATCAGTCAACTCAGTCGAATCTACACTCTACCCAACATCGAGATTCAAGAAGCGTTCTTGAAGCTTAGAGAGCAGGCTAAGTGTCATTACCAGAACCCTAATGAGTTGACGAACGGGCTGGATGTCATCAACAACACCAACTTGAATTACTTCGGACCGAATCAGAAAGCAGAATTTTACACTCTTAAAGGGATGTTCTTGGAGAAGCTTGGGCAACGTGATGAAGCTGCAGAGGCGTATGGAATGGCTTTGTTTTTCGATATTAAATTGCCAAAGGCTTGGGCCGAGTGGGGTTACTACAATGATCGCTTGTTTAAGGAAAATCCTACCAACTACTCTTACGCGAAGAATGCGCTCAGTTGTTACTTGGAAGCTGCCGGGTTGTTCAAAAATGCGAAGTCGAGAAAACTCCTCACTCGCATTCTCTGGCTCCTCAGTCTGGATGACTCGGAAGGTACTCTATCTGCTCAATACGATGAGTACAGGGGGGAGACCCCAGTGTGGTACTGGATCACATTTATTCCTCAACTCTTGACTGGTCTCGGGTATAAAGAAGCAAGCAAAGCTCACAGCATCCTCGCCAAGATCGCAAAGTCCTATCCTCAAGCTCTTTACTTCCAGTTGCGAACGAATCGGGAAGATATGCTCACCATTAAGAAACAAGAAGAGGTCAAGGAAGCGAGAGCCCGACAAGTAAAAGCCAGAGCTGCTGCACAAGCCCAGAACCGTGCTGCAAATGGAGATACACCGATGGCAAATGGCTCTCCGACTGCCACCAGATCAGAAACTCCTGGTAATAGGCCCCAGAGCTCGACAGGTTCTCGTCCAGGTACTGCGAATGCGGACGCTACTGTCAAGTCTGAACCAGATGCGAAACCACAGCCAAATGGAGCCGCGGCCCCATCAGGCGAGACGCCGGAGAAGAAGGCACAAGCACCTTGGGAACATGGGGAACAGGTCCTTTCTGTCCTCAAAACTGCGTTCCCTCTTCTAGCGCTTTCAATGGAAACTATGGTCGATTCGATCTCAAAGAACTTCAAATGTCCTCCTGATGAGGATGCTTATCGGTTAATCACTGCTCTTCTCAATGATGCCCTCTCATATGTTGGCCGCATGCCTACTTCGTTCGCTCAAGATGTCAAGTTACCACAAGCGACGGAATCGAACATTACCAGATTCGCCGAGACCATTCTTCCTGCGCATATTCGAAGTTCTTTCGAGGCTGACTTTGTCAAGAAGAAGCCTACGATGTACGAATATATTCACAAACTGAGGAAGTGGCGAGACAAGTTTGAAGCGAAGCTGGACCGACGACGAAATGTTACCTATCTCGAGAATTACAGTGCTTATCTGAGCGAATTCCGATTCCAAAAGCTTGATGAGGTTGAAGTTCCTGGCCAATACTTGCAGCATAAAGACAAGAACCAGGATTTCATTCGTATTGAGCGGTTCTTGCCAAACGTGGATCTGGTTCGTGGGATTGGTGTTTGTCATCGAAGACTCAAGATTCGAGGTCATGATGGTAGTGTGCATCCTTTCGCGGTACAACATCCTGCCGCTCGACATTGCAGACGAGAAGAACGAATTCTGCAGCTGTTCAGACACTTCAATGGCACTCTCAGTAAGAAGAAAGAATCGCGACGTAGGAACTTGAATTTCCACCTGCCACTAATGGTTCCACTTGCACCACATATTCGAATTGTTCAAGATGACCCTACTTATGTGTCCTTCCAAGCCATCTTCGAAGACCATTGCCGCAAGAGTGGCATGTCAAAGGATGATCCGGTATTATTTAACATGGAGAAAATGAGATCTTTGGTGGAGAGTAAAGTAGGCATTGATTTATTAAACATTTTTACTGCTATTTCACATGAAGTTGGTTTCGAAGAGTATCAAGCTGACGTGTGTAAACAGAAACATCCAGAACAATCCGCTACTGCCAAGCTGGAAACTTTTACGGCTATACAGGAGAAATGGGTGCCACATCATCTGGCATTGGATTACTTCACCAAGATCTATCCATCCTACTCTGAGTTCTGGCTTTTCAGACGGCAATTCTCGTACCAATTCGCGGCTCTCACGTTCATGACTTACGTGCTTCACATGCACAATCGCTATCCACAGAAACTGAACATCGCTCGTGGAACCGGAAATGTCTGGGGCTCAGAACTAATGTCCTGCATGAACGCAGGCAAAGCCTTCTTCCTCAACCCCGAATCCGTACCCTTCCGTCTCACACCTAACCTCCAAACCCTCATGGGTCCTCTCGCCACCGAAGGCATCTTCTCCTGCGCCATCATGGCCATCGCGCGCTGTCTCACAGAACCGGAATTCGAACTCGAACAACAACTCTCCCTCTTCGTGCGCGACGAGATGATCTTCTGGTTCACTAACAACCATCGCTCGCCCACTACGATGGATCAGGGACAGCTGAGGGAAACGGTGCAGACGAATAGCGAACTCATCGTTAAGAGGACGTTGAGCCTCGCGCAGAGTCCAGCGGGGGCGCTGCCGGCGAATCAGACGGTCATTGATCTTATTGCTCGGGCGGTCAACCCGATGAATTTGGCGCAGATGGAACCGTTGTTTATGGCTTATTTGTAGGGGTGTTTTGGGCTGGCGACGGGATATCACGAGGTGGTGCACTTCATGTATGAGAAGAAGGGATTTTGCACGATATGGATTGTTTTTAATGGGGAGATTGCTTGGATGGTCATCTTTAGCGTGGCGCTGGTTCGGCGTTTGGGGGTGTGCATAAAAATGGGATGGCGGGATTTATGGGGGGATGGGGTGGTGATGGTGTATGAGTGGGTGTAAAAGAGGACGAGGATGGGTGGGGATGGGGTAATGATGTTTGTAGTATATTAATTTATGTTGTTGTTGAGATGTGGGTATGTTTGTGTTATAAAAGCATTCGCTTGAAGCGCGTGTCGTAACTCATAAGTATACACGAAGGAAGTTGTACATTATCATCAGCTCCTAACTCAAAGCAACCACGAGCCCAACAACCCCACCAGCCCCAATCAACGCCGCCCTCACAAAATTCAACACCTGAAATCTCCTCAGCAACACAACAACCCTCTCATCCTCCTCCTCCGTCCCCCCTTCAACCTTCTCCTGCGGCCCACTCAAATCCGTAAACTCACTCCCCTCTCCCGTCCCCGCAACCGAAGCCTCCGCACTCCTCTTCCTCTTCCCAACCCCACCACCCTCCCTCGCGCTCCCCTCACTCCTCTTCCCACCCCTCCCCTCATTCCTCCCAATAAGCTCAAAATTCGTCGGAATCATCACGCCCGTAAACGGACCAATACTCAGCGTCAGCGCCGCGGCCAGCAGGTACCCGTTCACTTCCCTCCCATACGAAAATACATCTACAAGATGAAAAGTGTGGGACGGGATGCAGGTGTATGCCAGATAAGCGAAGCCCGCGCTGGAGATGCTGGCTGCTTGTGGGAAGATGTGGGAGCCGCGACTGAAGAGCCAGCGGGTTGCGGGGAGGGATCTTGAGGCGGGAAGGGCGGTTAGGAGGGGGATGGTTAGGAGGGAGAGGGAGGCGATGGCGCCGGAGGCGAGGAGGGAGGTGCTTATTGTGAGGGTTTGGAGGAGGGTTGTGGTTGTGGTTGTTGAGGTTGACATGTTGGGTTTGTGGTCTGGGTGGTGTTGTAAAATGATAAGTGTTTTATATTCTTTTTGAAGCTTTAGAGATAGAATATGTTCGAGAAAAATTGCTTGTGTCCTAGTTTGTTTTCCTGATAGTTTATTACACGTCTTATATCTTCTCACGAGGAAATGCGTTACACAGACAGTGTTATTCGTGTGTCGTCATGTGCCGGACTATGGAACACCAAAAAGGCCGACGACGCTTTTGGGCTTTGGAGAAGCACATCTGCGTCCAAGAAATAAAATCCCGAAAAAAAAACCGATTGATGTGACTCGTGGTGGTTTTGTTTTCGGCATTCGAAATGTTACACAGAAGATAAGTGCCGAGTCGATGGTGCTAATTGAGAGACACAGAATATGTTCTCTGGCTAGGTACGCTGCATTTTATGTGTTCACACCAAATAACAGACAGTTTTGGCAAAATATTTTTTTGAAAGTTATGCGGCATAGTCGTGTATTACCTTTCCCAACTAGATATTTCTAAAATGAGAGGGAAGTTAGCTAGTATTGAGTGTGTTCGCTGGTTCGTTGTCTGGCACCGCTAGCTCTCCCCTTAAATCATGTACAGCTAACGTTTATAAGTGAGCCCTCAATTAAGCTGAGTAGTAAATCAAGAAATTTATATCTTCAAGGCAGATATCTCGAGTGCCTGTTCAGCTCTAGTTTAGTTTCTAGGTAACTTTTTGATTGCTCTTTTCAAACATCTTAAAATATATGTTGCATGTAATTTTATTGGTGGTAGAATTCGTCGATGTTATAATTTACCTAGTAACCATGCAGCGTTTCTTTCACTTGTTCTGGAAGTAGGCAATTTAGTAGTAGTCTGTCCAATTCTTTGTTTTACTAAAAGACGGCTTTCATATATATCAAAATCTTTCCAAATAGATTATTTTCCGATAAATGGAATCGTTTGTAATAAGACCTTCGAATGCGCAATTAACTTGTTAATGTTATCTTTAAAGAAAAAAATGATTAAGTGGTGATTTGAAATTTTAAACTATACTATACTGAAAACCAGCTCTATCTTCTTCATGTATTGAAACTTAATTTTCTTTACGTTGTCTTTATTCAATATTTTGCGCTGTTCAAAAACTCACTTGTAACGAGAGGATGCTATTTAGTAGTTCACATATTTTTCGCCGCCAGAAATCAGTTTAATAGAGACAGAGGTTATTTTGTAGTTCACTACAGTTATTACATATTCATCTTCAAGGGTTCATACAGCTTCATGGCAATTGTCAACTTCTATTGTGGTCTCAAGTGAAGGGGAAATGGGCTGCTTGTTCTTGTCACTTCGGCCAAGTAATGTGATTTGCCTTTCTTTGAGTTTTCTTCGAGTGAAGTCGCACTGAATGAATCTGTCGTAAGAGCTTGAATTTGTTTGCTTAAACCCACAAAGTCTTTGACTTTACTGTCAAATACATTTGCATATATACTTAATGTCTTGACTTTTGTTTGTTCAAACATTAGTTTCGTTTGTCTTTCTTTCGAAAGTTGCAGTACTGAATTATCCTTACCTCATATCTAGATCTTGATTGGCTCAAGTACGGATCACGTTTGTCTTCGAATATCTGGTAAACCGGCAGTGAACTGGCAGTGAACGGCTGGCATATTATCTGCATGATTATGCCTCAGACTAGGTGAATTTCAATTCACAAGTCCTTGTTTACTAGCGTGGATGCAAGTACTATAAAGTCTGCCTTCATCCCCTCTGCCGTTATCTTTACTTCTCACCAATTCAATATCAAAATTGAAGACGTCAGCCGACACTAAACTTACTTGTACAAACGAACACGCCCGCTACTCTATCAATTAAAATTGCTCCTCGGACACATATCAACTCAATCATAACACCGACTTCCTCAACTCCATTCTTGATCGCCTCCATGCCTGTTTCCACCACATCCAACTCCAGCGTATCCTCTGATTTGACAGCCTCAAACATGGAGTTCACTGACGATTTTACTATCAAGCTTCCTGCAGAACTTGAGATTATGCTTTTTGAGGCACTTATCGCAGTCATCGGTCCTCGTCGCGTTCCGGTCTGGCCCAAAAGTAAAGGCTGCATAGTTCCTGTCGTCTTCCATATCAACAAGGAAAGCCGGGAAATTGCGATGAAACAATACTCCCGTTTTACGTTCGACAGGTGTGACGATGCTGATTATGCTGGTTACTACGATACTGATTACGACTCTTTTGCGTTCTTCTTCAATCTCAGCAAAGACAACCTCTTCGTCAACCTCTCTCCAGAGGGGCTAGCTATCTACGCAGCACAATGCCATGATTACTACACTGATACCATCTGTAGCCTCCTCCCCTTCCTGACCATGGGCGATGACTTGGCAGAACCCTATGACCAGCCCGACCTTTGGCTTCGCAACGATCACCTCATAAACCGCATCCAGCATCTCACTCTTCCACAATGGGCACTAGAAGCAGAATTTCCAGATCAATGGTCGGGTCCGGACCATCCCTATGACTGGAAGTAATCTCTTTTCTCCTGGGTTCTTGATCAGAATCTGAGAGAACTTAAGTCCGTGACGTTGATTGATGATCCGCTCCCGTTCGACAGTCCGATTTATGCACGTGCAGCGGTCATGGAGTACGGATCTAAGAATAAGTTGACGTGGGAAATGCAGAAAACCATTTATAATGACGATGGAGAAGATGACGAGGGATGGGATGAATTCGCGGCGGTGAGAAATTATGTGGATACGATGGTGCAGAAGAGGCTTAGGATTCGGGCTACAAAAAAGAAGAGTGAAGAGACCATGGGGGCTGTGGAGGGTAGTACTGTGGTGGATACTGGTGGAGTACCTGCTGCGACAAAGCCTATGGAGCTCTGGAGTTTGTTTTTGGCGAGTATGGATAAGAGGAGACATAGTATATTTGACAGCATTGAAGAGAGGCAGTCGACACGTTATTGAAAGTGTACGGAAAAGAAGGAGAATATTTTCGAGTACCGAAGAATACAAAGCAAGGCTTTTGCAAGACCCACCAGAAACCAAGACTCGGTAGCCGCCTCAAACAGTCTCTCGCTTTGATTAATTAAACTTGAAATCACATTATTTCTCTGGCGCCGTCTAGAGTTGCGAACAATAATATCAAAGGAAACATATTCCTATTTTGGCCCAAATTTGCCTACCTAGCATCATTAATGCAATGCCCAGAGCTATTATAATACTCTAGACTCCTTTTGCTATGTCGTACCCAGATTCCCCAGATCTAACCCCCACAACTCATTCACCAAGCAAATTTATGCCCTCGCTTGGAGGACGCAACCTTTCTAATAACAAAATATTCCCAGAGTGTTAGTCATGTACTCCAGTATACATGCGCTATAAAAAACTGATTTCTTGTCTGTACATCATATACAAGCAAGTCATTACTCATTACGGTGACAAATAAGATTTCAAGGAAGTTCTAGGCAAAATATAAATTTAATAGCCTCCGTGCTCAAATTTCGACACGTTCCAAAGCATGAACAACTTTCTGGATGAATCTCACACCCTGGCCTTCTAGTGCCCGCTGCACTCCCTACTTAATGTTGGTTGGTCCCACCACTTGCAAATGTACCGTCAAACCCGTTCTGCGAGTCGACCACTAGTCTAGATAGCATTTCTCCCGCAATTAAACGGAGGTCCTTCGTTGCAAAGCTCAACAAGACTTCTTTGACCAATATAGAACATGAGACAATCTTCGCGGTATTCTCATAAGCACTCTCATACATCCTATGAGGCCCGTCTAAGTCAATCTCGAGCCTGCAGAACTCTGGACTCAGCACCGGCAACGCTTTATTTATTTATATAGACAAGGCTCTGAGCAATAGAGATAGGAGAGTTGAATTTGGCCGGGGATGTCATTGTGGTTGCATTGTGAGGGTATTTTTCTACATGGCTTCTTCCTCAAACTATCACTTGAAACTTTGTAAATACCTAGAGGAACCACCAAAACATCGACCATTGAAGAGCTGAAACCATGGATTGAATGTCTTAAAGGCACAAAATTTGAACACTGGTGCATATAACCGTACCCAACCGTCATCTGTTAATCTAAAGGAAGGTGCATTTCATGAACTTCCGAAAAGAATGTGGATTATAAAATATTCGTCCTCGTGGCTGCTTCATACCGTCTCCAACTGCATTCGTACCACTAATTACCAATGGCTATCGCGTCAAAATCGTGACTCAAACGACCGGGGGGTTTAGAAGTAAGTCCAGTCCCAGACACTTCATTAACCGGATGCGGGTGCGTTATATCATTTCCTTCTTGAACGCCCACGATGCCTAACTTTCCATTTCGGTTTTGTCGAGATGTGAAGAGGTTAAAAATCGGTTGCGTCGGTTCGGTAGTTGTGGCAATGGAAGCTGGGGATATATCTGCGTTGTTGTGCCTATATTTTTGTAGGAATAGTAGAGCAACAACAACTGAGCTCAAGAGAGCCATACCACCAATTATGCCACCTACTATAGCACCTGTGTTGATGGGGGTTGGTGACGGCGGAGAGACATAAGAAGAGGTGGAAGAACTTTCTGAGCTCGTTCTCGTTGAAACCGCTGGTGTGTTCGACGGCGATGCGGACGATAGTAATACTGAGCTAGTGCTGATTGATGTTGTATTTGCAGATACGCCCTTCGTTGTTTCAGTCATTGAAGATCCAACTAGGGTCGTTGATACAGTATCAGAGGTCAGGTTTTGACTCTGAGATATCGTTTTTGCTGCTTGAGCGGCGTTGGAAAAGAACGTGAATCTGACGGGGCTGTTGTTTCCAGGCCCGTCGGGATTATTCTCGCTTCCAATTTCACCATGACAGAGTAGAGGGAACCGTGTTTCTCCTGGTGCGTGGTTTTCGAGAATATAGTCAAATGGACCATTGACGTCGATGTAGAAGGAACCTGCTGGTCCTTGCATGAATGTTAGTTCAACTCATGTTTGGAGATAAACGGATTGCAGCAGAGTTTGAAACTTGGTTTTTTTTAGGAGAGTCACACTTAGTTCTTGGCTTCCATCTTCATTTCTACACCAGATGTTCAAGAAGTTATTTGAAAGCGTTGACGTGTAATCCAGTAACACCATGTCTTGCTTGTTCGCTTGTATCTGATCGTTGGCCGTTGGAAATTTCCAGATGACCGATTGTGCCTGCGTTCCTACATGCTGAATGTCAGAGAGAAGCACCCAGAAGACCAGTAATACTAAATGCTGCATGCTTATGAGAATAACATGCAATACAGTATCAAAATGAGAAACAATACAACAGCTGGAATCGTGATTAATCGAGGCTTCCTGGAGACCTTGTTATAAGAAGAGACCTCCCCCGCTTCCTACATGCGGGTAACAACAGCCAACGTAGGACACCAAGTAGATAGCATTGTTTCAGTATGTTAGCTAACCTGTTTCATTGACCTGTTTTAAACAATATCTGCAGTCTCCCATATTACTTGCGCCACAATCCACCAATCAGTGACATTTTAGCTCGATCTTGCGGAAGTTTTCACGGCAGGAAGCCGTCCTATCAAGGAGACGAAAGGTCGCGACACTCGTCTATAAAGATAATCAAGAAAATGCAAAAGCAAATGAAGAGTACAGAAATTCAAACTCCACAAGTGGGTAACATTGTACCCTTTCACTTAAAGTTCTATGTTACCGCCAAAAGAACTGCCATCCATCTCGATTTTGGTGACAATCACGACCCAAGATTGGTTTATTTCTTCTCCATTTGAGAGCACCGTTTGTATGAAAGGTAACTTCGTGATTTCTTACATCTTCAATATCGATTAAGCGAGACCCCCCCGTCCCCCTCTCTCACTCCAGAATCTCGCTAAGCTGACGATGAGATGAGACGCCACCTTCCGAGGCGGGTAAACAACTCTAAATCCGCTCCCGCCGCAACCCCCCCATGCCATTCACCCCTTGTAAAGTGGTATCGATAACCCCACCAGATAAGCGCCAAGGCATACAGGGCCGAAGTGAAATCTGCCATTGGCAAATAGCAACACCGAAATAACCGCACATAAGTTGGTGAAGTTGGTTGCTTCATCTGTCTTTCCATTTTGACAAAGTTGAAGTCTGCTTTCTTCACCATGCCTCTCAGGAAAACGAGAAAAGGTGAATTTCGCCCGAAGCTCATCATGCAAACTATATCATACTATCCTGCACCACGATGAAGAGATCATGGCCGCAAAAGAAGGCGCTGGCACTTGCCGCGAGCTCAGTCGCAATTGTTTTTATTTTTGCAGCTGTCGCAAGGCTTCAATACCCGTCTTCGGAGTCGATCGTGGGTATCAAACTGCCGTACTTCAATGGTGACAATGATGACGGTATTCCGGACCAGGAAACTCGTAAGCTGCCCTTGTGCGACCTTGAACATTGATAAATCCGGGCAAACTAATCCTCAACAGCGTCCACAGTTAGGAATGCGACATTCTTTCAAAATTCGGCGACTAAATACTTCAAAGCAATACTGAACCCCAAAGATACAAGCCTCGACCGCCTTCGCTGTCCAGCACCTGATCTTAAGCGGTACCAGTATCTCAGAAACGACATTGATATTGCGAAACTCGCCGGCAGAGAGAAGCGATTATTTTTGGCGCTGAATTTGCGACAATCCATCCATGTACTGCCTAGTTTAATGGGCTCAATCGTGGAGACAATACGATTCCTTGGACCCGAAAATTGCGTCCTGTCTATTGTGGAAGGAAATTCGAATGACGGAACTTTCGATGTACTAGAAGGGCTCCGCAAACATATGGCAATCTTGGGACTCGAATATCATCTCGAAGTCAGCGACATCGATCCCTCACAAGGCGACCGCATCGAAGGTCTCGCTGCTCTACGGAACTTAGCTCTGGAACCTCTCATCAATAATTCCACGCAGTATTCCTCTGATGCGGCGGTGGTGTTCATTAACGATGTCGCAATCTGCTTTGAGGATATACTGGAATTAGTGCACCAACGAGTATTTCAGAAGGCTGACATGACATGTGGTATGGACTGGAATTCCATTGAACCGGCGCCCATTTTCTACGACATTTGGATCGCCCGAGCTATCAATGGAGATACGTTTTGGGGGATTCCACCGGACGGAGGATGGCGTTATGCTCCGAATCTTTTCTGGAATCATCCTTTGTCCGGTCAGCGATACGAGGAACGGAAAGCTTTACAAGTTTTCGCCTGCTGGAACGGCGCGGTAGTCTTCACCGCAAAACCTATAATCGAGAAGAAGATACGGTTCAGGACGTCGAAACCTGGAGAATGTTTTTCGGGTGAACCGCGTCTGTTCTGCAAAGACATGTGGATGAACGGGTATTCGAGGATTGCGGTCGTGCCGTCGGTTAACCTGGAGTATTCCAATGAGAACACTCAAAAAGCTAAGGAGGTGTATGGATATGTTTCTGATGCGGTGAAAGCGGAGCAGAAGGACGATGAGTCGTTGAAGATTGAGTGGGATGCTAAACCACCGGAACAAGTTAAATGTATGTCGGATTTTGCGGATCAGTCTTGGGTGCCCTGGAATCAGGGGTTTGAATCTGAGAATTAAGCGAAACCATCCTGTATGTTGAGGACAATCACGTGTGCATGACACCGTATACTGTGTCAACCTACAGTCAAGTGTGATCTTGGTTAAACCATGTAAGTACGCCAAACATTCTTTTTGTGATTATGGCTGGAGCATTGGTGGGATTTGTGGTCCTGTGATGGCACCTTGATGGGTAGGTGTGGGATGCCAATCACGACTTCCTGATTTGAACAACGCATTTCCGTTTTGCTGATAGCACTTCTTTCTCTCATTGCAGTTCTTATCTGAAAACCATCAGGTTGAAGAATGAGACGTACAAGTCTTTCACTTGACTGCGTACAAAAAGTGCTTTCGGCCGCCTGTACGATACAAACAAAACAGGCAAGAACAATCAACAAAATCTTTCCATCTCATGACATGCACTTGCTTTTCCCAGTCACCTCGGGCATAATTCAAAGTCATGCAGGCAATGTGGGTTGAAGGATGCTTCGCTGGCACTCTGTTGTGGGGGTGAGCCTCCTCCTTCTGACATTCACAAGTAATCCCACTTGTGAATGTCATTCTCTTCTTCTAATGAACCATTCATAGGTCAAACCATTGTTGTTTTCCTGGTTCCCATTTGTCTGGGTGATTGGCGATGGACTTCCACAAGTGGGTGGTTAAAACCGATATGCATTTCAACCAGGTTTGGGTTATTGCAGTTCTCAAAATCCTACATTCGTTTCATCAACATTGATATCTCTAATCCTAAAGTCAAACCAATCCTACACTACGAACATCATTTTTAACACTACACCCAAACAAAATGCCAGGCACCGACGCCCTCATAATGGATCCCGAAATTGTGCCTACGATCACCGCCATCCTCTCAATCCATACCCGTCTTTTCGCCCTACAGTCTCTTGTTCCCAGCCCAGAAGTCAACGGTCTCTTCGAAGACTTGATGACCATCTGCCTCAGACCTATACCAAACGCTCGCTCGTCGCGCATCCTTTCCGATCCGCGAATCGTCGAAATCCTTCCCGCCCTCCACCAACTATGTTCCCTCAGCGAGTTCGAAATGGAAAAGTACTGGTGTAAGCGCATCACCGACTCATCCAATCGTAAGCCGAATACTTCATCTCATCCCTCTCCAAAATTGAAGGTCGTACTAACAACCACAGCTAACGAAGAACTTCGCAAATTCACCTATTTCGAAAACTACGTCGACCTCACACGTCTCGAGCTCGCAGCCATATACGCCCTAGACACAAACCCGATCAATAATGTAGCATTCATAGGCAGTGGGCCGTTACCCTTGACGAGCATATGTTTGATGGAACAAGTCAACGAAACCGCGGAGTTGACAAGAAAAGCCAATCTTGGTTTTACAAGCTGGATATTGGAGACTCTAGGCCTGACGAGGAAATCGAAGGTCAAGATTTTGAATATCGATCATTCGCCTGAGGCGATCAAGAGTTCGACGGTTTTGGTACATAATTTGGGAATCTCGTCGGTGAAAATGATGTTTAGTCTTTCTTCCGCATCGGACTTGACTTCTTTGAAGGAGTATGATGTGGTATTCCTTGCTGCTCTTGTTGGATCAACTCAAGAAGAGAAAGAAAAGGTCTTGGGAGTTATAGTCAGTAAAATGACCATCGGTGCGCTAGTGGTGATCAGGAGTGTGGCTGGCATGAGAGGATTGTGTTACCCTGCTTTTGACGCGACTACCGAAGCTGTTGCTGCTTGTATAGATGTCGGGGTGACGGTTGATCCTGGGACGAGGGTTGTGAACTCCGTTGTTGTTGGGAGGGTTAGGGCGAGAGAATAAAGTGGTGGTGAGAAAATAGAGTTTTGGAAAAGAAGCTCCAAAAGGAAAATGGGACATGTATACAGAGGAGAGAGCAAGTGTAAAAGAATTTGATACTAAAATAGACAATGTGACATGTATTTAAGTGCACCAGGTGAAAAAGAGCGTAGAGGAAATCTGTTCTATCACGAATTTCTCTACTCGAAGAAGGAGTTCCAACAGAAGAAATTGTCTCTGGGTTCCGATTGACGAGATTTAAATGTATTTAACCCTTTCGTCGAGGTGAGGGGTTTGAAACACCAAAAGCTCCCAACCCCCATCCCCCAGAAAATTCACAAACGGCCCTTACCACCCCCAAAACATCCAAAAATATCCGCCTACAATCTCATATACACATAATGATTGCAACTGCCGTGAATCGAACACGAACCTCCACCTTGGAAGGGTGGAATCCTAACCATTGGACCACAGAAGCGAGAGGTTATGATTGGTTGAAGCACTTTGACCTTTTGTAAAATATATACTAATAGCTATAAAGTGATAGGCACAGCGCAATTCCTATCTCTTCTTGGGAATTTGGTGGTAAGAGAATTAAATGGCTTTTATGACTTGGGGGAGGAAATGGAGTTGGTTCGTCATATTTTACGAGCGCGGGGGTTTTGACTTGTCGCGATATTGTAAATGCTTATCGGAAAGTTATTGCGATGAACTTGATGAAGCTGCGCGATGAAATACGGAGCAATCGAAGAATTTGTTACTCAAGTTTCGCTATTGAGGCCTGGTGGGGATGGTTTCGCGCGTGTTGATACAGAAGTGTAGGTACTCCTACACAGCAAAAAAGAGACAAGTGGCTCGAATATTATTTTAACATTATTGAGTTATAGTACACTACTTTTGGTCCCATTATCGTTCTCATAAACCTTATAATACAATACATAGTTTTGATACATCAGAGGCATTGCATACCTGCCTGCCAGAGTGAAACTATTCGAGACGATACAAGCAAGAATGCATTGTCTCGAAGTGACTTTGTGAGTAGTCGCTCGTGAAATGGTTCCTTCTTTCAACCGGAGGGCTACCCCGACGTGCTCATCGTTGCATTAGATAGCGCTTTTTATTTGCACTAATTGTTACGGTGGGAAATCATCGCACTCGTCTTTACGGTATGCATCGCTTGTTGATTGGCGGTATGAATTGTCGCAGTATGTAGGCGTACACACTTAATACTAGGCCTGCTCGTCAAGAATTCGATTTTAAGCGTTTAGCCACACTATTGTGCTTGAAGATGGTTCATAATCAGGACACATTCGACAATCACCCTGGCAACTCGGCAGGGACATCAGCTGGAAGTTCCGCTGTCTGAATCAACCCAAGCCCACGGCTTTCGAAAAATGTAACTTCCCTTGCTCGAAATTCATCCCAGAATTCGTGGCAATCTAATTTGTGTCAGGATAAATAGACTAAATTGAAACAATTCGCAAGCGCAACGTACCATCAAAGTCATAGAATTCAATAATCAAGCCCTTTATACTTTTGTAGGTCGGAGATCTATCTCCGCGTTTCGTAGACGAGCCAGCGGCATCGGATGAGGCAATTGTTGAGATGCTGCCCTGAGTACTTCGCCTTGAGAGGCCTTTTGCGAGAGTCAAAGATTTCCCATCTCGGCTGTCCAATTTAAGTACTTTATTTCCAGGTCTCGGTTCAGATGGATCTTTGAAGATATTGACTAGTTTATCTCAGCAGTGCACTAGAATTTCAAAGGGAGATATCCCTACCAGGCCATTCTACAAAGCCATGCTTCTGCTCGGAGGTATGTCTGAAATAGAAAATATGACGGGTGCCACTGTATAAGTCGAGGAGAATTCGAATCGTTCCAAGCCTTGATTGTACCTCTCCGACACTGGATTTGATGGACATTACGTCTTTCTGTTGTTGAACTGCCTTGTTGAGTAAGTGCTGTTGAAAGCATAAGTAGTCTAGACTGATGTATTAGCAGGGACGGCAGAAGTTGGTAGACGAAAACTTACCTTTCTCTTTAAAGAAGGTATAAATTGGTGGGCATTGATGTCGTACTGGCCTGCTATTGCTAGCAACCTTCGTGACTTTAATATTGTGAGCGCCTTGGAATTGTACGCGGAATCGATGGGTTTTGTCAACGTGACTGTTATCGAGGAAAGGTTTCATCGATGTCTCGGTCAGTGCCGGTGCTTTTAAATCAACCGAATGACGGATCTCTGTCGTTCCATCCTCACTTGTCAAATTGATTGACCGCACATCTCCTTCATCAGATTGTGATATTGAGTGAATGACTGCGGTCTTAGTATGCCCTGGGTACGATCTATTAAACAGTGTCAGTGTGTAACAGTACCAAGGTGTCTTTAGAACTTACACTTGAACACGGAGAAAGTGTTCCAATTGGATCGATGGTGTCGGAGAGGTAGATGTCGACGAAGCAGAGCTACGTCTGCGTTGGGTGGTCGCGCGTGATGTGCCAGGCGAAGTAGAAAAATAGCCTCTGGAGCTATCCGGACTTCCATGTGACTGTGCATGCCAACCATTATGTGGACTGGGAGGAGGTGAAAGTGAACTGGCGACATTTCGTGCCGGATTGCATGACGGGATTGGGATTGGGTTAGATTCTGACAGTCTTGTGTCTGGACCAGGAGTCAGAAGGCGACCGGGATGCAAAATCTCTCTTTCAATTCTCTCCTCCAACTTATTCCACGCCTCAATCTCGGTTTGCAATGCAGTTCCCGGATCAACGACGTCTTCTTCGATTACCTCGTGCGACTGGCTGGGCTCTGAAATACCAACAGCGCCACCTATTTGTCCCCGCATGTTACGAAGGCGTGTCATAAGGTCTTGCGTCGTAGATATACCATCCGCTGAAGCATCTTCTGGTAAGCTCTCGAGGGTCTCTACTCTTCGAACTCGCATTGACATGTTGTCAAGCCGTCGGGAAAGCAATCCACGCATTTCACTCTCATCCAGATCTCCCATGTCCGAGTCGTAATGATGGGTTACTGATACAGCACTGAGCTCCGCATCCTCTCCGTGCTGAAGACCATGCCACGGTAAACTCGCTAATTGGGGCGGGGCATGTATCGCACGTAATGGCTCAGGTGGTCGAAGAGCCTGGTCGAGATGCCGAAGCATAGGATAGTCAATCTGATTTGACAGAGATCCCGATTCAAGCGGATGTGTTACTCGCTTCAAGTTGAATGTAATGCGTGACACGAGGTCGAGATGTGAAGAGACCAACTTTAGATTCGAGGAGAGCAGTTCGGCGTGCGATGATCTGTGTACAGTCAGCTGGTTTTCCGAGAAAGACTCTGATATAATCTCACTTAAACTCATTAACTATCTGGTTGGTGTCCAACGCCACATCCCATGCTGAAAGTTGTAGAAAGAACTGCAACTTCTCTCGCAGCCTGCTCAGCTCTTTTCTTTCGAACGGCCATTGGACCTGGTTGTATAACGAGGCGACTTGGGAGCCGGTGAACGACACTTTTTTGATCCATGTTGAACGACCTGGTCTGCCTGTTCTAGTGTCTGGATTCGCCTGTTGAATGATTCTAAAGTGTCGTTTGATAAAGGTAGTACAAAGTTCTTTGAGTTCCTCGTGAGATGCCCTCAGGTTCTGATCCTTGTCGCATGCCGCCTTCCTTGCCTCCCACTTGTCAAGACGGACTATGACTTCGCTGAAATCCGCAAAGAATTGCGACGCTTCCACTTTTGAATTGCGTGGACCATCGGAAACGGCGTTATAAACCTTGAAGATCAGATTGATGCCAGCAACCACATCGCCAAATGACCAGCCAAAACTCATGCTTGAGAGGATTGCGATCTCAAGCGAGCCATGAAAGGCTAGTCGTACACGGCTTACTAGTAGGGAAGAAATCTCTCACAGAGAATCGAGCAAAAGTAATAGTTAAGAATCTCGCGAATCGACCCGTGGGGGAGCCCTGGTTTTACCGCTACTTCGCTTGGGTCCCAGAACCAGGACAGGATCCAGATGACGAATGAATACCAGTTGGCAGGCTGAGTGTCGCGTGTCACTTCCGGGATAGAATGCAGAAGGATCCGGTGAAATGTAGATTAGTTGAGGGCGCTGGCGACACAGACAGAAGAGTGTTTGACCCCAGCCTGAGAGAGGGTGCTTTTGAGTCGCGAATTGCCAACTCGACCTGCTATGCGACAGGCTCCAGCGTGACAGACTTTGTGATGAGTGTGGTAAGGTCAAGCGAAAGACATTAAATCATAGGAGGCCTCGATCGCTATTCCCTGAATTGAAATTCCGCGCAATAGCCCCTCTCAAACTGCAAATAAGAAGGTATGAAGCGAGAGAGCAAGAATGGAAACGGTCATTGACAACGAAAATCGATCAGAAGCTCCCCGGAAGCCATCTCTGACTCCTGACTCCCACGTAGAGTACCTGCAACCGCTCCCTGTTCGCCTCGACAGGGCCTATAGGGCTCAAGTACAGTGGCTGTGTGCTTGTACATAGCGAGAGTATGAGTTACCAATGCAACATATCGGTGTCCGCATGAGGAGCTCGCTGTGGGTGTATCGCCCTCTTCCCTGATGAAATCGCTGTCGGGAATGGAGTTGTGGTGGCTGAAAGAGCAATGTCGTTGACAGATCCCCCTTGTTCTCACCAGAGAAACGAGAACGTGCAAGTCGGCTAAATCTCGCTTGTCCCGAAACGGCTAGTCTGTGGCTAGAGGCATCCCTTTCAGGACATCGATCTCGTCTGAACATCAACACCCTTCCACGAAAAGAATACAATATCAAATTCCATCGTCAGACCACCAGTCGACTCGACATATAGAGCCGCATATATTTGCTGCACTAACCCAATATGATTGGAACTGATTTGCGGGTGAGGGACACCATCCTGATGCGATGCAATTTGGAAGCTTTCAAGTTGCTTCTCGACCTTCAGATTACGCCCGATTCTTAACTAATACATATCACGCTTCTTTGGTGGCTGGTCGGAAGACGTTGCAACTCCAGACGACGGCTGGGAAGACATGCTTCACAGTCTGTGTATCGTATTTTGAGCTGCCAGGGTCAGTCGACCCTGACAACTCATTCCGGGATCGTTCTGGATGACAATATTGACAGATTTCTTGGCTTGCCATATTCAAGATACGAGAATGGGGCTCTGCGTTAATAGTCGAGAACTGCTTCATACCCCAGGCCAGTCGGCTCCGTCCCGGCACAGGTGACTGACAAGAGACTCCAGGCTTCTGCTCGGTTTGTCCCTCATACCTTCCAGTTGTACCACATGCATCAAGCTCAGCTTGAAGCGGGATAGAGGGGCTGTGCCGTGTCCTTCAAGCCCGTGCTCGCTGTTCTAAATGACCATATTCAGCCTCGCAGGTCTGCCTATCGAGCCTTGTCTGTATCATGTCCTCTGCTTCTGCGGTCTTTTCTTGCTCAATATGCTCAATATCGATCATATTGCGATGGAGATGTCTACTATCTTTCACTGCATCTTCTTCATAGCATGCAATCTTAGATACTCCCTTGAATAGACCTCCGCCTACTTCTTTCGAGATTCTCTTAGCCCTCGCCAGACTCTGCCTACGACGAGACACCACTAATTATTGTTTTCCCGCCCTAAATCCGCGAAAATGGCTCTCTGGGGGTTTCGCTGGCTCAAGTTCTTCGTCAACCCTTACGCAAAGGATGATTTTGAGCATATCAGCGTATGTTAACACCTTTGTGTAGAATATTGCTTGTTGGCTGAGATCGCTAGGAATCCGAGCGCAGACTTTATATCTTAGGACGCCTTGAGACTGCAGAGTTCTCAGAATGGTCCTGGGTAATCGTGGTTGCGGGTGTTGGTTTCTTCACCGACGCCTACTCCATCTTCGCAATTAATATGGTCATTCCGATGCTTGGAATAATATATTATGGTGGAGACATGCCACGAAGTTATGAGACGGCGTTGAGTGTCGTCACACTGGGAGGTTCGATCATCGGCCAAATTGGATTCGGATTAGCGGCCGATATATGGGGAAGACGCAAAATGTACGGTCTAGAGTTAATCATCACCATTGGCGCAACTCTGGGTGTGGTGATGTCCTCTCCTGGCGTGGAGGGTTCGATGTCGATCATTGTTTGGCTACTGGTATGGAGATTTGTGCTTGGAATTGGAATTGGAGCAGAGTGAGTCGAGACCCATTTGATACCAACATCACGCATCGAGGCATTACTGACAACGTTTAGCTACCCACTGAGTGCCGTCATATGTTCTGAGTACGTATATTTGAATGTTGTTCATTGAGAAGTTCTAACGTAGATGTAGATTCGCTCCCACTCGATTACGTGGAAGAATGATGACTGCAGTTTTTATGTGTCAACCTCTAGGACAGTTAGCAGCAACTCTCGTAGCATTAATCGCCACGGTAAGTCAGAGGAAAGGTATACCAGCGGGCTCCATGCCGGACGAGTGCAATGCCCAATGCCTCAAGACCATGGACTCGATTTGGCGATGGATCATCGGAGTTGGAGTAATCCCCGCTGTGCTCGCCTTGTGGTTCCGACTCACTATTATCGAGTCACCCAGATATACAGCCGATGTTGGACGAGATACACAAAAGGCTGCTTCAGAGTTGAAACGGTACCTGCTTCTGCGCGCGCAGTCGCCACCTGGTCCTGCCTCCTCTTCTTCAATCGATATTGCTACGTCAAATCATGGAGCAGCCAGTCTACGACGATCTGGGTCTGGCGCTGCTTCGGTGGTTGGTCCAGAGGACGTTCCGACCACTGATTCCAATGGTCGGACACTCGGAGGCACCGATATGGATGCCGATGTTCATGAACAGCGTACCAGGCCACTGTCTGGAGCATACAGCAATGATGGTCAGTCGCAGAGAAGCTTCGTACACAGTAACTATGAAGCATCCATTCTAGGGGAAACAAATCACCATGTCGACCCCGACAATTCAGCTGAGGGTGAGTCACCTCCAATTCCATCATGGTCGGAGTTCAAACAGTACTTCTGGCATAATGGCAACTTACGGACCTTAATTGCGACCTCATTCTGCTGGATGGCGCTTGATCTGCCATTTTATGGCCTCGGGATGAGCTCGCCACATATAATCAGCACAATCTGGTATGGAAAGAATATTCCAAAACTATCAATTTACGACCTTGTTATTCACGATGTCTGGCAAAGTCTGGTCGTCGTCTCACTTGGCGCGATAGTCGGCTGTCTTATCACCCTCTGCACCATCGACAGGCTTGGACGAAGGAATATACAAATGAATGGTTTCTTCTGGTTGTTTATCCTATTTGTCGTCATCGGAGGTTCATTTAATCATCTTTACGAGAATGGGGGCTCCGCCGCTGTTATCGTACTGTATATCTTGTGTCAAATCTTCTTTAACTTCGGTCCTAACACAACTACCTACATAATGCCGGCCGAGCTCTTTCCAACCCGATATCGCGGACTTTGTCATGGAATATCAGCTGCTTTTGGAAAATTAGGCTCTGTCATTGCACAGCTGTTTCTTACATACGTCGACTATGGACACGGTGTAAACCACAATGTCATTCAAAAATGGTTGCCGTATTCGCTACTCATATTCTCAGTCTTCATGCTGCTCGGTCTCATCGTAACCTGGAAATGGATACCAGGGCAGGAACACGGAGTTGAGGGCAACAATAAAACTCTCGAGGAGTGGGAAGTTGGCCGCAACACTCCCAACGGATTTGCGCAAACGCGCCTTGCCAGAATCGTTGAGAAGATTTGGAAAGTGATTGCCAAGGCTGCCGACTCAGCTTACCTGCTTCTAGATAAGCTTGCCGGTGGCGATGTGGCAGAATTGAGGGAGCAAGCGAAGAGAGAAGAGCAAGAGATGACAGAGGTTGTGGAGGAAAGAGAAGGGGTCGAACAGCCAACAACTTGCACTGAGCCGACAAAGCCAACATTTAACTGGCGAGTAAGATCTTGAAAGTACCAGGTCTACTAAATTACAGTATCTACCGCTCAAAAGCGACTAATATTAATTCAAACATTTAAAGTCCAACTTCTATCATCTGTAATTCTCGCGAGTGGGAAAGCGGCAACAGATATTTGGCCATGATTCCATGTTATATTCAGACTTAGCAGCATCTCATTTCCGAAAATCCTCAGAAACAAATTTTCAAGCCAATTTCATGAGCTCTCCATACGTCTGGCAGGTATTTATCTCAGGAAGCATCTCCAGTATTCTCGTCTAACAAAGCTGACCGCCGCTTTTGGCACCCATGCAGCTTCTCACGTGTGAAGACCTATGCTGACAGACCGCCTCCTACCTCTACCTAGGTACTTCAAGACCGGCACCGGTTCAATCCAAGATCCCAAAACTCCGATGCTAGAGGGATATCTTATTTGCTTGCAAAATCATACGGAGGCTCTCAACGACAACGTAAGCCCCTCAGTTGAGCGTGTCCTCAACGTCGATTTCACGTATCATCGACCATCATCTCAATGACGAGCCTCACGTCTGAATCCAGTAGTGAACATAATAATGGCCGGTCGAAGAGGAACAGGGCTCAATTGTCTTGTACAGCTTGTCGACACGGAAAATTACGATGTGACCGGCAGGTGCCGTGTTCCCAATGTGTGAAGAAAGGACGATCAGCGACATGTACGACTCCGGCTCCTATGCCTCGAAAAAGGCCTGTCGCAAGCATGCAAAATCGACTCAGACATCTTGAAAGCTTGGTGAAAGGCGTAATGACTGGAGAAACTCCACAGTCGATCGATAATGGTTCTCCAACATCTCCTGGAATGGTACATGCCACGGAGACTAGGCTGACTAGTCAGTCTTCAGAAATTCATACAGAATCCATGGGAATTGAAAACATATCACAAGGTATTTCGGACTCTTTAGCAAGAATGTCAGCGAAGGACTCATTTGATGGTGGACCTGATGTCTTGATCGGCACCAGCCAATCGACATTTGTGGGTGGAACTCACTGGTATGTTCATAATACTATTATTGATTGGCAGACTGATCAGATGCTTTAGGGCGGCTATTCTCGAAGATATCGAAGATGTCAAAGAGTATTTTGAAGAAATGGAAGATGGGCAGAATGAGGAACCCGAAATGAACTTTTCTACCATCAACGCTATTACCTTCAATTATCAACAGACAGCTACGAAATCAGATCTTGTCGGTGCGCTACCCCCAAAATTCGTGGTTGATAGATTGATTGCACGATATTTCAATTGTCATAGCCCCTTGATTTCGATTCTGCACAAGTCGAAATTCGAGAAGGAATACCAGACGTTTTGGTCAGACCCTATCAAGGCGCCTGTCTCATATATCGCCTTAATCTTTGCGCTCATAGCCATATCTTCCTTTGCAATGATCGGGGCAAATGAACAGCACCCTGACACTCGTGGCTTGCCTGTGGATATGATACGATCATATCGCGGATCGTGTCTTCAAGCTCTCATACTGTCCGAGTATACAAGACCGGGGCCTTACACGATGGAAACCCTGTTTTTACATCTTGAGGGAGAATTTCTTTTCAGCAAAGATGGTACACTTGTCCCTTATCTTATGATAGGTACCATCGTACGTCTGGCTCTCCGGATAGGACTTCACAGAGATCCGTCCAAAGCCGGAGGCAACTTTACACCTTTCCAAGCCGAGATGCGTCGTCGCATTTGGCATCTCATTGCGCAAATGGACATGCTAGGGAGCTTTCACGTCGGGCTACCCGGCCAAGTTGGCGCTATTGAAAGCGATGTCGAATACCCCAGAAATCTCAGGGATGAAGACTTCAACGAAGACACTAAAGAGTTACCGCCCCCAAGACCCGCTTCTGAATTTACCTCGATCTCATATATGATATGTAAGAGTATATTATGTCACGAATGCACACAAGTTGCAAGCTTCGCTCATAGCTTAAAGCCACGTCCCTACGAAAACGTCCTCGAGCTTGATCAAGCTCTCCACGCCGCTTTCGAAAAGGTACCAGCATTCTATCGCTTTGGACCGACTGGTATTTCAATTTTCGAGTCGCCCAACGTGGTGACTAAACAATTTAGTTTGTTTCTACTCTATCATAAGGCACGATGTATGCTGCATAGGAAATACTTTATACTCGCAAATAGCGATCAAAGATACGAAAACTCGAGAAAAGAAGCTTTAGACGCCGCAAAACAACTACTATGGGGTCAATCAATGACATACGAGTCCGCAATCGCACCAGGAGGGCCATTATCAAACGACAAATGGTTCCTATCTACCCTGGCAACACACGATTTTCTCCTGGCAGCTATGATTCTGTACACTAGAATCATGCAAATAATCCCACGGCAACAAGATCAATATGAAGTCTCGGAAATGATTGCGGCTATTGAAAGATCGCACCATGCCTGGGGTAATACTAATGAGGCTTCGGCGAAGAAAGCTAGGAATGTTTCTAAGGCTATGTTGACGAAAATACGTGCAGCACGTGCTGCTCAAAGTGGAAAGCACCAGGCGAAGGTGAAACATGGGTACAATCAAACGGACCAGGGAGTAGAGGCTCTTTCTCTTGGAGGTAAGTCGAAGTTCTTGATCTAGATTCCAGTATACGACTTTTCTCTGGAACAGCTTCGCTAGGGCTTCGTAGTCGCGCAGCTTGTTCCATTAGATTCAAAGCACAACCTGTTCTGGCGCATTTAGCATCTCTTTGACCGGGAGTTGTTATAAGCCTACAAACCCTATTCACTCTTCTTAGCCTATTTTGGACACTTTATAAAATAATGCCGATGCTGATAATGAAATAGATATTGTTGGCCACGACAACTCGATCATCACGGACCACGAGTTGGATCAATGGATGAACATCGACAACTACGACGAGACCTCGCAATCATCAGGGGATGGATTGCTAATGAACAAGAATCCAATGCCTTTATCCGCGCCTTTTAATACATTCATTGATGTTCCGGGCAATATTGATTGGGTGCGTAACATTTCTTAAATATAAATTAGTCAACCGCTTTCTATAGTCTAGTATTACACTGCTAATTCATACAGGATATGTTTGATGACGAAGTATGGCCTCGGACCGAAGGTGGAGAAAACTGGCCTTTGGCAGATTTCCCAGATTTCCAAGCTTCAAGTTGAATTTCCTTCCGGAAATCACTTGTATAGTGCAACTTCATTATTACACCAGTTGACGAATAATTCCGCATTTCCATTTCCTCCTTCATTCTTACTTTTCAGACCTTCTGTTGCATGAGGTGGGAGGGCCGAAAGTCTTCCCCAGGCAAGTAGATGCGCGCCGTTATGCTCCATGGTCACCTCCGGGGAGAATCCTGCATAAAGCTCGGAATATGCGCCATAGTCTGTTCCTTTCAGGAAAAGATTCTGCAACAACTTTCATTAGCATTGATCAAGGAAAGAAAGTGTATGAGTGCACATACCATCGCAAGCCTCATGAGAGCTGATACATGCCGTTGCAAGTCCGTCTTCATTAACCCCGGATGAATCGACTACCAAGTTGTTAGTTCATCTTTCTCCGACGAAAACAATTCAGACGTACCACACTCATCACTCCCTTTGGCCCAAGACGCTTCGCATAATAATCCGTCAACCACGTACATCCAACCTTACTCTGGAAATAATTCTCCATAAACTTGTTCAAATAAACCGGCTCACCCTTCCCATCAAGGCGCATTCCCCCCTCAAGCGGGCTCGCCCCCAAATAAGTCACTACCCAGACGACTCTCACACTCCCAGCCGACATACCCGGCATCATCGCCGTATTCAGCAAAATCGGCTCAAGCAAACTCGTAAGAAGATGCGGACCAAGACAATTCGTCCCAATTTCAAGATCATGACCCTATTTCACATCAGTCACTCCTCCGGCAACAAAATACCGCGCAAACTCACCAAAGCATCCTTACTCCCCTTCGGCGGCGTCATCACCCCCGCATTATTAAACAACACATCCAACCTCTCCTCCTCCGCCAGAAACTTATCCACCGCCCCCCGAATCGTTCGCAAATCCGCCAGATCCACAACCATCATCTTCAACACCCCGCCTTTCTGTCCTGACGTCTGCTTTAGGATCTTGTCAACCCCTTCTTGACATCTGGCGACGGAGCGGGCGGCTATATACACCGTTCCACCGGCAAGATAGAGCATTTGCGCGAGGGCGAGACCGACGCCGGAGGCGGCGCCGGTGATGATGTAGACCCGGTTTTTGAGGGAGGGGAGGTGGGCGTTTGTGAAGGTCGGGGAGGGGGGGAACGCGGCGGAGAGGGTTGAGTATGGTTTGGGCATTTTGGGAGATGTTGAGTGTAGTGAGATGGATAAGCAGTTGAGGAAAGTTGGAAATGATGATTCAAAAAATAGAAATCCATTCGCGTTGCCTTCATATATACATACATTCCCACCCCCTAGCCCGACCATCCGGTACTCCCAGTCCGTTCCTCAAGACCCATTCTCGACATACCATTTACACTCCGTATGTCCGATCTATATTCGCAGCAAACTGCTCAGAGGCCCCTTTTTCATGTTGTGTTGAATACAAGTAAACGTTGTGGTTATGTTCGGACTGAAGCGGCCAATCAGAAGCGAGGTTGGGAGGTGGTGACGGATTTAACGAATTTCCAAGGTTCGCACAGGCGTGGCGTTCGGATTTTGAATGTGTGGCTGGTGGAAGGACACAGCCTGGAAACCTCTGGCTGAGGTACCTAAGAGTAGGATAAATACGTAGTATGTACGAATTGTGATGCTATTTGGGAGTTGAGATAAGGACTGGAGAATTGGTGAAACTGGTTCTGGTACTGTACTGTTGAAAAAAGAGGCTTTATCGCTCAGAAAGTATCGCCTTTTAATGTAGTTGCTACTGTTCGTAAATATACATCACGACAACCTTTTCTAGTATCTACGTTGCTATTTTAAAATCCAAGTTCTGTACCGTATTAGCTTGTTATTCATTCAATCCAATCTTCATAATCATTGTCAGGTCTTTTGACTTTCCGTATAGCTCGGTTCAACTCCGGTTAATCTTGTCACTCCGACACACAGCTATTTTCTCCTCCTTTTTCAACATCTAAAATCAATATCTTTTGCTCGTCGCTTTGGAAATCTTGCTACATCTTTAACGCCTTTCAGGCTCTCCGTTATTAATTTGTTTACTTCCTTCGGCACTGTCCCGCTAACCTCCTTCCATCCACGTCCAACCCTGCCTTTCTAAAATCAACTCGTTCATCCCCACACAAATCTTCGGCGAGGCTTCATTTGGACGCCGCGACATTTTTTCCTTCACGAATCAAAACATCACTTCCTCATCGAACTTTCAAACTCAATCTCTTCTCATAATTGGTTTTGAGGAGAATTTTGAGCCAATCAAATTGTGGCTGTCGCGATGCCAGAGTGGTTTAATGGGCCAGTCTGCTAATGTTGCCTTTACGGCACAGCGAACTGGTTTGCGTCGGTTCGAATCCGGCTCGCGGCATGCATCTTTTTGATCTGTTGTATTTTTGAAATATTTTTGGACTGTCTCAATTGTATTCAAGGGTTTAAGGAATTGCCCTTCAGTATAGATGGGCTCTACAGCGGTGTTGTGCTTCATTTTGAGAGTTCTTTTGGCAGCTGCTCTTGACCACTGGCCGACCTTCTGCCAAAACGAAGTTGCTTCAGACATGTAACTGTGCAGATAACAGCAATATCTTCCAATCAGAGAGACAACTCAAAGTGCAAAGAAGTTGCGGTACCAGAGTGGTCAAATGGGCAAGCTTTCGTGCTTGAGGCGTTGGTTCGAATCCAACCCGCGGCATTAATTATTCCTTTTTTTTGGCAATTTATTTTGGTATCGCCCTGTTTTTTGTTATTCTGTTTAATTCTCTGGAGTCTACAGTCTTCCTCCTCTGTTTCCTTACCTTCCCAAAGAAGCACCTTAATCCCAAAGAAGTATTTCCAGGGATGATGTTGGAGATACAAGGTTACATTTCTGGGCATGAGTCAACTCTCCCCGCTACTGCAACTAAACGGCATTGTGTTCCCGACCATGAATATATGTTTCTATAACAGCAATATCTTCCAATCAGAAATGATTACTGTTACGATGCCAGAGTGGTCTATTGGGCAAGTTTAAAGATTCAACTTGATTTCGTCGGTTCAAATCCGACTCGTAGCAAGATTCTCCTTTTTTGGACATTAAGATGTACTTTTTGCTTATTTTTTGCATTTCTCAATTTTAAGCAGGCATACATATTTCACAATAGACCGCAAATACGCCAATCAAAAGAAGCAAACAGTTACGGTGCCGGAGTGGTCAAAAGGGCAAGTCTAAGACATACTTGATTTTGTCGGTTCGAATCCGACTCGTAGCGACATTCTCTTTCTCTTAAACCTAACTTCAACTGTTACGAATGTTTTTGAATATTAACAGGGATGATTGGGGATACATATATTTATAGCGCACATCTACCCCAATCAAAAGGAACACATAGTTACGATGCCGGAGTGGTCTAACGGGCAAGTCTAAAATCTACCTAACTTGATTCCGTCGGTTCGAATCCGACTCGTGACAATACCTTCTCCCTTTTGAATCCGAGTACTACTATATCCGAAAATTCTTTTGTCTTTTTGCTATCAAGATCAAAGATATCACATTTGAATAAGCGATTATTTCATCCATATCCTGTCCGCTGTTCAATCTTTCCAACTTTAAGCGAATTCTTTAATGTTGACATCCTGCTGCCTATTCGTCTCCTCATTCGCCCAAACGACCATCGAATTTTCATTTCATCGGCTCCAATCACATTGCACAAGAATTGTCTTGCCAGAGATTGAGGGATTGCACTGGGCAAAGATACTTCAGTTGACCACCTTCGTGATGCCGAACAGAAAAGTGCAGATTTCGCAAATGCGCAAATTACAAGTCTCCTCAAGCACGAAAAGTTAAAATTAACAGAAAAATCTCGGGATCATAGAGAGTACCCTGGTATGTTGCAAATTCATGTGTAGGGCGTAAGCTGCAAGCATTGTGGTTATCGGGTTACCACAAATCGCCGCTATGTTGTAAAAACCGCATTTTTCTGTCCGCGGCGTGTCAATTTAGGACCCGATTTACATCTAGCTTTTAGACTAGAATATGACGAAACTAATTCGGTAGAGAAGGGACGAAGTACAACAAGTATAAAAGCATTTAAATAAATACATTCGCTGTAGGATAGGAGGACAAAATCAGGTTACTAGAATGTAAAGAATCATGTCAAGAAACCTACCTTCCAAATCATAGAACAAAACACACACCCAACAAACCTCTCAAAATTCACACTGCTCTCTCCCTCCTTCTATAACTTACACTTAAAAACCAGCCTCTCACTCTCTAAAGTAAACCAAAAAAATCTATCCCTTCCCCAATCCCCTCATAACCCCTCCTTCTCCCTTTCCCCCATCCCATTCCCTCCTACCCCCCAAAAAACATAAAAACCAAAAAAAATTCGACCGCGGGAAGAGTCGAACTCCCAATCTTTGCAGTAGTTCTCAGGAACCGAAATGCAACGCCTTAACCATTAGGCCACGCGGCCGTTGGAATGAAAGATTCTCATTGGATGATGGGCTTGAAGCTTATTTTAAAACATAAACAACTTGCTGACTATGGCTGGAGAGTAGGGGATTAAGGTGGGAACTTTTTGGAGCTGGCGGGGTTTAAGTGGGGAGGTGAATAGGAGGGTGGGGGACGAGTGGTGAGTGATGTGAACACTGGGAGGGATTTTATGAGAAGGAGATTGAAGGTTTTGAGATTACAATAAGGTTAGGTGATAGGATTTTAAGCCGTTTTAAACACTTGCTTTAATTTTAAATAACATTAACACAATTAGTTATACCACACAGTACACACCTATATCTTCCACATAAAAATCTAACAAACATCATCATTATCATTTATATCATTCTAGTCCAAAATCCACAATCCCATAACACTTCCAATTTTTGCTTCACACTCCTTCACGATACCCTTTTCCGTCTAACACTAGATCACCTTATGCTAACACCACACCTCATCTTCCCTCCCCAAAACTCCTCCCCACCCCCTTCTTAATCCCCTCCATACCCCTAACCCACTCCCCCACCTCCTCCAAAGCCTTCCTAGGCTCCGTCTTCCTCTTCAACAAGAACCCCTGAATCTCCGCAGGCGAGAACATGTTCTCCGGAACCTTTTTCGAGAATCTGCGTGCTATATCCTCCAGCTCCGACTCCTCACCACCATGTCCATTTTTCTCAAATTCAACGGAGATAGGCGTCATTGGCGGTGTAAGCACATCCGATTGTGAATCTGGTGCGATGACGATCTTTGTAGTAGGGAGATCGTCCGTGTACATTCGTTCGAAGAGTTCTTTGATTTGGGTTTGCGAGGCGTGGGAGAATGGGACTTGATGGTCTACGCGGCCGGGACGGATGAGCGCTTCGTCGAGCTTTTCTGGATGGTTGGTTGTCATTACTAAAACACGACCTTCGTGGGATGCGACTCCTATAAGATCGTTAGCAGGGCGAACAAATTAAGTATGAGGAAAGATGAACTTGCCATCTATGATATTAAGCAACCCAGACAACGAAATCCCTTTTTTCGCCTCCTCAGCAGACTGCTGACTCGCCTTTTTAAACGCCTTAGTGAGATCGCCGACGTTGAAATCACGTTTGTCGTCGCTTTCAGTAGTTTCTTCAGGGGCTTCGACGCGGATGAGCCCTGCGGTGTCGATATCTTCGAGAAGGACGATGCAACGAGCTGGGAGGTTGGTGAAGAGCATGCCTAGTTCTTCTTCTGTAAGGGTTGGTTCGAGCAGAGATACAACGTGGATGTCAAGGCCAAACACTCCAGCGAGGGCGAATGTGAGTGAAGTTTTGCCTGTTAAAGATTAGCTGGAAATGTTCAAAGAGGAGTGGTGAGAACTTACCAGTTCCAGGAGGTCCGTAGAAAAGATATCCTCTTCGATATGGAATACCTCTATTGGCGTACCATCGTGCTGTTGTCGGGTTCAAGTATTCGTTTATATCGGCCAAGACATCCATTTTCCGGGCTTCGTCAAGGACGACTGTTTTCATCGGTCTACAAGGTCTCTCGGCAATCTTCACCCAAGATCCTCTTCCACCAAACCTTCTCAAATCCTTGGGTGCTGGTCTTTTTATTATAGTCTTAGCTTTATGACCCAGATGATAATGTCCTTTGGCATGCTGGATCAGTCGTTTGATCGAATCCGTCGACCGCCCGAAACAAGAAAGTGTAAGCACCTCCTTATCCTTAAACGCAGCAGCGCCTCCACCTCCAATTTCATCAAGCACACTGACTTCTTTTCTTTTTAGCTGGAAATAAGTACCGTCAAACCAGAAATTATGAGATCCTATAGCAGGTGTAAACCTTGGTTGAGATTTCGCTTCCTGATTTGAAAAGTTAAGCCATTTGATTTGACCAGTCGCATCCGTGCTTGTTTCTGGACTTTCGGTGTCTTCATTGTCGAGTTCCCAGGCACTCTTCGATGGTGTTTCTGCCATTAACCGGCGTGATGAGCTGATTTTGTACTGGTGCGCTAAGAATTGAATGAGATGACCGTGTATCTCATCTTTACTACTGACTGTAATCTCAGCCATGAAGTAACTCTTCATTAGACCCGCAAGAACTGTCCATACTGATTTCAGTATCCTCGCAGACACCCAAAGTGCAGCGCCAAATGACACAACCAATGTCACATCGAAGCCAAAATTGACCAGAAGAATTCGATGGATGTGACTGTATCCGGGTATGAACGTCTCCAATAGCGTCGAGGGTGAAAATCCACCAGCCTGGACATTTGTATCATCTGAACCATTTACTGGACCACCTGTAGGAAAGGCAGAATCCAGAATGGAGTTCAAGCCGATCTTAAGTCCTTTCATATTGTTTGGACCTATCAATCCGTCTTGACGCCGCTGGTTAGTTGTGCAGCACCACGTGGCAGATCTATTTGGATCAACGTAGGGCTTAGATATCTTCTAGAAACAGATTTCTTGGGTTCTGGGAAATAAGTAATAAAGCGTCGTAATATGTCGGCACGAACCTCGTTCTGTGTCGACGTGAATCCCGTTGAAAATGAGTGAAATGACAGCCTCGTTCAGATACGTCGCATGTGAGGTATTCGACGGCGACTGTTTCTGTTGTTGGCACCACAGATTCGTACAGCGAAGCGAGGGCGGGTTGAGGATATCCAATTGTAAGAGATGGGCGTACTTGTACAATTGATCATCCACCCAGCTTTGGGAAATCTGATTATTTGTAGGACGTCAGGCAAGAATATTGAGTCAGGTGCGGAAAGTGGAAAAGCCAAAAAGCTGAAATGTGGAGAAGAAAGAAGCCTTGCTCAGCTGCAAGAAGAAAGCGGCATCCAGCTTGATTCACTCACAGAAAACAATCTTAATAGCGATTTAGATTGTTAGATGTAACCTAAACACCATTATTCGTTGTCGATTGCCACTTTCCAACAAGTCTATTGCTACTCCAGGGTTCATCTCTGGAAGCGAATGATCGACCTACTGGATGACTCTACTAGCATTTGAGCTTGACAATGCGGAGTTCAAGAACCGATACGCTCACCGAGGCCTAGAACCGGTACCTGAAGACATAAACTCTTCTGCCTTGCAAGAGGCAACCAAGTCGTCGTATTCTCGGTGATGTTCCTAGTCTTTGGTCTGCATTGTGGCGAGTATGACTACCCACACAGCCACTTCTCTACTGTATGGAGTACCTAGGTACTTGTATAGCGGCGAATAATGTAGAGAAGAGGAGAAGATCTGATAGGTGGATAGGAATTCCGTTTCTGGCTCCTCGCAGGCCAATGACCGGAAGGCTGGATGCGTCGTCCTGCAAGGCTTCTTCCTGGGTCGAGTTCATAGGAGCGTTGGAAGGACGATAGAGTACGTTGAAGGGAGTATATGACACGGCAATGGGAAACGCGGTTGTTGAAGATGCAGTGCAACAAGACACATATGCAGGCCAGGATGGTCGATTGGTTGACGATTTAAAGTTCATGAATGCAAGTCCTCGAGTACTCGACAAGTTGATTGTGATGCATCGTGCTTCGTGCGACAAGAAATGACGACACCGAATAAATTGCACCAAGGTGAAGTAGTGGAAACAAAAAGCGCACAATATATGAAATCCAAAACAAAATTGATGCTGGATATCAAAAGCCTCATATGACGTTTGCGACAATGATGTTGTATTTGATAGGAAAGAAAGCATGTAGAGTAGAAGTAGAGTAGCACAGCCAAATATCACGCCGAGAACCAGGGTCTCGTTTGTCCTTGCGCTGCCTCGTCATCCTCGAACCATCAATGTTCAGCCTTGTCTGCCACTCCTCAACCATACACGACACCCTCATATTACCTGCATATCATTATTCGACTCATACATACCTGTACCGTCGCATTGCATATCGGCACTGTACGCCTCATCACCGGCTTACCTCGATTGCGCACGCGACAGTTGACTCGAACGCGAATTTGCTAGCTGGCCTGTAGCACAAGACACTGACGACGTCCGGAACTTGAAACCGTGGATAGATATATCGCATTCTAAGAGTTATACAACTGCTGGACGCGTTGTACTGGCGGTAGGTCATATCTACAGCGAGGAGCATCAATTGCCGAAGTGGGCAGCTGTGGAACGAGGAACTCACAACACAGGCTTGGCACAGGAAGATAGTACTGGACCTGGAGGTCAACAGTAGCTGGAGGTTCTACGGCTCGAAAGGTCCTTTATTAGGAATTGGTGTTGGACGACTGGCATAGCTGGGAAACAAACCTTAGGGCAAGATGATGAACTCTACGAATGAGGAGGATCCTTTCCTTCAAGTCCAATCGTAAGTAGTCTCAGCAGCTTCTACACAACACCTAATTTTGTCTCCTGCTTCGTGTTTATACGGAGCTGCATTGCAAATCATCATCGCCGTTTCTCTCCCTTCTCTTACCTACAACTAACACGCCCCAGCGAAGTCCTCCAGACCCTCTCCTCAACCAGACCCCTCTTCACGTCCTACCTCCGCATCCGCTCTCTAACTTCCAACACCACCAACCCCGAACTCCTCTCCACCGCCCGCGACCTCTCAGACTCCATCGTAACCCTCAGCGAAGACATCTCCGACCTCCGCGCCTCCGTCGCAGCCGTGCAATCCGACCCCTACAAATACGGTCTCGAAATCGAAGAAGTAAGCCGGCGACAGCGCTTCGTCGAGGAAATAAGCAATGAAGTCGACGATATGCAGGAAGAACTATCGAAAGGCAGTTCCGGACGCCCTGGAATCGTCGGGCGGAGTGAGAGCGGGAAAGGACGAGTCTACGACTCCCCGCCGCAGGAACGGGAGGATTACAATGCGGAGTTTGAGCAGCAGCAGCAGTTGACCATGATGGCGGAACAAGATCAGACACTGGATTCGGTGTATGTGACAGTTGGAAATTTAAGGCAGCAGGCGAATGTTATGGGTCGTGAACTTGCGGAGCAGGAGGAGATGCTGCACGAAACGGATACTTTGACGGATCGGGTGGGTGGGAGGTTGCAGTATGGATTGAAGACAATGGGGACGGTTATTAAGAAGAATGAGGATGGGCTGAGTACGTGTTGTATTGGGGTATTGATATTTGTGCTCATTATTTTGCTTATTTTGGTTCTGATCATATGAGATGATTAACAAGTCATGTTCATGAGGGCTAGTAACATGGGGATTGGCGCAAACTACACTGGGCATTAGGATGGCGTTCGGATCAGGGATTGTATGGAGTTTCAAGGCGGAAAGCAGAGATGTTATTTCGAGTCGTGGAATTGGAGAAAATTTCTTAAATACAATTTCAAGATTTATTTCTTCCACAATACAACAGAGCTTTTCTGATTTCTAGAAAACCCTAATTATTGACTTTATGATTCCAAAGAAGAAAAGAAATTCCGAATCGGTCAAGAACGAGATATCAAAAGAACCCCCATCCATGGCAAGCGAGAATCATGAGATGCCCACCCAACCTCCAAAAAATAAAAAGGTGAAGAATGGAAGAAAAGATGCCAAAAAAATTCGTCACCAGCAGGATTTGAACCTACGAGGCCGAAACCATAAGATATCTGATGCAGAAGCATTCAAGTCTTACCCATTAACCACTCTGGCATAGTGACATTTTTGACCAATTGTGATTGGTTACTACGGAGAAAAAGTGGTTATTTTAAATTTATAAAGGAACAACAAAAAGATCCTGCTCACTACATTCATTTGTAGACTTGTGAGATTGAGTAAGGGATATTCTTAGGATGTAGATGTAATGAGAATTATATGAGTTTTAAGGAGATCGAGGAAAGCTGTGAGAATGGCTTCATTGCACTCCAAATTTATTTATTGCTCCTCCTCGCCCAAGCCTTTTCCAAAATCTAACACCTCTAAAATTCACAACTAATCACCTCTTCACCCCAACAACAACCAAATTCCTCGGACTCAACCCATACTCAAAAACCGGCTCGACCCAACACTCCCGCACCACCTCCCCATGCTCCCTCAAATACAACCACCGATCAACCACAATCAGACTCTCCACCACCCCAGCACTAAACGCCATCAACGACCACGTAACACTCAACTCCTTCTTCAGCTCCTCGTTATGCTTACAGTACTCATCAAACTCGGCATCGCTGATCCCGCCCATCTTACCATCTAGATCCAGCGCGCGCTCCGGATCGACTTTGAGTTTATCGATGGCGCCGCGCACGTAACTGGGGAAAGAGACGTAACAGCTTTTTCGTAGGGAGCCGATGATGACGGGTTCGGTGCTTTCAGGCCCGTTCTCATCAGCTGGTAATTTTCGCACGACGCCGTAGTCGAGGAACATTTTCTGCAGCATCGCTCTATAAAAATGTCTTGTGAAGAAACTCTCACTCTCCTTCGCAGTCCAATTCTGCGGGGCTTGCACGCCCATCATCCGCGCTGTGATGTTGAGTCGTACGCCATCGCCATTGTAGTACGTGAGTCTTTGGCTCATGGGGAAGCCGTGGGGGTCGTTTTCCGCGAGGTCTTTGTTGTGGTTAGGCGCGTTGATGGGTTTGAGGTTTCGACGGATGTGTGGGTGTTTGAGTGTTGAGGGGCCGAGACGGGAGGTTAGGAGGTTGTAGCAACAGCCTACTATCGCAATGGCTTGGACGGAGGGGTTGAGGATTAGAGAGCGGATTCCGTGGTGGGAGAGATTTCCGCAGGAGTGGATTGAGATTGCCATGAGACGGATTTCTTCTTCTTTGCTGATTTCCTCTAAGACTTTTGGTAGGTCTGGATTCCCGGTGGCATTTGTTAGTTGAAGATTCCCTGATGGAGCTTCTATTTTGAGTTTTTCGATTTGCTTGACAACATCTGAAAGATCTCCGTCTTCCACTCTATGCTCGACGTATTGCATATAACCCTTCCCTTCAGCAGGTGTATATATCGTTGCCAGATCTTTAATTGGCCTTAAATCCACTCCCTCACGATCCAGCTGCTGAGGATTCGCAGCTCTTCGCTTCTCTGCATCTTTCATCGTCTCTACCGGCTTCTGACTTTCCTGGATCTGCCGGAACACCTTTTTATTTCTCATGACTTTCTCTCTCTCCCCAACACCAGCAAAGACGTCCATTCTCTTAGCGCCATTAATATTAAGCTCCTTGCTTTCCACGGCCACAATATGCTTGTTATACGGAGGACACGCCAGCGTTCGCCCAAGATAATTCTGACCACTTCCGAAATCAACAAAATGCGTGATTTTCTTACCCGAGGTAATTGATGCATCATCGGCGACCTTGACAGCATAATCCGCGAACCTACTCACCTCATGGATCTTTTTGGGTATCATACCAACAGAGACCTGTCTCGGAAGCCTTGTATCTTTTTCTTTTCCAACCGGAAGATTACGCTGTAAAGAATGCTTTCTGATATCCTTGATATATTTCACCAAACTTTCAGGCGGGCTATCCTCTCTTGGCGTCTTCAAATCATCACGCATCAAGAAATCCAGCAATTCCATAGATTCCCGTCTCAGAAGCCATGATCGCCATTCCTGGGGCACGACTTTATGATATAAACTTGGTGTTTGGGTGAAGAAGTCGAGAATATGTACGCCGCCACATAGCGTCTGAAAAATTGTGGACGCGGCAGAAAATTCTAGGAGAGAATCGACGTATTCGTCTGCGGATTTGAAATCGTCTTGATAAGGGATCGGCCTTTCTGGTGTCATTGTGCTGTATTTTGAGAATGGTCTTAGATGATGAAGCCGGAGTCTCTGGGTGCTGCGGACGATAGTCATGTCACCCAAACATCATTGGATGTGGGACGAAGTTCTTGTCGCGAAATTTTCGGATGCGGTTAGCGAACCCATCTCATTAAAAAAAGTACAGCAACAAAATCGATTCATCTTCTCGAACATTACACTCATTTTCCAGTTTTGTTGCTGGAAATTTTGCGAGTTTATTTGATTCCAATAGCCACTACCAAACATCACTCTACAATAAATGTCCAGCTCGTATAGTCACGTGATGTGATTTCCTGTCTTGCAGACATTTTTTGCTAACCTCTCCACAAGATTGGGATCGTTACAAATCTCAAAGTGATAGATGAGCTGTACTCGTTAAGATTTACTTTGATACTGCGGCGTAAAGCGGGTAATTGCAACTCGCATTTACGCTGACGTAGTCGAGAGACTTGATCTGCATCAGTCGTTTACGAGGCTCCTATCTCAAATATTTGTTGTGCTAAAAACCACTCCTTTTTTCCTGTAGTCTGATAGATAATTAGCAGGTATGTTTCTTCGATTGAATCCTATGTCTACTCATCGCTGTCATAAACTTCATACCTAGGTAATTATCGACGTCAAAAATCCAAAGACTTCCAGGCCGGCGCCATGTCTCGAGGCTTCTAACAATTGAAGAGCAAACACTAACTACTTCACAGTTTTTTGCACTTCAGTTGACAGTATCCAAGCAAATGTTGTTCAATTTAGCCAATTACAGCTCGCAAGATATGAGTGTTGAAATAAGGTAAGGAAAGTGCGAACCGTCACTCCTCACCTCAACCAAATGACGAGCCTCACCACGCCCGATTCTCCGGCTCAATCGACAACATATCAAAACTCACAATCAAAGCTCCCTAATCTTCCTATGCATATCCCGTCCTTACCAAAATCTGCACATCCGACGATCATACCAGAAACGGTCTAAAGCACACATTCATTCGGCTGTTCATATTTATCCGTCACGAACACTTCAACATAAAGACTCTCCCTCTCAAAATCCACAAGAATCCACCCAGACAATCCAAAAGTCCAACTGAAATGCCACCACCAGGCTCCCTTGCACCCCAATTTTCCTTCTGCGAAGCCACCAAATTCGAAGACACCCCAGACACCTGCACACTCTTCGACCCGTACCGCAAACGCATAATCCTCTTCCACAATAACAACTCGACCGAATGGCACACCTGTAGAGCCATTAATCAACGCTACGAACAGGAAGTGAAAGACGGACAGAACCTGGAGTTCTGGGCTGCGATTCTGTTCATCGCTGCAACGCTCATTACGACTTTCGCGTGCACACAAATCATGAATCGCCTGTATCGAAGTTGGCATCGTGGCAATGAGTGGAAGGAGAAAAGTGAGCCTGGGTTGTTGAAAGTGGATGAGTGGGGACCGAAGAGGCCTAGGGACCATGGGTTGAGGCCGTTGCTGATGGCAGTTGGGTGTGTGGTTGTCGTTATGGTGTTTACGATGGTATGGTTGCATCGAGGAAGAAGTTCGGTTTTGATAGTGCCAGAAACATGATTTCTCGGGTTTTCGTTTCGGTATAGCGATTAAAAGATAGCATGGAAATGCACAGCGAGCTCAAATTTCATCTTTGATCATTTTGGACTCTTACCACAACCGTTGAAGGAACAGTGATCTGATATATCGTCCGAGTATAACTTGTTGAATGTCATTTAGAACTACCTAAAGAGAAATTTTGTCGTCCTATTTTGAAGCTGCTGGAAAGAATGGCCATGAGATGAAGATGAGATACAAAATCTATCAGTTCCTCTATGTTCATCGTCAACATTGATCCGGACGCTTTCCCAATATCATTTTCTCATTGGCTAATAATCTATGAAGACAACAGCATCTCGCTAAGCAGGACCTAGCTGCCTAAATCGGTTGATCATCAGGCTTTTCTGATTGGTACGTGGGGTGCGAAGGTGGATTGACTCAGAAGCGGCACAGCTGTTGGTCGCATGTTGGTAACCTTGAATGCAAGTATTTAGACTGAAATCTGAAGAAAGCGTTTCCTAGATCCAACGACAAATAGCAGCTTGAGATAATTTTGCTACGCACAGTGCTGATACTGTGCGCCAAACCAGCTGTAACAACATGACAAAATGGACGAAGCGCAAGAAGACCAAGAAGCCAGTGGTCATCGAGGAGCCTGAAGAGCCCGTCTATCTCGCCGAGTATTCTGACACGACTCTGAGGGACAAATTGCTCGAAGACTGCCTTGTCACGAGATGTCAGGTGTATAATTGCACCATCAAGCGAACCAAATTCTCTGAGTCCGAAATCTACGAATGCATTTTCGCGGATTTGGGAGATGAGCCAGCTACAGATGCCAATGCTTTCGATGAGTGCAAGATTTACTCCTGTAACCCGATTCGGTATGCTACTATGGTCAAATGCGAAGTGAATGACTCGACATTCTCGTCCGGTGTGCCGGGCATGTTGAACAGCGTTCTGAAAAAAAGCAAATTCTTCAATTGTTGTTTATTAGACGATCCCTGGATCTCCTGGTCAGAGCTACATGAATGCGAGCTCTCTTGGCCATCTTATCCACCGAGCGAGATCAGAAAGGCTGGATTATATCACTGTAAAATCTACACCAGCTCTCTTGCGAATCCAGTTGCGAACGAATCAAGATTCAGGAACAGCAAGCTTTTCGGGCTCCCGGCAACAGAAGCGATGCCGGACCGTACCACATGTCGAACTCTGGACAGCAGTACCTTCGTTGAGTGCGATATTCGCCGCGTGGGCGTTACTCATAGTTTGTTTATAAAGTGTAAATTGAAGTATGCTGCGAATCGACGGTCGACATTTGCGAGATGTACAGTAAGACGGCCTGCTCTTACACCTCAGCCAGCAAATGACGTTGAAGTTTCCAGAGTGTTGGCGAACTTCCCTCAAAAGAATAGTAAGAATCAGAAAAAACCGAGTGTCGGATCGAAGATGTCATTGGAACATTTGCCCATGGAAATTCAGATGCGAATAGTACATTTTGCAGCGGCGACACTTGAATGGCAAGGTGTTACACCACCGCTAATAGCATCGTTACGAGGGCATCAACTTCTGTATCGCGCGGCACTAACAAGTTTCGCTCGGAAAAACTGGTTTATTGCAGATGCCCAGTTGAAAGCATTTGAAGCTGAAGATGATAAGATGTCATCCAAAGCATGGCACAGCTTGAGGAAGCTGGAAATACTGTAAGATAATTAGTTCATGACTCCATTATCCCTCTGGAAAAAGTGACCCTTGGAATTGACATATGGGTAGAAATGTTTGGAGATCCAATGAATGCACGTCACTCATAGAAATGGCTCCTTTACTTACTTCATTGGATCTAAATTTGGGTGCTACTATTGGGCGAGACATAGTCGGTGGGCCATCGGCAGAAATTCTTCCCAAAGTATTTGCGTCGGTAAAGAAGTTGAAATGTCTCTCGAGGCTTTCACTCATCAAATTCAGACCTGCCTACACCTTTCAGCATTCAAAGGCGCCCTATCACCCAGGAGCAGATGTACGGGGTGCGTTGGCGAGCTTTGTTCAAGATCTCGAGGAGGAGTGGCGGATCAAGTCATTATCAAAGGAAACGGAGGCTTTCCATACCTATACATGGAAAGCACCTGCCAGCTGTACGTTGAACTGAGAGGTCTATGATCATTAGTTTGATATGTACCACCAGATTGGACATAAGCACCGTTACCTGAATATGAATAATAGAGTATGGATTGAGTTTTGAGACTAATAAGAGTTTTAAATTCACTAGTCAGACATGCACCACCGACTCGGCCACTAATTTACTCTCCGTATTAGCGCGTAGATATAAGCAAACATAAAAGACGAAGTGAATTCGTCAAACTCATACAGTAAACCACAGAATCTCAGGAAATGGACGCGTGAAAAGCAGACCGCCTGCAATGCGGGACTGCGATCCCCAGTGGCTGACTCACAGTAAGTTTCGTGAATCTACTAGACTGCTACAAACAATTATGTTTAGCAATAGTGGTAGTGTCGGAATCCATTCACTTACTTGCCTAAACATGTAAGCTAGTCCTGATTAGGTAGTCATGTTGTGCAACACGAAGGATAACTGAGCCAGCCAGGCTCAGCTCTTCCTTAACCATCACTGTATTATACCATATTTGGTACCCCGCATATCACAACGAATTATCATGCCGTGCAAGCAATAGAAATTTACTTCGAATAACCCGACACCGGGAGATGACGCTTCGCAGTACCCAAAAGCAGGTGATCTGTAAAGAAACCATGGAGCCTACCAAGTACTCTGATACCATACTCAGGAACTTGTTACTGGAAACTTGCGTTGTTAGCAAATGTCAAGTACACAACTGTACGATCAAACGATCCAGATTCTCGGATTCCGAGGTACATCAATGTGTTTTTGTCCAGATGGGGGAAAACAAGAAAATCGAGGTTACGAATATCAACACCTTCACAGATTGCAAGATCTACTCTTGCGATTCGATCCGGCACGCTGTGATTGAGAACTCAGAGGTTCACGACTCGACAGTTTCCTCCGGTGGTTGGGGTGTCAGACATGTTGCTATTAGGAGGAGCAAGCTATTCAGTTGTCGCTTGCCAGAACACCCTATGGTATCGCGCTCAGATCTCCATGATTGTGTGCTGTTTTGGATCTCAGTGCTAGAGGGTTCAGGTGCAGGACTCGCAAACTGCAATGTCTATGACTCGTTGCTGGAAAATCCTCTAGTTCGGGATTCGAAGCTGAGGAATTGCAAAGTCGTTGGATTATCCGCAATACAACCTACAACCAATAGCCTCGACCGGTCAGTAGTCAGCAATCTGTTCATTGAGTGTGAAATCCGAAGAGTGGCTGTTAGCCGAGGTCTTTTCATAGAGTCCCATCTAAAGTACACCTCGATTCGCGATTCGTCTTTCACTAGATGCTCAGTACGGCGATGCAGTATAGCTCCAGCACCAGCAAAGAAGGCTGATGTCGTAGAAGCGCTGAGAAGCTTTCCTAGAAAGCAGGAAAAGGGCAGACCGCTCAAAGACGAGATGGAGAAGTCACTGACTCATCTTCCCTTGGAGATACAGATGAGAGTAGTCCAATTTGCGGCGGCATCACTACAATGGAACGGTATATCACCACCCCTGATTGTTGCATTACGCCCACATCCGCTCTTGTATAGAACGGCGTTGTCAGCCTTCGCCCAGACGAACTGGTATTCCACAGAGGCTATTTATGCAGGTGGTAGAAGATCCCTTCGCAAGACGCCAAAGTCGTTTCACACAGTGAGAAAGTTGGAGATACAGTGAGTTCTGTTCATCGCCTGCCGCACATAATTTGCCGCTAGAAACTAACGTCTCACAGAAATCTTTGGGTCTGGAAAGATTGCATTCGGCTCATTCAAAGGGTCCCCTCACTTACTTCACTAGAGCTGAGCATAGGTCACTTTGTTGATCACCGCCCGGAGAAGCTCCCTGACATATTTAACACCGTAAAAAGGTTGAAGTGCCTCAGGAAATTCTCGATCACCGAGTGCAGGTTGTTCCCCAGCAGTCTCCTCTATTATCAGTCCTATGCCCAGACACAAATCACGCGTAGAAAACTTGAAGCTTTTGTTCGTGCTGTGGATAAAGAGTGGAAGGTCCAGTCATCCTTCAAGGGAATGGAAGATTTCTGGGTGTTGACATGGAAGGCGCCTCCTGGGTGTACGTTGACATCAGGGTCGAAGGAAACCATGCTCGTGGAACAAAAGGTGTGGAAACTGAGAAGTTCAGGCTCATTAGTTTAATGTCCCGCAAAGGCGGAGATCAAGTACTTACCTAGCTATGATAAGAAGTGATGATCTAGTGCGCAGGAAAAGAAGGCACAGTAGAGTCCGCTTGACCACATGACGTTCATAAAATATTAAAACAATCTACTCCCCTGGAACACTCATAGCACTCCCCTTAAACCTCCTCGTCAAAATAAGCAACCCATCTTTACCCTGCGGATACGGCTTCATCCCCATTCCCTGTGCATAAAACCGCACCGGACCCTCTTTGTCATCACTATACAACAACGTCCCCCTCAATTCCGGCCACGACTCCAGATGTTCTTGGATGCAGCTCACAAGCCACTTCCCTAGGCCAGACGACTGATGAGCCGGTAAGATATAGACGTCTGTGAGATAAGCGAATGTAACTTGATCAGTGATGAGACGTGCGAATCCAATTTGTGCTTCAGGGTGTTAGATAGTTTCAGAGAAAGAGGAGGTAAGTAGTACGTTTATCTGGAGATGAAGTGTTGTACAAGCCGAAGCACAATGAATTTGATAGCATTCTCTTTAGACCATCTTCGGACATTGGTTTGGCCCAGTACATGAACTCGGAATCGAAAGCTGCTTGGATGGCCTGTGGTTGGATGAGTTCTGGTTTGGTTGATATGAGGAGGTTTGGACGTGTCCATTCGCGAGGGGGGAGGGAGGTCGACATTCTTCTGATGTTTGAGATGAAATTCGAGTATTTCAATGAGATCTTAGGCAAGTAATAAATTGAAAACATCTGATGGTGATAAATGGCGGTAATGAGTAGTTATATCGAGTGAGTGATTAGCATGAGTCATTCCTCGAAGCTTTGGACAGAAAACCCGAAATTCCGAACTTGAACCGGAGGGGTGTGTTAATGTCAATTGAGAAATCGTGTCACCAAAGCTGCAATATCTGATGTTTGTATGAACATCTAGCTACACCGTTGTATCACGGTAAGATCTTACGACCACGATGGTTGCTTTTTTTTGGGTTTTCTGTTTACTCGCATGATCGCCCTAGGGATAGGATGCTAGCATGTTGCTGGGCTGAATCTGCTGTTTAACATGTAAGTACTCAAGGATTGGGAGTCCACGAGTTCTGCCTATTGTTTCCCCACATCAATTAGCTTCCGATTGTAGTAAATAGGCCCAGCAAGGCTGACAGTAAGGCTAACTGTCTTTTGCGCTTCCTGTGGCCCGATTTCCTTCAACTCACGATGACTTTCCCAGTACCTCTCATTACCACAAGGGGATCATTTCGTCAGTCGCTTTCCTCAACAGAGTAAGATGGTTGTATCTCTTGTCCACACTGCTTCCCAATAATTAGATTTTGGCTTGAGCAATTTCCAGCCGCTTTGTGGGAGCCTGAAGGCCAGATCCTCCAGGCGTTCTGTAACAGGATGTGGTCGGTCAGTGATGAAACGAACGCTGCGAAGTTTAAGAAACTTCTTGAGGAACTCGAAAGGTTTCTTTCGGGTTTTTCCAGTATCGACTTCTTCTTCTGTCTCAAGAAAATCTGTATAATCATAAAGTTCGAGTGAGGTAATGCTATCTTGAGCAATTTCATTTCTTAATCAAAATTTAGGAGTTTTTCTGCAAGGATTTTCCTTCAGATACAAACTGTTGATGTAGAATATGTCAATTTCTGGCCGGATACTCACGCTCATGGGTTCCTTGTAGTTGGTAGATTGCTCTGCGGATTGTCTAGGGCATATCCGATGCAGGATTTTGTAATGGCGTAGTGTCTCTTGTCGGCTCTCCTGATTGATAAAAAGAGTGACGGGATGACTGGGTTTATGAGTTAAGCAGGGGCATTGGCGTGGAGGCTTCTTGTGTCGATTCTGTCGAACCAACCAAACGACGTTGGCCCGTAGCAGGTTCCGGAGATCGATTCTTCGTGGGGGCGGAAAGCAACAGCGGTAGATCTTGAGCCTGAGTTCTGTAGGAAATGTTTTAAAGTTTTGAAAGGATTGCGGAGAGTTTCTTTCCGAGAGAGGTTCCCGGAAGTGAGATGAATCATCGGAAAGGACGAGAGCAGAAAATACTGATAGTAAATCGGAATCAGGCTCGAATATAGAATCTGCCATTTCTGATAGGATTCTCAGACCTATTCTTGAGAGTCTAGATAGAAGTGGCTAGTCTTTGGAGGTAATGACTTTATATATTGTAGGCGAAGGTACCCAGAATATGAACCGCTGTGCGGCTTGAAGTGATTCAACAACCTATCAGCCACTTACTTAGTTTCATGTATTGGGCTGGGAAAGGTCAGATTCTTTCTGTTTCATAGTTCTGAGCTTAATTATTACCTGATATATCCCATGTTCGACCCTACCTGAGCATTAAACCCCTAACTTCCTAAGAGTCATGTCGCCCGTGAGGTAACAATGATACACTTCCGACTGCTTCTTGGGACTTCAACACTGGCAGATGAAGTATAGCAAAACTCTGGCAACTATGGGTTATATATTGGCTCTACTCATGATTTTGTTGCTATTGCAGATTGCAGAGCAAAGCTTGGGAAATGGTCGAGAAGCGACTTCAAAGACGCGCTTTCAAGATGCTCACGTGATCAGGCGCAAACCTAATTCCGAAGTCGCGTCGAATGGCTATTTTCAACACAAAGACCAAGATTATTACAATTATGCCTCCTGCACTCAAGCTCGAAAATGAGCAGAATCGAGTGCAGTGCTCTTCCCCCGAACACTCATCGACAACAATCGAAAATGCCCAAATTTCAACATACGACGGTCAATCGACCGCGAAACTCGTTTCCGTGCTCAGCGAGCTTGAAGCGCTCCCAGAGATCCGACCCATTCCATGGATTGAAGGCAAAGAGCTTCCTCCAGAGAAGTCGACAGAGAGCCTGCGAACCCAAACACGAGGTGGATATCTACTTTCAACTCGGGGAAATATACAAACCCCCCCATGTACAAGATGCGCCACGGGTGGTGGGCGTTTGAGTCTTTGTATTTCATTGGAGCCGTGGTTTCTCGGGGCATGCTCTACTTGTCAAATGCATTCAAGAGGACATACTTGTAGTCTCAGAACAGTTCATAAAGGTTCAACGCCCTCCAATTTTTAGGCAGACGGCTAACATGGGGTTTAGAAACACCTTCTGCCATAAAAGGTCGCCGCGACAGCATCAAACAACCACCTTCGAACAAACCTCAAGCTTCGAACGGCACAAAGCGCAAGCAATCTGAAATGGCAGATGTTGTAGAAAAATCTCCTATGCTCCCAAATGTACAAGATCCAATTGCTCTTGACTCGTCAATAAAACTCAGTCCCAATTCGTTCGATCCAAGTCAAATGATCACTCAGTTCCGTAACACTTACCAATCTCCGTATACATCCAATAATATTCAGCAACAGCCACAAAAGAACTTACAACCAGTATCACACACTTCCACATCACAGAAATCGTCACATACACCGTCCCTTAAGAAGAGTTTGGTCAATGTCGGAACGGGACAGTCGATGAACAATAATAATGGTGGGACAAAGTCACAACGGATTCTCTTGTCCCCAACGCCTCCTATCGCAAGTACAAATAATGCCCGCGCGCCAATTGCACCTACCGAGCGTTTATCAGACACCTTGTTTGATAATCTTCCTAGGAAAAAACAGAAACAAATATTTGGCATTATTGGTGGAATCCAAAGCGGCATCAGAATTGTACGTCAGCAGGCGGATCAGTTACAGAACCAGCTGGACCTCCTTCAATCCGCGTTAGGTATAGACTCTGAAGATGGCATAAATGATTGAGGTTCTGCACAACAGGAGTTCTAGCTGATCAACTCGCTCCGATCAGTTTTTAAAGAAACGCGTTAAAACTGTTCTCAGCGCAATCTCGCCAGGGATATGCAATACCTCTCGCTAACGGATATTCATGGTTACAACTGTCGAGCCGCTTGGTAGAGCTGCGTCACGTTGTCCAATGATGGCACATACCAGGATTCTGGATAAAATATCGGCAGAACCAACTCTCGGCTTTGCTGCTTCCTAACCCTGGCACGGCAGTTAAGTGGTTGAGATACCCCTCATCTGACAATCTTTATCAATAAGTCGCAATATATATGGGCTGAAGAATGCAGGGCCGTGCTAGTAATATCATGTAGTGGGACTACACGCGAAGACAGCACTTGCTGTTGGCCAGCTTCAATATTTATAGAATCGTTCCTCCTTTTCTTAGTGGCAAGCCAATTGTATCGACTTTAGAGAAAGCAACATTCGGACACCAGCAACATGCATTTCAGTTATTTCACCTCCTTAGTGGTATCTTACTTTTCCATGGCCAATGCCACAGCTAGTCTTCTTCCATTCGAGAAGATACAATTGAGAGCCGAAGAGCTAGCCTCGCTGGACGGAGCAGCTTCCTCGTTCTTATCTTTTGCTGATGTCTCTCCGCCAACTGTGAACACGAAAAGGTCTCGAAGCGGTGGTTGCAAGATATTTCCCGGAGATCCTGATTGGCCTTCCGACAGCGTATGGAATAATCTTAACGAAACACTTGGGGGTGCGTTAGAGAAGACTGTCCCACTGGCCGCAGTTTGCTACGCTGGACCATATTATGTTCGTACCTTGCCGTCAGCTGGAACTTGATTTACTGATACGATGCAGAACGAAACTCAATGTGCATATGTGACGGCTAATTGGTTTGACTCCGGTCTTCAGTGCGTAGAGATATTTATTCCTACACCTTTTTGAAATTTAGGGCTCTAGAAACCTCTCTAGCATTTTTAACAGCTTTGATCCTGTCGCTAAAATGTTTTTTATTCGAATCAAGCTGATATATAAGAATAGTGTATCTCATCCAAGTTCGATGCTCAGTCCGCTGTACCAGGGCAACACCTGTCTGCCGCCCAATATCGCAGCTCCAAACTCGAACTGTACACTTGGTGGATATCCGTCGTATGTTGTCAAGGCAAGAACGGTCAGGGAAGTACAATTGGGAATCAATTTTGCACGAAATGCAAACATCCGATTGGTGATCAAAAATACTGGGCACGAGTTTTCTGGGAGGTCCGGAGGAGCTGGGTCACTGAGCATTTGGACCCACCAACTTAATGCGCTTCAGTATATCCCACGCTATGTCGATGAAGTAATGCCATATATTGGACCGTCATTCAGAGGTGGTTCCGGTGTTCTTGCTAGGGATCTTTATAAAGCTGCTGATGAAAAGGGCCTGGTCGTCGTCGGTGGCGAAGGCCAGGATGTTGGGATTTTAGGAGGATATATACAAGGCGGAGGACACTCGCCACTATCTTCTATATATGGGGTTGCTGCCGACCAGGTTTTGGAGATGCAGGTTATCACGGCAGATGGCAGATTTAAGGTCGCTTCGAGCACAGAGAATACAGATCTCTTCTGGGCCCTGAGAGGAGGAGGTGGTTCGACTTTTGCTGTCGTAACTTCTGTCACCGTACGCGCCCATCCAGCAATGCAGATGACCTCCGTACGCTTTACATTTTCAGCCTCATCTCAAAAGAATTTTGAAGCTGCAGTAAAGGCCTATTGGAAGCGTTTCATCCCTTATAGCGACGCCGGGACCTACTCATATTTCTTCATAATTCCAACACCTCCAGTCTCAACTTTCATGATGCTTGGCTTCGTCGCGCCTAACAAAACTGTTGCGGAAACAACCGCCTTGCTCAAACCTTGGTTTGATGAACTTCATTCGTTGAATATTACTTTCGATCCCGTATTTAAGAACTACGTGAAAGTAGGCGAAGGACTCATCGACACATTTCCCACCGAGTCTGTCCAGACCGATGCTGCAATCGGATCTCGACTTTTTCCTCGCTCGGCATGGGAAAACCCAGGCTCGGCACTCTTTGAGAAGACTTGGGCGACGTGGTCAGCTTCCATGGCGTCAGGAGTGCTCATATCCTTCAACATCCGCGCTCCAAACGTGTGGAAGCTTGATAATGCTGTCCTCCCAGCTTGGCGGGAAACTGTGTTACATACCATACAAGGCGCAGGCTGGGAAGCTGGTGCTTCTGCTGAGGCGATGAAGAATGCGCGAGCGGACTTGAGCGTTAGACAACTGAAGTGGAAACAAGCTACGCCTGGTGCTGGTTCTTATTTGGGCGAGGGCGATATTGAGGAGGTTGACTGGCAGGAGTCATTCTTTGGTAAGAATTATCCGAGGTTGTTGAAGATCAAGAACAAGTACGACCCAGATGGATTGTTCTGGACGAAAAGAGCTGTAGGTAGTGAGGGTAGGCATGTGAGGAGCAATAGTGCTATTCCAAATGAGAATGGTAGACTATGCTGGGATTGAGGAGGAGCTTGGTTAAGCAAATGACAACTGGGTTGGAGGGAAATTGACCATTCATGCACGTCAGTCTCCAGTCATTTCTCACCATTAGTCTCTGTTGGCAAGCCAGTTTCTACGCTCATTCAACATTCCTCTTGTTGCAGAAAGAGCACGACCACACAAGAGACCTTAACCTTACATATAAACTATATCACGTGATAATAAATAATCCCCTAGATCCGAAATGTCCGATGTCAACAAGATGTCACTCCCCAACTATGGCGCTTCTAGTACAATTAGATTCATCAACTGCGCCTTTGTGTCATTTCACCTTGAAGTTATTCACAAATTCAATCCCTCGGATATTCTTGGATCTCGGACATCTGCAGTCGGTGTCCGTGGTACAAATACCCCGCGTAACTGTTGACATCATGACTTCTGGAACGTCATTCCACAGACGGACTTATACAACGACAGCTGATTGAAATAGAAGGGCTTCTCATACTACTCTCACAATAGCTTCAATATTCACATCGAATTAAGGGAAACAATTTAACAATCTTCACGATGGGAGTTTCACTATCAACAGCCCGCTGGCTCGCACCTCTCTCCTTCGGAATCGACTTCGCAGCACAACAATATGGATTACTATCTACACCAAGCATGAAAGATGTCCACGATGCGAACCTCTCCTTCTGGTCTCCCCAGCCATTCTTCATCGGAGGATTCTTCTTTCCGCAACAATTGATCCAGTTGGCATGGTTATATCGCTTATACAAGCTTGACCCAAGAAAATCCGACAAGGACCGCAAGGAGGTGGAAACTATCGTTGATTTTGTACCGTATTATGCTGTCGGGAATTTGTGCATTGCTAGTAAGATACTTCTCCGGGATGTAAAAGGAGTAATACTGACAAACATACAGCATGGATGGTATTCTGGAACTCCTCCAACCTCAAAACCTCCAACATCTTCGTCGTAATCAACTCCTTAACCCAACTCTACTACATCTTCGCTCGCCAACCTCCTATGAACACCAAATCCACCTCCTCAGTCCTCACGCATATCGTCTCCAAAACCTTCGCCGGAATCGGTGTTCTAGATCTTTTACACAACGGCTCCGTCGCGTATTTCAACCACGAAGGCCCATCTATGGCGGTCAAAGTCGTGACGGGTTTGATCTTTGGAGGCCTGGCGAGCGGAAGCGATTGGATCTTTGGAGGGTGTTTGGTGTATGATCTTATTGCGTTGACGGTGGGACAGAGGCAGATTGGTCAGGCGGGGTGGAGTAATCTGCTGGGTGTGTTTGCGGTCGCAACGGCGGGGATTGTTACGGCGAAGAATTGGATTAGGTAGGTCTGTTGGCGCTCCTGAGGTTCTGAGGTATGGGTTCTTGATGTAAAAAGTGTATGTTTACTGATTTTTCGTTTGGTAGACCACCGTATGTTAAGCATGATGTTGTTGGATATGAAGAGGTCACTTCTACTGAGGATATTGTATGATAGATATATCGGGAGAAAAGCGGAGTTAGCCATGATATCGGTCTTTGAAACGGTAAAGCGCACCTCTATTCACGATTTGTAAACTAGGTTACTATTTTAATGTGTTTGGAAATTTCTTCTTCTGTTTTAGGAAAGGACGTCGCTAAGTGTTCGCGGAGCATTATGTCTGGATGAGGTTAAAGTTGAGTATCTGTGTACTTCGTATTTCTCTGGTCTATTTCTTGTTATGAAATAGAATCTTCGAGCTGCTACATCCTCATCTGCGTCTAGACAGGTTTCTCATCTCCACTTACATGCTAATCGACTCAGCCAGCACCAAACGATGAAGTTTCCCTTGCATCTCCTCCTCCTAACCCTTACCATCCTCAGTGCATCCACAACCGTCACCTCCTCCAAACTCCCTCCTCCCAAACACCCCTCCATCAAACTATCATCCCAAGACGCCCCCCAGTACGCCTCAGAAGAATACCCCGCCGCCTGGATCGGCCACATTCTCTACCCTCCCCTCCCAACCGACATCTTCACCTGGGTCTTCGGCTCCTTCGTCGTCCCCAACGTAACCGCCTTCCCTTACGGCGCCGACGGCCACAACCTCCTCTTCGCCTGGGTCGGTCTCGACAACGGTCCGCAGATCGTGCAGGCGGGGATTTATTTCTCGATTCACAAACGTGGCAATGGAACGTCTGTTACTAGTGTTGGGTTCGCGGAGTGGCTGCCAGATTTCGCGGAGAAGGATGATAACCAAGAGTTTCCGTTCGAGGTGGTTGATCAAGTTACGGTGCTAGTACAAGTTGAGAGTCCCGTGACAGCGACATGTACACTTGGGAATGTTCGCACTGGAAAGCAGTGGGTGAAGACGATTAAGGCACCGGATGCGGGGAGCTGGGTTAGGGGAGCGCAGGTGGAGTGGGTTGTTGAGGAGCAGATCCCGCCTGGGATGCAAGTCGCGGATTTCAAAATGTTCAAGTGGTCGAATTGTAGGGCGGGGATTGCTGGTAGGAAGGGATACGTGGATTTGGAGAATGCGATGCCGCGGAATGATAGGGTTGGGGGGTCGATTAGGACGGCTGTTGTTAAGAAGGGGAGGGGCGAGTTTGATGTTGTGTTTAAGAAATTGGGGTGCCTGTTGATCCTATTGGGGAGGTTGTTGGCGCTTTTGGATAGGGAGGTGGGGGCTTGGTTGGAGTTTCTTCAATGAGTTTGGAATTTTTGGTTAGGTTTTTACATATATGTTGAATGTTGTTTAGGAAAGTAGTTTTGAAAACAAAGAAATATTGATTCAAAAGAGTCTGGTCGCTAAACACTTCCTTGGTGAACGGCTCTCCTATTTTTCAAGATGTCAAGACAATTGCTTGGATGTGTCTAAGCAGAGCGCAGTTTTATTTTGCTCGATCGAGTTACTGAACACAATAAGGTGCTGTCCTTCTTGAATTTCCGAAAGCTAAAAAACTGACAGCAAGACAAGATCTTTTTCTAAATTCCCCTCACTATATGATAAGCTCTTGTCGAGTCTTTGCACAAATGAAACATATTCATTGTCGGGTCCAGAGCTACTAAACACCAGAATATAAATGTAGCTTTCTGTATTTCGAAATCACATTTTATGAACCTTCTTGGAAGTTGGAGGGCAATAGGGGGATTTGAGGGGAAAAGCAAGAATGAGAAAAAGATTATATTGAGATATCTAAAGTAAGTAAAGTGAATAGAGTTCGTACGCAGTGAATATATAACATAAATCCAAGTCGAAAGAAGATCATTCGTGTTTTCAGGTTAATATATTTATACCTAGCATTCTCACCTCCCACCCACACCAAAGCTCGGCACTTCTCATTGAATCTGCCTCTACAATCGATAGCATCGGTAGTCATCGGCACTTTGTTTCAATGATGTAACTTTCCTTCTTTTATCGAATTGACATTGGTTTTCATAATCTCCGTCGAGGCCCGCACCACGGGAACTAATCGTCTAGTCTCGCTTCCCCTCAGCTTTAGCAGTGCCGAACCGTACTTGAACATATAGATTGGTCGAGGCTCAGCGGGCAAGGATCTAGCCTACTCTTCGCCCATAGATTCGGGTTTCTTGATGAGCGGTCGTCATGGGATTTGGAGGTGATTAATGTCGATTTAAATCATGCTGTAGAGTGCATCGTCAGAATTTACTCACATGAATTGAATAAATTAATTCAAAATGGATGGAAGCCCTGGAATTGATGTTCTAGAGAATCTTCATTCGGCAATTTGGTATGAGTTGAAAAATGCTGATGGATTTGTTCAGCATACTTCTCACGTTGTGAACCGGCATCCATGCAACCGTAAAAAGGATTCTATGGCTTCATCTCGGTTTACCAACCATTAGACTATTTGAGCGAGCTTATCAATCGTTTTAGATGGAGATAGTGCGATGACTTCCTCACACATCACAATCCGAATCGCTTGTTTCTGGTCATCATTCGACAACGTTCTGCTTCCCACTTCACCTTCATCACAGTCATCTCTTTTCTAACAACGACACTTTTCAGTCAGTTCATAGCCGACAATACCTATCTTTACCAGTTTCTCTCCTTCCAAACAACCCTCGCCTCAAATCAGCACCCAAACCAAAAATGTATTCCCACTCCACCATCATCCTCTTATCCCTTACAACCACCTCTCTCTCCGCCGCCCCCGGATTGCACACGATCAACTGAGAATTCCCTCTCTCAGAGTCCCTACACAAACAAAAGCAATCTCAACATCACAAAAACAAGATATCGAAGACAAATGGCCGTTCTTCAAACCCTGCGACTTCTTCCCCGGACATCGACAGTGTAATCTGAATAGGGACAATATGCACACGATCTCGGGTAGTGAACTCTGGACTGTCACAAAAACGGATTTGAAATTGCAAGATCGCGACGTTGATGTTGTGGTTGCGATTGAGGGGTCCGAGACCAGGGGGATAGAAGGACGAAAGGTACCATCCCTTCGTGCTCTGAAAGTCAGACGGGGTTTAGAGCCTCGCGATGAAGACGACGACAACACGTTCATCCGTCTCAAAGGAACCGACACCTGGTTTCCTTATTCGGTAAAAGATAACAAAGTGAAGTTCAATGGAAAGGTAAGAATGACGGGAAACAGTCGTTTTCATTTAAAAGTCTTGCTGATACGTCTTAGCTTGTCGATATCCAGGATGCGTTTAATGTCGGAGATGTCAAGTTTGGGGATGTGGAGTTTGATCATTTGTTTGATGTTAGGATCGGGGATGTTTAGGGGACGGGTTCTCTGGTATGGGGAAGGGGGAAAGGGGGACTTCTTTGTGTATTCAAGTATTGGCGGCGAAGGTGAGAGTTATCATAAATAACTAAGATTGAACACATTGAGTTTCGGTTCTATATTTTGCACATATAGCTAACAAATCTGGCAGTTTCACGTAGTATGAATAAATTACCAGTCTTTTGTCAAGCAGCGTATTGACAGTGTTGAGTCCAGTTGAATTGAGTAAAGTCCAATCCTTAAAGATGAATTAGACAAAGTAGAGCTCCTCAGTTGAGACCATTTGAACATACACTCAATGCACTTAGCACCGTATACATTTCCATGTTCTCAGAAATACCGAAAGGTCCTCAGTCGATCTGTAGTATAGCTGGCAAAAAGCTCTAATGGCAGAAATATATTTCTATTTGTCGACTGGTCACGCTCCATCCGAAATTCCAGTCTATAACTTCCACGGACAACATGTAAGACAAATCCCAAAGCGACTTATATTCCTTCATCTCTCGATGACCAAGAATTCAATTTCCCAGTATTGCCAGATGGTCTATGTAGCAAACCACAATTTTATTCCCTACTTTGTATTTAGTTTTCCTCTGCTTGTGCTTCCCACTCCATGAAATTCCGTAGAAGTACCTCGGAATCAAAGAATCAGCTACATTGACAAGGCAAAAACGATCTGCAAACTCCCAGAACAATCTCACTGAGTAAATCAACCACCAAGACATAAATTCCTCATATGAACAGACAAATTTACTACATCCCCTCCGAGCCCTCAAGACACTTCCTCGGTATCCGTCACACACCTTAGAAGAAGCAAAGTTCTCTTGGTTTAAAAGCCCATTCATGATAAGGGGTAAAGGTCTTTTTTCCTCCGGATTTACCAATTTGAAAAGAATTATTGTTATTTGGAGCTAGTGAGAATAATATGAATCTCGGAATTTTCAATGTCTGAAGCTCTTCAAAGACCTCAAGCAATCTCAAGATGCTCTGATCTCTGTCACAGAAGAGTATGAGAGTTAGGGGAGTAGATATCCAAGAAGCTTGCAGGAAGACAGGATACTCAGATCTCAAAGACCCAGGTCTTGGTCCGGGTGCTTACCATGGAGTTAATGTTAAATGTATAGACTTGTTTGAATGGAGTAGATTATGGTGGGCATTGATTTACTACTTACGTGTATTCTTAACAGTTTCCCAGTAAACCTCTCCCACAAGGGCAGATTAAATCACCATCCCAAAACTCAATAACCTCAACCAAATTTCCTCTTCCATCACAAACGATAGAATCCATCTCCTCTACCTCCCACAAACCGACTTTCCACTTCGAGCTCCCACCCAAGCGTCCCAATGACCTCCCTACCAGCACGCCCGATACCAAACCACCCAACAAAACGGCCAACAAAAAGCAAATAAAACAAACATACACGCAGTACATTGTGCAACGAGATTTGGCCGCTCGTCCGTATCCACGGGCCCAACGATCTGCATAATCTCGCATCCCATCCAGCGCATTCAAAGTCTGGTATCAAACACTCGTCTACACAATTCCATCCCACAGGTATAATACATCCCTCAGCCCATAACTGCGCTACTAGGGTCATTCGCTATAAACTAACCCTAGCATATGCAACCCCAATGTGCCATGACCCGAAAAAAGAGAAACGATGGGAATCTCCATATTACAGCGTCCCCCGTCGTCATACCGCGAATATATTCCCACTGGCTAAACACAAGTCCTCTCAGATGAAAAAAAGGAAGGGAAGGGAAGGGACATGCATATTCCCACGTGCCCCCCTTTGCGACGGGGAGGGAGTTGTGTTCGGCAGGGAAATGCCTAAATGGAAAGGTGAGGCATATTGGGAACCAACCACATGTGCAGTTTACCCAGACCGATGTTATGGGCCTAAATGCACGGTGGGAGTACCACGGAGGAGGTACGTATCAGGAAGCTTACGCATGGTTGTGCGATTGCACGTGGTGGAGGAAGAGAGATGGTGTTGCTAGTGAAGGAATGGAATGTTCCATGATTGACCTCAAGAAGGTTCGCTCGTACACAGAGGAAGGGCGGTGGAAGGTCGAGGTGCGTATTCCACGTTTTGCACACGCGGTGAGGGAATACGTTCCATGAGCAGGAAGGAAGCGTGAGGGAGAAAGAAAAATCCTATCGCACGTTTTCCCCCACGTCCTGGAACCCCGCTCCCACCGGGAAGGATTTAAGGGAGGCAGGTATGGGAGAGCTGTGCGTGCGTGGGTACATGATGATACCTTCCAGCGGCCATCATTCTGCAAGTGCGCATCATGTTGGGAGGTGGCCTCGGGAGGATTTCTAGGCGTGTTGGCTCCTGAGGATTCTGGATCGAGAACCTGGATGGTAAGTTGTAGGTAAGCTTGAATGGCTGACCGACTGAGTAATCCAAGTACATATGTATTTCCGCGTCACTGGACAAGATATACCATTGTGATGGACAGCTGAATGACTGTACAACTACAAAGCATCTTACGAATCAACATCTTACACGCAGGAAGCAAGGTCAATGGAGTGAGAATAAGATAAGGTGATTTTTCCACCAGTGAATATGTGACCGTAGTAGCGCCAGAGCAACTGTGCGATGAAGCTTTCCCAAGATTAACGAGGCGGTCAGAGATGAGGAAATCGTGTAACAATACCATTCTGTGTCTGTGGCCTCGTTCATAGACCGATCGGAAAGGTAATTAATATTTTCCCCAAGGCAACGAGAATTGAGATCGCGCCGCTGACTCGCATGCTGGATTTGCAAGTGGTTGTCGCGTGGCAAGAAGGGATACACATAACCGAATTTACCCTATGCGAGCCCCTGTGTGTAGAGTCGCAGTACCACACTTCCCCTCAACTCGGTAGAAGTGCAATTGGACCGGCACTCCAAGGGAGCGGAAAACGTGAAGGAAAGAGGAAAGAGGTAGGGTGGACAGCGGCTACTGCCATGCGATGGAATTCAAGGTTAAGGATGTCTTGGACCAGTCTATGCACGTTGCGAACCAGGGAACTTCAGGCCGGCAATTCGATTTCCCTCCCGCGAGCGGACGTGTGGTAATATATTCTCGCGAACCAGAATAGGGGGAGTGTCGTATTGCTTCATAGACGCGGGTGCTTAAATGCTCCCAAGCAGCCATAACGAACAATCAATTGCCAACGGCAGCTCCGTTGTCGTGCTGTCATTGATACTGAGCAGAGAAATGGGAATTCAGCTTCAGGCATACGCTTGTCTTGCAGATATATTCCGTCAATTATCAATTAACGGCTCGGCAGTCCCAGTCATAGCACCACCATTATGAAATAACGCCAAAGGAGATGCAAGTTGCAACCAGAATGAGAGATTTACGCACCCACGTTAGAAATAAGGTTGAGCAGCTGCAAGGCTGGAATGATTCACAAGCGGGAAAGCCACCAGGATTCATACGCTGGAGGATGATGGTTTCAAACACGATCAACAAGGTCAAAGTGCCTTCAAACACACGTGGTTTTCTCGTTGCAGAAATGTCAGCATTCTAGCCATTTGACCGACAAGACTTTCATTAGAAATGATGCAGCAAAGTGTTATTACGTTCGGTTGGCGGATGAGTCTGCAAACTGAGCGGGAAGCGCAAAATTATCCAGACGCGCGAAATGCGTGCCAGTTTCAGAGCAATATTAGCCGGTGAGAATGTGTCTGTTTGCTTGACGCCTATTCGTATACGCTCACCAGACGTGTTGAGTTGGATGTAAGGACGGCCTTACAATGATCTGCATATGTCCAACTCAAGTAGTTTATGCGTCCCGTCTTCTTCAAGCATCTGTAGAGGCGGTGACAAGGTGTTGATTGATTAGCCTTTCGAAATGTCCAGAAATAGCTGCACATTTCCCAACGACAACCAAACAACATAGGGAGAGACTCGGCAGATGCTAGGAAGCTTCAGAACGTGCCACAGCATTAGCATGCTTGGAGAGTTGCATCGATGAGTTGGAAGGCAAAAGCGTCGACGTGCAGAAACTAACCCCTTCAGCTAGCCAGAATAAAGTCACAACGAAGACGGAAATTTGATGATACTGTTGAGGAGCCACGACAGGGCACTCTTCAATTCAAGCGATGGTCCATGACCCCACACGGAAATTTTCACGTCGCTATGTATGGAACGGAAGGATTTAATTCTCCGAATTGAATGTTGTGTATTGGCTGGCCGGTTTATAGAGCCTCTTATCATGAGCTGCCAGCGTGATGGTGTGAGACAATTCGAGCTGTGAGAAGTGTACGTGATTTTGATGACGATGCAGGCTGAACGACTCTAGTGAAAGCCTGTGCCTTTGAATGCCGTGATATCGCCAGCTAGGATTGGAGCTGAGCAGCAGGCGTAACACCAAGCGAGGTATGGAGATTTGCTAAGCATGTCTACGACGCCATAGAGCCAATGAACATGTACGCATAACCGCAGTGGTTGAAACCTTACGCCTCGAAGCACATAAGATTCTACACACCCTTTCGAATCGCTAATGAATGGCACCTCGGGGCGTGCAGTGAGAACTTAATCGGATGGTCATTAGGATGATTCCATCGGTGGGGTTGTTTTCAATACACCGCCTTCCTGCAAGGCGATTCAGTGATCGTATAAGCGATGAACCAGAGCGAAGCAATTTGACATTTTGACACGGCTTGTCCGTCAACGATTTCATGATCAGAAATATCTCGAGCCAGGGGGCTTCAAAATGAGAGGCGTAAAGCATCCACGAAGCTCTCAACGCATCCTCCTCAAATAGAATTGATACCACACCCTCATATTGGGGATTTCAGTTTGATTGCATCGGCCGCAAAAGGTAGACTAGAGTCGAAACTCTCCTGGGTTCCGTCTAAAAGGCGTCTACTTCTGGCTCTTAGATTTGATCAATCTGGAAATGATGTTTCGAGCATGGTCGTTGACGCTGTGGCGTGCAATGCGAAGATCAGCTTCGATAAGCGTCTGACAATGAAACAATCGTGTTAACGGCGTTTTTGAACATCATCGTATGTAAGCCCCGAAAGTCCAAGGAATATTTTTCGGTCTGATTTTTCGGTCTGTCGGTGCGGAGCTCCATGTCGTTGAAAGCCCAAAGTCATCAAGCGACTCCGAAAACAGTTACAACTCCATCTGTGCCTCCACAACACCACTGATTACCTCTGCCTTCCTGTTTCCAAGCCACACAACTGACAACATTCTGTCTGTCCTTGACTTTGCCGTCACGGCCGATTTTCTTCTTGCCTTCAGCTTTGGCACCCTCGACCGTAATCTTTTCTTCGACGTTTCCGGTTAACGTATCCCAAACGACGACCTGGCCATCCGCGCCTACATCCTCATTCCCGCATAGAACCCAGCGTTCATTGCCGCCAAAACAGCTCCACATCCGAAACTCATCATTCTTGAAGCCGTCATGCTTGTACGTCTTTAGTAACCCACCCGTATCTCTATCCATCAGGCGTATTGAAGAGTCGAGTCCCCCGACCAGTACACCTTTGCCATCCCTCGTCCTTGCAAGACTAGTGACGCTGGTGCCCACGACATCCGTTTCTACTTTCCCCATCCTAACATCATACGTTCTCACCCTGCCGTCTACGCTTCCACTCAACACCTCGTATTCACCACCCTTCCCATTGCCTTCCCCATTACCCGCCAGCACACAGCTAATACTATCCCCCGCCTCATCCAACAACATAATGGGCTTCGCATTATTAGACTTGACATCCCAAATCCGCACACTAGTATCAAAACCCCCAGAAACCAGCAAGCAATCCCCCGTCCCCGCAAACGTGATGGTGTTAATCCTAGCCGTATGTCCCTGATTACCGCCAAACCTACGTATCGTCTTCGCCGTACTTACATCCCAATAAAACACGCTGCGGTCGCCGCCCACCGAGGCAAACGTCGCATTGTCTCGCGCGACTGTAATGTCAAGCACTTCGTAGCCGTGGGCGGAATACGTCTGGATGAGCTGGGTGGCTTTGGGTGGCTCGAGGGGGTTGGTGATTGGTGGAGGGGAAGGGCGCGAAGGATTGTAGAGCCGGATTGAGCGGTCGGAGGAGCCTGTTAGGATGTAGGTTGAGGGTGAGGATGAGTATGCAAGTGCATGTACTGGGCCTTTGGAACTGTTAGGATACGTTTGTTATAGCTTCCGGCGCATAGAATTTAATACCGTTCTGTTTGGAAGTAGAGGAATAGCACGTACCAATCGAACCGTAGAGCTGGGTGACGACCTTTGTAGGAAAAGCCATTCTTAAATCAGCGCATGTATCTGTTAATTTCGAGTATCATGATGTCGACAGACCTCACCGTCGCAATATGAATAGCTTCAAAACGCACCAAAGCCGTGTGACTTGAAAGTTGTCGTCCCAAACGGCCCCACTCAAGTAGCGAAATCCCAAGTACCAATTTTGTCCTAGTCTTGGTTCTTGCTTAGCGCCTCACATTCCAGGCCGCAAATCCCAAACAAGGCCACAACCACTCAAACTCGCGTATCTCACTACCCTCGCTTCCCCTGACTCAACTCCCTCCCCAACTGCCCTCCCCTTTCTCCGCCCATCTAGCCTCCCACCAGTTCCTCTTGCACTAAAACACACCAAATCAATAGCGCTCCCTAAAGCCCCTAAAACCACCAGCTAACAAAATCCTCCTCCAAGTACCGCACCGCCGCCGTCCACCTCTAGAGGGTGGCTCATCGCGCCAGCTACGATAGCCCACCGCCGGACCCCTTCACAAAAGCCGTGCTTGGGTCGGGACTCGATATCTGGCATGTCACCATGTCTCACGAGCTAGAGGGCTAGGCTGGGTGCGTAATCTGCCCTTCTGGGTTAGAGAGCCGGAGCTAGAAGGTTTGGGATCGGCATATGATGCTCTGTGAAAATGGGGGGGTTTGCGCGGCTGTGCATTTTCCTTGGGAGGTTGCGCGATCGTTCTTGTGAGCGAGCAGCCGGTTGTGACGTTCTCCGGAACGGATGGAGTAGGTGATCAACCGTTTTCGCCCTTTTCTTTGGGGATTGCGGTGTTGTTGGTCCTTGGTATGTGTTGTTGATTTTCCAGTTCAGTTTACCTTGTGGAGAGGCGGTTTGGGGCTTCAGATGATGCGACAGTGGTGAGGAGAGTTTGGGTGGGATCACGTCGCTAATTATCGAGCGAGCAGCTGATGTCTGCTTGTGGGGTAGATGGAAACATGAACACGATCTCGGCATATAGCGCTGAACTGTAAGGTTACCTTGGTGAGATAGAGTTTTGGCGTAAGATACGCTCCGCGTTATTAGCGAAGCTAGATTTGTCGTATCATCGGACAATAACGATGAAACGGACTTTACCTCACAGGCGAGGTCCGAAGAGCAGCGTAGAGGTCGTGATTACTATTATACTAGCACGTGGGTACTTGTAAAGATGTAAGGATTTGGAAGTGTATGTGAAGGGTATCAATTGTGATTCTTTATTCTGTCATAAAATATACGTCTATACGCTTCGTCAACGCTCAAACAAGTTGTACTGTACAAATACAAAAGTACCCAGATCCAAACTCCGCGCTATGATTAAAAAAAGCAATCGCTTCTACCTCCCATGATGCATAATGTAGTTTAAGGAATCCCAGTATCCCTTTCATAATCAACCATATATACAATCAAAATCCCTCGGAAATGTTTTCTCAAGTGAATCTCGCATTTCAAACATGACTTCACGTCCTTCGTGCTTCACAAATGATCCAAATCGTGACGAAATCTTAGCACCTTGCTCAGTTGTCACCTCGGCCAAATCGCGAACTCGGTCGAGAACAAGAGCTTGTTGTGTTTTGGCACTCTGCCAAATCACGGCCAGATCAGCGAGAACGGTTTGTGCGCCGCGGATAGAGGTAATTCGATTTGGGATGGAGGAGACGGATGTGCGGGCCGTAAGAATGTCGATCGCTGAGACGACTGCGTAACCAACGAAAGGTGAGGAGAGATTGGTGACCTTCACACCATAGCTTGTTGGGCTTGATGGAAGCGAAGAGCGGCGAGCAGCAAGTAAGTCGGCGATGGAAAGGAGTGCATCAGCATGGTGGTGTGCCGCAGAGACGTGGTGTGTTAATTGAGCCGGAGTGAGATTGGCTTGCTGAATATAACGATTGAGTTTCATCGCCGTAGTGTGGTAGACGGTGTGGAGCATTGCAAAGGTGTTCAACTTCTCATTTTCGGTGGCTTTTCTGAGGTTCTCAGTTGAAAAAGTATATGCCTTCGGTAGAGAGGAATTCCATTCTCGTAGCCGCCGTGAAGTCGCCTCGTAAAAGGTCCCAAACGAAGTGGAGCTGGAGGGTGCTCGTCGCTGCGAGCTTCGATAGATGTTTGCCATAACGTCACCCCATATTGTTGCGAGGTTGACTAAGTGAGCCATAGGACCAACAGTCCAGATATGGTTCTGAATTGGGGGGGTTGTGACATCAAAGAAGGGGTTCTGAACCTCGATTTGAGATTCAAAGCTGCTGTCGTCGCAAGGAAGTCGCAAGAAGATGTCTTCTGCATGCATCATACTGAAGTGTCCAGAACAGAAGCTATTAAACCGATCCATCAGATAACAACTCCAGAAAGTTCTTCGCCTGCACTCGGCGTATCCGTGACGATTCATTCCATAGGGAAACGTTTGGAGATAATGTTCCTCCGTCTTCTCCACCTCGACGTTGAACCTCAAACCACTGGCCGCTCTCACTGCTGCTCCACAGAAATCCCAGGCATCGTTCGGGTTGTTGGTTGAGAAATAGTACAGAGAAAGGAGCAGGCGGGATTGCACAAGCTGAATGCTGAAGCGTCGGTTCTCGCAAGCAAATCTGGCAATAGAGGCGTACTGAGCACCGAGAGACTTGTGCTCTGGCTTTGGGGAGAAAATGGTAGACAGGGCAAGAATCGTGTACATAAGCATCAAGTCATCTGAAGATTTTGAGCTGGCGGATAAAAACCAGGCTCGAAAGACCCCTCTTGGAAAAATCGCTGAGGCTGTTTCCGGAACGAGCGTGAAGAAGACATCGATGAGCTCGCTGACAACTGCGGGCCGGTTGACGTACGGGTTGACACGACTTTGCTGGACAATATCGTGATCTGGGAGTCTGTTTACGGCTGTTTCGAGCCAAGAAGCCGGTGGTGATCCTGCTTCACGAGCGGATGGTGGGGGTGAACCTTCCGATGGCACTGGAGTGAAATTGTTATACCCAGTTCGCTGACGCTTTGATGGATGTTCATCGTTTGATGGAGATGCTGGACGAAGTACATGGCGTGGTGAAATCGGTTCGCTGTTTTCTCGACCGACGACTTTGAAAGACTCCCCATCAGTTCTTGAGGATGAAGGCCTCGACAGAGTATCATCAATATCAGCGGGTGGTGTGTCTGGTGATCCCTGCCCACCTCGTGGCCTGTAATCAATGTCAGTCTTTCCTTCTATCGAACAGAACCGCCGCAATGGCATTGCACTCGGATCCGATTCAATCTACTTACGCATTCTTGAACTTGCAAATTCGTCCGAACTTCTCACATTGAACACATCGAGGATAATCCGGGTCGCATTTAATCTTCTTTTCCCGACAGGTGATGCATGCAATTGCCAGTCGTTTTCTAGGCTTACCAGCCTTTGTGACCCCCCAATGAGCATTGACAACTTCGCCATCTATCACTGTCTTGCAATGTGTGCCGTCGTCATAAAAATAACAAGTCCCTTCGCCTGGAACATCTGCTTGGCGGACAAAACGAGGCAAAAACTGTGTTCCAGTCCAGATCTTTGGCCCAAGCCCATCCTTTGACGTGCCCAGTTCACTGACCACTGTTCCTCCTGGCGTAGGTGGAAAATCCGGTGTCACTGGTGTGATGTGAGCACCATCGCGATACGTACCCCTCATTTCCTCAGGTCTGCGCGGATGGCTGGAACGATCTACATGGTGGGTGAATGATGAAGAGGTGTCCCGCGAAAGGTACTCTGGACGGTTAGGTTGCGAGTGTGGAGACCATGCGTTGGTGGGAGGTCCTGGAGTTCTTGATGTGTTGATTGAGTATGGCGGGCGCCCATCGTACCTTGAAGATTCGGATTTGATACCATTCTGAGAAGAGAGTGGATGGACGGGAAATCCAAGTCTCTCAACAGCCTCTGGCCTCGAATGCGATGGAGGTTGAGCTGGACGATGGAAGTATGAACTGGAATCGAAAGGACGATCCGGGTGCAAAGGCGTCGCTGGGTGCCTCCCATCAAGAGGTGATGTGTTTGCGGAGGGAAATATCGGGCTTGGTCGCTCTGAGTACGGCGACTGAGCGGGTGGTGGATGTGATGAAGATGGAAAGAGGCTGCTCAATGAAGGCAACTGCTCTCGAGGAGCTTTGTTCTCTGGCCGATTATACATTTTTTCTGGTTCTCGGGATTGTTTGCTACTTTCTGACGCTGGAGAACAAGGAGGGCTCCAACTTTTGTCCACTTTCCGTTCTGTATATGGCGCCGCAGTCTCTGTCCTCGGTGCTTCTCTCGGATAATATGGTGCTTGTCGTCTCTCGCAGTTTGACGGCCGATCATGAAGAGCCGCAATGTAAGGTTGATTGTAAATCTGGGTCATGTTCAAAAGGAATATGCGATGCGTGGCGTGTATTGAAAGTAAGATACTCTGACTACACTGTGAGAGCAAACATAGATTCGGGTGGAGGTATCGATGTGGCACAGGGGCACCTCTTTTCGATTACCTCAGGAAGGCTGGTGTATTCGTGGTCGATAGCCGGTTGAATGCAGCTGTCTTTCCAATGATCTCTCGTTACAGAGCAAAATTTCCAAGCGGCAATGGCTACAGATATGCCGTGGGGTGAGGAAGCGAGCTTGATGTCGTGGAGGATAGAAGTGTGGATGATGTCCTGGTCGAGGTGTATTCCTCGTGCTTGCAACCACCCGTGATGAAGAGAGATGCTGACAGGAAAGAGGAGATGTAACAAGTTTTGTTGATCCTATCGAGCGAGCTGCTTTCCTGCAACAGCTCCTACCCGGAAGTATGTATGTAGTGTGCTAGGACTAGAGCGGGCGAGCTAGGTCGAGGATTTCGGTAGTGGGACAGTTGGATGAGTTCCACTTTTCCCGTCCTCCAAGGCTCAAGCTCATGGCTCGAGGGCTCGTCCACCCTGGTGAGCCACGCCCGCACCATATCCACTGATCTGGATGTGGAAGCTCCAGCAAGAGGCAATTTCCCTAGCGGAGGCTGGAAGGTTTGGTACAGTCAGTACAGTACTAAGTGGTACAGGGTTTTGAGGCGTCACCACCGAGTGACTACAGGCATCGTAAAAGCTGGGATCAGGGCCTGCGCTGCTCGGGGTGCTTGGAAGAGGGAGGGGGAGGGGAACCTTGTGCGTGCAGGAGGGTGTTGAAGGACGTTCGATGGGAAAAGGAGCCAGGGGTTGTTTAGGATTGCTGCAGAAAAGGGCCACGGACGATGGGCGCAAAAAAAGCAAATCATGTAAGCCGGAAGCGCGAAGATGCCCCAAGTATTACCGAGTACAGTACGAGTACCGGCAACGCTGGGCTGGGCTTGGGAACATTTTATGAATGCAGATATCTCAGTTTCATAGTAGAGTCCGTGGCAGTTCGTGTTGGTCAGTATTTACCCGCCGTTTTAGGTGTTGTGACTTCTGATTTTAGTTGACAATCCGCGAGCAAAAAGCCCAGTCAGCGAGAATTTCATGTGCTTTCGTTGTGCAATTGCCAGTCTCGTAAAGAATTCCGCTTTTCAGACTGAGTGCAAACAATAGTCTGTGCAAACGATCGTTGCAATCCGATGTCAAAACAGTTGTACGCAGATATACGAGCCCCTCTACCGAGACTCATGATGATGTCTTCCCGTGTGAATATTAGACTAGAGACCAACAGCAGGCTTATCCTAAAAGGGTAGATCTCAGCGACGTAGAAGCGAGCGAGTGAAAAGGGGTTCGCCGACACAACAAGCGCCAACCAACAAACCAGATAACGTTCTCGATGACTCGGGCTGCCGAGGTCACTAGGAATTGATGAGTGGATGTAGACTCTTGTGGGGTAAACCTGATGCGGCGTGAGTCGCGATCGGTAAAGCCATGTGTTGGTGTTCGAAACTATATCTTATTCGTAAGTAGCTTCTTCTCTAAGGTTAGCTGAACCGCCTAGTCGGTTCCAGAGAGCCACCACAATTTCTTGCATCGGCACCACTAAAAGGGCGGAGCACACAACTATCTCCGTCCCAAGAATTGAATTGTAAATTCATGATTTTAAACGCTTTCTTTGCCAGCTGCTGTGGGAAGTTATGTACTGTGGTTAAATCGTGTTTGTTTTGACGTTTGACTGTTGGAATCTACATTGGCTTCGACTGCCGAATGCGACAAGCGAGCCTCTTACACTACGTTTAGACCAGTAAACTGCCCCAATAGCCGCCCTCGATGAGCCGGAGTGGCAGTTTGGTTTCCAGAACAGCGTATTACAAGGCGTAAGGCCCTGAGCTTTTGAGAGGCCAGCTCGGTGAAGTACAGCTGGGACATACTGATGTGCGCTGTATGACCTGGACTGTCGATGCCTTTCATGATTGTCGTCTTTGTACTTTCGTACCTTTGTTAGACTCACGGTAATCTCCTATGCCACAGCAAAAAGTAAAACGGTCTTGACGCCACATGTCATCTGTTTCGGACTCGAGAGCTCGGCACACGAGTTGAGGCTTGTTGAGAAAGGCCCTGAGCCTTGCCGAAATTCCGAAACTGTTATTTTCCCACGCTCTTATCCAGAGAAAAAGCAATTCCGAAAACCCAGCCTGGTGGTATTTGGTGGTCTGCGATAACCATGATGATATTGCTCTTCATGGGCTATAGTACCAGTTTATGCCCTGCTTTGTGCACGCCGTAAAACATGCGTTCATAACACGGTGGCTATCGACATGCCCCAAAACGACAAGAATAGCGTCCGACTCAAGCCTGCTTCAGAACAGGGCGAACCCTGAAGCCGATACTTTCTGCCCGGCTTTGGTCATCGGACACTTGGATTACTGCTGGGTCTGTGGCCGGCTATTCAAGATCCCTTGAACCCCGTTTTCCCATCTCTGCGGGAGTCTGTGTCATCCTATAGCTGTGGCTGATATCACAGCGTACAGGGGGAGGTTAGTGAACATCGTAAGATTCCCCTTCAGGTTAATGTCATTTGGAACAACGTCGCTCATGGTCTTGCCCGCGTCATAGTCATCGAAATCAAATAGTTGTCCATGAGTTCAGGATAGACGCGGTACGCGAACTCATGTAGATTGTGTCGCACAATATCGACTTCACAATGTCCAACTTGGATGTTCGGGAACCTACGATATGTGAATCTCGGTCCACCACATCTAAAAAGAAAAGACGAGTAACAACCCATAGTCGACGCATTTGAACAGGTTGCCGAGTGCTGTCAGAATAAGTGACCGCATTTTTGTAGATCCGCTCAGTGCTCGCGCCTTTTAGTCTCCATTATTATCGTTGTACTAAGTAACCTGGAGATAGTTATCTCAGACGGTGAGCCATGGCATGGCAGATGGCAAATCCACTGATCAAGAATGTCTCTCGGCATCTATCCATCACCAAGATGGTTCCGTCAAGCTCCTATCTTGCCTATCCTGCGGATCATCCACTCACCTGAGATTTCTACTACCGCCGCCAGCAAAGTTTCTCCATGGCCGAGAAGATTATTGATATTTCGTGCTCCAGACATGTACTTGTTCAAATCCCGCCAGACTGGATCCGGAGCTTGGGCCGATGCAAGTAGTTGTCTAGTTTAGCGTATCACCGCGTGCAAAAATCTTCTTGCGATCTTCCATATACCAAAAGGCCCAGCCCGACCTCATCCGAACGCACATCGACTCCTCCCGCCATTATCGAAAGCCGCTTGAGGCCTCGAAGAGTCCACTCCTGAAGGTTCCCGTCGATGAAAGGAGGCGAGCTGCGGGGTGACCAAACTCTAAAACGTGCCACACCAGTCTTTGGCGTCTAATGTGCCAAGTTCACGAACCAACACGTCGGGAAGGGGTTCTTCGTAACATTCCTGATCCAGTAGTTGATGAAGAGCAGACAGAGCCCGAGGCGTAACTGCCTGCTTCAGCGCTCCTCAAGTGTCTTCCTTTTTTTGTCATCTGAAAACAAACAAGATTGATAGGCGATGGTGAATCTGCCGTGCTTTGGGAGATAATTACACCGAAGAAAGCCAAGTACGCGCTCTCGGTGTCAGACTGCGTAATCACATATAATTGTCCGCAACGTCGCAATATCGTAAGGAGCACAATGTTGTCACTCAATCTCAAGGCTGACATGTATTGTGGCCTGACTTTTCTTGTGACAGGACGAACTTGGTGAGCTTCTGCGGGAAACGACAAAAAGAAAAAACGACAAGTGATGCCGATTCGACAGCAAAGGGTCCTGGAGAGCCATAGAGAAAGCAGAATGAAATGATGCTGCAACGGACTTGATGGGCCTAGGCCTAACAGTTGTCAGATACTGTCAATGGCTGGAAAATCAGATTGAGGTTGCGAGAAGCTTGCCAGTTGGTTTTCGCAAGCCAGCTCACACAATGCACAGTAGAGGCGTAGATGAGGTTATCGTGTACTCATGTGGCAGACTCGGTTCCGTGCACGGGTATGTAGTCGTTGGCTGGATCTGCTAGTGGTCCCAAGTGACCAAGCTGTGGAATGTGATGTGATAGAAGATGCATCCAAGACGCAAAGGTGGCGGTGATGTTGGAAAATGTAGGAGAACTGTTGGCCAGAAGCTGGCAGCGTCAAGCTTCGCGTGGTCACGTGATCCACTAGCGCTGGCCTTGACCACGACAACCCACCACCAACAGCGGACACCCACCCACATCCACATCCAAATCCACGGTCACAACATTATTCAACCACACCACCAACCACTCGCCATGGAATCGTCATGATCCCGCGAACAACACGACAGCAACAACAAAGCCGGACAAACCAACGAATCTGGCATTCCGCCAGCGGCAGCATGTCGGTGTGTCGCATCACACCTTCCTGGGACGAGCTAGTGGACCACAACTGGCGGGCGACCGATCAAACTGTAGACGGGAAACACAGCCAGATTCAGAGATTGCAACGAGTTCCTCCAACATTGAGAAATAATAATGCCATCTTCGCATCTTCCTCAGCAGTAGAAACTCGTCAATCGTCAACCTACCCTCCAGTTTACAATGCTCTTCCTCCTCCCTTGCACGCAGCCAAGATACCAAGCCGGCCACCTCACCACAAACGCCGAAAAGTTACGACCCCAGTCGAGGAGATCGCTGGCTGATTGCGAAACCGAGATTCCGATCTGTCCATGACTTCCATGTGCCGTTCATGAGGAGAAAATACCGGGCAAGGGTGGCCCTGATAGCAGGAAAGACTGTGCCCTGTCACTGCAGGAACAAGCGCGTGGCATGGCGCGAAAACCACCTTGGCTTGCAGACAAAGCGTCGTGAATTGCTGGGAATGGAGGAATACAAGTCCGACAGGCAAAAGAGAGTTGACTACAAAATTAGAATGCACAGAGAGACGGATCGACATCTTTAATGAAACTTGAGGAAAATGGATCTGTTTGCATATCCTGCATTTAACCGCTCCAGGTTGTAAGAACAATAGGGAGGAGTATGACAACGTAGGGAGAGCAACTCGACTGTTGGTAGCTACAACTGAGCCACAGACGGAATGGATGCCGAAGAGCCCACAGAGCCGACGAGTGCCGTCGTGTGCTTCTCAGTGCTGTTGCCTCTGAGTTCCAAGCTCAAAATAACTCGAGACTTCAAACACATCAAGATCTCAACTGCAGCTCCACACCAATAATTAATCATCGGACAGGTGCCGAAATATTGATGAACGAAGACGCGAGACAAGATCGTACGGAGTCCTCATGGTGGAGCTATTATCCTGTCCGGAGCGGGCACTCAAACGGGTAAATCTTTCGTCACATCAAGGGTACGATTTCTATCATATTTCCTCGAAACATGATATCTCAAAGTTTTTCTAACATCATGCTGTAAAGTGTGCTTCCATTTCGCCCTTCTAGTTGCATAACGAAATTATGATTGCGCTAAAAAGATATCTGGCTTTCCTGTCCTGCGGCTCCTCAAAACAGTCGCTTTCATGATCTTCTTTACTCCATACAGTAACACATGAGCTTTCAAGGATCCCGGCACATCTTCTTCATAGACCGCTGGCATTATTCGATCCTACGGGCCGCCCAAAATATGCCTGCGGAATAAGGCTTCTGCAGCCCAGTCCGTACAAAGCCGTTTACTGGGACATCGGCCATTGGCTCAAATACGACTTGGAGCCGAATTATCACCTGCAGTCAGTTCTAAGAATAGGTCCACAAATATTGACTCGAAAAGTCACGTTGGAAATTAGGACTTGTGGAACGCAAACAACAGTCACATGTATCACAATAATCACAACCTTTGTTCGGTCTCAATGGAAAATAACGAGAAGTTTCTCATTCTCTGAGCGTGCAGCCCCTTTTTCTGTTTTTTATTTTAAATTTCGATCTCAACATTCAAAAGTCCGGGAGTGAAGCAAGAGGTTGTTTCACTCATCTGCTTGAGGAAATAAGGTTCTGATCCCTTGCCCAAGCGAACTCTTACTTCGAAGTAACCTTTCTGCTCGAAGCATATCACGGCAGCTCGGAGAAAGTGAAGATGGCATTTTCGTCTATTTTCGCCAGAAGAAGAAGCAAAACGGTTGATCCAGGTCGTGATCTGCGGACCCCTGGTACACGAGATCGAAGCTGTGGTAATGTAGAGATCCTCTGATCTCTGGTAGCCCGGCCGAAAAGGGGTTTTGGCGTGAGCACTACCGACGGTCGATGCGGAATTGCCGTAATTCGCCAAAAACATATAGTTTTGCGTCATGATTTATGTTGTTTACGACTCTACATTCATCACAACGCATAGTTACCAAAGTTGGAGTATGCATAGAGCGCGTGGTGCGGTTTCATTACCAGCAAGCGATATGTTGGTTGTTAACGAGTCTTCAAGCAGGTGTCGGTACTTTGGTACCAGCCAATTGAAACTAGCGGACATCGCACTTCGCACTTGTACTTTGGACGACTTCTTTTTAGCGCTTCGGGCGACAGATACATGAGCCCGAAGATACTCGGAGCGTATATTACCACATTCGTCTGCCGGCGTCCTCTAATGGTCGTCTCTACGCGAGTTTTGCTGCAAAGGGCCGATCAGGATTACCTGCCTGCACATCCACGCATACACGAATTATACCTTTCCGCACTCAAAGATAAAGTACGAAATGGAACAATTCCCCGTAATAATGAGCGGGTTGAGGATACCTGCCTGTAAGCAAACCGTCCCTCCAAGCAAGCCGAAGTCTCGGTGTATTTTATCCGTCCATACACGCCTGTCTAATTCTTCCATGGCTCGTCGCATCCTGTTCAGGACAGCCGCCTTGCAGCGCCATGGTTCATGACGCCTCAAGATCGCAGACGGGACATTTCTTTTACTCTAGTACAGAGTACGTATTCGTCCTCCGTGCTGCCATCTTTCGAGACATCTCAAGCCACCTGGCTGACTTGCGCGCTTCTTCCCCCAATCATATATTTAACGACGGGCTGTCACGGCTCACCCAAAAACTGGCTCAGCCCAGGTAACGGGAAAACACAACATGGTCAGGGCTCTGTTGGAGATGTCAGCCGAATGTGGAGAGCACGGGAATCAATGCCGATTTCAACCCAGGCCATCCGAGAAATTGTACGGCGCATTTGCACATCCATGCCCGGCCCGCCTGGCCACGTTTTTTCGATCTCCAGCGGCACAGAGCTTGTCACGATCCTTTGTCCACCGTGCTCCACGCACCAGGGATTTAGGAAATAACGACTGTGGATTGAGCAGATCAGATCCGTGAATTGCGGGGCCCAAGAGGGTTCGCAAACTGCTCTGAATCCGGCAATGATGGATTGATATTAAACTGGGTGCGCTACTGCTAGCCTGCCGGGAAAACGGTGCTATCCCACGTTGCGTTATTTACGATATTATCAGGCAGGGACACGGCATCGCGCACGTTTGAATGAGAGAAGATGCAACCAGTCAGACGCTCGAGCAATCAATCCTCAATTTATCTTCCTGAATAGACGCCGTGCGTCAGGCGGGTAATCTTTATTACCATTTGCCGGGTCTGTATCGATCCTTCAAATTACAGAGCGCGTTTGACAATGATTGTCTGACACCGGTATTTGTTGTTTTGCATGGCCATTGCTCTGTGCAACCCCGTCAATACTTTACCGTTCTCGCACGTCTTGCTACACGACCACGATCCGTGGTGAGACTCGGCATCGAGACGGTAGTTGGTAACTGCAATCATTGGCCGTCTCACGGTGCCAGCGTCGATGTGTGCGACTGCTGGTCAGCCTCATTTGGAATTTTGGCGGCAATCACGATTTCTCTCGGTTGAATGCTCCCGTCAGAGAAAGAAACGAAGAATACGGCACAGACGATTCCCTGGCACTATTATTTTAAGATGCCGGTGTGTCTTAAAATACACAACTTCGTTGTTTGGTATGGATGGCCGAACAGGGGGCGTTGGCACATCCAATAGGATGCTTATTGGCAACGACCAACCTACCGTTACACCGTCATGATTCTTTTGGGGATTTTCTTACACCGCAGGAACATGTTCCTGCCTCGGTGATAGGGCTACGTTTGGGTTTGCTTCTCACAACGGAGTGTCGGACCGTGTCTCTTGTTGCTGTTCCAATGCATGTGTTACGAGCGAGCATTTCCAGGTCGCCGATTACATAGGTGAGATGTTGGGCTTGGGAATTGGGAATTGGGAATTTGGGAGCCGCTGATGGAACGTCGTCCATCGTGAGTGCGAGTCACCCAACACACGTACATGAAGCGAGACGTGAAAAGTGAAGCGAATCACTCAAGACATGAAAATGCAAATTAAGACTCTCATCGCCGTCGCCCAATTGAGCCATTGGTTGGCTCCGGGCAACTCCTGCACAGAGATTATATCTCCTTGCCATCTTTTTTCCTTTTTCGCGAAATTCGCCGTGGGCGCCGCATGTACGATCGCACCCAGTGGGAAATTATCTCCGTCGAAAAAAGCAAAGATGCTGCGAACTCAGTAGGTAGGTATGACTGGTTTTCTGCGATGGTCATGTACTGAGGACGTAAAACCCCGTCATCAGATCTCCCGAGAAGGAAGGTAACGTTATATTGGATCATTTCTTTGACTTGGCTGAACAGGTCTCGGGATATACGTACGTACGTGTGCATGCTGCATTTGCATGTGTGCGGTACCCCATTTTTGGGGATGCGATGCACTTGTTCACCGACTTATGGGGTTGTGGTCGGATGCGGAAGTTCTCGAAGTACATGCTACTTAGTTGGGTCTGGATGGCATTCGACTGCATGAGGATGTGGATAGGCGCGATGGGGGGTTGTGGTTGGGTGGAAAAGAATAAAGGAGGGTTTGTTACGGGTGTTTTATGCAGGTAATTGATAGTTTTGTTTTTGGAGCTTCGTGAGTTGCCTAGATTGGGCTAGGGGATTTGGAGAGGGGAGGGGGGATAAGAGTGGAGAGGGGGGTATTGGGGATATGTTTGGGGGATTGGTGAGTGAAAGATGGAAAAGCTGGGAATGATGGGTAATTGATAGAGGGGATGGATGGGATGGGATGGGATAGGAAGGTTGTTTATGTGAGGTTTTGATGTGGTTTAGGGTGATGCGAAGGAGAAGGGGAGGGGGGCAAGGATACCGAGGGGTTGGTTGGTGGATGGGGAAAATGTAAGTCGGAAGATTGAAGTTTCCGACTTACTGGTAGTAGATTTGATTTGGTGTTTGGGAGAGGAAGACGGGTGGGGGTTCTTGTGGGTGGTGGGATGGGAGGTTTGTGAGGGGGAGGAATTTGGGGAGGGGGGGTTTTTAGAGAAGGGGTGGTGGGATGAAGGTTTGTGAGAAGAGGTGATGTGGGGGATGGAAGGGGGAAGATAATACAGTGATGGGAACGAAGGAGTAGTAAGCCCATTTTAATTAATTGACGTGGGCTGTAGGTTTGTCGTTGTATCTACAGCACAACAGGTAAGCTTGGGGCTTTGAGCTTCGAAGAGGGGGTTTTCTTGCGGGTGGTCGTGAGGATGAGTGGAGATGGGGATTACGATGGAGGGATGATGGTGATGGATTGGATAAGTAGTCAATCTGGTTATAGTTTACTGATCTGCATTATAGGGTTAACATTACATTTATAACATAACAAGTAGGTTTGGGGTTTCAGCTTTGAAGAGGGGGTTTTTCCTGGGAGAATAGTTAAGAGGGTGGGAGGTGATGGGGATATCACGAGGATATTTACAGGAGTAATGGGGATTGAGAAGTGGTATGTGTATTCTCAGCTACTGCTATAGGCTGTTGGTTCATTCATAGTGTTATAGGCAGATTTGGGGGGTTTGGGGTTTGGGCTTCAAGAGGAGGGGAGGAGGTAGGTGAGAGGAAAGTATTGGGAGGTGACAAGAGTCTATACCCAAAGTGATTTTATAGTGTTTACTGACATTTAGGATATTATGACGTTAGTATAAATAACAATATCTCCCAATTCATATAGGTAAGTCTGAAATTTGATGGAGGGAAGTTAGGACTTATTAACACAGACTTGAACTTCATTGCAAAAGCCCAAGGCACAATATAGCACAAACTAACTTAATTCCATAACACAAAATTGCCAATATGACAAAATTGATCCCACCAATTACAACTCCTCACAAATCTCAATGTATAACCAGCCCACTTAGACTAACTCGCCCACCCAACCCATCGATCCTTTCGGAAGATGTGTTTATCGGAAAGTGGCCTTTGAGGAAAAGTCCCGAGTTGGATTGTTGACTGCTCAACAGCTTCTTTCTGGCATTTGATCTGTGGTATCGTAGGGAGGTGATAATTCCACGGGATCAAGCGTTGTTTTCGTGATGAGAGTGAGTTTTTACCGCTTTTAGGGCATAAGGGGAGGGTAGGGGTGGTGTTTTTAGTAGTTATTACCCTCGTGCGTGGGAGGTGGCTGTTGGGGGATACGGGGTATGTGGGTTGTGAGGTCGAGTGGTGGTGGGATCGTTATGGTGGCTGGTTAAAAAAAAGGTTGGGCTTGGTTGGATTTGTATAATTGTTTGTTGGGTAATCTGGAGGGTGTGATGGTTATGTGATAGAAAGTTGGGTTTTCACTGTAGAGCGTCCTAAGTGTAGGTTCATAGGATTTAGTATTTACCTGAACTGATTGAATAAATATCTAAAGATCGATTTCCAATGCTCTCGCGCTTTTTCTGGGTTCGATATAGGGGCGCCAATGCCGAGGATATAGGGAACTATCGTCGGTTTCATCAGTTCGTAAGGTTAAGATGAAAACGAGATTTCGCCTTGTTGGGTTTTTCAGCCCGTAAGTAGCGTGCAGCATGATGATGCTTTTGATTTAGTAATACAGTATCGTGCATGATTGTAAAGTACAGTCATTACGATGTGTGAAATGAAGTTTGAGAATTTGAGTTGGGAATTGACAACATTTGGGGAAAATGGCAGTTTATCTGGCACTTTTGGAGGTGGATTTGAATCCTTTTGTGTGCTTTTGGTGGAGTTTGGATTGTTTGGGGTAAGGAATGGTTGGATGTGTTGTTGGTTAAAGGGAGAGAGTGGGTAAGTATCTGAGGGAGAGGGAATTTTGGATGTGGGATATCGGATTAGAATGCTAGATATCGGGTGACCTAGCTTAGAGGCATAAGCTGCACTATGCAAGGAGTCGAATCATTCAATTCTCGAAAATCGTCTGGCTCGGCTGGAAGAACTTTTTCACCTCGTTTCCATCTCTGTGGAATAAAATTATGAATCTGGACTTGTAACTGAAGAAGGGACAGAGAAGCATCCTTTTGGATAAAACAGAATCATGAACTAAACCAGATATAGATAGAGTCATCTTTCACAAGATTCATCATAGCCAGAAGCTCCCTTAATGTGCAACGACCCATCAGCAGCTAGTGATAGGATTGTATAGGGAAATAAGAATACTCCACGACTAGCACAATCTATAAATGCCTATTCATCATTTATCGCCGCCTCTGTCGCTCCATATAACAACAAAGCATGTCCAGCAAGTACACCGCCACTAAGAAAGGTAGCAGCACCCCCAACCGCAATAGCAGCAGTTCTCGCAACCCACCGACCAAACCCACCACTCTTCGAAACAGGTTCTGCCAGCAATCTCGCATCCTCTTCCAGTTTCTTCAATTTAGCCGCATGTTCCTCACGCCCCGCCTCCAGCTCAGCACGAAACGCAAAATCTCTTTCCTCCCCAGCTTTCTTCATGTCTCGAGCAAGCTATTCCATCTCGGCTTTATGAAGCTTCCTAGCCTCTGCGACATCATCATTCACCACCTACCCAGCCTGAGTCTGACGAAGCTCTTTGCCATCGCGGACCACCTCCTCAACCAGCTGTGGCTCAAAAGCAGGACCATGAATCAGCGGCTTGATGATCTCAATCGCAGACTCCATGGTATCCCCGAAACGCACCGTAGAGGCCCCAGCAGCAAGGAGCGGCTGCCAGAACTCCTCTTTTTCGCTCAACTCGGTCTCCCGATCTACGCCTGTGTGGTAATCCACCTGCGACCATTTTGTCGTCACGAGCCGGACGTTCTTCATGCCTTCCATGCCCAGAACCTTTCGGAACATGATGAGATTCTTGCGTCCGGACCCTCGCATTTTGGCCTCGATGACGGGATGGACGTAGAGTGCACCTTGTATCTCGGCTTTGTCGTTGAAAGCATCAAGCAAGGCCGTCGCAATCTCTTCCAGGATCTTTGCGTCGGAGGTGTAGGTGTCGTCAAATCCAGGAGTGTCCATGAAATAGATGTTGGTTTGAGGGATCTGATAGCATTTGACTTTAGAAGTGCCTAGATTGTGGACTAAGCTTATAGAGAGTAATGGTGGCATTCGCTGTACGCACAAGAGCTTTGGCCGTGACCTACTTCCACGTTTCTTCCTGTTGCGTGGTGGATAAAGGTGCTTTTTCCCACTCCAGTCACTCCCATGACAAGAATGATTTGAGGATTTGATCTGGAAACCATTTTGGAAAACTAAAAGGTGTGGTTAGATTCAAAAAAGATGACAACACTGTCACAAATGTATGTATCCATATGGCTAATGAGGACCTTAAATACACCCCGTTTTCAAAAGCGATGGTGCCATATCCACATACAACGAGGCTGAACGGCCAGGTATGCCTCGTAAAGATATGAGCCGTCCGCTCTTCAAACAATACGATATAAGCCACATCACGGCGCACTATTCCGACCTCTAGCGTTCTTGTTTCTTATCTTTTGCTATGCCTACTCGCCTTCCAGGTGATGTTTCTGTTTGTTATGGCTTGATGATTCCATTCTTTTCAAGAGTTTGGCTGGTATAGCTGGGAGACGCTTTCAGCTGAATGACTGTGTCACCTTGGCAATTCTCGGATTTAGCTAAATTGCCCAATTGAATCCATTGATTCAGACCACTGCAACAACAAGCTGCGAGATAGTATTGCATCCCATTCTGACCCTGACAAGGCTCGGCTTGAAAGTGTCTTAGACTATGATAAGGCAGTCTGTGGTGGTGCTTAAACTTATCGATGATCATGAGGCTCCGCAACCTAGATTCGGCTCAGCTCGATATCCAGCACCCACTTCTTAAAGGCAATTAAATTTTACACGACGAAGCCATTCAAGCTTTGAAAGGCATCACATCGCGCTGTCATAGCGATACCAACCATGGAATCTTCGGCTATACTGGCTGTCATGGGCATCACCGGGGCTGGGAAAAGCTCCTTTATCAAACTTGTGACAGGAGATGGAAGTGTCAAAATCGGGCACTCACAGTTATCAGGTGTGTAATATATGTTCACGAAGAAAGAAATTTCTAAGAATTCTATCTAGAGACCAAAAAGATTAGCAGTTACAACGTTTATATCCGTGGCAAGACATTTACCTTGGTAGACACACCGGGATTCGACGACGACAACCTCTCAGACTCGGACGTTCTCAAGCTGCTGGTAGACTGGCTAGCAAGCACGTACAAGTCCGGCCAGAAACTCAACGGGATTCTATACCTGCACCGCATCACGGATGCACGAATGCAAGGATCTTCACTCCGCAACCTTAGGGTGTTTAAGGAGTTAATCTGCGACGGCTTTCACAAGAACGTAACTCTCGGCACAACCTGCTGGTCGTTGGTGCCGCACTCCACAGCAGTACCTCGCGAGACGGAGCTCAAGACCAGTACTTCATTCTGGAAAAGTCTCATCGCGAATGGTGCGCGTCTTGAACGCATTCCCAACAGCGCCGCCGAGGCCAGAAATCTGGTCTATGAAATTGCGAGCCACGATGCGCTAGCATTGCAGACTCAGCGCGACATTGTGGATCTGGGGAAAGCTTTTGGCAGTCTTGCTGTCTCTAAGCTGGTGGACCACGAGTTCGAAGAGTTGAAGCGACAACAGGCGGCGGAAATTGCGAGGAGGAGAGGCGAGGAGGAGCGTGAGCGCCTTAGACTAGAGCGTATGCAAAAAGAGGAACTGGATCGTATCAGAGAAAAGAATCGGCGAATGGAGGGATTTAAATTGAAGCAAGCTTACTGCGCCCGTAAGAAACCGTTCGGCACTTGTGATAAAGCAGGATGTGAGAATAAACTGCAGTCATGGAAATATACATGGCGTGAGGTCCCCCCGCTGTACAAAACACCACTTAAATTGCTAATGACATATTTTCTCTAGATTGCTGTTCCTGCAACGAGAATGACTGGTTCTGGTATTGCGGGCCCTGTGGAAATGATTGCGGGATCGCTGAACATCCATATATGACGAGCATCGAGAATAAGGAGGATTGTGTTGTTATGTAGAGAAAACTTGGTCGCCGGGGAGCTGCCCTGTATGAAGACAAACATCTTGAGTGAGTCCGCAAACTACTTTTTCGATGTTTGATATGTGTAATAGTAGGAAAAGACTGGCCTAAGCAATATAAATCAGTAATATCTCTATGATGAGGTTGCCCATAAATTACCAATCATCTCTGAGACGTCCAAGAAAGCAAAAACACTCACAAATCAAGCAAATCAAAATCTAACCCTTTAAATTGCATAATCTAACCAAAACTCAATCCCATCACCTATACTCCCCCATCAATCCTTCTCACCCAACCCACCTCCTCGCACTCCTAAAAATCCGAACCCAAGGTCCAAACTCCCCCCACTCCTCCGCCCTACCCCTCGGCACATAACTGCCCACATCCGCCATGATAGTACGTTCAGGATGCGGCATCAACGCCAGGACCCGTCCATCTAAACTCCTAACCGCCGCGATACCCTCGGGACTTCCATTGGGATTAGCCGGATATTTGCTGGTGACGTGACCTCTGGTATCCGTGTATCTGATGGGCAGGAGGCCATCCGCGTTCATTGCTTCTAGGTCTGCAGGACTCTTGAATTGGGCGCGTCCTTCGCCGTGGGAGACGACGATGGGGAGGGAGGAGCCGTGCATGCCGTGGAGGAAGACGGAGGGGGTTTTGGTGTTATCTTGGATTTTGACCATTCCGACTCGGCCTTCGAATTGGCCGCTGCGGTTTCGTTCGAAAGTCGGCCAGTGTGTGGTTCCTGGGATGAGTTCGGTGAGTTGCGAAAGCATTTGGCAGCCGTTGCAGACACCGAGGGTGAAAGTGTCTGTTCTGGCGAAGAACTTCTGGAATTCGGATCGCGCGTGTGGGTTCATGAGGATGGAATTTGCCCAGCCGCGACCGGCGCCTAGGACATCTCCGTAGGAGAAACCACCGCAGGCTGCGATGCCGACGTAGTTTTCAAGACTGCCATGGTCGATTATGTCGCTCATGTGGACATCAATGGCATCGAAACCTGCAACTTTGAAGGCGTATGCCATTTCAGCGTGACCATTGACACCTTGCTCTCTGAGAATGGCAACTCTCGGTGGCTTGGTAAAAGCTGACGATATTGTTGCGGTAAGAGGCAGGATGTTCTCTTTGGGCTCAAAAGTAAGTTTGTAGTGTAATCCAGGTTCGTGGTCATCTCTGATAGTTTCGTACTCTTGATCAGCACATTCTGGGTTGTCTCTTAATCGTTGCATTCGATATGAGGTTGTGGACCATAAGAGTTGGAGCTCAGCACGATCCATGTGTAGAATAGATTGCTGTCCATAGCGGATAGAAAGCTTTTGCTTCGAGGCGGATGGGACTCGACCAATCTTTCGTACCAATCCTGGTGGTGGACCGCATGTTGCGAAACATCGCAAGAAATTGGTCTCATCTGATTTTCGAACCTGGAAAACTGCTCCCAATTCTTCATTGAAAAGGGAACTTAATACATCTGTGACCGCAGAACTCTTTGTGAAACCATCAATCATCAATTCAGCGCCACATCGACCGGCAAACATCATTTCCACAATGGTGGTGAGTAAACCACCATCAGAAACATCGTGATATGCTAGCACAATCCCCGACTCGTGTAACTGTTTGACAGCATCGAAGTAGTCGATGATAAGATCGGTGTCTCTAACATCTGGTGCCTCATTTCCTAACTGGCCAAATGCTTGTGCCAAGGCAGATCCACCCAGAGCTTGGTGGCCTTGAGCAAGATCGACGTACATCAAAATTGTCTCGCCAACATCCTCAATTCGCTGAAGTGTTGGAGTCCACGTGCTTCGAATATTCTCGACTGGTGCAAAAGCCGATATGACGACAGACATAGGTGCTGTCACTGCCTTCTTGTCGCCTGTTTCCAAATCCGTCCACGAAGCTTTCATCGATGTCGAGTCTTTGCCTACTGGAATACTTATACCCAGTGCTGGACACAATTCCATTCCAATAGCCTTTACACCTTCGTATAGAGCCGCACCTTCTCCTGTGTGATTGACAGCTGCCATCCAGTTCGCTGAGAGTTTCACTCGAGGTAAATCGTCGAGAAGATGCGCAGCAGCAATGTTGAGCAAACTTTCCGCAACGGCCATTCTCGTTGATGCTGCTGGTGAAATGAGGGCTAGTGGTGGCTTCTCACCCATCGCCATTGCTTCTCCAGTCTTGATTTTATCCCCCAAGCAAGTTGCTGTCACAGCTACATCTGCTAGAGGTGTTTGCCATGGTCCAACCATTTGATCTCTGACAGTCATACCACCAACACTTCGATCGGCAATAGTAATGAGGAAAGATTTGGAACCGACAGCTGGCACAGTGAGAACGCGCTCAATCGCCTTTCGTAACAGATCGTGCTCCGGGATTTGGGGATATGTTTCGGAAAGAGCTTTGTATGGATCAAAAGGATTAAGGCCTAACTTCCGTGATTTGACGATTCGCTCTAGAGTGCGGCTCTTAGGGAACAATGTTGACATTGGTAAATCGACTGGTGTTGGGTATTCCTTCGAGTTCCGATCCGTTACCACTAACCTCGTTCTGCCATTTTCATCCTTGGAAAGAACCCTCCCCACATTCGAGAAGCCACACCGTTCGCGTTCTATCAAAAGGTGTTAGCATCCTGCAGTCTGAGAGCCTCATCCACGATAAGCTAAGCCATGTTTGCCTTATGCTCTTGTGGCAAAACCTTAAATGAATTGACTTACTCGCAATACTGGTAAACTTGTTGATTCCATCAGGATTGACCAACATAACATATCTCTCTTGCGCCTCGCAACACCAGATTTGTAATGGACTCATGCTTGGATCCGCATTATCAATTTGAGCAAGTTCAAACTCTCCACCGAATCCAGCATCCTTAACCAGCTCAGGAAGCGCGTTTGATAGTCCTCCGGCACCGACGTCGTGGATGAAAGCAATCGGGTTGTCATCTCCTAAAGCAACACAGGCATTGATGACTTGCTGAGCACGGCGTTCTTGTTCTGGGTTTTCTCGCTGAACACTGTTAAAGTCCAGCTCTACAGAGCTCTCTCCAGAGTCAGCACTTGAAGCAGCGCCACCACCAAGTCCAATCAACATTGCAGGTCCACCCAGAACAATGACATGAGCTCCTGATTTCACATCGGATCCATTTTTTAGTGCAAATTGAGGCCTGACAGTACCAACGCCTCCGGCGATCATGATTGGTTTGTGGTATCCATATAACTCGTGACCATCACTTCCAGCATCGACTTCTGTGAGAAGTGTTCGGAAAACTCCCAGTAAACATGGCCGTCCAAATTCGTTGTTGAATCTCGCGCTACCAATTGGTGCTTCGAGCATAATATCAAGGGAGCTAGCATAATGCGCTGGTTTCCCCACATCAAGTTCCCAAGGAGACTTGTGATCAGGTATTAGCAGTTCCGACACCCAAAATCCACAAAGACCCGCCTTAGGAGCAGATCCTCTTCCAACCGCACCCTCATCTCTAATTTCGCCACCCGATCCCGTAGCGGCTCCTGGAAATGGCGATATCGCAGTTGGATGGTTGTGAGTTTCGACCTTGATGAGAAGATGAACCCGCTCTTTTGTCTGCTTCCAGCTTCCAGTCGAGTAGTCGGGTGCCCAGAAACTTGCGTACTCCCCCTTTAGTACCGCAGCATTATCTGAATAGGCTGAAACGGTAAATTCTGGGTTTTTGTGCACAGCATGAGTATTTCTGATCATTCCGAACAGGCTTTTACCCATAGACATGCCATCAATAGTCCAATTTGCGTTAAATTGTTTATGTCTGCAATGCTCGGAATTCACCTGCGCGAACATGAAGAGTCTATCGACATCGTCAGCAGGCGGAGCTACTAGACAAAAGTTTTCCATACTCACTCGATATCGTAGGGGTCTCTTCCCAAATTATGGTAAGATTCCGTCAAATACTCGATTTCTGACTCATCCAGAGCAAGTCCATGAGTCTTGCTGTACCTCTTCAACTGGCCAATTGGTACGACTTCCAATAAACGAGCGCTTTCCTCAGAAAACATTTTGTTCAGATTTGGTTCCTCCGTACTCCATGTTTCTGTCATTCTATCATAGAGCAGGTTCTTGACAGCATCAACAGCCTTGTCGTCAGCCACGCTCTTGAATTCCAGCACGATTTTGCGTCCCCTCTCAATACGAGTCACGGTCTGACCAAGTCCACAGACACCAGCAATGCTTGTTGCTTTTGATGACCATGGTGAAAGGTTGCGCGGCGTGACATGAAAGGTTTGTAAGAAAGGATTGCTACTTTTGCGCGCATTATGGTTTTTCTGAATGTTGGGAAGCAATCGCTTGAGTAAAGTCTCAGTCTCGATATCTGGACGTCCAAGATGTGTATAATACACCCAGTTTCCTTTAATTTTCGTGATCTCGGGCGAAATGCGACTGATGCGCTCGCTCAAGCTCGCTGTCTCAGACACGCTAAAGCAAGAGTCGCCTTGCAATACCAAGTGCTCCATCTTCGCTCGTATGTTGAGAGCGTGGGAGTCGAGACGGTGGATGAGGTTGAAGTATTGAAGTGGCTGATGGGGGCGTAGAGGGGTTCATGGAGGGGTCAAGGAAATTTATTTTTCGAGGTCGGAGTAGATTCCGGTGGGGCTCCGATCGTATGAACTGGCCAATCAGCTAATGCGTTGCCATGCTGATTAAAGAACTACCAAGACAATGCTGTCATTCTAATGTCAGCTGTATATAACCAAGACTTTAAATTCTTTGTTGCTCATCGTCTTATGATCCGAGAGCCGTAATGTCACGTGGAAGAATCTTGAAGTAGACAAGCTTTTGTAGGAGAACTTGCCGTAGCTGTCAAACCCTGATTTGGGTTCAATCCATTTTGGTAATCATAGTCACACGTCTATAAAATGACGAATTCGAGCCATTTGTGGCTTTTATTTTTGGAGCTCGATTCATAGAAGAATGCTGCGTTGTCGAGTGAGTTGGGATATACCTAGATGGTTAGTTGGTTAAGAAGTGGCTTGTGACCTGCTGCTTTTCAGAGCGGAAAATGCGTGTAAAGAATGAACATTGCTTGAAAAAATGGGTGACTGTTTATATCAATAAGAAAGAGGACCAGAAAAGCTACATTAGGAGTAGTCTAGGAGTGTTAACGAGATAACCTCATATTATGAAGGAAGTAAAAGGAAGCTCGTGCGAGATATCGAAAAGGAGTAGTAGTGGAGGAATAAATATATTCCGGCACCGACATTTGCAGTGCAAGCCTTTTTTATTGCTTGGCAACAACGGGGCGCGTGGGAGTCTCGCGAAGTGTTGTTTCCCATCCTTCCGGACCATGGAAAAGTGTCAGATTGAACTCTGTCCTTCACAACAACGCTCGAAACAATCCGATTCTCACCACAGTCGCTCCTTTGCAGCTACGAATCCGTAATCGCGGATGGAATTTCAGTAAAAGAGAGGGAAAGATCTTGTACCAAGTTTTGCAGCAGAATCCAGAGGGAACCCCCTGAAGTTCGAAAGATATATTCAAGATGGGAATTGTAGCATTTATCTCCGGTGTCGTGGCGCCGTTATTCATTATTATCTCGCCAATCACTTCGTATGCGGATCAGACATACTCGATACACCGGTCGAAGTCGAGTGCGGGCTTCTCGCTGGATATCCCGCTGATTATGCTGGTGGCTTCGATGTTGAGGTAAGTTGTCGCATTGGGCCTAATTGGGACACGCAAAGTACTGATGGGGTGATTCTAGGATATTTTATTATCCAGGCGCGCAGTTCGATATGTCTCTACTTATACAATCATTCATTATGATTTCGATACAGCTTGTGCTTCTGAAGGTTGCGTTGGATCATCGGCCGGGACCATCATCAAAAGGGGGCGACGCAGCGATGCCTTTCGCTGCCTCGAGGGAAGGCGACCTTGGCGTTACGAGACCATATAACTTTTGGCAGTGGAGGTCACCGAAGCCGTAAGATGAGTCGTTGCTGGCTGTGTGGTTCAAGCTAACATGTCTGCAGATACTGGCAGTTCCTCCTCTACCTCTTCATCACTCTTACTGCTCTCGAACTCATTCTCTCACCGATGCCTTCTGTTTACTCCGCATACTCTGCATTGATTGGATATATTGGCTTGTCGGTGGAAGCAACTCTGCCAATACCGCAAATAATTTCCAATTACAAGTCCAAGTCTTGTAAAGGATTCCGCCTCTCCGTTCTCATCAATTGGCTGGCAGGTGATGCAATGAAGATGTTTTGGTTTTTCTCGGCTACGACAGAAATTCCGTGGGCGTTCAAATTGTGTGGTATATTCCAGATGTGTTGTGACAGCTTCTTGGGGATCCAGGCGTTTGTGCTGTACGGGGAAGGGCCTCCAGTAATAAAAGAACATAAGATGAGTGGAATGAACGGGTTTACACATAACTCAAATGTGAGAGCGAGGACGCCAATGACGGAAAAAGATGTACGATTAGGAGATTGATACGATAGATGTTCGCGATAGACAAATGTACAAACGGCATGGGTTCAAAAAGTCCTTCTCCTTGTGAAGAATGATTGCGCTGATGGGTTGCACGGTTCATAACATTAAGATACGACACAAGGCCGCGAGTCTTCCCTTCTCACCCGCTGACTTGTCATTTCTGTCGGCTTGTCCAGGATTATGAAGAGAAGCAATCATCCACAAAGCTATTGTTACGGGAGTAAATGTTGAAGCTTCTCAATTGAGCAGTGAAATGTTTGCTCTAGCCCCTGTAGAAGTCTACGGTTACTCCCCTATTCGCTACCCTCCGATACAGCCGAGTATTGAAAGACTCGTGTATCCGACGAGAAAGATACAGATCTGCAGGAGCTCGTGAATAGACTCGAAGAAGAAAGATAACGATTATCGATAGGTAGAAATTGTTTGCTAGGAGAAAGGTGGCGGGTTGTTTGTGGTCGAGGGTTGTGACTAGGGTGAGGATACTCGGTTGTCGAGTACCAAAATGTGCTCGCTTGTGAACAACAATAATAAACCCAGGATTTGAAAAAGTTACATCGTAACAACGACATCTCGAATAACAAAAAGGAAAAGAAGGATAACATTTAATTGAATATCAATTCTATTCTCAAACTCGAAGCATCCCAAAATGTCCAACATTGCGCCAGAATATCCGAGTATCAATATTGCGGTTTCAAGCCTCTTCACAGCAAAGAACTCACCTTAACAGAACACCAAAGGTGAACTCCTCGTCCAACTGTTGTCTCCCGCCCTCTCGCTCCTTCCTCCCGTCTTTTCGAGTTCCACGCTAGCTCGGTCGCCTTTCCCCGCTTGTTTATAATCTTCGAGCGGTCCTCGTTCTCTCTTCTTTCTTTCTCATCCACAACAACATTCCCGACAACTTCCACTTCCACAGACATTCCGCTCGCACATATTGACGCATATTCTGCAAGACTGCTTCGGTAAGTTCTTAATTGTCCAAGGGATTAATTGGGAGGTATACTGACTGGTGTTTTGTAGGCAAAACAATTCTCTGCTCACACGCTTTCGATCTACCAGAATTTCACAATCAGACTCGCATTCTGCGTTCATATCAACCTCTTCACTTCACCCAAGGTATGTGCATGTCGTCGTCAGCCAATTAGTCTAGTGTCCTACCTCATCTCATCGTCCACACCTTCCTACTTCATTTCTCAATTCATCACCTCTGTATTCATGGAGTCTGAGCTGCGCTTGTTGTCCTTCCCACCCGACAAGTACGAAAGCCTACTGCCGCTTGCCATATTCGCTGTGATGATCTTTGGTGGCTGGGACAGCGAGTACTGGCTTTCTCGAGATACTCTTCCTCTTCTCATTTCCTGCTTGACTTGACTGACTCCTGGGTCCTCAGATACTCAGAACCCTCAAACCTAAGGAAGCCATGCCCAACTGGAAGACCTACGAGTCCTCAGTGCGTCTCCTTTCGGCTATCATTGCGGCCCACCCGGGCCTTAAGCTTAATTATGGCGGTACGTGACATTATTTCCTCTTCTCGATCAGCTCTATCATTCAACCCCATATAATGTTCCGTTCAGTTTGCTTGTCGTCCGTTAGTTCCAAAAGTTTTGTGTCCGTCCTGATGCTCGCTCGATAGAGGTCGGTCAATTTTATGGTGGCGGCACCACCTACAAGGCAGTTTGGGGAAGAATGACCCAGCTCACTAAGCATGCCAAAAAGCTGGATGCAGCAGTCAAGAGTGGCCAAGATCCAATCCAGGTCAACCTCGATGACACTGCTCAGGGTTTAGGTAGTCATTATACACTTTGTCGGCAGCTTACACCTCTCACTGCTTCTATTCCGGTTCTGCTGGGCTCTCCTGTTTCAAGCACATTCATGATATTATTCTGATGTTGTCCTGATGTTTCTCTGTAGATGTTGCCAAATTCTATGGATTTGGTAATGACTACAAGTCGATCTGGCATCAGATGAAACCAATCACTACTTTTGCGAAGCAACTTCAGTCGGCGATTGCCAACAACGAGACTGTTGATACTGTTGAGTTCAAGTCGTCTAATGTGAAAGGGACAACAGCAAAGAAGTCTTCAGGTGATCAGCACAACTTCCCCCCCAACTACTTTGCCCTTTCTTTATCCTACAACTATATCATCGTGTGTTTGTTCCTTTGTTGATTCCTACTAGGTATCGCACGCGCAATGGGAGGTGACTGTACCGGGTCTGCTTGCGAAAATCGCTTTAGACGCATTAAGCAGGACGCAAAAACCATCAATGCTGCGTTGAAGAATGGCGTTGACCCCATGACCTTGAACATCGGAGAGCAGGAGGGCTCAAACCGTTCTGCGCCTCGATATCATGGTTGGTATAACGTTTCTGTCTCGGATTCTTTGCACTGCACAAATCTTACTCCACATGTTTTGATCGACTGCCTGTGTATATTTCGAATCGTGTTGGTGAGATATTGACATTCTTGTTTCTAGAGGTGGTAAAGCACTTTGGTAGCGACTTGAATGTCAACAGTCTCTCCCTCCAATGGAATAAAAAAACACGACCGGTCATCGAGAAGCTCAAAGCTCACGTCGAAGCTGGTGGCGATGCCAAAGACTTGAATCTCGGTGCTGATTCCGACTTTAAAATCAACATTGGGGGTCAGATTTCTTTCTTTTTGACACTACATTCGTTTCCGTTATCCCACACCGCAGTCATTTCGAGCAAAGAACTCCTTAAGTCGCATATTAATTAAAAGCTAGAAATCGCAGCTTACATGGGTTCCGACACGACTGCTTCGGCTTTGAAATGGCAATTTGCAGTTCCTCTCAAAGCAAACGTCAAGCTTCTAAAAGATGCGAGAGCTGCTGGGAAGGATTGCAAAGACGTCGAGGTCACTAATGCCAGTGGCAAGACACAACGAGGTTTAGCCACTTTTTGCGTTATGTTTTTGTATTTCAGCACATTCTTATACACCATTTTCTTTTGTTCAAAAACTACCAAGACCTCTTGTTGATATTGTTTAGAGATGTCTCGGATCATGGGAAGCGATACAACACCAAATGGTCTCCGTTTCCAAGTCACTGATCGCCTTCGGCCTCTCTCGAAGCGTCAACTTGCTATGTTGGCTTCAGGTCAAGATCCCAAGGACGTTGCGATTGATGCGAAGTGTTAGCTCTTTCATATCTTCTTTAAGCACCTCTCCTTTAAGCATCTCTCATTTTAAATGCCGCATCTTGGAAAGAAGACAATGTTAATATCATCCTCATAGACATCAGCAAATACATGGGCACGGATACTACTCCAGGGGGTATTGGTTTCCAGTTTCGAACCATTAAGCAAGATGCTAAGCGTCAGCGCGATGCGTTCGATGCTGGAAAAGACCCGAAAGACTTGAACATCGGTGGTGGAAAGGGTGCATCCATATCTCATCACACTTTTCATTTCTACACAAACCCTCTGACTTTATTTGCCTTGACTTTGACACTTGTATTGACATTCTACTAGCCATTGCACACATGCTGAATGACGGCACTTCAGCATATGCACTTGATCACCGCTTCCGAGCTATCAAGAAAGATGCCGCTACGATGAAGGGTCCATTCTCCTCCCCCAGACTATTTCTTTGGGTCGATTTGCTACTCCCCGCCATACTACATACAGATTTTGATGAACATCATGCTAACCATTCTTATAGCTACCGCTTCCGCCTATGGCGAGGGTGCGTCAGGTAAAGCTGTGTCGACATACTTCGAGCGGCTGAGAAGGGATCCGCAGTGGAATTTGGCTAACACGATAGCAGAAAACGGTAGTGGCAGCTCCCCAGCAAAAAATGCAACTCCAAAGAAGCCGCGTGCTCCGAAGGGCGTTTCTGCTAAAAAGGCAACCGTGAGTCTCCTGTTCATCTGATTCAAACACATCTAATTCAAAGACATCTGACTTCTACACAGCCCAAAAAGCGTGTCACGACAGACACAGACGAAGACGATGATGAGGAAATGGCCGAGTCTCCTTCCAAGTCTTCCATCAATAAGGTCATGTCTGGCCGCGTTACCAAACCCGCTCGCACCAATCGTGCCAAGATTTCGTACACTGAATCTGGTGACGAAGACGACGATGACAGCGATCAAGTCGTCAAATCCGAGCCTGGCTCTTTTGCCGTTCAACAACCTCCCAACAGCCTGTCATCTTACAACACCAACATGACTGCAAGCTACGGTGGTAGCTACTCCACGCACCATGGCTACGGAAACGGTGGTGGCAGCGCCAATAACTACGGACACGGTAATGGCAACGGTACTGCCGAGCCAGACGATGAGCAATTCTTTGGTGCGGTCGAGAATTTGAACGATGATTTTGGTGACGTCTGATCGCATCATCAATCTCGCTGTTCTAGATCTCGTGTTCTGAGAGGGGCTTTTTTCGTCCATCTCATCTTCCAAAAGTTTCGCGGCTTGATACACTTTCACGAATTTTCTTCAGCGGAGTTCTTTTCAATATGCGATAGATTTTTCGACTTTCGACACTTCCTCGTCACTTCTCGACAAGAGCACACAGATATACGGACTCGCTTTCTTGCTGTCACCGCGAGGACTTCTTCGGGATTGGGTCGGTACGGATGAGATACTTGTTTTTGCTTGCTACAACATTGCTACACATACATTATGGATTTGCTTTTTCGGTGGTGGATTTGAGCTTGGGATGGATGATTGCTTTTTTTCTTTGCTTGTAATATGAGAATGGGGACGACATTTGACATGGAAGGGATGGATATGCTTTACGCTGAGAATGGATACGAATGGAGCGATATGGAGAGATAAATGATACAGCGACTGAGCGATGGATGACGATAGAATGATACGGTGGATGAGCAGAAGTGCGCGTAATATTTGATAGGGAATTGAAGTTCTGAAAAGTTATTTGAATGATAGTGCCCTTTCTCGTAACGTGCGAAACAAGGAACATTCCAGTCTTTCAGAATTTACTTGATGACTTCCCAAACCCGGCTTGTATTGAAAGTAGCATTGTTCTTTAAGAAGTCGCCAGCGAAGTCACCGGCATAATTTCTTTTTTTATACAAACTCCTTCCAAATCCACAACGTCCACATTTTACTCTCTCGAAACCTAAGAAATTTGCTTGAATCTAGACACACGTATCAAATGCATCTTAACATCGTATAATTAAATAGGGTTTTCATAGGTTCTTTTCTATGTGACTCATTTCAGTCTCAAAGATACCACTAAGTTACTTATGGATTCTCAAACCGCTCTACGGGAAAACCTACGAATTCTACACCGTCAATACTTGACTCCACAGACCTAACATGTTTCCTTACTCCCGCATTTACAAAAGTTTGTCCTCTCTTGCTATTCTGACTTATTTATCATAAATGCACTTCTCTCTTTGAAGCGAGTCACCGCGAAATGTTTTACATGAAAATTGAGGGCTGTACTGTCTTGAGATAACACAGGGCATTTGGTTTTATTGTCAGAGACATATATGACAATAAACTACTGGTTAGTTCTTCGAGCTAGAGAATAGCCGAATCAGAGCATAGAATTTTAACGTTCTACGAGTATACAAGCGCGACACAGGAGGATGAGCACGAAATCCGGTTTTCAAATAAGGCTGATTTATACGATTGATAGCTTTAACAATGTATACTTAATTTTATGTAGCAATTATTTATCCTTTTATCACGTGCTGCCAATGCTCTGTTGTAAACACTAATGGGCGGCACACGGGAAGTGGGGCAGCGGGAGGCCAGACCTAGCGATCTTCACAAGGATCAGTCTGGGGCTCGGGTTCACCGCCCAGCCATCTGCTTTCGAAAAACATCGACATCGAGTTGTGTTCCCTTCTTTCTTCTCCTTTCCCATCCGCACTCCTGGTTACTCTACCGGCAGGATAGTTGCATGAAGCATATGCACATCGATTGTTGATAGTTCAAAGCCAATTGACACTCACAATGGCATATCCAACTCCTCCCCCGACCAGCTCTCCCAAGGACGATCTGAAGCACGACTACACCACAGTCCACAACTTCAGAAACTATGAGACGACAGTCCAACATCGTCCAGCTCAGGAGACCTATTACCATGCCGTGTCTCTTCCTAATTCCCCAAGACAGGATCATATAGCATTATACCAGCCTCCCACACAAAATGCCCCAGAACAGAGACTATACCGCTCCAACACCGACTCTCCCAAACACTTCTACGGCCCTCCAAACCAACACACAACCGACCACATCTACGACGCCAGTCCCCTCCATCGACCAAACGATACCCGTCCTCCATTCAAACCAGCACCTACCTCCATCTCCCCACCCCTCTACTACGACGCCTCCGGCCGTCCCACCTCCTCCCACAAACGCCGCACCCCTCCCCCACGCCCCTCTACTTCTCACCGACGAACAAACCACCAAGTCCCTACTCCATCTCCCGCCCAAAACCCCGTCCTGGCTTCCTCGATCGCCTCAAAAACAAACTCACGCAATGGATCCGCAGTCTCATGCGCTGGACAAAGCGGAACCCCATAAAAGCCGGTCTGGCAACCTTCGTCCCCGTGATGCTAGGCGCGGGTGCCCTACGCGCATTCAGCGGGCTGCAAAAGGTGCTCGGGAAGCTGGAGAAGGGGATGGGTGGGGGAGTGCCGGGAGAGAAGAGGGTGAAAAAGGAGGCGAAGAAGGGGGAGTGGGGATGGGGGTTGGATCATTTTGTTGGGTTTGGGGGGACGAAGGGGGGGCCGCTGGATGGGATTATGAAGGTCTTGCAGATGTTTATGTGAGTCTGAACCCCCTCTCTCCTCTGAGCTGTGAGATTGTGTGTGAGGGGATAATTACTAACAAAAACAGGAATCACTATGCGAGACTCACGCCCAGTGCGGTTCCCCGAGCGGCGTGTATATTGCTCGAACTGTATTTTTTAGAGAAGCACTGATGAAGGCTATGAATTTATGAGCATGGAGCTGGAGGAGCTGTGATATATATGTTATGAGATACGAATAGGATATGATTTTATGGATTTACAACTTTGACCTACCCTACTGAGATCTGAACTTTCTTGGTTTTGGCACTCTTCTAACGCATTTTGCCTGTGTTCTCCCACCTCTACCTATCCAAGACAGAGTCCTTTCATTCGCCTAGCTGTCTTATCCAACCATCTTTAAAATCTCAAGACCTAAAGTTGTAAATCGGCACTAGCACATAACAAATGTACCAGCACAGTATCAACACATAATCTCTAAAAGGAAGGTTTCTCACGTCCTTCTCGCTCGACAATTTTAGCCGTTTTACGCTACGTGTTCAAGTTCAACATGTCCATTCTTCCAAACATAACATTACTGTCCTACCAAACAACACACTAATAACCTTCCCAGCACATCCATCCAATGTACTCTGTATTTCCAGCATAACTCAAAACTCAAAACTTAATGTAACAAACCTAAATGCACGTTTGCCGCGTAATCTGAAGATGCTTGAATTTTTTGTGTCTTAGTGACTACGTCTACGTATTTCTCGCGGTGGAGGTGTATTGGGGCGTACTGGTAGATTGATGAGTAACATCTCAGAGAACAGGGAATTTAAAACTCAAATGGGGAAATCCAAAACTTCAAGTTATTTAGTACTTTACATCACCCAGTCTAAACCATGCTAGCCAATCCTTCCCTCACACTTCAGCATCCTCAACATTTCCACTCTATGAATCTAAAATCACGTGTATTCGTTCTTCGGCTATCCATGCTATTACCCCTACGAGCTCTACTCACTTACTCTCTTTAGACATTCTTTGCTCACTTCCTGAATCGCACCTCTTACTTTTGCAAGAAGGCTCGCAATACTCCAATTATCAAGTTGATAACTTTTGACATTTTGGGGAGGTATCATTATCTGAATTACCCGGCTAAAATATCCTCGTCTAGCACCCATTTGTTTCGCTCATATATCGCTGCACTTGCCTATATACAAAAGCTATATCATACAACCAAACAACCACATACCCGCTCTAATTTTCCTGACACCTTTCAAACGCTTTAAACGCCTTTGATATGCTTCGAACCCCAATAACGCTGATTCGTCCGCAGAGACACAGTATATCAAATACCACTCAATCTCCACGATGTTTTCCGACTAACTTTTCAATCTGCCGCAGCATGTCTTGCATGCGGTATGGTTTCGTGGTTACATCATCCTAGATCAAAGTCAGCGTTGTTCGCTCAATTCGTTCTCACCGTCCTCTTCCCACCACATCCAAGTGAGGGGTAGAAGTCTAAGTAAATGCCACTGGCAAGACCTACCATGCCAGCCTCCAGATACGTCATAATCTGATCCTTCCTCGCATTAGCAGTAACGGCAATCACAGGAACATGTCCCTTAATCCTCCCATCACGTTGACTCTCCCGGAACCATTTCACGCAAGAAAGACCGTCCATTACCGGCATTTCGAGATCCATAAGCACGACATCGAGCTCATAACCTTTCCTTTGCCCACTTCCTCTACGCTCAGACACATTCCCGTTCGTCGTGCCATTTCCATTCCAATAATTCGTCTTCTGAATAAATTCAATAGCTTCGAGGCCGTGGTTCGCGACCGAGACGACATGGCCAGCTTTACGAAGCTGTTTCATGACCACTTTCTGGTTCACGAGATTATCCTCCACGACCAAGATATGGAAAGTCTGCCTCAGCGGCACGCGGAACGGAAGTGTCATGCCATCAATCCCAGCCTCCTCCTCACGTTTCGGCGCCGAGATCTCCACGCCACCGCACGCTTCCCTCAGCGCGTCCTCCCTGACCATCAGCTGTACGCCGTTACTCCTCCTTAGCACCTCGTCGTCCTCTGGCGGACTTAGGAGCCGTCGTCCCTTGACATAGAATTCAAACGTGGACCCCTTGCCCGATTCAGAGGAGACGCCTATCTCACCGCCTTGCATCTCAGTTAGCTGTCTAGAAATGAATAAACCGAGGCCGGAGCCGCCATATTGGACGTGTGTTTTGGGCGAGGCTTGTTGGAAGAGGGTGAAGAGGTTTTTCTTTTCGGAACAGCTGAGACCGCGGCCAGTGTCTGTGACGCTGATGGTGAGGTAGATGGCTTGGCCGTCACCCCATTCAGGTCTGGTAGTTTGGTCTTGGGAGGACGCGATTTTGCGAACGTATTCGATGCCCGAGGCATTGTTGTCGGAGGGCTTAGTGAGGGAGGCTAGCATGGTTATTTTGATGTGGCGGGTTTTCTCGTTTCTGCGGACTGTTAGTACAGAAAACTACGTTCGATTCTACGAAGTCAGCGTGTCTTGGTAGACTTACTTTGTAAATTTGATCGCGTTCGTGACAAGATTGATCAAAACTTGGAGTACTCGAGAGCTATCCATAAGTATCCAATCTACATTAAGATCTGAGAGCGATCGGTCCTCTATAAAATCAAGTCCAATCTCCGCTCGTTTGAGCTCAGCCTCAAACATTTTTAAAGCTGCCTTGATCACTTCAATCGGTCTTGTGGGCTCAGGAGAGACCATGAGCAGGTTCGAATCGAGCCTCGAAAGGGTTAAAATATCATCAATGACTAGAGTACTTGTTAGCTCTGTAATGAATGATGGTAAAGTAGCTGAACTGCAGGACAAAGCCAAGCTTTCCACCATGGAAGCGTCGAGCGCTGTTGTTTAGAATTGGGCAATTCCCGTAGAACTTTGCCTAAATCCTAGGATGCCGATATGAAGTATGATATGATGCTTTGAGATGGCTCTCACGCGGTAGACTTACTTCGTTTTTGGTGGAGTGCGCAATATATGATTGTATCCGCATTCTCCAAAGATTCGCTAAGTAAGTTTGCCTCGTGCTGAAATTCATTCGCGCTTCTAGTTAGGGAATTTAACCCTTTCTTTTCAATGACCACGCGGCACTCTCGAAGTGCGCCTGTGATCTCGTCAGCACATCCAATGAGCGCGGAAAGTGGATTCCTCATTTCATGCGATGTCATGTCGATGAACCTCTCTTGTTGCTTCTTCATCTCAATCGCCTGCTCCATTTTCTTAGTAAGTTGTATTTCGCTTAGCTTGAGATCCGTGATATCAGTAATGCAAGACATGATCGTCAGAATCTCGCCGTTCTCATCAAGATCCGGATAGAGAGCCACCAGGATGTAAATTATATCGAGTTCTTTGTTGCCTTCGGCGTCAAGTTTCGACGGAAGCTGTGGTCCTCGCCACATTTGTGTTTGTATATTTACGGGTTTTTTCTCCTGAACCATGAAACTCCATGCCTCAAGGACCGCCGGCACCTCTGAAGGCACTATCACATCTGACCATGCGTCCATTTCGTCTCCTTGCTGCAACTGGGTAATGTTGACCCACATTTCGTTTGCTGACAGTGACTTACCCTCCGGAGTAAGAATACCCAGGCCACTAGATAATAGAAAGTTAGCTAGTGCCCAACAGCCACATTTTGTCTCCCAAAATGTGTAAAACAAGGTAACCGCAGTTTCAACAGCAAATGATACTGATATTTGGAAGTATTGCTGTGAATCACGTTTGCCAAGGTGAGCGACTTACAGCGGTACTCTGGCAGCAAATTTTTCAAACCTGGTTTCACTCGCTGTAAGCTCCCGCGACAACCTTTCGCGATCAATCGCCGCTTGTCTAGCTGCATTTTGCCTGTTTTCGACTTCCTCTCGGAGGATTATCGAGGAAAGCTGAGGTTGGGTGACTTGGTGGATAAGATGATGGACAAATCTCTTATAGTCTTTATCGTAAGGTCGATGGGGGTTCAAAGCAATGCACAGGAACGCGAGGACACTGTTAGAGCCCTTTGGTATGATTGGGCATATGACCCCATGCGTAGCTTTTCCATAACCCCGCCACTCCAGTGGCTCATCTACTTCTGCGATTTCGACAACAACTGGAGCCATCGCATCCAATGCCTTTCGGAGATTTGCGCCCATTCCCACGGGATTAGTGTCATACAAACTCAGCGAATCCGGTGCTAAAGCGTGGCCTGCTCTGGCGCCAATACAGCCTAAGTCTTGGATTAACACAAGCTTTCAAATCATACTGGGCGCTCTTACCTTCAAGAGTGACTTCCAGAAAGTCTGAAGAGTTTGAAACACTTGGGAAAGACTGACGCCTCAAATCTCTTTTTGCTAACTGCGTAGAATAAAGTAGGACGAGTGGGAGATCTTTCTCGGCCGCTTCGATCGACAGGCCCTTTATTATCCGTTCCCAGAGCTCTTTTATAGACGAAGCTTCAGTAAGCACTCGAGCCAAGTTTTGTACAACGGTCATCCTGCGATCGCTGATAACCGTTTCGGTGACCTCCATGACAGTTCCATGTGTCCCAACCACCCAGCCTTCCTCGCCGATAATAGGCGTGAGCTTGAAACTGTGATATGTTTCTTCAAGAAAACTCCATCGATCAAGCAACAAAAAATAGTCGCCCTCGACTATAGCTTGAAAATCGTCTCTCTGCTTCTGGAGTAGGGCTCGAAGTGGTTCCCATACTTCTGGTGATGAGATTGCGGGGCTTTGTCCGAAAAGCCTTAAATGCTTATTGCCAATGACTTCCTTGTATGGTTCATTATATAACGCTGTGGCTTCATCACCCCAGTATAAGATCGCAGGAGAAGCGTCTTGCACGACCAGCATGACCATTTGCTTCAGTTGCGCGGGCCATTGTGAGATGGGACCGACGGGTGACTTTTCCCAATCTGTGTCTAAAATGAATCTTTGAAAGGGCGTTATGGAGTCCAGATCCGGATTGTTGATCCAGTCAAACACTTTGCGCTTGCGTGTGGTATATGAATCTCCCATCATCCGGATTTTGAACATAAGAAGATGACTGCTGTTGTCTCGATCCAGATCTCATACATGAAGCTGAGGCCTGAATCTCATCCTTCTGGGCACGATGATGACTGTTTCTATTTGAGGTGCGAGATTCGAGATGTCTCTTGCTATCTCTCCTCGGGCGACGGCGTTCGACTAGTGCAAAAAAAAAAACAGGGATGGTGCTCAATGAATTTATCCCACTGTACTCGACAAAATGAAATCTTTCTGTCCGAGATAAGAATAAGGAAATCTGGAATAAGAGCTGGCGATGCTGGTTGTTTAAGATTCGGTCTCATTGACAAGAGGTGTACCTTGAAGGTACGATAGCCGCGGAGGGGCTAAAAATTCACGTGTTTAGGTGGCGAATAGTGCAAGTGATTACCTGAGTTGCGAGCTAAGTTTTCCGGCCAGACAGAGATCTAGATTCGGCTGTCTGGCCTTAGTGCAACCAGCATTTTCTGTCACTCTCGTTGGTCCGGCTAACCCGTAGTGCGATGATACGATATATCTTCGGCCGTGTGTTGTGATAATAATTATAATTAGCGATCAATAATGAATAGGTATCATGTCGAGAAATCCACAGTTCGTATCACCTTGTGCACATCGTCTATAAGGCGAGGTCTGCAATACTAGAACGAAGCAGAGTCACACCAGTCAAAAAGCACACAATTAGAGCCAGAACATCAGTCATTGATCATCACAGTCTTTCTCTAGGACCCAAAAAGCACTCATCGTACCAAGTATTTGAACGCCAATATGTGTACCTTTTGTAGCCCTCCCATATTTACTTCAAAAAATAAGAATCGGAAGAACAGGCGCAGAAGTGGAAAAGCGATGGTGTCTAATAAGTGTGATAAAGAGTCATCCTCGCAACGCTTGCGGTATTTATGCTTGTTCGTCATACATAAACAAAACTTCCCTCGTCAGGGAGAGATTGCCCTCTATACCTCCTCAACCGTTCCCATGATGTGAGATTATCGGACCTCGGGAGCTAATTCAAGAAAGCTGGCTTGCATACTCGTCCGTCATTGTGTGTGTGAGCTGATGGTCAGGCATCATATCCTCAGAATCCAGTAAAGGTGCTGGCGATGATGGGGCAACATGTTCAAGAGAATCTGGGGCGGTTCGCGTTCCGTTCGTGCTAGTACTCGAGCCGATGTTCTGAGATTTGATCTGTCAATCACCATCACAACCAGAATACGCAGCCCGCAATCGCATGGAGGAACAAAGTGCGTTGAATGAAAGGGAAGGGATAATGCGCGAGCCAACACTTCTATCCCAAACAATAAACTCCACAAAGTTGGCGCCTAGAACGCAGAACGACATATATCAAAAGAATCATCGCTGGCTTCTGGAGGAGCCTACCGAATTTTGTCGATCGTGAGTTGGTCTTCGATCTCTTCTATCCGCGTCTTGAAGCTTTAGCGAATCTAATCTCTTTTGGTTATCCTCCGTTATTGGATCGACTTCATCAATCCTCAACGGGGCAGAGACCTTGTTCCGAGATGGTGATGAGATGGCCCCAGGACGGACAACACCGTTAGTATTTGATCGATTCGCTTGATCTACAAGGGCCTTCCATTTGTTTTCCCTTGCCTGCTCTCGTGCCTCGGCGTTATTTTGATGCTCGGTGTAGTCGTGGGAACAATCGTCGAAGAGCTGAGGATTAATTTCCATGAATAATTTCATGGCGTTATAAACCATACCATGGATTGTTCTGCAGCCGGGTTAGCAAAAAACTCACATCCACAGTTGGCTATATTACCTATTCCAATGACCCTTCGAGTTTTCGTAGAGTGGAGCAAACATGATCGGCAAGATGATCTCGACATTGTCGCTGACCAGGTTGCAAAAGTATTCATTGTTCCAGAAATAAAGGGCTCGCTCTGCAACTTGGAAATGCGGGCTGGCAACAGATTTGGCGAGTTGGTGAAACAGGGGTTCCTGAACCTTGGCAAACTCGGCTGGATCCATGACCTCAAAGATGTCTTCAACTTCGTTGAGAAACATGACTTCTTTGGTGCTGTTTACCTTGGGCCAGTATCGAAGCAGACCAAGTACAACCTGTAAACGTTAGTCATGTCATATGCACAGAACTATTTCGCTTACCTCTTCCGTCAAGGCGGCATCCTTTTCTAAGAACTGGACGATACAGTACGCAAGCTGGGGATGGTACATGCTCAAGCTCTTGACCTTGTGGAGCGGAATAAGGACTCGCGTCAAGAAGAGTTTATGCTCTTCCTTCAGGGGTAGTGCAAAGCCATTGATGATAGAGCCAAGGATCTCTAGCAGCTCAGCAATACCATTAAACCTCTCTGTTTCGTAAATAAACTGGAAAAAGACATTGTTGATCGATCTCCGGATGTACGAACGCAGGTTCAAAAATTTACCATAAATTCGGTGAAGGGTCGTTTTCAGGAAATCACGTTCTCGGGGGTCCTCTGAATCGAACAATTCTAAAAGCTGGAGAACAAAGCTGTGGTCGATATATGCCTTAGCAATGTTGGTATTGAAGTCCTGACTCTCGATGAATCTAAGGAAGAACTCGTAAACGACTTGTATATGTGGCCAAGCGACTTCAAGTACTGGCTCGTCCTCTTCCGGGTCGAATGCTTCGCCTTGCGGATTCATGGGTGGGGGAATGGGTCGAAACAGGTTCTTGCTGAACATCTCGACTACTCTTGGATACATAGACTCCGTAATGACTTGTCTGTTGTTTGCAACATAATCCAATAGTTCATGTAATGCCAATCTCTTAATTTCCTTCGATTTCATGTCACCACTAGCATCATTGAAATCGAAAATGACGTTACACTGGTCGATCTTTTGCATGAACAACTCCTGGCGCCTGTTTGGGGGGACTTCGTGGAAGCCAGGAAGCTTTTCAAGTTCGCGCTGGGGTGAGATATCGAATCTCGACGAGTGCTGCCTCTTGGGAGTCCTGAGCCCTTCTGGCACATCTTTTGGTGTGGTCGATAATCCATGGAACATCAGTGACTTTTGTCCAGCTTTTGGCGGCGCAAGGTCTTGAGGCATTGTCTCGGCCGCTCCGGGGGGTGGAATATGCTTTTATGGACGTCAGTTGATAGCCACATTTGTAGTGTAACTACGAAACAACTTACAGGTGTGCTAGGGCTGATGACAACACTAGGAGGGCCATGCCTATTTGGCGTTCCTGGCCCGGAAGAGTTTGCAGGGCTGACATTCATCGTGGAATTGAACCGATCTGGAGCGGACAGTGTACTGTGGCTGGGGTTTAGCGATCCGATTGAACCAGATTGAGGCTGCGGTGCGGGGCTCGAAGCGCCTCCATCGTTTGGGGGAAGAGGTTTGTTTCGAGGATCGCTCAGTGTTGTGGTTGAAGAAGATGGCGTCGCAACGGGCGACTGACCCGCGTCTCTCGAAGAACTGGATTGTGATGGGGACGATGTGCCGTCCTTGGAATCTTTGTTTTTTGACTTTGAAGACTTTGAGGGGTCTTTAGCGCGCGAGAGCTGTTCATGCTAAGAGTAAGCAGACCGTTAATATGGAGGGCTCAACTCTGGCAATGAAACATTTTCGGACCGACTCACCACTTTTTGCCTGAAGCGATTCATCTTAGAGATCTCCTCCAAGTTCCACGCCGCGTAAAATTGTTATAACAACGTTGGGCGAGCTGATGCGATCGAGGTGCGCAATGACACAGAAGTGTGGAATTATCTCGGTTGTGTTGGGTCCAGCAAAGCAGACGAGTCGCGTAAAGTGATCAGTTACCAGATGGTGAATCTCGACGATAAAGCTTTCGGGTTACTCGCTGTGACGAATGGACAGTTTCCCGGCGTACAGTATGCCCTTTCCTACACTCAAAGCGCTCAACTCAGCTTCCTACTTTGTCCACCACGGCAGGCTGGCTATCAGGCTGCGAGGATCCGGGAATCGGAAGCGTGTCGGGATAGGGACACAGGAGGGTCTCTGGCCGCCGTAGATGAAGTATGCGAGATTGGAAAATATTCGCAACTAAGGTGAGGTTGTTCGTGGGGGTTCGTTTCAACGGGCTCGACCTCGATATCCTATGATGTTGTTAGCGCACAATTCTGCCATATGAAAACGCCGGCGCCTTGGGTCGGATGAGAACACATACAGCTGAGGCCAATGAAGCGGGCGTTGATATCCAAGCTCGTCGTCCTGAATTTAACACTTCAAGAGTCTCAATCTTTATGGACTGATGTCGGCGGTGAATAAGGGTCCTTGTGGTTCACTCCGCATGCGAGGGAGGTGGCAGGTGCACGTCAACACGCTCGTCGCACCGCGTCTTCAAGAGCACACGCTACGGATGTGGATGGCGGAGATTGGCGACGATAGAGGGAAGATCAATGGGTGACGATGCGAGTGTTTGGTGTTGTCGAGTTTGGATCACATCACAGCTCTCGTTCTCTGGACGCTCGATAGTCTCGGTGGTGGTTTGTCCCCTCCACGCCAAATGGCGCTAAGAAAGTGGCTGCCTCAGACCTCAAATCTCAAACCTCCATGAATTAAAGCTCCGGCTCCCTCATTCCCATGTCATTACGAAGACAATTTTCTTGCAACAAAGCTCTGGGGAGGATATTCTTATATCTTCTCATCTTTGCTGCCTACTCTTTAGACCCAGAAGTTTGCCGGGATTCCTTGGTCAACTTCCATTCACCGTCGAGAGGAAGCTACAACTCGAGCTGGCCGGCCAATCATTGCGGCTTGCCATCCAGCATGGCCGCCCAAAATCATGCTCCGGCTCCAACATATAAGGTTGGCCAAAGAGATATAAACGCGGTGGAGCACCCAATGGTAGTGAAGAACTTCAACAAGGCACTCGCAACTTTTGGGTCGGACAATCCTTTTGACAGGGCAAGTATTTCTATTTATTTCACCCAGCGGCATGTCCTTAATAGGGCTGAGTATGTTTTGAGATGGAGAGATCTCGTGATCCGCCTCGTATTGAATATGATCAATTGACACGGGATCGGGTTAGATGCTGGCAAAAGAGCGTACGGCACCTTGTGTCAAAACCAACTAATTCTGGGGCAGATTGTAAAGGCGGATGAGCCTCAAAAGGGTATACCTCTATACTTGAGACCAAGCGACCCCTTGTGCGCTCCCATTACCTCTCATAATGCTGCGACGAACAATCTTCTCATCAAAGTCACAGTACCTAAAAGGACTGGCCGAAAGCGAAAGCGTGGATCTCAGGATGTCTTTCTAGATGCCGGCCCAGCTTTAAATCAGAACGGGACTCTAACCGGGGCTGCACGGATCCATCCGATCGAGTTGCTACAAATGCTCAAGGATAACTCGGAAAGTTACTCTGTCGACGTAGTCGGAAAGATACACCATACACAGAGATTTCGAGGTATACTCGCCTACCTCTCCGCTTATTTTCAACCTGACGTTGTATCATTCAGACCCTGCCGACTTCCAACAGTCTACAAAACACACTGACTTCTTTCCTCGGTTAAGAGATACTGTATTAACAGGCCATGGTATTTTCTGTTCATCCGAGGTTGTCACCCAGTATGCTAACAGTCCCAGTGGAAAAAATTAGAGAGTTCCAGCTTGACCCCTCGAGGGGTCCGAAACGGAAAGATGAAATCATGCCTCCGCCTTTCTTCACAAATCAATCTTTGCCGCTTATTTGGAATTGGCAACCTGATCCACCTGAAGATACCGGACTCCAGCAGGTTCCTTCTCGCTCGAAGGCAAATGCAGCTCCACGGAGGAGAAATTACAATCCTACCCTCAACTCTATTCACCCCGATGCAGATTGTCCAATGGAGCTTCCTGACGATGTCTCGAATAAGTACGCAAAAGCGTTACAGCCGATGATGTCGCTGTTACAAGAAGTCTTCAACGAACGTCCAATCTGGGCAAGAGAAGCATTGGCGTTGAGAGTCTCGCAATCCCCCCATATGGCAACACTGAAAAAGGCCCTTCAATACGTTTCGTATCGATTTACTGCTGGTCCTTGGCGAGACTGCTTAATTAAGCGTGGTGTCGATCCTAGGCGAGACCCAGTATATCGAGCCTACCAGACCATCTACTTCAGGGTTCATAACGAGGAGAAGGCGGAAAAGAAATGGTACCAGCCGTCGCGATACACAGGCTCTCAAAATCATGCTATAAGTCCTATCCAGACGTTTGATGGCAAATCATTCACGCCAGGCAACAGGACTTGGCAGGTCTGCGATATTTCAGATCCACTACTTGAACGCCTTATCAAGACTGCACCGGTTCGACAATCCTGCGACAACGCGTGCGATGGTTGGTTCACAAATGGTGCTTTGGCCAAAATCAGGTCTATCATGAGGACAAAACTCGACGTGATTCAATTAGGAAAAGAGGTTACTGATGAGGAGTTTGCTGTCACTCTCGAATTTCCAGATGCTGTCGCTGGAAAACGAGACCACCGGGACATAGTTGTTCCATTACCTGACGTTTATCCGAGCAACGAAGAGATCACCAAAATGAGTCAAAAAGGCATCCATCTCATACGGACCGGTGCAAGAAAAGCGACTTTGGGCAAAGGCCCCTTGCGATCCAGAAATCGCACTGCACTTCGACACGCTATCACTACGTACGAAGATACCGACGAAGACGACCCAATGGAATACCCGAGATTTTCACGCTTTACATCAGGCGAGGATGAAAACAATGGCGATCCGATTCAAGGAACTGGCATTCCAGCAACCTCTTTTGGCGAAGCATACATCGGGCAAACCCAGCAGGATGATGACGGTAGCGAGAATAAACTGTTGTATGGCGAAAACGAACAGATGATGCCAGGTTCCTTCGATGGTGCTGAAGACGCTCCGTCGGATTCTGAGCGGAGCGAGCTTGGGTCTGATGAATATGGAGATTCTGAGCTTGATACGCCTAGTAGAACTTACTAAAGAACATGTGGACGGAAATTATAAACCAAAAACTTGGCAAATCTTAAACGATCAATTCTTATTGCGCTTTTTCATGTACGAACACTTATATCTGGCCAAGATCGACTAGTAGTAGATTTCACGGCTATACACTTTCAGGTTTGCGATCTCTGCTCGCTAGTTGTGTGCATCTATACTGCAGCCATCTTGTAGTCTACGGCTCGTCAAATTCAAGGCTTGATCTTGCACCACAAAATTTCGCACACGGCACGGTACGTTAGCAATTGCAGAATTTATACCCCGGTTGTTATATCTCATTCTGTAGCGTGCGCATTGGACAAAGCCCCAAGCTTCAAGCTACCCTTCAACGGTAACGCTAGGATAATTAAAGCGTCTACTAAGGGCCGCTAACGCAGAGCCAATATTAACGGCTTGTTCACCCGCTGCTTGAAGTATCCTTTCTAACCCCAAAAACTCTAGTTTGAACCTTCTATCATATGCTCATAAGTAAAGCGTTTTGTTAGGTATGGTGCCCATTGGGCGGGAAGTAAGTGTCAGTCAGCCGAGGATGCACTCCATAATATCTTACCCTCGAACTCTCAAGTATCGACTCGCACCACTTATCGCAACTTTGTTGGGAGCCTAATCCTCATTCATGACAATACTGACAGTTTTCATGTAATGTAATTTCGGTAGCGCTGTGTTGGGTGGCCGTGCCGCAACGTACGTACTTTACACTCTCTTTCAGGACATATCTCTTAGCAGGGATCAACACGTGTATTCATTGAGAGGTCGCTTCCATTGGGGCGATCGTACATATACTAGCTGGGAGCCCCATAAACGATGGATCGATGCGAAAGTCAGCCGAAGTTTATTCCTCATTCATCTTCTTCCCCGGCAGACTTCGTCAAGAACAAGCATGTTCTGCATTTATGTCAGATATTCTCAAAATGCGTCTAGACTCTAGACACGGACGATACAATGTACCTACCTATTTAAGCTTATATCTTTGGCCTCGGTGGCACTGTACGCTTGGCTAACCTTTAACACCCCTGTATCTTTACCTATATAAACCTCCGCCGATCTCGTTCAACTTCCACTCAACCACAGAGCTTCTCATCTCTTACTCTCACGCGCTCATCTTCTTTCTCTCCATTTCCCAACATAATTTAAATCTACACCATGCATCTCTCCCTCCCCTCCATCCTCCTCCTCTTCCCACTCCTCTCCCTCGCCGCTCCCCTCCCCTCAACCCTCATCATATCCGTCCTAGACGCCTCTACCGGCGCGCTCCTCGGCACCCTCAACGGCCACGGAAACTTCTCCTCCCCGGGCCCTTCATACCCATACCGCTCTTTCCCCGTTGCGACTGGGAGCGACGTCTCGAGACTGCAGAGTTATGGTGCCCCTGGATGTACTGCTGCGAGTGGTGTGCTGAACTGCGATGCTGGACAGAGCGAAGGGGGTCGGTTTATTGTAAGTTACATCAGTTCGTGTTTCGATGGTTAGATGGTTGGATAGGGATGGGAGGGTTTGAGGAAGGGTGATGGCTGATATCACATAGAGTATCGATGGTAAAGTCGCGCTCGAAGGAACAGATGGCGTTTGGTCTGTTGATGCGAGGGATGATGCTGCGGGCGGTGTTGATCGATTTGGGCTGAAGGTTGGGATTCCGGTTTTCGTAGGCGATCGAGGGGGAGTGGGTATTCCGGTTGTGTTGAGTTCGAGAAAGGCTAGTGGATAGGTTGGTTCTTGTGTTTGCCTATCTGGGGAGCTTCTAGGGTAGGGACGTGGATGAATTGAAATTTACAGATTGTGATTTTTGAGTGAGATTGCATTTTTGCTTGTGCCAAAGTCGGCATTGTGGCAAAGACGTTTGTCTGAAAATTATGGGGAGCTGGATCGCCAATTTTTGTTGTCTCTGTATCTTACAGATGAGACCATTTTTGCATCCTCCACGAGCTTCGTATATAGACTTCCAAAGGACATCGCGCCCATTCTCTTCGACTCAACTATATATCAGCACGCACTAAATTTTGATAGCGGCTTGAGTCGTCTCTCATAGGCCAATCCGTCATTAAACTCCCTGGGTCTCTTTGAACCCATCCGAAGCATGACTTTTCTTTTATCTGGGTAAGACTGGATGGCGAAAGACTTCAAGGTAAGGGTGGCTCGCGGAGGACAAAATAAGTGTCAGTCACCTGTCCAATAATCTTGGACTAAATAATTCGACTCCGAATAGAGGTTACGAACTCTTACTTACTCAAGATAATCGACGAAACATATCATAAGGTTCTAAGTCAATCCACTAAACAACGATATTTCGTTAAATTGATCGAAGAAATATCGTCTGTGAAAATCAAATTAAATCTTTTAATTATCCCATTGTGCAAGGGCCGTTGAGCAAGACCTCATGATAATCAAATGCCCGGTGATCTTTTGATCTTTACTCGGTCAATACTTTGGAGGGCTTTGGAATATTGTGGTCGAGAAGCAGTCACGTTTAAACATGTGATGATTCCTGAAGCTCGGACCACCCCGGTCATGGTGTATTGATTTCAGCTGAACGAAGCACTTTAGCACAACAAGATGAACGATCTGCTCACAATCACTAAACATATGGCAGATCCAACTTTCCACAAAAGGAGATTGGCTAAGACCGTCTAAAACTCACAATCTGGTGTCTAGGCTGGGCCGCTAAAGTCAATCATGAAGCAGCCTCATATGCGAACACGGCGACTTCGTCACTTCAGATATATCCCCCCGAGATATGCCGGAATGGAACCTTATACATACAAACCGCTGAGTGCTGGCGAGATTCGACTCTTAAAAGTCGACAAAATTGAACCCGATATCGAAATCACTATCGAAGAGGTCAATCTTGATGCAAACCCATCTTATATCACATTATCTTATTGCTGGGAAGGCCAGAAACCAAGCAAAACCATTATCGTCAACGAATCACGATTACTGGTCACCAAAAATGTGCACGAGATCTTACACACCATGTACACACTTAATCACGGGGACTATTTCTGGATCGATGCTGTTTGCATTGATCAGGAGAATGTATTGGAAAAGACTGTTCAAATTCCGATGATGACGGAGATATACTCGCGTTGCATGAAGGGTGTTGCTTGGGTTGGTCCTCAAGATCCGTCCATAACAAAAGCTGTTGTCTATATGCCTGAATTGGTTTCTAAAATGCGTGGTTATCCTACTACACCAGCGCTGTCTATTATATCTGAGCTATTCGTATCGGAGTTCGAAGTCAACCCGGATTTCTTGGGGTTTGGGAATCTTCTTAAGAGGCCTTGGTTTCGGAGGATCTGGGTCGTGCAAGAATTTGTTTTACCTTGCAAGGTCGAACTTTTGTGCGGATTGGACTTCGTCGACCCCGACTTACTACATTTTATACTTGACAATGACTTTTTCTTCAGCAGGCTAGTTAGCCATGAAATCCTACATTATGGACAAAAGATTGGTGACTGGGCGGGTACCACAATCACCACTGGGATTCGCGGATATATAAAAATGTGTCAACTTAGAGCCTCAAAAATTGACATTGGCGCATCTTGGACAGGATTCAATTTCATGGAAGTCCTCGGTATGCTTTCCGACTTATCAGCATTAGATGGGCACGACAAAGTCTATGGAGTGCTTGGTATACTGGAGCGCTACTGGCGAGACAACCTGGTCGCAGATTATAGTATAGAGGTTGGAAAGCTCTATACATCAGCTTTCGCATTACACTTACGAAAAGAAGGGCGCCCCTCATTTCTTAACTTTGTATGTCCGGCAAAAACTCTAGTAGGCCTTCCATCGTGGTGCACAAACCTGCTGACTCCTTGCGACCCGGATTCGTTAATGTTCCCGAGAGGCACCGGTGGGCCTTATAGCTCACCAGATCCAGATTATAGGGCCGGCATTGTCAAAGATGGAGTATTATCTTATCCAAGGCCGTCTGTATCAGATTCAAGTTGCAATACCGAGAATTCAATTCTTAACATTTCTGGGTTTATCCTAGACTGTGTTGCACAGGTCGTTCTACCAGGGCCTCTCCTTGACAAAGATGAAAACTCCTCTTTCGAGTGGATGTCCGAATGCATGCGTCTGTCGCAGCGGAAGGGACTATCTCCACTTGATGTCAAGCGTACACATGAGAGAACTATATCTGCTGGCAGATATTATAAGGACCACAAATGGAGTCCCATTTCGGATCTTTACGGATTATATCACAGTCATGTTCGTTACGGGCCAGGTACTAATGCTGCACTGATGGAAAGGACTGCACGTCGTATCTTGCGTCAGATGCCCGTACGAGGTCGAACGTATTTCTCTACCGAAGGGGGAAGTGTTGGCCTTGGATCCTCTCTGGTTCGACCTGGAGACAATATTTGTATTTTCTACAATGAGCCTACACCTTACATTATCCGCGCATTGAGTGCAGGTTCGGACCACTACTCGTTCATCGGCGAGGCTTATGTGGATGGAGTAATGCATGGTGAAGCTCTAGAATCGGAAAAGGCACAAAATTGCAGAAACTTTGCATTGGTGTGATTATTTGGTAAACAGTAGAGGTCTATGTGTACTAGTGTGTTACTTCCGATAGTGTGGCTAATTGTTAATAGCTAAGAAGCTCTTCACATGTCAGAAGCCGCACCCTTGAGAAGGTCTCTATCGAGTTGACCCCAAGCTCGTATCAGAACAATTCTAATTAAAAGGTCCGTTCCACAGGGTTCATCTAAGTAAGATCCGACATAGTCATTGGACCAATTACCACAGGTCATTGCCGACTTGAACTTACCGGATCAGTAGTCCATCTAATTCAGAACTTCATCTCTTCCGAGCTTTTAGCTTAGAAAGGAAAGCTCAATAGGAAACCCTATGCTCCTCGTTTTTTACAAGAAGTTCGAATGTTCCAAAATATGAAGGACTGACGAATTGACGAATTGATTAAGTGGATAGTATCCAATAGTCTTGAAACTTGGAAGGCCACGGTTTCGGCACCACATCTCTCAAGCAACACATTCGGTCAAGTTTTATCGATACAATTCAAGTAGCTTTCGTAGGAGCCAGATTTTCTGAATATCCTCCCTCTTTTACGAGTCTTTCGGTTAGTCAACGTATCCGAAGTCACCCAAATTAGTAAGCTGACATGTCTAGTCACAAGTAACCCATGATCCGAAAAGCTTCTCCCTTACCCCGACGGGCCCAAAAAGCTTATCATCGGGATCAGCATGTAAGAAAAGCTTATTTCTTACTCTATCAAAGCTGTTTCGGCTTCCTCTATGGATTTGGGACGATGATTTGTTCGAATCGACATGTCGAGTCATTTGGCTTCCTCCTCAGCGTTGATAACTCGGAGGTCTTTCTATTGCAGAACTCAAGTTAGATCTGATGGATTCGTTGCTATAAAAGTATCTTAGCTCGACAATGCCGTTTGCAAATCGAATTCAGCGACCCGAAGTGTTCTGCCTGTTCTATTTTAGACTTTTCGGTTATCCTCACTCGCTTACCCGCGTCTTCAATTTACACGATTATTTCTACCCAGATGACGGCATCTTTGTCGTATCTCATACCTTGCGATTACTCCTTTCAAATCATAGGGTTTGGAAAGTAGGCGGGCTTGTTCGGTGTTTAGTCAGACTCTTACGCATTCGGGTTCATTTCGTGTCTCTCAAAGCAGCTCAGCCCTACCAGTCAACACTCCATGACCAAGCTACATACCCGCAAGCTAAACTCCAGCCTCCTAGATGGCTATATAAGATCAATGCCAAGCTGTTTAAAAAGCTTCTTTCAACAACCAAGTCAATACTTCCATACACATACACACTCAATCAACCCTCTCAGCCAATAATTATTCCGCTTAGTTTCCAATTTACAGCTTAAATCAGTCATCATGGGCAAAGGAAAGCCAGCCGCACCAAAAGCCGCTAAACCCAGCGGAACTGGTGCAAAAGCTAGTTCTGGGAAAGCTGCACCTGATAAGGGAGCTGCCAAAGGAGCCACTAAAGGGGCTGATAAGGGCAAAGGTGATGCGGCTAAGGGTTCTAAAGACTCTAAGGGTGCGAAAAGCACGCCGAAAGCTCCGAAAGGGGGGGATGATGAAGATGCTAAGGGCTCTGATGCTGAGAAATCTGATGCTGAGGACGATGAGGATGATAAGGGCTCTGATGCCGGGAAGTCTGACGCTGAGGATGATGAGGATGCTAAGGGCTCTGATGCTGAGAAGTCTGATGCTGAAGATCAGGAAGATGATAAAGAGGATGACGAGGAGGATGCGGGTGGTGACGATGCAGAGGAAGATGGAGATGATAAAGATGGAGGGGACGAAGATGACGAAGAGGGCGGGGCTGGCGAGGAGGAAGATGGCGAAGACGCAGAAGATGATGCGGGGGATGACCAGGATGGCGATGATAAAGACGATGATGAGCAAGAGGATGGTGAGGATGAGGATGGGAAGGATGATGAAGCGGGTGGAAGCGACGCCGACGACAAAAATGACGAAGATGCAGACGGCGATCAAAAAGACGACGACGACGCCGACGCAAACGCGTCCGACTCAGACTCAGCCAAGCCCAAGAAAGGCGCCTCCACCTCAACCAATGACAAGAAATCCAGCAAAGGACAAAAAGGAAAATCCACCCCAAGTAAACCTTCCGCTCCTCCTTCTGAAGCAGAACAATCTGACGATGGTGACGCACAGAAAGCAAGTAGTCCCACCGCCACTCAAGCTCCTCCTACTCCTACCCAAGCTCCGGCGAAGCCTTTGGATGGCGCACAGAAAGCTGGGCAGATCGTTGGGGACGTGGGGAAAATTGGGCAGGCTGTGGGAGGGCCTGTGTTAGGGAGCGTGATTGGAGCTGGAGCGGATGCCGTGCAGGATGTGCTGAACTTGTTTTGAGTGTGTGAAGTGTTTTTGTCTTTGATTTGGTTTTGTTTGAGATTTGATTTTTGGGTTGATTTTGGGTTGATGTGTGGAGAGTTGAAGGGGTCGCCGCGTGTGATTTGCATTTTAGTTTGCGTTATAGAACGTGTTTTAGAGAGCTTTTAGTCTGGTATTAGTTTGTTTTGTCATCAATTCTCATATTGCTCGCCTCGTCATTATTCCGAGTCCATTAAGGCTGAGTTATAATGGTTAAGTTTCATTATTACTTCTACATCCCCAAACAGACCAACTTTCCATCGAAGCAATATCTTCTGGCTTGAAGTTTTCATATTATACCCCCAGTGTCTGACACAACTGTCTGTGTAGCGTAAAACCGCAACTGAGAGTTCATTAACACAATAACATTTTAGCACACAGTTTTCTCCAAGGGCAATATCCTAAGCCGAAGGCTACCTCTGTGATTTCAGATCTTCGATGTATAGTTGTGGTGTTAAGTTATCTACCAATGAACGTTCTAGGTTCGCAGCTAAATATGTCAGGCACTGGATTATATCTACTCGATTATGGGTATTCCAGAATATACAAAGATCACCCGTAGGAGATTTCAATCCCTTACCTTTCAATAAAAGATAAAGAATCCAGTCTGAATGCATCGTCAACAAATTTTGACAGATGTTCTTATACTACAATATTATGATCGGTATATTTGGATGTCGAAGTATGTAAAGAAGACGATTTATTTTCCAAAAAAAAGGAAAGAAAGGAGTATCGGGTTCAAATTTGATTTACCACGACTGTTATGATAGTAGTGCCGTTTATAATCCTGTGAAATCCTTTTTGGCAAGGTACTGTAGAATACGAGCCCAGACTAACAAAGTGAACTGGTCAACATTCTATAGAAAGCGAGTCAACAAACTTCAGGAGCGATTTGATCCCGGATGCCTCATCAAATACACTACTTGGCCCTTATGAGACCAAGTATTTTCCAGTCAGTGATTTATCAGCCTCCGTCACTTTCTCACAGACGATCTTTGGATGTAGACACCAGCAGGTTCCTTTGCAAATCAGAAAAAATCAATTCCCTATCCCAAATTCCCACACGCCGGACACTTTACAGCTTTGCAAAAATCCCCTCAAACCCCTCCCTCGCAACCTCCATACAATCATGTCCATAAATCAGTTTCTGCACATCAGCATCCGCCCACTTATCCGGTACCGCACCACCCTCCTTCTTCTCATACTTGAGCGCCGCGAACTTGCGATCGCGCTCCTCCTTCGCCTTGCCCTGTCCAAGATGTAAATCACGTCCATTCTCCGCCGCCAGCTCAACGAGCGTCTCCGCGCGCTCCTTCCGAACTTTCTCATACACGCGGAGCGATTTATTGATATCTTCCGCGTTAGACGATGGACAGAGATCTAGGACTTCGGCTAGGACAGCCGCGTCTTCGATTGCTTGTGCGGCGCCCTGTGCGAGGTGGGGGAGGGTCGGGTGGCAGGAGTCGCCGACGAGGGCGACGGAGCCGTGGATCCAGGTTGGGAGGGGGGCGTGGACGCGGAGTTTCCATTCGCAGACTTCGCCTTCGGGGACGAGGTCGAGCATGCGTTGGATTTTGGGACAGAAATCGGAGAAGGTATCCATCATGGCTTTCTTGCTGCCTTTCGTGGTATAAGTGGCGGAGGGTGCGGCAGCGAAGTTCTTGTCTGGTTGGGCGGTAGAGATGTTGTAGATGGTTTTGGATGAGACGGGGTAGGCTATTATGTGACGCTTTTCACCAATCCAGCGGGTAACTATTTCGTTGTCGATTAGAGCGAGGAGCTCGGGGTCGTGTTCCATTTCGGAGCGTTTGAGCATGATGCGGTAGGCTGCTTGTTGGGTATCTACTATGGTGGCGTCTGCGTTGATTTCTTTGAGAAGCGCGGATCGTACATTAGACTTAATACCGTCAGCGGCGAGAAGGACGTCTGCTGTGAGAGTTTGGGGCTCTCCATTCCGAGGTTTTATGACAAATGTTGGTTTTGGGGAGAATGATGTTACGGTTTCGACGGAGGTTGAGAAATGGAATTTTATGGAGGACTCCTTTTTGCAGCCTTCGTAAAGGGAGCCAGCTAGTGATGATCTGTGTCCTACCATATGCGGATATTGGTATGTTGGCTTGACATATCTCAGATCCACGTGAGCGAGTTCTTTATCTTCAGCGCCCACTATATAAGTTAGCTTGCGTAAGTAAATCACTTCCATCATGCATCTCATTATGTAATTTGAGATGCATAACACCAGACTCATGACAGGCAACTTACGTCTTATACTTGTCTCGCGGCATTCTACGGCTTCCCTCGCAATATCTTCCCACACACCTAAGCGATCTAGTACTCTGGCCATGTTGGGTGCCAACTGAATACCAGCCCCAACGAAACCAAGATTTGAAGCAGTCTCATAAACATCAATAGAAGTAAAGCCTTTCTTGGCTAAAGCAAGTGCCGCAGCCAGTCCACCCATTCCTTCCAGATGTTAGCTTAGGTCCATTTTGTCACATAAGATAAACTCACCTGCTCCAGCAATAACAATCTTCGCTGACTTTTCCATTCTGCTTGTTCGGACCGCCATGTTTGCGTTTCCAGACCAGGTTGTAAGAATTGGTAAAGTGTATGGCACTTTCTAACTTTAATACAAGTCTGCTTTACCCCTCAATTAGCCACTAGACTGTTGGTCAAATCTATATTATGATCGGAGTCTAGGAAATTTTGAAAGAGCAGTATTGAGAAAATGTAAGGAGGTCCAACCTTATTAAATACTACTACTTTACAGACGGAAAACGTGTGACATCCAAAATTCGTAAACCCCGCTGCACATGATCTGTCCAAGCTAACGATTTAGAACGCGTACGTCTAATTCGGCAATTTAAGGATTTGGTCGCGGTAAGGCTAGGCCTGACTGTCAACTCCGTATCCGCAGTCACGTGGATAGTTGCAGCTAATTTAGATGCTTTTGCAATTTCATTGCGTATGAATCTTTATCCGTGAGTTTCTTGGAGTTCGGAGCGGCGATTTTTTTGGTTGCCGTGGATCCGGATAATCAAGTACACCAGCCGCAGCTGACGATTTTGATCAGAAAGCAGGAACTTTTGATACAATTCTGTCGTGTTTCGTGGGAATTCTATAATGATAAACAAAAAGTTGCATACCATGCTCGTTGCTTTAAGTGTGTCAATTATTAGACAGCGTGGGGCTGGACTGACTCCTTCAATCCGGGAGATATCGTGACTGAGCTGAGAAAGAGCAGAATGTCTCGGCCCCACACAAGACGACGGATGTGGGGAATAATGACTTTGATTCTCGAGTAGTGGGGTAAACATGGGGAAGTTGATCCTCATGATGGAGTTAGGTGTCGCGGATGCTGTGAAGCCCTTTCGTAAGTTGTTAAGACCCTAATTTTGACTGTCACACCGGCGTCATATTAATGGCCAGTTATCCTTCGGACATTTGTCCATTGTTCGTCCATTAGACTTGGAAGGACATCTATAAGGCGTTGGCAACTTTAAGACATACTTTGATGCGAGTCCACAGTAGCATTTTGTTTTAATATGCTCAACGAAAGCTTCCCGGAAACTCAGTGGTGGTACCAAGTCCAGCTTCGAGCATCTCTCCTAGGGTATCCCAACTCCTAGCTTCGTCTCCTCCTCCAGCTCTGGCCACCCCTCTCAACCCACTGGCAACGAATCTAACTAGTCTGTCAAAATCGACTTTCATTGACCGCAATTGCTCCACGTATTCGACCTCTGTCGCTTTTGAAGGGCTTGAAAGAATGCTAAAATCAAGATCAACCTTTTCTTCATCTTCGTCGGAGCTATCATTCGCAAATCTCGGGCTCTTCGAAAGTCTCGTACTTGATTTGAAATCCTGCTTTGCTTTCCTGGGAGTATGTAAGCCGAGGCTTGCCATTGAAAGATCCATCCTGTTCGCCTGCTCTTCTCGCTGGCCTTTATTTGTGCTTGCGTTCACGGTTTCCGCATCTTCCAGCTTGATTGCCAAGTCTAGGATTTTGAGAATTGTTTTGTGAATCAACGCCAGCTTGCTTCCTAGCAGGGCCTTGTCCAAAATCGATTTCATGAAGGCGGAATGGACTTTAATCATTGTATCGATGTCAACGGCTTCTTTCAATGCTGTACGCATAGCGGAAGAACCAGGTTCAACAACTAGACACGATAGATAATAGTACAAAGTTTGAATAAACCATAAGAGACGTGTTCTAAGCGAATAAAATAGCAAACGTTCATCAGAGCTGCTACTGGTTGTAAGTGTGTCGGAGACTAAACGACGGCGTGTGATGATATGAGAGCTTCTACGAATCTGAAAGAGAAAGGTGAAGATCCGTTGATAGCCGACCAATGATTCCTTATTCAGTATTATCTGAACTGGCCAAGAAAGATGGTACTTGATCTCGATAATTGAGAGCACTTTCACCTTCGTCCTATACTTGGCAATGTCTTGGTTCTTCCGGCTAAGTGCTAATACACTTGTTCGAAGGCGATCAGGATTGACCGATGGCAGGGTGCCAAAGGAGTCGTGTAGTAATTCTGTCAGATTGAATCGATCATTCCAAGAAGAATCGAGCTTGTCCAGTTTGTCGAAGATCGGATATGTAAACGCTGCTCCATTGGTGCCGTCGGACATGAAATAGACGTAAGAGAGCGCTTCTAACGATGCGGAGAGGCCACAGGAATCAAACAGGATTCTTCTCAGTGTTGTAGAAGCATGATGATGCTTACTCTGTATCCATGCATCGAATGCCTCCGCGAACAGTTCCGTGAAAGGTGCGAGCTGCACATTCTGTGGATTGCAGACGCTTTCAAAATCTAGAAGTGGTTCGTCGGATTCTGAATGGTTACGTGGGCTGAATTTCTTTAGTTGTTTCAAAACCACAACACTTTTACCTGTAGTAAATATTTTGTTCACTGACGCTCGAAGGAAGGTCGGGGCGTGAAGTTTGCCGTCTTGGGTATGTCGAAGCTTGAACTGTGATTGCCAAATTGTAGCTGGGTCGACCTCTCCTGTGGTCCGAGATACAAAGAACACTTTATCTCCTGGTGTGACGTCTCCATCTTCCATCCAGGCACGAATCGGCCTAAGGAAGACTTGGAAGCAGTCGAAGAATAAGGTGCCTATGAATTTGTACAATTCTTCATCTCCGGCTAGTTGGGAGGTACAAGTATACTTATAGAGAATTTCTAGATATCGAAAGGCGTGTGAATACCGCTCCTCACCTAATCTGAACGACAAACTAAATTAGCAGCCATTCTCACCATCCAAAATGATACTGTCCAAAAGCATGGACTACGTCTCCAGGTAGAAGCCATCTGGATCTAGACTTTGCTTACTTATTTATAATGTCAACCAGCTTCAACAGTGGTCTACTCGTGGAGTAGACCTCCGTCTGGATTTGCACAAGGCTTACCACGACGTCATTTGCGAGCTCAACATAACGTGTTTGAATGTCAGACAGACAATTATCAAAAGAAGCAATTCTCTTGCTGACCGCATCCTGGAATACCTGAAGGAGAGGTATGGATTGGGGTTGAGCTACCCATAACCTAAGAGATCGAATAGCCGAGCCTTGTTCTGCGAAAGCACTGATCTGCTGGTAGAAAGCGTCTGGAGAAGCATGTTTCAACACGTAACTCTTGGAGGGAAGAATTTGAGCCGACTGATTACTTGGCGTCTCGAACAAGGAGGTAGGGTAACCTGAAAGCATAAAGAGAACTTCTCGAATAGCTTGAAGTTCCGTAATCGGCTTTTTCACGGTATCCAACTTGACTCCGCCCACACTAGGGTCTTTCAGCCAGAATTGAGCGTCTTTGAGTGCCAGGAGAGTGTCATTATTCGAAACATCAATCACGTAATCATCAGGCTGTCGTCCAACATCTTCGATGCTGGATTGTATGGTAACCTCGGTAGCTTCCGATCGCTCGGAGAGACCATCATCGAATTCTTCATCCTCAGAGCTTTCGGCGCCGAAATCGACATTCCTCCACACACTTTTCTCTCGAAGTAAAGGGTCCTCTGCAACAAGATCTTTCCACCGTAGTAGAGGCTCAACATAGGGCTCGGGCTCTTTCAAAAAGTCCAAATCCTCGAGTTTAGAGTTTTGCAACGGCCTATCAGATAACTCCAGGAGAAGATGCAAGATTTCTGGCGTCCATTTTGACTGCAGTTTCATAACCTTATCCACCCTCTCCTTCAGAGCGTCCGCCAGCGGATCTTCATTGTAAACTCTAAACTTCTCCTCCAGTCCCTCGAGCTGGCTTGCGACATCGAATTGATTCGTTCGTGCATAGTTGTTGTATCTGAATGCGCGAAGAGCTGACTCTTTTTGCGCATTGGATTTGGCTGCTTCCGTCTATTACAACCGGTAAGTTAACAAACGCCTGTGGGAAAGGGGATGGAAACCCACCTTTGAAGACTTGGAAGTCAGCGAAGTGAGAAGTTCATCTGTCAACCCTCCGAGTTTGGCAAGATGCGCCATCGAGAGAGTCGTATATCATTTTGGTATGACCAATTTGAGGGGAACATAATTTTGGTGATACTGATACGCGCTGGGGAGACGCGATTATTGATTGTGGCCTGAGGCAGATTTACAATCGGAAGTGTCTCACCAATCATGACGGAGAGCTGAAAATACGCATGTGCGTCTTGGAACCTGGAAGTTTGAATTGTTGGAAACACTTCCACAATACATCGCAACTATGGCAATAGCACGACCTATCCGGGTGCTGGCCCTGGCGGCCATAGGACTATGGATATTCTTCATATACCAAGTATTTGGCCCAGAGAAAACTCCTAAACCTCCAGGAGAAACGTTGGAGAACATGGAAAGAGATCCCAATTTAGACTGTATGCGCCCCCTATTCGAGCTTGAATTTCGGAGCTGTCTGCTAATTTGATCGCAGTGACTGGAGAACCCGAGGGGTTATTATTCAGAGCGGATCAGGGATATGGGTTGGGTGATCAAGGGACTGCGCGAATCAATGCGACACTCTTGTCGCTGGTTCGAAATGAGGAAATCGATGGCATGGTACAAGCTATGCAAGATCTTGAACGAACATGGAACTCGAAATTCAACTACCCTTGGACATTCTTTAACGATGTCCCATTTACCGACGAATTCAAAAAGCGAACACAAGCAGAGACGAAAGCAGAATGCAGATATGGTAGGACAAGATGCTGAAATTTTGAAATTGGGTAGTAGCTAATTAATGGCATAGAATTGATTCCTAAAGAGCACTGGGAAGTGCCATCTTGGATAGATGAAGAGATATTCGCCGAATCCGCTAAAATACTTCAAGAGAACGATATTCAGTACGGCGCCATGAAGTCCTACCATCAAATGTGTCGGTGGAACAGTGGGTTGTTCTACAAACATCCCGCATTAGAACATATGCAATTTTACTGGCGTGTGGAACCAAAGGTCCATTTCTTCTGCGATGTTGATTATGATGTTTTCAGATACATGGCTGATCACAACAAAACCTACGGTTTCACGATCAACCTATACGATGCACCTGCTTCGATTCCAACCCTCTGGCCCGAGACTGTAAAATTTCTTGCGGCGCATCCAGAATACATACATGAGAATAACGCCATGAATTGGCTTACCGATAAGCAACGAAGACCGGAGCATAATAAGAATGCGAATGGATACTCGACTTGTCATTTCTGGTCGAATTTTGAGATTGCGGATTTGTCTGTCTGGAGAAGTCAAGCATATGAAGACTATTTCAACCATCTTGATCGAGCGGGTGGATTCTTTTATGAGCGGTGGGGAGATGCTCCTGTTCATAGTATTGCGTTGGGGTTGTTCGAAGATGCGAGCAAAATCCACTGGTAAGCACAAATTTCCGCAACACGAAATGCTCAATTGACACCGCTTCTTAGGTTCCGAGACATTGGTTACCAACACATCCCATACTTCAACTGTCCCAACTCACCCAAATGCAAAGGCTGCGTCGCAGGCCGCTTCACCGATGGCGAAGCCTGGTTAATGAAAGAAGACTGTCGACCGAACTGGTTCAAATATGTCGGAATGGGCTAATCCACCATTCCCGTACCCAAAGGGTTTTTCGAATATAAAATCTGTATTACTAATTGGCGGTTACGTTTCGCCATCACATATGTATTGTACACGCGCATTTTGCAGGGCGTTTGGGGCTTGGGAATCATGAGTTTGGAATGTGAAGGGCACGCTCTTCATGATGCGTGATATAGTATGGTCTTAATAGTCGCGATTCGAGTTCTGGATTTGAGTGCCAGAACGCATATAGTTGATAGCACATATTAAAAGCATCGAATGTATTATGGATTACTATTCACAGGACGAAGCATATGCTACGCCTTTCGTCAAGACATATTACTATCACAAAAGGTTCTCAATACAACTAATCAAATATGTTTCATAATCTCTAGGTTACTTTTCTAAATTCCGCTGCAAGGCGAATGATCATATGCGTGTTTCACTATATAACTAATCACCCATCCATCTATCCCACTTTTCAACCTCCCCCAACCAATCTTTCACATCCCGACTCCACCAATTTCCCCTTCCGAAAATGACTCACCCTTTTCAAACAGTCTTCACGTACACCACAGTGTACCACACCTTCACGCCCACCACACTTACCCACCCATTTCCCACCCTGACCATTCCTGTCTACGAGTTCGGATTCTAGACCCTAGACCCCCTCTTGGCATCTCTACCCCAGCATACCAAGCATGATCTCGTTGTCTACCGGTTGCGTATTCCAGTGTGGGGAAGAAGCGGCGTGGAATGTATACGTGAAGCGGTACCTGGTGGGGTACTTAGACACATCCATGGTGGAGTACACAACACTATATAATGACAAGAATGGTAGAACGTCGGTGAGTGGAGTGGGAAGTACCGGTTGCGTATTCTTTAGCAAGCCGGGTATGAGCTGGCTCTTCGCCAAGTACGGAAGGGGTATATCTATTCCAATCTGTCAAGAAAAATAAAAAGGTATATAAACGTGAGAGTACCTCGATTCAAAAAACTATTGATCTCCTAAAAACTCCTAACACATTTTCAAACCCCTTTCTCCCTATCAGCCATGGACGTCCCCGCCTTCGAGAACAAAATCGAACGCATGTGCCAGGAGCGAGTGATTCCGGGTGTTCTTTGTATCGCGAGTGATACCACTGGTACCCCTTCCCCTTCCCTCCCTTCCCCTATCGCTAACCTCTCTAGGCTCCTTTCAATATAAAAAGGCCTTTGGCGTGCGTACACTCAAAGAGGACACACCGCATGATCTGTTGAAAGTAGATGCCACAATGTGGCTCGCCTCGTGCACGAAGCTTATTGGGACGATTGCGGTTATGCAACTTGTGGAGCAGGGGAAGATAGGGTTGGATAGTGATATCACTGAATTCATCCCAGAACTTAAGGGGTTGGAAATATTGAAGGGGTTTGAAACTATCGATGGGGTGGAAACGCCGATTTTGGAGGGGAATGAGAGAGTTATAACGTTAAAGTAAGTTATAAACTGATGGAGGGGGAGGATATGGATGGTGATGCTGATAAGTGAGGTAGGATGTTACTAACCCACCAATCCGGCCTCTCCTATCAATTCTTCAGTCCGTCTTCCCCCTCCATATATATCTTACAAAACTAACAAACCCAGACCCAAATATAATCAAACACCGTGCCCTAACCGGCGGAGAAACACCCGCAATCTACATGACATCCCCCGATCTCATCTCAACCTTCAAAACACCACTTACCTATGTCCCGGGCGAGGGCTGGGAATACAGCAGCGGCATCGACTGGGCCGGCCTAATCGTCGAACGCATCTCTGGCATGGAGTTAGAGACGTACTTTCAAAAACACATCTGGGATCCCCTAGACGTCCGTAGTATGACATTCTTCCCTGCCCAGCACCCAGAGATCGCGGGGAAATTAGTCGACATGAGTCTCCGCGCCGGCGGCAGCACAGCGATGGGCACGGCGGTGGATCCGAACGGGAAGATGGAATATACGACTGACACGGTGTGGAATCCGGATATGAAATTCGCGTCCGCGGGCGCGGGATTGTATGGCGCACCGCTCGACTACCAGAAACTCCTGCATAGTCTCTGCGTCGGGGATGAGAAGATCTTGGAAAATGCAACGCTGGATCTGATGTTCCAAGACCATCTGGCGCCGGCGGCGAAAACGGCGTTTGAAGCCACGCTAGAGGTGAAGGAGTTGCGTGCTGTGTACGGGGTTAGGGAAGGTCAGAAAGTGTCGTGGGGGATTGGAGGGATGGTGTATTTGGAGGATGTGGAGGGGGGGAGGAGGAAGGGGACGATGAATTGGGGTGGGTATCCGGGGTTGTTTTGGTTTTGTGATAGAGTTTCGGGAGTGTCGGGGGTGTTGGCGAGTCAGATTATTCCGCCCGGGGATGAGGTGTTTAAGGGGGTTATGGAGGAGTGGGAGGGGGTAGTTTATAGGAATGCTGGGAAGGTGTAGTTAGTGAAATTTTTGGAATCTTGTGTTTGTTTTGGCAGGTTGATTATAGCAGCATGGCGTTGCTGGAGGGGTTGAAGAAAGAAGCATCTATGTTGGAATAACAAATTGTGAAGAGAGAGATTTTCGGCGCCAATGCCACGTGTAGTTGTATCTTGACATATTTCGGGATTAAATACAATTTAAATGCTATGGATTTAAGGAGATTCGGGTTTTCAAGGACCTATCACATACAGCGATAGGTATCTTCTAATTAAATCACTATCCCATAACTTCAGAAACGCAACATCAGAATCGAGAGCGACGAAGACATACCTTTCATTTGAATAGAAGCAAAACATCCTTATAAATATTCCTAAAACCACATACTTACACCAAGTGATCCTGTCCTCCTCCTGAAACATCGCAGCTCTCATCTCTACTCTACCACCCAAGATTCCCTCTTTGATATCAGAATTTCCTCGAAGTAGTGGTAGAACGTGGGACACTCACGTCTCATATTCCCAGCTGTCAATCAAGCTGCACATATAGAATACGAGAAGTAAAAAGGCATCAACGTCTTAGCAGACGAATTGCAGGGGTAGACAAGAAATATAGTTTAAGATGATATTTACGCACGCCCTTCGTTCCTAGCGATCTAACAACAAGCTACCCAACTCCTTGATTCCATGCTCCAGCCGCGCTATGCAGGGAAAACAAAACCAAATGCCACAAATCCATATACATTCCCTTAATACAAGACCATTTGCACCTCCGTCCAAGTATCCATCCCATCCCACATCAAAAGCTCAAATATCAGTACCATCCATCCCTTAAGAAAGCAAAAACTCCCACAAACCCTCCCTCTCCACAAATCCATGATGAATAACATTAACCAACCACCTATCTCCCCTAAACCCCTCAATCAACCTCCTACTATCCTCGCCCTCCTTGCCCGCATAGACCCGACCCCACTCGTCCCAAATCCCAAACGCCTCCTCGGCCCACGCGCGAAAGCTAACCTCCTCAATAATCGTCGGCGTGATGATTTCCTTACCCGGAAAGGCGCCCCAGGTAACCGCGTTCGTGGACTCGCCTTCCCCATCATAACTTTGTACGAGATCTCCATTCGCGTTGCTGGCGTAAAAAGAGACGAGGGGTGCGATTTCAGGTGAAGTGAGCTTTTTGTGAAGGGATTTCCAATCCGAGGCCGGGACGAAGAGTTCGACGAAGGCCTTTTGGAAGACGAAGCCGTTTTTGGGGCCCCAGCCGAAGATTGGATCCGAGGAGCGGACGCCGTTAACGGCGGGTTGGGAGGCGACTGTCCACCAGCCTTTGCGGTTGAGGGAGAGGAGTTGTGGTTTGATGGTGTTGGTTTCTTCGTTGAGACCTTCTTCGCTCCAGGGGAGAGCGGCAACAGTGCCTTCGAGGTGGCGGATGAAGAGGGAAGTGATGTCGTCGGTGGTTTTGGGATATGACCAGAGTTTTATGGCTTGATTTATGGACATGTGAAGAGATACACCATATCCGTCTATTTCACCATATGCAGGAGATCGAGCGTCACCCCATCTTCCGTTAGGATAATCATCCCAGGTTGCTTCACGACCGAGAGAGCCTTCGCCTTCGGAGATCGCCAGCGTGTTGGCTCGAGTATTTAATGCTTCAGCATGAAGACCCGCTTCTGAAGCTGTCGTTTCGAATTCAGACAAGGGAGCTTTCGGCTCATTGATTATGACACGATTATGAGGGTCTGAACCAACCGAGCTATGTCGACGCGAATGTTTACCTGAGCCATTGACTGTAAGATGATGCATAGGCACTTCGAGGATTGCAGTTTCGTCATCCGCCGGACTGGTTGGTATCAGATCGGTCCTTTCCAGAATGAATGAAACGGCCTTCTCCAGATTGAGTGTGTAGAAATGGAACCCTCTAGGACAAGGCGAAGGTCTTTCTTTGATGTGTGTAACGATCTCGCTCACAATATCCACTCCGACCTTCTTAACCATCTCATCATCCCCTCTAACAGGGTCCAATCTGTCCACAATATTCGTCGGTAATTTGGCATGGCTCAACTTTGTCGTCCTCTTAATCATCTGATAACTCTGAATTGGCATCATCCCAGGAATAATTGGTATCGTCTTGAAAGCCCCGCTCTCGTGTTCCCTCAACCTCGTCTCGAACTTGTCATAGGCCTCGACATCAAAGAACAATTGAGTCATGATAAAATCCGCCCCTGCCTTCGTCTTCTCAACCAAATATGGAATATCGTGTTCCAAGCTCTGCCCTTCAGGGTGTCCCTCATCAGCGTGACCCTCTGGATACGCCGCGACCCCAATACAGAAGTAATCTCCATATTGCTTCCTTATGTATTTGACCAGATCAATCGCCCACTCAAAGCCCTCGCCCTTCCCCATATCATACTCCTCTCCTCGCGGTGGATCGCCCCGTAAAGCCAGAATATTACGTATTCCCAGCGCCTTTGCGTCTTCCAATGCCCGATCGACCAACTCCTTACTCATGTTCGTGCATGTTAAATGTAGACAAGTCGTGAGACCCAATTCCCTCTGACAAAGCTCTGCGAGCTCTAAACTTTTATCTGCCGTTGAGCCACCAGCTCCCCATGTTACCGTGACGAAAAGAGGGCGTAGGGCACGAGACATGCGATCGAGACGGGCGCGCAGATTCGAGCTTCCCATTGCGGTTTTCGGGGGGAAGAATTCGAGGGAGAAATAGCTGCTTCCGGGCGGAAGAGCCGCGATCTTGGAGGTGATCTTCTCGAGATCCATGTTGGGCATACTCATGCTGGAAGGATTCGAACAGTTCGTGGTGTTGTTGGACGAGAAAGATGGGCGTACAGCGAAGGCAAATATATTTTGTGGTGGGGTATTCGTTAGGAATGGATCATCTTCGGGGCCGCGAAATAGTCCACATGAACCAGCCGACCTATACATGACGCGTGAATAGTTATCGAGACAACGAAATGTAGGTTTGTTTGCTAAATGAATCTAGATTGGCTTTCTCTACTACAATAAATCATCTACGTAGCATTCATATTTCCAAACAGTTCAAATTTAAATTGTGTTTCCATCCACCTCCAACGCCGAAAGCCCCACCAAAGCTGTCCCACCCGACAAAATGCTGAAGGACATCACAGCAAGACATCAAGAGTCAGATCAACCACCATCTTCTAACAAGCCATGTTCATACCCAAATCCATCAACCCTTCTTGCGCAGCTTCGATATCATCTTCGACGCTAGGTAGATCCTTTTTGTCCTTGATCAACCAGAATCCCTTCACACCGTCCGCAAATCCCTGAGAACATCTTTCGATCTCTTCTTCAGATACAGCTGCGAAACATGCTCTGAAGTATTGCCATCCCTTCTCGGCCATAATCTCTGGGGTAGGGCTGAAGATAGCTCCTGGAGCTAAAAGGATCAAATATGGCTTTCGTGTAAGGAACACCCAGAATGACTGAGAAAGAGTAGGCCCGTCGACCTCTTTGGCCAATGGATGAGTATCGAAGAACATCTGTATCCAGACGAACATACCAGCACGAGGCCAGTCAAAATTGTACATTTCGGTTTTCGATATGACAGCCCAATCGCTCTCGCTTGACTTGGTTGGAGTGCCTTGCTTCAGTTGGTAGCGGTTGCTTTCTAGGATATCACACATTCGGTTCATTCGTCGTTCGTATTGGCCTCTCAGACCGGCAAGCCATCTGACCCAACCATCCACTTTCCATCCTGTGAAGGTGAGTTGGTCTGCCTTAGACTTCTTGGCGAACTCAGAGACTGCTGGTTGAGGGCCCATCAGAAGTTCGGCGACCATAGACTGGACGAATCCAGAAGGTTGTTGAGTTGAGGATTCTGTGATGCGCAAGATACGCTCGACAATGGCGGGCTGGGTTGTAATCCAGCCAAGTCTGCAGCCAGGTGCAACAGTCTTGGAGAAAGTGTCGAGGCGGACAACACGTCCATCATAATCGACGTTCAAATAGGAAGGGACGAGGCTGTCGAGGAAGGGAAATCCAGATGAGTTTTCGAATTTATGTGGTTCTTCAGCCCTTGGGGTTGCGAGACCACGAGCTTCTGCCTCCTTCCCAACCGCAGAGGGGAATTGAAGATACCAGTACGGATCATCCTCGATGATGATGACATCGTATTTGCTGCAGATAGCGTAAAGCTCCTTCCTTCGTTTTACAGATAGAGTCCCACTGGTTGGATTTTGTCCAATGCTGTAAAATATTAGCAATGTCATAAAATCTCTCGAATGGGACGTTTTAATAATGGATCTCCCAACATAGACCGGATTGCCTGCGCATACAATCATGGTAGGGAATGAAAAACTCCTAGTCCAACGAAATGGAAGCACTCACGTAACGGTATACATCAAGTGAGGTCTCTTTCCCTTGCTCTCATCCCAATTTGCGAGCACATCCTCAAGACCGCCCTTACCACCCGGGAGCATACCCTCGAAATCGATTTTCACAGGCACAACATTCAGCCCTCGTGGCCTACAAGTCTGAACCGCATTCATGTACGCAAATTCTTCGCAAAGGATACCCTCCCTCTCCCGAATCCAATCCCGCTCCTCACTCCAAATATTACTGAGAGCCTCCACTGTCTTTGCAAGACCGTCGGTACTTCCCACCGTCAAGATGATCTCAGGCCCACCAGCATAGGGAACGTTTGGATGTAGATTCTCCCTCGTGAACTGTCGTAGGAAAGAGTATAGTGGCGGATATCCCTGAGCAAGTCCATATTGCAACGCGGATGTCAAATCGATCTTCTGCAGCGGGTTCGTGACGCTCGAAGCATGCGGCACAGTCAAATGTGAAGGAGCAGTAACATCGTGATGGGTTTTCCCCAAGCTCAATCCCCCAAACCTATTTGCCACCTTCCCCGGATCAACAGGATCATTCGGTGTTGGCTTGAATCGTTCTGGTTGTGCGATTTGAGCTTCTAGCGTATCGTATGGGAAGAATGCCGCATTGGGAAGGCCTGCAGTGATTGCCATTAGCTACTCTTCTTTACGTACGTAGTTCGAGTTCATTGTAGATATACTTACCGCCTGCTAGATTACCAATTCCAGCAATTTGGAAATACTTGTAGAAAGATTTGATGCTGCTTTCCTTGCGATTCTTGGTGACTCGGGAGAAATGATGGCTCAAATCGAGAGGAGCTTTGGCTCCACCACTCTCTACCTCCGGTGTTGCCTCAGCGCGAGGAAGATATTCGAAATCTGCGTCCGCCATATTGTTTGTATATGGATATTTCCAAGGATTCAATCAAACTTCGTTATTCGTTTCGTTATATTAATGCTGACTCCACGAGATTATTCGGCCGTTGAATTCGTAGATGTTTGATCTGAATAGTAATCACAATGTAGCGGTCATAAACGATGTTTATTCCACTCTCTCACCTCGAATTGAAGGTTGATAACGATAAGAGACGTTTCTCACATAAGCAACGTCTTTTTCGGCGAATCATTTCAACCTTCCCGTTTCGGCTCCCCGCTGGCCGTGCCGGAAGGGCGTATATTGTGGGGTGAAATGGCTTTCTTTCATCAGCTCTCCAATATCGCACGTCAAGCGTTCGGCATTAACGTCCCTTCGGTGTTAGGCCTCCGGAGTTCGCTTAAGAAGCCAAGAGGTCACGTGTAGATGTACCTTCTCTTGACTTCCAAGGTTCCTGCATTGTACCGCAGTATCTCATAGGATGAGGAACATATTTCTAAACTTGTTAACAACATTTAGCAACCCACATGTTCGTTATTTCACACACGGTGGCAGAGAGCGAAGAACTTCAAAAACCCTTCACAGCACTAACACACTAACATTGTCACAGTTTCGAGGGAGGAGCAAACAAAAGTACTTGCGAGCTTGACATATATTTGGAGGGCGAGGAACGCAATCTTGGTAGTATTTTAAAAACTCTAGGAATCCTACTCGTATTTACTAGAATAAACTACTGTTAAGTCAAACTAGCTTTCCTGTACGGATATCCTTTCGTCTAGATGTACCAGGATACACGCAATCGCCGAAATGAGATAATCTCCCTGATGGCTATTAGTCGGTACTGGAACATACTAAATCAAAGCAAGAGCGACTTTAGAAAGTTTACAAGTTGACGCTTCTCTTCATCAGAACGTTCCGGGACTACGATTGAAAGACTCGACACGTTGTGGTGTCGTGTTTCTCGTTAGGCACTCGCTTTGAAAGTGTAAAGCCATAAACGACGTCTACTCTCAGGACCCTAGAGATCCAATGCCGTTACAGAGAAAACGCTCGAGGCGGATGGAATTTTTTTACAGGTAACTCAGTCGTGAAGATTTCGATCGACGGCTTGTATAGCAAAGACAAGAATTTTCAGCTTGAATATCGGCTTGGAAATCTCCCATCAAAAACAAAATCCTTTGCCATCATATTCCCCAAGAGCATCGATACTTTAAAGGCAGAAGAAACATCAAAAATGTTCAGATGTTCTGGGAAATTCGAAAAAGCTTCAAAGATTATGTCTCTCGAGCGTTACCTACACCATGAATTGAAAGACCGACAAAAGCAAGCAGCCCTTGGATTATCCAGGGTGGTTTGCTTTAGCTTTTTAAACACAACATTTTCGATTCCAAACCTCCACTTCACGCAGCGCGTCCAGCAACTAAGAACCTCAGTGCTGAGCACGAAAAGATGTTTTCGTGGCGAGAAAATACCTCACTGCAAGGAATCAGGGAACTGATGGAGTTCCGGAGACCGAGAAAATCAGAGCAAGAAGACCTGGGAAAGATAGGTTGGAAAATAGGGTATGCGGCAGAGAAGGACACAAATATAACTGAACAGTTATAGGCCCTAATTCAGTTGAGTGAATGTCTCTTCCTAACCCCTCCACGATTATCTAAACTCCTCAAAGCCATTTCTTAAACCAATCCAACACCTGCGTCACCGTGTCTTCCAAGATCTTCCTCTCTGCAGGATCGTCTGGATTTCCTCGAACTGAGAACCCATGACGCCCAGGCTCATAGCTTACATGTTGCATCTCGGGAACCTTTCTCCCCGCCGCCGTTTCCTTCTTCAAAACATCCTCCACCTTCCCTTTCGTCTCATAACTAACCAACTGATCCTTGACACCCCACCCAAAACTCACAGGCACAACCAACTTATCAAAATCATCCGGGAAAACAAGATTACTCGGGTGTAACGCAACCACAGCATCAACCAACGGAACCCTGCCCCTCCCCTCAATCTCAATCATCTTACTCTCTAACCCGGAACGAATCGCATACCTCCCACCCCAACACATCCCCACAATCCCAATCTTCCGTCCCTCGGGCGTCGCCTTCCTCAACTCCCTCAGGAATGTAGTAGCAATCTCATCTGTAGGCCCAGCTTTATGTCGCATCGACCACGCCGCAAAACTCGGTGCCGAAGCAAGCAATCCCGTGTACTTAGCAAAGGTACCGAGTTTCTTCTCGTCGACGGGGATGAGCAAGTCGGCGATTTTGAGCGCTAGGGGATCTCCTTTGAAGAAATCCGGCATGTAGACAAGATACTCGCCGCTGGCGGCGTAGGAGTCGGCGATGAGCTTGTTGTTGGGAAGATTGAGCCCGAAGACATCGGAGTCGACTACTATGATGGCGCGTGGGTTGGTCTGGTTGCCGATTATGTAGGTGTTGAGGCCATAGACGAGTTCTTCTTTGCCTTTGGGGAGACCGGCATGGATGCTACCCTTGGATTTGTGAGTGGTAATTTTGGGATTTGGGATTTGGCATTTACCTTGATACATTCTTCACAAGAGGCCATTTTGTGCTAGGACTAGGGTTCAGAGACGTTCACAAAATTGTCGTATTTGGTAAATTGCCGGTCTGGAGATGTATAGATGCTTTTGGGGATGCTTGTCTTACTCAGAGAGAAGCTTCAACAGGACCACAGAGCAAGAAAAATACGGCGCTGAGTTTCTATGTAGGAAACAATCGCCAGATACGCGGGAATCTCCATCCTTTTATTGTCCCTAAACAACTTCCGACCCCACCGTCTACCATCTGTCGTCAAAACAGCCTTGTGAGCATATGTACGTGAACATATCGGGGTCCTCAAGCATGGCGCTTTCGCCTCCACTCTGGTGGCTTATTCTTATCTCCTGAGTTGTTCCGGCGGCGTTGATGCAGTTGACAAAGGATAAGCGAACCAATATACTCCTGGTCACCACGATCAAATTACCCCTTTTAGACGTCACGTGGACTATGCGTCGGTCTCGAACAACCGTTAAACCCGCGACTCCTCATCAACACCCTCAATTATGAACCCGAGTCGAACGCCAGCGACCATTACGCCGCCTCTCCGCATATACACGGGTTATCTAGAACTTTGATGGCGGTACTTTCGCACATTCACATGTAACAAGCGCTTTTGACGCCGCCAATTGGCCATGCTCCATGAGTTCGAGACTCTGGTGCGAGTCGTACCTGGATGAACTGTGTTCCCGCGCCCTACTCGGGCGTAAATATATCCTAAAATAGAACACCTCTATACCCTCTATATGGGCTCGTCAAATGGTGTGTTGAGCAGGTCATGTTCGAGCTAGAGCTCCAATGAGCAGGATGCAGTTAGGCGGTAAGCATTCGAAGGCCTGCCTTAATTGCCGTAAACGGCGAATAAAAGTACACACAAATTGACTTCAGACTGTGCAGTATCACTCGCTAATGCTGTATTGTTTAGTGTGACCTAGAACTTCCAGCATGTTCACAATGTCTGAGGGCGAAGAAGACATGCCCCGGTTACCGGGACGAACAAGATATTATGTTCCGTGATGAAAGCCGGAAAGTTGAACGAAAAGTGAGGGCCTCCAGTCAACTGTCATATCAAACAGAAGATCAACTACAGTCTTCAAGCTCTAGACAATTGTCCCAACCACGGCAATCAAATAATCCTTTTCACGTTTCACCATCTCCTTTAGGACAGCCATCTACTCCAGATCTTGACAAAGGTGTAGAATTTTTCTGCGACAACTACATAACATTCATCTGCGACAGACCCACCGGTCGAGCAGCTCTTCCATCGTCTATAGCATGGAACTTCCTCTTTACCAACCCTGGATACTCAACTGCATGTTCTGCTGCCGGATATGCAGGTCTGGCAAACAGTACAGGAGATTCAGGTCACATGATTAAAGCAAGAAACCAGTACGTTTCGAGTATACATAATATTGAGAGTAAAATCCAGGGAAACACGGATCTGGCAATGTCTTTTGAGTCAGCTATCATTTTGGCGGTGTTTGAGGTTGTTAATGCTGGGAGCTGGAGTGTTCATGTTCAGGGTGCGACGGCTATATTGATGAGGATGGCTGCGAATGATCAAGCGATGCTACCAAGGACGCAGCTGTACTGGATATTTTTCGTGGTTAGTCTCGCTCTATCCTATTTTTGGATCTAGTTGCTTACGAACAGCTCGTAAAATGTCTCGTAGCAGAAGAATCATCACCGCCAGGAATCGAAATCTGGTCCCAACAAATCCAAACCCGAATGAGAAGCGATGACATACCTGCAGCTCCTCTTGCCTACATCACTTCACGCTTCACAGACTTATACGCATCAGTCAAAAGCGGAAGACTAGTAGATTCAGAACTCATCATCCAGCAAGCAACAGCACTAGAAATCGAGCTCGATTCCTGGGAACAAAATCTCCCTATATCCTGGTATTTCACCGACAAGACCCCAGAAAACACCTCTCACGCCTTTCAAAACACATCTCATACCTATCACAACTTCTGGGTTGCACGTATGCTCAGCAACTACCGCTGGACCCGCATCCTCGTCAACAACCTTCTCCTCTTCCACCTCTCCCACTCTCACCCATCCCGACCCACTGCACTATCAACCATCTCACGTCTCTCAACCGATATCTGCCACAGCGTCGCTTCGTTTCTCGAACCTTGTATCATTGAAGAAGGACAGCGTTCGCCGTATCCTGTTCTTTCCGGCTGTGTTTTTATCATCTTTCCGCTGGCGGTGGCGGGATGTGGGATTGGTGTTGGGGAAGAAATGCATGAGTGGGTTGTGGGGACCCTGGAGATGTTGGGGGGACGTTTGGGGATTGTGAGTGCGTTGAGGTTGGTTGGGGTTGTGAGGAGGTTGAGGGGGGAGTGGGCCGGTTTTGGTGGGGTAGAGTGATGGTATGGGTGTCTGTGAAGAGTCTCCAATTTGAGGATATCAACTTTAGAGCCAGCGATCTTTACCGTATCGTTTACTCATCGGCACACACGTTCATCAACCCGCACGTCGGTCAATCACCAGGTCAGCAGAAAATAGGACTACACAGCCACTTCCCGCCAGTGGTCAAGTATCCTACTACCTTCGAATCGTCACCATAAACAAAATGATACCCACATGATACCCCTAAACGCCCATCCACCTCGGTTAGCTTATCATCTCAGAATCACAACTCCCTCCTCTCCCCACCACCCAACCACAAAGTAAAGTATCTACTGTACTCCACACCGATACGCGAAAAGTTTATCTTACATTCCTTCGACGCCAGTTCCACAGTATCGATCCCACTCCATCGGTATCCTAGCACGCCAAACATCCGAGACCTCGAATTGAGGAGTGAGGACGTTTTCACGTCATGTAAATTTATATCTTCTTTATGACTGCAATATTCAATAAGGAATGCTTGGGGAGTAGAAGGCTCAGGTGAGAAAGACATTTGATCTACTAGAAGTTAGAACTACCTAGGTACTGGCATACCAAATCGTTGTAGAGATTCGCGAGGCCCACCGTACAACCTTCGCCCATCATACGTCCATACCATCCCGCTGCCACACACGCTCCGCCCAACTTTCCCAAAACCTAAATAAAGTAACATAAAGTCTCCACGTCACGACTTATACGAATTGGAGTTTATACCTTGTTTTTTATTCTTTAGCGCGTGTGCCCCCTTACGGGTGGCATGATGAGAGATTTCATCTCCATTGTATGGGTACATGGAGATTTATAGGTGGGCAATCCAGAGTTTCGAAATATCAAGGTTATGGACTGCGAGGTAGGATGGTCACGTGACTGCATACAATCGAAGACATGATGTGGACATGGAGCTGGTTATTGAGACTGGGAAGATTATATGGAGTAAGATCTTATGGGAAATGTATTTTGTGGGTTCGATTATTGAATGTCTTGTTCTATAAGTCTTCGAGGTATGCTTGGATTTGTCATCACGTGATACGCTTGACTGACAGGTAGATCTTTACTCGATCGATTTCCTGTGGCTGGCTGTGGTTGAATGAGTCATGGGTGGTGATTGGGGGATGAGGAGAGGGAATGTCAGGTACATAATTTTTGACTTGGGCTTGGATTTATGGAGATATAGTGAAGTGATGATAATACCAACATGGTGTTACGATGTTGAAGCAAGGGGTCGAATAACTCAATCTATACTAACCCAAAGCTCGGTCAAGGAGAAAACTCCACGTTATCACGATATCATGGTGGCATATCAAATCGAGGTGTAAGTATGTGAAGGTATTCAATTCATTATCGAACCCATATGTGAACTCCATCAATGTATTCATCCCCAAAAGGCAAGACCATGCTCGCTCAAACCGCTCAAAACGCATAACAGCGTCCTATCAACTCCCATTCATGCCATCAATCAAACGTTGTCCCCGAAAAACGCCAGCCTATCCCATATATACAAGCCCATCCCTCGACACATTTATACAAATTCCCGTCCCCATCCATCACCTCAAGTCTACGCATGACCCTGCGAACTAACGCTGCTTCGCGCGCTGTCCATCGATCCCTCTTTGCTTAAAGTAGCCATGTTGCTGACGCCGTCCGCTTGAGCGATTCTGCGGCGGGCAGAGCGCGAGGCGGCTTCCATTTGCTTTTTGGTGTGCTGGAACATCTTCTGAGTGTATGATTCTAGGGAGTAGGCGTCTTCTTGGGGGAAGGATGATGGGGAGGTGGAGGAGGTGAGGGAGGAGGTTGGGAGTTGTGATGAAGGCATTTTGAGTTTGTGTGTGGTTTCTTTGTGAGAGAAGTAGGTGGGAGTTTTGTTGTTTTGTGTAAGAAAAGTAGTTTTTGTGAATTGAAGGTTGTTTGATGATTTGACTTCGGAAGGTGATGAAGAGGAAGTAAACTGATGTAAATAGTGTTTGATTGTTTGATACTTCGTTCCTCCTAGGACATCAACATCCTATATACCCATCCTCTCTCTCACGCTCCCCCCTAGCCGCACCCCCAAACAGCCACCCGCACTCGGCCCAAGTGGGGCAAGGGTCCTCGCTAAGTCCCCTAGGGACCTCTGGCACCTCCCTAGATCCTCGCACCAAGTTTCTCGATCCTCAGCACCCATGCCGCTCTCCCTCGCGATCTTCCAGTGAGACGTGAATCGTTGTGTAACAGACTTTGGATCGTCACGACGCCACTTTTCTCGCGCTGTCATGATCTGTGGTTGGTCTAGCGGTGCCTGCTTGTCATTGGAGCAATGGCCGGGGGGAAACAATAGCTCGCGGAGCCGGTGGAGATGGGATTTTCAGAGGCAATATGGAAATTTTGGATGGTGATCATGAATCACCGGTGCGGGCACGTGAGGATGGGTGTCGGGGAGGTGGAAAACCGAGATTAGTTTAAGATATACATGAGACTAATGTGATGGTCGTGACAAGTGTACCACATCGACAATGAAGAATCTCATCGAACTCCCCAAGAACACATCTTTCGCAGCCTACGGCCCGTCAAATCCCTTCCACCAGGTCATCACTGCCCTTCAAGCTGAACGGTAAGTTTGCAGCTGAATCTGTGTTCGTCCGTGCGTCGTGTCAATCTTGAATCTGCCTCATCCAACGACCTGTTATCTTATCGATGATGTAAGGTTCTATTCCCTCTCACCCATTCACAGCACGTCTCCCACCAGAAATTATATGAAACGGACGCTCGAAGGATTCATGTAGATCAACGGCATTCAACCGGACCTCGCACGCCTCATGCGTGTGTTTCCTGACGATCTGGGAATGGGGGTTGGGGTAAATAGGAACAGGCCATGCAGGCACGGATTGTGGTGCGAGTATCTGAGGGTTGTTGCTAGATTATGGGAATGATAGGGTGGTGAGTATACAATTGAAAAGCTTCATTACAATAAACAAGTATATTGTGAGTAAGGCAAGTATATTTTGAATCAGCAAACCATAATAGTTGAATAATGGCCTGATTACTCCTTCAATACCACCATAAAGTCTCAAACACTCGTCATCACCAGAAATCCTACTCTCCCTCCCAAAACATCTCAATACCATATCTATTCCATCCCCCTAAACAAAAATCCCCATTCCCATCCTCACCGTCACCAATCCCTCCCCTTTCCTCGTCGACATTGGCGACGTACGCCAAGCGGCGCCGCCTGACATCATGCCGCCCCCTGATGGTAAGCGAAGCCACAGCAGGACCTTAGCATTGGACCCCTAAACCCACCTTTCCGCAAGGCTTGGCGCGCCAAACGGTTTTCTAGGGCACTTCGCAGACATGACAGTTTTAGTGCTGCGTAGATCCTGACGACAGCGAGGTTCTAGAGCGACGGCGACGTCGCGACGGGACGAGCGAGAGGGCTAAAAGGTGACAGGTTTGGGTGATGGGGATGACGGTGGTGACGAGGGGGATGTGGGAAGATTGGTTTGGGTGAGATGGGGTTGGGGATTTGACGCGGGATAAGCGCTGGGGAGGGATTGAGAAAAAGATTATAGATGGATGTTGGAGGGGAGGGTATGAGGAATTACGGGGAGTTGTAGACAGGCATAGGTAGGAGGATGGGAACAGCTTGGGGCAAAGAGGAACGAACTTTGCAAGCTGAATTCTGAAGGCGACCGAATCTACAAACTCAACAGAAGCAGCAACAACAAAACTCTTGCGCAAGATACAGATCAACACAAGAATTTGAAAATGCAAAGGCTAGATCAATATCACGGAGGTATCACCGACGGCAGCAGCATCGCCGACTCCTAACCCTACAAGCCTTATGCAGCAGTCCAACCCAACGCCAATCCAATTCCCAAGACATTGACACTATTGAACCATCTCGATGCGACAACGACAACAACCACCACATCACCAGCCGCCTCCATCTCATCTCGCCCTCACGATTTACACAAACTCAATATCTGCTCACCTAACAGGCGCGGCGCGACAATCCCACTCCACACAACGGCTGTAACCTGTCCTGTCCAGCCATACACCAGGTACGTATAACCATCACCACGAGAACAGTCAAGATCGACACTGCACTGCACTGCAGTCGCGGCCAGGCTCACATCCTCAGCTGCGAAATGTTGTCATGCCAAAACAACACAACCTGCACCATCACCGCCTCATCACGGCGTGAGCGAACTGCAAGTAAGCCCTAATTGTAGAAAAAAAGGAATAATGACAAGTGTCTGTCTCCCCTCCCTCCGCCTCCTCAACCAGGTAAAACCAAATCAAGCGCGAACTTGTCTCGGGGCGGCACTCAAGCTCCCCCATTGTCACCCGTCCGTCTCCCCGTCATACAATACAATACATAAGCTAGAAACAAAAATGACGAAGCATACTCCGCTTCCGCGCTCATCATCCTTCAAAAATTCCTGAAACAGAGCAACAAAGTATCCAAAAATGGGAATGTACCGAGCGAGCATGAGTGTGTTGTGTGTGTGGCGACGCAAGTATGAGATCATTGCGCTAACAACCAGTTTGCAAACAACTCGCGGGGCTCCGTCAAGAAACAATGGAACGTGCTTGCGACAAGGTAACAATGAAAAGAAATCCCCGATATGATGGCACTGGACTGGCAAGGCATAAGCGAGGACGACAAAAAAAGGGGGCTTGCGACGACGTGTGCTCTGAGGTCAGAGGGTGCTCGGTGTCGTATTGACAGGACGACAAACCTGGAGAGAAAATCCACAAAATAACCAAAATGCAGCCAGATGTGAAGATTGCAAAAGCGTGAGTCGGATCGAGCAAATGAATAGGCTTACCTGGACCGCGCAAGACATCATCAAGCAGAAAAACAACACAACCACATCTGCATGAGCGGGTGAGACAGAAACAGACTGATTTACCAAAACTACATCGTCCATCAATTCATCTATTGTTTAACCGATGCCACCATACCGCCAGAATCCTTACTCTCCAAGGTGGTCTTTGAGCTGACAGGATCGTCATGACATCTATGTTGTGTTTGGGAAGCGCAACCGAAATTCTCCTTCTGCCCCTTCTGATATCCCGTTCACCGCATGTGTACAGTCTTCTGACCGGATCGCAATCTGTTCCTCTAGCAATCTCTGTTCTGGCGTATAGCATCCACCGATATTGGTGTGCTGTGTCTTGATTCTGCAGTTCCCACAAGAGAAGTGCCAGCGATCTAGCTAATCAGCAAGCATTGTTGGAAGAACTTGCCCTGGCTCCATGACTTCCTTTTGTATTGGTTTTTGAGGAGCCTTTTGCGGTGCCTGTGTTGGCTCTATCTCAACCGAATGGATGCTAGCCAGCGGGATGATCGAAGATTCCCTTCTCTTTCCTGCATTCGGCCTTGGAAGAAGTTCCTCTTGCTCCTCTCCGGTAAGTGTCTCATACTCCAATGCTTTCACAAGTTTGTAGATCAGAACGGCGAGGATCGTACCAGAAATTGGTCCAACCCAGTATATCCAGTGGTATGAGGTGAACGACTTCGTAACGATGCAAGGTGCCAATGATCGAGCTGGATTTAGAGAACCTCCAGTCCAAAATACACCTGTAGGTTATCGTTAGCGACATACTTTCTCATGGCTTAGGGTCCTCACCAACTAGTTCTGCGATAAACAATGACAGTCCAATACCGATAGGTGCCAGGAAAGTTGCCGCATGCTTTTCAGCAGCCAACATGAAGATTGTAAAGATGAGTTGCGCAGTCAAGATCATCTCAATAAGAACACCCTGCGCAACAGAGATATCACCACCGAGTTCTGTACTAACATGAAGCCCTCCATTAAACAAAGCCTCAACCATATACGACGCCGCAATCGTAGCCACGAACTGCGTAACAGTAAGAACCGCACAACGAACCCAAGTTATGGCGCCGATCAAAGCCATCCCCAGCGAAACCTATCACCAGATCAGTTACCACCTCCCATCATCCACCACAACAGGTAAGACCTCGAACATACCACCGGATTAAACAACCCCCCACTAACCCTAAAAAAGATCCACACGAAAATCAACAGCGAGAACCCCGCCGACAGCGACACATACAACAACAACGCCGGGTTCTTCGAGGCCGTGCCCGTCGATACGCCCTCGTTCTGTTTCTTGTTGGACGACGCGGCGGCGACCTCGCCGCCCGCGAACGCGAAGAATATGAAGCATAAGGTGCCGAGGAACTCGCCGATGATGGCGACGACGGTGCCGCGCGCGCCGTCTGGGAGGGCGGAGAAGATGCGGCGGAAAACGTGTTTGAGCGGGTCGACGCGTGAGAGGGTTGTGGGGGATTTGTGGATGTTCATCGTGGGTGCGCGCTCCATGGTGAGGGTGAGGGTTGAGGTGGCTAGGTGGTAGGTAGGTGGTGATGGGATGGTGATGGTGTACTAGGGGTATGTTGTGTGGTAATGACTGGTATGTGAGGTTGAGAGTATGTGCATGGGGATTAAGTCGACGATATGGGATATGTGATGGTGTTGTGAAGAGAACTATTGAGATTCAGGTATACTTGGTTGTCAGGTATGATAAGGAAGCTTCGGTCTTGGATTTGGCAAGTGCTAACATGAGGAAAGAACGACGACTCGGATTTTGTATGGGTGATGGCCCTGCCATTTTCGGCGACAGCGACAGAATATAGAAACGGTGAGTAAATAAAATTCCTTTATTAGCAATATGTCGAATTTCTAAAGTCTCGACCGAGCGATCGTTAATTGCACACATGAAATATCACATCTGATACAACAAGCAGAATGCTACTTTCCAACCTCAATCAAGCAAGACCCGACTCAAATCCCGCCCTCCTCTCTCCCCTCACAGCTAACCTATATCAAACCATCACATCCATCCCCAAGAACTTTTGAAATCTCAAATCCCTCCCTACGCTCACCCACAAACTCTCCATCTCATCTCATCTCCACACACATCTGAACCACCAATATTCCACACCCTGCAAAACCATCATCATTAAAAAGATCAATACGTTTGCAGCTCAGCCATTCGCTAGCCTCACAATGAAAAGTACTTCGCTGATTCTGTGGCGTGTTAGTGATAATTTCACAATCTCAAGGATGAGAGGAGTGTTGGTGTGGATTATCTCAAGGTTAGTGATTGTTTTGAATATGCGCATGCCATGTAAGGTGGTATAGCCGATTGGATGAACGGGGAGAAGACATCAAGATCTCATACCTACATCACTTCACAAGCGGACGCAAACACCCGCTTGAGAAACAAACATAACCCAGCTCACCTACACACCTACTCCGCAGAGATATGCAACCAGAACTCCCAGGTTTTAGCACACTTCTCCACCACTGCACATTGTAACATTGCAGCACTATCATTCGGTTCGATCAGCTCGGACAGCGGATTGTGTGTTATGTCAATGATATCATGTTAGTCAGTCGTGTATAGCATAGAGATAGATCTCGTAGGGGGTACCAAGAGCGCACAATATCATCTCCCAGACGCACAATCGACACCCTCCGCGCACAGTTTCTCTTCATGCGACCAAAGATCGGAACCACCCAGATTTACGCTGCTAAAAAGTGACGCGTTACCTGAGCACTCACATCAAGGATTTCCTCGCTCTCACAATGAAAGAAGTAGCAGTTATACTCTACCCCTTTTTGTGATGTTAGGATATAGATATCTCTGCATTAACTTTTTGCAAGGGTAGACGCAGAGTGAGAAGTGGAGTGTCGTATGATATTTTACGTAGATGAGATTAGATATCGATTCTCGGCGGAAGATGTGAGTGGATGTTCTGGTTTGTGGTATGAGCTTGAGTTTGGATTGGCGGGGTGTTTGGATACTTAGGGCTCATTTTCAAGCGTGGTTTAGTTTAAGTCGGTGGAGCACTATTTCGACATTCCATCTCAGATACGGTCCGTAAATTGAGCAAGCTACATTTCTTTTTATATTTCCGCTGAAATTCCACGTACTTTTATACCAAAGCACCTCGAATTTCAAACCAGACTCCAAACCTAATACTCAAACCTCTCCCCCACCATCTCCTCACTCATCCTCCACAACCTCTCCGCAGCCTGCCTATCCATCGCATACCCCTTAAGATTCTGCCCCACCTCAATAACCTGACAATCAGACAAATAACAACTCCCATTCCTCTCCACTAACGACGCATCCAGCGCAGCTCTCAAAGTAGTCGCGCACCCCTCCGCCACACTCTTCAACGGCGGTCTCTCACTCCCAGGCCCCGAATACCTTTCCACCCCCTCCGCTAAAAGCTCCGGCGTCATGAATTTCTGTAAATTCGTCTTGATGCCCCCTGGATTCAATGTCCAGCTCTGCACGCCTCTTTTGACAAGTTTCGAGCGTAAAGCCACGGTGAACAAGGCATTTGCGGTTTTGGCCTGCGCGTAAGCGGACCAGGCGTCGTAGGTGCGGCCTTTGTTGAAATCAGTGGATTCCCAGTTGATGTCGCCGAGGACGTGGGCCAGAGAGCCGACGTTGACGATTGTTGCTCCTGGTCCTGCGGCGAGGATCTTGGGCATGATGAGGTTTGTGAGGAGGAAGTGGGAGAGGTGGTTTGTGGCGAGCTGGAGCTCGTAGCCATCGATGCTGAGTTCGTAGGGAGAGATCATGATGGCGGCATTGTTGATCACGACGTCGATTTTGGGGATGCTGGTGTCGGAGAGGATGGATTGGGCGGCGGTGCGGACTTTTTTGAGGGAGGAGAGTTCGATGGGGATGAATTTGGTGGTGATGGAGGGGTTTATGGTGTGAATTTCGTCGATTGTGGGTTGGATTTTGGTGAGGGAGCGGCCGAGGAGGAGGATCATTGATGGTGCTCCATGGGCGAGGGAGATTGCTGTTTGTGCTCCAATTCCGCCTTCACTTGGACCTGTGATTAGAAAGGTACGTCCTTTGACATTTCCTGAAAAGTCGTTGACGATCTCAAGACCAGTAGTGTGGAATCCGTATTGAGACATTTTTAAGACGGGAAAGTGAAGTTGTCTGAAATTGGATGGGGGTTTTGATAAGTGTGGCTGATGGAGTGGAACTGATTGAGGTTTTGATGAGGTAACTGGAGAAATTTGATTATTGATAGAATGATTTGAAAACGGTATTTTGTTGTACTGTGGTATTAGATGCTGATGATATAAGAAACGATATTCACCAGATCATCAAAGAGAATATATACTTAGTCTTCTCACTTACTTCCCGACTCAATTCAAATATCTTCATGCACTCACTCTCCATCTCCAGACTCAAAGTCCATTAATCCCGAGACGGCGACCAAAAGCTGGAGTTGCCATCCTGACCCAGGAGAAAATTCCTCAAGTTTCCACGACTGTCCGAAGCTCCATTGCTGACAAGAAACGTGTATTTCATTCCACGATGGCTGCGGCACCACCACTTTATTTACGGCGCCATAAGAACTCCCGGAGAAACATAATTTGGCCACGGCAAGAGCTGGTTACGGAATCATGCAGGTAACATCCGCCTCGTAAAATCTGGACACAGCCTCCGAACTTGGTCCTAACAGCGCATTTTCTCCGATCGTCCGTTCGCCACATTGATTAGTATTCAATGGCAATCAATATCAAATGCCAGTTTTCGCAACTGTTCGGCATTAGATTAGGTAGGTGAATGTCATCGGGTTGTGGATAGATTGAGGCAGTTGTCGAGAATAGCCTTTCAACTTCACAAGAACCTCTGAGTGCGAGTCTCTCTGGGGTGGCTTTCGTAACGCAATGCTGATGAGCTCGTTGGCAGTTATGAACAAGATTCCATAGATGACGCATTAATGTGCTTGGTTAATAGACATGTACAGTCATTGAGTAGTTGAGTAACCTTCGACATTGATGTTGTTGGATCGTGGAGAAAACCTTTCTCCGCTTTGCGGCGATCATTCACTATGTTCGTTTATCACGTGATATTAAAATACGATGACTACATGCCGAATTCGCACAATAAGCTGATAACCTCGGATCGTCTCATCATTTGATATGCTGTTATATATGGAGTTGAAGTTCTTCGACTAGTCTATGACTTTCGTGTTCAACTCGAATCAAGCTTGCAACTACGTCTATCTCAACCTCCCCCTTAATTCTCGGTTGTAAGCGAATCAAGCGAATGATCAAGACAAGCCCACAAATTCCATATATATAACATTACAATAATGTTCAAATTTGTTAAAAAATTCTGGCACGCAATATCAACCGGATGGGTAGTCGAATATCCGGATAAGAACAATGGACCGCGCGACTTTTTCGATGGCAGAGATAGACGACGCAATGGATGGACACCAGAATGGGAGGATAGCGACTCGTCAAGGCGAACTTCACGAAGCAGTTAAAATTTGAATTAGCATATATTACGCCAGGCGGCGTATAGAAAAGCGTAGTTTGTCATGGGTTGGCTAGGAGGATTTCGATCGCAAGCATTTGGATGTACGCTGGCCATGACTTGTCGCATATCGGTTGAGACATGGAAGTTTATCAACGCGGCTGCATCTGGGCGAGAATATGGAGAGCGGTCAATCCCTATGCTTCACGTCTGAGGCGGTAGGAAAGCGGACAACGAAAATGTCGCCGGTGGCTGGGAGGGGGCTGGAAAGTTGTACAGAACAACGGTTGCATGCATGGCAGGATATTACTTGACAACAAGAAAGAGTACGGGTGTTTAGCAAAGAAATCTAAAGTACTAGTTCAATAAAAAATGCCTAGACGGCTCATCGTCAGAGAGTGACAGGTCATTTTTCAGTTTGCCCTTTCCCGATCTCCAGATCTGCTCGGATACCATCTTGGCACATATGTAAGTTGCTGAAACGTACACAAAGCTTGAATACTTCTTCATCCCAATGAGCAGTCGTCGAGGGTGTGCCGTTAATTTTGCTGGAGCTCGGACGTTGAAATTGACCTAAATTTGAGGTTTTGGTATCGGCGGCACAACGTTGTATGCAAAACATACTATCCTTGTATAGTAGTACTTGTATCACTTACATGTGTCTACTTCAGGCATTTCAGAAAAATCTTCGTCACTTGTTATCCACCATCTATAATACAATATCATCTCGACTACTCATATGTCTTTTTTGGATTTATTCTTGATGATCTCAAAATGTCAAAGCTTCGACTTAGGGGGCTGTTTATTGTTCTCCATATTTTCTGCCTGCAACACTGCGCTGGTTCCAATTGTCAAAAAACCGAAGGGTGCATAATTGGTGGGTCTGTTGAGGAGCATCACGCGGCTTGCCAACGTGCACCACTTGTTGAGTTGTCAAGTAGCTTTCGGATCTTTACATACTTGGTTGGCTAAGTGCAGAACTGTAGGCTCTCAGCGAGATGAGAGTTCAGAGCCTTTTCATGATGAACTCAACCCTGTTCGGATGAGGAGTATGCAACTGCGATTCGGCGATTGAAGCCTGATAGTTATCGTCTTAGCACTCGTTGTTCCTTTGAGGAAACCCAACGGCCATGTCATAGCAAGTGTGGCTTGTTCGCTGCATCTCACTTCCAGCTGTGCTTGCAAAAAGTGAGTCTTAATTCTCAAGTCGCAGCTGAGACAATGACGCTAGTCCAATGTCAGCAGCGGAACGTTACTGATTTATATACCCTGTGCTACGAACATCCACTAACATTATCAAACACACATAGTCCATTCGCTTGAATGGGTGAACAGACAGTGACTTCACTGGAATCGAAAGTATGATCTAGGATCATAGCTCTTACAGGTCTCAGATTATACGAGATGAAATATTAAGCGAACTCACGGATCTACCCAAGGCCTCCAAAAAGCCACATCTTGACAAGATTCCTAGCACTAATGCGCTCCACATTAATTGATGGTATCCAAGTTGTCTAGACTCTGTAGGTGCAAGGAAATACATTCTCAGTGTGCGAAATAGCGGTGATGAAGTAAGCGAATGAAGAGAAATAGTAGAGACGGTGAGGGTGGTGGTCAGCAGGGTAATCAGCAAAATGGCGGGATACTATCACAAGCTGACATCGTATCATAATCAGCGTGGCAAGAGTACGCCTTGGGTGCAGTCTGGTGTTGAATATCACACCCGGGTCGACTGTCAAGACATCAGTGGGTTGGAACAAAGTAGTCAAGGAAGTGACAAAACACAAGAATTCTTTGGAGATTAACGTTTTAATATCCTTAGCCAACTCATTACTACCTGACTGCTCAAGCTGTTTTCTATGTTCCCAAGCTGTGTTCTGTATTCCTAAGCTCTGTTCTGTGTTCCCTACGAATGCCGCGTACATGTTTGCCACCGTCGCCACGAAAACCAGGATTTTAAATTCCCTTTCAAGAATTTGCCGTCCAGCCGTCGTCATTGCTTTTCTAAGCAATTTATTGAATGGCAAATCTGGTCGGGGATCTTTCCTCATCCGTCTCGGTCGACATCAGCGATTGCAAAATTTCATCAATTCGTCCTGTATCTCCATTAGATTAAACCTCTTTCAACAATGATGCATGAAGGCTTACTTGTGAAAGATATCTGGGCGCTCGAACGGTCCACACGTTAGAAGATAGCTGATTTTCAGTTAGAGATGCTTGTACAGAGACTGGACAGTTACATGCCTGGACCTCAAAATTTTCGTCGAAGAGATCGCTGAGAGTCTTCAGGAGTCTCTTCCTGCAGACTCGAGGCGTGGGAAGCTTTTGTGATTTATACGTAGTTATGTCTCCATGTCTTTCAGAATCATAAACAGGTTTGCTGAAAGAAGAAGGAGATCTAAACCGATCAGCCGTTGAAAATATGTGAGTGGATGAAGAAAACATGATGAAAATTGATGTTGATGAGCGGCTTAATAAGGGCCGATTTTCAGAGAAAGAAGTGCCCACCAACTCTTATAGCTTTTAAGGATCAAGTGTAACGTCCCGTGGCTTTTAGGGCCTGTTGACCGAAATTGGACGTTGGATTGAAAACATGCGGGATGTTTGCCCTCATGTGCCTCTCTTAGGAAGGCGGCAGCTGGGGTAGTAACTGAAATCCTGGAAGGGGTTGGCCGCAGAATTTGGCTACCGGTAATCAGCGAAAATCCTCGAAGCCTATGATTTCAGAATGAAGGCTGGAAACTCTGTTCGCTCATGCGCTTGATGGGTTGCTCTTATTGATCAGCTCCAAACTGAGGCTCAAAAAATTGTCGGGCGCACGCGATCGGTTAGAGATGCCAAAAAAACTCACGCAGGCGTTCTCCGGTTGCGAGGCTCGTAAACAGAGGCCTTGCAGTGGGCTTTCTTCAAAGCCGCCTAACGGAGCTTGAATCTCACTGGTCGCTTGCCGAACAACTTAGAGATGCTCGTGTATTAGAGTAAGCAACTTTTGGTTGAGACTCTCTAAGTTAGTACCATGACCTGATTTAATTGTATAAAATTAGATTAAAGTCTAAATAAAAAGGTATGTTTCTACCGCCGAGATTTATAATTCGGTTGAACTCAATATCAAGTAACGCTGTTGCTTCTGTGTATTAAGATTCCGAGATATCTTCTTCCACCAGTCTTCTTATTTCTTACGGCTAATCCCATTAATCATAAGCAGACAAACGGTGTTCACTGTACTGACTTTTTTTACTGCTGGTCCTGCTTGCTGGGTTTTGATGCCCAGTTTAGATACATCAAGACTGCGTCCTAATAAAATTTTAGTTAATGCTTAGATCACCCTCCAATTCGATCTCTTTTCTCGACTTGACACAGCTATCTTGTCCGGGACGTGCTTGCTGTCCTTCAACCTTCGCTTGAGTTGATTTGGTAGGTATCCCGTTTTCCAGCTTTGTATTCATTGTTTGACCGAAATCTTACAATGGAGCAAAGCTTCATTGAAGATTCGCGATCAGTCAAATCTGGAACAAGCTCAGCTTCGGTATCTTATGGTTTCCCATATTTATCCGTCATCCTAGCAATTTTGGGGGCCGGTTTAGCCACCGATACCATTTGTAGAGGTAGGTTGTCTTTTGATGCCAGCCTTAGCGTACCTCCTGATTAGCTTTTGATCATTTCCGAGTAAGTAAACAGAATCCGCGTGTCCTCGTTGCAAGATTCTCTCCATTTTCGAAAGTAATGTCTCTGCCTTGATTCTTTCATTGGCTTTAACGACGAGCATGTTGTGCTCAATGATGTTCAAAACGTCAGAGATCATTGCCGATTGTCTTTTTGAGCTTCTCAAAAACTGAATCTGTCGGAAAACCCCGGCCCTTATTACAGCAAACCGCCCGTTTGCAGCACCACTGGCTTTTTTAACGGTGTAAAAGAGATCATCTACCACACGATCCAGTGCCTTCTCTTGTCTGGCGACGGCAAAGCGCTCTAATGCTTCAGAACCACCACTGAGCCATGTGACAAATTCAAGAAAAATGCATCCTAAGCTCCAAATGTCATATGCTCGTGAGACCAGTTCACCAACGGCCAGCTCAGGCGGCGAGTAGGTTGGGGAGCAAGCGATCGAGTCGGGATCAAGTCGTGAACGGGATTCTAGACGATGGAATTTGCCCAGCCCGAAGTCCGCAAGCTGAAGCGTGCCGTCCTCTAGGTATAGCACGTTCTCCGGCTTCAGATCCCCATGTCTTCCGTACTTATTGAGCGATGTGTCCATGTTCGGCTGCATTAGTCTAGATGCAGCTGCTGTTGTCAAGCGGCCGTAATCGACTTCCATGTCTTGGGAAAGAGGATTTCTTTCGTGTGGAAAAACATGGATCGTCTTCAGAGCAGAAACTAAGCCGTGAACCTGCTTGAGAAACCAATGACATGTTTCTTTGTTCCAATTTGGCATAGATATGGAGTGCCAATACTCTCCGAGATTAGCGGGCGCCCATGGAAATAAAAGATGGTAGCTCCCCTTCAATTTGTAAGTGGCCAACAGAGGTACGGTATTTGGATGCTCTTTGACAGTAATCTCCCCCAGAAAATCGCATTCGCTGTGAAACGCGCTTTCATCTGCAGAAAACAATTGTTTGACGGCCAACCGAGCTCCTTTAGGGTTGCTGGACGTTATGAGATTGTGGTGAGCAGGATGAATACGAACACTCCAGACCTTTCCATAACCACCCTGTTTAGACGTGACTTGGTCGTCTTCAGTGAACGGCAAAACTATATTATCGGTGAAGTCATAGTGTGGAATTTTGCCTCTGTTCTTGGAGAAAATTGGAGCCAGGAAAGTCCATTGATTACGAGCTAAAGAAATGATGACCTCTTGATCCCAATCCCTAGTTGCTACGATACCACAATCGATATGATTAGGGCGAAGACAACCAATGTGGCTTTGTTTACATAAAACAAACTCGGTAGTAGAACGATCCTTCCAACCATCCAGGGGAGAATCGTGTGAGAGTCTTTGGAACGGAAGATCGTCGTCAGTAATGTCGTTTTCGATGAATGCATGGATGGCGCTCGGGCTTGGTGCGGGAGAAGCTATCAAAAGAAGACAAAGTAGCTTGATTGCCTTAGTGGAGATGACCGAGAGAAATTGGCTATATTGAGAATCTGGCATGTCCGGACAGACGATACGCAGTCCATATTGGCCGACAGCAAGTTGGAGTGAGTTTAGTATGTCGGCCGGAAGGAAGAACCTATTGGATTGCTGTGGCCATTCCTTCATCTCGTACCGAAGCAAACGCCGTAGTTTCCTGATATCAATAAGAAGACATTCCTTAATATCAGTCTCGAGAGGAGTCTTGAGAGACTGCATGGCGATTTAATAATTGCCAGTCGTCGAATACGTAGTAGGATGTTGTTTGTCTCAAATTGACAGCCTCAGATGATGAGGGAAGTAGTAAAGTGTTCTCTAGCGAAGCCGTTGCAAGCAATCTATAACCCGAGTAGCTATGATTATTGGGCGTTTATGTCGAGGCCCGAAAGCTTGAGACATAAGGCTTTGAAGGCAGGCACATATTGCTTATGTTTTATGAACGCATGGTTAGAAATACTTTCCCTGAGCAGAGCCTCATTGTGACTTCTCTTGCATTGCAGCATAGTAATGCGTAATCGCAATGTGTGGGATGAAATTACAAGGTAGTGTCGGTTATGGTGGCGTCCTCTGAGCTGCCAGAAAGGACGGGTCGCAGGAGGGTGTGGTGGGATATTCCATTGTTCGGCAGTTTTAGCCCGATTATCTCAGGCAATCACAGACAGCTACTTGCATCCCTCATCTGCGCCCGAGATCAACAGCGGGATTCAAGAGTGTCTTTTGCCGATGCTCTTGCTGCGCGGGCAACCAGTCTCAGGCCATGAATGTGACGGCGTCGTTGTACGACCTCACACTCCTGCAAATTCGGGCATTCTTACGGAGCTGGTACGCTGACTGAAGGTTTCGTTTCGATTGGATTCTCGAACCCATGGGCGAGACCATCGGTTCGCCGTCTTACTGAATGCTTTTGAAAAGCCATACCATCGAGAATTGAGATGTGAAAGCTGTGTTTCGTTTTCGTTGCCTTCCTTGACCGATAGCGACAAGAAGAACCTCCAAGTCAGAAAAGTTATTATTGTAAGTGGAAGAGAGGCCGCTACAAAGTACCAGGAGTCAGAGATCACCGATAGTCGGCCTCCATCAATTTGCACTAATTGTGTGGAAAAAAAATTCTGTCCACCTTAGCGACGCCCAACAGCCAAGGGTATTCAGAGGGACAAACCAGAACAACCGACATAGGTAAGTAAATAAGCGTGATAACTGTCAAGATCTTTACTGCTATACGAAGTTAGAACAAATTGTAGGCAGTTTTTGGAAAGTTTTACCGGCTGCATCTCGGGCACTTCGTTCCTGCTAGTTGTCAGCCCAAATCTGGCCCCAAATTGAAAATTCGTGGTGGCTTACTGTCAATAATCTCATCCTGCTGTTCTCGTCTTTCGATTCTTGCACAAGCTTGTTGAGAGATACTTCGTTATGATGTGCAATCTGGGCGTTTTCATAGTCTAGAAGATCAGACAACTGGTTGAGGGAACCAAGTAAGCAAACAGGGTTAGAAAAGCAGTCAAGGATCATACCAAATGAGCAGTGCCTTGTGCTCTTTTTAGCAAGGTCTCTGACTTTTTTAAATTGACGTCGATCTCGTGTCTTTGCTCTTCCAACTCCTCCACGATCGACGAGCACGTACACCTCTTACACCTCTCAGCCATACAATGCACTTTACATTGGCGTTGCATTTTGGCGACAGTATTCTGGAGAGACTCAAAGATGATTTGAAGGTCAAGGATTTTATCTTCTATCAATTTCAGCTTCTGGCGATCGATAAAATTAACAGTGAAGTCCATCAATGGACTTAGGCGCTCTGATTCGCTTCGGACTTGTGTTAGAGTAACCTTGTCAGACTTGAAGTAGGAGTAAGCTCATGTCTAAATGCACTTTAGGTAATTCCCTACCAAATTAGCCAGTTCTTTTTCAACGCTTCTCAAGTATGCTCTCCAATTATCGTGCAGTGTACAAAGAACTATGCGATGCATCTCGAACGCATTAAGAGGCACATTGCTTTCGGCCCGCCGAGTAAGCGCTACTTTCAGAGCCTGTTTTACTCTCTGCGAGGGACATATAAGAAAGAAAACGTTTCTGTCATGTGCGCTATCGTACTGCTGATAAACGGTAGTCTGTCTAACAGACCACGGATCGTAGTCAGGATCCTCTTCTACTTGCGTCGTTCTATTGTTCAACTCAACATATCGAAAACCGTAGGCGCATTCTAGATAGTTTTAGTAACAAAAAAGCAGCACTTAAAGGGGCAAATATTACCAAATGATCCTAACTTCACATCAGTCATAAGAGACTCGAGAACGACAGGTTCAGATTGATGAAATCTAAAAGGTGCGTGCCCAATATCAGACTCTCTGCTCTTGACGCTGAATGGGGCGACAAAATCCCAAAAACGTTCGAAAACTCTGTATTTATGCATCAAGTATCCAAACAAGGTAATATTGATATTGAGTCGAGCATAGGAGTTTTTTTGACCTATTAGAAAGAGTTGAACGCTATCATTGGAACTCTTGTAAAATTAGCACTAAACAGCACAAGCGAGGAGAGGCGCACATAGATCGAGTCTACAGCTTTTATCGCAGGACTTCCCGACGAGTTCAACATTTTATCTTTACGAAATCTCCAAATATCTATATCGTTACCCTTCTCTGATAAGGCGAAGGTCTTTGAGAAGGTATCGTTGACATCATCATCGACAGAGGGTGCGGCCCAATCAGGGCGATCGAGTGTTACTTCATCTGAAGCTCTCTCACGTGTACTCTCTTCGTACAATTCGTCATCTTCGAGAGCTTTCGTATCGTCGAAGAGAACTTCTAGTGACTTTTTTTCGCTATAGCACATCATTTAGAGCGATAAGGAGGCGGTTACAACAATGGATAAGACTTCTATATCCCCTTACGCCGCAAGAGCAGGTATGTATACCACCGAAACCCAACACGACGATAATAAACGAAAATTAACTCATTTCTAGTGGGTAATCGACAATGGCTGGTGTGGCTTGTCCAACAATATCATTGCACCATTTTCGCCCTTCAAGCCGCAGTTTCCGCCCAGGTGGATTGGTGTGCTGAGTGATGGCGACATGTCCAATGGTTTGCATCTGCTTTTGTCTGCTGCATGTATGCCACAGGATGCATTGCAGCAACTGACCACACCCAAAGAATCTGTACCCCGGCGGCTGCCTTTAACCGAAAGAAAACCTTTTTGAAAGCCTTGTACATTTGAGCAAGGCTCAACAGAGAAGTGATGCGATTCTTGGTAAAATCCTGCAGATTATTATCGATTTTGATTTCAGAGTTTGCTGTTGATTCTATACATTTGCGTCAAGACTAATGTATCGAATCCCAAGACTGACATTACCGAAAGTGGTTCGCCTCCCATCTGCTCTGCCGGTGCCAACGCATAGTGCTGAGGCGAGAAAGACCACACCACATTTCACCATGTGCAGAAATTTGCTCAGGAAGTTCGGCTGACGACGTTCTGAATAACTAACGAAATTGGTGGAGAGATTCCGGCTGAGCCACTCACTCCAAATTGAAGTATGGCATATCAACAAGTCCTTGACGGACGATACATCGACCGAAAGAAGCTGGTCCGATATCTAGACAAGCGGTTTGGTGAAAACTATACTGCTCGTGTATGGTCCCGCAAGCCACCTCACATCAAGAGCTTGCTGACACATTCCAGATACAACTGAACAGATGGATTTTGACAGTCCCAACTATGCTCACAGATGTTAGTTTACCATGGAAGGGCTAAGAATTTGAGAGCCGAACTAACATCGACAAGGACGAAATTGACTATTGCTCTGTAGCCTCTTGACATAGAGCTGCGCGTGGTCGCATCCAGCTCAACAGCCAATCAAAGCGTGGGAGTCTGCAGATGAAAAGAGCGTAGCCGAACCGGAACCAGTCGTTTGTAGATCGAAAACTTGTTTGGGGTCTCAATAAAGATATCACGCAACTACAGTTAGACCTAAAGTTCGCGTTCCATCTTGCTGGGGGACTCAAAGTCAAATCCCCAGCTAGAAGCTTTCAACGTCTACTACTAGTATATGGTTAATGCTTAAATTGACTGAATCAAATTTATACAGCATCTTATGAGAGCCCCGTGGCTTTCATAAAATATTTTGGATCTTTTTGTGCTTTCTCCTTCAACCCGGCCAATCTCTCATTTAGCGGGCCACATCGAATGCGTTTAGTAGGATCTATGACTAGCATTTCTTCAAACACCATATCCAGAAAGTCGGCGACGAATGGTGAGCTGTTTGGGTGGATCTGCAGCTTCACTATCCATGCCTTAACACTTTTGCGTACAACGGCTGTCGCATCAGTGACAACAGTATAGAACTTGTAATCTGGCGTCCCGTTTCTCCCGAATTGTGCTCGAACTTGAGTGAATGCTTCTACTTCGGACCATCCCAAAACCAACCAAGTGAGAAGTTCCAGGAACACGCAGCCAAGGCTCCAAATGTCACAAGCTCGAGATATGTCCTTTCTGAGAATGAGCTCTGGTGGTTCATATGACGGAGATCCGTTTATCTTATCAGGGGCTATCAATGATCTTGTGGGTCGCCGATGAAGCTCCATTAAACCGAAATCTGCAATCAGACAGATGCGTTGTTGTTTGACTTTATCTGTCTCCGTGGGGTCTTGATGAGTGAGAAGAATGTTCTCAGGCTTGATGTCACCGTGCCTTCCAAATATTGGATCGTCGTCGGTGATGTTAAGTAATGATGCCTGTTCAGAGGTGGTCTGGTATTCGTGTATGAGATATAAAGCCGACGAGATTTCTTTGCATTGAAGTAGAACCCACTGAGGCATCCCGGCTGACAACCCTGGCATTGGGTGCTGTTGCCAGAATTGCCGCAAATTTGACTCTGCAAATGGAAACAATAAATAATACTCCCGCTTGTAACAGAAGGTGCACAAAAGCTTCACCAAGTTTCTGTGGTTGCGCGGTGTAAAAGCTTTCAGCATCTTAACCTCCCTGTCAAAATCTGGCTTGCTTGTAGCCAGGAGTCGCTTCAGTGCGAACGAAGGCTTGTGCAAACACAAGTTAGAAAATCATCCGAAATTGAACAAGGTAGCACATACCCCATGGTGAGATGTTTTGTAGAGCTTCTGATGAGCTGGGTGGATCACAACCTCCCAAACAGAACTAAGCCCCCCTAAAGCTACGTTATCGCCTCTTGCTTCATCTTTGATGAATGGCAAGATACAGTTATCGTGGAAGTCGTAATGATGTATCTCGGCAGCTGCCTCGAAAACAGGCGCGTCAACAGCCCATTGTTCTCTAGCAAAGTCGATTATGGTATCCTGATCCCAGTTCTGTGTACAGTCGAGTTGCCAGTAAGAGTCGAGCCTGCTGTACAATTTGTAGTTGTCAGACTTATCTGCTCGATCAGACCGTACAAAGGGTAAATGATTGTCATCTATCCTCTTTTCTAGAAAATCGTGTATAATATTTCCTTTCCCCAGCTGTACAAGAATCGCAAAAAGCTTTCTTGCTTTAGATTTGATCTTGTACGCAAGTGCAAACCGAGCCTTGATCGGTAAATCTTTTGTAGAGCCTTCCCATTTCAATCCGTCTGCGATTGATTGGGTGGTAAAGATACGATCCATGTCATCGACTGGGACAAAAAATCGATTGCTCCCTTCAGGCCACTCCACACGGGCAGCGCTCATTTCAGTCCTAATGGTCGAGAACGCAACCTTGGGGAATTCATGGAAAGTATTTCCATTCTTGAGAGTGGTCGTGACGGATCGATGTAGATTCTCGTCGCCGTAATCTACAGCTGATTGAATAGTCCTGCTGAGACCACTAGAGCTTCGATGGGAGCCGAAAGAACGTATCTTTTTGCTAAGCAAATTTGGATTCTCGAATCCATTTTGGAATAAGACCGGCGACGAGCAAAGACTTTTGCCAACAAAGACCGCCATAGAGAAAGTCTGGATAATGGAGTACCCAATGCAAAGACCTGACGGTGGTGGTTTACGGCCAGGGCAGAGGGAGTATGTCAGAATTGAGTTAGGCCAATCAATCCAAGATCGAGCGACGGCGGGCACGTTGTGAATTTAATACTATACCAAATTACTGCACAAGGATTTCCCAGTCACTAGACTGGAACGTCGGAGGCTGTGGGGTAGGCGCACTGGTAGGCGCGATGAGTTTCGACCCCGAGTGATTGCTAACCCAACGTTTGCCCACAACACAGACATGACTGCGAGCACCGCCTTCAAGACCCTCTGATGCATTTCTAATGTTCGAAATTCCGACACCAAAGGGAGTTCCACACATGATGTATACCTGTGTCAAAAAAGAGAAGGTGATCTTTTTTCAAACAAAATTGGAAAAAAAAACTGCGCAGCCTTGGTGAGATATCCAAAAATGCTCACCGATGACCCCTGTAACGGCAACCAGATACTACGCTCTCATTTAGCCATTAAAGCCGCCATGATCGCTTTGATTTCTGCCTTTCGTAAAGCCCAAATTCTAACGGAGCGTGATCCGCTGATCGAGGTGTGGAATTGCTTAACCCAACTGAATCAAGACGGTGAGCTTGCTCAATCAGCAAGCTGGGGAACCACCTCAAAGCGGATATATTTTGATGCATCTCAGAAATAGCGACTTGAGAACCCAACTAATACGTGCAATGATCAGTAGGTTTTTTCTCATTCAAAATGTTTCCACTTACAGAGATCTAGCTTCAATATTTTCAGCCGTTGACAATCGTTCCCATCCGCCAACGGCGCGATGTGAGAAATTTGACAAATCCATATTTTAGCAAACGTCTTGGTGGAAATTTGCGATGTTTGGCTACGGTCGAGTTGACGTCTTAGACCGACTGAGCTGGCGGATGAAGTGGTGAAGGAAACGCGAGGGAAGTCGCGACAAGAATCCGGGGCTTACAATGCGTCGATCGCGATCGACACGCCGCTTTTATGTCAGAAACACGCTGCTTTAAATCAACTCTCGGCCTCAGATCGTCTGAAATTACAACGTATCAAGTTCCATCAAGGTTTGACCGAATAATTTATCAATCTGGCTCTTAAATTATAAGAAATCTTTTATTGAATCTACAAACATCACTTTTCATGATATTTTCTGATACTTATCACAAAAACTAGCCAGTGATAAGCACCCCGCGATTTTCCTTGAACTTTTAACCCTCGACTATTACACATGACCATTGACACACGAACATTAATACAATGGAAAACTATAATCAGCCGAGTCCAGAACGAATCGAACTGCTTAAGCGCCTAGAAGAAGTAGTCGGTACTGTAACACCATATCTTTGGGCTGCGTGCCAGATTTGCGACCTTAGTGCCCTTGAACAGCTCTTGGGCCACCCCTCTTTCTTTTATGAGGGTCTCAATTACACAACTCGCCAAATGGTACGCTATTGTAAGTCGAATAGCCCTATTCCTGTACTTTAATATAAGCTAATAAGGACTTTACAGGGAGTTCTTCTCTTGGAGTGCAATCGCAGCCCTCAACACCAAAGACATCTACACCAAAGACGCCTACACCACAAAAATCGACAGCGTCGAATTTAGACCTAACACCTTCTATGCTACCTCCACCTTCAAAGAGACAAAAGACTTTAGATTCGCCAACACCACTACCGCGGGATTTGAATATCAAAAAGCGAGCAGAGGAGAGAGACAATTTTAGCTGTGTTTTGACAGGGATTGATACGATACAGGTTGCTCATATCTACCCACATTACGCAATGAAATATAGTGAAGATAGGAATGGGCTACGGCATAAGTTTTGGGATCAGTTAAAGGCATTTTGGTCCGAGGAGAAGGTTACTGCTTGGGAAGCAAAACTTTTCCCACAAGGTATATACGAAAAGGGGAGCGAAGAAGTATATAACCTCATTTCCTTAGCTCCTACTGTACATGAAATTTGGGGGCAAGGACTATTTGCCCTCAAACCAATCTCCATGTCGGAGGATCAGAAGACCTTAAAAGTGCAATTCTTTTGGCAAGAGAGACAAAAAGGACCTTTACCAAGAATGAGCCTTACAACTACACCAATTTCTACCGAAGGCCTTCAACAGACTACAGGCGCCCATGGAGGCCATACATGGCTATTTGATAAGAACGGGAAAAAAATTCAATCTGGGGATTGTTTCACGCTTCAAACCGATAATCCAATACAAAAACCACTACCGAATTTCGAGCTGCTCGAGCTGCAATGGTTTCTCCACCGCATACGAGGCATGGCAGGGGCTGCGGAAGTCGAGTGGGATCATTGGCTGGACACGGACTCAAACTCAGACAACGCTATTGAGGAGGTTCCTGGTCTTGGATTTGATAATGACGTTGAGGATTTCTCATTACTTTCTGACGAGCCTTTACCCTCTCCAGCAAAATCATCCAATCTTCCTCTTCATCCTAAGCATGTTACAACAGAGGTAGAAGGAGATGGAGATAGAGAAGGAGGAAGAGACCTAGTTATGTAGTACGGGCCAGATATTGGGCACTTCTGAGCTTTTGCATGTATTTTAAACGGGTCACTTCGTTGCTAGCTTAACAACAAGCTGTGTAATGTATTGTGTTTTTGAGGAATTCTACAAAAGATACAGCTGAACACAAGAGCGTAATCACCGACATCGAGAAAATAGTAGCAATCTTCTTAATGTAAAGTTTAAAACGTTAAATGAAGATTCGTGTTTTCCTCCATTACATTATCTTAAAATGCCTAATAAACTACAAAGAACTAATTTAGAAGTACAAGTGAAGTTTAGAATATCATTTACAGTATTTAGAGAGATTTGACTGTTGAATGTTAATTCAATCAGTTAATCAATTCTCTTTTCGTTGACGCGTGCTACAGGTAATGGAACAACAACTGCAATCCAATTAATTATCGTAATGTAAAAGTATAACTAAAATTACAATCGCTACAGCTAAATATACAGAACATGCATTTCAAAGCTAATCTGTTTAAAAGTAGTTCTTGTGCAAAAGTAGCATTTTTGGTGGAAATCTTGAAACAAGAGAGAATGAAGAAAGCAGAATCTTTTACATCTTGTTTTGAAAACGTGGAAGCCATGAATTCAAATCGTGCATTCCTTATGTGATGTCGATGCCCTTCAAACGAAGATTCGCGCTCACAATACAAAGTACATCTTCGCACGAGAACAAATACGACAGATTCCAATCGAGTCACTCAACTTACTTCATACCGTCTTCCAGATATTTCTGCAACAGCCACAAACTTCTGGAACTGTCAGATAATTTTCGAGATGCTTCGCGATCTGACGAAACAGCTATGGAAGTTGGCTAGGCCGGTAAATGATTCTGTTGTCCATGAAGGAGTCGGCCGCCGTAGAATATTCTAGGAGTTTCAACAGTAAGCGAGAACGTCAAATTAGCCATGTCAGTCAGGTGACTTTAAATTCTAGTATATTCTGGGTTCAAAACTGAGTAATAGTAGAATAGTTCGAGATAATTCCATGAGATTAAACAAAGGCATTGCGTTTACGTTCTGTGGTTTTTGTCGGCGACCGTAGAATATTCTAGCACTTTGTATATGGCCAAAATCGTCAGATTCGCAGGTCAGCTGATCGACCCCCCCTCACTCATCGCCAGATTCTATTACCCCACATCGAATGATTGTGCAACACGATGAAATCACATCGAAACAATGGCACCAGTTTCCAGCAATTTCTCGAAATCAATAGAATCAAGAAATCAATTATATAAACTTCCCTTCTGTCCTCCAAGTCGAGATTCTTTCTTCATCAGAAAACAAACAAAGCAAAGCAAGCACTCAATAAATGCGATCATCTCTACGACCAACAAAACTCAATCGACAACTCTTCAAACCACTCACACATCAATCACGCAAAATGTCTCTCTTCCCACGATCATTCATCTCCGCCGACCCAACCACCTCCTTCCACCCTCTCTTCCGTCTCCTCGATGACTTCGACGAATACAGTCGCGCCGGCGAGACCGGTAAACAACGACCAGGCCGCACCGCGCTCAAGACCTTCGCGCCAAAATTCGACGTCAAAGAACTCCCAGACAGCTACGAACTCCACGGCGAACTCCCAGGCATCGAGCAGAAGGATGTCGAGATCGAGTTCACTGACTCCTCCACATTGACAGTTCGCGGCCACACCGAGCGCTCTTACTCTTCCGGCACGCCACCAGCTGGTCTTGTTGAGGGATCTGGACAACAAGGCACGATTACCGAGGGAGGTGAGGGCAAAGCTAGCGAGGAGAAGGGAAAGAAGGGTGAGACTTCTGTTGAGAAATCTGAGGGTGAGAAGAAACCACAAGCCAAATACTGGGTTTCGGAGCGCAGTGTCGGCGAGTTCTCGCGAACTTTCAGCTTCCCGAGCCGCGTTGATCAGGATAATGTCAAGGCTTCGATGAAGAATGGCATTCTTAGTGTTATTGTTCCCAAGAGCAATAAGCCTGAGAGCCGCAAGATCACCATCTCTTAAGTTCAGCAACGGTCGACTCAGTTGGTGATTTTCTCATGGTGCTTTGAGTGGTGGACGATAATCATTTGCAACGCTCGGGGTGTAATTTTACGACATTGATGGTTGACGATGCGGAGATGTGGGGGACTGGAGGAAGATTCATGAAATTAATGAGCAAAATGGTGCAGGTGTAAAAGGTGAAGGACTTTCTATTGATCATGGAGTTTTGCAGAGTTTCTGAGCGAAGGATTTGAGCGTTGCACTTTAGCTTTCTGGTGGCTTTGTACTTAAGGATTGAGAAGATAATACAATGACTCACTGAAATAAAAACAGTCTTCTGCCTCATTTAAATGTTTTGTGATGACATAAAACTCATCTCCTTACACCCGAAATCCAGAAAGTCCAGTCCAAGTTCCAGTGAATTACTCGCCAGCCACATGAGCAAATACCTCAGAACGACGAGACACATTTCAGAAATGTTAATGGGAGATTGGCATAAACAGAACAAAGAGATAGGTCTGTAGGTCGAACACTCTTGGGTATCCAAATACTCCAGATGTCCTAGAAAGAAATGACTACCAAAGTTATGTGTTAAAATAGTATACGACTTTTCAGCTTGAATAGCAGCAGAACTGCTGCAACTTTGATTATGAATGTACAAATCATAGCTGGATATCCAACTTCGCATGGCAGCTGCTCTTGGACATAGTCTGAGATTCCTGATCTTGCTAATCCAAAAACTGCGGCCGAAAGTATCTGGATCACAAAAGGCACAACTCTACCTACCGGTGAAAAGAATTGTAATGATATATGAAATAATAAAACCCGTACATTTTATGGAAGCAGTTGATCTCTAAGACATCCAACTACTGCACAGTGTCATTCGGATAGACCTGCGGTTTGGAAGGCGGTTACGACAACAAATCCTGTTCCCAACTTCCTGTGAGGATCTGATACGGGTTGGTGGTTGAGCAAATGACCAGAATAATGACCAAAGTCCAAACCAAAACCATGCACAGCCTTAGCAAGGGCAATAAGGTTTTGGTAGTACTCCTTGAATTATATCTAAGCATTTGCACCTTAGTCAGAACCTTGAGACTGGTAGGTGGCTTCAGATGAAAAGAGACGTGGAAAACTGGGACGAGATACATAACGCAAAACAATTGGAGCAGTGAACGTTGTCATTTTGGATGTATAGGAAAAGTATAAAATCAATACAATGGCAAGATCCCGTATCTGTTATACGTTGTTGGAGGAGTAAGGATCTCATCCAGCCTGTGGGAAGACATGTTGAAATCCCAACATGTCGAACGCCGCTCGATCTGGCCGTCTATTTTTGGGTTACATTGCCAGGGTCTGACCCACCTCAGCCAGATGTACCAATCACGGCCCGTCCTTCGACCTTTCCAGAAAACGGGTGTAACCTCGTAAGCAAGAAATTTCATCGTCATGATTTCTTGGCTAAAAACGGCCTTCCAGGGACGAGTTGGCATTGGGAATCGCAAGAAAATTCCCCACATATCGACTATCAGCGGCTTTATGCCAGGCGGGTGAACAAGGGAAGTGGCAGTGGCAGGAGACGATACTTCGTATTCATACTTACACTTTTGGGAGTTACTTCACTTCTCCTTTCTTTTTCATCATTCTCCAAATACCACCCATCATTCGTTTTAGAGCGATACCGAGGCAGGTCTTAGACGTGATTGTCATTCCTCGACTTCTGGAACACCCATCCGAGGATCCCAATCACACCATCTTTTCTCGACGATTAATCGACATCCGGGTACGATCCGATTGAAGAACCCACTGGTTGCACTCGTACAACATTCTTGGTCAGGGGCGAGCTTCAAAGACCCCATCGTTGATAACCAAATCAATTGTAATTATCACTACAAAACGGTTGGTTGGCAGATATCAACCGCCTTTGCATCGATCACGACAATTCTTTGTGTCTCGGCCTTTGGCCTGTCATAGCCTGTCGCTGTTGCAAAAATGTTCGAGTCCACGGTCGTGTCGCTAATAAGGCGGAACGAGCCCACAGATGAATTGTTATTGCTGCTGGAGGATCCCTTTCAAGCTTCGGTATGTGTTCCTCTCTTCCGCACTATCTGCTCCCCATACTGACTTGTGAATAGCTACAACAAGGTTCTATTATTGCAGGTTTAGGTACATCCGTTGGCTTCACTCTCCTCCTAGCCGTCGGCTTCTCCCTCCTTCGACCATACAACTCCCTCGTATACGCTCCAAAACTCAAGATTGCAGACGAGAGACATGCTCCACCTCCAATGGGAAAGGGTGTGTTGGCGTGGGTGGGACCGGTATTGAAAACGAAGGAAGCGGAGCTGGTGGGGTTGATAGGGCTTGATGCAACGGTCTTTCTGCGAGTCTTGAGGATGTGTCGGAACATGTTTTTAGTACTGATGGTTTTGGGTTGTGGCATATTAATACCGATCAATTTGGCGAAAGGGAACAAGTTTAAAGATGCGACACCCATTCAGAAGATGACGCCGGTCAATACATTTGGTAGCGCAAACTGGGGGATGGTCATTTGCGCTTATTTGTTCAATTTGGTCATTGGTGGATTTCTGTGGTGGAATTACAGAGCAATTCTACGATTACGAAGGCAGTACTACGACTCTCCGGAATACAAATCGAGCTTGCACGCCCGGACTCTGATGGTTAGCTTAACCTGCCTCTATCCTTCTGGATGTACGACTGACTTTCTATAGATCAATTACATTCCCAAAACTCACCGTTCCGACGAAGGGATTGGTCGCCTGATCGACGAAGTTGCCCCTACTTCATCCTTTTCCCGTACAGCCATTGCGCGAAACGTAAAAGAGTTACCCGAGCTCATTGAGCAACATAACAAGACGGTTCGAGAATTGGAGCGGCATTTGGCAAAATATCTCAAAAATCCCGAGAGTCTTCCTCCGAAACGACCTCTCTGCAAACCATCGAAGAAGGACCCCTCCTGGGGCACATATCCGAAAGGGCAGAAAGTGGATGCTATCGAATACCTCACAGGACGTATAAAGGAATTAGAAACCGAGATCAAGGAGGTTCGGGCGACGATCGATAGCAGAAACCCTCTACCATATGGGTTCGCAAGTTATGAGGAAATCGAAGAGGCACACAGTATTGCATTTGCTGCGAAGAAGAAGCAACCACAAGGAACGAGAATACTCCTTGCACCTAGACCGAGTGACATTATTTGGAAAAACATGCCTCTGAGCAAAAGCCAAAAGAGACGTAGACGGATGATCAACAACCTTTGGATTACTCTTCTCACACTTGTTTGGGCCGCCCCTAACGCTATGATATCTATTTTTCTGGTCAATCTGACCAACCTTGGTCGTGTTTGGAAAGCCTTTAACAACTCTCTGCAAGCCAACAAGACTTGGTGGGCTATCGTTCAGGGTGTGGCATCACCAGCCATTACATCTTTGGTCTATCTTGTCCTTCCTATCATCTTTCGCCGTTTGGCCGTCAAAGCTGGAGACACCTCCAAAACAGCCCGGGAACGTCATGTTACTGCCAAACTGTACACTTTCTTCGTGTTCAACTTTTTAATCGTGTTTTCCCTTTTTAGTTCGGTTTGGAGTTTTGTCACGACCGTCATCGAGAAGACCAATGACAAGACCGACGCTTGGGACGCAATTGTGGATGCAAATTTCGGTGCTGGACTGTTTAGATCACTCTGCGGCATTTCGCCCTTCTGGATTACTTGGCTACTTCAGCGTAATCTGGGTGCTGCTGTGGATCTTGCGCAATTGTGGACTTTGGTCTGGAGTTTCTGTATCCGCAAATTCTCCAGCCCAACTCCACGGGAAATGATAGAGTTGACTGCTCCTCCGCCATTCGATTATGCTTCATACTACAACTATTTCCTTTTCTACACAACCGTCGCATTATGCTATGGAACGATTCAGCCTTTGGTTCTTCCTGCATGTGCCGTCTATTTTGTGTTGGATGTTTACCTGAAGAAGTACCTCTTGCTCTACATCTTCATCACCAAAACCGAGTCAGGAGGTATGTTCTGGCGAATGTTCTTCAACAGAATGGTCTTTGCGGCGATTCTGTCAAATCTTGTAGTCTTCCTCTGCGTCTGGTCTCAAGGCCTTGGTGAACATACCCAGGCATACGCTGTTATTCCCGCACCTTTCCTCATGATTGCGTTCAAGATATGGTGTAAGAAGACGTTCGATGACAAGATGCACTTTGTTACCACACGCCAAGTCAGTACTGATCTAGAAGCCGTTCAAGACAAAGGCTTCAACCCAAAGAAGGACAAACTTGCCTCACGATTCGGTCACCCCGTCTTATACCGGCCTCTCATCACCCCCATGGTACACGCCCGCGCCCAAAACAAACTCGCAGCAGTCTACGGCGGTCGACTAACAGACAGCAACAACGCGGGATCAGGCGACTCCGCAACCGTCTCCGGATACTCAGACATGTACGCCATGGACAACATGCTCGGCGGTCAACCAGGCCGCAAAGAACGCGCCGTCCCCGGCTTCGAAATGGTCCCCGAAAACCGTCTCGACTTTGCATATTTCAAAGGTCGTGCCGAATTCGCCGAGGAACACGGCGGCGGCGGTGTTATCTACGGGAAAGCTGAGGATATCATTCGTAGCGACACGCCTAGTAGCATTAGTGCGTATGGCAGCGATTCCAGACCTGGCACGCCTGTAGGCGGAATGACAGGTCGTCAACGTCCACAGCAACGCTTCGAGGGTTTTGCGTTGCAACCTGTTAGTTACGACGCCCCTGGCGATGTACATCTTGCGTCTAGTAACAGAGGAATGTATCATCAACCCAACGACTCGCAAAACGCGCTTATCAACAGCGCGGCGGAAATGCCCGTCGGCACGCCCATGGGCGGTATCGGGTCGAGGGAAACAAGTCCGGATCGCCGACCACCTGGGTTCCTTGGGGGTGGACCGCAAGGGTACGGGGGATTGCCGCAAATTCCACTGGATGAACCGGAGCAGGATCCGTTGAGTTATGATTATTTCCGGGCGCAGAGGAGAACTAATACGGGCGGGCCGGGGATGGGGTATAGAGGTTAGAGGGTGTATTATAGGAACTGTTTGGCTGGTCGGGGGTTCTTTAGATTGGTACGGAGCATTGGGAATGGAGTTTTTTCATGACTGTTATGAATTGGGATCGGTCGGTTAAGAGGGAGGCTTGGTATAAGTCTTTGTATTAAAGTATGCATGCATGGGTGGACGGGTGGGTGGGATTTGGGTGTATATATTGGGGGGGTATTAATTAATATATTTGATTCTGAGGAGATGAGACTGGCTTTATAGAGTGACATGTGATTGGTGATGTTTATGTACGGTCGGGTTCGAGGGAGGATTTGGTTGGAAAGGTATGTGAGCTGCTTTAGGTAATACACGCGGTAGAGGGGAATAGATAGGATTCGAAAGGCAAGATAGCTGCTATTTAGATAAGCTATAGTATGTTAGTTATATCTACCAGTTTCAGTACACAATACATCAAGTGTCCTACTTGCGAGTCCATCTTATCCTTTACATTGCTAGAATATCTATGAATCCGCCACTTACTAAATACACTACCAGGCAAGTCAACTTCTTTAAATTCACAAATGAGATGAGATGGGAAAGTACTTTCTGCCCCACTGACTAATTGGTGGTGAATAAATAAGGGACATGAGGTTGATCGATGTCTGAGGTTGCGGATTGAGGCAGGGCTGGTGGTGTGAATGATAATGCTTTTGGACAGGCAGGGAAGCGATTGGATCGATGGGATTGTAGAACCACATTCATGTAGATCGTTTTTGGAATCAGGTCAACACAAAAGAATCGTTCATTTCATAATTCTCATTTACTAACAAGCCTGCCCCGCAGACACCCTTCCTAATCTCAGCGCTCTCCCAACTCACAACCACACTAGCAGATTTGGTACCTTATGTCTTAACATCCGGCTCCGTACGTCCGATATGTTCCTGGAACTTCAAAAAGTCCGTAGAGAACTCGACATCCGACTTAAGGAAAACCTGGGCGTCCTGGCCGTATGTGCTTGCATCCGTAGTGTGCTTCTCAATGTACAAGCGGATCGTGGCGCCAGAACTGCCAGTGCCAGAAAGGCGGACGACGATGCGGGAGCCGTCTGAGAATTTAACGTAGAGACCTTGGTTTGGGGAGACGCTTCCATCGAGGTCGGTGTAGGAGAAGTCGCCGGCGTCAGAGACTGTTCGGTCTGGGATATTTTGTTAGTGTTTGCGTAGTGAGATGTGGAAAGAGCAGCATACCTCCGATCTTTGAGCCGATGAATGACTTGTCCTCAATCTTATCATTCAAGTCCTTTACTACCTTCGCAGCACCATCGGAGCTAACATTCTCATAATCGTATCTTGTGAAAAAGGTACGACCATATTCAGTCCAGAAGTCATGTTGGATCTTTGAGATACTAGGAACAACATCTGGGTTCTTCTCGCCGATACCAGCAATAATGTTCAACCATGCAACAACTGCCCAAAGACCGTCCTTTTCACGAATGTGATTGCTTCCAGTTCCGAAAGACTCCTCTCCACAGATCGAAAGCTTGTCAGCATCGAAAAGAGCACAGAAGAACTTCCATCCGGTAGGAACTTCGTAGCAGTCGAGTTTCTGAGCCTTGGCCACGAGGTCAACAGCTCCGGAAGTTGGCATACTACGTGCGAGTCCATAAACACCTTGCTTCTTGAAGTAAGGAATGAGCTGAGCATGGTGCGCGATGATTGCCAAGCTGTCTCCTGGAGAAACGAAAGCATTGGCTCCGTAAATCATGTTACGATCTCCATCTCCATCACTGGCAGCTCCGAAATGGATCTTTCCCTTGTCAACGGCCTCGACCAAGGAATGTGCGTATGTAAGGTTAGGATCTGGGTGACCACCATTGAAATCTGGCGAAGGTATGCAGTTTTGTGTGCTCGAGCTGGGCAGACCAAGCTCCTTTTCAAAGATCTCAATTCCGTATGGGCCAGTAACACCAGAAAGGGCGTCAAACAAGACTTTGAAATCCTTATTCTTTGAGAAAAATGATTTGATCAGAGGGAAGTCGAAGATATCCTTCAACATCTCAACATAATCTGAAACGGAATCAATAATCTCAACCTCCAATGAACCGTATGTTTTTGTGCCAATTGTCTTGATGTCGACTTCTGGAATGTCCGCGATCTTGTATGAGGTCAAGGTCTTTGAGGTCTCGAAAATCTTGTTCGTAACTGATTCTGGGGCCGGTCCTCCGTTCGCGAGATTGTACTTGATACCGAAGTCATTTTTTGGTCCTAATGGTGAGTGTTAGAGGAACTCCAGCAGTAGTGGGAATGAGTGTGCACTTACCACCAGCATTGTGACTAGCAGTCAACAAGATACCACCAGTTGCTTTACGCTTTCGAATAACATGACTGGCAGCTGGCGTACTCAAAATGCCATCCTTTCCGATCAGAAGCTTCTTGACTCCGTATGCAGCTCCAATTTTGGCAATCAATTGCACAACTTCTGGATTCCAATATCGTCCGTCACCACCAATAACCAAGAAACTGTCCTTGACACCTTCTGGAATTGAGAGAAGAATACTGGTAACGAAAGATTCACTGTAGTTCTCCTTTTGAAAGACCACAACCTTTTTGCGTAGACCAGAGCTGGTAGTTGGTTAGCCTGCTTAGAGGGGTTGGGAACGCGGGGTTCTAGACGTACGTTCCTGGCTTTTGGTCGGTGAAAGGAGTGAGGGAAACTTCTCTGACACTCATGATTGCGGTATCGTGATTTTCTCGTGGAGAAAAGTGTAGAGTCTTCACAAATTCAATCGAATTGTCGAGAGAATATGGTATTTACAAAATTGGGAGGGAGGAAAACAAGGCGGGTGTTGACGTTGGGATGCATCGTCCCATTTATTTTGGAGGGGTCGAAAACCTTCAGCCAATGGAATTGCATAGCTCTCGCCACCAAAGCGTCAGTGGTAATTGCCCTTGTTTGGCTCCCGAGTAGGACAGAAGAAGCGATGCTTAATCGAGATTATTGTTATTACTAGGAGATTGTTGAAAACTCTACTTCTTTTGAAATATTGCTTCCTTGTAATATCTGGCTTCCTCAATGCTTTCCAGAATATCGTCCTTGGCTTTGTGTAATAGCTTCTTCTCGGGCCTTCCTCTGACAACTTCCTTGTCACACCAGCGTCGAGCTGCCTCTTTTATTGTACTTACATCTAGTATGCGATGGCTGAGGTAGTCATTGACTTTCTTGTACGGTTCTTTCCGGAGGAAGGCTTTGTCTGCGTGGACACTATTGCCAGCAAGGAGTGCAGTTCGACGATTTGGGACATACTTCTTGACATATGCAAGGAGTGATTCGGAAGCTTCCTCGGCGGTTGTGGTTGAAGAGAGCACAGCTGCTGTTAAGCCGTTCTCACCGTGGGTTTTGGTACACCAGTCGTCCTGTTGCGTTGCTGTCAGTCATGGCTCGAGCCGTAGCTAACATTCTTGGATTCCGTACCATTTTGTCCATTGTCTCCTTCTCCTGGTGAATTACGGCGCCCCAGCCTTCCTCGTCTAACAGGTTGAGATCACCATCCGTAATGAGACAGAATATCTCGATGATTACATCGTTGTCGACATCGAGACCAGTCATCTACAAGTTGAGATGAGCTGAATGTCCTTGGAGGTAGACCAAACATGGTGCAAATAATCCGGGCTCCGTTTCCATACCTCGCAGTCAATCCATACTAGCAGCCGGCTGTTATCCACGGAGTCTCCCATTTCGAAAAGCGACAATTGAGGTTGATAATAAATTAATGTAAGGCAAGACAGAAGTCATGATCCGAATGGTAAATGATAGCCTTGCAACCTATTGCCGAGAATATGCCGGACGGGAGGTGCTCGGGCCCGAATAGTGAAAACCGATTGATCACGTGAAGGGATTGAGGAACCTCGTTTCTCTAATTTGGTCCCGAGCGACATCAACGGCTTCTCAAGAATCAATTGACCACCCCATACCCGTCATCATGTTCACACAAAGTATCCGAGCATCCGTATGTATTCTGCACAGCTAGGATACCATCTAGCTAACCTGTCCAGCGCTCTTCCATTGCCCGCGTCGTGCGGCAACAAGCTACCGGCAGCATCGCAAAACGAACTTTCATCACCCCTACAGCTGTCCGTCAAGGTGCGTAAACGTCCGACTTCATACTCGAACAGACTGCCATTGAATCAACGTTCACGAAGATATTCCTCCACTTCTGCCAGCGACACCACGTTCTCTGCGCCCTCCCGAGCTCTGCTAACATTTCACTCCAGCCGACTTCGTCCAAGACCTTTACCTCAAGGAATTGAAAGCCTATAAAGTCCCAGCTGTCAAGGCAAACGACTCAGAAGGTCACGTCCAGACTTTCACCGCACCAAAGACCCCAAAATCACCCGAAGAGGCCGACATCGCGAACCAGTTGAAGGCATACGAGGCATCTACCGTTGATATTGAGGGACAGGCTGAGGGAGGAGCTGCTTCCAATGCCGAGTTTGAATGGTTTGAGGAGGAGCCAGAGGAGGAGGCGCACCATTAGATTTGCAGCGTGGTGGTTTGGGAAGGGAGTGGGATGTAGACGGCAGCATGGGGGAGAGCGTGTGTGTAAAGCATAGGTAGAGAATGGGGAATTGTACAGATGGTTCGACGATACCAGAAATATCCTTAACCGCATTTTGTTCTTCTCCACTTACGATGCAGAGTTATCCGAAAGGCTCATGAGATAGCGATCGAATTTGCCAGATTTCATGACATATGGGTACTCGACGATTGCCCCAGTCAGCCAGCTGAAGCCTAGTGCCGGATCAGCACAACAAGATGAGACAGCGAGATAGTCCGGGCGGGTACACTGTCGTATTTTCGCCTCAACGTCCAGCACTGAGCGTAGCTGGTGCCGACATCGCCTTTCCGATCTGAAATCGAGCAGTACACATCTCTCACCGTGGACTTTCACACACGAACATCATTTCCTTCTATCAATTATCATTTCATAGCCTTGGGTCTTGCTTTTGCCCAGTGGTTCTTAAGCTTCAACGTATACATCGAAATCTCAGTCCTTGTCATATTCTGACGAACTTCACATCGTAAATAGCTTTGAAGAGGCATGGGTTGTTTCCAGAGGTCTCTAAGGCGGTCTCATCTGATCTTCGTTATCTATCATTTGCGTTTTATGATACCGTTTTCCTATAACTGGAGTCCAGAGGTCTAGAAATGTTCAATTTAACGAGATGTTGGAATACAACTTTCTTGGGAACATTGTTTACAAGCGGTTCCTCACCAGTCCTCTCATTTCTTTTGTCCTTCGTGCTGTTGGCATTTCGTTTCATTGATTGTTAAAACCTCCGCTATCCCTCTTCCTCAAAATCTTCACTAGCAATACCATTAGCCGGTTATAGCAGTCAGCAGCATTTCAGACTGACCAGTCACACACGCGGGCAAACGCAAAGATCATCATTTCACCAGGCAATCTCATCCATTAAATCCATGTTCGTTTCCCCTACGTCTAGGTCACTGCTAGGCCTAACAACGCATCTTTCATTTTCTCGCATTCATGGATCACAAATTAGCCGAGCTACATGCCGTCTACCCCACATCATATACAGCTCCATTGAGCCTCAATAACACGCATACAGTATCTTCTTTGCGCTCAAATAGAGTTTGTTCTGCATAAGCCGCGGCTCCCACCATTGTTCCGGATCTGATTAAGGTTGCCTGCATATGCGATGGAGTTGGCGACTTTGGAGGTCAAGAGTGTGTGGGGAAGTTTATCCGACCGTGGTCGAAGGGATTGATGTTGGGTAAGCCTGAGGAAAATTGGGGTGAGAGACATTGATTGAGTAGAGTTTGGGAAATGGAAGGTATGGTGTATTTGTTTGGGTATGAATTGATTGTGAGTGTTGATAAATGGTAGCAAAACATGCTCGGAGATAACTACTTAGCTAACAAAAGGATAGTAGTACACAAATGTCATATTTAAGAATTTAAGTGCGACTCCACGAATTTGCCTAATCAAAAGATGATCCGAACCCTCCCTCGCAACAGGTACCCCATCTGACTAGGAGAGCTGAGTTTGGTGACTAGGCTAAACTACACGCAGATTTCAACAAGTCCCAAAATTCAGCATCTTTTATATAGCAGACACTCCCACGAGGAGCAAAAGAGACAGTCCATATAACTCAGTTCCTGAAAAAGAATTCGACTGTTTTTAGTCGCTCATCTGAAATCCCGAAACCGAATAACACTCAGCTCTAGATCTGCAATCTCAAAATCCACCAAGATGTACATCTCCCTTCCCACCACCACCCTCCTCGCAACCCTCCTAACCCTCACCGCCGCCGCTCCCACCGCCGCACCCAAACTCCGCATAAGTGCCCTCTCCCCTCCTCATACCCCCTTCTCCCCTTTTCCCCTTCCCCTTTTCCCCTTCCCCTTCTCCAAAAAAACACTTCCACTAACCCCCCTAGTGCCCCTCGGCGACTCCATAACCGAAATAACCTGCTGGCGGCCCCTCGTCTGGGACCTCCTCGTCGCCTCCAACCTCTCAAATTCCGTCGAATTCGTCGGTTCCATGACCAACAACCCCCAAAACTGCGTCGGCAAAACCAGCACATGGGATAAACACCACGAAGGCCACTCCGGGTACCTCGCCGTCAACATCGCGGCGAATAACCTGCAGGGCTGGCTGGCGAGCGCGAAACCAGACGTCGTGATGTTCATGCTGGGCACGAATGATATCGTGCAGCAGGGGAAGAGCACGAGTGAGATCGTGGCGGCTTATAGCAAGATGCTTGGGTTGATGCGGAGTTCGAATGCTAACATGAAGATCATCGTACGTCCCTCCACCCCTTTTTCTCATACCCGATCCCTATGCTCACGAACTTTCTTAGATCGATCTCGTGATCCCCATTGGAATCGGGAGTTACCAATCGCAAGTCAACGCGCTGAACAAGGCGATCCCGACGTGGGTTGCGCAGCAGACCACGAAGCAGAGTCCGATTGTGATTGCGGATTGTGCGACGGGGTTTACGACGGGGATGTTGCGGGATGGGATCCATCCTAATGCGGCGGGGGATGCGGTTATTGCGAAGGCGGTTGGGCCGGTGTTGGTTGATACTGTGAGGAAGGCGCTGAATGGGACGAGTTGAGGTGGTGGTGAAGGGATTGTATATATTTGAGAACTTTGGGCATTTTGGTTTTATTGAAAAGTATCTTGTTCGAGGTTTGAGAGCGGCTTTTGAATTGGGGATATGACCTGCTCATGCTGAGTTTATGGCGGCTCCCTGATAGGTCTGTAGGGGAGCTGTGATGCTAACGCAACGTCAAAGATACCTAGCATACCCATTCTTACACTCCACAACTTCCTGCACCGAAACCTCTTGACCAAAACTCAATTCGTCATTTCCTCATTCATGACCTAATAAATATATCTCCAAGATTTCTACAGAGCCTCTTCGAACATACCCGTTTTAGATCAATCTTCCAATAAGAAAAACTTTATCACTCGAACGCTGTTTTCGCAGCTATGTTTTGTTGAATGCGGTGGAATGCTTGATTCTGTCTTCTGGATCTTTGACTAATCAAAGGATGTGACGGGGGTTGGAAAGATATGCAACTGTGGGCTAGTGAAACATCTTCGCTTGGTTTTACTTAGGTCTTGAGTAGAGGGTCTAAAGTGGAAATATGTCGTAGTTTACTGAGAATTGTGATTTTGGTGGGGGTTTGTTTGATAAGTCTAGATTTGGAGAATGGAAGTAGTTGAAAGTGGGTTTTGCTTCTAAGTCTGAGATGCCAAGGCAAGGAAATTGATGGAAGAAGTACGTTATTAGATCAAGATGATCACGTTTTGAGATGGTTTTCGTATTTTTGCAGGATCTTTGAACGGTTTTATTGTGCGGTGGAGGGGAGGAATGATAGTTGAACGTGTTTGAATGGCTCATGAAAACATTCAACTAAGTCGTGTATAAACCATGAACCTGGTCCCGGAAAGAGTGTAACTGAAGCTGGGCGGCAAATCATCGTTACCAACAGCGTGTAGCACCATCTCACCTCCCACTGTGAAAGCGCTTCCACCACGTGGGTAACCGTTTTTTTTTCTCCCAAAAAAAGTACACAAGCAAGACACATACAGTATGATGATCCCAAAGGCATAGACAATAACGTTTCAGCACCACAACAATCTAACTTTAGGAAGTCCATTATGACGAAAGTTATTTGCGTCATGTTTCGGTTAGCACCAGTTTCGTGGTCGTCAAAGTATGTGTTACAGAAAGGGCGGAGAATGGCCGGTCGAGGAAGTGGTCTTGTTGAAGAAGGTCGGGTTTGTACGAGGTGGTTGTGGTGATTGGGGGGTAGCTGAGGTAATGGAAGCGGATGTTTGGCGGTTGTCTGGAGGCAGTGTAATAAGCTGATGAATGAAGTGAGGGAATTGGGATATGTGAGGATGTACGGGTAATCCGGTGAGGAATTGGGGTTCAGTTACTGCTGTAATCATTCTCTGCCAAATATTATCTGCAGCAGCTTCGTATACGTAAAACTCGGGCCGAAGAACAGTACATGGGCGGCAAAATAACCTACTTGTTATAACAGTAATCTGCAGCTTGTCCACTCCGCTGCATTACTTGGTGAGACTTCCAAGCTACAGAACATGAATTACAGTGTCGAAATCTTCAAAATGAAATGAATTGGACACAGGCGTCTCGCTGAAGCAAATTACACCTCATGTTAAAGCACTGTAACTCACAAAACAGTGTTGAACCTATTTTTGGATCACGACTCCACGACCGTCCTCTCGACCATGTATCGTCGCACCACATCTCTGCTACCTTGATTTATGTAATCAATCAGGTGCTTCAGCCAGGATGGCCCCCGACTTCTGGCGCTTCAAGGCAATTTAACCAACATTTCGGCGCTTCAACAAGGATCGAGTTGGCGCTTCCGGTTATCATGTTGGGCGCTTCGAGGTGGCGTATCCACTTGGACCGGCAATACCGTGTGAGGATTCCAGAGGGCGGTGGAACGATCTGAGAGGTAATAAGGCTGATGCGACCGGGCGGGAGGCCTGGCAAAGCCACAGAATAGAGTGCTCTGTTTCATCTCTTGAGACTACGTATGCTAGGTAGTAGCAATCCGAGGAGGTCACGTTTTCTGGGCCTCACCTAAATCACGTGTTACCCGACATCCGCTTCAAACTTCGTAATTGTCGTAACAACCTTTGCTTCATCAACATCGTGGTACCAAACAGCGGCCGACAATTCTTCCGTGTGACCGGCGGAGACCACCGACATGCATCCGTCGTTCCTGCTCACCTGCATCTGCAGCTCCAGATGAAGGTTGTTGATGCTCCAGACCGACCTTTCGATAGCATCTTTTCGTGCACTCCCAGCCATCTCTTCCCACCCAAAAGCGTTCATGACGACCTCCCCACAGTGTAGTGTGGGGTATGAACAACTTCGAATGAGTCACTGAAGACTTGAAACAGACGATCTCGAAACATTTCCAGATAATCGGTCCAGTGAGAGAGACTAACACAAGGGTGACTCTTCTGGTGCAGCTCTGTGGATGTGGATGGGGGATGTCGATATGCAGCGCGTGGAGAAGCGAACAAGGGGGGAGAGGGCTAAGCGAACAAACAGTCGTGTATTCGTGGGCGAATAGGGGCTCCTAGACGGCATCTCGCTAAACACGAGAGAAACGCGAAGTAACCGCCCATCCAGCTTCCGGACGACAGAGGATGGGCAGAACGAGCCTTTGCTCAGCCACGCTTCTCTGCTGGAGACTGCCTCTATCCACGCCTAAAGTCGCCATCTCAGCGCTTCAACGGTCGGCAAGACGAGATTGCGGCGCCAACGCTGTCCTCCCACGCGGCACTTGAGCTGCCTGAGTGGTCGCCCTCGAGACTGTTGCGTCTACCGGGGTTTCATCAAGCACCCGCTCGGGCGACGATGCCAAAAATACAGAGCATTGTGGAACGGTCAGAGACTCAGTGTAAGAGCACGCTGAGTGTTTAGTTGCTGTCCAGGTAGCCGCCTCTCGTAGAAGTTGCGCAATGCGTGTTGTGTTTACCTGTTGCGTGTTGCTGGTGCTGGGTTACGCGAGCGCCTCGAGTCCCGTCGCGAACACAGCATCCGCATCGCCCCCCGCGAAATCCGATTCTCAACGACACGGTTTGCCGAACGCGACGGGTAGTCTGCATATTCCCCATGCCTTGTATATGCCTGTATATGCCATCCCACCTTCATAGTGGGTAATTACATACTTCTAAATATGACTCAGAGCCGCTGCATATCGTCGTGCATCCGATCGGGCCCAGTACAAGGCCATATCATGGCAACTAGTCCGCATCTGGTCAGCTCTCTTCCAGCGGCTGCATTCAAACGAACCATCTGGCGAGGTGACCTCGACCAAGAAACAGCTTCAAGACTAGCTCCCAGCAAAGTGGCTGCTGTTAAATCTTTTCTCCGCGTTTCAGAATCATTTAGACTATTCGACCCATGACTTTTGTCCGAGTATTGGGCTGTGTTTCTCGGGACGGGCAAGAGAAGGATAAGTATCACTTCCTCGCCTCATATCTGTTGGTTTTTATTCATTCGATATCTCGTCGATACTTGGTGTTCTATTACAGTCCGCGGTTCTTGTTCCACTTTGTGCTCTTCACGAATCTTCTTTCTTCGTTCCATTTATCAAAAGTTTACCGGAGCTGGCTCCCAATCAACAATAATTGCTAGTGTCTGATTGATACCCGTACTGCACATACTCAATAACACTTTCTTCGCGTAAGTGTTCTGATTGTCAGAAGCATTGGCCAATTACTAATATGCTTCAGTCCGGTAGCAAGCAAGATGTCTCTAGACTACTCTTTCTCGTTTGGTCCAACGACCCCTCCTCAATTCTCATATGAAGAGGCTCTCAATGACGCTTCATTCGTCATGGGTCACAGCCGCTCAAGCTCTCACGCTTCGGCTTCAATGTATTCTCAAGAATCGTCACCAGAACCTTTCACTACAACTGGCATGACTACTCCAGCTCGCTCTCCAATCCGCCAACATGGCCCTCTCTTGCTCCCCAAAATCCGCCCACAAGATCAAGAGATTCAGCCATCACCACCAAAGAGATCCAAGACAGCCATGTCATCAACTCGCTATAGACCAACTCACAACCGAAGCTATACCAACCCAGAATCAATCTCTTTCATGCCACAGTCAGACAACTTCCCATCACACACCCGCTCAATGTCTACTTTGTGCTCACCAGTAGCATTTGCACCAGCTCATGAGCGTAGAGCCTCAAGTGTTGGCCTTGATGGTCAAACTCTAGAGAAATTCGGCTTCCCAACATACCGTCAGATGCCATCATACGTATCCAACACTAATCAGCCTGAAACTTTCGTGCCAGCATATTACCAAACTCCACAGCGCACTCCATCTCCTCTTCAGAACAGCTGCATCCTCGAAGAATCACTGGCAGTTTCGCCAATTGATGATGGCAACAACACCACCTTGATGACATACCTCTCATCGCCAAACCCAGCGCCAGCTCTAGTCCGCCAACTCAACATCCATCTCCGAGACTCAAATACCAAGCACTTCTGGTGGGACATCCGACAAATCCGACCATGGACATCCTTCAACCCAACCACCATCTCTTCCGTCCCAGGTCTCTCCGCCCTCCTAAACATCAACCTCCCAACCTCCACCTTCCCCATCCCCTCCCGCACCTCCCTCCAACCAGAAACCGAATCCGACCTCCAAAACATCTACACAACCTTCTACGGCACCAAACTCAACGCCGCCCTCTCCCTCTCCCTCGGCACCCGCCACATCATGATGCGCGCCTCCAAATCCGCCACCGAGCCCTCCTTCATCTCAAACTACACCGACGACACCTCGGCCCTCATCTTCGGCCGCGGCCTCGGCCGCGTCGTCGGTCTCGTCAAGTCCTTCGACCGCTGGAACACCGGCATGCGCGTCGAAGGCAACCACCGCAAAGTCGAATACCTGCGCGGTCTCTCCCACCTGCACCAACACATGCGCTCCCACGGCTGCCGCTACGGCTTCATCATGACGGAGATCGAACTCGTCGTCGTCCGCAACGGCGGCGAATCCACCCCGCATTTCGGATACCTCGAGATCCAAACGATCCAACTCAACGCGCACGATTCCCCGGAAGTGAACACCTCCTTTGACGGCTCGTATGATGAAGAAGAGGTTAAACCCCCGAAAATGACAGCCCTCCTCGCGCTCTGGTACCTCCATATGCTTGCGCGAGATGATACGCTTCCTGGGCAGGTCGGCTGGAAATCGGAGATTGGGGCTCCGGCGGAGGGGACGAGACGGAAGTGTCTGCCGAAAGATGAGTGGATCCCGGAACCGCAGCTGGCGGAGAAGAGGGAGGCGAAGAGGGCGAGGGGGTGGGTGTGGCCTGAGGAGAGCGTGGGGAGGAAGGAGTTGGGGAAGAGGGGGGTGAGGTATAATTGCTAGGACCTGCTGGACAGGACTTGTGTGTTTAATGTGTTTATGGGGGATGATGGGGGTGTTGGGGAGATAGTAATTATGAAATAAATATTTTTACATTTATTCGCTCTTGCTCTTGTGAGATGGCACGTGAATGTGGCTCTTTACAACTGTTCTATGGCGTTTTCACGGTTCTACTTTCTTAGGGCGCTTTGAAATTATAAGCAAAGAGTTTTTTTACTCGGAAGAACTTTCTGAAATTTGACCTACTAGGATTCAAGTTTTCCATCACCTCACGATATCCCACTTCAAATCCAACCCAACCGAGCTCTGAAGCCCAGCACCATGTATCCAACACATCCACATTCACCAAACCCCCTTCCCAACTCCTTCTTTCTCGAAAACGGAAGCTAGAAATATAACGCACTAAAGACGAGATCTCACAATGCGTCTCAGCATGCTCGTGGTCAGTAGGGCTATTTGATTGAATTATGGGTGGGTGGGTGGTTTGTTGCCGAATGATAAGTCATCACCGTTTTTATTATACTCGACGCTTGAAAATAGGTTTGAGCAGAAGATGCCTCACAAGATAAACAAAATTCCCTGGCAGAACCACAACCGTTTTTCCTTCCCTTCGTGCTCTCGGTTCATGCCATATAGGCATCGATTCTCGTATCCGATCCACCGTGTGAGTCTACTGCATCGTTTTTTCTTTTTCCTTTTTTTTCTCTTTTTTCTTATGAATACAATGATTATATACCAAACAAGGCTTTTTCAGGGTTTGGTTTTTGTTATTTTGATTGGTTTAAGAAACCTAGAGTTTGAGTGGACTTTCAGGAACTAGCTCTGGGTATACGATATGCTGTTTATTATAACGGCAATGAAGCGGAAGATTGGTATTTTTTGAGTGGAGAAGGTTTATATGTAACCTAAATTACTTGTGAGAAGATTGTAAAGAATGGAATCGAATATTGGGAATATACTTAAACAGTGAAACACTTCGATTTTGTATCAGAATTGGGTGAAATACTGTTGTTGAATGCTAAACCACCACCCTTGTTAGAAGTACCGGTCTTTCAAATTGACTGTTGGTAAATTCCCGTTATACACGACACGCATTTCCCTGCTAACAGCACCGTACAGTAACCTACTATTATTTCACCCGCTGATCCTCCGCTATGCATAGAAATCATGTGCCTCGCTTTGACCACCATAATAACCATCAGCACAACTATCCTCCCCTTCCTCATTTTATATTCCTAGCCAACTCACACCCCCGCCCTTCTATTCCCTTAAAACATTTATTTAGCAGTATATTATATAATCTCTCAACCTCCTCAAACTCCCACAAACCCAAAACATCTCAAACTTATACCACTCCTAACTATTAACCCTATACATCTCCGTCGAATGCGCGAGGAAAGCTGGTTGGTTATGGTGATAATGAAGTATAATCGTAGCGCCGATGAGAAAATTTCGAGGTCGTAGGAATTGTTGGTTCGGATAAAGCACGGCATCCTGGTCTCGGTGGAATATCAAATTCGATGTCTGATACGATAGTTCCCCCTACTATATCTTGTATGCCACACCTCCTAAATTACAACTTTTTATTCATAGTAAGTGTATCTGTACTAGAGTCTAGAATTGGGTCAGTTGTTGTCACCAATTCTTTCCTCGTCACCGATTCCGAAAAACCGGTACCGTCAAACACGTTTAGACAACTCCCCTACACGATACATCCACATCGCCCTTATTAGAAATACGACTGTGATAAACCCTCTTTCCTTTTTCTCCCCCCACCCCATCGTTCGGTTACATGGATCATCGGTTTGAAGTGCGAAATAACCTTTTGATTAGGTCCTTGATGTTTCGGAGGGATTATTTATGTTATGGGGTCACGGTGCGGGGATTAGGGGTATGTTGTAAAGACTCTACACCTAAGCATTCCGCCTTATGTGTAGAATTTCCAACAGAATTTTGCTAATGAATGTCTGCGTGTTAGTATGGACGTCTTTGGTCTAGTAAGTGGTGTGTTGCTGGTGGAGGTCTCACTGAGGGGTGTGAAATGTCCCTGTGTTGAACCTGGGAAGGATATCAATGAGTGATATGTGAAGAATTGCGTAAACGCTCACGGTATTGAATATTTTGGGTAGTGGGGATAAGGTATGTGTTCTCTTGCGTCTTGAAATTGAAACAAACTAGAGCTAATCCTTTTCATGTTTGTCTATACTGTCGCGTTAATAAATGGAATCGCCATTCGGTAGGGGAGATAAGGAAGTAAAACGCCGTGTTTTTGGTCGAAGGTTTGTTAGCGTTAGATTAAGCCGTCGCAGTCGAGACAGGAGCGGAATTTGGTATCAAAGTGTACATCACTAACTTGGATCTTTTACATTTCTCTACACTTGAATTTCACATCAAAATATTCATTTCAAGCCCTTAGTATTCAATTTCATCAGACCCATCCAAACTAATCTAAAAATTATAATTCCGTTCTGCCACTAACCCTATCGATCTACATCCCAACACACCCATCATCCCTCCTCTTATACTCCCTCGAAGCAACAATCTGCATATCTGCAATCATCCTATTGATCTGTGCCATGCTCGGTGGATCCGGGCCCCTCGGATCACATGCCGAGCAACGACTATGGTAACAACTGCTACAAGGCGGCGTACTTTCTACTACAAAAGTTACATCTTCTTGCGCCTTGCACCTGCAACAAGTAGCCATGACCTTACCTGGAGACAAGGTTTTGACAGGAGAGATGCGTTTAGCCCAAGGCTCCGACTTTGTATTACCGGGGCTCTTGAGGTTCGAGACATCGGGACTGAGGGTATAAGGCGGGGGGTTTTCGTCAGTTGGCAATCCCGCGGCTTTCTCATCTGCTAAACCACCTATCACTTCGACTTTTTCGAAGCCGTCCGAGGAGGCGGCAAGAATAGACTCTTCAGACTTCTGGAAATCTTTATTATCATTATCAAAAGAATAGTATCGTTCAAGCAGCGGGTATTCCAGGAGCGGAATATCGCTTTTCACATCCAGAACATCGTAACAATGGCGACAGTGCTGGTGGCCACACCAACGGCAGTTGATACCTCTGGCGGTTTCGGCGCTTGGGGATGAGGTTAGACCGAAGCACATGTGGCATTCCATTCTGAGGGAGGACGCCATACTTGCCATTTGCTTTGGCGTGGAATCATTGGGGATGGTGGGTTCTTAAATAGGGAAAGGGGCGATGATAACGTGCCGTTTGTTGGAACAAAGAGGCATTGTGAGGGCTCTCTTTGTGTGTGGAGATAATTGTGACAAGGGATGGCTTTGTCGTTGAGGTTGGAAAATGTTGTTGTGGTTGAAGATTAAGCGAAGGGCCTGGAAGAAAATGAGAACTTCGAATGTCGCATTGGAAGTAAGACTGTTTTAGGAATAAGACTCACGTTATTATTTCAAGCACTCAAGCGAGAGCAAGGCGAAGATAAAAACAGTAGTTCAAATTGAAAGCACATAGAGATGAGTTTTCAAGTGATGACAGCAAGAGATATAATATCGAAGACACATTCAAGAGATGAACGGTGTGATGAACGAGGAGCTAATTCTTTTTTCATACTCAGAAACTGAAATATGTCCTAAACGCCAAAATTCAGTGATAGTCTATACATGCAGTGTAAATGACCATCCTGAAATCATCTCCACATCATTCTGAACCTGCTGGAGCAACATCCTAAACTGTGGTACTGTTAGAATACCGGGAAATTAATATGAAGAGAGCCATCCTAAGACTAGAACATGATGTTTAAAAGAAAGCAAAGTCCTAGTCGCGTTTGGTTTGGTGCGTTGAGATTTTGAAATCCTCGATCGTGTATACTACTACCGTATGCGATTCCAAAACGTCTAAATACGCGCAGATCGAGAACAGCAATTCTTTTATCAGCTCTTTCACAATTTCGCTCCTTCACGATTTTGCTCCTTCACGATTTTTGGTTTTAGATTCCACATGCGTCGAGGTGATGTACTGATAGAGATCTAATCGGTTGTCATGCTTGAAAATCCAGTGCTTTCCATGCGTTTTTCAGCTCTTTCTATACCTTAAAGTTGACGTATGTCGATTTGTTGCCCATTAATACACCGGATATCTCCTCTGCCCGTGTGGACTTTTGCATGACTATGGTTCATCAATAGCTGAGAAGCAACATTATTGTCTTCATGGTTCCCTTGAATTTCCACAGTTGAATATTCGCGTTAGGTCGACTTGTGAAATAGAGAAGACTTGATACCATAAACAAATAGCCATGATAATGTATTTAAAGAAGTCCAGCTCATTCCCTTGCCAATCCGAGCTTCTCTCGTGAGCTGTTTCAAAGTGTTGTTTTGTTGATTCTTTGTACGTCAATTTCGGAGGTGAAGTGGTTGAATAGACCTTCATGTGATGGCAGAACTGAGAACTGTATCATGACTTTGTCTGTTTACTTGATACGATCAATTAAATGCTGTAGATACATCATTGCCCAGCGACGGTCATTTAAGTTCTTCTCCAACTTCTCGACTTCTCGAATTCGCGACTTTTCGTATTGAGATTTTCATTATCTTATTGGTTTGTTGGCGACGATGCTGTCTCTGTCGTAGAGCCTCGTCGGTTTGGTTGACATTAGCGATCAAAAGTGAGCGAGACTCACCACTTCTTTCAGGCCGACTGAGAATAAGGTCGAACTGATCATGAGAGATCATCGCGATAATCATTAGACATGAAACGGGCATCTGAGCAACGAGCTATTGGCTGCGTACTACCATCCATGGCATGCATCGAATAGAAAAGTCTCTTATCACCATTCGCTCGATCTGTGATGAGTTGTGTTACATTCTTAATGCGGGAGCCTATGGGTTCTTCGTTTCGGTCAAGCCAAACTCAGCCCTGAAGTCAGCCGGGATTGGTCTCAAGAGGCGTCACTCAGCCTCAGAGACCACTACATATCTACATGCTCTCGAATATCTAACAGTATTTTGCAATGCACTGAACAACGTCGAAAATTCCATCTCGTGACATTATGTCAGAGGAAACTGTAATCGGACGCTTTAAACTCATGGCATTGCCAAGTGGAAAGCAGGAAAGTGGCTCGGGTGACGTTGTCACCACAGATAACGAGGAAGCCACATTTTGTACACAATGTATCAGTCTTTTGACGGCGACTGAAAAGGATTTCGACACGGCTAGCGCAAGATATAATGTTCCAATCGACGTTGCCTCTGAGGACTTCAAAGGCCGCGTCAAATTAGGCTGTCGGCTGTGTATATTGTTGGACAAATGGCTCGAAGCGAGCCCCAAGGATACTCCAAATTCCCCTTGCCTATGTCGCGTGCGTAATGCTACTGCCACTGGCGACTCCACTTCAGAACAGACGGGCGACTATATGCTTGAATTCGATATTAGATTCTATGGCGGCAACGTTTCCACAGTACTGAGATTGACTTCGCATCATGACACACCTATAATGCCACAACAACAAAACGAAACACCCGACTCTCCACCTACAGCGAGTCTTGCAGCATCATCAACAGCGTCTTCATCTTGTTTGGAACTCATTGAATGGTGGATCAATGACTGCAACCTCAACCACAAACTGTGTTGCTTCAGGAGAGATTTATCGACATCGTGGCTACCAACTCGGCTTATATTTCTAGGAGATGGGGTCAATGAGTTTCCCAAGATCTGTCCCAGAGAGGAAATTCCACAAGGTAAGCGTTACAATACGCTAAGTCATCGCTGGGGCCCAAACATGTTCAGTCTACTCAGGAGTAATCTTGGAGCGCTTCAACAGAGTCTTCCACTTGATCAGCTCCCCGCCACTTACTTAGACGCCATGGAAGTTTCACGTAGAATGGGCGTTGAGTACTTGTGGATTGACTCAATATGCATCATCCAAGATTCAAGACCAGACTGGCGACTGGAGTCGGCGGCAATGGGACTCGTATATAAACATGCTTGGTGTTGTGTCGCAGCAACGGCTTGCCAACAAGCAGGAATCCTGATAAACCGTCCTCCTATCGCAACAAGATGCACCATTAAGCCTAGTGGCGACAACCCCAAGATAGCTGCTGGGACGTATCACCTCTTTCCAAGGGAAAAGGATACCTGGGATAACGGAATACGCAACAGTCCTTTGAGTCGGAGGGGCTGGGTGACACAGGAACGACTATTATCGCCTCGTATAATCCATTTCGGGGAGAGACAAATGCTTTGGGAGTGCCAGGAGCGGCAAGCTTGCGAGACATTCGCCGAGACTGTTCATTCTCGGGAAATACGGGAATATAAGCTGAACTACCCCGCGAGTATCTCATGGCCGAAAATGTTAAGCGGATTAGCTCCAAGCTCTTACTATACTTACTGGCAAGATATCATTACCGACTACAACCTTTGCCAGCTGACGATACCGTCAGACAGACTCGATGCAATAGCAGGCGTTGCTAAAGACATACAAAAGACCCTTGATAGCCGGTATCTAGCTGGCATTTGGGAAAAGCATATCTGTGCTGATCTGCTTTGGTCAAACAAGTCCTCGCATGGCGTTGCATATCATGGTGACAACTTTGGAACCAGAAACATAGAGTACCAGGCTCCGAGCTGGTCCTGGGCATCGTTCAATGGAGCGCCCTGGTGGATGACGAGTTCTTTTGGCCGCCAGAATTACGTTGCCCAGTATGTGCGCGGAGCTGTGGTAGAAATGCAACCAGGGAGTCTAGGACAGGTTAAATCGGGGTTTATTCACCTCCGAGGGTCGTTAATCAACCACGGACTGACCATTCAAAACCTGATCGATCAAGCCCCACCACGCATCCCTTCGTGTACTAGGATTGATTATTATAATTACGAAATGAACCTGGACACCAACCCGGAAGAAGATCCACGCCTTCGAGGAATAGACCGATCATCAGCCGTCTATATTCTTCCAATCATGGTAGAAGGGATGCGAGGAGAGTCAGACGCATGCCTGTTAGGCTCTTCAGCAGCGAGGAACATTGCAATTATCAGGCGCTTTTCAGAAGGCCTTTTTACGAGCAATCCTGCTATGTTTGCTCTGCTGCTGCTGCGTACCGGATATGGGGAATTCCAAAGATTGGGGAGACTGGTGTTGAGAGAGGACACATATGTCTATGCCATTCTTAAGTATGTGTCGGTTTTGAATAGCAATGAATACCTTGAGCGGCATACGGATTACCTATACACTATAGGTGTTGTATAATTTAAGCTGGTTTCAAGGGATTCTCGTGTAGAGATCAGTTTATTTGACCGTATTTAATCCTCCCCACGTGTGAGTGAGGACGACGAAGTTGCTGATCACCAGTTAGTTTCTGGGAAAGAAGATTGTGCTGAGGATAGACTTCTTGTCTGCGTTTTAGGTGACCGATCTGGATTTCTTCTCGAGAAAAATAAAACGTGAGGTGATTCAAGTTGTGACTTTCTGTCCACTGTATGTTGTCAAACTTATAGAAATTGCTTTCCCAATTTCCGCTGGTAGTCTGGTCGTCGCCGCCTTATCAAGTCAGCTAGCCGCTTTAAAGCCATTCGTTAGTACCTCGGCATGTGAGAGCCGTTCTGACAGCCGAATGTGGGGAGAGCTTCGAATGTGGGGGTCCCATCAACAACTTAATATTTAGACATCACCCCTTCAATCTCAAAAACAAGAAACTCCTAGTTGCTCGAATTGCTGGCTTCATTCCCCCGAACAGACTATAAAAAGTTGTCATAATGAGTGCCGCCCCAGGAGCAGGATTCGAATATCCCCCAACAGAAGTCTCATGGCTTCAGAGGGACGTTTTGCTGTTCGCAAACAGCATAGGCTGCACAAATGACGAGCTTCATTTTCTCTTTGTATGTATTAATTCATACTGCGAAATTCTAATCAATTGACTAACTTTGCACCAAGGAATTACACCCAGACTTCGCAGTCTTCCCAACGTATCCCATCATCCTCCGTACGCTACCCGCTTGCTCATTGTCCTACGAAATCTGACAAAATCCATAGCATTCAAGAAGACATCCCAAGAAGTAATCGATTTCTACGCCGCCCAAGGCGAGACACCCATCCCAGGAGTCCCGAAATTCGATTCTCGTCGCGTAGTCGACGGGCAGCGACTCATTAAATTCCTCAAGCCTCTCCCCTCCACATCTGCCGGCCGCAAGTTCGAGCTCCGAACCAAGATCATCGGCGTATACGATAAGGGAAAAGCGGGAAGTGTGGTAGAACAACAACAGGATATTGTGGATAAGGAGAGTGGAGAGGTTTATGCTAGTGCGATTGGAAGTGCTTTCTTTGTCGGACAGGGAAATTGGGGTGGACCTAAGGGACCTGCTACTCAGAACTTCCCACCGCCTGAGGGGAAGAAACCAGATGCTACAGTGAGCCATCAAACTACGTTGGAGTCGGCGTTGCTATACAGGTATGTCGGACCCAGGTCCCACTCTATTTTGCTATCATCCATGGAGTTCAAGCTAATTCTCATCCAGATTGAACGGCGATTACAACCCTCTCCACGCAACTCCCGAACCCGGATCCAAGATGGGTTTCGGAGGAGCAATCATGCATGGTCTCTCATCATGGAACTTCGCTTGTCACGGCCTACTGAAAGCAATGGGAGGAAGCGACCCAAAGAACATCAAAGAATTCCAAGCCCGCTTTGCGAGTCCCGTGAAGCCAGGCGACAAACTCGTGACCGACATCTGGAAGACTGGAGATGTGAAGGATGGGTGGGAAGAAATTCGATTCGTGACGAAAATTGAGGGTGGGAAGGTGTGCTTGAGTAATGGGAGGGCGCTTATGAAGGTTGTGGGTGGTGCGCAGAGTAAATTGTAGATATGAGATGAATATAATCTATGTGGGCACATGGAATATGATTTTTACTGTGCACTCGCAAATGCGTCGCAGAGTCAGATTCAAGTGGTTGGTCTATTGGGTCACAAAACTCGGGACTTAGCCCTGCTTCAGCCCCAATATGACTCTTCCCCGAGCACCACCACTAGCCAACATCAACCACTACCACGGTACTTGTACACATGATAACCCCAAACAAAATATTATAATCGTTCAATATCCTCCCAAGAACAGCATAAACACAACACCCAAAAATCTAAAATGGCACCAACACGCAAACGCAAACGTCCCACCAAACCAGCTTCAACCACATCCAAACACCCCAAACCAGACACCAACGAAGACAAATCGCCTAGCACTCAAGAACCAAACACCACCCAAGAATCTCTACCAGTGCCAAACCCAGAAACATCCCCCCTCCTCTTCTACGGCCCCAACCACATCCCCCACGGAATCCTCTCCCAGCACCACCCCATCCCCTTCACCCACCCCTCCCACCCATCCACAACCTTCACAACAGCAGAACAATACATGATGTACCGCAAAGCCGTGCTCTTCTCCTGCCCCAGTATCGCCGCCCAAATCCTGCTTACCTCAAACCCGCGAACCCAAAAATCTCTCGGCCGAAAAGTTCGTGGTTTCGATGAGGGAATCTGGGAGAAAGAGCGGGAGGGGATTGTGGAGGAGGGGAATTTCTGGAAGTTTGGTGGGGAGGGAAGGGAGATGAGTGAGGGGGTGCGGAGGGCAAGGGAGGTGCTACTGGGGACTGGGGAGAGGGAGTTGGTGGAGGCGAGTCCGAGGGATAGGGTGTGGGGTGTTGGTTTTGGCGTTGGGGAGGCGGAGGGGAGGAGGGAGGAGTGGGGGTTGAATCTTTTAGGGAAGTGTTTGATGAGGGTTAGGGAGAGGATTAGGATGGTTGAGGAGAGGAAGGTTGAGGAGAGGAGGGTTGCGGAGGGGAAGGATGGGAAGGAGAGTGTTGAGGGGGAGGTGGTTGAGGGATAAAGAGATGGTAGGAAAGAGTGGAAGTTGTTCAGAATGTCGCACTGACTCTATGCTTGTAATGAATGATCGATCACCATTATTACAACACGGAATTTGGGAACAAACCGTGGAAGAATATTCCAGCAGAAAACAGAATGTGGAAGAAAGTCAATTCCTATCTGTCTATGTCCAATACTATGGAACGATAAGATATAGCCCCTCATAATTATCATTATCACCGTCCAAAGATGACTTTTCTTCCTCTGATGCCGCCCCTATAACTTCTTTTCCGAAGTCATTGGTGCCAAACTCGTCCGACTGAAACATCAAGTGCATATAAAGTGATCGTTGCCCAAAAGCCTTAACCCCAAGCAACAGAAATTCAGTCTGAACGTTGAATAGTCCCCAGAACCACACGATAGGCCATAGCGATATTTTCTAAATCCACCTCACGCAGAGGGACCACCCATTCAAACGGGAGGAAGATTGTTAATATTCCCTTTGCCATCCTTAATCCAATCAGGATCAATTAACCTCTCTTTCTCATTGTAGAGATGTTTGTAGGCGGTACGGATGGTTCCATCGCTGACACCGGCAACGACCGAGATTTCTTTCGGTGTTTTTGGTTTGCCAAGTAGATGAGAGGCCATGTAGATGCAAGCTGCCGCGACTGACAGAGGCGAGCGTCCTGCAAGCTCAGCGACAGTAGGCGTTTTCTCGGCAAGTCCAGATGAGACCTTGACGAATTGTTGAGACTTGAGCCCAAGTTGACTGCAGTAACGAAGGCACAGATCGACCGCATTGGTAGACTGTGTATTCTTGTATTCTTCTTTGGGGGGCCCTTTGAAGGTTGATGTTAATAACTTTCACTTTATACATAGCATATCTACACAGCTTACCGTTTACCGCATTCTGCTTCGCATTGTTTTGCTTGCCAAAAAATGCCTCGAGCGACTTGAAAACCCGACCAATATCCTTCTTTGAGACCTTCGTCAGGGCGAAGATTTCTCGGAAAGTTCGTGGGACATTGCACTGGCGGCATGCGATAAAGATACATCCGGCGATGATAGCATCTTGCGACTTGCCCTTGAAGGCTTTGCCATCGTCGACTTGCTTGAACAAGTACTTTGCAGTATCAGAGACATTCTTGGGAATATTGACAGCATCACAATGGGCACCGATTTCTTTGTAAGCGGCAAGAAGACTCTTGGTGGATTTGTCGTTGCCGGTTTTACCTTGGGCACGGAGTAGATCTCTGCTTCGGGCGTTACCATCGCCATAAGCAATGGTGGTTTGGAGTTGAGAACCGTTGAGAAGAACGTTAGGACCATCACCTACACGAGATGGATCGTCGTTGCCTTGATCATCGTTCGCGAATGTACGCCACTCGGATCGACTATCCACCACGCGCTCTCCGAGGACGAGGCCGCAAGATGCGCAGACCATGTCTCCTGAAGAGAACTCCTCCACGAGATTAGGAGGGTACTCCTTACAATCCTTGCACATCAAGGTCATGTTGAGGTTGTCTGCCCAACCTTCGCCTCCATTTTCAGGCTGCGCTTGTTGAGTCATCATCTTGGGTTGGTAACGTTTTGGCCGATAGATGTTATCGAGTTCGTCGAACACTGGACGACGAGGTTTGCGACGACGGACTTCCTTGCGCTTCTTCGATACCGCTTTTCGTGTTCTTTGGTCTTTGGTCGGCTTGGTACAGAGAAGTGTTGTAGTAAGCTTCTTGAAGAGTGGAGAATGCAGTTTGGCGGTATTTTAAAGGCAAGCGTCAGACGCAGTGACGAATCTCGTGCAGTGTATTCTATTCACCAAACGCTCTGGGGAAGCGCTTCTGAATAGAAAGCGAATCTGCGGTTAATCTGGCGATACCGAAATCTGTTCGTTGCGAAGCTGAACCGAATGATCAAGATCGTGAAGAATTCCTGAATGGATACAGGAAAGTGACGTCGAGACCGTTCGAGAACCTGTCGAACCGAGAGACGTGGAAGCGTCGACTAAGAGATAGGGTATGGGTGAATCAAGAAAATGCGTGTCGAGGATGAGGTATTGAGAAATGGGTGTGGAGGAATGTGGGAGAAGGGTGAACTTTGCGACCGTCGCCCGACGATGAATTCTACAGAACAAGATGGGACCAGTAAAGGCGTCTGCGGAGTTCAAAACCGTGGAAGTTGTCAGTTACTATCGCTGGAAAGATGACCGGCAGCTTTTGGTTGTTTGAAAGCGACAGTTTGCGACGTTCTTCGTTATGGCGAGCGAGCGTGAAGAGGAGATGAGGAGGAGAAGTCTGCGACCGATGCGTGCCTAGAAGATATGCGAGAAAGTTGGGATCATCACGTGGGCATGAATCGGGCGGAGCCAAATCGAATGTGCACGAATGTGCTTCGAACCCCACCACTTTTTACTAAGGACGCATTCCTCTTCTGATTATTGTATATTGTGCCGTCATAATCAGTCACTAGGACAATCCGATCGATTATTTACTTTAGCAACGTAAATGAATGTTCCTTCTGACACAATATCACCTGACTCTCAAGACTTGGATTAAAATAGATCCACTTTTATGTTTGGAGCACCCGACCGTCTAGACCCACCTACCGGATTACGGAGCCAAAGCTGCCTGAGATCTCGCTACGCGACTTTTGGAAGCTCGAAGCAGCTGTGAGAGCACCTGCAGTACATCTTCAATCTTGACATCACCTCAATCAATCCTTCCTAACCGCATCACCACCGGACTTTCACAAACCGAACTATATCCCATATACGTACAACATGTCCACCTTGGAAGATCTCGATGACCTTGAGCGCGAGAACAAGGAGGATAAGAATGGCGATGGCGACAAAGACAAGAAGTCCAAGAAGTCCGACCAAAATGGCGATGCTGAGATGAAGGATGCGGAGCCAGAGGACAAAGAAGAGGATCCTATAGATGAGGAAATCTATAATCTGAGCACACAAGATATTCTTACACGGAGGAGGTTGTTAGAAAATGATTCTCGAATCATGAAGAGCGAGTTCCAGCGGTTATCACACGAGAAATCTACGATGGGCGAGAAGATTAAGGACAATCTAGACAAGATCGAGAACAATCGGTATGTACTGGTGGATGGAAATGGGATGGGGTGATGAACTGACATCCAAGTTAGGCAATTACCATACTTAGTTGGAAACGTGGTTGAGCTTCTCGATCTCGATCCAACAGCCGAATCGCAAGAAGAGGGTGCTAATATCGACTTGGATGCTACTCGTGTTGGAAAGTCCGCCGTAATCAAGACATCTACTCGACAAACAATCTTCCTGCCTCTTATTGGTCTCGTCGACCCCGAACAACTCAAACCCGGAGATCTGATCGGTGTAAACAAGGATTCCTATTTGGTTCTGGATACTCTGCCAGCCGAATATGATAGCAGAGTCAAGGCTATGGAGGTCGACGAGAAGCCGACAGAAAAGTACACAGATGTCGGTGGGTTGGATAAGCAGATTGAGGAACTGGTAGAGGCAATCGTCTGGCCAATGAAGGAAGCAGAACGTTTCAAGAAGATTGGTATCAAAGCTCCAAAAGGTACAGGCTCTAGGAAATATCATCTACGTTGAGGATTCTGCTAACACAACAAGGTGCCCTCATGTATGGACCTCCAGGTACTGGAAAGACCCTTCTCGCTCGAGCTTGCGCCGCCCAAACCGATGCGACCTTCCTTAAGCTTGCTGGTCCACAACTTGTACAGATGTTCATTGGTGATGGAGCTAAGCTGGTCCGAGATTGTTTCGCATTAGCAAAGGAGAAGGCGCCTTCGATCATCTTTATTGATGAGTTGGATGCCGTGGGTACAAAACGTTTCGACAGTGAGAAGAGTGGAGACAGAGAAGTGCAGAGAACTATGTTGGAATTGCTCAACCAACTGGATGGTTTCGCGTCGGATGACAGAATCAAGGTTCTTGCCGCCACAAATCGTGTCGATGTTCTAGATCCTGCCTTGCTACGTTCTGGTCGACTCGACAGAAAGATTGAGTTTCCTCTACCAAATGAGGAAGCTCGAGCGCAAATCTTGAAGATTCACAGCAGAAAGATGACAGTGGATGATGCAGTCAACTGGCCTGAATTGGCTCGCAGTACTGATGAGTTCGGAGGAGCTATGCTGAAAGCTGTGTGTGTTGAGGCGGGTATGATTGCGCTTAGGACTGGTAAAAATAAGATCGGACACGAGCATTATGTTGATGCGATTACCGAAGGTATGTGCTCCTTTCTTACAGCCCTGATCTGGGCGCTACAAATTATTGCCTTGCGCTCGGGAAACTCAACCCACAGGAGTGTTTCCCCTCAAGACTGTTTCGTTCCCTGTCACGCGTGTTTTTACGATAACATAAGATACGTTTACTGACTAGTGTTATAGTGCAAAGCAAGAAAAAGGAGAGCTGTAAGTCATATCCCATCCCTACATCTAACAGGGCCTTACTAACTTCTGATAGTATCCCATTACAGTTAGACAAGCGTGGTGCTTCATTTTATGGTATTCGCATGGTATGGGTTCATCACCCATTTGTAATCTTAGACCAGCAACATGGAATTTTTATGAATGTAGTTGACGTTGAAGTTTCCGGACACCATGACTCCACATGACATATCTCCCTTTTATTAGTCCTTCCAAAGTTTTAAGTTGTAATACGGAGAGGGTTTTCTCTGCCATACCTTGCTCACCAAGCTCTCATGCGGTCTGTACAGTTGCTCATAGCGTAGTCGTCGCGCGCCTTCGTGGCTTGTATAGGTAAATAACATGGTTGACCCATTAGTGTACTCACCTGTAGGGCTTTCGGCTGGCTCTGTTCTAGCAGACATCCTAGTCATGGAATCGGATATCCCTCTGCTGCTCCAAATAACAAGATCTAGGTTATGAGAATCGAAAAGCGGTATACTTCTGGGCAGTTCTCATGACTGGTCATTTCTGCACAGATATGACTTTGTAGTGCGATTGAGCGAATGGGTTGTGAAATATTGACACTAGGTTCTCTACACGACAGCAAGTCTGATATTCACATTGGACAGCTAGTCTAAGGAGAAGTCCGTTGACGCGATTTTACGAGAGGTATACATTTTTTAGTTGCCAGTTCAGACTAATTTATAGCAGATGAAACATCAATTCCAATTCTTTGGTTTGCGTTCACAAGCCACCTCTGGGGCTTTAGCTCTTGGGGAGCTGTTCTAGACTCTCCAACTTCATCGAACCACAGCGCTTACCCATCCCTCTAGATTCATTTCATATCTCCACCACCAGCACCACCAGCACCACCTACATTTCGACTCATGGCAATTTCATATAATACTCCAACATCTTAGGAAAATTCGGCGTCCCCAATCCCGTCACCGGATCCCAACCTTTAACAGCCGAAAACCCAACAGTCCCACAACCCGGATTCGTTCCATTCGTAATGTCATTCAACATGCCCGGATTAGCATACAAACTCGGATTCAAGAACCCAATTGGCGATTTCCCAGCATTCAGCCGCTCTTCATTGATCCTGTTGAACACCGCAGAGACGATAGGCGCAGACGCAGAAGTCCCGCCAGAAAGCCGAACACGCCCGCCTGAGTAGACAGCGATATTATCACCCACCGCAGCAATATCAGGAATCCCACGACCAATTCGGTTATACACACCACCCGAACTACCAACCAGCGCATCAATATCCGCTTTTTTCGTGATATTGCTAGTATCACCAGCAAGCGCGCTATACGATTTATACGGCGGATTGTGCTTCTCGAAGAACGTCGACACGGCACTGGCTTGGTACTTTGGGATGGGATAGACGTTGGAGAACCCGCCGCCGGAGGAGAAATTCACGGAGTAAGGATGCCCGGCTGGGTCGTAGACGGCGCTTTCGGGATCATAGACGGTCTTGCCGGGGTAGACTTTGGTGGCGCCGACGGAGGTGACGAAGGGGCAGGTGCCGGGCCAGGTGGGGTTGAAGACGTCGAGGTTGGGGCCCAGACAGCCTGTTGGACCGTCGATGTCGCCTGGGTAGTCTGGTACAAGTTAGTATAAGTCTATGATGGCGGGAGGGTTGCGTACTTGACACTCCGGAGTCGCCGCTGGCGAAGAGGAAGGATACGCCTTGGAGTCCTAGTTTCATGTATTCGAGACATTGTCTTTTCTGGTATGAGATAGGGAGATCGGATTCTTGACCGCCGTAGGAGAGGGAGATCACGTTTGTGGGTTTGAAGGTGCCGCACATGAGTTTTCCGGCCCAGCCTCCGATTCTGGGATCTGGGTAGGCTTGGTCTAGGTTTGGGTCATTGCCGGTCTCGTTGTAGGCGGCGAATGTACAGTAGGACTGGGTTGACGATTAGTAAAATGTGGTTTGGGGAGTGAGAGCGACTTACTCCGTCTAGAGCATCGAGGAAAGTGTTGAAGCCAAAGGTGTATGTATCTTCTTGGTCGGATTGCACAATATAGTCATCGACTTCGTAATCTGTAAGTGTTTGGGGATATACAATAGGATAAGCGAGTTGAAGATCTAGGTTGCACTCTGTACCAGCGTAGTTGAGATCATCAGAAGCTTGCATGCCTCCATCGATGTTTGCTGCTACCGGATGCGTTCCGTTCGGAATCTTGCCTGAAGTATAATTGGTAAAGAACGAGTCCAAGTCATACTGAGTATAGAATTGTAGCTCAGACTCGAAGATACCCAAACTATTGTTTGGGTGTGGTAGTCTATGGGAAACTGGTGGGATCTTGTATAATGCGGCAATACAGGCTGGTGTAATTGCTACATCACACGTGCTTAGGTCGCTGTTATTGTAGTGACCATTAGGAGACGTTTGAAGGACTTCGTGCAAAATGCGCTTCTCGATGTCTTTCCTCGCCTGCGGTATTTTGGAATCCCGTTTCTTCTGCCACGATTCAACAGGAGCTAGAAGTTTGATACCCGGGGTAATGTAGTCGATATGACGACGAATATTCTTTGGCAAATGATACTCGTCACTTGAAGGCATTACACCTCCGGTAACGGAATCTTTGTACTCGTGGTACGTGGTGTACAGAAGCTTCTCGGCCTCTTCGACGGTAGCGTAAAAGGCAAACCATCCTTTATTTTCAGAGTGAGATATCCTGCTTGATGGAATACCGCCATCTATTAGCCAGTTGCGGACTTCTCTTTCTGTTTCATCTGACGGACGGAATGCGTTGATCACATCATCAGCAGTCCAGTGCTTGCCAAAATTTGAGGATGATGGGTCGGAACTAAATAACGATCAGCAAAAGTAGAATCTGGTTAGTTGTAACGAACTTACACATCCATTAAGTGCTCGTAGCCTTTGTCTAAGTTATTTTGAGCAAGACCAATGCGCATGGGAAGTAGTTTCCGAGGCTCGACACGTTTTTCTTTTGTCCATCTTGGATGTAAGACTTCTCGCTTCTCGTGTACCTCATGATGTGGGGGAATTGCGGTGGCATCTAGTAACCCACAGACTGCTGCCAAAAGAGCTATAACTTTTACAGAAACCATCTCGACAATGCTCAGAAGTTTGAATCTGATTGATGGAATGAAATCAGCTCAGTACAGATATGTAGAAACATTTATACTCTGTTGCAGACCCCGCAATTGTGCGATCTGCAGTTGCTGCTGATTTTATGCCAAGCCTAATACAGCAGGTCGAAATGTTGCACGGTAATGACATATTTCGGTAGTCGTTATCAGCCTAGCTCGTCGGCTATAAGCAAGCATTGCAGATTAGTGCTGAGAATTGCGGGATAAATGGTTTGATGTTCGCGGTGTTTGCTGGATGTGTAGGTATAGAATAAAGTGTCGGTTATATCCTTGGCGTGGTGCATTCGAAAAGGGGGGGTTGTGAAGAGCTGGTGACGGCATTCATGCAGATTCTCCGCCATGAAATATCATCAACATATGTGTTGAAGATTACAACCGATACTCATCTCTCTGAATTTTAAATAGTCGTCACTCAAAAATGTACATAACATCTCGGCCCGGACGTTCATCAACATCACAGAGAGGTTCGGGACGCACTCGGGTGGGTGCTCTGTGTAATAACATCCGCGTACGAACGTCGTATTGAACTGAGCATAGTTACGAGATATTCCTTGAGAGAGGATAAGATATCACGGTAATCCCGTCACCTCTTTAAAAAATCTTATGGCCTGAGAATTAATTATCATTAGAACTTTCGGGTTGGAAGTTAGGATTGTATTCGGGCTACGACAAGACCTCGGTCTTGTTACATTTGCGCAAAATCTTGGTCTCAACCGTGTGGCTCCACCACCCAGTTTGAAGAAACTAGAGTTTGGAAGAATTTGAAAGAGGAAATTGAGTTTATTATGTCTACTTGAAACATATTCAAGTTGTGTTTTTCGACTTTGCGTTCTTTCACGTGACCGGACCCCGCGGTCCCCGCGGCTTCCGACGAATCTATAAGTTGATGCTGCTTACAGAATTGCGAGCACACACTGCTTTGAAATCATGCCTCAATTCTCTTTTATGTTTCACAACAGAAGAAATACATCGTCAGCGCTAAGGTCTTGTCGATTTTCAACATTACTATATAATAAACCATTAATCGTAGGAGCACAATGGGTTCAAACGGCAGATATCTCATCCTTTCCTCAAGAAAATGGCATCTCCAATCAATCATGGCGTCGTCAAACTTGCAGTTGGAGAAGCAAAACTCAGCACAATTCCGATCCCCAAAATTCGTGATGGTTATCTCCTAGTAAAGACCGCCGCTGTGGCACTCAATCCTACAGATTGGCAGACAGTCGATGAGGAAAACCCACCATCAACACCGCCTTTACTTCTAGGCTGCGATGCAGCTGGTGTAGTGGTAGAAGTAGGTAAAGGTATTAACAAGCCTTGGAAAAAGGGCGACCGAATTGCCTGTATTGCTCATGGCGGTATGTTATCATCATCGCTTCATATTCGTGGTACTAAACTATGATAGGTAATGAGGTTGAGCCTACGGATGGATCGTTTGCCGAATATATTCTCATGAAAGGCGATATAGGTATTCATTTACCTGACCATGTTTCGTTTGAACAAGGAGCTGCCATTGCTTCGGGTATAAATACTGCGGCTTTGAGCATGTACTCACCGAAGACACTTGGTTTTCAAGTTCCTACTTTTCCTATCCAACAAAGCAGTGGAGAGGAGAAATTTGTTCTTATCTATGGTGGAAGTTCGGCTTCAGGAACAATTGCTATCCAGTTCGCCAAGTTGTAAGTCATCATTTATACGGAGCACGAATAAAATGTGAAATACTAATTCACGTCTACTTAACAGGTCCGGATTTACGGTTATAACGACTGCATCCCGGCGAAATTTCGATATGCTGAAGGGCTTCGGGGCTGACCATGTTTTTGACTATGTATTTGCTCCCTCCTTGCCTGTTCCCAGGATAATCTAAGGTCTATTACTGCCACTTGCTAACTAATTATAAAGCGAGATCCAAACTGCGGCAAGGTCATCCGCGAATTGACAAAAAACAAACTCCGGCATGTCCTTGACACAATCGCTGTTCCCGAATCCGCTCAAATATGCGCCGATGCATTATCATCTTCCAGCGATGCCGGTCCACTTTTATACGTCAACCTTCTCGGGATCCAAAATCCTCGATCAGACGTGGAGTCCAGGTTTATGTTAGGCTACACTGCTAGTGGAGAGCGTTTCGTTATTGAAGGTCAAGAATGGCCCGCAAGTCCTGAAGATTTTGACCTTGCTAAGACATTTGTTGCGCTCTCTGAGAAGTTGTTGGAGGCAAATCTGATCAAAAATCATCCCATCAAACTGATGGAAGGTGGATTGGGGGGCATCTTGGATGGAATGCAGTATTTGAAGGATGGCAAGGTGAGTGGGGTTAAGGTTGTTTATCAGGTTGGTGACGCGCTATGAAACACTTACAAGCGGATATTTCACGTTTGTCTTAGATTTGTATGCTATTTGAAGAGCGATTTGCCCATAGCGAAACCTTGGCTTCCTCTTTCTAAAGACACATGTTATCAGCTATTCTCTAATTAATTGTGTCGTTCTGTCATCTATGACAACAGTCGGCAGGGATTATGAGCTTGGACAAATGACGAGAGTGGGCTATTGCCTAGACTCAACATTCGACGTCTCTCAAAGCTCCACAACCAACCCATCGCAGTATTTGGTGGCTACTAAGACTATAAAACGCAATACAACGCGGTCCATAATAAAATGGCCGAAATTTCCAGAATGTTCCTCCTCCCAGAAATCCTAACCCAAATCCTCCTCCACATCCCACCTCGAGATCTCATCACATCTTGCAACCGCGTCAACACCCACTGGAACAACATCATCGCTAACTCATGCTCTATTCGCCAATTATTATTTTTCTCATCATCTCCACAATCATCTAACACCACCAAACAATTCAACACCCTCCTAATCCGCTATTTCCCCAAATACTTCCCCGACCCCGTAAAATCACACTTCAAACTCACTTCCTGGCAAAAGTCTCATGGCGAGTCACCCCACGAAATCGCACGTCGTGAAGCATTCACTCGCAAAGGCGCTTCCTGGCGTGACATGTTTCCTATTCGAACCCACCTCACCGAGTCCACACCATGGAACAATCCCTCCAAGCCCCTTGTAGTCACAAAAACAGAAACATACGACGGAGGCCAAACGATTTCGCAAGCCTCATTTGCTAGCGATGAACCTTGGACAATGAGTAGATTGTATGATGTGATTGAAGAAGCGGGTGAGGGTGCGGGGAATGTGGTGGGGGATTGGACGATGGATTGGGATGCTGGTGAGGTGAATGTGAGGCATCTAGTCACTTGTGAGGATGGTGTTGACGGGGATAGAAGTGTGTGGAGGTGTGAGGGAAATGAGGGGGTGGAGGTTGAGTGGAGGGTGTTAGAGGAGTTTGGAGAGGATGATGAGGGGTATTGGGTTGGTGAGTTTGATTAGGGGATTTTCGTGAGAGACGTCGGTGTGATGTGTGATCAGCTGTTGAAGACATCTGATTTTATACGATTTCTAGCTTATTTCGCTCTTATTGATTAGAAGCAGTCTATTATCTATACAGACGTATCAGCTAGCGTAAAGAGCCGCCAATCAACAAGTTAGGAAACCAAATAGGCCTTTTTTAAATCATGCTCTCTCATTTGTTTCACTGTTTTTAAATGTGGCGGGTGATTTGAAACATACAAAGCAATGTTCAGATGGACTTTTTACTAGTGAACCTTCGGTGTAACCTTTAAATGTCAAGCTCTCAAGGAAGACTCACCCCAGGGATACTTGAAGGTGAGTTCAAACACCTCATATTGCCAAACCATTCTAGAAAACTCAGGCTACCTCTTCCAATATCTGATTTTGAATGATTATTCACAAGGTGATGATGCTTTGGCTGGCAATCATCAAGATGGCTTATTTGAGAATATTAAACATGCTGTTAGATCTCTATTGTCGCTTGTAGCAGACATGATTTCCTGGTCTTGAGAACGATTTTTCAAGAAGGTCTATGTAGACATGACTTCTAGTGTACGAACATCAACCTTTCCCTTTTATTTTCCCTTTGGTGAAACAAACATTTGAAGCTACTCATTTTTCAAAGATCAAGTCCTCATATTTGGGTTGTTTGCAATAGCTTCACCTCATCTCAAATAACCATGTGATACTCTGAAAGTGTGTGAATATATCCACATCTTCACCAGCCACAACATTGTTTACACAATAACCTCGCTTAATCTCATGACCTCCTTTTCACCAAAACTATGAAAGAAGATTCACACTATGTATTTAGATTAACAAGTCTGTAGCCTCAGTTTATTAAACTCAGCTCTTTTATTTAATACGTCTCAACTGCTTAGGATGGAAGATACTAACCTACAAAGAGTCCATGTTTTCATTGAAGATAAAATCACATGAGAATAATCCAGCCCCACCAACACAATAAACCAAAACCTATGATCACTTTTAACACTCTAAAATACAGATTCACGTCTCTTACACTCAAGTGCGATTCGAGGGCTGGTGTTACACACAAGCCTTTGGATTCATTTTGGAACAAACTATTCCATCAGGTATCCACATTTTCACCGAGTGGAAGATATCACCTGGCTGAACATCAAGTAACTTTAACCTAAACCAATCTCTTTCAGGACTTCGCTTAACATGCTTTACCTCCAAACACCTCTGAATTAACTCTTGTGATCAAGTTTAGCCTAGAGCAACACCATATTCACGAACATGTCGATATTTTGCCCAGCCTCCCTTTTATCACTACCTGGTTGTGGTCTCATTCTTAGGCCAGGTGTTCTTGTTATACCTTATACCATATATATTTACTCTCTTATCTGGGGACATAGAACAATGAACTTACAAAAACATTCATCAAACTAATTGGTATCAATCCCAACTTGTCCAAGCTAGGTTTCTTATGCTAGAACATTGCTTAACACCATGGACTGCCAAATGGAAAAAGAGGAGCTGCCAATATCAGCTAATCCTGTAAGCGCACCAACATCTACATGCCTCTCTGAAAATTGTACACTAACCTACCGAATCACTAGCCTAATAGTAAAGACACCGCAACTCTCAAGCGTACAGAAGATGAGATCTCATCAACCATAACCGTGGCACCTCCACCCGCCTTGAAAAAGCGTGCAAAATCTTCTCGATCCCGCCATTCCAAAAAGGCCAAGAAGAGAACAGCACGACCCTTAGATTATCTCCATGACTCATCTGCCGATGATGAGGATTCTGATCCCGATTATGTGGAGAAGGAACACAACAAAGTGTATAGGAGTCAAGTGAGTAGCGCCGAAACGGATGGTACGAGAAGGCCCATCAGAAGTAATTGGCGCTCTCCAATTGGACCGGATGATAAGATCGTTAAGACTTTGATGGGGATGGGTGGAGATGATGAGACGGACGAGGGAATGAAAGTCAAGAAAGAGGCGAAGAAAGATAAAATGAAACTTGAAGTTGTTGAAGAGAGATGACGAAGAGGCTGAGGATGAAGAAAAAGTTCCTGAGAAGCCAGAGACTCAAAAGAGTCTCACTGCCAGGAGAGAGAATCTGAAGCGAGAGGCAGCCATTGAGCAAATCAAGATCTGGGGCGACGACCGTCCAATCTATAAAACGATACTCGTCGAAGAAAAGGGCCAGAAGCGGTACGAGCACAGTCTTCAATCCTACTGTCAAGGCAAAACCGACGATACACTTCGCAACGAGATGAGCAGACATGTCCACGACACCATCAACAAATCTCGCTTACGGACTAAAGCCGAACTCGACACGATGGGATGGACCTATATTGAACCCGGAATCCCACACTATCTCGTCACCAATCACGGAGTGAGAATCTTTCTCTTCCTCGCTATATCCGCGGAGATGATATTCGGATTGAAAGACGGCATTTTGGAAGGTGAGGAAGGATTGAAGGCTATACAGAAGATATATGCAGCGCCTGATCTCGAAGCCAGACTTAAGAAGATGGCGCATTCTAATCAAGCGGCTTTTAAGGGAGAGGCATGGGATTTCGGACCTACGCATCAGATGGGATCGCGCTTTAATGCTCGTGGACCGATTCTGAAGCATGGAGATCCGGAATTTTGTCGTGCGAGTCGGATTATGACGAAACATGCGTGTACGTTGCTTGAGACATTTGTCTCGGAAGATGATCAAATGGTTGAGGCTGCCAAGCGTTATTTTGTTGATAATGCGTCGATTTCTATGTCTGATGAGAATAACTTCACGTTATGTGGACATCAAGTCAATATCTCGCCTATTTCGATGGTGCCGAATGGTGGAAGAATGTTGCCGGGTAGTATCAAGTCGAATGGAGAGCTTCATATTGATGGGAATGATGTACGACACAGCTTGACGGTTGTGATCAATCTATCTACGGATCCAGCTGATCATTTTTGTGGACGTTTCAACCTCCCAGCTCAGCGAATTACAGTCACGACTGACCCTTTCTCGGCCGTTATCTTTCGAGGTACGCTACCACATTTCACGACTGGCGGAGGACCATATTCTCCTGAAGCACCTTTGGGCTCGCCGTTGAGAATGCCAATCCCGGAGCATCTCAAAGATCATTGGACTCCCGGATTGGCAAGCAAACGCATTGCAAGTGTCCATTTTGCAAATCGAAATCTTGGTAACCCTTACCCATTGCCGCGCTTTACCAAAGACCTCGTTTGCGATGGAGCCATCTCCCTCTATCAAACTCAACGACATCTGAACGAAACTCGCTTAAGACTGGCAATGAAAAACGCGTTCATGCTGGAGCATCCAGATGAACCCAAACATCCACCGCCCAATACGGATCCCGAATATTGGTACGGACAGTTTTCATGGATCAACGAAAATGGTGAACAGGAATCTGTCAGTCGCTGGATTGTAGACGAGAAACTGAAATACAGGGGACGAGAAGACCCGGTGCTGAAAAAGCTGCACAAGGATCTCCAGAGCGTCTCGTGCCAGGTGCGTTATCCTAAGCCGCTTGTACTAGACGAGAATGGAAACATACCACCAGTACAGTATCGAGCGAACGGAAGGAGAAAAGAACCGCCGCCGATATACATGAAGCAACCAGCTGAGGTTCGCTGGAACAATGTCAACGGCGAGATGCCTCCGTTCCAACCGACGGTCGACAAGGTGCCTGGCAATCCAGCGTGGGCCCCGGAAGTGGTTCCTGGGCCATCTGATATACGTCGTGGAGGCTTGCGTAGATACTTCAGACCAATTGTCTAAATTTACTGGCGTTGTAGTAAAAGAACAAGGGGATTAAGTAGGAGACGGAAGGACGGAGAATATTTTGATCAATTTTGAAGGAGTGGAAATGGGGATTGTGAAATTAATGGATTTGTTTGTGGCGAGGCATTGATCAGTATGGACTGGGTATCAAGGGCATGGGAAATGGTTGGTGGGATGAGATGAGAGGAGAACCTATCCGTTTCTTACACGAAAGATAGTAACGAATCAATAAATTATTATGAACCATAAGACCAAGTAGCCGTCTCTTCCAAAATGTGTGATTGGGTATCACCGTCGCTTTTACGGCTGACATGAAGAAGTCTAGCTTCCAGCCACCATATACTACCGCTAATCTAACCTCTCAGCAGCACTTCCCATGCCAAAGTTCGCAACCAAACCCCTCTTACTACTTGTCATATACTTCCGAGCGTGCTGGGCTGTATGATGACTAAATGAATGACTAAAAGGTGCACTAAGTAAGCTTAAGGAGATGTCGCTGATGAGGTGTAAGCAGGCGGGTTCGAAGTAGGCAATGTTGACTGGGAGTTGATAGAGGTATAAGAAGGCAGGAGCGGGTCCACAGACGCGTAATCGGGTAGAGGAAACTTATAATCTATGATGCTCTTAGGTGCAGGCGGTCCAGGCATCGCAAAATGTTGTTGGACAACGATGGCAGTTGCACTCATAACAAAAGGATCCACTTTCATAAAGACAGATCTTGTCCCATAATCACCCGCCTCCTGCCACCAGTGATCCGCACGATTGCTACCTTGGAAAAAGTTTGACTGGGAGCTCATTGCATAGTGGCCTACCAGCCCTCTATACTTGAAGATCTCGTGTAACATTATCGCAGCGGAACTGAACGCAAAGTTTTCGATGATCTCCTGACCACGGTTGTCGTTTTTGTGTTTGTCGAGAAGGTCCACTAGTAAGTCTGTATTGAAAAATTCAGGGCACCAGATTGTTGTGTAAGTGATTATAGAATAAGGTGTACCCTCTAGATCTTTAAAGGTCTTCCCTGAAATTTGACCGGGGAAGCATTTCTGATCAGGGTCTTCGCAAGACCAATAGATGAGTGTAGTGGGATCCATGGGTTCATTAAACAGCTTAGTAAGGCGTGCAAAGCTTTGACCGATGGCTTTTGAGTCCTTCCTTCTTCTATCGCTACTCGTGTCGTTCCATTCATCACCTAACCAGTCCTTAAGGGCAATGTCGTTGTTGAAGCCTTGATGAGGTTCTACTAGATATGTCCCCAGCTCCCGAGCCTCATTCCAGGACAAAATGAGTTTAGACTTTTGTTCATGGGTACACGTGGGGTCCAAAAAGAGACGTGTGGGTGGGCGATCAAGAATTCCTTCAGCACTATCTGAAAGGTGTGGCCAGCCTTTCTCGTTTGGAGGAATTGGTGTTGCGTCAACATCGAGCACAGGTGTCTCTGGTGGGGCCTGTCCTGGCGTTTGGGGAGATGGCCCTGCAACGGCGAGACTTATAAGAGTCGAAACTAGTAATACTAGAATACGCATAGTGCCTATAAAAGAAGAGTATTTCTAGTACGTATTGATTTGTTGTTGTTAGTATTAGAATGACAGGAAGTAGGGAATGATTAAGGAAATAATATAAAGATAAGCTTAGATAATCGTTTAAGTACTATCATTCGCCTTTATTGATATATACTACATATAGTATACATACTAGGAGATGTGTTATACCTTATTAGGACATTAAGAATCCCCTATTATTTAAGATATAATATATCGTTTATTAAACGATAGAAACCTTTCAAGGTAACGTTAGACTAATTTACATAACTACTACTATAAGACTTAGATAAGTGGTTTCTTACACAAAAGATAGTAATTGATTAAATTAAGAGTTATAGGCCATAGGCTTAAGCAGTCTCCTTTCCCAAAAGTTCTCCCAGACTTCGTCTTTCTCTCTTATCATCCCCCCCCGTAGCTAAGATGAGGAAATATTGCTCTCAGCTACTCCATACCTACGGCCAATGTCCCGCCTCAATTCTGAAAATAGTGAAATATGCAAGGAAGTCCCTCCAGCTTTTCTAGTAGTTTGAAAACTTAATAGGTCGTGCGGTCATCGAACAAAGATGGAATAGTACTGCACGTAACTCTCAACGGGTTGGTGCTGGTGTCTCGACAGCAGGCGAATTTGGATCGGGTTGACTAGAGGTGGAAGAAGGTAGATTTGGATTTGGTGTTGTGGTAGAGGTGTAAGAAGACGGATTCGGATCAGGTTGACTAGAGGTGGAAGAAGATGTATTTGGATCTAGTGTTGTAGTAGAGGTGGAAGATGGTGGATTTGGATCTATTGCTATGGTATAGGTGTAAGCAGGTGGCCTCGGCTCGGAGTCGTAACCAGGTGGAGGATCTGCAAGATTCCTGACGGCCTTAGGTATAGGCGGATATTCAGTTCCGTAGCTTTGGTAAACAAAAATAGCAAGCGCGTCCATAACGTAAGAATCCGCTGTTATATACGCATATTTGGTACCCCCTCCACCCGGTGCTTCCGTTCTGGCAAAATTCCAGACTTTTCCCGCTCGATCATTACCTTGAATGAAGTCATCTGGTTTGAGCGCCGGAAAGGATACCAGCCATTCATACTTGTAGACTTCGTGGAACTTAACTGTACCGGCATTAATCGCAAAATTGTCTATAAGCGACATAGCGAGCTCATCGCCTCTATACCTCTGAATTTGTTCTTCAAGTAACTCCAGCCCAAAAAAGCCCGGGCACCATATTGTTGTGTGGCAGTTCGGATAGGCACTCACGCCCTCTTCGTCGTTGTGAGTTTTCCCTGATATCTGGTTGGGCTCACATTTCTTTTCAACGTCTTCGCATGTCCAATAGATAACATGAGGTTCATATCTCTTTCCCTCGTAGAGTCTCCCATTGTTGACAATGTTAAGCTCGATGTAGTGTTTCCGTTGTTTGCGTATGGCACGTTCCTTGGCGTCGTCGTTAGTGTTATCCAAAGCTGCGCCGTCCCATCCCAGACCCAACCAGGCTACATGCGGGATCTCGAAATCATAGTCTTCTATGGCTGTTGATTGTGCTATTGACAGATTTTTTGCATCTGCCCATGCAGCAGAGAGTGTGAACTTTTGTTCACTGCTGCACTTGGGGTCTACAAAAATATTGGGGATAAAGTCAGATAATAGTGGCCAGCCTTTATCATTCCGCTCATCCGGTGGATCCCTTTCACCCTGCCATAATTCTGGTTCTGGTGCTCTCGATACTTCCGGAAATGCTTCCACTACGAGCGTTGGTGCCTCTAGTGGTGCCTGTCCTGGCACTTGAGCAAATGGACCTGCAACGGCAAGACCGAAGAAAATCGATAATAGTAGTATTGAAATAAGCATAGTAGTGTGTGGAAGAAGAACAATCCCAGTATGTGTTGTTGTCGGACAATGAGAAGTATGTAATGAAATAAAAACACAAAAATGAGCTTAATTACTCTTCTAAGTAAAACCCTTTGCCTTTCCTATACAGCATAAGTACCGGAAGTTGCATCATACCCCATTAGGACATCGACTATCGCCTACGATGAAGACAGAAAGAATAGTCGATTAATGATCTAAACCATTCGAGGCGATAAGACTGAAGTAAGACTTCAATGGTTAACATCAAACCCTATTCACTTGCTAGTTGAATGCACATACCTGAAAGAGTCTTCTTACTTGGGATTTGTGCGCGTCGGGTCGACTTTTGACAGGTGGTCAATGAATATTGTAGGGCAGTACTCCCTCTTGTCTACTTTGGTACATAAGGTAGATAATCAGCTTTCGGATGTATATTTCCATTTGGTACAAAGTAGGCCCAATATCGCTAGCTTGCATTCGGCATCGTGATCTCGTTACGCTCGAGAATTAGTACTATCTAAGCCCATTGTATGTAGAGGGGTAATCTGTAACAATATTAACAAGTGTAAAGTCAATGGCAAAGCGCGAGATCGGCTTAGTGCCCTTGGAAAGATGTTTTCGCATGATTTCATGAGCGCTGTCCAACGCGCTTTAGTGCGCTGTAACGGGAATTAGCTGTAGAAAATCTGGCACAGACTGAGATGTGAAAGTATAACGTCATGTTTTCGAGAAGGTTTTGTGTCTATTTGCATTGTGGATAGGTGATGTTGATGATGAAAAGAATCGCCGTTGGGATAGAAATTCATAAATGAGCACGTGCCACCCCCTATTCCGGGAAAATCCCAGTGGGTCAGTTCCTTCTCAACATCCAACCACACAAGACAAGAGACATGCAAGAGCTCGATACAAGACACACGAATATCATTTACTGATGATAACGCGATATCTGGCTGCTGGGATATCACCATATGAATTTGAATGCCCCTGCCAGTCGTGGAATGCTGACCGATTGTACGGCTCAATACCCGTCACAGACGCTGTGGAATCAATCATGCTACGCTGGCTACGCAAGATCCCAACTAAAGACAGTATCAAATAATAGACTAACTAGGTACCAAAACTCATCAGTCTTCAAATATCAGCATCCTCTTTCCTAGACTTTCACTTCCTCTCTATCCTCAACCTTCTCAACGGTAGCCTCAACATGCTCCGTCATCAACTCCTTGACCCCTTTCAAAAACGCAACCGCCACAAACGCCAGCACCACAAACGGAATAATACTAGACCACGCCAATCTATACGCCCTGGCATACACCTCACGACTTGTGATAGTCGCTTCTCGCAAGATACCAGCATTAATACCAGGGATACTCTCGAATCCTTTGCCGGATGCGAAGGCCTCGAGGAGTTCGGGTATGGAAGTGGTAGGTAAACCAGCATTTAGGGCGGCTGCTGAGACTTTGCGAGCGTAGGAACGGGAGAGCTCGCTGTTGATTATGGTGTTGAGGATTGCGGAGCCGAATGCACCGCCGAGAGCACGAGCTGAGAATGCGAGGCCTGTGGCGGTAGAGAGGAAGGCGTGAGGTGATGTGAATTGAATGAGTGCTGGAAGGACCATTAGAGGACCGGTTTGACCGATTCCAGCTGTGAAGCAGAGTAAGTCCATGAGCGCGACTTTGAAATATGGGTATAGGCAGAGGCAATACTTACCAATGATGTTGAACCCGATTTGAGCATGGTTCATTGAGGGATTGATGTTGGCGTAGCAGATAGTCCTATTCAGATGAGTAAGTTCTGTTGTCCATTGGTTTGAGGTAGACAAAACTAACACGATCAGGAAGAGTACAAACGTCACCAATAGTGGTGACTTGAGATCCTTATATTTGGTAGCATACCACCTAATTCCAGTCAGCCAAGTCTACAGATGTCTCACTGCTTCTGGAGACTTTGAACATACATAATTGGAAACGGCATCAGAAGCACCATTCCCGTGAAAGATAGCTGTCGCAAAGATATCTTCCATGCTGAAGTTTCGAATCCCAGATTCAGCACTACTTGCGGTGTAATGCTGTTGACGGCGCTATAAAAGATCCACCTGTCTTCTTTTAGCAGCGCTCATCAACTCTCTGCTTATCTTACCCTTCAATAGCAAACGCAAACACCGACAACGGAAAATTAGGTCCACCCCTAAAGAACGCATGGGCTACAAGTCCATCTTGTCTGCCTTTCCACTCTACACACTGTCATTAGCTTCAACTCATTCTACCCACCCGTAGACACAACACTCACCATACCCCCCAAATCCAACCAAACAAACAAGTCCAATCGTCAACGGCGCAACAACATGTCTATCACTCCACTCATACACACCTCCCACCCAATCCAACGCTAGCAACATCAGCGTTGCACTAACAATAAACAACAAACTTCCAATCGGATCACACGCCCAGAAAATCGCTCTCCACGATAGCTTCTCTGGTCGATTAACCTTCCTCGGATGATAAAAAGCAAAGAAGCCTAAGATGGTAATCCCGAAAAACCCAGCTTGGATCCAGAAAATATTCCGCCAGCCAGAGGGACTCGCGTTTGTCGCCGCACCCGCTCCTAAACTCCCAATCACACCCCCCAAACTCCCCCCCAACCCCGCCACCCCATTCGCAATAGCCCTATACTTCAACGGCAGCACCTCCGCCGGGATCGCCTGCGTGATACTCGATGTGGCGAGCGTGCAGCCGATGAGGATGCCGCCGCCGACGAGGGTGGGCATGGAGGAGGCGCGCGCGGATATGATGGCGCCGATTAGGGATAGCAAAGTCGGGATTATTGCGAGGTATTTTCTGTCCAACACGTCCGAGAGACGGCCTAGGGGTGGGGAGAGGACGGCTTGGATTAGGAGGGGGCCCTGGAGTGTGAGGTTAGTGGGTTGTTGTTGGGGAGGGGGGAGGATGGTGGGTAGAGAGGATGGGGGTAGGGGGAGGGAAAGGGGAGGAGACGTACTTGTATAATCCACCCCGCGATCTCAGGATCACCTAAGTCGCGGATTATGAATCCTATGACCGAACCGGCTGCTACTACGACGTAGACTTGTGCTGTGATGCTATGGGTTCTTAGTACCTCTCGACCACGCGCCTCAAAGACACCACCCTTCCTAACTATCTCCACTGGGAGTTAATTGGGGGGACTTACGCGAAACAACTCACACTATCCCACCAAAAAACAGTACAATCAGCGGAGTTCGTCTACGGAATGTAGTATGAGGAGAGGGGGGAAGAGGGCGTGAGAAGGACGTACAACACAACAACCCAAGACCTCCAAGTCAATTCAACATGTCTGTTACTTCATCAGCACTTACAACCTCTAACCTCCAACCTCCAACCTCTCCCTCACAAGCTTCCAACTCTCCCTCCCAACCCAACCTCCCCCAAAATCCCAAAAAGCAACTCACCTATCATCCCGATACGAATCCACCTTAACCAGAATCGGTCCTATCGGGACATCATGAGTATCGTCGACAGGTTTCTCGGTGTGAAGAGGGTTTGAAGGCTTGGTGTCGGGATGGGGTTTGCGAGTAATGTTGTCTTTTTTCTCTGCTTCCTCCGCGATTCGCAACTCTTCTTCTTCTTGAGGACGGAGGAGGATTTGCCCCATTTTGACTTCTGTCTCCCCCTTCTTTTTCTCTTCACTTGCTTATCCCTTTTCTTCTTCTCTTCTCTTTCCGTTCTTCTTCTGCTCTTGTTTTATCTTCCTCTTCCTTTTCTATCTCTCTTCCTCTTCTCTCCTCCCTTGCTTTTCTCTCCTCACTTCCTCTCCTCTTTCAAATCTATCAAAACAACCTCCGCACTTCAAAGGTTAATCACTAATAAACACGTCACTCTTCTTAACATAATCTTTCTCAAGAAGAGACATATATTAAACAAAACCAAACAAGCCTTTCCCCCACGATAACCATCCGACCCCTCAATATACTCCAACCTCAAACTCTCGGACGATAATGCGGGGTGTTACATTACACATCCCTACCTTCACAGCAGATACCCCACTTCATTTATCCCGTCCCCCAGAAATCGTCCCACATGAAGATCAATAACCAATTAAGCGAGGCGTTTTGGAGCGAGAGGGGGGGAGGGTTGCTGACTGATGGATTAGAAGGACAGTATCTAGGTGGTGGTGTATCATTGGGTGAGATATGATGGGTGAGAGATGCTGTGTAAGGCATGTTAGCGATTGATTTTCCAATCCACGTTTCTGAGATCTCAATTAGCTGTCTACCCCACACCGAGACACGATGAACTAAAGAGATAAAGCATCGTTATTTATGAAGGGCTTTTTAAATCAAAAAACACCCAGCAAAATTTTCATAAAATCAAATCAAATACATAAGCACATCAACATCATCCTAATCAGCCCAGACCTAGCGAAGATCATACCCAGTCCCTAGGTATATAACCTTCGTATCTTACACAATATCTAACACCCTCACTCCCTCCATCCTACCACTTCCTGCCCATCCACCTAATCACCCTCATCCTCATAATCCTCATCCTCAGAATCATCATCATCCCAGTAACTATCATCGTCGTCATCAAGCCCCGCCTCCGGATCTTCATCTTCAACATCTTTCTTAATCTTCTTAGCAGCCCGATCGCGCAATCCCATTTCCAGGATTCTCTTCCTGTACCACTCGGATTGTGTCGTATCTACCCAGCTTTTGGTAATGGCTTTCTCTTTCGCGGCGATGGTGTTTGTTTGAAGGATGTTCTCTTGCTTGACTGCTCTGTCTTTCTTGAGCATGTTATCTTTGGAATCGGTCTTGTCCTGGGTAACTTTCTCCTTCTCATCCACCTTCTGCGCCTCTTTCTTCGCCATCTTCTCCTTCCTCAACCTCTCCACTTCCTTCTTCCTCTCCTCCTCCTCCCGCCTCTTCTTCCCCGCCCAACGCCCAAACTCCCTCTTCTTCCTTAAACAAAACAGTACAACCTCCCTAGTAGCCATAACATCCTCCATACAATCATGAACCGCCTTCTTATTAGCACGAATCTCCAGCTTTAGTAGCTCAGAGCAGAGCGCTTTTAGACCGTATTTTCTTGACTTGGGCGCGATTTTATATCGAGTCAACATCTCTGCGTCGACGATGCGGGGATGAATGATCCTCAGCGCAGTTAAATCATGTTCGAGAGAGTGACCTACGATGATCGTGTTATCATCGATGTACTTCCAGAGTTCTGCTCGAGCTGCACGCCAGCCGGAAAGTGTACGTCCTTCGTTAGCCGCGGATTGGAGCGCATGTTTCGTTATACCGTGGATTTTTTGGCGCATTTGGGTGATGCGTTGATAAGGATATATGAGCTGATCCATCAATACCTTGCCAGTGATGAAGTCAGCGACACATATCTGGATTAGCTCGCTTGCACCGCCGCTTACGCCGGCCATTTCGCAATCAAGCGTTACCGCAGACCATCTCTGAGCTCCATCAGAGATTGGTGGTGTATTACGGAAGTGTTTGTGTTGAATAGCTCGGATGGATTTTTGGAAGTCGTGTGTCGCTGAAGTCCTACACCCTGTACTTGTCGTATTGCAACACTTGTAAGAATTATTTGGGTTCTTTAAATTCAGAAATGAGTGTCTGGAAGTCAGAGGGATTGGGAAGTCAGACTTACCGATTTGTCTCGTTTCTCAGGGTGGTATACACATTTCCCCAAAGGCTTGGAATTATTTCTTTCTACTCTGATCAGGACAGTTCTGTGAGTGGATCTACCGACTTACTGTTGTAATTCTTGCACTTTTCCGTATCCATATAGATCGAAGCATTGTATGAGTCCACGATATATCCGCTGTTCTCCAAGTCCTGACGCGAATGACATTGTTGAGATAGAGTCTCGAGCAAAGTCTCATGCTCAGATTCGAGAACAGTTGACCAAGGTAGGCTTGCGACCTGGATTTTAATTTCCTTATTCCCCTGCACTTGCAACTTCTTAGAGCTAGACCCAACTGCGCTTTGAGGCTGCTTCAATATCAATGGTGAGCTGGATTTTTGATCAAGCTGCGCGGCACTTGTGACTTCCTTCTGAGGCTTTGCTGGCTGGGAAGAACATACTGCCGCTGACACCTGTGATTTGATCTTTGAAGGCTGCGTTTTCAGTTTGCTTATTCTTGAAGATGAAGGCGATGGGCAGGATTTTCTCTTATGCTTGAGAGTGTATTTTTTGTGTTGGAGAAGAGCTTCTGGTGACACGAAAGGCTTTTTACAGTCCTCGCAGTATGCCACCTTCATTGGAATCATTTTGGTGTAGTGATGGATTTGAATCAAAATCGAAACTTTAGACGGGGTGTGTGAGGGACAGAGAGCGTGTGTGAGGGATGGGAGAGACAAAGAGGTAGAAGTGAGAGAACGAAAGTGAAAGTGAAAGTGAAGAGGAGTGCTGGCTACTAGCCTAAGTTTGTTGACAGGACTTTGTACAGACTAGTCTCAAACAGGAAGAGCGACTTAAAGTCAATAATCGAAGATGAAGTTCGTGAACTGCCCAGGTGGTGTGTTGGGGTGGCCGCATACGCGCTTTCCTGGAGCGGAAACCTGCTTCTTGTGACACCACAATCAACGAGCAACAGACAGAAGATCTTGAACCCATTCAACTTGGCCACACCTACGATCTAGAATATTTCAATCTTTTCTTTTTCCACATGAGCTGGAATCGATCATCGTCGAAACCAAGGTTCTGTGCTTGGTACATCAGCTAGGCTATACAAAGATTATTACTTACTACCTAGGTACCTATGCAAGCTTCTTTGCAGCTTTTCTCTACCAGCTCGCCTTATGTACAGAACCCCAATACTGCCCCAGCTATCAATCAATATTATACACTCGTGTCCTTATCCTCGTGGTCAAATCCCGGACCCTATTAACCTCTGTTGGTACCGCTCCCGCGACTTCGATCGACGTAGAACACTTCCCAGTAAGTGTTCCATTACCCTATTAAAGCAAATTCCAGCATTTGCTAACCTACCCCCTGACGATTAGGTATGGAACCAATCCCCACCATCCTAACCATCCATACCTATACACAGTACGCCATACCCAAAAGCCCATCCCAAATAAAAATACCCACCCTAAGCCTTCCCCAGGCCCTTCCTATAAGCCCAATGCGAAATCTTTACACTCGGCTCATCAAACACCTTCGTCGCAATCTCCGCAACCCAAAAGGTGAACGGCAAGATCACCAAATGCGGGACCAAGAACGCAAGTTCTAACCCCAGTGGCCCCTTCTTACTGACTGGGAATAGATTCTCATAAGGTTTTAACCCCTCGTTGCGGTCTTCGCGCAGCCAGCCGACGACGGCGTACATACGATCCGCGAGCGTCCAGAGGATAGGTCCGTGGACTAGATAGAGGGCGAAGGAGATACGCCCGAGGTACTGACAGAATCTCGATTCCAGGAATTTGCGGAACCAAGGGAGGTGAGGGATGGAAGAGACGATGAACATGCTCGACCAGAAAAGGTAGAACCATTTATAGTCGTTCATGACTCGGGCACGTAGGAGGGAGAGATAGTACCATCCTGGGGTGCTCTGAATAATGCGCATGTCGAAGGGGTTATAACTCGGGACGCCGGAGAGGTAAATGGCGAAGATGAAGAGGAATTGGAAGATGCGTGTTTTGTGTTTTTGGAATATGCTGAAGAATGATGGGAGGTTGTTGTTCTGGGCGAGCAATTCGAGGTCGCAGATGAACATGCCACCGATGAACATGGCGCAAAACCAACCGTCTACGATGAAGAGGAAGTAGAACATGAGTGCTACTTGAACTGCTAATCTGGCGTTGCGAGTGCATCGTGAGATGGCGATTTGGAGAGAGTAAATCACAACCGATCCCCTGAATTCGGTGGGGATGGACCATAGATGGAAGTTGTATTCGAACCATGACTCTCCAGGTTTCTCATTTTGGAATACCCAGCTCATCTTCTTGAATTGGAGATACCAATTATAAACTTCTCCCAGATAAGTATCTTGATGCTTCGGATACGCAGTCCAGATTCCAAAAACATGCCAAATGGTGAAATACGCAAAGGTCGTCCCAATGGCTGGAATATACAGCCTCAGCCATCGTCGAAACAACGCGGAAGCAACGCTGTCTTCTAATTTGGTGTATTCCTTTGCATGGATACACTTCAACGGTTTCATCGACAATACATAGCCGGAAATGACGAAGAAAGTGGTGACCGCAACGTGACCTCCAGTGAAAAGTATTCGGATGAATGGTATACAGGCAAAGTAATACTGTCCATCGTAACCAAATCCATTCTCAAAAATGTGACCCGCTGAAATGGCGACGCGCGCCCATACTTGGTGGTGCTGCCAGTAAACCAGGAAGGCCGCAAACCCCCTGAGACCGTCAAGATAAGCTGTTGGATGAAGCTGTTTCCGTGGACTTTTGTTAAGAATCGCTGGTGTTATGAGAGGAATGAATGAGTCTTTGAAGCGTGAGAGACGTGATCTTGTTGCTTGGTTGTCATCTTGAAAGATGCTTTCGTGTCCTGGTCCAGGAGACATGAGATCGGCGATGGCCTCGAGTGGATGTCGCAAGTGTTTGAGCGAGTTAGGGAAGTTGCAGCGGAATCATGAAAGCTCAATTGAATACAAAAGCAATATTATTTGCGTGTAATGGGATCCCAAAATGGATGCGTCAATATGTTGATAGACGTTGATTGATTCACTGTGGATTGTCTCTCTTCATGTGCAAAATTTCCCGGATGGGTCAGGTTGGAGATGCGGGACGTTGTATCAAGCCTTTCCATTTTTAGTGTAGTGTCGGTGCTGGCAGCCCCCATAAGCCCCTTTGAGCGAATCAGTTGGTTGGTTGGGTCACTAGTTGCACTACGCAGTCCGTACGCACCTCGGAGGTGATCGCTGGTAGTGCAAAGGGGGAGATTTACTCAAAGTGATCATCTGCAGTAAGCATGCCATCTCAGGTCGGGGCCAGTTCCTTAAACAGCCAACGCGACCGTGAAATATGTATTTAAAAGCCTCTGCACCCCAATCGAGAAGTGCTACTCACTCAGAAATTCCCAACAATTCACACACAAACTAAGCGATGGCCAACTTCCAAGTCTGCCCTGACCAGCTGAAAGATCACATCCAATGATGCTTATCGGCAAGTAAATTCGATTCAGGGGTGGTATGGAAAGCAACCTGGTACTGGTATCCCCCGCATTGTATTCGCCCTCGGACCGCGTATTATTCCCAGCCCGGCTGCTTGTTTCCAGAATGTCTGCCGCAGTGCCGCGCAGGGGGCCATTTCGTGAGCATGTGCAAGAACATCGACTTTCTCGCCTGAATATCTGCGAGAACTCTGTCTAAATCGTACGAGTACGACGAGTTTTGGGAAAAGTTCCCACCAAGCATTGGCAACCGAGATATGGGTTAGTTCGTATTGTTACTCTGCGACGAATTGCGCTGATCCAATTCCAATAGTCGCCATTTCGTTTGCACTGCGGAGGTGTTTCCGTCCAAGAGCTTATATTGGAATCTGTTTCGCAATTGGCCATCGGCAAAACTCTCGCAAGGAGAGACTGAGGAGCCATTCGCTTCAGGTGTGCAGATTCAGTTCGGCATCCGGTTTCGAGCATGGCAACAGTCGCAAGGTATCTCCTCCAATCCCAAATAGCACATTTGAAGAAGCCCTCTCCGACGGTAAATCAACTTAATTAAAGTTGTTTTGTTTTCGATCCTGTGGGTTTTGGCCGAAATGGATGCTGGAATGGGAAGGCTGGATCTATAACACGACGGGTCGAGTCCCCATCAAAGGTATCGATTCATATTTTCCATGTCAAGGAGTTCTTAGAGCGCAAAGAAAATAGGGACATCTGTATTTTTTTCTCAGTATTAGCACAGTGAAGCCATCAAGATCTTACAATTTCATTGTCATCAACCACATACCCTACCTCGGTTTATGCACCTTACAAAATCCGTTCCTTTGTCTCCACATTCCAACAGTTTTATAGGTATCTTCGGTATTGCCGTCGAGAACAAAGGAAAAATTGTTTCGCTGCCTAATCGGGAATTTCAGCTCATCGAATTTCTTTGTCCCATATTACTCTCAAATGATTGAGCTTCACCGAGTAGGTTTTCTTTCAGCTACCAACATTTTCGCGAAGATATCAAATTGTTGGGTATCAAAAGTTGGATTTGTGATTTCGAGGCTGTGAATATCTGTTAGCGTGGTTGGATAGTGTTGGCAACTCATTATTACCAACAAAGCAAATCATGGGTCGCGGAAAGAAACGTGGTCGAGGAGGTGGTGATCGCGGTGGCGGTGATGGTGGTGGGCGAGGCGGAGGTGACCGAGGAAACCGTGGAGGGGGAGATCGTGGGGGTCGAGGAGGCGGTGGTTTTAACAGAGGCGATCGAGGTGGAGGAGATCATGGAGGTGGTGGTAATAACAGAGGATTCGATCGAGGCAGCCACCACAGCACCAGAGGCGGACGAGTTGAAAAGCACGGCCAACAACAAGGCAACACTCAGAAGTACTGCAAGAACTGCAAAACGACTACACATAACACAGCCGATTGTCGAAACACTCAAAACAACTCAAACAACCAGAAGAACCAAAATAATCAGAATAACCAAGCCAACTCCAATAGACATAATCAAGCGCAACCCCAAGGGTCCATCTATTGCAAGATATGCAAAAAGAAAGGAAACCATACCACCGCCGATTGCAAAACCTCAAAGCCGCAGAAAAATCTCCAACGTCCATGTTCTACCTGTCTAGGTTGGCACAAAGATGCTGAATGTACCGCGCAGAGCGGGAGATTGCCGGACGGCTCGCCGATTGTATGTCGAAATTGCCAAGGACCACACTATGCATCGCAGTGTCCGCAGCAACACGGCAAGAACAGAGGTGGTGGAGGTGAAGTTCTGACGATGAGCGGCTACGTACTGAGACCTTGTATGTTTTGCAATCAGAATCACCTCCCAACAGCTTGCCCACAAGCGCGAACGCTAGGTCCAGCAGGACTAGATGTGCAGCCGCCGAACGTAAGCGTGTATCCTCGCGGCGGCAATGGGTATATCAAGAAGAAGTCGCGCTGGGAAGATGATTCGCCGGTTGAGAAGAGAGCATTTGACGCTGAGCAAGTGCATTATAATCATCTCCATGAAGGACATGCAGCGTATCATACCAGGTCCTATACGCAGCGTCAGTTGAGTCTTGGGAATGAGCAATTTGCTTGGGCAGGCGGGTTGGGGAGGGAGTATCATAGGAAGATGAGTAGAGAGGGAGATGGTGATGTGAAGATGAGTGATTTGGAAGAGTGCGAGGATTGTGATGATGAGGGTATGTGTGCGCAGCATTGGCGTGGGAGGTGAGGAAGTACAGGTGTATTTGAGTTTAGCAGAAGGGTAGAGGGTTGAGTCTGTAATTTGATGAGAAGTGGAGGTTGATTGGGTTTTTGTTGACGTATATCTGTCAGACTGTTGGTCTGTTGAATACAATCCGTAATATTGACCGAATATCAACAACATGCATCCGTGCAAGGAATGACGTGCTTATATACTCATCAGTCCGTGAAACAAAATCGAAGGAAAGTCGTTCTAACAGACACTTCTGGCTGGTATTTTCGACATGGCCTTCGATGAAGGAAGTGACTTGATTTTCTCAAGTTCCACAAAGGACGTTAGACGCGAAGATAAGCGCATTAAATTTGATTATACTCGATGTAGTCTTTCAATCAATTATAGGTATCTAATGTCAATTTTGTCAATAATGTGCGATCGTAAGTGTCGATTCCATAAGAAGAAAAGCTTTACCACCAGGTAGTTATCGTGAGTGAGAATGCAAATGCATAATACAGAATGTAAAAGAAGGAAAAGATCCATCCAAGCAAAATGTTGTTGTCCCAAAAGAAACGTCAATTGGGTACCTGAACTACCCGTAAACCCCACCTATTAGCTTCCAGCTTATCAGCCGATGCGGCGCATCCCATGGGGATGTGCATTAGCGTGTCTCCCAGTCGTACAAAACCAACGACCTGTCGGCGACGGTGTAGACCTCATCAATTCTACGTTGTTCTTCATAATGGACGGGATTATAGCAAAGACGGTCTTGGGTACCTTCGTTGGTATCTGCACCATCTTATTCGTGCTACAAAAAGTGTTGATCGGAAAGCAAGACCCACGAGAACCACCGCTTGCACCGACCAGCATCCCGTATTTTGAGCATGCATTTGGGATGTTGCGACAGAAGCATGATTATCCTTTATCCATCTAGTGAGTTTCAAAGTTTTATAAGAAAATACGTTACTGATAAGAGTAGTCGAAAAACTAAAAGCGCTCCAATTCTGACTATGTTGATGCCCGGCAAGACGTTGTATATCGTCAACTCCCTCCCGCTCATCCAGCAGGTGCAAAAGCAATATAGGGCACTCTCGTTCTTTCCAGTGGCTGGTAAAATGTCGACGCTTGCATGTGGAGCTGCAGAGACTACGAGGGAGATTGTCATGACGAATGTTCATGGTGATGGAGGAGTGGGTAGTGTTTTTGCCGATGTTAACCCCATGATAAGAGAGGTAATGGCACCTGGTGCAACGCTGGATGCGATGAATAAAGATATGATGGCGACGATTGGAAGGGCTTTGGATGAAGTAACTAAAGGCGCTCGAGGAAAAACGCCAATGAAGCTTTCTTTGAAGTCGTGGATCAAGGATTGTGTGACGCAGGCGACGACTAATGCTATCTATGGTCCTGAGAACCCTTTCAAGAAGAAAAGCATCAAAGAGGCGTTTTGGTATGATATCGCTTTTTAAATCACACAAACCAGGATATACTGATATAATCCAGGGAATTCGAAGACAACTTCCTCTCCGTAATCATCGGACTCTTTCCTTCGTTACTCGCCCGCAAAGGCCTCGCCGCACGAGAAAGGGTCGCTCATAGTTTTAAGACCTACCTGCAAAACGACAACCACATGAAAGGCTCACCTCTTATCCAAGGCCGCCATCGTATCAACGCCCAGTATGGAATTCCAATCCTAGATATCGCCCGCTTCGAAGTCGCAATGTGCATCGCCCTACTCGTCAACACCAATCCTTCCATGTTCTGGCTCCTCTTCTTCATCTACTCCAACCCGGCACTTCTGAACGATATCCGCGCCGAGCTCGATCCCACACTTGAAACGTCCAAGAATGTAGACGGTTCCCTCACTCGTCTCCTCGACTTGACGAAAGTCAAATCCAAATGCCCACTTCTCGCTTCCGCCTTCCAGGAAACGCTCCGTCATAGAGGTATGATCAGTTCCGTCCGTCAAGTCATGGAAGACACAATCCTCGACGGGAAATACCTGCTCAAAAAAGACGCCCTCGTACAGATGCCTGCGAGAGTCGTGCATATGGACGCTGCAATTTGGGGACCTGACGTCGAGGAGTTCAATCCACATCGATTCTTGCGTTCTTCAAACATGAAGAAAGCGTCTGCATCTGGCTTTCGCGCTTTTGGGGGCGGGACCATGTTGTGCCCTGGTAGACACTTTGCGACGACGGAGATTTTGGCCATGGTTGCGATGTGTGTTGTGAGATTTGAGTTGAAGCCTGTGACGGGGAAGTGGACGATGCCGACGACGAGGAATACGGGGGTTGCGGCGGCGGTCATGGAGCCGGATCAAGAGGTGGAAGTCGAGGTTAGTTTGAGGAAGGGGTTTGAGGAGGGGACATGGAGGTTTGGGTTAAGTGAGTCGAAGGAGGTGTTTGCTTTTGTGGATGAGGATCAATGATGGGTGAAGATCATCGAATCGATCTCACTTCTTTCGCCATCAACAATCGCTCAATTATCGGTTTGAATTCCCTCACCTTCAACATCATCAGCCGAAGACTTATCTCACTTATTTACAATTCTTAACCCACATCTTCCAGAGCGTACCTGCCTCATAACATGATACGCTAGCGTCAGAAGACTATTTAACCACCTCAATCAACTCTCATCTTCAAACATCTCCATCTTTCTCTCAAACTTTACATTTATTACATACTCAACCCATATCTTACATCTACAACACCCATCTTCGATACTGCCGATCATCATCTAGCTTTATCTACGATCCTTCTTCTTATTCTACGCAACTAATTGATCTCTATTCTCGTATTTATCACTGAGAGTCTAATTCTCACTTCAACAGTTATCATTCATCTTCGACTTCTTTGAAGTACGACTAATCAATAACACCAGATTCGCAACTATCACAGCTCAGCTCTCAGCAACTTCAAGTTTTATTCTTGCTAGATCCTCTCAACAAGAGTTCTCTTCACCTTTGCGCTTGAGAAATTACACTGGAAAGCTTCAAATACCAAGCGGAAGCAGATATTTATCGTCAAATCAGAAAGTAGCAAAAATCAGAAGCAACTAGTCCAAAAAACATGGCTCGATTAAAGTCATCTCACAAATCTTCTTCGCGAAAGTCAAACCCCCAAAAGAACATCCCAACATCAAAAAGACCTTCGATGATCGATGTAGACGGCAAGGTCGAAGTCAAGTACTATCCTTGCTTCGTTACCCATACCTCACCAGCTACCCTAACCCTAAGGTTAATGAGAGATGTGTCTCATTTGCCTGAAGATCAACGCAAGCGATTTCTTGATGATGTTTTCACGTTGGGGGAGAAATGTAAGGGTATTTCTGGGGTCAGTGAAAGGAAAAGAAAAGTGATCGAGGAAGAGGAAGGGGGAGAAGAGGATGATTTAGAGGAGTTCGAGGAGGAGGTTAAGGTGAAGAGGCCGAAAGTTGAGGTAAAAACACCAGAGATTGAGCAGCTGGTGATTGATTACGCTGGAAGGCCTGCGGGTGTCTTGGTTGTGGACCCTGAGATGGATAAATCCGCCGCGTCGAGCTTCTCTAGCGATCTAAATACAGGAGATAGCGACGAAGATATCAAATCACTGACGTCCGACACAAAGAAGGAAGAGGAAGAAGAGTCGAATGAAAATGAATTTGATACTAGGGGAGAAGAAGGCGACATCCAATCTAAGCTAACTCAGGCCCCCGACACGAAATACAACGACGGAAGTACGACCAACTTTGATGGCATCAGACGCGCAAACCGCCCTTGCAAGCTCTTTATCGACGGCAAAGTACAACAATATTACGCCAAATTTCTTGAAAACATGAAGTTCGCCACATTGAAAGCAATCGCCATCGAAAAGATTTTACAATACATACCTGAAGGCGAACGGAAATACTACGTCAATCTTCTTTTCACGATGGCTGAGAAGTACAAGATGGCGACTGAGAGGGTTGTGACCAGTAGAACCAATGATCCCGTTAAACGCCCAAGAACCAAAGAACAAGTCGGCCGGTTAGTAAAGCTATTACCAAAGTCCAAGGACCACGATGCAGAAGCAGAGAATCCTTGGATGCCAACCGAATCGAGCTATGAAAAGGATATGAAAACAATCAATTCATTCCCCTACGGAGCGCTCTGGCGGATAAGTGACGACTCGTCCTGTAGTAAGCTTCGTAAAGCCTCGGAAGGCCTCATCTCATTCAAAGACGAAGTCCGTCTAGACACGCCAGAGCGCCGATCACATCATATTGCCAACCATGCCGATTACGCAAACCGTAAGCAAACCCCTTTTATCTCCTTCAGTAGCGATCACAATGAAATCTTCAACAAACGAGCCCCAGAATCGAAAAGGAAACAAGAAAAAAAGAAAATCGCATCAGTCACCAAACTCGTCATGGTCAACCCGAAAGCTCGAATCGCAAAGGGCCTTCCGCTGCTCTCGATGATGGAACAACTGGAATTTTACAAGATCACGCCGAAATGTGGCGATCCGAATATCTACGGTCCGGATAATTGGTATAGACATGAGTATCTGGCGGTCTTCAGCGTTTCGCCGGATGAGATTGCGGGGACGTGGTGTTGGGAACATGTGGAGAAGTGGATTACGAAGAATCGAAGCTCTTTTCGGGCTTGGATTGAGGTGGTTGCGGCGCCGGTTTTGAAGGGGCATGAGGAGGCGAGATTGAAGGGAGAGGCCGTTGAGGGTGGGTGTAGTTGCTCGAGGAGTTGCCAGGGTTGATTTTGGGGGTGGATGAGGGTGGATGAAAGTGGATGGGGAAATGATGATTTTTAAAGAAATTGAATGCTATGAAAGGGGCTTGGGGTAGAGATTTTGATTCAAGGGGAGTTAAAGATATGATTTTCGTGGTTGGGGATGGAAGGGAACATGATATTATTGATATAGCCGACATAAATACTATCTCGTCATGACTTTTTACGATACGCAAAATATTAAGCTTAGCATACTATAGAATAAAACAAATATCTACCCATGATTCGCTTGTTTCATTACTTGGGGTATTGCTCCCAGCAAGATCAATTATTCTTATGACATACCGATAATTTTCATCCTGATGTTGTAGATTGAATCGAGTGACTAATAACCCAATGCTCTATATCTTGACCTGCAAAAAAGTACTGGAAAGAGAATGATTTGGATACGCCAGGGTATCTCAGCTTGCCCTTTGTAAGATGAACCTTCGGTTTAAGAGTGAAGCGGAAGAAATGATCCGCAACCAACAACTCAAACAGTAACCAACAACAAGATAAAGAACATAGCAAGACTCACATTCCAGGCTCCTTGATCCTTTCCCATCCTGATCTCAATTTACCGGGTTACAGACACGTTGTGTGACACAAATGCTAAGTCGGACAAAGGAGGACAAAGAAATGCCAAATCCAAAAACTGTCGCGTGTCTAGATAACAAAGAAAACCACATACCTGACTGACTATGGGATTCCGTTCCTGAGCTCCACGCCGCAATAAGTCTTGTGCTCTTAACCGTATCAGGAAGAAACTTTTTACACGCCGCAATTCCAGAACCCGCTTTCCCGGCTATTTTAAGTTAGGAAGTATCCGCAAACTTGGGATTTTTTGACAATGTTGGACCAGGCTTCTGTTGGATGGATAGTGTACGACCACTGATTACATTGTGCCACTCGTAAACGGAACGGCCTGGATGTGTAAGGATCCACAGAAGCTGTTGATTGTTCTCATCGCACAATGTGAATCAGGTCTAGCGCGGCGGTGAGATCAATATTCACGACAACAACAATATAACGGACGGCGAAGCTGAAATATACTTAACTTTCTCCCATCACCATCATCTTGTTCCTGATCCTCAAAACTAAACGCCCAAAAAAATCCTCGTGGCACTCCAAATAGCCTGCTCCCGCATCCTGATTCGCCCACCCCTGACGCTTCAGGGATCCATCCCCCATCCATTCCCATCCCATCCCCATCTACTAAACCCGCGACTCACCACCTCAGTGGTGATTCCAACCGCAAACCTGGCGAAATTCAACATCATGAAGTGGTTCCGCAAGAAGAAGTCGAAATCGCTGGGCCACGCCGACGCGCCGGTCTCGATTCCGTGGGACGCATTCGCGCGCAGCCCGCTGGCGTCGAGCGCCTCGGGACGACTAGTTGCGCAGCTGCCGCCGAAGGTGCTGCAGTGTATCTTCGCGCACGTGTGTCCGCATGCCCGCGACGAGAGTTTCGAGAGCTCCGAGGGGAGCGCGGTCGAGGATACGTGTCCGTTGTGTGATTTGAGGGATTTGGCGCATTGTGCGCGGGTGTCGAGACGGTGGAGGGAGGTTGCGGGGAGTGTTTTGTGAGTTTGGCTTTTTCTTGTGTTTATGCTTGGGGGGGTTTAGGGGACGAGGCTGATTGTGTGCAGGTATCATAGTATTAGGATTGATGCGGTGCATTATTGTCCGTTGGAGGATATACTGGCCGAGAAGAGGAAACGCAGGACGAAGTTGAATCGAAATGCGGAACCAGAAGATACGGCGAGGGCGAGACTTATACTGCTGTCTAGAACTTTGAGGGAGTATTGGGATACGTATGCGCTGAGGGTGCAGTATTTGAAGACGCCGTATATGACGAGAGAGACTTGTAAGCCGGATCTGGCGCGGACGGTAGCAGTCTGCCCGAATTTGCGGTATCTGGATCTCCCAGAAGGATTCTTTACGGATGACTTGAGTTGTCAGCCTCTTAGGTTGGAGCTGCAGTCAAGATGTCCAGATATTAGGAAAATGGCATATAAAGAGGGGTCGGAGAAGAATTTGGAATTGCTGGTAACGGGGACACTATGGCGGAATTTGGAGGTCTTGGAGTTGTCGAGATTGAATATGGATCCGTCGATACTGCGGCAAGCACTGGGACGTCTGCCACAATTACATGCGATCAAAGTTACGGATATGGAGGCATTTAATGACCGGATACTTCAGCATAACGATTACCTCCCTCCCTTTCCCGCCCTGAAAGAGCTCCTCCTCGAAAACGTACCCAACATAACGGTGGAAGGGATGACTGCTTGGCTGCAGCGACGAGACGTACAGCATACATTAAAGACATTGTCTTTTACAGAAACAGGCGTTCATCCAACAACACTGAAACCAATATTAGACCTGGCTCCAATCCTACAAAATCTCACAATCGTCGAAAGCGTATCCACCTCCCTACCAGCCGGCATCCCCCCTCTATCCTCCAAATCCCTCCGAACATTCCACTACGAAATCACCGCCAGCGCATCCACCAGCTCCTACAACAATACCACCTCAAGCTACTATAATTATCTCACCTCCTCCCTCCTCTCCCGCGGCCTCCCTAATCTCCGTGAACTTTACGTCCGCGATCCCGACTTCCCCGAATCCCTCATCGGCCTCGCACCCCCTACCGCCCCCTTCCAATCCGACCCTTCACACGTCCCTCAACCCTACGCCTCCTCCCCAACCCAAAACCGTCTCTCCTCCAACAACCCCTTCGCAAACATGGTTCACGCCAGGCCGGTCCTGCGCCAAGAACTAGAAGTCTACAGCAAAGGCCTCGACGAAATGGAGTGGAATTTCTCGAAAGTCGAACCGCCGAGAGGACACAACCGCTCTGGAAGCGCGAGCGCCCCACGCCCGATCAGTAGTTATGGATTGAGTGATAGCATTGCGAAACCGTGGGCTGCGAATGCGGGGGCACGGAAGAGTATTATTGTCGGGAATGGGTTTGGCGGGTTGTTGAAGGTGCCGTCGGAGGATGGGAGGAGACCGAGTAGTTCGGCGGGGGAGAGGGGGAAGAGGGGTAGTCAGATGGATATGTGGAGGTAGTGGGGTTGTGAGGGTGGTGTTTTTAAAAGGCGTTTGGGGGGTGGGAGTTGTGAATTCCAGGTTTGAAATGGTGGGATGAAAAAGGGTGTATTGAGATTGATATTATGGGATTTGATGATGGTGGTTTATACCCTTGATGTGGCAATAAAATAGGATAATTCCATTCTTTTGGTGAATTCTGGATACTGAAGGTTGGACTGTTGAATGGATTACTGGTGACTATGTGTGAGTCAAAACAAGACTTCATGTGGCACTCAGTGGTCAGATTAACATTACCCTCGACTTCCAGTTTGTCTACATCATCCGCGAACAAGTATGTAAGACTTTTCGTGATGCATTACGTGCTTGTGGCTAAATAGATGGGGGAAGGTGAAGATGGCCAAATCACTGCTTCCTGTGTAATTGGCGAAGGAATATCCTTCTGCTCGTAAGATGGAAATTGATGACGGGTCAATTTACTGCTTGCCGCGTGTCTGATGGCGCATTTCCTGCTTTTAGGACATTGTTTCGAAGTGGCCAAACAATTTACAGCAATTCTCAAGATCAATTGATGTTTTTGCGTACTGTTTACCTGATTAGGAGACGATCCACTTCGAACCGCACCCCAAATCCAGGAATGTGGATCTCGCTTAAAATACCCCAGAAATCCCAAGAGAAATCAACCCCTGGAATCGTCACATTGGCGAGACACTCATCTTGTTCATCTCAACGACAGTCCTTCACCATGTTCTTTTCATCTCTGTACATATATTTTCATTGTTTGAACTATGGCGTTTCGACCGAGTCATTATCAGATAGATGAAGAGGAACCACCGCCCCCTTATTCAGAGACTGATTTCCTAGACGACTATTATTTTGAGGAGCCGGCACCCGTGAGGCCTCCGCTGCCTCCAAGATGTGATTCTCAGACGCCGCCGATTCAATCGGGTTCAAGTCAATTCAAAGTCCCGCGAAAGCCTTTAAGGTCGTATAAGAGTTCTCCGGAAGTGAATCTTTGGGCGCAAAATCATGGCCATCGAGACGGACGGCCCAATGAGAGGATGGGTCAGGAATGGCCCATTCACAATGGTCGACAAATGGCACCCATTCACAGCAGTCGGGAGTATCAGAGACAAGGATACAATAATGCGATGATTGTTCCTCCATTGCCTCCTCGACCTAAAATTTATAGAAAGGAAGTTGTACAGGTTCGGACTCGAGAAATACAACAACATTCGCAGTTTCAAAACCAGCCGTCGGACGACATGTTTCGACGCAACACGGAGAAGTTGGGGATGGAAGAGCAGGTTTACGAGAATGTTGACGCTTCGGCTGAAACTCTTGTTCTAAGTCCTACCGCCTCTAGCACCAGTGTTGTTAGCAGTTTCAGCAAATTATCAGTCAAAACTCTAGTCAACAGAGCTCAGACTTTACCTATTACCGCCGGCACTGATGGCAGCTCACCCGGAACCCCCAATACAAAAGAAGTCAATTTCGCATCCAGAGCATTCAAACAAACCGCTGACCGCATTGACAACTTTGTCCCGCACCCAGTAGAAAGCAACAAGCATTTCAGCGTCATCCAACATTCATCCGGCATTGTCAGGTACAACGGCACTAAAACCGAACTTGCCATTAGTATCTTCGCAGCTAAACCTTTGCCCGAAAACCGAACTATCTGGTTGCAAATGAGAGGTTGGAGCGGGGAAGCCGGCATGAAAGCTAAAGCTTTCTTTGGTAGTAATGGGAATTGGCTCGAGGTGACGCCGAACTTACGTCTTGAAGCTTCCTCGTTGTCTCCCCAGAAGGAAGACAAATATCAAAAGAGCATCGCCAAATTCAGGAAACGCTCTTTGGGTAAAGAGAGACAAAAGCATATCCTTAGAGAGACGGCAATTATCCGTATTCCAGCAGTGGTTGAAGATGGTTACTACCAATTCGTCATCTGCGCCGGCGAGAAGAAGAAAGTGTTGTGCACCAGTCCCACATTTCGATTTTTCTCTCTGTCCATGAACGCTCACTGCCTGAGGGGAGCAAGTCTATTATCGATGCCCCTCGAGGTCGGCACGATGGCAGTTCAAACGAGTATTAAAACTGCGGCTGGAACTGCCTATGCAGCCATCGCAGTTACCGAGAAACTCCAAAAGGTCACCACAAATAAGAAAGTGAAGGCTGTCATGAGCTCTGTGACGAAGATGGCTGAATCTCGAGCTGCTAAAACTTCCTTGGCGGTTATGGAAAAGGGGGCTGCGATGGCGGCGGAGGCGGCGGGTGATACTACTGCCATGGTAAGAAACATCCTGTGCTTCTATAAGTATCTGCTGATTTTGAACAGGTACTTGGCGAGTCGGTCATCGTCGTTGGAGGCGTCGAAATTTCACTCCAAAACGGTCCAGGAAAACTCTACCCCATCCACCTCACAGCACGAACCCAAACACCATACATCCTCCAACCAGAAGAATATCCCGACCCGCAATTCGCCATGACCCTCTCCGACGTCTCCAACTTCGCTCCCAACATCATCGGCTCATACTTCGGATGGGCACGCTTCTCACCCCCCAAAAAGTCCGAAGAGAGCGTAGATTCAACCTGGCAATCCATAATCCTCCATGCCCTCCCCCCCACATCCGCACAACTCCAACGCGCAACCATCTCCTCCGCAAACAAGCTATTCTTTTCCCTCCAACTCCTCTCCGAAATCGACACTTCCATCCCCCCACTCTCCTCTGTCGAAATAGAACTCATGGGCTACCTTCGCGCCCCTCCCCCCGTATCCTACGGTGCTGCACCCATCCCAATCCCCGGCGCCATTCCCGAGCTCAACTACGTCGATTTCGACGACCGCGCCATGGCGATGATGGTGCTCGATGAAATGGCGTGGAGTCCCGAGGCAGCGGCTGCGCTACGACGGGGTGAGAAACTGCAGGGCTTTGCGAAGTTTGTGGGTGGTGTTTCTGATGTGAAGGGTGTGGCGTTGGGACAGTTGGGGAAGGTTAGTCTTTCGAGTGTGGGGATTAGAAGTCCCGGGGATGAGGAGAAGGAGAAGGGGATGTTTGTTAGTGGGTTTTTTGTTGTGCGGTAGGGTGGTTCTGGGGGGGTGTGGTTTGGAGGACTTGGATGAGAAGTACGGTCTAGGAGTTGTTATTTTCTCGGGCTACTAGGTAAGTGGGTGGAATATTGTTTTTGAGGTTCTTAAGAACGTGGCGGGCAGTCTTGTTGCTGCGCATTTTCTGGAGTAAGAGTGGTTTAATTTTGAACATAGCTCTCTACGGACGTTTCAAAGCTGTGGAAATCAGATCTAAGATGTATCTAATAGTTTTTAATTAGATAACTTAGACAAATTCCCTGAGGAGATGTGCCGTGAGATGAACAGAGAGTGACTTACCTGGAGAAAGCTATAAGTAAACACTCATTTCCTCCTTAGTTCGGAAAACTCTCCCACCAGTAGCTGAGAAACAAAGCTTATAATGCCATTTTCACAAGACCTGATAACAAGAGCAGGAAACGTATTGAATGAAGATATCCATCTCACCTCATTCACCCAAAGCAGGCCTCGAAGCGAATCGTCCTCGCTTAACCATCTCCCAATCCGGCGATACCTCAAGTATACCTCCCATCAACCATCACAGCACCTGAAAAATCCTCAAACAAGTAAAAGAAACCTCTCTCAGAATTCCCAAACAAAACCAATAAATAAAATAAAATAACAGGAACCCCCATTCACAACCCAGATTTTAATAATACCTCGGCGTTAATATGAGTTCAAATGAGCAAGTTTCTCGCTTGGCATCCACGCCCCATGTTCCGCATGCAGGTACTTTGCGCATCTACACTTCTCAGCCTCGCAGTTCTTGTGAGCAAGTTATCCCATCGACCTGGTCAAGTGAGTCGATTCATTGGATACACAAGCCGAGCAAACAAAATTCTTTTGAAGGGTTCGATAGCCTCGCAGGTCTTGGCGAGCAAGTTTGTGCTATGTTTGCTGCTGCAGCAACCCGAGGATGTGGTGAATGTTCTGAGGAGGCATGGTGATTGGGTAAGAGATATATGTAGGTGGTGGGGGAGACGGGAGTGAGGGTATTCGAGGGGGATTGAGAGGGAGTACAAGAACTTGTGATTCCCCCTGTGGTTTCTCTCTTTATCTTCAACCCTCGATCTACATCCGAATTGATCTCAGAACACCAATAGATCTTCAAGATGCTCGCCCAAACCCTTCTCCTCGCAGCATCTTTGCTCGCAACAGCATCCGCTCACTTCTCCATCGAATCCCCAGAAATGCGCGGTGATTCCTTCGAAGCACCGGCCTCTCAATGGATTTACCCATGTCCGTCCCCCCCCATTCCCATTCCCTTCACTTTCCTCACTAACGCAATCTTCAAGGCGCAGGAGTAAACCAAACCGCCCGCACAAACCGCACCCTATGGCCCCTCACCGGCGGCGCCGTCGCCCTCGACCTCCACCACCCATGGACCTACGTCTACCTCAACCTAGGCATCGGAACCGACTACCCAGCGTTCCCGGGCAACATGTCCATCACCACCTCCCTCCTCAACGTCACGGGGAACGGCACGTTCTGTATTCCGCAGGTGAAATTGCCCGCTGGATTGGTGGTTACCGAGGGCTTGAATGCGACGTTGCAGGTTGTGACGGGTGGTGCTAGTGGGAGTGCTTTGTATAATGTAAGTTTGTCCATATTCGCATCTATGTAGTGATGAGGAAACGGGGGCTAATGAGGGAACAGTGCGCCGATATCACGTTCGCGGCTGCTGCCACTGCGCTGTCTTCGGAGGTTTGCATGAATAGTACGGGTGTGAGCGGGGCGTATGTCACTCCTGGTGGTTCGCAAGCTGCTGTTGTTAATACGACTGCGAACTCGACGACGACGAAGAGTGCTGCGCATAGAGAGGGTGGAAGCTTGATGGGTGCGGCTGTTGTTGGTGTCGTTGCTGTGGCGTTTAGTTGGTTTTTGTAGAAGAGGGGTGGGAGTGGAGAAAGTTGCTTGGGTATACCAAAATCAAATTAAATGAAAATACTTTATAATAAGCATGCTTGACCATTTCGAAGTTGTACAGCTAGTAAAGTGGCTAGTTGTAAAGAGCCAACTTAGCACTAACAGGTTTTTGCAAGTACCATGGTAACTAATTCTACCTGTGCAAGAATAATTACTTGTGATATATCTAACAATTAATCTGAACGTCTCGAGTAACAAAATTTGATCATGTCACTTTAAATGTAGATGATCTGTGGTTTCAACACATAAAAAGGAAATTATTGACTCCTCTTACGACGCTTCAAAGTGGAATGTGTAGGCCATTTCTGTTGACTTGAGTTGTTCTGGTGCTAATAAATTTGGAATATGCACCGTGATTGGATCGCTTCCATCCGTCCTCCTCTTGGTATCCGTAAATAACATAATACTACCAGTCACTCAGTAAATAAAGATTTCTCTATCCAAGAACTATAAAACAGAAATTATTTGTAGGATTCGAGCAAAAGAGTTGAACGGCGTCACTTCAGCTACAGACTATCTGGGATCTGGATTCGCATCACTGACTTACGATTAACCATCTACGTTTCCTAACTTGTGAGTCACAGATATATCAAATGAAAGTTCAAAATACTTTAGATTGAAAGATTATAACCTTGTATTTCTAACTTGAGCTCCAGAGTAACTACACGTTTATTCCACAGGTTCTTCACCGCTCGCATACAAAAGAAAAACCCAAACTCAAACTCCAATTACAAAACTAACAAAAGATAAAAACCCATCACTTCCCCTTTCCACCTTCCACCCCTTATCGAATCCTATCCCACTTACTAACATTAGCAGTAGCAACCCACCAAACCAAAACAATCGTCCCAAGCGACCACAAAAACCACACCACCCCCACCGTCGCAACCGCATCCCTAACCGCCTGCTCAATAGGATGTACTCTCCTCCCATCCCCCTCCTCAGGCACCTCATCCTCCACAAGATCAATCACAATCCCCTCACCTCTATCTCTTAAACCCGGGACATGGAACGGTCTGGCTTCATTACCCACACCACCCCGAACAACCCTACCGATTCGCTCTTCTCGGTGTCCTCGTGCAGGAATATCCGCACCCCCTCGTAAACTCCGAATCACCCGCTTCAAACGCCCCCATAACTCGCTGTCCCGCTCCCATAGCACGTCGCATCGCTCTTCCAAGCGCACTTCTAAGCGTCCCACGCGCTGGTCCAGGACCCCAAAGTTCTTGTTCACGATCCGGAGTACCTCGCGTAGATTCTCGTGGTCGAGATCGGGGATGGACTCTGCGTTTGAGTCGGAGCTCTCGTCTCCATTTGATGATGCATTGGAGGATGACGAGGAAGATGGATCATCTGACCCAGGCTGTTCTGGGAGATCGGAGAGTTCTGAGGAGGAGGAGGAGGGAGGTAGTTGCGGCGGTTTTGGATAGGGCGATTTAGGGACGGGTGTCTTTTTGGGGGATGCGGTTTTGCGGGGGGGAGGAGGAGGGACGCTGGTTGGGGTGGTGCGGGATCTGAGTTGGCGGCTCATTCTGGATGCGATGATGTGATGGGTTTGAGACTCGTTCGAGTGTGTTGTAGGATTTTCTCGTTCGAAATGCTGAATCTGCGGGTAAAAGCATTTAGGAAGGGAGTTTATGTCTTTGTTCACATTTAAAAGGGTTGATTAGTAAAAGTGTCTGAATGCGGTTGTTTCTTTGTTCCGGAGATTTTGATAAAGGATGGTTGAGATACTCGAATTTATCAATTACAAAACTTGTCTTTGATGATACGCATGCAGAAAATCTTAACATTCCTCTTATCTACGCTTTAAGTTGTCTTTTAATAATGCATCCGATACCGAAATGGAATAAACCTACATGCAAGTCTAGGAAAAATGGTAAAGTTGAAATTTTTAAGACTTAAGCGGTAATTGACGAAATATTGAACCCTGTTTTATCGGTCGATTCAAGTTGATAGATTTCAATTAGTGGGATTTAGTTTGTTAGACACCGAAGTGTTTTGCTTCATGCAGTAAAGTTAAGAATCACGATGGCTGTTCAAAATTTGGGTCTCGCTTAAATTCCCTTATTGCCTGCCCCTTTACGACTTCGATGCAACAAGGTCTTGCCCAGGGATCGCTGTGTTTGGTAGATTGCGAGAATTTTGTCATTACTAATGTATACATATTTAGCCTTCACAATAGAGACAATCGTATATTTGTTCAAAGTGATTGAGTAAACATAGCGATTCGGGGATCATATTGCTACTTTACCGTGGCCCGTCCAACTGAGTGCATGTCATAATTTCACACTGTACAATCGCGAATAAAGCAAAAGTTCCATCCATTAAATACCTCGATGCCGCCATTATCCTTTCTATATAACACTCAAAGAAATCTATAACTATTCCTAACTAAATATACATAAACGCCACGCTATCCGAAAGCATCGTAACACCTAACCGTCCAAATGCAACACCATCTCAAGCCTGAGCAAATTTACTCCTCGCCCTCAACCTAGCACCAAAAACATAAAGTCCCACCATCCCAAAGACCCCCAACGTACTCAGCCCCGCTAAAACACTCACTCCCCTCCCAATCCCCTCATTAACAAACAGTGGACGCGCATACACGATACTGCCCGCCGCCATCGCGCTTCTCACCAAGTCATTTCCCGCAAACAGACTCGCGGCGTATTGCGGATAGCTAAGCGGGACGTAGACGAAGATGCTTTGCAGGACGAAGAACGTGCCCATCACAAAGATGATAACGCCGATGAGCGGAACGACGTAGTGGATCGACGGGTTGGCTGTCCAGCCGAAGATGAAGAGGCCGATGGGGAGGAGAAACGATCCGAAAAGTGCGGGCACGAGACGGTGTTCTTGTGCCCGGAGACCGTGGGTGATGTTGTCGGGAATCATGTAGTAGTGTAGGTAGGCAAAGTAAATTAGTAGCGCGAAGGTTGCGCCTATTTGGCAGGCGAGAAAGGCGAGTCCGATTTGGCCGAGGTTGAAACCGTACATTGGGGGGAAGACTAGGGGAAAGACTTGAGTGTGTTATTAGTATGTGTTTTGTTCTGATAATGGAGGATGGTCTTACCTTCGAAAAATGTATAATATATCCCATAAAACAAAGCCGTGTAAATATTGACAAAGAATATGGCAGGATCCTTAATGGTAATCTCAATAGGTTTGATAAGCGCCTCAACCAGAATCGAGGAAGCCTTCATATTCTTTTGATCAATCTCACTCTGTGCCTGGAGTCTCTCATTCCCAGTAAGTTTCCTAAGCCGCTGCGCTCTTCGAAGCAGGATATTCGGCGTCGACGTCTCGGGCAGGAGAATCAGAAGCGCAACCAACATCGGCGCTGCCATCCACACAATCTCCCAAAGCGACCACCGCCAATTCTCGGCCGCAACAGCAAATCCAGCCATCAAAGGACCCAGAGCAGGTCCTCCCCACGCGGAAAACACCCACCAGGAAAGCGGGTACGGGACGTATAGCAAGGAATACATGTCGGAGAAACTCGCGCCTGCATTCGCCAGTGCTGGACTGCCGAAGAAGCCTTGGAGGAAGCGAAGGACGAGGAGGCCGGCGAAGTTGTTGACGACGGCTGTGGGGAATGAGAGCGCGAAGAAGACGATGAAGGTTAGGTAGTATACTGGGTTGCGTCCGATGCTGGGAATCTCACTTAAGGGTGCGAATACCAATGGTCCGATGCCATAGGCGAGGACATAAAGACTAAGTGGCAAGACTGCTTCAGTTGGGTTGACGCTGAATTGACTCATTACACCACCTTCACTTGCGGCGTAGATGGATGAGCCTGTGTAGACAACCCATGTGTATGCGCAGAGTAGGAATGTGACGAAGCCTCGCTTGCCGCTGGTCCAATTTTGTGGATTAGCGGCGTCGTCGGTGGTATACCAGTCGACGAGGACGATTCCATCAGAGGTTTTCTTGGGAACGATAGGTGTGGTCTTTGTGCGTTCGAGAGAGAGTTGTTGTTCTACTTCGAACCGTTCGTTGCTGTAGGGTTGAGTGTCTGCTCTACTCTTTGTCCTTTTGATACCGAGAGCTTCTAGGTCGCTGTCTGGGGTGTTGCTAGAGCGAGTATCAGAAACTGCATGAGAGTTGCTGGTGTTGGAATTTGAGAGCGTTGGTTTGGATCCTTTTTCCGGATCTAGTTGAGTAATGTATTGGATTGGTATGTCGAAGTTGGGTTCTTCTTCTGGGTATTTGAACAGGCGATTGCCGGATACGAATCGAAGTGCTTGACCCAGTGGGGCCTCTCTAATAAGATCCTTCATGCCGGCTAGGGGAAAGATTTGTAGTCTGGAAGATGAATAGCGTTGGGTAAAGTTCGAATAAGAAAGCTACCGTTTTGAAGATCCTCTTTCTGTATGAACAAAAGTCCATTCAATAGACCTTCAATCCTCATCTTATACACCTTCAATCCTATACAACACTCAAGATTAACAAGCAGCAAAGACGCCATACCATACATACATCAATTCTGATAGGATCCGCACCCCCCACAAAAGCCCGCAACGCGCCCGCAATGAGGCTCCAGTGGCTTCTCCGCTGATCTTTTGCAACGGTAGCGCCATGATTACTATCGCAAGCACATAATGCAGTGGGATGAGTCCCGGTATGTTGTTTCGCTTAGGATCAGTAATCTGCTTGAAATTAGCCGAGCGGTTTCTCAGGGGTGCGACGATGACAAAAATGTATAGATGAAGGATATAGAGATACAGGAATACGTTTTGCTTAGTCTTTTTAAGTCTGCATCATAGTGTTTAGTTTAATTTGAAATACTCAGGAAAAGGCCGTTTCGGCGGACAATTAAAAAGCAGCGTTCGCTTCGGTAAGCCGCGGTCAAACGTCCACTTGAGATCATGCATCATTACTTCATTATGAAGTCGAAAAAGCAACGGCCTGGGAGGGATTCGTCACACTGCTATGGCATGCTCGGAATAACAGCTTGCTTAAAAAGCGAAGGTGCAAACCTGATGAACATAACAATTTATCCAGCCAAACATGCCCCGTGTAGTAGAGAGGAAGCAAGATACTGGATGAATAACGCGCTTTTTAGGAAGTTGCATGTCAGGCCTCAGTCAAGAAAGTCAACCATACCCCTATTGGACACTCAAACAAAAGCCTGTGGCCGACCTCTCCGGAAAATATAAAGCGCAAAAACCGACAAATCTGTTGAGCGACTGTATTGCCAAACTGCAAATCCCACAGGAGGCAAATTTCGAAATACAATTCGGGTGTAAATATAGCATTGACAATCTGCAAAACGCCATCCTGCACCAGCGATAATGGTATCTTACGAAATATCAACCGCACTTGACGGACCAAAACTATCCATATGACCACCACGCCACACTTCAGACTCGCAATATCAGACTCATTTACCTCCACGAAATCCGCTCCTTACATCCAGCCTCCAATCTCCATGCATTCACAGACTCGTCACCGCCATCCCATCTACGGAATAGCCTCATACCCACCACTCCCCTGGTGCGCCTCGCGGTTGGAGAAAAGATAATACACGACCAACCCCAAGATCGGGAACAAGAAGACACCGATACACCAGAGTAGTTTATGGGAAGGTGGACGGTTCGATTTGAGGAGTTCCACTGCACAGTTTGTTAGCATATCAACTCTTCCAAAACAGCAACCCTCCCAAAAACTCGAAGTCTTTTATGGAAAGATGATTGTAAGATAGGGTTAACGTACTGAAAACCAGAATATCCAAAATCAACACAATGAACCCGATGAGACCGCCTCCGGACCCGTATTTCCAGGCGTTGCCGTGGGTGGTGGCTGTCAGGGTTTCCTCTGCCATGGCGAAGGCCAGGAGGGAGAAGTTGATTAGGAGTTGGGCGAGCATTTTGTTGGTTTGGTTTGGTTTGGCTTGGTTGTGTTGTGTGATGGATGATGGAGAGGTTTGGAGAGACGAGACGAGGTTGAATATGGGGGAGAGGTCGTTTATGAGGGGTTGCGTGGCTTTGACGTACAGCTGCTGTGGTTGGCAAGGCAGAGAGCTGAATGGGGTGGGGGCGGAGGAGTGACGTCATTGCGTGGGATTCACAAGCGAGGAGGGAGTGAGTGTACAAGTAAATGAACATAAGTGAGTTCATAGGACATTTGATTGAATAATCATTTAGGCTATACTAATGAGTGTCAAATATAAAGATGTGGGAACTCTCTCTATTCTGTTTCAATTCTCAAAAGTTCAAAGCTAACAATTGTCGCAAGAATATATTTACGCTTAAGAGGTACTCCTTAAATTTACCTCACCGAAGATACGTTAATTTAAATACTAGCATAACCATAAAAGAGGTTAAGAGCAAGTCAATCTACCTTTTTCCATTCCTTCTTCTCTTATAATATCCGATAAATACCAGAATACACATACTCCTCTATATCCTACTTCCTCTAATTAAGTAAATATAAACAAAAACAAACCTAGTATTCAAACACTTAGAAAATTAGGCAAATGATATTAGCAAGAAAACCGAGCGCATTGATACGCTTCGGCTGTTTATCGTTAAGTGTTAAGTGAGTACCGTGCGCTGTGTAACAAGCGAGGTCAAGTGCCTATTTTGAGCGTATCTTTTTAGACATAAGTCTAACCGGGACATGTTTGTTCTGTTCGTGGATTTACGGAGAGGGTAGCATGCTTCGGCTTTTTACAAGTGCTTTGACTTTAGGTTAAGTTTTACGCTTCGTCTCGCGAAGTGTAGTGGAGTATTCAAGCTGAGTACTTGATAGTTATTATAGTTGTTTAGGTACATGATCTGCACTGTAAGTTAAGTCCCGCAATTCAATTTGTCAAGACAAGTCAAGTGTGTAAGCAGAGGACTAAATTATTGAATTGAATCTATTCAAGCACATAATGTGGACATCGTCTCTACTTTCCAGGTTATTTTAGCAAACAATCTTATAAAGCCACCAGAACTGATTAGATAGTCTCAGAACTTGATCAAAATCGAATCATTATATACATATTTACAAGCCCCTACATACACCACTTCCACAGGCCCTCCCAAACCACCCCCTACAACCTCGCCTTAACCCTCCCCTTCTCCTTCTCCTCCTTCAACCACGTCCTCAACTCCCTCCTCAAAATCTTCCCACTAGCACTCTTCGGCACCTCATCCACCCACCTCACGCCCCCCCTCAACTGTTTATGTCCCGCGACTCTCTCCGCAACCCACTTCACAATCCTCTCCTCCGCCTCCCTCCCCCTCACCACCCCCTTCGCCGGCACAATACACGCGACCGGAATCTCCGTCTCGCGTTCCTTATCATGCACCCCGACCACAGCAACATCCTGCACATCCTCCATTCCCATCAACAACCCCTCCAACTCCGCGGGTGCAACCTGAAAGCCCTTGTACTTAATCAACTCCTTCACACGGTCCGTGACATACATATTCCCATCCTCATCTCTATACCCGATATCACCCGTTTTAAAGAACCCATCCTCGGTTAAACACTCTTTCGTCGCATTCTCATTGTTCAAATACCCTTTAAACACATTCGGGCCACGGATCCAGATTTCGCCTTCGGTGCCGTGCGGGACCTCTTTGGCGTCGGGACTCATGAAGAGGACGGTTTGGTTGGGGAGGGCAGGACCGACGGAGCCGAGGGCGACGTCCCAGTGTTTCTGGATGTGGGTTACGGGACTTGTTTCGCTGAGGCCGTAGGCTTGTTTGACGTGGATGCCGAGACGCTTGTGGACGCCGAAGATGAGTTCTTTGGTTAGGGGGGCGGCACCGGAGGTTATTGTTTTGAGGGAGGTGAGGTCGTAGTCGGAGACTATGGGGGATTTGGCGAGGTGTCTAGAAGTGGAAGGTTAGCTTTTTGGTTTTCAGGAGGCAAGAAAATCATGAACTATAATCCAATAGCGGAAAATCTGTCAAAGAACTCTGAAGAAAGATCTATACGTGAGTTCGAGAAAAACATGACAGGAAATTTCCAAACAGACCGAACTTACAATATCACCGGCGGCGCCAAATACGTATAAGTAATCCTATGCTCCTGAATAATCCGACAAAAATCCGGCAAATTAAAACTCGGCATTACCACCGTCGTCAACCCCAACAACATCGGAAAATGCACCAAGCACTGCAGTCCTATCTCACTAGTTAGCCCAAACTCCAACTCTCAACAATATCACTTACCATAGATATGATAATACGGCAGCACACTCAACACCCTATCCCTCCCCGTCCTCGTCAACCCCCCCTCAACCGAAGCACCCATAAACAAATCCGCCACAATATTCTCATGACTGAGCATAACCCCCTTCGGCAGCCCCGTCGTCCCCGAACTATACACCAAAAACGCCAGATCCGTTTTCGGATCCACCTTCACCCTATCCCCCTCGCTCCCTCCCTCCTTCAGAATCTCCGAGAAGTGCCGTACCCCATCGACCGCACCTCCTTCCCCGATCAGCAAAACATGCGTTTTTGGGATGCCTGCTTCTTGAGCGGCTTGGAGCGCGACTTTGAGCAGCTGCGCTTGCGTGATCAGGATGCTGGAGCCGCTGTCTTTGAGGTGGTGGGCGAGTTCGCGGACGGTGTAGGCTGGGTTGGCGGGAGAAACGATGCCGCCTGCGAAATGAGTGCCCCAGGTTATGGCGGGGGTGTCGATGCAATTCGGCGCGAAGAGGGCGAGGACCTGTCCTTTTTGGAAGGAGAAATGGTGACGGAGACCGGTTGCGAAAGCGATTGTGGTTTGCCGGGTTTGCTGGTAGGTGTAGGAATGCGAGGAGGAGGGGGTGGTATAGATTACTGGAGGTGTTTGTTAGTTGGGGTCGAAAGGGAGGTGTAAGGGAGTTGGAGATACCTGTGTCGTCGGGGAATCCTTTATTTTTCCTGTCGAATAAGGTTGACCATATATCAGTATTTGGATACTCAATCCTTTCTATCTCCTCTTTTGCCATGATCTCTCAATTGTCTAAACAAAGGCTCCAGCTCAAATAATAGATAGATATTTCCAAGTATCAGCACTTCTCACTCCGATTCTTGCGAATCCTTCTAAAATCTAATTGCTCTTTCTAGCACAATCACAAGCACACTTCTACAACATATCTAAAACCAAAGAACAAAAATAACAAAATAACATTCACAAATGAACAACCGAAACCCCTCCTCTTCCAAGCAAGTGTATTCACAAGATACCCGAGAGGTTTGCCGATGACCTCAGGATCTCCGCATACGCCAGGACCCCAGTCCGTGCTCATCCCAGAAGTCTGGATCCCCCTAAACTGCGGGGTGCCGAATGGTCTCTTTAACGCGAGTCATGCATCTGTCTTGATGACAGACCGTTCTGTTGGCAAAGATAATAGTTGTGATTAGGAGAGATTGGGATCAGGAGTTCAGCCAAATAACTGAAAATGAAGGTTGAGAAGGAACACAGTTGAAAAGTTGTTACTCTGAGAGATTAAGCAACGGCTAAGATCGCCGAGATATTCATGTGAGATGGGAATCCACATCACCTGCATGCCTATCAAAGGCATTCTGCAAAATGCAATTGAATTTCCATATGGCTTTCCTGTTTACCAATAAGAGGATCATAATTTTCATGTTTATATGCATTATTATTAACTCATGCGTTTGTTCGAGACGGCTATCCCTCAATATCTCCCTCAATATCTCCCATAACCATTCCACTATTTCCAAGCAGCTAACACATGCTGGATACTAAATATCATGAGATCATGGGTATATAAACCAAAGATGTACTGCAAACAGAAAAAATATATCGTCCGAAAATTCAGAGTTCAGGTTGCTTGTGGCACCCATAAAGCAATATATAACCGACACTTAAGTGCGGACAAAGCACCAGCTGACATGAATATGCGACGCTGAAATATCGATTCGCAATGCCTGAAAGTCGTCCGAGGTATCTCGATGCCATTTGATCATATCGTGTGTGTAACCGTAAAATAGATGTAAAAGAAATCCGTCGCTATGTCGTCGTGAGACCCGAATATTTATACAAAAAAAGTAGAGAGGAAACCAAATTGTTCTGGCGGTTGTGATAATCGATGATTGCGTTTGTCAAGCCAAGTGCTCGTGGGGTTTGCGTTATTGGCTTATTCAAGGACAGATGCGAGCGTATCATCCAAGATATTATCCTGTTCGAATTCCACGGGAACAATTGGCGCATATTTGACGTTGTTTCGGGCTTCAAGCTTCTTCCTCCAAATTTCCTCGGTGACATCCCATCGTATCCTTAACTTCATCTTCCGTTCTTGGAAAACAGCGAAGAACCCGTCCTCCTCGTCAACAAAACTTTGCTCCAAAGCATCGAGTTCATCATCCTGCCTAGCGGCAAGCTTTTCTAACTCCTCCTCTTGCCGGGTAAGGAGCTGTTCCATTTGTTTTGATTGCTTATCCCGCATGACATTGACCTTGCTTTGATGAAGCCGTTCCATGTCGTCGCGCAAGTTATACTGCTTTCCCAACTCTCTCAAATCTCGTTCCGTAACTACTCTGGCTGTGGCTCTTTCACCGCCCTTTCGTCCAAGACCGTCACAATACGCCTCCATGTGTCGCAGCCGGATCTTAACACTTCTCTCCGCCTGCTTATGACTAGCTCTTAATTCCATTTCTGCAGCCACTTGACGATCTTCCAGATGTGTTGATGTACGTGCATGGCGTTCTTTCATTTTCGCTAGAGCTTCTGCGTAACGGTCCAAGACATCAAGCTTCGCTTGCCCATGGCGAGTCCACATTACCCATTTCATTTTCCTCTCGAATGAAGTGAAGCGATCGCGTTCTCTCATTTGGCGTTCTCTGAGTGTATTGAGATCTCGACTGTTTGCTGTGCGCCTTTCAGCCGCCGCTTTCTCTACAGCTTCTAGCTTTTCTGCTTCTTCTCTCGCTACCTTCTCCTTCTCCAGCTCTAACAATCGAGCTTCCTCTTCAAGTCTTCGGCGTTCCAATTCCTCTTCACCATTGCAGAAATTGGGGCATCCGATTAGCGGATCCCAGACAGCGCCACAAATATAACAAAATTGTGCTTTGCAACGACAAGTGATGTGACTACAACCCTGTGTCAATTCCACCATATTTCTGCACTTATAACACCTTTTCCACCCTGAACGCTCGCCCATCTTGAGAACAGCGTCAAGTTCCATGTCTGCAGGACAATCCTGTCCAAATCCATGTGCTTCCCGTTTGCATGTTGAACATACCCTGGTTCCACATTTTCGACAAGACACCTCGAATGGAGCTTTGGGATCGATTTTATTTCGCCTTGGGATAAATTCTCCACATGAAGAACTGGGACAATATACTCGAGCTTCCCATGGTGTGCCGAATTGCACCACACTCTTCATAAATATAAGTTGATCGTCTTTCGTTAAAACGCGCTGAATAATGGGCCCAGGAATCGGTTGTGTGCAGCATCGTGGAGGCATTTTAGCTTCATCATTCATGGACTGAGTGATCAAAATTCGCAGACACGTGTTACAGTATTTATGGACGCAGGGTAACGTATGCAACGATTCGCTCCCTAGAAATTCTTCCCGGCAGCACACACAAGAACTAGAGTGTCAGCATGTTTCTATTCGCGGATTCTATAGCTCAACTTACTTCATATTCGGCGCAGATGCACTACCCTTTCGGAAGCGCAACTTTTTCAAGCCACGTTTGATACTAGCATATGACTTTTTCGTCGACACGGAAAAGAGCGAAGGCGCTCGCTCTACAGGAATAGGTATCGTACATTTCGGTGTCGTATTTGATGTATCGGCTTGTTCCAAGAATTTCTCATAACCAGAGAATGATAAACTCCTCTTCGAGGCCGGCCCTCGCTTCGATTGAGGGGCGTCTAAATGGTAGTGATAATCGTGAGATGATCTCGATGTCATGCCAGTGGATTGGCTTCGCTGTGATCCAGAAGAGACGGTCCTCGCATGCTGCGACAGCACCGAGTCGGATACAGAGTTGTCAATGGCATTATCGAGCTTCGTTGTCGCCGGCCGTGATACCACTGTGATCCCTAAACTCCCCGCTTCCCGTATGATATGATCGTCCAACAACGCTTCTGTCTGCCCGGGACGCAGCTGTAGCACCTCGCGAACGTAGTCTGCATCGTTGTACTCGGTGGGAACGGGCCCGTCGCCTGCTGTGAGGGTTTGCGTGTCGGCAAGTGAGCGCTTTCGTAGCACCGGCGTCATCGTGAGGCCAAACTCCCAAGATATCGCAGCGTTACTATCGACATCCGAACTCTCGAATACTGGTTCTTTGCGCGGGGTTTTGTTATCGTGAGGTGATCGTCACTACACCTCTCTCGGCGCCTGTCTGCCGGCCGCAGGAGGATGCGACCCCTAGTCGATGCAGGCTGACTGCTGGAGGTTGGACTATTCGTTCTCAGGCGGTGGAGAAGGTGAGGAAGTCATCTAAGGAAGAGTTTGAGGAGTGTTCAGGACAGAGGAAATGCAAGGAGTAAGGGAAGAAGTAACGGTGAGTGCGATGAGGAAGAAGCGAGGAAGAACGCCTTCTAGGTTGGTTCTTGCGGAGTCGCCAGTTAGAGGATGGAAATGTTTACTCGGTGGTGCTTGATCTGGGTGGGTCGGTCAGTTTATCGTGGGACTCGGGTTTGACTGGTGGGGAGCCACGACTGGGGGCTGCGATTAAGTTTGGGGGGCGAGCAACATGCCCATTTCGGCGTCTGCATTTCTGTCATCCCATCTCTTCCTCCGTTTCCTTCCTTGCGAACCTTAACATCAACCAATCTCCACTAAGTCGATTTCTCACCCAAAGTGTCAAGATCACCATCGCCGCTAGTTTGCCTACCAATTCTTAATTCGAACTTGTCGGCACTTCTACGAAGTATGCCAGATCAGATTGGCAAGATGCATCGCCATGACGCTTGACCGTTGGACTGTCTCGCTTGAAACGATCTACGCCAACCTTGGACGTCGGGCATTAAATCGAGGAGAGGTGAGACGGATGCGGAATACAACCCGTCAAGAGCTTCATGGAGAGTCAAAAAGATTCACTGATGATGATGATGATGATTCGATGCTAATCAATCTACTGTGGTGAGTTACAGAATCCAGCGTTCCAGTCTGCTTCCTTCGCAATTGACATACTTTCCCAACTCTGTTGTTCAGACATCACAAAACATGAGTTACATAAGTTCGCGGTCTGGCTTCATCGCCGGATGTCCACCCGGGGAATGCATGCACAGATAGCGGATGTCACACACATCAGCTCCAGTCCTTACATCATGGACCTCGAGATGCAATTACCTAGGTATGTGTAATGGGTAACACCCTGTTCCCTGGAGAGAGAGGTGCAGAATGGTTCGACTCTTACATGGCCAACATCACTATTGAAGTTTGAACAACGTCTTTAAATTATCACTTTATTATACTTTGCAATCAAATCACGGATCGGGAATACACTGGTCTATTGAGTGGAGTATTCGCAAGGCTAAGAGCACTAAAACATCAAAAGCGAGATTTCGCCTACGCATGGCTAACCACTTCTACATACTAGTCTGATGCAAAATGAGATGTACATCTTTCGTAAGAAAGTCTTTCGTCTCAGGGGCAAACAACGCGTCCTTTACAAAGCGGGATCTAGAGCTGTTAGTGTCTCTTATAGTAAGGTTTTGTTGAACCTCAAATGTCGACATTTTTATAGCCCTCACGACACTTTATTTTTCAAAATTTCCTTCGCTATACAGCTGCCATTCTGCCTCTGGTACATGGGCATTGAAGCTCAAATCCAGGAGTATAACTACGGTGATAAACTTGTCTCCATCCAAGTAATTACGACCGCGGACATCTATCAAATCCAAGTTATACAACGCAGTAATCAGTACACACTGCGAGATATTCTAAAGTGGGATCTCGGAGTTCGATCACTTATGCACAGTAAGTTTTATAAAAAAGCAGAAAACACCATCGATCTCGTCCCTGCCTGCCCAAAGATACGAAAGTACTGAAAGCTGTTCACAAGTCAATAAACGGAAAGCCTTCGTATCTATTCATTTGTCGCAATGATTACTCTTCACGCTGGGCTGTCATACGATGCGTCTCTTCTACGCTTTCGGTTCACTCACAACCTGAGACACATTTGAATAGCTGCGTTTCGCTTACAAGTCACTTCTTTTGTCTTCGCAATTCCGTCATATCCACGTTCAATGAGCCGAAAAGTTTCACTTGAAGAGGGACACTGAAAGCGTTGAGGATGTCGATATCAAAAGGTTTTGCTCGGCATAATCTTCTGTCATCAAAACGTCAGTAATGAATTACTGAAGAGAAATAAGTTTTTCCTGTATCTATCATTACAGCGCATCTGCCTGCACCTCGATAACCAAATGACATTCGCCTTAATTAATGTATCCAGAACGTTCCCCGTAGACTCCTTGACAAACCACTACTCTAGTCACAACCCAGCCACGCGGTATATGCCATTCTTTCTTTCTATTTAATCAAATATACGGGTGATAACACTCTGACTAATCCAAATTGCTTACTTTAGTAAAAGAGATAAACGCAAAGGGAAGGAGTTTAGAACAGTAGACAGGAGGGGTTTAAGTGAGAAACTTGAAATGTACGCGCCATTGTAAGAGAACATTGTAATACCGAAAGAGTAGATGTGATTGACTGGATTTTAGTGAGGCGATGACAATAGTATTATTAACATGGCTTGTCAGTGATAAAAGACTGGAATCTAGTGTGGCTTTCTGCCTGGGTGTGATGGTGTGTAAATCAGGGGTTATTTAATCTATTGCTCGGAATTTTCTGAGGATCGCTCCAGTGTTATGGGGTCTAATGTTAGATCAAATGGCCAATCAACCGTCATGTACTATGTATGGCACGTTTGTGACAAGCATATCCGTATACTCCTTTGCAGAATAGAAACTAAACGTTAGTCTATTACAAGACTGACAGGACGCCCTAGTAAGGTAGAATAGCAACGTTATACCCGAAACATTATGTTTACTTAAACCTTTTGAGTAAATACGATATTGTCTCTATTGTGGAGGCTAAACATAAAACATCACAAAAAGATCATTAGAAAGTCGTTCTCCGAAATCGTTATGCCTAGGTAGTGTCCCGTTAAACTTGCAATGCACTGGTGCATGGAGAGTCGACGTAAACCACATTACAAAAAGCGGATATCTCTACGAAACATACTTCTTAACTCAGTCAGACATTGTGACGCCTTCACTGGTGCCTCTCTCGTACTAGAATCCTCTTCTCTCGCCAGAAACCTAGGGTAAGAAATATGTTTGCAATTTGGGTCTCGACGGTACTAATTAACTTTTCTGGGTTTCGACGGATTTTACCTCCCATAGCGTAATAAGAGCAGAAGATTGGTGCGTCAATGACAGGCTGTGCTAAGGACTATAGATAACCTCTGATGAGATTTATGTAGCCACCGAAAGTCCTTACCACAGCCTGTCGTTTACGCACTAAACTTCTGTCCTTACTGCGCAATAGGAATTAAAACCCATCCGGGAACTTACATGACTTATCTGAACGACAGGTACAATGAATCGAGCTAAGCTCCTCCTCCCAAATTTGAAAGAGATCCTTAAATCATGAATGTGCGGAGTTCATGTCAATGCCGAATCCCCAATCGATACTCTCGCTGTACTGCTCGCTTGCTGGATCATGCGATGAAAATTCAGACTGGGCACGTCCGCTATGAATCCAATTTCGCCTCCTCTCCTCACGTAGCAACCTTCTCTGCTTCTGGTCGTTAACCTCCTTCCACAGTCTATCCTGTTCCTCAGCTGCTCTTTTCCTCTCCAAGTTTTGCTGATGGCAAGATAAACAAAGTTTCACTATCTTGTCATCCGGAGCAATATCAATCTCTGTACACCTTATGCATCGTACATAGGGCACCACACCTTCCTCCCAGCGTTGACCTAGCATATATCGATGAGTACCTGGCAGTGGTCGACGACCACATTCAATACAGAATCGTGAACGCGCTTGACGCCCACCGGGTCTCTTGTGCTTTTTGACCATCTTCGTACTGAATTTGGCAGATCGCCGTAGACGTTTGCAACCAACACATGCAAGGAAGTGGATGGTCTCCGCGTTAAGCAAGTCGGAATGTGTTGGTGGAGGCACTGGAGGGATCACGGCGTGGAAGTGATGACAGGTGAGCCGCAGACTATGGATGTCGAGGACATTCAAGTTGGATGTGATACCGTGAAAGAGCTCAGTGGAAATGGCGAAAATAGAGGGGGCGCGAGATGTGGATTCGCGGGAGGCCATTATAACAAGTTGACTCGTGAGTTGACAAGATGATTGTTCTTGAACTCTGTTTCCCCGTGTCTTCTATGCTCACGCACGTCTCGCCTGGATTGGTCTCAATCAGATGACTTTATGGTACGTAAATATCGCGATAATCTGTACCGAAGGTTAACAATGATTAAAGAGAACTAAATTAACAAGGCTGGGGTTGGAGCCTGGATGCACTTTTAATCCACCTCCACCTTGGTGTAACACCACGTGACCACATGGTCCTCCTCGAGGAGATTAATTGAATCCAAACAACGAACTCATCATCCAGACACAAGCTATCCGTCTCCCACTTTCTACCAAGAACCCGGTATCGAATTGAGGAGCTTCAAGATGTCGCATGCATCTCCTCGCGATAGTCACGTTCATTGGAACGCATCCTTGTCAACCCCTTCAACTCCGCAAAACTGCAGCACAGCAGAGCCTCACGATGTCGTGTTTGGCCGACGTCGGGATATCCGGGAAGCCTGGTACCTGAATTGGATGAAAGAACTCAAGACGGCGTATGAATTGGCTCTTCCACTCGTCTCCTTTGTTTCTCGCCTTTCTGGCATAAAAGGCCGTTAACATCTTTTTTCAAAGCGTTAGCCATCAATTGTTGGAATCTTAGCTTGTATTTCCTGTTCAGTTGCTGTGCAACAAAGCTTTCGGATTCGGGCTCGAACTCGTCAGTGACGACTCCCAAGGATTACTTGGCCGAGCCTGCTCTATCTTTGTTTTACGGGAAAAAAACCTCACTTCTTGTCGGTAAGATTCGACAAGATAAGAACAGCAGTGCTGTCAAGTTGAACTAGAACCTGATGCTTACCGCATTCGGGGCCAGAGAACATTATGATTTGCTCAGGATTCTACAATTGTGGGACGTGGTGCGTGCCGTTCCTGAATTCTTTCCAGAAAACTGCCAATAGAGTGGGATGAGGTTGGGATAAGGATGTGACAGTGCGGCGGGTCCTCGACTCTACGCCTTTGGATGCGTAATGATCTGCTCCATGCACCGCGGGACGTATCATTGGGTTGATTGCAGGAAAGACATGATAACTGGAATAGTACTCAGTAGTACATCCCATCTCCCATTCTCAGGACGTTCTAGAGCTCGATTCGTTGGTGTATAAAGAGTGTCAACATCCTGTGCAATATGGATTTTATTTTCCAACCAACCTCGCCTTCCATCAAGCCGCGACGATGTTTTCCAGCTTCATCAATGGAGGCATTGCTGTTCTTGCCTACGCAAGTTTGGCAACTGCCATCAGTAGCAGTGCTGGGAGAACTGTCAATGTCGACGGGACATTTTACTATGTGCCTGCGACCGCAGTCTCAAGTCTTGGTGTCTCATGGAACGAATTGAAGGTGGCTACGTCTTCTGGGGATGATCTGATCCCGATGACTGTTATGTCTGGGGATTTCAGTACTTTCGATGCAAGTACATTAAATTCGGCAATCGCTAATTTCACGGCGGAGGATGATGTCTTCAGCCGTGGATTCTTACAAGGTAAAACCGCTCTTCTTCCAACTGAACACTACTGACTTTTGCGGTACTAGCTGTCTATTTGATCTCTACAACTCCATCGGAACTCCATGCAAATCTAACCGATACTCTTTCGACTTATGGCAACAAGTTATTTATGGTGTCTGCGACCAGTAATTCTTCTGTCTCTACAACAGATTGCACTGTTGCCATACCAAATGGACCTTACTTTGTTTCCGCCTATACTGGCAGCATCTACCAAGCATTCCGTCTTTACTCCGATTTCGAAGGTGCTTTTACTGAAGGGACCATTGGGGCCGAAGAAGGAAACTACAGCACACTTTCTGCTTCTATTCCTGTAAGTAACCTGCTTCCAAATTTCGTACTCTACTAATAACTATCTTAGGGCGTTCAATCGCCCACCATTGGGGTTCCGTCTCGCTTGTATTACACCAAGACCAAATCGCAACCACTTGCAGGTGTAAGTGCTTATTCCGTTGTATGCATGCGAGTAACTAATCAATTTCCAGGTCCGTGTTGGAATCAAAGACATTTACGATGTAGCTGGCACCAAAAGAGGTTGCGGAAGCCGAGCATACTATGATCTATACCCTGAAGCCAATAAGACTGCTTTGGCAGTACAGAGGATAATCGATGCAGGTGGTATCATTGTTGGTAAAATGAAAACTAGTCAATTCGCTAATGGAGAGGCTGCAACTGCTGATTGGGTTGACTATCACTCTCCTTTCAACCCACGAGGAGAAGGCTACTCGGATCCTTCTTCCTCCTCTTCCGGTCCAGGAGCTGGTATTGGGGCTTATCAATGGCTTGATCTAGCATTAGGATCTGACACTGGTGGTTCAGTCCGAAACCCCGCTCAAGTAAATGGCTGTTACGGCAATCGACCAACTCACGATCTTGTCGCGCTCACCAATGTCATGCCACTATCACCTCTCATGGACACAGCCGGATTTCTCACTCGTGACGCCGACATCTGGAAAGCAGCAGGAGAAATCCTCTACACCAGTAACCTAACAACCTTTACCTCCTTCCCCAAAACTCTCTACACAACCGGCTTCCCAGTCAACGCATCCACCGAAGCAGAAGGCGTCCTCCTCGATTTCCTCGTCAAACTCGAAGGCTTTCTCAACACCACCTCCTCAGTCCTCGACTACGATACCATGTGGTCCACCTCCGCCCAAGCAAACTCCACATCCGCACCCGACCTCTCCTCTCTCCTCGCCCTCACCTACCCAACATTAATAACCAAACAACAATGGGAACTTCTTGGCGCACCTTTCCTCGCTGACTACGCCGCCGCCAACGACGGACGCACGCCTTTCATCGACCCTGTTCCCGAATTCCGCTGGGGTTACGGAAAATCTAAGAACACCACTTTAGAAGATGGTATCCAGAATAAAACGATCTTCAAGGACTGGTGGAATGAATCGGTCATGCCTAAGAACGCGGAGACCTGTTCCGAGAACCTCTTGCTCTACCCTGGAACACTAGCGACGCCGAATTATCGAAACGTGTATTTAGATCCTCCTTCCTTGCCCGCTGGATGGGGTGTCTATAACATCGCCATCTTTGCAGGCGTGCCCGATATGGTTGTACCTGGTTAGTTTTCTCCCCCTCTTCCTCCCTACACACAACTAACAACCTCCACAGTCGGCCAAGCCCCCTACAACTCCACCATCTCAAACCACATCGAGTACCTACCCGTCGCCGTCGACATCATCGCGGCGCCCGGCTGCGACGCCGTGATCTTCGAGCTGGCGAGCCAGTTGCAGGCTGCGGGGATCACGAGGGCGCCGAAGGCGGGGAGTACGATGTATAGACGGGATGTTGGGGGGAGGTTGGAATAGCGAGGTAGAGGGAAGGGGAAAAAGTGTGTTTTAAGCGGGGGGAAAAAGGGATAATTATGAGATTAACGAAAATAGGATTTAAGACAAAGATTTTTACTTCATTACTTGAAGGAGAAGTGAAATATGTAATATCCTTTTCCACTTATCTGTTTAAAATTATTTGGGTATTTTGATCATTCACATGACATTAACTACGTTTTAAGCCTCCTAACATGTGCGCGCCAATTTAGCCATTAGTATCCTGAAATCCCTTTTGATAACGCCAGCTCTCCCATCAAACCACTGGCAACTGCTCACCCGGAAGTTTCTCGCCTGTATTTTCTTCCTTGTTCACTCACTAACATAAATCACTGACTAGAACTAATACCCCTAACAAAACCACAATCCAGAGATGGGGAAACGTAAAGGATTAATTAACATTAAGGATATAGATAGAATCGACCTATCTACTTATAGTGAAAATACCATGTCGCTAATAACTTTTTCGAAAAACAAGTTAGGATATTTTATCTATACGAGGATATAGAAATCTAAAATATCTCTAATTCCAAGACCCGTAAATCTCAACATTAAGTAAAATCTTCAATAATAACATAATAGCAACAAAGATGTAAAGCCTACTACCCTAATACCTCACACCTACACAATCTACAATAACCCACAGATCCCCCTCCCATCTTAAATTCTATACCCAGTAAACCAAATCCACAACTACATTATACAAAAACTACAAGGTCCTTATACATAACAAACAAAAAATCCTACCTAGAATTCCAGCTTTCCAAGCGCTAAAATGAAAAAAAAAACCTTTAGATATATCTCAAAACCCGGAATTTCTCAAATTTCCTGTCATCTTAACACTCTCCTCTCTCCAAGAAACCAAAACCCATTCATACATCTCGGGGTTAGAAAAAAACCCCCCTCGTTGATCCCGTCGTAGGAAGTCTACCTACTACTTCACGCCTCTCCGTATCATATGTGTATTTTATCAATTGTGTAACAGATGTTAAAACTACTTTCAAAAAAAAAAATTCGAGTCTTCTGTAGACTTTGTAAATTTAGTTTCTAAATCGATGCTACATGTCTACTCCTTTTACATGTCCTCGACCGAATTAGCCTTCCTTCCCACTCCCATATAAGTCTGATATATGCACGTCACGTGTGTCGACATCTCTCTCGACCTCCTTTTCTCGTAGCTGTTGTACAGGACAATGCTTAAGCGAGCCATTCGTCTTGGCGTGGACTTGTCTGTAATGTACCTACAGTAGTATTCTTGCCATTATATCCTAATTTCCCCTCCCCATCTTTACAATTCCAACTTTATGATGCTGCCTTTCAGGATCTCGCCTTCGCTTTCTGAATATGTTTCGTATGTAATTCCTCAACAGCCGGAATGATCAAACTCTCAATCTCCGTTTCCGGTTCTCCTTCGGGGAGATCGTTCGGGTTTAACGGCCTATCACTCTCTTCACCTCCATCTGGTATGTTCTCTTTCCCAACAATAGTCTTTCTTCTCCGTGGTACGCGTATCCACTTATCTGATTGACCCGGCGCTACGAAAACGACCTCCCATTTGCGCGTTGATAAAAGATTACCAATCACAAGATGATGCTGGTATCGGTCAAGTGAATACTGAGCTTTGTGTACCAAGATCTCAGGATCTGTTTCCAACTTGAATGAGACAATCATTCCCTCTGGCGCCCATCCATCCACTAGGTTCTTCAGGAACTTCGGCACTGGGTCGAGATCAACGATGAGTCGCTTGCTCCGTGGCACGGCTGGGGATGAGTCGAAGTTGTCAAATGTCTCCTCTGATTCAACGTTCTCCTTTGCAGAATTCTTTTGCGAGTCGGTTGCATTTGTTGATTGGATCTTGTGCTCCACCATTCTCTCTGGTGGCACAAAAAAATCAGATACAGCAGCAGCGAGATACAAAAGTCCACTCGGACCAAGTGGACGCATGAGTTGAGCGATAGATCGAAGGACGAAGAGATAATCGTTGATTGTGGTAAATGGAAGAGTCAAAAGAAGGTTTTGCTTTTTCGCCGAATTGTATTGTCTTAACACTTTGAGCATTTTACTTTGGTACTCCTCGTTCGCGACCACGCTCCCATCTGGACCCTCGTGTAGAAAGTCCAGGAAACAATCTGTCGCGTGACTGTAATGTCTCGAGTATGGCAACAGACTAAATTGCCGGTGTAAAAAGATAACGGCATAACCTGATTCGAGGAAGTATTCGGCAGATGTTGCACCACGGGTACCCGCACTGAAATTGTCGATGAACCTCACCGTTTGTCGTTCCAGTGGAACCGTTGTCCCACCAGATGTTACCAGCACCACGCGTCTGCCAGCAGCCGCGTGGAAATCTATGAACTCCTTTGCTTGTTTTGTGTATTTCTCAAGTGATGCAGGGGCGGGGTTCTCGTTGAAATAATCTCGTTCCGCAACGTCCGCCGACGTCTGCCTTGTCGAATCCGGCCGCGAGCTTGCACTTGACATTGTGATTTCTGAAGAATCGGAGAATACTGATGAGGTGGGGGATGAAGGTACGGACTCTGGAAGGTTAAAGGAGAGGGTAAAGGTGCTGCTTGAGTGGGGGGTCGACTTTGTCCGAATTCTCAGAGGAGAAGGGTCGGGTTGAGAAGACCTGAATACGGCTGGGGAACTGGATGCTTCAATAGTGTTAGCCATTGTTGAATTTGGCGACTCAACACCGTGGTATTTGGCATGGCTGGAATGGCCTCACCAGTGTCTTTATGCTTCCATCATTTGCGGTAGTCGGTACCTATGCAGAGTTACGGCTATGAATAAACCTCGGTCATCGAATGCCGGGGATCAATTACTGGAGATTGACGTTTGTGGTACTAGCGGACGCTATGTGAACGGGGAATAACTGGCGTTGACACCGCCGGGCGACGGGAGCTTTAAAGCTTTGGGGTGGGATGACGGATGACTTGCGGGGGAGTAACAATTGGGTGTTAGAGAGCAAAATGAGAGGTTGGAATCGTGCGTCGCAGATAAATATAACACAGCAAGAACTCCAAGTTGTAGGTTGTGCTTGATACCCTTTCGACAGGTTGTATGGGAAAGAAGAGAGAACGAACTGGTGAGTTGGTGGTGTTTGCTGATGTCCCGAGGGGGGAACATTTGCCCTTGTTCTGCCGCGCATGGGCTGATCAAACAAGGCGGTGAGTTGGAGAAAAAAGCGTCTTATCACGTGAATGTTATCTTGTCCACGGTCGATCCCGATCACGCTTTCAGGGTCTTTGGCTTGGCACGTGTGACCGTAGCCCCGGGGCCGAGGAGGCTGCTCGTTGTCAAAGTAAACATCGCTTGCTGCTCGTACCCCTTTTCCTCCCTAAACAAGATGCACTTACTTTAGCATTTGCATCCGCGACGACTAACTCAAAGTAGCAATTGCTTCACCCAAAGATGATGGTTTCCTCCCAAAGGCGCTTTGCTGGCTCTGCGTGGACATTGCCGTGAGGCTATATTGCGAATGTCTTGTCTCGTCTGGACATGTAGTACCCCTTTCAATCTGACGAGACCTCTCTACCTGCTACTCGTGGCCATTAGTTTTACATACGAGTTGCACCCTCCACGGCAGTGGTCCGCAGAACGACAGAGGAGCCACGGGGAGTGTCGTCAGGGAATCTACTTCGCAGTTGTCATCCTTAGCTCTTGCTACTTGTCTAAACTAGCCATGTTTTATTGGCTGTAAGCTTATGGAGGAGCTTCCGAACGAACCCAAGAATTGCCCTGTGCAAGCACCAAAAACTAGCTGCGGATCCCTCGAGACCCTGAGGACCCTGACCAGAGCGCGGGAGGTGGTGCATCGTCATGAAGATGCTGAGGAGAGGAAAGGGTTCTGCTGCGAAAGTTCTTCAGGGGCCACCAGGGCCGTTGTACGGATTTCTGCTTCGAATGGGACAGAGAAATGACTGGTAAGAAATGCGGATCACGTGCGGGCGGAGCAGCCTCCGGGCTAGACAGATGGAAAACGGATGAAATGCCCAGTGGTGTCGGGATTTGGCACGTCATGGACCGAGCTGCGACCGTTTGCCCCGCAGATGGCCCGCACGTCGTCTCATTCGTGGATGCCAGGTCCGGCCCAGTCGCCACGATAGAAATCGCATCGACATTTGTCCTCAACAGCGCAATTCAGACAAAAGAAAACGATCCCGGGCCCAGCATGCGTTGCGATTCGGATCACCCAGATTACCACGCCATCTCAGATGAGCAGCCATCTCATCGGAACATCGACGACCACCAGCACCGCCAGACCCTTCGCCGTCGAGCTATATAAATGGACGGGAGGTTGCCGTCGCCTCATCGTCGTCGCTGATGTAGGCTCGTCCTTTCTTTCCACAGACCCTTCAAGCACCCTTCAAGCACGCTTTACAAGACAATCCCCTTCCCCTTTCTGCTCCCCTTCTGCTCCCCTCTCACAACTCCACTTAGGGTCCAGCTGCCAGTCCCAGCCAGCACCAGGACCAGACCAGCACCACATGAGGAATTACATCTGGGCGCCACTTGCGGATGTTCCCTCTTTAAACGTAGTAGCATTAACCCTAAAGATGTGCAGTCCCGGATCCCACTCCCACTCCCTCTCCCTCACTCGCCCACTACTTGCCCTCACCCTCACCCTCACCCTCACCCTCACCATCATTGTCACACTCACACTCACACTCACACTCACACTCACACCCTCGCCGGTCGCCTATTATTTTCCATATCCTCTCACTTGACACTATTCGCAGTGGATGCACCAGCACCGCCACCAGGCCAGATACACATTCATCTCAGCTTGACTCGTTCTGATACCGCCCACATCTCTCCCAGCGGTCGACAAACCGCCCCCGTGGCACCATTTTCATGAGCCCACAAACACTGCCAACGGCCGAGTGACGATATTGCCGCCGCCTACCCCATCGCCATCAATGTCGAAGCCCGAGAATCGAGCCAAACGGCCAAGAAAGGAAAATAAAGCCCCCGCCGGCTCGTCGCGCGAGAACGAAACGCCCTTATCTCCAACGCACGCTGGTCAGCCTTCCTCCGACAGCTCGTATCACCTATCTCATCTCCAGGCCTCTCAGCACGTAGGCTCGTCGGCATCAGCATTCAGCGTGGGCAATCCCACGGGGCAGCGCGCCGTGAGCAATTCGGGACTGGCTCCTCCCCCGGGAAAAATTGCTATTCCACCACTCCGGTCGACATACTCGTCCGAGTCGACGGCGAAGACGGTCAAGAAAGGTCGAACAGCACATGCGTGCAACAACTGCAGAAAAACCAAGGCCGGCTGTACGGGCGAAACCCCATGCCCGAGATGTAGAAACGCAGGAATCGTGTGTCAATATGGCGACGGCAAACGCGAAGCAGAGAAAAAGTGCGAATCACCTATACCCAGGATTGGCCGAGCTAAACTTTGGGTAGGACGTTGTCAAGACTGAGCAAGGAGACGGGAGTGCTCTCCAAGCAGAATGCAGATCTCACAGATGCTCTCCGACGAATCCAGCTGGATCGTGCCCTTTCAGCGGAAGGGATGAGAGCGGCGATCGATAATGTGCTTGCCAAGGTAAGCAGGATCAGTTTCGTGAATGGACGTCGTTGACCGTGACAGACGCCGGCATCAAGTCCACCAGAGAGAGAGATGGGGGGATTGAGCATGGGGATATTTTCACCCGAGGGAGTAGCAGGTACTGACACCACGAAGGACGACGACGACGACGATGATGATGATGACAATGATGAGGTAGGCTCAACCGGATCTGTAGACGCCGTTCATGACGATCCCGACCGAGAAGACAATAGACCAAGAGGCCATTTGGGGAAGTCATCTGCCGTTGCCTGGGCCCAGCGAACCGCCGATGAGCTTCGGAAGACCAGCAGTCAGGAATCGTCCGTTGATTTGCAAGAAGCTGACTTTAATCTGCCCTCGTACCATATCGAGGACGGCGATATCAGCTACGTGGTGGACGAGGAGACGCTTGACATTTTCGAATGGCCAGATATTCGCCTAGCGCACGAGCTGGTCAGGAACTATTTTGCCCATGTGCACAACGCGTTTCCAATCATTGACAAGTTGAGCTTTGAGTCCTGGTACACGCGTGCAACACCGGATACGTCTTCTTTGAGCGAAGACGAGACGGTTTGGCTCAGTACCCTGAACTTGATCTTTGCTATTGCAGCATACCATGCACATCTAACCAACGCCCAGCACCGGGGCGCTCATTATGATCATCAGGTATATTGCGCTCGGGCAAAGAAGCTTTCCATGGACGAAAGACTTTTATACCGAGATGCCAGATTGTCCAATGTTTCCGCCATGGGTTTGCAGTGTCTTTATTATCTTGCGACATGCCACATAAATCGGTAGGTCACCAAGAAGACAATCGTTTCTCCTTTGTTTTGGCTCCATTCTGTACTAACGGCAATAGAGCCTGGACTTTCTGTGGCTTAGCGATCCGGCAATCATTGACATTAGGGCTGCATATTCGCTCAGAAGCACAAGAAGTGGGGGATGTCGAGAAAGAACATCGGATTCGGATTTGGTGGTCTTTATACTCTTTGGAGTGCTTGTTGAACGAATCGACAGGGCGGCCAAGCTGTATCTCCGACACTGACATCAGCACCCCTCTTCCAATTAATGTGAGCGAAGACGAATTCCACCCTGGCCAATCATTATATGAGAGGAGAGAGTCTATGGTTGTAGGTCATCCTAGCCGTCGAGGGTCACCCAAAGGCAAAGGTATGTCTGCAAACATACAGTGTGGACGTAGCTAACGTGTGTCTTGGAAGGCCGCATGACTGCGACGTACTCGTTACCGCTATCCTCTGTCGACCCAAAACCCTCCCCCATCCCCTTCCCTGCTGTCCCACTCCCCGTAACGCCCTCGACCTACTTCATCTATCGCACCCAGCTTTCCATCATATCGCACGAAATTGTCACACAGCTGTATTGCGCGGCCACGGTCAAAGTTAGATGGTCAGAAGTTCAAGATGCCATCAGAAAGATTGACCAGAGGTTGTCAGAATGGGTTGGGAAATTGCCGCGCGAGTTTGACATGAACATCGATACGATTCCATCGCCCAATTGGAACGACCCTTACTTTATTCCTCAAATCGGCTTAGCGATGTTCTACACCAGCTCGCGGATGCTCCTGTTCCGACCATTCCTGTGCCGATTTGACATCCGTCTAAAAAGCAAGAATCAAGAATCGAGGGCTTTCAATCAAGATGCGGTGGAGAATTGCATCTTGTCTGCTAAAAACATGATAGGCCTTTTGTGTTGGTCCTGCTCTACGGTTGATCAGCTTTACACCATACCCCCATGGTGGAGTACCATCCACAATATCTGCCAGGCTCTTTCCGTGCTGATACTTGAGATGGCATTTCGCTCTCAACACATGCCAGAAGACTTTGGTGAGATTCTTGCAGACGCGAAAAGGGGCGTTACTTGGTTGGCGCTAATGGCGTCTGTTTCAATTCCCGCCCGAAAGGCTTGGGAGGTATTTGACAAGCTTATAAGACTAGTCACGCTAAGAGGCAATTACACAGTCTTTGACCTCCCTGTTGTGGCGCCGATGCCACCAGGATATAACTGGCATCGACTGGACGCTCCGCAGTCGGACTTAATTAATACCAGCCAGCCAAACCCGCTTTCCCAAGCCAATCTGCAACAATACCAACATGGCCAAGGTGCTCATTTGTCTTCCGACGCAACAGCAATGTGGACAACTCAACCTGCCTCGCACACATCATTTGTCGGAACCCCTAGCTTCGAACCAGCATTCTCGCCGCAGGATGCGGCTAACCCCCTCAATCCATCTGAAGCTCTTGATCGATTTTCGACAATGGGAAGCATTCATGGGCTTTACGATGAGCCGTGGCAACATATGTTTGCTCCACTTACGACCCAAACTGATATACCTATCTACGGGAGTCAACATTTCGATACGACTCCTCTTGATCAAAATTTCAATCCCGAGCAGGCTTTCGGCCAATCAGCTGCCGGTGGTTTCCCACAATTCGGGCAGCTAAACACTGGATCTGGATTTGTACCTGACGTGGACCCCGCATCAATGGACCCGACATCGCCTATCCAATCTCAGCAAAATTTCGATCCAAACCTTGCAGGAGAAGGCGATCGATATCGGTTCTGAGCCAGGATAATTAATGTACCAGTGCCCCATCGGATGAAATTGAAATGGTATTAGAACGTAAAAGAATGATTTCTCGGCGGACGTCGATCGCAGTCTTGGGTCATATCAGGAGCGAACATCGATTTGTCAAGCGACAAGGGGCGATCAAATACATGCTGGACCTTTACAACATGCTCAGATCGGATATGCATGGAGTACACCAATCTGTTCTTGTTTCATACACTCATTCACAAAAAGCCTCTGAAGGAATCACACGTCTACTGGCGTCGAAAAGATCCAAATACGAGGAAGGGGAATTTGGGTTTGGATTCGGTCACTCACGAGCGTGATTTAATTGCTTTAATGGTTTGGAGATTTTTGTTCGTAGGAATTCTGACACGAAGGGGAGTTTCTTTTCAAGGATATCAAAAGGAGGAATAGGAAAAAAGGAGGGGGATCTCACTCGCTTAGAATGCGGTACGAGGTAATACAGCAAAAGGGTATTGAGAGTAGAAACTGACCTACTCGCTTACGATGGTGGGACGAAGTAATAAGAGAATGGTTCTTGAGTATACACGCCTCACTAGAATGAAGGGATGAAAGAAATGAGCAATGAACCTATGATAAAAGGGGGAAGGGAGGGAAAGACGAGGCTTTATATATATATACCCAGGGAATTTTTTTTTTTTTGATGAAAGGTTTTTATGATTTGATTTGATTCGATTTGGAAGGGAATTATGTGTGTGTTTGTGGCAATCTGTTGGTAGTGGATGTGGGTTGTTGAGAAATTATAAGAATGCGGGATGAAATGAAACGAATTGCTCTTCTTGTGGACTTTTTTTTTCGAGAAAGGGGTGGTTTTGATGTGAAGATCGCCAACCGCTTTCGCAGGCAGAGAAATGGGGACGGGGGTTTGTACGGAGTACGGAGTGTACAGCTAAGTGAGTTTTACGGATTTTGACGTGGATTTGATTTGCGTGGATCGTGGGTCCTGAAGCGTGAATGGAGTAGGACAGGACAGGAACCAGGGTTTTGGCCCTTTGGGTGCCAGTCGGATGGTTTTCGCCAAGAGATGCGACAGTTTGGCGCGCGCCTTGCATGTACGAAGGGGTGGGGGTGAGTGGTTGGGATGTTTGCGGTGTTATATTCTCGAAGAGGCGGAACGGTTTATTGAGAATGGAAGTCTACCCATTTTTTGCATTTTGCTTTTGGGAAAAAATATCTAGGTCATGGAGAACCTTGTGGGGGCCCTGGGGGGAAGGTGGATTTTTTTAAGGGAGGGAAGGGAGGCGTTTGGGAATGTGCGAGATATATTTGGGTTGGTGGATGGTTGGAGAGTTGGATTTTGTGTTGGGGTAGGGTACTGCCTTTTTTGGGGGGAGGGTTTAAAGATGAGGAGGGGGGGGTTTGTTTTCATTTAAGAGATAGGGTTAGGGAATATAGATAGAGTGTTAATGAATCGCTTTTATAGTTAAGTAAGTTTTTTTTTTTTTTGGAATGATGATATACTCCTGGGTAATTCAATTGTTGGTAGAAAGATCTTGACATACATACAAATGTAATTTCTATAACTTGGAGCGGATCGGTCAAATAAGTGGTGGAAGAGACGAGGATATCTAATCTGGTTACGCGAGAGAAATAAAAACTAAGTTATTATTAAGAGGAACGATCAATGAAATGGATAGCTTATGTAACACTACTACTTGCTAAGCCTATCTAGAAGGGATGTACGGTTGGTTATAACCTCTACATGGCTAATTCGAAAGAAATCTGTTTTGTAATTATGGTACATGAGGGATGTTGTGTGGGTGGTAATGATGGGATCGAGGTAGTTATGTTGATTATGAAAGTTGTGGTGGTTTTGATGCTAGATAGCGGTTTATGCGAGAGAACGGGAGTTCTGAATTGTGGGTTATGTTGTCTTGGGTTAATCAACAAAAGGTTGTAGGATTATCAAGCTCCGGACTTGGACTTAATACGGTGTACAAGAATATTTATTCCAAAGCCCTCGGCGCCGTATGTCCCCCAACCACGAAGATATACTGGTTTTAGTGGTGATAAATTGGCTTAGGTTTCAGATATCTATTAATAATACCTTTCTCATGACTGATATCTCCTTTACTTCGACAATTCCTTATACACCTGATTGACGAAATATCGTGCTACAAATCAAGTTTTAAACAGGGTATACCCACCCGAACTCCAAACACCATTCCCAATCCCAATTCCAGAGATCAATAAATCCCCTCCCTCAACCTCTCACCCACCCCCTCCATCCGTCCCCCCATAATCGCCCTCTCACTCTCCCAATCCCGTCCCCCCTCCCCCATAACAACACACTTGATCACCTCTCCCCCATCACCCACCACCGCCCGTCCAATCCGTCCATCCACCCACTCAATCCTCACCTGTCTAGCCTCCGCATCCGCCGCACTAACATCCTCAATCACCCTCTCCCTCTCCTTCCCCTTGCCCCTCCCCTTTTTATCCAACCTAAACTCCCTCCTCAACCCCTTAATAACCGCCACGCGATTGTGATACGCCACCACCTCCCTCCTCAACGCCCTCGCGAATTTATTCAAATCCTGCCTTTTCTGTCCAGGCGCTCTACTCCCCATCGCAACAGCACCTTTGCCATGCGGAAGATACCGCTCCGCGAGATGCGCCAGCGGAATGTAAGGCGGGAGGGTGTGGCGGTGAACTCGTAGAAGGGGAGAGGATGGGAAGGGTTTGTTCAGCACGATGTAGTACGGGGCGATGAATTTGCTAGATGTGGAGATGTCGAGGCGGAGGGCGAGGATGGAACCGTTGTCTACGGCGTGCGGGTCGGGGTCGTGGATTCGGAAGGTGGTGAGGGAGTTGCAGGCGCGGTAGAGGTTGGTTGTGTTGTGGAGGGTTTGGGCGGTGGTGGTTGAGTTTAGGGGGGAGGTGTCGGTTGGGATTGTGGAGGGGATTGCGCTTTGGGGACGTGGTTCCTGGGTTGGTTTTTGGAGACGGCGGAGGGTGTTTCTTGTGGCTTGAGAGGAGAGAATTGTTGATGTTTGGAGTTTGAGATTTGATTTGAGTGAGTTTACTGAGGGAGGTTAGCTATGTTGGAGGAGGGGAAAGGTTTGTTTACTTTGCGATTGGAGGGATGCGATTTCTTCATCTAGTTGCGCGCCGATTGGGTCTTCGGGTTCATTGCTTATAATTGATGTGTCCATGATGAATAGATCATGAAACAGATGCTATCAATATAGCAGTCTTCTGATAAAATTGTGGTTTGAAGGTTACAATTATTGGCTATTTTGTTCTTGTGATGTCGTCGCGACTTGGTTTGGAAGACGCGCCGGCTTATCTACACGCGCGGCTGGGTATCCGATTAGGTTCAGAGCCAGGGACCAAAGTTACCGCATTGAGAAGACCGTGGATACTGAAGGAGTACTTGCATCAGCCACTGAAACCTTTTAATAGTTTTACATATCTGTCATTCTGAAATAATCATCTCCGTTCTAACGTAAACAAATCATCTTTTTGACCAATTTTTTTTGCCACTATTCCCAAGTAGGTCTACCCCTCTTCATTACCTCCGTAAAGGCCACGTTCCCAATGCCTGAACGTGCCTGAACCCACTGCCGCCAACGAACAACAGGCTCACAATTGTTCCTAGGAAAGCTTCGCGAACTTTAGAGGCCAGCGAGTCTCTAGAGCTCGAATTTTTACCACCACATGGATGCCTACCCCTCTGAACGACACTCTTTCGCCATTACATTCTCACGCTCATTCAGCAGCGAGTTATAACCAGCAACTCCCTTTACATCACGACGCTCAATTCCCCCACGCGCAGGAACTCGATCGTCTTTCCCCATCAGGACAACGTCACAGCAGAAGCGAGAAAAAAGGCAAGGAGGATACGAAGCATCTTCTCGAAGACGAGGATTCAGACTCGGGTGAGGAGGACTCGGTGGAAGATAAGCTCATGGGTGCGAAATCGCGAAAGCCAAAGTCCCTAGAGCCATTAGGCGGCTCATCTTCTACGAAAGAAGGGGAAAACGGCTCAACTACCTCCAGCATGAATAACAACGTCGAATATAGGCGCAAGAATGCGTCTCTCGAATCTCCTGGTGTGACGGCGAATTTAATGGCCCGCGAATCATTCTCCTTGGACGAACCTGTCCCGCGAACACCAACAGTTAATAATCACGGCTTTTTTGAACTGCCAATGCAAGATCGAAGGAATTTTGGGTTATTGGTGTTGTTGTACTTTTTACAGGGTGTGCCAATGGGGTTGGCGACCGGATCTGTGCCGTTCTTATTAAAGGGCGCGCACATGTCGTATAGTGCACTTGGAGTGTTCAGTTTGGCTTCATATCCATATTCTTTGAAGCTGTTATGGAGTCCGGTTGTAGATGCAGTATGGACTCCTAGACTTGGGCGTAGAAAGAGTTGGATCATGCCAATCCAGATGCTGTCCGGCCTTGGAATGATCTGGTTAGGTTCGCAAGTCAAGGGCATGATGGTTGTAGCAGGCAAAGAGGATGGTTCTGGCATTTGGGGATTTACATGGTGGTGGTTCTTCTTGGTATTTATGTGTGCTACACAGGATATTGCGGTTGACGGTTGGGCTTTGACTTTGTTGACTCCTGGCAACATTTCTTATGCTTCGACTGCACAGACTGTAGGATTGACCGCTGGCCAGTTCATGTCCTACACTGTGTTTTTAGCCTTCAATTCTCCCGATTTCGCCAACAAATACTTCCGAGCTGTACCTTCAACAGAAGGTATCATGACGCTCGGAGGTTATCTTTCTTTCTGGGGTTGGGCATATATCATTGTCACACTTGGGTTGGCATTATTGAAACAAGAAGAGAAAACCAAAAACGAAGATGGTATTTGGGATGTTTACAGGGTCATGTGGGGAGTCTTGAAACTCAAAAACATCCAAACCATCATCATAATCCATCTCATCGCCAAAATCGGATTTCAAGCCAACGACGCGGTCACAAACTTGAAGTTAATTGACAAGGGATTCAGTCAAGAGGATTTGGCACTTACAGTTCTCATCGACTTTCCATTTGAGATTGGTCTCGGGTACTACGCTGGAAAATGGTCAACCACGTATACCCCCATGCGTCTCTGGTGCTGGGGTTTTGTAGGCCGTCTTTTAGCAGCTGTCATTGCTCAGATTACAGTCATCATATTCCCAGCAAACGGTGTCGATACCTGGTATCTCCTCGTCGTCATCGCGGAACACATCTTCTCCACGTTTACAAACACAGTCATGTTTGTCGCTATCTCAGCATTCCACGCTCGAATCGCGGATCCAGTCATTGGTGGAACTTATATGACTTTACTAGCTACGTAGGTCTCTCATCCACTCCTTTTTTTGTCACACTAACAAAACCTTAGCGTCTCAAATCTAGGCGGTACATTTCCCCGCTTCTTTGTCCTCAAACTCGTCGATTTCTTCACCTCAGCAACTTGTATCCCACCCTCTAGCACGCCAAAAACACTCATCGGACCACTCATCACCGCATCCTTCGACTGCGCACTTAGCGCTGAGAAAGAGAGATGTGTGAACGGTGGAGGCGTATGTGAAATTGAGCGCGACGGGTATTATGTTATGAATATTGTGTGTGTTATTATTGGTGTGGTTACTTTCTGGGGGTATATTAAACCGGCGGCGTTGAAGTTGCAGGCGTTGCCATTGAGGGCTTGGAGGATTGCTGAGGAGAGGTGAGAATAGGAGAGGAGAATTTGAAACGGGATAGAAAGTATGTAGGTGTTGAGGGGTGAGCACCGGGCTTGTAAAATAGAATGCATATAGAATAGCATAAATCTGATATAGGAAAGCTTGTTCATTCCAGGTTAGCTAATCCGCTTGTGTACAGTGGTTCAAGACGCAGCTGTCATAGTATGTGTACAGAGTAGTATAATTTTGATATCTGAAATTCATTTATTGCAAATCAGCTAATCGTTGGTGTACAGTGCCTCAAGCCGTCCATGGCTATCAATCCAATAAAACCCCATCATCTTTTCATACCTCGACAACATGAATACCCGGCCCTCACATCAAAATGCCATCTATTTCACCCATTGCATCAATTGCATCCATCCATCCAAGAGGCCCTTTCCATTTCCAAATCGAAACCCATTCCTACAAATGTCATGAGCTGTCATTTACCATCATAAGTCGTCTTCTCCATCACTTCCACACCTCCAAACTCGGAACCCAACCCTCACACCTAATAAGTCCCATAATGCGTCGTCCCCCTCAGAATCTGATACGGAACACCCGTCCTCCCAACCCCACTCACCCCTTCAAACGCCTGGCTCCCCGACCCTCCAAACCCCATCCCCTCATACCTTGGAACCTGCGCCATCCTCGACACTCTCGGCGCCGGCGCACCCTGATACGCATAACTATCAAAATAACCCGTCGAGCTCGTATTCGGAAACCCAGAAGAGCCAAAGGCGAATTCATCAGAGTTCTGTGATAGCGTCGTGAAATTGGCGGGTGTGCTGTAACTGTTACTGTACGTGTTAGGTGTGAGCATGCCCTCGCGACCCTGCGCGATGCGGTTCACCTGGTTCAGGTACGCGGCGGCGGATTTAGCGTCTGTAGACGGGGGCTGCGAGGATTGCGACTGCGACTGTGTGAGGAGTTGGAGCAGGGAGTTTTGGTGGGGGGTAGGCTGGGGGCGTGGTTGAGCGAAGGAGAAGGCGGGGGAATCGGGACGGAGGGCGCTGCTTATGATTGTGGAGCGGCGGGATGAGGGTTTGGTTACTCTGTTTGTGGATAGGTGCGTGTATTGGTTTGGTTCTGCTGAGAAGTCTGGGAGGGGTGGTTGCGTGGATGAGGATTTCTCTTGGGCGTAGGCGGATGTTGGGTCGATGGCTCTGGCTCTGACGCGTTGGTGTTTGCCTTTTGGACCTTTCTTGGGGACGATCACCTCGTCTCTGGGCGGGGATCGTGGTAGGTTCTTTCCGGAAGATGGGTAGAAACGTTGGTCGTCCAGCTCGGAATAGCCTCGCGCGTTTTGGTGGTGCTCGACCAGTGTGTCCCGTAGTTCCTGAGATAGCTGGGTTGTAGATGTCATAGTGCGCAGTTCATGTGTATGAGATTTCCTACTTCTCAAGACTGTGCCGGCGTCCATCTTGTTGCCTGAACTGTTGACCGATCCGTACTCACTGTAGTTTTCGTCTGCATATCCAGCATCTTCTGATCCGTCGAAGTCACCTCCTTCGTACGAAACTACATCGAGAGAATATTCGTATTGAGTCTGCTGATTTTGGTGTCCGATCTGTGAACGTCCTCTAGTTTTCTTGACCTGTAGTGTTGGTGTTGATGCCTTTACATTTTCGAGATGATTCTGATAGATCGCGTGCATGTTGGGTTGTTCATGGCCAGCCATAAGGAGTTGTTGATGTTCTGCTGCGGTCTTGACTTCAGGTGAGTCAGCTGGGATGCCTAGTTTTGACAACCGTTGCAGTCGTGCTTGTACACAGGAGTCCATGCTCCTGATCTTGTTTTTGAATGAGAACTGAGTGTGATGAACGTGGTTGAAAAATGACAAGACGGGGGAATGGGGTTGATATTTAATGTAATTTGGTACATGGTATGAGCCTCTAATTCATTATGTCTTCATTGTTTGGTCTTGGCGAGTTAGTTTTTTGTTATGTCGTAAGATAGATTCACTAGGGTTACATACAAAGACTGTTCACTCCAGTCCTATCTATCAAACTAATTCTTATCAACCAGTCGTATCACAAAAATGCATTTCGGCCGCATGACTAGGCCTATCTCTTTTGAATAATGTTTTTATTATGACACCATGGTTCATTGTAAATTTCTAAGGTCCTTAAAACTCTGCAACATGTCACCCTAGACTTCGTAACAAATTCACTAGCCTGTTCCTAACCACATCGTTGAATTCAAGGCCCAACCTGAAGATTTAGAAACTTGCTGCACTACTGAATCAACATAGTAATCTGACTCAACAAAATATACGCAATGATCTAGATTCTTTACACACTCGAGATAATTTAAAAGAATGATAATGTATCAGTGAACTGCGAATGAGCAAACATCTTGAAACGTCCGCTTTATTTCCATTACCAATCTAAGACAATTACAACGTGTAATACTAGAATTCCAGAGTACATGACTGAGCTATTGTAAGCATGAAATCAGATCAATCATAGTAGTATAATTTACACAATGACTCTTAGTCACACGGTCTTCTCACCTCAACAGCTTCCAACCCAATCTTAGCATAGGACAGCATTTCTCCAAACCGGTCGACGAAATATGCGATAATGTGTCAATTCAATCGAATAATCCACATGGTCTAACCAGTAGTTGTCGTCTTCGCTGCAGGCACAATCCCTTGTCTGACAGTATCAGTCTTCTCACCTTGGTAACTCTCAAATAGATATGAATTTTGGAAGTGATTTTTTGGAAGTTAGTGACGAAATAGACAATATTAGGGCAACTCAAACGAACGAATGTAATTTCTCAGACTATGCCCTATGTAGTCTACTTCAAGCGTGGATCAAGATCTTATCTAACGTCGCCAGTCTTCTCATCTTAACAGCTTCCAAATAGGAATCCCCTTTTAATATCATTTTCCCAAAACAATTGACGAACTATTCGATTGTGTCAATCCTATCGGGTAAATATGGTATTTCGACTACTACTATTTCCCCTCCTTTTGCAGCTACCTCAACAATGCGTTCCATAGTGTCAGTAAATAAAAACATTTTAGAGTCGACCAAAAACTTGTCCGGGTAATTGCCACCATATGTTATCTTTCGAATGTCGAGTAAGACGTTTCTACTGAATTGCACACTTGTTGGATTGGTAGCGATGAAACCTGTCAAAAGTGGGAATCTGGAGATCATATAGGACAGAAACAATTAAACAGTTGGGCCAACTCCTGCGTTCGCTGTTGAAGTCGACCAGGACGTCTTTGTTCCACCTCCGCCCCTGGTTGTAAATACATTGTTAGTCAATGTCACAATTTTCATCAGTATCACATAGCAGAGGTATACCACATTCACTCGAAGGAATTACAAGGCCTGTATAAATTTGAGTACAGTTCAAAATGACAGATTAGTAGTAAGCTGCCACTTGTGTTGTCGAGGAGTGCGGAGCATGCAGGGGGCTCTCGCCAAAATCCATATCACGTGATTTGCAACAACCACATTTTCTACAACACAACAACCATTTATTTTGAGGGTATCATCAATTTCAAAGAGATATTAATTATCTATCCCTTCGCGGCTCCAGCCTTTATCAAAAGAATATCTCCATCACGAACTTCGTAGTCTTTTCCCTTTGTCATTATCTTACCCTTGGCCTTGATCTCGGATTCTTCACCCAGCTCCTTCAAAACATCAAAGTTATAGACGATAGCTTGAATGAATGTCTTCTCGAAGTCACCATGGATGACTCCCGCAGCTTGTGGTGCCTTGGTACCATTTCTGATTGTCCATTGGCGAACTTCATCAGTTCCTGTGGTGAAGAAACTTCCCAGGTTCAGCACCTTTCGCATAGTGGTGACGAGTTTTGGCAAAGCTGACTCAACGCCCAATTTCTTGAGCTCTTCGTTGGCCTCGGCCTCGGTATCGAAACGAGTAAGGCGTTCCTCGAGACAAATGGAGATTGGCATGATTGGGTCGCCAGCAGCATGCTCCTTGATCCATTCCATGACCTTGGCAAGATGCTTGTTCTTCTTTCGAATGTAATCCTTCTCGCTCAAATTGATAAGATAAACGACTGGCTTGGCACTCAGAAGGAACAGAGGGTTAATGAACTCGATCTGTAAAATTATGTCAGCAACTCTCACATGACAAAATCTCCGGTAAATTTTGAAAGGGTTGTTTTTTATCAGAACGGGTTTCTTATCTCATGCTGCACTCTGCGTTTATGTGAGGCAGTTCGACGAGCTGGGATTATTCAGGCCTCATGGCCCTTTGTCATCAGGAAAAATGGTGGGGGGGGGGGTGTAAATGAAGAATCGCAACATACCTCCTTAGAAGTCCAGTCGCCCTTTCGGACATCAACACCACTCTGAAGTAAAGCCAGAACCTTCTCGATGCAGCGCTCTTCTTCCAAAAGCTTCTTCATCTCCAAGCTTTGACCACCTCTTCGGGTAAGCTTCTTCGACGCCTCGAGCGCCTTTTCCGTAAACTCGATATCTTTGATCCGCAGCTCTTCGCTGATGATCTGAAGATCACGAACGGGATTAACGTCCCCTTCTATATGGATGATCTCTGCATCATCAAAGCAGCGTACCACCTGGAAGATGGCATCTACCGCACGAATATGGGACAAGAAGGCATTCCCAAGTCCCTCACCCTTGGAAGCACCTCGGGTCAGACCGGCGATATCGTAGATCGTGAGATGCGCAGGAACGCGGGATTTTGGGTTGTATTTCTCGCAAAGCCAGTCATATCTCTCATCAGGTACGATGACTCGAGATTCCTCTGGGTCGATGGTCGCAAAGGGAAAGTTCTGTATGATGCTAATTAGGGTGGGTCGCGAAGGAACACGATTTTGACAGAACTTACCGCAGGGTTACCAAGAGAACACTTGGTGATAGCTTGAAAGAGTGTTGATTTGCCAACGTTTGCAAGACCGACCTAAATACGAATGAGTTGTGCGTTCAAGTTTGGGGTGACAGCGGGGTGGTAGATGCAACTTACAATTCCACTCTTGAGGTTGTTACCAGGCCGGCCCAGTAGGAGCTTCTCCTCCTTAACAGCTTTCTTTGGTGGCATCCTGTTAGGTTTCTTTGCGTAATTTCTTGTGGTTGTAATGTAAACCGTGCAGCTAAGCAGGCTTTGAGTTGAGGTCGCAGTTCTTGCCGCGGACCGGTTAAAAGTGAGGAGGGGAGAAGAGAATAGAAGTTGGGCGCCGAGAGTGGACGACTTTTGCATAAGAGTGGCCCAAAGTTTGAACCTCTCTCTGCGCGGTTGTGTGCGGCGAATCGCCTACAAGTGTATTTAAGGAATGTGTGCGCAGAAATTTTAGGAAGAAAGCTGCAGAAGCTGTAGGCACTTGGTCTGTGCCCTGATCCCTCGCGAATCTGCCAGTTCCAGCGTCACGCCGAGGCCGTTGCCTTGTTACTCCACTTGGTGATGTTTGCTCTACGATGACTTCACGTCTTCAGACAATCCCTGCAATTGAGCATTGTGAATTGACAACTGTGAAGATCCAACACCAGACTGTCGCGCTGATCTCTTGATCCGGAACTACTGTTCTCTTACCCCAGCAGAATACGCGTTTCTAGCAAGATGTCTTCGAAAAAGAACTCTCGACGGAGTACGCAGAGCCACCGTTCCACGCTCTCGTTGCAGAAGACTGAGATAATGATCAATGTCTATGATTTACTCCCTGTAAGTTATTCCGCTCACCTTTGAATCTCCTGGAAAATCTAGCTAGTAGACAACATCATCTACCATTTATTCGGCTAACAGTTTCCTAGCCAGGTAGACTTGCATCAATGCTCTGGACTGTCGGCGCATCACTCTTGCACTCTGGCGTTGTCATAAATGGAAAAGAATACGCTTACGGTGGTCATGACAAGCGGAATATGACAGGCGTATATTGGACGAAACCCAAAGCCGAACCACCTGGAGGGACATTCAAGATGGAAATACTTCAGGGCTTCACCATATACCCACAGGCAGAGATTGAAGCCATTATCAAGGAAGCTTCAGAAGTATTCCAAGGCACATCTTACAACCTACTGACACGAAATTGTAACCACTTCACGGCGTATCTTTGCGAAAAGCTCACTGGAAGGCCTGGTCCATCTTGGCTAAATCGTGCTGCTAGTATTGGAGTTGCGCTGCCGTGTGTCGTTCCTAAGGAATGGATCGCGCCTCCAGATTTCGATACAGCCGATGGAGAATTGTTGGATGATGAGGGTCACAACGATTCGCACGAACGCTCTCGGATGCTAGGAGACACAGATACCAGCCATGCGAGGTACAGCTTTGACGATGGACGGCCAGACCTAACGGATGATGATGAATGGGACAGCGAAGAAGAAAGGCGGAATGGTGGGAATGGCAAAGGAAAAGGCAAAGCCCCAGTCCGAGATACATCTGGAAGGGTTGTGCCTCCAGCCGACAGAGCTCCTACGGCCAAAAAGGGGTGTGACTGCCCGCCATAAGCTGCTGAATTAATCACGGATCCTTTGACGTATTTTGAGCCACATAGCGGGCGTTTGGCGGTCATGCATTTTTATATAAGGCGTTTGGCGCTGGATGATACCATCATTTTTGTACAAATTGTACAGTACATTTTTATACATAGGCGTTCTGAGACTTTCTCTGCTCAACCTTTCCACCCGAAAACAACGTGTGAAGATGATAACCCCTCTAACCCAGACGTCTTGGTTTCTTACTCCTCGTGCCACCAAATTTCAACCTCGTAGCATCTGCGACTTTGACCACCTTATGCCGCAACTGCCTTCCTTCCAAACCCAACAATGCCTTTGTCACAGCTTCTCGTCCAGCCCCAAAACCCCTAAGAATAACCTCCAGTTCTTTGATCTGGGAATTGATGCCACGATCCTCCATTCTGTCCATAACATGACTTGCCAGCTGGTAGGCGGAATCATAATGCTTCCTCGCGCTGTGCCTAAAACCTATGTTTCCACACGACAAAGATATGATGGGATTTCGTTTCGGGTCCGTCAGAGTAATATGAGTGTTGTGTCTCGTGGCGTATATATGGAAATGGTGTGGCTCCGGCTTTTCTTCAAATTTGGGTGTATGAAGAGAGATTCCGTCCTTGTAATCCGCCTTAAATATAGCTGCGTCTTTCTGCGCCCGGGTATCGGTATTTTGCCGAATTGTTGCGTCAAACATGGTGAGCAGTTTATTCATGCCCCCATCCGAGGTTCTAGCGGCTTTAGAAAGAGATGGCGAGCGTCTTCGTTCCGGCAAAGTCGGCGCAGCGGACTCAGATTGGCTTAGGAAATTGGGGGATGAAGCTGGTGGAGAGGGAGGGTTGACATTGTCATTTTCGGCAGCGGTCCGTAATGAACTGGAGAACGATCGAATGCATTTCGTTGACCACTGAGATGGTGTTAATGGTGGCTCAACACTTGAGAGTGTTACCCGCGCCAGTATGCGCCGTGGAATTGCCCTACTCATGGCCCGAATTGATGTTGATGTGGTGGTAATGCCAATCCTAACAGACCTGAACGCCAGCGACATTCGAAAAGTTGATGCCAAGCCGGGGCGCGTCCTCGAACCGGAGAAAACTTCTTCCTCAGCTGGCTGGTGGCCCCGTGAAAAGACGGCCGGGGTCGGCGAAAAGTCGAGAATATTGCCGTGTTATTTCTCTAGAGCCAGACTTCTTTTGCATCCGCTTGTTATTTTGTTGGCCAATTTGCGACAAGAAAGGTTTTAATCTCCTAATATTGTGCATTCGACATGAACAGTCTCCGAATTTCATCCACAAGAGTGCTCTCAAATGCGCCACTCAATTCAAGCATAAGACCTTCAGGTCGAGCGGCGATTTCGAAGCTGCTGCAATCTTCCTTGACACGCTCCGCATCATCGAGTTCATCAAATTTTACATCTTCATTATATAACATTCCTTTACGATCGAGTTTCCTTCCTGTCGAGATTCGCACTGGTCTGGGACCTGCCGCCTCTCGGGGATTCCATAATGGCGCCCCTTTAAGACAAGAAAAAGAGCCGAAGACCGCAAAGACAGGGACTGAAGAGGATGTGAAGGACTCATCCCAGGCTGAGGCTGAGGGATCGTCAAAAAAGGAGGATAAGAAGGATAGCTCAAATGAGGAAACAGATGGTGATGGGAAGAAGGAGGACAAAAAAGAAGCGCCGCCGCCTCCTCCACCTCATGGTGACAAGTCTCCATGGCAAGTCTTCACCGAGACTTTGCAAACCGAATTTAAGGCGTCCAAGGAATGGAATGAGTCTACGAAAGCGCTCGCTGCCGGTGCGCAGCAGTTTACGGAGAATGAGTCGGTGCGACGTGCCCGCGAGGCGTATACTTCAACGACCGGGGCGGTATCGTCTACTGCTGGTACTGTCCTGAAAAGTACTGCTGGTGCGGTGGGTAAAGGTGCGGCGTGGACCTGGGAAACACCTGTTGTCAAAGGAGTGCGAACTACTGTCAATGCCACAGCTAGTGTGATCGAAAAGGGAACGCGCCCTATCAGGGAAACTGAAGCCTTTAAAAATGTTAAGAATGTGATCGACGATGGTAGCAGTTCAAGATATGGAGGATGGGTAGAAAAGGAAGAGAGGCGGAAGGCTAGAGAATTAAGAGAATTACAGGCTGGAGGAGGTAAGCGACAGGAAGTTGCAAAGGAAGACCCGGAGTAAGTGTACCATCGGGTTCAATGACGATCGAAATACTAACGTTTTCAAGGGCTGGCACAAATGTCACTCTTCACAAAGATGCGGCTTGGAAAGAATCATGGCGGGACTTCCGGGATTCTAACAAACTGATGCAAGGCCTCTTCTCCATGAAATCGGCATACAACGAGTCGGAAAACCCTCTCATCTCCACCGCGCGCAGTATATCGGACCGTGTTGCTGGATTCTTTGCTGAAAACGAGACGGCAATGGTCATCAAAAAGTTTCGCGAAATGGACCCGGCTTTCCAAATGGAGCCCTTCCTACGAGAAATGAGGGAGTACATTCTCCCTGAGGTCCTGGATGCATACGTCAAGGGCGATACGGAAACTCTGCGCCTTTGGTTAAGTGCTGCTCAGTTCCAGGTTTATGATGCTTTGACAAAGCAATATACCACTGCTGGTTTAAAGTCAGATGGCCGGATTCTTGATATTCGAAATGTCGAGATCTTGTCTGCTCGAATCTTGGATCCCGGTGATGTCCCCGTATTCATCGTAACTTGCCGTACTCAGGAAGTCCATGTCTACCGAAATGCGAAGACGAACGATTTGGCCGCTGGGATGGAGGACAAAGTGCAGTTGGTGACATACGCTATTGGCGTCACCAGAACCCCAGAAGATGTCAACAATCCCGAAACAAGAGGATGGAGATTGATTGAGTTACAGAAAAGTGGTAGAGATTACATATGATCTCTCTTTTTCAAAATCCTTCGTCTTCTTTCTCACCCATCGCTTTCATAATTTGCCTTTGAAGGCGCCTCTCGCGAAGGAGTTTGCAGCCTTAGCACCAATGTGGAACGGGATCCACAACAAACACCACTGTACATCATATATCATATGCATTCCAGGCGTTTAGGAGTTTGCATAGCCAAGGAAGCTATTGTTTAGGTCGTGGTTCAAGGACCCTCGAGCTGGGTCACTACATAAAAGTGAAATTAGTACAGATCATTTTGGCCGGGAACCACCCTACACACCACTCTTCGGATTTGATACCCTAGGCGGAAAAGGGCTGTAAATGTATAATAGTGTCTGTAATGTTATGTGCAATATTAGAGATGTGGCATTGCCGATCTTACTCATATTAGTAATTTTTGTCAGTTGTAGGAAAAGTCTGCGATATTTCGATGTTCAGGTCACGGTTTCGTAACACCAAAAGAGTTTCGACTTGCAATGTATCCCTGGCAACGGAGTCTGAATCATCTTTTGGCTTCGTAGACGTCTTAAAAAGCTCTACCTATCTTAGCTAGGATTTCATAGTCAACAAATAATCAGACATGTGCGATGCTGGTTATTCCCCTTTCATAAGACTTGACTATACCGCCCAAAAAACACTCAATTACTTCTTCAAAATCTCCCCAGCCGGAGCAGGCATCATAGCTCCCTCCTCAGGTGTATTCTTACTCTTAAACTCATCTGACATTTGCTCAAAAGTAACCCATTCTACACCTTCGTGTTTGTTTATGTGGTCGATGATTCTGTAGTGTGTGAGTAAGTGGCAACAATGTAAGATTTCTGTGGAATATTTAAACACCTTTGATGCATCTTCAAGACGTGAGGACGACCAGACACGTCTGGATGAATGGTCATCGGGAAGACGAATTCGTCGTAATTATCATAGAAGTAGTCGAAGTGATCCATCCATAGCTCTTCGACGTCCCGAGGGTTGACCCAGCCGTGACTGTTTGCAGCTTTCTTGATGAACATCATCCTCGACGGCGTTAGCTTCTGACACTGTATAATGTCAAGATTGAAGCTACTTACGGTGGCAAATCATCAATATACCAACTAGCCGGTATCTCCACAAGTCCAGTAGCTTTACCTTTGATCAGCGGGTGCATCCATTCCTCGGCTTTTTTCGAATAGTCGATCTTCGTCCACGTATCTCCCACACGGAGCCAGTACATTTGACAATCGTCATGGCTCATGCTGTGGTCGTATTCGATTCCGTAGCTGAGGAGGAGCTCGGCACCTTCTTTGGAGGTTTCCCACCATGGTGCTACACTTCCGCGTGGTGGCTTGCCGCAGAAGTCTGTGAGTAATCGGTAGGTTTTGTCGAGGACGTCGCGCTGTTGTTCCAGGGTCATGTCGGAGGGGTTTTCGTGGGAGTAGCCGTGGAGTCCGATTTCGTCTGGGCAATGGGAAGTTAGTATACATCACCGATAAACGACTGCGAATCAATAGGTCAAGTATAGATCTTGACGGATGTAGTTGAACGGCCACTAATAGCTACATTATGGATTGACCTCGCGGTCTGAGAAAACGGTTGCTGAAAATACTTACGTCCAGCATCACGAACCATAGCACACTCTTCTGGGAACGTTTCCAATGAGTGACCAGGAATGAACCAAGTTGCTTTCATATTGTTTTTCTCGAACAACTTAAGCAATCTTCTGGTTCCGATAGTACCAGCGAAGAGACCTTTTGCTGTCAGCTATATATAATATACCAGACGTGGAGTTCCAACCTCGTGAGATATCGCTCGTAGAGTCCTCTCCTCCATAACTTCCAAGCCATCCTGCAACGGCATCGATATCAACTCCATAGCCACAAAGGACTCGCTTTTTAACCATTTTGAAGTAATTTCAATCAAGTGTTTTATAAGTTAATAGTAAAGATAGTTGCTTGAGAGATACTTGGAGACAGGTGACTGAAAATGTGTAAAAGGCAATGGAAAGATTGAAGCTAGAGTTCTCACTACCCCACCTCTTTTATACTCCTCATAGACTACTTACCAGTACTAGTTAGCTCAAAGTTGTACCACATCCATTTGAGTAAGTACAGGAAAGCCCACATCATAGGACAGTTTCTAAGCGGCTTCTTCAATAGTGGGGAAGTAGTTGAGTGACCATGGGGGAGCTTTATCGGCAACTGATAAGAAGGAGGCGAGATCACGTGAGCTTTATTGTCCTTGCGAGTTATAGTGCGAGTATTGCCAGCTTTGAAGAATTTAGTTAATATTCTTGAATCTACAGGTGGGCATGGGTTGAAACATTCTCTTCGTATAAGTATTCTCTTCTAACTCTATAGCTGTTCTACATTTGAAGACGTTGCCGCCGTCACCCATATTGATGAGTCAGCATTTCGAAATCACATGCTTCTCAAGCTCACAGCTCTAGGATTGCTTCAGGTACGAAGGTACCTTAGCACGGCGCATCAAGGCCACAGTTTTTGGAAATCTCATCTCCATCCAAGACGACACCCACATCCTTCCAGGCTTCATTACACTCGCCGAGACCTCCTTACTGGTGACCAGATCCGCGCACCTCCGGTTGCACCAAATTGTCCACCTTATCGTCCGCGATCTTCAACCACATCATCGTCGCCAACGAACAGACATCTTGGCTTTCTGGATCTCTTATACCTTGGATTACCGGACTGGCACTTCGTGGTGCGGTCCTTGATGCGGCGCACGAATGTCGAATGAATGCAACCCTTAAACCCCTTCTTATGTGCCTTCTTCAAGAGCACCCTTCCTGCGCAGTGTACGCCGGTCCATCATCATGTAGGACTGCTCCTTCGCGCCCAAATCAGCCCTAATTGTCTTTAGATTCTCCTTGTACCGACAACTGATGTCCTCCTTACCTCCCGCGATCGCGAATCCGGCGCCCTCTATTCAGATCTTGCTGGATCTGAAGAATTCCTAGGAAGCCATGTCTTGCGAGTGCCAGCTAACCATGCTACTGCGGGAGGGAAGGATGCGCCAAACATGCGCGAGAGTAGAGGGAAAGCCAAGCAGTATACTACAGTTAACGGCAGAACGGTAGTGGTTAAGGATGCATTTATATATAGTAATAAAGGTTGGTTGAAGGTAATGCTATGGGAATTTTGTACTAAGTTTATGATAGGATTCAAGACTCTCAACCAAGCACAACTATTATCCGATACGATATGGTACCCCGATTCCTTGGAACCTAGACAGTGGCTGGTATATTATATTTCGAGACCTTTGGTAGGGATATTTGAAGAAATAAAGATTCCCCCGGCGATTCTGTCTGTGCGCGCTGTAGGCACCAAAACTATTCTTGCGCCGAAGGTTGATACAGATTCCGAGGGAGTTCCAGGGAGTCCTTTGCCTAGGAAGAAGGATATAAAAACCTTCAATGACCTCCTCAATAATTTCCCGATGATTGCAAGGCAAATGCAACCGGGACTAGAACGATTGTTCAAAGAATTCAATACTGTTTTCGATAAACCGCTACCTCCTCCTCCATCTGCGACGATAATCCCGGATCCTGAACCCGATGGGCCAATAGCAACGGCAATGAAAAAAGCGAGGTCAAATAGCATGGGTTCTGCGCCAACCGCGAGATCGAATGGTTATGCTGAACAACTGGAGGATTTCTTTGCCGAGGATGATGAAGATATAATGAGGGGCGCTTTGGAGACGGCCGTGACAGCTGCAATAGATTTATTTCAGATGGTCGATAAGCAACAGCTGTCTCTTTTGGGTGCAACGACTGATCTTACTGGACCGGTTGTCGAGCGTCTTATTGAGCGCTATGTAACTGAGCAAGTACACGACTCGGTTCTTTATCCCCGACTGTGTGCCATGAAGCGTCCCGATGACCTCGAGCTAGAGTCAAAGATTCGTCATATGGAGTTCGTTGACATTTCGCAAGTTGGGATATCGATTCAAGGAGGGCCTACTGGAAAACACGAATTAACATTGCGACTGGGGCGAGCTGTGGAAGAATTCCGAAAGCTAGGGGTTGCTAGAAGCCCACAGCAAATGATGGACATTCTGCTGTCAACTTTAAAGACGGTCACTCAAGTGACTGATAACTCAAAATCTGCCGGTGCAAATGCTACGTCGGAGAAGGTCAGCACTGTTCTCACCATCAATGCCGATACGCTGGTCTCTCTACTCTTAATTGTTGTAATAAGATCTCAAGTGCGTTATCTTCAAGCTCGCCTGTTATATATGCGCCACTTTATCTTCATAGACGATGTGGAAAGTGGTGAGATGGGTTACGCCCTCAGCACCTTTGAAGCAGTTCTCTCATATCTCGCTAGAGATTCTGGCGGGTTGAGAAAAGCTAGTAGACGAAATTTCAAATTGTGGGAATCTACAAAAAAGGGAAATATCAAAGACATGATGAGCATAATGGAGCCGGATAAGGAAGTTACTTCAGATGAGGATGCTTGTAGCAGCGATAGTCGTGGAGAGGAAGACAACTTTGGTGGGGAGAACCCCTGGGATAAAGTTAATGGCCACTCGAGACATTCTTCGAGGAATAGTAATCGTAGGATATCACAAGCATCGACGCTGAACCATGTGTATCCATTTCAAATTTTGGATGACGATAACGACGACGAAGAGCGCTTACCTCCCCTTCGAAAACCCAAGCAAGTTACCATGGATATGCGAAGCATGTCTAGTAGCTCCGAAATATCATTCCGGTCTAGGGCAACTACTATAGATTCTATGACAAGTGGCATTGAAGGAGATACTTCGATCGAGCGCTTGTCACAAACTGAGGACTCTTTTGGAGAGTCTGTGCCTATGATGGCCGTTCAAAACGAAAGACCCGAATCGCTCAAGTACTTGTTCTCGTTATACGACTACTTTCCCCCATATGTTGTGCTGGAAGATACAAACAATGAAGGCACCACACTTCTTAGTGCTGCTGTTCAGCTAGGACACACTGAACTGATAGATATTATTCTGGATTATGTATATCAGTCAGGGCCAGAATCCGTTGTTACGAACTACCTCGCGAAACAAGACATTCGTGGCAGAAGCGTAGCTCATTATTTATTCAACGCCCCCTTTCTCATACCTAGAGTGGGTCGGATGTTGCCATGGCGGCAGAAAGATAGGAATGGCCAAACGCCATTGTTCGCACTTTGCCGCTCATATGACCATGGAAATTATAGAGCTATGGTTGAAAGCGCACTTCTTGCTGCAACAAACTCGCAGGGAGATGGCCAGCCACTACATATTGACGATCATATCGATTCGAAAGGCAATACACTTCTACATATCGTCAATGATCCTCAAGTTGCTCTTAGAATCTTGTTACATTGCGATTCGGATGTCAATGCTACGAACGACAAGAAATTCACCGCGCTGATGGTGGCAAGCAAATATGGCAGGCTGGAGATGGTACGAGTTCTCTTTGGTGACCCAAGAGTAGATCTTTTTGCAAAAGAGTTGCGGGGACTCACAGCTGTTGAACTTGCGAAAGATGACGACGTCAGGAATCGTATTGACGATTTGATTCTGTTCTCCGGCCAGCCTGCAGCAGATGGTCGGATAACAGCTGTCGTACGCTCGTTTTTCGTCGAAGATGCTACCATCCGCCTAGTAGTAAAATCGGGAGCTCCATCTACTCAGCAGAGCTTTACCGTAACTACTTGTAGGAGATCCCTTACGGATTTCGAACATTTGGTAAAGCTACTTGCTTTAGAAAACCCAGCTTCGTGGTTGCCATCCATTGCCGGCATGCGCTCGCCCTTCCAATTCCCATCAAAACCCTCTCGAGCCGTCTTGCGGGACATTCAAGTCCGTCTGGACGGCCTTCTGAAGATTCTTCTGGCTCACTCGACTTTCTCGACTCATGAAATGTTGTGGGAGTTTTTCCTCGTGCCTGATATTCAATCAGACATGATGGAGCAGCGCAGCAAGCTCAAAGCGGAGACAAGAATCGAGAAAGTCCGAGAAGAATACGAGCCGGTAGAAGATATTCGTGATGTGGAGCAGTTCATTGATCATGCTCGAGACACAGTTAGAAGTGTCAACTATTCAACAAAGAGTGTTGCGCGTAGGGCTAATATGGTTCGCGTCGTTTCTACAGGTATGCTAAATATTCTTATAATTGGTGAGCGTATTGTCCTAATATTTCCCAGATTTCTACGATGCCGCCAATATAGCTACAAAAGCCCTCGCCACTCTCGATTGCATTCCAAAAACTCACATCTCGGCCTTGGAATCATATGTGTTGACGCTTGCACCCACCTCGTCTTCACCCTATACGACGTTTCATTCAACGATGCTATCTATACATAGTACTATAATCGCTATGTTACTTTCCCTTTCCCGGCCTACGACTCTAATTCAACAGATTAATACGTCGCGGAAGTCGATTGAGAGGTCTTACAACTCTCTGTCACGTTCCACGCGCTGGCCACTAGGTCTTCTTGACGAGACTCGTCAACGGCTCAATGAAGAAAAAGAAGAGAAGGTTCGAAAGACGCAAGAGGAATGTGCAGAGGTCGGAAGAGAATTGAGATATACTCAACAAGTTGTCGCTTCAGAACTTGCTGGTTGGCAAGATTTGCATGAGAAAATGGGGAAGAAGGCCCTGAGAGACTTGGCGAAAGGAATGATCATCAGGGAAAGAACTGCATTGGAAGGAATGATGCGAGCTGTTCGAAAGCTTAAGCTAGAGTCAGCAAAGCAAATAGCTGCACCCGTGTCAAATGGACGTGTTGAAGTCGAAGTCAATGCTAGCGCAGTGGCTGCGGGCCCGTCGAACGACATGGATTAGCTGATTGTGTCAGATATAAGTTGCCACAGGGCAAAATAATGTGTTGAATAGAAGGGAGGTACTTTTGTAACCGGCGTTTGCTAGCGAGCGAGCGAGGGCTTTCTCGTTGTGTTTTGGATTATGGGCAGAATGGCTGACACGCTGTACGGGAGTTGGTGACTTATTAGATTGGTGGATAAATAATTGAACGAAGTACTTCTAGGTGCTTTCCTCTACTTTCTTGTACAGAAAGAGTTCAAGTGATTACATTTGATGTGCTTCATTAATAAATGCCGCCTGTGATAACATGTGCCCTTTAACAAGGGTCCACGATATCACCTGACATTACCCCTCCAGCTTCTGCATACTTGGTCTTACTGACTGCCCCAATCGCGGGGCAACCACCTCGTCGCGAATTCCATCCTGCTTCATCGCAGAACAACAAAACCCCGCCAAAATACAAAATCTCTCGTCCCAGCACAAGTTCAAGATGTTTAAGAAAGAGTGAGTTCCTTGTCTGCTACTCTGCAGGTGACAATATGCTAATTCAACCCAGTATCTCCCCTGGATCGAAGTCCAAGGTGAAATCTTCCGTACAGCGCGCCATCAGAACCCAGATTACTACGACATATCCCTTATTAACGCCTTTCATCGATGAGATTATACCTAAGAAAGAGCAGTTGGATGCTATGAAAATGTAGGTGCTATGAAGGCCTCTGTCGCGGCACCGAGCCTCCAGATTGTGCGCAAGTATCTGTAAACTGACAATCTTACATAGTCCAGACAGAGTCACTCTTTACCTCATTGGCTCAACGCCACTTTTCTTCCAGCATATGACTGATGCTCTTCTCCCACATCTCAAACTCGTCCACAGGTTTCCCACCTGCTTCCCAAGTATTCGAATCGATCGAGGTGCAATCCGATTTGTTCTTTCAGGCGCGACACTAATGGCTCCTGGCCTTACTTCAACTGGAGGTAGATTACCGAATGGAAACAAAGACGAGGAAGGTGTGTATGGCGAGACCGATAAAGAAGAGGTAGGGGAGGGAGTACGAGAAGGTGGCGGTTGGTACGGCGGTAGAGAGTTAGAAGCGGGAGAGCCTGTTGTGATTTGCGCTGAAGGGAAGGAAGAAGCTTGTGCGGTCGGGTTGTTGAGTATGGGGACTAAGGAGGTGAAGGAGAAGGGCAAAGGACCAGTTGTAGAGGAGGGACACTATCTTGGTGATGGGCTGTGGAAGTTAAGCACTGAGTAGTGATGGATTAGAATACAAACGTTTCCGTCATTGCCCACGACAGAAATCTCTAGTAATCATGAGAGCAAGCGAAATATTGGATGAGGGCAAGTGAATAGGACCTTTGATAGCCTGATCCACCATGGATCTAGCCAAGTTCGTAAAATGGCGCTTTCTTTGGTCTTTCGACAAGTTCATTTCTCAAGAGACCCTTGACTATTTTTTCAGAATCGATCTTAGTACTTGTTCACCATAAAGGCATCAGCTGCAGTTGATGTTGTGATATTTCGAGCCTTCGAATGATAATGAAGAAGAAAATATCTGGTAGTAATAGGAGTAAACATTGATGAGCCATATTTCTAAACAGTCGGATATCATTCAGAGCTCTGCCTCTGAGGTGAATTGTCTAAGAAAAGTTTTCTCTAATAACCCAACCACTAAAGGCTATAATTGCTACATTGTCTCTATTAATTGGACCAAAGGTATCTAATACAGAGGGGGCACCGATAAGTCGTTCTCGGACAGTAATATACCTGGAGGTACCCCGTCAGTCTACCAACGCCCAAATTTTTATAGTCGCCTGCTAGTTAGATGATGATTAGTCAGTTATAGAGACTACGTTGCGGACGATCTTTATTATAGTTGGGTATTGCTCGAGATAATGAAGTCCCTGAGTGAGCACACATGAGAATGATATAAGCTTTGGAGAGTCCGAATCAAAATAGCATCTATTCAGAGTTACCTGCATATTTAGGTAAAGGAAAATGCCTTAGCAATGGTTGAAGTATTCACTAATACTTTACATTGTAAAATGCAGTCATCATCACCGCAAGGTACAGCAAAGTCTCGCTTAACATCTTACCCCTTTGTTTATCGATTGAGCTTTCGTACAAGTCGTATTGATTTCTGTATACGATTGCTTTGATATGATAACTTGAGTGAAGATTGTACCATTGAAGAAAAACTCTGTTTCTGGCAGTACAGAAATTTTGCTTCGCCGTAGACTAACATGTTGGATGTTGGGATGGCTAAATGCTGCATCTGCATCGAGCGTTACACGACGATTATTGACATGATCAGTGCTTCCTCAAACAACATTCGACACTTTTGCTCCGAATTTCGGATTTTTATCACATTGAGATCCGGAACATTCGTCTAACATTATATTACTCCCTCATACACTGCCCTCATATAGTTATAAAGTCAAATTCTATAGCATGGTCGCCTCAAATAAGCACCCACTGGTGGCCTACCAACCTTTCAAGTTCTTGTTCCAACTAGCATATTTCACAACCATCATCGCTCGTCTACCTCTCTGGCTCACACTTGCATTTTTCGCACCTCTGCGGCCACACCCCAAGTGGACTGCAAAGCAGACATTTATGGCTCAAGTCGCGTATGCATTGACGGATCTCAAATCTCGCATTGGAGTGACCTCCAAGCTCTCGCTTGAACAAGGCAAAGAAGAAGATCGTTTTCAAGTAATTGAACCGTCAAACTCGGAAGCCTATAAAGGACCATTGACATCCCTAATCGTCAAGCCTGGATCGGTTGGTGGAACCTGGTATCCAAAGGCACCTGGAAAGGACATTGCTTCGAAAATAGTTGTGCTCTATCTACACGGAGGGGCTTTTGTGGAAGGAGATGGCAGAAATGAGTTTTGCGGATATCCGGTAAAGACCATGATTGAGCGAGGGGGTGTAGATGCCGTCTTTTCCCTACAATATCGCCTTTCCGGATGGATGGGGGTCAATCCTTTCCCAGCTGCTTTGCAAGATGCACTCACTGCCTATCTATTCCTCGTCGAAAAGGTCCAAATACCATCTCATCAGATCGTTCTTTGTGGTGATAGTGCGGGTGGTAATCTGGCAATAACACTTCTACGATACCTTGAAGAATTCGGTACTACAATACCACGACCAAGATGTGTTACCTTGTTCTCGCCATGGGTTGCACCATTCGATTACAATACCGAACAAAATCCTAATCGCAACTCTGATTTTCTACCGACCTCCTTCCTTCGATGGGGAGCGCATACTTACGCCGATGGACTATTGAATTCCCCATCAGACCCGTACATCACACCTCTGGGCAATCCATTTGCAACGTCGGTACCGATATTTGTCAACGCAGGAAATGCAGAGATATTTTTCGTTGCGAACAAGAAATGGGTTAAACAGATGAAAGACGTGAAAGACAACCACGTCGATTTTCATGAGGAAGATGCTGCATTGCATGATACCTTCCTACTTGCTAGTATCCTAGGCTTTGAAGAAAGTGCTCAGGAGGTCATCTTGAAAATGGGGACTTTCGTCCGCAAATGTTAAGTTGAGAATGTCGTCGATTTCTAGAATTAATCTAGAACAGAGGATGGATTTCCCCAGATGAATGTTCCGTGAATTGGAGTTTCGAAATTCTGTCTCAGTAACTTATATACCGGGCAGTTGGATTTTCCTAGAACTGTCAAGAAATACTGGTAGAGCAGTTGATAAACCTCCTAATCAAGCTTGAAATGTTGATAAGCCAAGCCTAGTCCCCAGTGATCGAACAGAAGACTGGGTACCATCAAGTTTAGTTTTCTAAGATGTTTGGGTTGTGCAAGGGAGAAGCACTTGGCCTGTGGACTCCGCGAAATTCCAGTCTGGAGGTTGTAATACGAACGCGATAGAGCGAAGGGGTATCTGCAGTTCTTTGAACATCCTAATGATAATTCAACAATGAATCACAAGGGTTGCCCTTCATTGAGTTGCCATGTTCTTGAGGATATATTTCCTACCAATTTCGATGTCCTTCCACGTGCCTCCCCACCAACGTTCTAAAGCCCCGCACTAGCTAAGCGAACAAGCTTAAGACCCCTGTCATCATTACGATCGAGCAACACATGTCCGCCCTGAAATGTAAATTATCTCCCGCCCGCCACATCATCACGATTGAAAAACCTCATCCTCTCCAATATCCATATCGCAAACATGGCTACCACCAAGCAACGCCTGGCCCTGTCCATCATCGATTTCTTCAACACCTCCCTGACCGACGGCACTCTCAGTGAAGACGATCGCGAATCGATCGAAGTAGCAACATCCTGCATCTCAGAATGCTTTAAAGTCGACCCCACCGATGCCACGCCAAAAGACTCCCAGAACCTCCTCCAAATCTACGGCATTTACGAGAAACTCAAGGGCAAGACTCCAGCAGGACCAAACACAAATGCTGCGGGCGAGAAATCCACACCGAGCGCCTCGGCGCCTACTGAGGCTCAAAAGAAGGAAGCAGAGGGGCTGAAAAGCCAGGGAAATGCCGCGATGGCAAAGAAGGATTATCCTTCTGCCGTAGACTTCTACACCAAGGCCCTTGCGCTGGTTCCTGGAAACCCGATTTTCTTGAGCAATCGAGCGGCTGCACATTCGGCGTCTAAGGACCACGAATCTGCGCGCGCAGATGCGGAGGCGGCTGTTGACGCAGATCCTTCTTACACCAAGGCGTGGAGTCGTCTGGGTCTCGCGAGATTCGCATTGGGCGACGCAAAGGGAAGCATGGAAGCTTATGCTAAGGGTATTGAATATGAGGGTAATGGAGGTAGTGACGCCATGAAGAAAGGATACGAGACCGCAAAGAAGAAGGTTGAGATTGACGAGGCTGGTTCTGATGACGAGGATATGGATCGAGGCGCCAGCGGAGCTGGACCTGGAGGAGCTGGCGGCATGCCAGATCTTTCTGCTCTTGCGGGCATGTTTGGAGGTGGACGAGGCGGCCCAGGTGGTGGTGGGGGCATGCCAGATCTCAGCTCAATCATGAGCAACCCAATGTTCGCTAGCATGGCCCAGAATCTCATGAGCAACCCGGATATGATGAATAACATCATGAGTAATCCACGTCTGCGCGATATGGCCAACCAATTTGGAGGCGGCGGCGGAGCTGGAGGTGCTCCAGGTGGAGGCGGTGGTGGTATGCCAGATTTGTCTGCTCTGATGCAAGACCCAAGCATTGCCGAAATGTAAGTTTTTCTTCTCTGCTAGCAAAACAAGTTTTTACAGAGGCTAACAATACAATCAGGGCACGAAACATGATGGGAGGAGGCGCAGGTGGACCACCAGGAGGAGCACCTGGTGCAGGTCGTGGTCGAGGAGCTTAAATCTGCGTGATTTTGCCTGTGCGCCATCTAATAGCATACTCTTGAGCGAGACATTGGCAATGGGGCATTCTTGATTGATTATGACTTTCACGAGTTATGAAGACGGGTATCTAGGCAGTCAAAATTTCATGTAGTAACGTAATAGAGGTTCTTACTTCGTCACCTTTAATTTCGGCCGTGTAAATCATTTGCAGTAGTTTCACACCTGTCCATTAGTGCTGTTGTGAGTGCAAGTTGAAATAAAGATGAGCGGCTACCTGTGGAGAGAACAGTCGAGAGTTGTAGTATCCTCGCTCTTCCACCCAGTCCGGCGAAGGAGATGTCAAGTGATCTATTATCAATACAACATAAGTCTATCTATCCACTGACTACAAGTCCAATCGATCAAAAGATGCTGTAAAATACAAGAATACAATCCATGTCCCCAACACTGAAAGGCCAACACAATACTGATCTAACGCCAAAGCCCGCAACTACCGCCCAACAGTCTTGTGAAAGGTCAGCCGGATGGACAAGACAACCTTCAAGAGAATTATGTGAGCTAAGTTCAGCCACGACCTCAGCTGCACACCAGAACCAGAACTGAAGCACAGTAGAAACACGTATCCTATCGCCAAACCAATTGTCGAGCCTCCAAATCTGCGTTCCGGGGTAGTAACCAGAGCCCGAAGCGTGTTCTGACATAATTTAAAGATGGAAAGTCGGTATCGATCTTGACTGAGACGAAGGACAACTCAGAACATCACCCACTCAACTCCCAGCCGCAAACCTCACCGCCCCCACCCCAGAACCCTCATCCGCAGGACTCGTCGTCGGCGCAGCAAGCGAGCTCATCTCATCAGTCGACGGATCGTACGAAGCAAGTGCGGAGCCCAGGGTCGATCCTGAGTCTTTAACACTATGATTCCTGACTCTCCAGTGGCGGATCCGACGAGAACGGTTGGTTCGGATTTCCTGAGTGCTTGTTGGAGGATCGCTTGGTGCAGAGACGCGACGTTTTTGCTTCAGGTGTGTTAGGTCAGATGACTGGAAGGATTTAAGGGTGGGCTTACTGTTGGAGGGGGTTGTAAGAGTGCTTGACTTTCTCCTGAGCCAGTAGTAGGGGCATCTGAATCTTGAGCTCCATCGTGAGAATTTTGAACTCGGTTAGGCTCGCTTTTAAATGTGGTTCTTCTCGACGTCCTAGAACGCTTGGATTTTGAAATTTCAATAGCAGGTTCTTCCACGCTCGGCAACTGTTCAGCTCGGTGTTCTGCAACGATCGATTCTGTATCTCCTTGGATCTCTACTAAAGTTTCAGCTTCCATTGATTTGGGCAAGAGAGTTACTGACCCGTCGTTTGAAATCTTGCTTTCTTTGCGATTTTCTTTCTTAGGCTCGCAGCTTTCTTCTCTTCCTTTTCAAGTTTCTTCTGAGCCTTTGCAGCTTCCTTTGGCGTATATTTCTTGGAAGTTCCTTCAGCGGCGTCGGTCTTGAGGCTAGACGGAACGAACTCGGGCGCATCAGCTTTCAATTTCGAACCCTAAAGAGTATTAGATATCCTCAAGAGGAAAATACAAGCCATGATTTGAAGGAGTATATATAGGGGGGTAAATTGTAGATATTCTATTCTATATGTTCTATTTTTGTTGGTTGGCCAGAAGCCAAGTAGCACACTTGCTATTCAAGTAAGCTGCATCTTGCAGAATATCCAGTACACAAAAGCCACATCGGACTTGATTTTCAACGTAGGGAATCATTGCATCATGTGTTCTCTAACTCACCTCACGTTGATGACTTGAATCTTTCTTTTTCCCATCGTTATTCTTCGTCTCTTCTTCAACTGCCGGATCACAATTATGCTCAGTCGTGTTCAGAACCTTTCCCAGCTCTACCGTCTTCTTCGAAGGACTTAAATCATTAACTATACTCGCGTCCTGCTTTTTCGGGCTTCGTGATCGTGATCTCTCATCGGATGGCTTGACAAAGATCTGTTTTGTCCATAGATTGTGATATTTTCCTTTTGCGTGTATCAAATCTTGGTGTGAACCGGCCTCCACAATCTCACCATCCATGACGACTAGAATTTGGTCAGCCCTCATGATTGTGGATAATCGGTGTCTAGCAATAAGTCAGTGGTGTATTTTTGTTTTGACCATGAGAAAACTTACGCAACAATGAAAGTGGTACGGTTGCGACACAAAGTTCTGAATCCTTCTTGAATGAGATGCTCGGTTTCGGTATCTACAGCACTCGTTGCCTCATCAAGTAAGATAATCTCGGGCTGTTTCAAGATGGCGCGAGCAATTGCAACACGTTGCTTTTCCCCTCCAGATAGCTTCCTACAATGTGCATTAGCTTTGTACAATATAATTCACTTTCATATTGCTTACACTCCCATGTTACCGACCTGAGAATCGTAGCCTTAAACGAGTTAGCTTGAGTTTATATTCTGCTAGACAAGACAAGTTTACCGTCAGGGAAGGTCATGATTTTGTCATGAACCGCAGCAGCCTTGCAAGCATCATAGACCTCTTCATCCGTGGCTGAAAGTCGGGAATAGCGAATATTCTCCATGATTGACATGTTGAAAAGTGTTGGGTCCTGTGGCACGATGCCAATATTCTCTCTCAAACTGGAAACATTGTTAGTCATAGAGAATGTTAGGAGTCCCATGCATCACATACCTGCTCAATTTCACGTTCCGGATGTCTTGATTGTCGATTGTGATTGAGCCGCCACTAACATCATAAAAACGATCAAGCAACTTCAGGATTGTAGATTTGCCACCACCTGTTTCACCAACAAGAGCAACCGTCTTACCAGCCGGAATGGTGAAAGAGACGTTCTTCAAAGTTGGCTTCCGTTCATCGTAAGCGAAAGAGACGTTGTCAAATCTAACTTCTCCCTTGTCGAGTTTCAACATCTTCGCATTGGGCGAGTCCGTTATGGTTGGCTTGGTTTGGAACAACTCGAGAAGTTTTTCGGCATCCATTAAACTGTAAGAAATATTCTTAAACATGCTGCTGAAGAATGTCAAGGGGCCTGCATTTTCGTTAGCATATACTTGTTTCCGAGACTAGAAGATGTATCTACCTGCGAGTTGAGCCCAATATACAAGCAAAGTCGTAAATTTTCCAACGGACAGCCCACCAAAGGCAACTTGATATACGCCCAGCCATAAGGCTCCCAGTAGACCAATTGTCATGATAAGGCCTTGCGCAGCGTTGATTGATTGAGCAGACATATCATAGTGGTATTTTGTTCCAAGGTGATCTTTGACAGCTGCAATATTTTAGCAAGAGCCGTTGAGTAATTTGGGTACTACTTACCACCGGCGTATTTGTCCTGTTCGTATGGAATCATATTGAACATCTGATGCACGTCAGCGATGAAAATGGGAGAAACAAAGTGAAATGAAATCACTTACGCTTGCAGTAGTCCACCCGTCCAGTGAGGCATAGCCGACGCTCCACTCTTTTCGCATCATTGCAATGAAGTTTCGACGCTTCTCTGCTCTCATGCTGATTAGTTTTGTGGTGACATATAAATAGGTGCTCGCTGTTGCAGCCATCATCAGGCCCATATATGGACCAAATATCGACCAGAGGTATCCGAAGGCGATGGCCAAATCTATGAACATTGGAACGACTTGAAAGCACACCGTTTCCAACAAGTCTGCAACTGATCTTCCTCCCTGTACCGCTTGAATTAGATCTGAACTGGTTTTGCTGTCGTGGAAATCGGAAGACAAAGTCATAATGTGAGCATGAGACGCAGTACTGAGCGCATCGTAAGAGTACTGCTCGACTGGTAGCCAGAGCCACTTTTGAATCCATCCAACGCACGCTCCACTGTTGACAAATCGAAAAATAATGTATATCGCCACGGGAAGCCAAACATTTCGAGCGTGGTCTCCTTCAGTATATTTGGTCAGACTGTCGATCATGACTCCCATTTGGTTCGGTACTAGAACGTTAAGTGCATTGGTTGCTAGAAGGCAAACAGCTACAAGCAGAGCACGGAATTGGAGCCCTTTGTTATGCATAGGCCAGACGTGTGGAAAAAAGACCTATCAAATATCAGCAAGTGAAAATCGCCGGCACGAGGAGCGAAACATACAGCGAAGCCTTTTGCATAAGTAAACCAGTTTCCGTCTTGCTTGAGTCTCTTCTGAACCAATTCTTGTGCCTTGGCTTGTTTGATAACCCATGAATCCTGTGACGATGCTTTGCTTATGGCGGTGGTGGTCCCGGAGGTTCCATATCCTTTCGACGAATCTTCGGAGCTACCGGGTTTTCCAGCGAGTTTATTCCTTAGAAGAGACTGTTGTTCTGCGTCGGCGTTGTCATACTCTTTGGTATCGTTACGAAGGACGAAGAAGAGCAACACCAGAATAATAAAAGTTACGATTCGGAGGCATTGTATAAGGAGAATGGCGTAGCTAAAAGTCGAATTTGGCGGATAGTAGACATTTGAGAGTGCTAGTAACGTGATTTCGACACATATGCCGATGAACCAAGTGCCATAGTACGGGTACCAGACTGGAAATTTCGCGTCGGTCAGTGCTACAGCCTGGATGCCAAAAGCAATCAAGGAAGAGATGAGGTAGACCTGGAGAGAATATTAGCCAACGCATTCAGAACTCACTTCTCAATTGGAGTGAAACACGTACAACATGGTCTTGCGTCGGATACCATTCATTGGAGTCAAATAAAACTTCGACAAGAACAGCGACGGACTCAATAAGCTATTGGGGTGTCAGCACAGCTATCTTGCGTAATTCCAAGTTGTCCAGGAAATAAATCTTACATATGTTCCGGCAACTGCAAATATCAAACCAAGCATGACATCGCGGCGAACCTGGGCATCTTGAACTCGGAGAGATTGTGTCTGTAGCATGCAAACGGTGATCGTGAGAGCGAATAGGAAGTAAAAGAATGTCAGAGCCGGATAGGCATAGTGAAGAGTTGCAATCGCAATCCAAACCTGATATTTGGTTAGCAAAGCTGAGCAGTATTTGTTTCATTTTTGGTTCACAGCCAGATCAATCGCCATCAAACAGCCAATTGATATCATACGGCATAATAAGACGAGAACACTTACAGAAGTGGGTGTGGTAGCGGCCATTGTTGGTTCCATCTTGAGTGTATGTTGTACCATCGACTTGCCAATTTTCGGATAGGAATCGGTGTTTTTCAGTGGCCAGCTCGTTTTCTCTATTTCATGTCAGAGGTCCAACACAACAGAGGAATGTATTCGATATATCAATCCAAGAATTAATCTGACGTTGAGAATTTGTCGAGGCAGCAGGTAAGCAGGTACGAAGTCGGTAGCTAACCAGGTACAAGGCTGCAGCCGCGGAAAGCGCGATGGTGTAAGAGCAAAAACGAGACGAATGATGCAACTTAACCAAGAGGTGCCATCCGGGTGTATCTCAAAGATGAGTCACTAGGGAAAATTTGTTGGAAAGATGAAAGGCAAACTTATAAGGCAAATCATTCACTGGAATGACCGAGCAAAAAATCGCTACTCTTTATGCTTCTAAACTAGAACCTTTTTCGCTTCCAGAAAATGCCGGCCATGATGGGCTATGCCATTTCTTATCCCGGCTGGGGAACCCAATTGACAAGAAGAGCGCTAATTGGTGTTTTAGGAACTCAGTATGAAATAAGGAGAGATACCTGATGACTTGTGACTCTAGGCGGCTATGTTGGTTGGCTGGCCTGCGGTCTGGTGTTCGGTGAGGTGTATATTGCCTACTGGATGTTTGCCACACCGTGTGGATACAGGTCTCGCCTTTGCAATCTTCGCGCCCGGTTATCGTAAATCAATCAGAGTGAATCTATTGTGCTTCAGACTTTGTCAGCCCCCGAATTTGCTGTTCACGGCCTCGAGGATAGCCAGACGTTGATTCTGGAGAAGGAAAAGTCAGCCTTAAGTGATGATGCAGGCGAAGCTGGTCAGCAGTAGGTTCTAGGTCCGTCAGCCTCCTAGGATCGCTATTCCGCTCGAATAAAGCGTCGTCTGAATTGTCAGCTGCTCCAGGTAGTTCCGTTATGCCCGTTCTCAAACCGGATTTGTTGTGTTGCACGATCACGATGCTGTCAAGTGTCGTGCCACTGCCTCGAGTCGTCTAGATATAGAAGCGGGAATCCACCTTCATAGCTTGAGAGCTCCAAAGCTACTAAAGAAAACGCCGAGGAGATGGCGCTTGGTCACCCTCGAATGGAACCCGAATGAATGGACCTGCATGTTGCCCCGGAATCATTTGTTGTTAGTGTGCAGACGGCACATCGATCGTGGGCTCCTGATGATGGAGTTTTGGTGATGGCAGGGCCTGGGGATGCGGAGCCATTGCAAAAGAAAGCAATTGCCATCCAGCAGCGTGTTGCGCTTTGACTTCATCGTTGCCAGCGCTGCCTCCGCCATTCCGCAAACTCTCCAGGACAGGCCGTTGATAAGTCTCGTTGTTTCCCGTACATTAATGTGGTGGAATCGGCATTGGCGAGCATACAGGCAGGCGTAAAGCCACAACGGCGGTCAGGAACGTGTCGGATGCGTTGTAGAAAGCCTATGTTCCAGAGTCTTGACAGCTCAGTCACGACTGCGTAAAAGCTTCAGACCTTACCGCTTGCTTCTTTTATTTAATGTCAAACATTGAAGAAGCACGGTAAGCCCGCGACTGCAGTGCTGTCTGCGAAATGCAAAGTGACGCCTGACCGAAGCCGCAGAGCATCAGGAAAAGCGGTGACAGGCTTTGGCGGGCGAATAAGACGAATACCGGGCGACCAGGAATGGAGATGTCATGGATCGATTATGTACAGTAGCGTGTCATGATAGATATCCAGCAGTGCGCCACAGATCAAGCACCTGGAGATGCACACTCGCTTGCGCTGCACCATCCAGAAAAGCATCCGTTTGTGTGCAGCAAAAGTGCGGGAGTTCGTGAGCTGACAAGACGGGGCAGTCGAACTGGTGGCAGCCAGTGGTGATACAGTCATTCGACCCTGTCTCAGAGCTCTTGAACAGGCCTTAGCTGGCACGCCGCATACAATCCATGCTTCTGCCTTCGTGAAACCCCTTGACTCGCTTATCCCCTGTGGTACAGTTCTACTTCTTCCACACCGACCGAGTAACCTCTTTTTCTTCTCTACCTCATCCAATTCACAGGATGATTTTCTCAATTCACAGATTAAATAACATTCTCAGTCTCAAGATATATCACGACCTGCCGGCGCTTCAGATTTGTATCGGAACAAGTGACACTTCGTTGAGTTATCGTCAAAGAGAACCATTTCCACCCAGAAGAAATCATAATCCTGCCAAAACTCGACATTATAATGTAAGTCGTTATCGCAAGCTTCAAAATCTGTTTCTCATAATGTGTTCATGGGATTGTACTGATACCTTTCTTCAGTTTAGCTTTGGACCCAAAAGATGTTCCCTCAGCTGCGTATTACCCAATGCCTTACCCCTCATGTTCTGTCAAAGATTGACCTCAGACAACACCAGCTTTTCGATAAATTTCCGGTTTTCGTATTTATTTCCCTTGCGTCCAGATCGTATCATCTTCACATATCTAGCTCTTTTGAACAAGTCTATCTGAATCGAAGCGAAATGGTTGCAACCACAATTCTTGTGCAACGCTGGGCTTGCTCAGAATCGGATTAGCCGTCTGAACGGACCATCCCAAGCAGGCTGAAAAAGATCGCCTCAAAACCAATTTGAAAAATTCGGTCAACCAGTCTATGCATGTTGCCGTGTCATATGCAAGGGAGTCTTACGGCAGAAGCCTAGAAACCCGTCAACACGGAACCGACCCCGTTGCGCTCAAAGCTGCGCTATCAAAGCACTCTCGTTGGATCAGTGTAGGAGATGGCTGCAGAGCTGTGTCTTTGACAGGCTACCAGCATCTGCATGTTGAGCCAACTCAGAGGCAGCAGGCCAAATCGGTCATCAAGGCGCAGCATCTTGAAATTGTTTGCAAGGCGCTATGTTGTTGGTAACGACATTCTTGTTGACCGTTAGTTGGGACAAACTTTCAGGCCCCGACTAGGCGGTTAGCAGCCGAGCACATGGTACTTTTGAAACTGTGAGAAGTTATGTTGGTAGCAACATAACTTATCGGGGCTGAGTTTCGATCACCAACCATTAGGTAGTCGTGATGTCACTGAAGCCAAGCCTTGGGCGAACGTCCTCAGCCAACCTTTTCAATATATCGCATTTGCTGGTTCATTGGACTGTTGGGTTTTCTTTATCAGGCAGCTCTCCAATTATTGGAACGTGGGACTTGCCAAACAGTCACGCGGTCTAGTAATATGAAGAGACCAAATAACATGAGCCTTGTTCCCTGGACAGTGCTGATGTATAGCATAAATACACCATCACTAACTATTGACTAAAATCATCATGTATCAAGAGCCTTTGATCCTTCTAGCAATCAGACCTCCCACAACCCTATGCACTTCAAGACTCTCAAAAGTCGAACAACTCAATCCAATCCATCACCATAACTTTGACACAATTCAATAGACTTCCACAAATATTTCCAACACAGAAGAGTCGTCGCATCTTCTCACTCTCAATCAACCCTTTTCCTCTTGTTACCTGCCGAAATCGACCAGTCCTCTCCTTCAATATCACCATTCTCTCCAATGAGCGTCAAATAAGCACTAATGTCTTCAGCAATCTTGATGCTTTTGTTGAACCTTTCGTGTCTAACAACTGCGTCTTCGCTTTTGTTTCTCGAGCTCTCATATCTGCACAAGGTATGATTCCGTAGCGTTTCGATCTGGACCTTGAAATTTTTCCTCGGAAGATGTGAGAGCGAGGCATACAATGCACCTGTCAGTTCGGCGATTGTGAGGTCGGTATCTTTTACCAACTCTTCGAGAGCGGTGATCTTCTTCTTCGTTTGCGGCGTCGGACCTTTCGACACTCTCTTTTCAGCTGCTGATAATTCGTTTCTAAGTTCAATAATCTTGGCTTCAGCGGCAGTTTTGACACTCGTCAATCTTAGTTCTTCCTCTTCGGATTGAGAAAGCTTGTCGCTGAGGCGGGATGCCTGTTCTTCTGCAGATCTTTTGCCATTTTCCGCTCTTTTCAGTTTTTCTCGGCATGAGGATAACAGCTTAGATACCGTGGCGTTCTTTTGCTCTGCTGCTGCGATACTGTCTTTGGAGACTGAAAGCTCGTTGAGAAGTCTAGCAGCTTTGTCATCTGCGTTCTTTCTGGCGACCTCCTCTGTTGAAAGACGGATTTCGACCTGGCGATATCGCTCCTTACGATATTCGATTTCATCTATATATTTTTTCCGGCCTTGTTCTGCCTCATCCACTTTCTGCTGCAGTGCTCTCTCCGCCGAAGTTGAATCGACATCCGAGTTTCTTTTTTGAAGGGCTTCTTGGGCAAGTTTCAACCGCTCTTTGTTCCTTTCCAGAGATGCTTCTCTAATCAACAGCTTGTCACGAAATACCCTGAGATCTTCTTTAAGTTGTGAAATGCGTTCCTTCTTTCTAGCAAGATCGGCGTGTACTTGTACGTATTCGAGTCCTGTGGTATCTCGCGGCACATCTTCAGCGTTTCCCTTTTGCTCGGCCTCTTTCAATCGTGTGTTTAATTCTGCTATAGATTCCCTCGCAGCTGTAGATTGTTTTTCGAGTTGGTTGACCAGAATATTATTTTCTTCAGCAATTTGATCTGCAGTTCTCGCCTTAGCCCTCAACTTAGAAATGAGTAAGGCGAGTGCGGGATCTTCCATCCAACCCCAATGGACGCTCGGGAAGAGTTGTTGGAATGAAACAACACTGCCGCCAAATAATCCAAGTCCATGAGCAACAAAATAATCAACCGAAGACAATGGAACCCGATCGAATTCAAGATTCTCGCGGTACCTTTCATAATCAATGTAGTGGACCGCAAAAGTATCTGCATTCCACCTTACTCTACGTAACCCGAAGCCCTGGCGCTGTGCGAAAGCCAATCCTAGCATTCCGCGCCATACTTGCTCACTCGTAACTTTAATTTCGCGATTGGGTTCACTATATCGTCGCTCAATGAGATTTGCAGACCGATCAAGGAGCTCCCGTTGACGATTATCGGGTTCAGTGGGAGGTTGCATTTTAGTTTCTAGTAAAACTCAACTAGTTACAGTCAGCCCTGCTCTCGGGAGAAATTCTTCATTGGCTTCAGAGTTACCCGTTTTTCACAATCTAACGAATTCGAACAAGTGGTAGTACTCGGGAGGCTTACTATCATGCGGCCAGAAGCCTACTTGGGTCAACAGAATTGAAAGCTTGAACGAAACCTAGTGTCGCGCAGACTGCATCCACAGGCGTGACAACCGTATTTGTGATCAAAGACCTTTCAATTGCAAAATGAATTTGAGACAGTGACAGGCCGTCCTATTGCTTGGAGATCGAAAACGCGGTCGACAGTAAACAAACATTGATGCTAGCCTCAAAGGTGAATGTTTTTCCTCGTGGCAACGAGATAACGGAGTGCCACTAACCGAAACTTGCTCGACGAAGATTGGAAACCATAGGTGAATGATCAGGAAACTGAATTCAAGAAATGGAACCCTTTGATATGCAGCCAACTGGAGTGAATTACAGCCTTAAAGGCAACCCCACCAAAGTGTAGAAGCAATGGAATTGCAAACTCACTTTCCCCAAAATTTGATCAAACTTGCTTTGCATATCAACTGCCTTGTCCATGAAGCGACAATGCAAGAAAATGGGCCGTCAAATATCGAGTATGCAGCACGTATGAACTATGAGCAACTACCCAGAGTTAACCATGTCAATCACCAAATTGAAGGAAAGCTAGCATACCTACATCTCGCTATTGCAAACAAATCCATCACACCAATGTGGGACTGCGACGAAGTAAATCTTAGCAATCCAAGCCCACAACCAAAAGATCTCTAACATTTCCAGCAGATATGGGAAGCACTCCGAACCAAACCACCACTCGCCCACCGACCTCCAGACTACTCTCGAGCAAGAAACGTCCTACCACAATTCCACAGAAACGAAGAAGAACTCTGTACATACACAACCAAAGCCATCCACCTCCTCCTAACTCGTTACAACACTCTCCCCCCAGAAACCGTTCGTCTCCTCATACCCCAAAACGCCTCACCAAGTCTCCGCGGCGGAATGATCCATCAAATGAACATCCTAGCGCAGGAATCATACCGTACAGCATTCGACTTCCTAATGCAGAAATGCAACCGCGTAATCGCCTTTACCGGCGGCAAAGAATTCTGGATCCAAATCCCCGAGCGCCAGAGACGAGAGATCTGGGGCGAGGTATGGGATCAGTATCCTTGGTACGCATTGCTTCGGTTCCGGGCGAGGCAGAGTCAGGTTGTGGATTTCGCGGCGTTGTATGGGGGAATGGATGAGGGGAGGAAGGTGTGGCAGAGGTATTTTAGGAGGGTGTGGGTTGAGATGGCGGAGAGTGTGTATTTGAATATGATTATTGAGTATAAGGGGTGGCTGGAGTTGTCGAGGGGTAGTAGGGGGATGAGTGAGTTGGGAGTGATTGGGGTGTGGGGGATGGTTTCGAGGGGGCGGTGGTTGATGCAGCTGGGTGTTTTGGATGAGGGTGATTTGCCTGTGTGGGTTGGTGGAATGAGGGATGGTACATCTGGAGAAGTTAAGGAGGCTTTGGGTACTAGCGTTGATAGCGAAGAGAGAGATGTGGATATGTATGAAGAATCAGCACATAAATTAGTTGGTGGATGAACTCGAAAGTAATGATGAATTGATAGCTTTCATTTCGGGTAAGCAATTGAAAGAGTGTTATAGATGATATTTCAGATATATCTCAGGAAGGTCTCAAATTTGGTGACGCTCAAGAACAATAATTACTTACCTGCTTTGTCTTTTGCATGTGACTCAATCAACGTTAGTTAAGCAAGTCCCTCAGTCTAGCGCTGCTAGATTCCGAAGCCTTCGATCTCAAGCCCGTCGTAGCATTTATGAGCATAAACTCTATGGGTAGCAATGAGTCTTAGTCTTCCCCGAATCAAAGGTCGAGAACTCTGTCTTTGAATAGCCAGCCCGGAGCATATTTGCAGACATCAAAAGCTTCTGATTCGGACGATGAAATAAGTATGCCATATCGAGTGAGCCCGTAAATCGCATTGTATTTCTACAAAATATTCCCTCCGCGTCGTGTCATAAACGCCATCATATCTCATCATTATATTGCATATCCTCCAATCCAGTCACCATTCAACTCGCAATCGTCTTCTTCTCCTCCCCAACAGCAACCAACTCTCCAACAACCAAATATTTCTCCTCAAACCTCTCCTCCCATCCCCTTAGCGCCTCCATTTCCTCTGGTCCCAACCCCTCCAACTTATCAAGCGGCCCTTCCAAATCCTTCGTCAACATTTCCTCGTCGAAACTCCCGCATGCCAAACCGCGACTCGCATCTCTGCCTGCGAAGTTCTCGTATGGTCCACCAGGTCCGTAGAAGTTGCGACCGCTAGAGACATCGAAGACTTTCCCGCGCACCGCGAAGTAGATGGGTTTGTTGTTGGTGCCGTTAAAGGGCAGGAGGGTCGGGGGTGTAAAGGTTTTGTAGACGACGGGAGGGGGTGGAGGAGCGAGTTTTGGTACGGGGGTTGGTCGGAAAGAACGGTAGATTATGTAGACGAAGAGGGAGAAGAGGATGAGGTTTATGGGTGTTGCGATTGTCTGACTGCCGTGTGCGTTAGGAGGGATTGCTGATGGGGATTGGGGTGATTGCACTTACACTTCTGGTGAGACCTTTGGCTTCGCAGCTTCCTGAGCCATTCTGTTTTCAACGTAATCCATCGCGAGTGTTTTTTCAAAGAATTAATTGAGGAGAACGATTGATGTTGGAGATTATGTAGACGTTCAAAGTTGGGAATTGCCTTTTTGGGAGTGGTGTACTGTGTCTCCAAGACTTGTGTCAATCGGGTAACCGAGCAATCGATACTCCGATTCTGGAAGAAGAATCGAGGGCGCAATGCAGGCTTCGGGTGATGATATATGAGGTGGTAGTTGGTGAGATGTTCTAAAGTCAGCCTTGCGATTCCATCACAGCCTGGAGGTCCGAAGACGATCGCACGTGATAATTTGAGGATTGACTTTTGGAAATATCAAACGGTCAGCATGCTTCAAAAAAGAATCTAGATTAATATCTACAATGAATGAATACTACTCGACTTCTGTTAACTGTCCAAACCGGGAGACTGATGCCTTTCGACTGACAGAATGTTTTGGAGCACGTGATACTAGTCCAATCTAATCTGGATCCATGAGTTCTGGCTTTGTACACACCCAGAGCCACGCCTCAAAGAGGCATCAAGACACTCTGACGACGAGCTTTTCATGAGCATAATTCAATATTCAGCTTGGTACGAATCACCAAATCTTTACAGAAAACGATTTGCATGGAAGCTTCCACCTTCACCTACTCCCACCAAAAGCTCAGTTTTCCGGGCCTCGAAACTTTTGAATACAAGTTACCAATCATCTCAGCGACAACAACGTCAACGCCTTAAAATGACCAGAAGTCATTGCTCACCTGGCATTCTGCACTCTGATGAGTCTCAGCCAACAACTTTGTTATCAATCCCTTGCACCAGTTTCACGACCACTTTAGTGAGGATGATCTCGGCTACCTAATTCAGGTATTGTACATGCGTGCACGACTTTTATGTAGAAGTCTATCGTCTTTTCTGGGGACTCTATCCTTCTTTTTCTAGTCTGTATGATGGACAAGAAATCGATGACGCTTCAAGAGAGCATGGTTCAGAGCCACTTGTCGAAAGAGACCATTCCAAGGCTCAAGGAAGCACTTTCATTATTATTCTCATCTCTCCTGCATTTCTTCTCTCTAAATTTAGACCAGCGGCTCTAGTGTTTTGGAAGAGGACGTATCAATTCCATCTGGCATAAGAACTACTCTTGTGACTTTCGTCTTTTCCAAAACCATCAAACCTAATATTACACCACCCTCACATCCAGCATATACACCAATATCCACCTCATCTATTTCATTTTCACCTCAAACCCAGGTCTTCCATACTCCAATGTCTCCACTCTCTTCCAAACCTCCCTAACGACCCTTTCCTGTCCCTCCCTCCCGCTCTCACCCTTCCCACCCCCCGCCGGCCTAATCGCCAAATACAGTCGCCCTCCCAACACTACTTCAGGCACTCTACACGTCTCCCAATCCGCCGGTGGATTCGCAGTCGTAACTAACCCGCCCGCCTCCCTTAATATACATATCCCCGCCGCAACATCCCACTCCCAACACCCGCCCTCCCACCAGATATCAAACGCGCCGGTGGCCACATACGCGAGATCCAGCGTCGCGGATCCGAGAGAGCGGATTCCATGTGCCATTCCACCTTTTCCATCGCGGGAGTTGAGTTCAGATGCGAGGTTTAGGAAGGATGTTACCTTTTTCGAGAGCGCGGAGGTAGGCGTGTCGCCACGACGGTCTTTACCCCATTCGCAGGCGAAGATGCAGCCGCTGGGTGCGTTAGGGGGGAGAGGGGATGTGGGATTGGTTATATACGGGAGGGGACGGCGAGGTTTGAGGGGGTGGGAGTCATCTTGCCTGGGTTGTGTCAGTCGTGGTGAAAGAAGGTGCGACGATCGGAATTGACTTACCATGCTCCTCCACCCGTGTATGCGCTATATGTTGTATCTAACATGGGCTGATATATGACGCCTACGACGGGCATGCCGTTCAGGACTAAGGCGATTGAGACGCAGAACATGGGGAACAGATGTGTGTAGTTTACTGTCCCATCGAGTGGATCGACACACCATGTTGGGTCGTCTTTGATTAAGTATTCTTTTGAGGAGCCGGATGAGTAGGTTTCTTCGCCTATGAAGCTGGAAACTTGTTAGTGCCTTGTTTGATTTGTATAGGGAGAGGGAGAAGCACGAACTTACGAGTGGGAGGGATATTTCTTGGTTATTTCGTCTTTTACGAAGGCTTCCACATCTGTAGAGTACATCAGTAATCCTCATCTTCATAGCTCGCTCAATTCATATCCCAATGGCTTTAACAAAACACGCCGGCCATCCTATCTTCACAAAGCAATTGGATAACACCTACCCAAATCTGTCTGTGTGACGATATCAACCGCATTCACCTTTTCCACTTCCACATTATCTCCCCTCCCACTCGCTTCCCCCGTCCTCTTATCAACCCCTTCAATCAGGATTTGCCCAGCTCTTCTCCCTAGATCCAGAGCAAAATTATAGATCTCTTCGAGCTCGGATTTGCTCAATGTATACGTCATCTTGTTCTTCTGTGTTTTGTTTCATCAATTGAGTCTCAGGCCACTTGACGTGTAAATAGGAAGATAAATTGTGTAGCTGGTGTGTGATGTACCAGATGGAAGTAGAATTGTGAGGTGAGCTTGGAGGGGCAGACGCCGATAGTGGCCGGTGGTAGGCGAATGGTGGGGTATTCCAGGATAGCTGTGGTGGGGGTGGGATGAAGCTTTTGCCGCTTTCAGGAGAGTTGGACCCAGTGGTAAGCGAGTCGGCGATGAGAATTACTGCTGACTCGATGCTTTTTTGGATGATGAAGAGTTGTTACTAATCCGTTGTTAAATTTAACGAAATCCTTTCGCAAATTTGTAGATGTTCTTTGATCGTCCATTATCAAATAAATGAAAGTTCGGTTCTCATTCCTGCGTTTACGAAGATTTGTGGAAAGATTTCTTCTGTTATTCTCTCTTTATCAAATTCAAAGTAAGCAATCTGGTCGGACTGGCAGTCAAGTACCACAAAACACACAAACATTTCCATCTGACTAGAGTACATTGATCGCTATCACTCATCACAATCCCATACATACAGAATCTCTTACGTAACGAACAGCGAATACACAAAGCCACAAGATTAGAAGCAAAATCATCACTCAAATACATATATATATATATAATAGGAAAACCCCCTCAGCAAAGTCTACGCACGTATATAAGCAAAAGCACCGGGCTATAAGCAAAAGCACCGTGGGTATTTACAAGTTGCAATCTCATCCTCCTCGAACGCCATAGAACGCCTCTAAATACCAATGCAGCATTCCCATCCGCGCCCCTGAATCCTCAAATGCCACTCGCAAGAACTTTACAATCTTGCAGAAATTTCCGCCGACTCCATCAACCTCGGAGCAGGCGATCTGACAACCACATTCCGCGGAACAATCTCCTCAACCACATCCTCCCAGCCCATCATAGAGCACACTTTCTGCCACGATTCAACGGCACGTCTTGCATGTTCCATAGGCACGTCATTTGAATCATCCGTCAAACTTCGGTTGAAGAATTCGAAAGACATCCACCCCTTATATCCCAGCCCCTCTTTCTCGTCACAGATCGCCTTGAGGACGTCAAGGACGGGCAGGTAGGCACCGCGGTCATACTCGCACATAAACAAACGCGCGTTACGACTCCAGCTCATCCGAGGTTTCATTCCGTCAGTATGGAAGGGGTGGCCTTTTACTAGTGGCGATTTCATTCTTTCGGCGTCGACGACTTGGACGTAGAAGATCTTGTTGACGGCAACCTCCTTGACCATGTTCTTCAAGCTCTGTCTGAAGATTGCATCGGCATTTTCGATTTTCCCGTCTTCTCTGGCGGGATCTGCCCACCCGCGACCGGCGATGTTGAAGGTGTCCATGCAGAATCCAAAGTTGGGACGGTCAACGCCTTTAATGACGGCCCATGCCTTTTCCCATGTGTCATTGAATGTTCCGAAACAGAGATTCTCATACGCGAATCGAACCGGTGGGTTCTCTTTGGCGCCCATATCGGCAATTTGTTGTAAATCCTTCACAATGACATCCAAATCACCAGTGAATCCCTTGGTCTTGAATGTACTTGGTATTTGAATGATGTCTGTTCCCAGAATTCTAGCCATCTCAAACCAGATCTTAAGTTCGGCATGTTTCTTCTCTTTCTCGGCGGTAGAAAGTAAACCTTCACAGTCAGAAAAAGGTCCTAGGGCGATGATTTCAAGAGAGAGTGAGTCTGCAAGACCTCGAATGTGTCGTGCGGCGAGTAGTTGGTTTGATGGAAGAGCAGAACCGCCAGGGAAGGTAGAAGCTAGGTACTGAAGGTCTTCGTAGAAGATCTCGATTGCTGGCAAGCCAACAGAGGCGGCTGCTTGGAATTTTGGGGGAAGTTCATGAACCCATGCTCGCTAGACCGTGTTAGTCAATAGATCCTCAAGGTTTGAGATATGAACTTACTCCGAGTGAGAGAGAGGCGATTGCTGGTCTGAAAGACATGATTTCTGTTCTCTTTGTTGTTCGTTTGTTTGAAATAATAGGGATTTAACTAGGAAAGTCGAGATTTGAAGCTGATTAAATAAGATACAATTTATGTAACCGTAAGCGTGTGTATCATCGAGGAGGAGATTCAAAGAATCACGCCGTTACATGAAGATGAAGTGAGGTTACTCCAGCCGACGGTCAACAGGTAAGATAAGATAGATTGTTAATAGGATGCTGTGGTACGATAAGATGACGACAATGACGCTGGGATGATGAAAGATATCAAGATTGTGAAAGATAAGGAAGTTGAGGAAGGAGCGCTTCAGAAGAGGAGGGTCAAGTACCTACTCTACAGCAGTATAGGGAGACATGAGACAGGTAAATATCAGACCCGCAAATCATCACGACTGCCCGAACCGGTAGACTGGAGATAGCTAGGAACAGTGGAGAATGATTGGCGTGGGAAAGAATTCAAGAGAGGAAGAGAATGAGGGTATCGAAGGAAAGCGACGGGCCGAGATCGAGATCCACGCTACAAAGAGTAGCTCCCGTACGTCTAATCCTGCGCCTCGAGTTTCCTACTGTATTCTGGTTGTTGATTGCTCTCTTGGCAATATATATCATTTCTCAGTCGCCGAATCGTCATTGATGTCTCCATGTGATATCTGTCGTCAGAAAATGCTTGGCCCAAACGCAATGAGAGATGAGGAAATTACATACATCACCTAACGACATGAAACAAGACATGTCTGGCGCAGCTATTTCAACGTAGACTACGCTAGCAACACACAAGTCTCTTCTCCCGGACTTCCAGAAGCTCAAGCAATACCGTCATAGAAAGTCTCCGGCCTTCTTCGCGTCGTCGTCGTCGTTTACTCGCAAGGTCGGACAAGAATAAACGACAAAATCATTTAGGTGTCCTGCAGATCACTCCTCCCAATCGGGCTAGATCAACTTATGCTGTTAAACGTTCATCCGCCGAGAGTTCATCCGCATCGTAAACACAACTCCGCAACCCCCACAGTCGATGGGGCTTATCGGGTGTCCACAACCCCATACCCGACTGCATCAACGGAACAAGCCATGCGTGCTTACTTTAGTGAACGGGGATAAACACTCGCTCTAGAAGAAAGACCAGAATGATGATTGGATGGAAAATCGCTGTGTAGGAATCCGTTTGTTGCAATTGCAATTGCAGTGTAAAATGTTTGTTACTGAAAACAAACTTGCAAGAGATAACCGGAACAGTGTAGAACAAGTCATGCTCCTTTAATAACGAATACTGATTAATCTCGAAGTCGAGAATAGTAAGTTGTATTCAACTTTCATTATTCCACTTGTAGCTGACCTACCTCCTGTTCCTTGTAATTCTGTATTTCTTTTCCGGTGGAACTGTCGTTTTTCAACCGTCACACTTAACACCTGGAGATCATCCTTTTTTGAAGCTTCAAACACAACGCTCTTTCCATTCACCAGGGAAATGAAACCGGATCTACCGAGATAGACAGTTGGAATGACAATTTTATGTCTAGATCTTGATGACATGTACCAGAACCCTTCCCTAACTCCTACATGAGATCATGAATACATGAACACATCCTACGCTATACCAGACACGCAATCCTACAACCTAGCTCTTCCAGCTTCCAACTTCGCTCTGACAATACTTTTCACTTTCTCCACCGGCAACGCACTCACCCTCCTCCTCAACCACACTTTATCCTGTTCCAGCCCCTGCCAAATCATCGCCTCGGTCCCTTCAATAACCTGCCACTTACTATCCCTAGCAATCCTAGCCACCGCCGTGTCGGGTGATGGATGATAGCACATCTCTAATATCACACCGGCCTGCTTGCCCAAAAACTCGGTAATGATAGCCCTCGTCTCAATTTCCGCAGCTGTTTTAGGTGGGAAATCAGGAATCGCAGAGATTATTACTGCTGGGGCAGCCAGAGATTGTGCTTCGGCTAATGAGGAGATATATCGCAGATTCGAACCGAACCCTTTAGAGACACACTCTGAGATGACCTGTTCACATTCCGAGCGATCGCGATTGACGAGGTAGATTTCCGAGCACTCGAGAAACTGAACCAACGCGTAAACAGCCGCACGACAAGTCCCACCACCTCCGATAACCATACCCGGTTTGCCCTTCATAGTCGCTGATATTTCTTTCGGTGTATTCTGCAAAACTGCTTCCCGTATTCCAATACAATCAGTATTCGTCCCACACAACAACCGTTTTCCGGATGGGGAATTTCGCAGGAACACAGTGTTTACAGCGCCAATTGCCTCGCCTTCGGGAGTCAGCATGTCGAGATGCGGTATTACTGCTACTTTAAACGGCATGGTTACTGAAGCGCCGAAGAATTTCGGGGTGCGCATGAGCTCGAGACATGGTTCGAGGGTTTGAGAGGGATAGAGATGTTGTGCGTAATTTAGGGAGAGTGATTCGTAAATTGTGCCGTGGAGGAGGGGCGAGAGCGAGTGAGCTATTGGGTAGCCGAAGAGGTAGGAGACTCGTTCGAGGTGGTCTGTGGAGGGAATTGGTGGTGGTTGTGGTGGTGCTGTTGTCATAGATGCTTCTGAAGTTGAATTCGTGGGAGCGAGTGAGGCCATCTTGAAAGTGCCAATTGGATTTGGGAGGAGATATCCCAGATCAAAATCTCGAATGTTTCTGGACTTGTGAAATAGCTGTCTTGGAAATAGTATGGATTCAAACACCTCGATCCTTCACGAAACACTTGAGCTTCTAGCGCTCGACCCAGAAGCTCTAAATTCAGACCCACTGAAGTTCAACACCATACGCGGAAGAAACAATCCCCTAGCTCTCGTGCAAGTACAGTATTCGTGACCAGGAATTCCTCGACTATAGCTTCTCGCAAGGGACGTGTTCAAACCAATTGAACAGTGAAATGGACTCTAACGTCTAGTCCAGCTAATCTTGTGAAGATTGGAACTGCTTAGCTGCTGCGACGTTTTTTTTTTTTACTGTATGATCAAGATGGGAAAGAATATATCAGATCCGACGCACTGGTAATCAATTTCAACGACTCCAGGGCTGCAAAACCCTGGCCCTTGGACTAGTGGGTGCTCTTAAATCTTTACCCGATGGATGTCGCTCGAGAATGGTGGGGTAGAGGCGAAGTGTGGAGAGCGGGATGAAAGTTTTGGAACATCTTGCGAAGCTTGGCGGGCTTGGGGAAAGGGCACGTGATTTTGGTTTGTGTAGGAGTTTGGTGTTCTAAAAAGGAAGAGTTGTTGATGACTGAAAAATGATCGGGCCCGGAATTAGATAGCCAATATAGGGGAAGTTTTGGTTGGAAATAAGTTATAGTGGGTTGGAAAAGATTCAATATGCATTGATTTGCTTCGGAATCTTCTTAGCAACTTAGCATTCGTTATACGGGCTATTTGAGAGTTTCTAAATTATTGTAAAGTATAAAATTACTTTTCTATGTATTTGGTTCTTGTGATCAAAGATGTTATGTCTGGGATTGATTCCGAAAATATATAATCGGAATGACATTCAGATAATACTTGGGGGATTATCAAGACTTCTGTTCCAAGAAACGAAAAGATTTTGGGCTGCGTTCTTCCAAATAGTGAAATTAGCGATGTTCGTTAAGTCAATGCCCTCATCAGTCAATTACTCGCAAAACTGCTATTAAAATTAGGCAACAAATAGTTGCGGTTGTTGCGACTCCGCAGTAAACAAAAAAGATCTCAACTAATCAGAAACCCTCAACTAAGGTACTCTCAATTATAGTCTTGCTTGACATGATAGTTAGGAGGGTTTGCGAACATTTTCATCCTCTGAAAGCCTACCAAGGTGAATTTTCCACCGGTATATGGCGATCTAGATCTTGAAAGATCGTAGTAAAATCGACGCTGAAACACAATCAAAACTATCCAAATTTCCAAAGTAGAAGAAATTCTGTTGACGAAATCGGAATTCAATAATTCGGGCTCGGTAATATCGAACACTCATAAATTCTGAGGACAATCTAGAACACATCTATGGACATTGCACAACTGAAGTTGAATCACTTCAACGGCTTCAGCCCTCAACAATTTCCTTGACCCTGGGTCTGAACACATCGATATCGTGCCTGACAAACTACACACATGGAGGTTGTCCAATCCGCAACTTCTATCTCACACCGGCTTGATAATCCTCCCAGTTTCAACACTTTTGCATTATCTGAATGAGGAAATCCAGTCTCAATTTGCTTCTTCTGATTCTGTTGAGAAATGCTTTGCCAACCGGCCATTTTTGTTGTTCCGAATGCTACATAGATCAGTAATCATGTTCATTGAACGAGTGTTTACTTTTCTGTACAAAGTCAACAAGAGAAGCACATATCAATATAATTGCTTTCACGATCACAGTTCTCTCAGCAATTCAGGACATTAAGCAATCATGGCGAGCCAAAGATTCCAAGATATGCTGGGTCGCAATGAGTAAGTTGTCTATTACCTGAATCCAAAATCTACTGAACACCAACATCTCAGAAAATTTGTTGAGACTTATACCATGCCACCGACTCTGCAGCAAATCAAAGATAACGCACCTCCTGGGCGGGGAACAATGGCTATCAGTAACTACATGACATTCTGGGGCAAGTAAAGTTGACTGATGGTCTCTCAAGTCAGCTGCTCTGATCCCAGAGTTTGCCCAGAGGAATTTTTAGGGATAAAGCGTGGGGGTAAGTCTATCTGGACTTTAGAATGCACGACGTACTTAAGATTTTGTAGAAGCTTTGGTGATACGAAATGCAGGTGGTCGTGCGGTGGAAGCGATCCGAAGTCTAGAGGTGATGGGCACGATTGGAGCGATCCAACTTATCGTTGTTATTCATCATACCGGTAAGACACCATGATAAACCTAGAATCATCTGTTAGCGCATTCCTAACACAATGTATGTAGATTGCGGAGGTCTTTTTACCTGCGACGATGAAGTTCGCAGGAAGTTAGGCGAAAGAGCACCTGAGCACAAGCACTTGATTGAGAATAAGAATTTTGGAACATTTCAGGAGTATGTATGACGTTTTACATTTGGGTTATATGCTGATGATAGGCAGAATTGGAATCCGACAAAGTATTCTTGATGATGTGGAGGTGATCAAGAACTGGAAGTTTCTCCCGGAGTATACTGAGGTGAAGGGATTCGCTTATACGATTGAGGATGGAAAGTTGACGGAACTGGTATAAGTCGAGCTCAGGGTCAGGAAGATAATTGAATCTGGCTTTTCTGTTATTATTGGCAGAAGGAGACGTTCCAAAGGTGTCCATTGGTCAATTGAATGTAATCGTTCGCAGAGAGTTCATTTCTTATCAACTATCAATAGAGGCAGAGTCGCGACTAAAGCTGAAAAGGCTTATATTCACTTAACTCAATTGACGAAATACGTGATGGTGTGTCAAGTTGATTGACTAATAACTATATGATTTCGTCAATTGTTTTGGAACAATATAGTATTCCGGCTGCTACTTGGTTTGTACATCGCATGCGTACCTCGTTGTCGATTCCGTTCTCCTGGCAAAGACCACGTACAAACACTAGTGTTAGTATTCCATCACGTCTGTCTGCTTCCACGACCATGGTAGTGCATACTCGTATAAACATCCACGTACACCAGTGGAAGAATCTTTTAACGCCTCACCCAGCCCACTCCTGCAGGCAATCCCAGACCCCACGTCATCAACTAAATCAACCATCACATTCCCGAACTCAAGCATAGACAACCAGTTGGGTATCCCCCGCTCTGAGTAATGCCATCCCGGCAACAGGCGTCGTCGCTTATTAGTTGGCCTCCTTTCTCCAGATACCGACATGGCCCAGCATGATTCCCCCGAGTTCTCCCCAGGACCCGTATTTCGCGTCCCCAGGATGTGGGGTCGATCTTTGACAATCTCTGCGTGATGGATATAAGGGAGGTTTGCCGTTACGAGTTGTAGCTTTTGGTCGTGTTATTTATTTTGCATCTCTATTGTCAACTTCGTTGTTGTTACCGCAAAGTGGTAGTTTCGTGTAAAGAGCGTTGCGATCTCGCTTCATTAGCTCTTGGAAGAGATTTCTCTGGAACTCCACTTTGAGGAACACATAGATTTTTCAGAACAATTGGGATATTTGCTTTTCAAAATGGGCCTTCTTACTCTTAAAGAAGGTAGATAAAACATCATTCAGTTGTGTTAGGGAAAGTAACTAACGAGATTAGATCGGCCAACACCGCCATGTGTTTACAATGTATGTTTCCACATCTCATCCAACACTTTATCATTGCAATCGCCACGAATTTCCCAGGGACGCAAGAATATCGTTACAGAGCTAATGATGGGTAGTATCGTGTTTACTGCTGCGCAACAGTAGCAGCGTTTTGCGCTGTAATGATCGGATATGATTCTGCATTCATCGGCGGCACACTCGCCCTGAACAGTTTCAAAAAGGAGTTCGATTGGTCACAATACAGCACAAGCGAAGCAAATCTCATCAATGAGAACATCGTCTCCTTGTACCAAGCCGGTGCCTTCTTTGGTTCATTTTTCGCTTATGCGGTAGGGCATTACCTTGGACGTAGAAGAGGATTGCAGATATTCTCTGGTGTTTTCATCCTGGGCGCTGGCCTTATGTTGGGTGCCAATGGCGACAGAGGTCTAGGACTTATCTACGGAGGCCGTGTTCTCGCTGGTATTGGAGTTGGTGGTGCTTCCAACTTGACACCGATTTACATTAGTGAACTTGCTCCACCGGCTATCCGTGGTCGACTTGTTGGGCTGTATGAAATGGGATGGCAGCTTGGTGGTGTTGTCGGTTTCTGGATCAATGTGAGACATTGAAACATATGGGTGTTCCTAGATCTTTGCTAATCAGAACAGTACGGAGTCTCGACAACCATGCCAGAAAACCATTCCCAATGGATCATTCCTTTTGCCGTCCAACTCATTCCCGCAGGATTGATGTTCATTGGCCTCTTCTTCATCAAAGAATCACCGCGTTGGCTTATGACTCGAGGAAAGAGAGACCTCGCTCTCAAAAACCTCTGCTGGATTCGAAAGCTCGACACTGATGATATGTATATGTTGGAAGAAGTAGCTGCTATCGACGCTGGTCTCGAGTATCAACAATCTACTGTCGGTCTTGGGTTCTGGCAGCCATTCAAGTCACTCTGGAATGACAGAAAGGTTATGTACCGCTTCTTCCTCGGATGCTCACTGTTCTTCTGGCAGAATGCAAGTGGAATCAATGCAATCAACTACTACAGTCCGACTGTTTTCAGATCGATTGGACTCACAGGAACCAATACCTCGCTACTCACTACTGGAATCTTCGGTGTCATAAAGGCAGTGGTCACCCTTATCTGGCTTTTCTTCCTCATCGACAATCTTGGACGCAGAAATCTCCTCATGATCGGTGCTCTTGGCGGTTCTATTTGTCTCTTCTATGTGGGGGGTTATATCGCAGTAGCCAAGCCAGAAGAAAATCCTTCTTCAACCATATCGAGCGGTGGAATATCCGCAATGGCGTTCTTCTATCTGTGGACCATCTTCTACACCCCATCATGGAATGGAACACCTTGGGTAATAAACTCCGAAATGTTTCCTCAAAACGTTCGAACTCTCGGCCAAGCGTTTGCTGCAGCATCCAAGTAAGTAGACATCACTCGAGCGCCGTAGCAAAAGCTAACCTACTTTCTAGCTGGTTCTTCAACTTCCTCGTCGCCAGATTTACACAGCAAATGTTCACCGGAATGGGCTACGGAGTCTACTTCTTCTTCGCTTCTCTGATGTTGTGCTCCATTGTCTTCGTGTGGTTTCTCATTCCTGAGACGAAGGGCATTCCCCTGGAATCTATGGATAGGCTATTTAGCAAAGATCTGCCTCAGAGACGTGCGCACAAGATAGTGATGGCAGAATTGGCAGAGGACGAGGAGAGTTTCAGAAGGAACGTGGAGGGAAGTGGCTTAGGGCTGGAAAAGGATGAGTTTGGGGAAAAGAAAGCTCATGTTGAAGTTGTTTAGATAAGGGCTGCAGGTGGTATGCCTGAACAGAGGGCAGGTGGAAGGCGTTCATGTTTAGGATTACGCAGATAAAACACTGTTTAGATAAATCATAAATCTTACATTTTCTCCATTCACTAGTGTATTGCAAGTCTGACAGGACACATCCCGATGATAGAATAGCAATATTTAGGAAGAAACCTTATAATTACCTCATTCTGTTTGAGTAAATATACGAAATTGCCTCCATTATAAAGAGGAATATGCCTATTAAGGAAGGAGTGTCAGAAAGTCGGTTCCTAGTATTGGTATATTTGGAGAGTGCCCCGTCATTTTTGCAATACACTGGTGATTGGCGATCTATCTTAGCGAGACCTGCTCTAACCGCGATGATACACTGGATCAGAAAGAACGTAACGGCCACCAGTAAGTTCATTACTCATAATAGTGTTTGAGAAGTTCTCTTGCCCCTTATCCACCAACCTAATGAAAGGCCGTAGCATACGCATGAATAAGGTGCCTTCTAATCCCAACAAGCGCGAAGGCTAAATCAATCTTCCAACGCTCCGTTCAGCGTACGATTCTAGATGAAAAGTACACCGGCGAACTCTACAGAACGCATCGCTGGTATAGTGTGCTTTTGTGTCACGATCAAAGGACAAAAAAGCTGGCCGGGCCAAAAATGGCTTGAAGTCAATTCTCTAAAACGCCCCTCGTCTTTTTGACGGGTTGTCCCAGGTCCCTCCCCAACGCCACGCTAGTAGTAAAATCAAGAGAAATAACAGCTTACATTCAAGGCATGGCTTGACACCAAAAATCAATTCGCATCTTCTAGTCACCCGCATGGGCAAATAGCGGAGATATTGATTCCCCGTAGTGATTTCTCCGAATGGCTTCAGCAAGCAGATTCGAAAGATCCAACACCACAAGCTTCCTTGCCGCCCTGGCGTCTTCTGCTGGAATTGGGAAGGAATTGGTGACAAGAATTGTGTCAATACAATCGCAGTCTTGCAGCTCCTCAAGAGAGTCACCGCCAAACAAGCCATGGGTAGCGATAATGTAGACCTTCTTTGCACCGCCACGCTTGACAACACATTCAGCAGCAGCGATCCAGCTCCCAGACTTGTCAATCATATCATCGACAAGGAAGACAGTTCTGTTCTTAACGTCGCCAACGAGCGTGATCATCTGTTCCAGTGTGGGATCATTAAGCACTTCCTCTTCATCCGAGCTCTCTCCAGCATCGGCAGAACCTCCCAAAGGTGCAGCCTCTGGATTGAAAAATGATGACGCTCGTGACATTTCCATGGGATCTTCATCAAGGTTCTCCAGGACCGTAGAAGTCGACATAGCGGACTGTGTAGGAGAGGGGTAATCATCAGGTACAATGTGTCCTTGCACAAGTCTGCCATGAGTAATATCGCGAGCACGCTCATCCGTAAACTCAACCTCTTCCTCTACTGGAGTGGATCGAGGCGGCGGTGGGGCCTGCGCACGGGCAAGAGGGGAACTGGTAAATTCTGAGTCGACTGGAGTTGTGGCAGTTCGTAATGGCGACTGCAGAATCTGACTCCTCCTCTGTGACCCAGAGCTCTCCTGACGGGAATGACCGGCCGCCCGCGACGAGGAACTCCCGTTCACTTGTGTGGGGTCTGACCTGGGCTCGACCGCCGTTTGTAAAGTGCTAAGCTGTGCTTTCGACTGACGACGTTCTGTCATAGCCTTCTCTTCCGGTCCAATGTGCAACTTGCTAACATCCGAGTTATCGTCCCAATCTAGTCGTCGCATGATCATACTGGCAGACATGTTACTTCCGACCCGACGCTTGTCTGTAGTGACCATTCCGAAATTGAGCTTCAGCGCATCCGCCAGAGATGTAACTCTCTTCGTGCCACCGGCATTCTTGGATACACACACAGCTTCACGCCATCCAGGAACATTGCGTTTAATCCATCTAGCAATTATAGGCTCCGCATGGAGATTGTCCACCGGGCACTTGAAAAAACCTTGCATCTGAGATGCATGCAAATCAATTGTGATAACGTGGTTGACGCCGGCTATGTTGAGTAGATTCGCGAGCATTCGTGCCGTGATAGCTCCTCGATGAGATTTCTTCTTCGACTGCCGGCTGTAGGGGAAATAGGGAAGGACGGCTGAGGGATGTCAGATGTGGAAGCTGCAGAAACTATGGCGGGGAAGGCTGACCTGTGATTTTGTTTGCTGAACCACCTTTACAAGCAGATATCAAAATCAGAAGCTCCATGATGCTATCATTGATCCTTCTACTTCCCGATTGAACCACAAATACATCCTTCTCGCGAATGCTGGTCAAGATCTTGACGCTGGTCTCTCCCTAAGTATAGTCAGCCTTGTCCCCTCCAGGCATTATCGTTCTTGACGTGTTTACATTTGCAAACTGAGAAAGCTCGACAGCTGCGGGTGCCATGCTCAAGTTCGAACATATTTGACCCGTGAGAGCGGGACACGAGCTCCCAGCGAAGATGAGTGTGTTGCGCATCTTAAGAATTGTGTTGTTTGTGCGGTGGAAAGATTGGCGAATCGAAAATTTGAAGGGCTAGATCGTGGTCACCGTACTACAACTTCCAGAGTCCTAGCTTTGGATCACACTCTCGTGTGGACAAGCTAAGTTACAACACCCTCTCGATCTATGTGAAGATAAACAAGACCGAAGATATTTGGACAACAAAGATGATGTAACGAGGGTATCCATTGTCAAGACCGTCGTATGATCCTAGCCTCATAGAGCGGTATGTTGTGCTACGGTGGACTACAAGTTAGTGTCATGCTGCGACTTCGTCAATATCTGCAGACTTCGCGTAACGCGTTGACGGCACGTCAATTGCAACGAACAACGAAGTCGTTATGGAAACACAGCTAAGTATACCTACCTAGACTCCAGTTAAGACGTCTGTCTCCATTTCCTTAGGATCCCATGGGTATTCCGCGCTTGACGTGGCTTTTGCGCCAATATGCTGAGTTCACACCTCTGGAGGGACAAACGGTGGTTTTGGATGGCCCTGCTTTTTGCTATTACATTCATTACTTATGTTTAAGTACTCGAACGACTGCGAGGAATCCTCTTGAAGCTGGCATCTCCTACAGAGAGCTCGGGCAGACAGCTGTGGCTGTCTTAGATCGAATGCGAGTGTCCGGAGTCAAGATGTGAGTGAACTTCCTTCTTGTGGAAAACCATTCGTGCCAGCCAAGTGTTGATACTTGGTCAATGAGTTTACGCACCACATTGTGCCTTGATAACGTGGTTCAATGAGTCTGTCGTAATTTTCAAAGTCTCATCATCTGCACAAAAAACTCTCTTGGCCTTTGTTGCGAGATTTACAGACTGGGGCGCGTTCGCTGATAGCAGAATGTGTAGAAGACAAATTCTTTTTGACGGTTTTTTGCCTCCTTTAAAGTACAAAACAAGAATCTCTCGCTGCATCGCAAATACAAAGATGCTCGTCAAATATCATGCGATGTATCCCGTCACCGCTTGTTCGTCCCCCGTACAAGACCAAGAGGGTACTCCTAAACCTTTCTCCCGGATTCCCATTCGATCTGCCATGAACCAGCTTCCGGCCGTTCCTTTCCTTGTCCCATCCATTCTCGAGGCGCTGCAGACATCACCAGAGTATCGAGATATCACAAGTGTCATACCGGGGGAAGCAGACTTGTACTGTGCTAAGTCTGTGAAAGATGCTGGCGGAATCGTGCTTACCAGTGACTCGGATCTCCTGGCTCATGACCTCGGACCACTTGGTGCTGTAGTCTTCTTTGGCGACATAGAAATGAAAGACGGGGATAGTCTATGGGCGCCTATTTATCAACCAGCAACAATCTCTGGTCGATTGGATTTACATGGGCCACGAGGACTACAAGCGCTTGCGTTTGAGATGTTTCTAGACAATCATGGCTCACTTCCCGTGCTGGTTAAGAAAGCTAACCATGAGCACAGTATCAAACTTTTCCAGACTAGGTTTGAGGACTTCCAGAGAGAATATGTCAGCTTGGCAGCCTCCCCACTCAATACGGCAATCATGCCGCAAATACGCACCGTTCTCCAGAGCCTAGATCCTCGGATATCTGAATTTGTGCTTCAATTCCCCTTTATTGCAGATATTGCAGCTCAGCCACCTTACCCAGGGGCTCATTCTTCACCACATATTTTTCTTCCGTTCTCATATGATTGTCCGATACGAACCACGGCGTGGGAGCCCTCGAGAGGCGTACGGCAGCTTGCTTACGGGTTAATCAACCTTGTGGCGCCAGAAAAAGAGCAAATCTCCACGACCTTTGAGCATATACGACAAGAAACAGAATCGGGTGGAAGAGAACTACAGGTTCCAGGCAGTGACCAGTTAGTCAGACTCTGCGCATCTCTGGTCAATCTCTTTAAGGACACCATTGCAAAGTTCCCTAGCATATCTGCCCTTGATCTGTGGACAACGATGGCGGTCGTTCAAGATATCCAGTTCTCGCACCACAACTCAAAAGCAAATCTTGGACAGATAGTCAAGCAACAAGTTCTTCAAAGCAAGGAAAAGCTTCATGAAAGCCTTACTTGGGAGATCTTACACTATCATGCACAACTACAGAGCAGTCTTTATTCTTTCAGGATATTGAAGCAAATTTTGAGTGTTCTGCTTACTTATTCGACAAGCGAAAACCTACCCGTAGTGATGTCGAGACTTCAAGAGACTCTTGCGGGCCTGCCGCCCATTTCTGAAGTGCAAGATCTTGGAAGCGCTATCTCTACTGTCAAATTCATTAGAAATATGGACATGATGAAGGGAGCCCAGGAAATATTAGGTATCACTATACCAGAAATTTCTTCGAAGCCGAAGATGACGCGCCGGGAGGTGAAAAGAAACAGGAAGGCCGATAAACGGAACAAAAAGCCTACAAGAGACAATCAAACGTCCAACAATCCTTTTGAGCTGCTTGGCAGTGAGTAGTCGAGCAATTCCTTGTGATGAAACTACTCACTCCGCATGTTTACGAGGGCTACAATGTTGAACATGCCCTCGTAGTCTTCACTGCTGCAAATTATTGCTGGAGATGGACGGCCTCCTCCTTGATAGCACGACAGGACGAGTCCGGAATTTTGCGACAGTGAGTTCAAGAGTCATAGAGCTTAGTATCTGAGCTCTTCGTCCAGAAGACGCAATACAAGATGTCGTGTCAACTTCCAGGCAATAGTGTTCCTGGACTAACGCACATTCTTTCTCTCGGCAGAAAAATTGGCCTCACTCACTCCGTCGCCCTTCTCATTTTCACAAGCAAGGAATAGGCTAAGATGTGTACAGATCTAACGCTACCACGACAATCAGCGGTGAAAAAGAGCTAGTCACAATGTGATTAATCACTCCACCGCACGCTTAACTTTTACTCTGCGACTTAGTCGCCGCATCGCCGAAAGTCGCTCCAACTCCTTAGTAGTTGGTGCAGGTTGGAAAGCAAGGCTTTTTGATCACCCTTCCAAGATCTAGTTCATTCAATTGGATCAATCTATGCTACATCTACTTTGGGCAATTCCATTACTCTTCTTTACATGAAAAAAATAACGCAAATTTGAGTCAATTTAGCCGTTGCTGAGCACCACAGACTTCTGCATGCTCGATTACTCCTTCTACATAAAGCTTTGTTCTGTCCTCAGTTTCATTATCCTCCATGTGCAGACCGATGCTCTTCAGTTCCAATTCAAAAGTGGTTTGTTCTTCGCAGCTCCCCGGGTATTGCCAACATACGTTCGAATGATTCTCCACTCACACATCGAATCCTGAGTTACACAGCGCTCAATCCTTTTTCCTATTGTCGCTTAGCAACGGCTCACTCGCCGTAGATGGTGATCATGCCTACAAGACTCTTTATCATATCCGCTCTTGGTTTGTGCCGCTTATATTGCGTTATGGTTTCAGTCTATGTGCTTCAGCTCACGCTATTTAGTATCTTCTTGGACATTTTTATCTCGGATGTGGTTTAGTGAAGCCACGGGATGATAAAATTGGGTATTTCCCGTCTGCCAATCACCAGTACATTCTACATGTAAGATCTTACGTTGACAGATTGTAGAGCCCGCGTTCTACCGCTAGTATCACAAAGTTAGCCCGAACACGAGTTACCTCGCCATCAAGTGCACCAAGCGCGAGCTATCGACAATGTGTTCCCATATGGCCAACGATTATTGTTCTTATCGCTCAACGGGATGTCAATGATTTTGTTCAGCTCTCACTGCAAAGTGTCCTTATCCCATCGAATTAGATATATGCCTCATTGTGGGGGCATACCCTGCAACAGCGGCACTCCAACCTTTTACCTCCCCCTGCGCTCGTCTCCGCACACCCTGAATTGACGATTCTTTCGTAATTATTCATCGGGGTTGGTAGTTGAAGTTGGATCTGGACGAGCCAAGAAAAATTGCAGTGGATGTGGAATAGGGTTATCAACACTTTTTTGAACGACCTTTCGCACCGATAGAGAACAAGAGTTCTATTGGTTCTAGGAGTGTTGATACGACCAAAGTTGACGTATTTAATGAAGCCTCTTCGGAACATTGATGGCTTCAAACGTCTTACTGTTCAGTGGGTCAATGTCGGTGAAGCAGTTAAGATCGACGAGGGCGGCGGGCCACTTGATGCTTGTTTTCGGTACGCAGACTTGATTGGATGATTCTTTTATTTTTGGGCTTAGACTGATGACCCCTCAGCGCATGCCGCTAAGCAAGAAGGGACTGTATCCGAGCTTCTTGGTATCTTCTCGACGATGCTCTTATACCACCGCCAACCGAAAGAGCCTGGCGTTCTGATTCTCTTCGCCAAGTATGCTGTACTACTACATCGACAGAAAGCTGATAGGCTGCTGCAGTATGGTCCATAGTGTTGAAGGGAGAATTTCGCACGTGGCTGAACAATGAAAGAGGATTGCCCCTCATGCGAAGGTAGTAAAGCGACTCTCCTGGTGAATTTGAGGGATTTTCATACAAGTATATTCGGTGCAATTATGTTGCAACTTCTAGTGGCATGGTTTTCCCGTCGACAAAGTGGGTTCACTAGTCGTTTTTGGATCCTTTAAGGGCGTTTGTTATTATAGGTACTAAGCATCGCCCTGATATCCAACTTTGCCAAAGCCTTTGGTGCAGTTCCTTCATCGCCGAGCATATATCCTCTGCGCCTTCGAAGCACGCACGTCCTGTACTTCATCCATACCCGGCATGGCAACAATCCGGATCGACGACACGATACGCGCAACGAAATCACATTCAGACCTGCCTGAAATTGGAGGAGTTTTTTCCATCAGAGCTGTCTCTACAGATCATCGTAGTCGCAAAACTTCTGATCTCGAAAACCCGTCAGCCGAAGACGAAGACTCTGGCCTGCGCCGAGCTGGCGACTTCAAAAAGAAACAGGTCATTACAGCACGATATTACTTACTCGAAGTTTCCGTCACTGACTGAACTCAATAGATCTTCAAGGGAAAATATTTGCTATGGCTAGCCTACCAGTCTATTGGTGTCATTTATGGTGACATTGGAACCAGCCCCCTCTATGTTTATTCTTCTACTTTCAGCGAAGAGCCTAGCTATGACGACCTTCTGGGAGTTTTATCAATTATCATTGTAAGACTCTCAAATTTCGCAACTTGTTTCTGAGTGTCTCGGGAGCCAAGACATCTCTACAGATTGTAGTATTGAGATAATTTCTAACTACGGCATAGTGGTCTCTGACGATTATGGTGTCATTGAAATATTGCGTGGTCATACTTCGAGCTGATAACGACGGAGAGGGAGGCACTTTTAGCACTTATTCTCTGTTGTCTCGATATGTAAGTGGGTCTTATCTTGTCCTAATCGATTCTAATCGGCCATCCAGGCAAATATTACAAAACGTGACCCACGCGAAGCATCTCTCATCAAAATGGAGCGTCATCTGACAGATGACCTGTACAAAGTCAACCGCTCCGTCCGATCTGGAATTGAGAGCAGTAAGTTCGCCAGAGGATTACTCAAAATCATTGGAGTTCTGGCAGTGTCCATGGTTATGTCAGATGGGGTTTTAACTCCGGCACAATCTGTTCTTGGGGCTGTGCAAGGGCTCGAGGTTGTGAAGCCTGATATTTCGAAGTCGGTTGTGGTTGGTGCGACGTGTGGTATTTTGATATTGCTCTTCCTAATCCAACCACTTGGGACGACCAAACTAGCTGGAGGCTTTGCACCCGTTGTCATTATTTGGCTTGGCTTCAACGCAAGTTTTGGTATTTACAATCTTGTTCAATTCGACCACGCAGTTTTGAAAGCATTCAGTCCCGGGTATGCATTTGGTAAGCAAATCCATGATGCTGTAGATGTTTTCTAATTTAGCATAGCTTTCTTCGTTCGCAACAAGACCGAAGCTTGGAAGAAGCTTGGCGGTATTCTTCTTGCCTTTACAGGCGTAGAAGCACTCTTTGCAGATCTTGGCGCCTTCAGTCGCAAAGCAATACAGCTTTCTTGGTTTTGCTATGCATTTCCGTGTTTACTCCTAGCATACATTGGTCAGGCAGCCTATATCGCACACAATCCTTCGGCATACTCGAATCCCTTTTATAATTCGGTCCCTCCAGGAATGCTCTATCCTTCGCTTGTTATCGCTATCCTAGCCGCGGTTGTTGCTTCGCAAGCTATTATTACAGCTACCTTCCAGGTATGATCGATTATTTTCTTTTATCAGATTCTCTTAGCACTCCCAAGGCCTTTATTCCACTTCATAAAATAATGCGCTCACAACCAGATTTTTAGCTTATGGCACAAGTCATGAAACTCTCCTACTTTCCACAAATCAAAGTAGTCCATACATCCAGGATCTTCCACGGACAACTTTACGTCCCAATTGTTAATTGGCTTCTTATGATAGGGAGTGTAGTCGCATCAGCAGTTGCAAATAACACTACCACTCTGGGAAATGCTTACGGGTATGTTCGCTGTTTTCGACCTTGCGAGACACTTTCTGATGATCCCAGGGTTTGCGTCATGTTCGTCACATTTTTTGATACCTGCATGGTGTCTCTCGCAGCTTTAATTGTTTGGAAGCGCAGCCCGTATTTGGTATTCTTTCCCTGGCTTGTCATCGCTTGTATGGACGGTCTCTACTTGTCATCTTCTCTCGAGAAAGTCCCAGATGGAGCATGGTTCACCCTTGTTTTGTCCGCCGTTCTTGCCTCCATCCTGATACTTTGGAGGTTTGGCAAAGAACAACAGTGGCAAGCCGAAGCTGTTGATCGCTTTCCAACATCTCATTTGGTCCAGAGAGACAACAGCGATGGGTCTTTGCATTTGACTGATACATTTGGAGGCGAGACCCTTAGCAAGATCAAAGGGCTCGGAATATTCTTTGATAAGGCTGGTGAGACAACGCCGGCAGTCTTCACTCAATTCCTGGCAAAATTGGTAGCCGCTCCAGATGTAATGGTCTTCTTTCATCTCAGACCACTGGAGACACCATCGGTTGCGCCAGACCAACGATACAGTGTATCGCGTCTTGCGATACCCAATTGTTATCGTCTCATTGTCCGTCACGGATATATGGATGAAGTGATTTCACCAGATCTTGCTTCTCTTATATGCGATCAAGTGAAAGGCTTCATCATAAAATCCTCTGCCCCTCTCCCTATCCGGGAAATCACGTTTTCTCCTGATGAAAATTCAGGCCTCAGCAAAGACCAGGTCTCGAGCGTTTCTTCTGATATCGACCAAGAATTCAAAGATCGCCAAGACAAAGCGGCTAGAGATTTGAAGATGTTGGACGATGCCTTCTCTCAAAGAGTTCTGTACATCATTGGAAAGGAACAGATGAAGATTCGCGTGGAGGGCGGACTTTTCCGGAAGCTGGTTCTTCGTGCTTTCTTGTGGATGAGGGAGAATACTAGGACGAAGATTGCCAATTTGAGGGTTCCTACTGATAGAGTCATTGAGGTTGGGTTTATCAAGGAGGTCTAATGTTTAACATGGAGCTATGGCGGCTTTATCGCGACAAGCAATATTGACAGAGCAGGGACCATGTTAGTCCTTCGGTTTTGGAGTTTTCCATGTTTTTGAAGTCCAGTAAGGCGGATTGTCATCGAGTATAAAGCGTTGTCAGCATTCTACATGACTATAGACATCCTGCTTCTTTCTCAGCAGACCTGAGCTGACTTTTAACTATATTAAATGGGGAGCAGGATCTTTTTCTGGCAAATTCTCAATATGCCAATCACCTTTCCGGTGCTCCAGCAAGGCAGCTGTTTTTCTTCTCTGACTTCCATTCCGGGGGTTGACAGGCTCGCGGAAGACAAAATAAGTGGCAGTCACCTAACCCCCGAATCCTATTTATTAGACTAAATAACAAGTCCACTTCGAATAGAGCTTGATAAGTCACACTTACTTAAAACAGTTGGCGAAATAATCATATTGTTCCAATTTAGTCCACTAAATTATGATATTTCGTCAACTTAGTCGAAGAACTATTCTGTTTCGGCTGCCACTCATTTTATCCTCCGTGAGACAGGGTAAGAATTTTGGTCAGCGCTACTGTCAATCATCTATTCTATGATTTGTTTTGGAACTTTCTCGCTCTTCAAGATGATGATTGTCTTTCGCTCGTACTGACATTTTACGCAGTCACGCAGCAGAATTACGGCATATCTAATTTGAAGACGATTATTGTTTTCAAGTTCCAAAAAAAATGCGAAAACAAGATTCTGATGCCAATGTCAGATTCTCGTGATTCTCGTGCGAGAGTGACGACTGTCGGAGTTTGGTGGGGACGCTTGTCGAAGGATTTTGTTGTTCTGATTGGGGCGGCAGATTTTCAAGTCTGTACTTCTCCACTCCCCACTTCCAGAGCTTGGAGGCGGAGAGTGAAAGCTTTAATCAAACGGGGCCCCAGATGGCTCTAACAGGAAATCGTGAAGTCGATCTCTTCTTGTTCTTGACACTGTTTTTCAAAAATGGGGTACTTTGCGCGAGTCCGTTGTCGAACATTGTCATGAAGAAAGTTGCCCGGAGTGGTCAGCGACTCATTCTACGGGAAGTTTGCCGTCATACTACATAAATGCCGGGTCCCTCCGAATTTTCTCTCATTTCATGAAGAATCCTTCTTTCTATTGCAGTTCTTTAGGGCACGCGAGTGTTGAGCGATAAATCAACGACAATGGGTAACCAAATAACTCAGTGGAATGTGGCTCACAGCTTGACGAAGCGCAAGCTTCTCATTGCCATCAATTCTCTTGCTGCACTTTCGATCTTCTTCTTTGGTTACGATCAGGGTATGATGGTAAGACTATTAATCTCAGACTCCGAGTATTTTGTAGTCGCGTGCTGACTTTTCAGGGAGGAGTAAATAATGCAAAAGATTATATTGATCTGATGGGTTTCGGTTATGTGGATGACGAAGGTACACCAATTGTCACAGACTCGCTTCTACAAGGAGGCATCGTCTCAGTCTACTATCTGGGTACTCTTGTTGGAGCTCTGGCTGGCGGATGGGTCGGAGACAAAATTGGAAGAATAAAAACCATCGCACTTGGCGCTGCGTGGGCTATTCTCGGAGCGTCATTGCAATGTTCGGCGCAAAATCATACCTGGATGATTTTCGGTGAGTCTAGAACCTTTAGTGGCTAAACCAAAGTTCTTACCCGTCTATAGCACGACTGATTAATGGTTGGGGAACTGGAATCTTGAATGCGATTGTTCCTGTTTGGGCGACAGAGACTGCTGAACACACTAGCCGAGGACAGTTTATCGCCATTGAATTTACACTCAACATTTTTGGTGTTGTAGTGGCTTATTGGCTCGAGTTGTAAGTTTCTGACGTCCTTAGTCAAAGTCCGATATTAATGCCATCCGCAGTGGTCTTTCATTCATAGATGGCGGAGCGTCTCCAATTCGCTGGCGCTTTCCCATAGCTTTTCAAATCATCCCTCTTCTGGTTCTCTTCGGTGCAGTCTGGTGGTTCCCAGAAAGTCCAAGATGGCTCGTCAAAGTTGGTCGCGATAAAGAAGCTCGCTTCATTCTTGGCCGGCTTCGAGGGACAGAAGGTACTGATGTTGCTGCTGCTGAGGCTGAATTCCAAGATATCCAGAATGTTGCTGAACTTGAGAAATCTACTACACACAGCAACTCTTACTTTTCAATGTTGTTCGGCATTGGATCGGGGGATCTACACATCGGAAGAAGAGTGCAGCTTGTGATTTGGCTCCAGATTATGCAGGAGTGGGTAGGCATCGCTGGAGTTACTATCTGTAAGTTTCCCAAGACGATAGGGATAATTCTTTACTTACACAGTAACCTTTAGACGCACCAACCATCTTCCGAATCGCAGGATTCACAGCCGAGAAAAGTCAATGGATCAGTGGTCTGAACAATGTCTTCTACATGTTCGCAACCCTGATCTGTGTCTTCACACTCGATCGAATCGGTCGAAGGAAGACTCTGTACTGGGGTTCCATCGTCCAAGGAATTGCCATGTTTTTAGCTGGTGGATTCTCTCGCCTAGGGCTAGACGCCACAGCAGCCGGTGATACTTCCAAGTCCTCATCATATGGTGCCGCAGCAGCATCTATGATCTTCATTTTCACATCTACTTTCGGAGCAACTTGGCTCACCGTACCATGGCTTTACCCTGCGGAGATCTTCCCTCTGGCGGTTCGCGCAAAGGGTAATGCTTGGGGTGTAGTTGGATGGTCCATCGGAAACGGTTGGCTCACTCTTCTTTGTCCTGTGATGTTCAACGCTATCGGTGAGAAGACTCTTTACATCTTCGGAATCAGCAATGCTATCACCCTTCCTATGGTATGGGCTTTGTATCCCGAGAGCAATCAGAGGACGCTTGAGGAGATGGACTTGTTGTTCGCGGCTCCGACACCATGGAATTGGGATGCTGAGCGCAACTTTGCGAGGCTGAAGGCTGAAAATCCAGAACTAGTCAATGCTGCAAGACATAGGCATAGTGTAGTTAGTGCAACTGGTGGCTTGGACAGTGAAAAGGGAGCCCAGCAGGGGGTTGTGCATCGTGATTGATAATTTTAGATAGCAACATCCCCAAGGAGAGAGGGGAATGATAGGAAGAAGATAGTATCTGTAATTTATCCTATAATCAATGATTTGAACACCCAATTCTTAAGTGAAGTTCTTGATACATTGTCCAAGTCCAGTTGCATGGCCGTAAGCTCATCCTTACTTGGGCTCAAACCCGAAATACATCGGAGACAACAGAAGATTATTCATGACGAGAGCACTTGATCGCCGATTATGAAAGTAGGAAGTCCCAATTTACTGACACTCGAAGACGACGGTAGTCCAAACATAACGTTTACTCAAAACAATTGACGAAATAAATATATATTTCGTCTACTGTTTTCAGTAATCCATAGGGCAAACTGAGCACAACTGGGTATAATCTGGTCAAAGATGGATGGAGAAGTATTAAATGAGCGGTGTGTATGAGAGGCATATTGTGGTACTAACAACTCACGCACAAGGCTTAATAATGGTATCCAAAAACGTTGAACGCACCATATGTGCTTCAAAATTTGAGAAATAGGTAGTATCAGGATGTGACAAACATGCCGCTATACCAACCATATGCCCTGTTCAAGCGCCTACCTATACATCGGGCGATCTTGAAAGGGATTTTGCTATGTGGATGTGGCTCGTGGAAGTGTATACTTCGCTCGACATCTAAGCTTGTAGGGGTAAATTGCCAGACGGAACCATACAGCTTCTCCGGGGAAAACCCAGTCGAAGCCATCGCATGGAGAAAGTCAATCCATGGGATCTCGCCTATTAAAGATTTCGATGTCAGTTCTTCTCACTGAAATTTGGAGTCTGGGGACATTTCAACAACTCGCATAAGGCTCGTGAATGTTGAGATTTGGGGTTGCATAAGACTCACCTGGGGTTGCAGTAAGGTTGGGGGTAAATAATAGGTTTCTGAACACTTTCTGGGCTCGTTGATCTACGGTAAATATGGGCTGTATATCCTCTTTACGCAAGGGCTGCTGGTCGGGATCCGCGGCGTCATCCTCCTTTAAGCTTGCCAGACCTTTGGTTTTGATCTTCTGCTTTGGTGCCGAGGTAATCTTAAATGAACCAGAATCGTCAGTAGTAAGATCAAACTTTGAGAAGGAGGTTTCGAGAGCTTTTTGCTTGTTTTTCTCCAGAGCAATGGTAATCGGTTCTACCCATTCCGGAGTCCTCTTCAATATACGATGTTCAAAGAGAAACCCCTCTACTATCTCATTAATAGTTTTGCCGAACTTGAATTTGTATTTGGAATCAAATTTGGCCCAAAACTTGTGCAGGTCCTGCTCTGCTTCGCGCATCGCCTCAGTATTTTCTTTTGTCCATCTCTTTCCCGATGGATAAAAGTCTCTCGTCTCTCTACCTCCCCGGATAACAGGCGATGCGAGCGGTTCAAGACCAGTCGAGACATACTTTATGTTGTTTTCAATTACTTGCCGGGTACTAAATTGCTCAAAGACCTCTTGCCAATTTTCTCATGCACTTTGGAAAAACTGTAGTCCATACCAGCTGCCCAGGGTTGAAAATTGTCGAGTTCATCTCAGAGTTGTGCGAAGAGCCCTAAGTCGGCAATGAAATTGAGACCAGCGTCGAGAGACGTGCTTTTTGTTCAGGCTCTTTAATGACAAGATGTTCTAATTGATCCAGAACATCCGAGAGCCCAAATTTCCCCGTCATGACTGGATCCCAGAGTATTTGTAGCAGGAAACGAAGCTCATCACGATACTCGCTACGTCTCTCCTCGATAGTGATGATCGTGTTGGTTGGATCTTGCGGGAGACGGACGTAGTGTGACCGCAAAGGAGGCGACGGAGGTACGCTGTTCTCAAGATTCATCATTGTCCGCCCTTTAGCTTCGTTAAGCCTAGGAGAATTAGCTATCAGTAGTCTCAATTTCGTTGCACAAGCACCCAACTCTTACATTTGCCTGAATGTGAGAAGTGCTTGCAAGTATTCGTAGGGAAGCTCTTTCTGCGGAGATATAGCCCCAGAATATTTCTCTTGTAACCTCTCAAGGAGGATGAGTTGTCGTTCGATTATACGCCAATTTATAAGGGAAGCATAGGAATTTGCGACTGCCTGGGCGATTACTCGTTCCCAAAAAAGGGCATAATTTTGCGTTAACTTGGGGCCTACAGGATGGTCCTGTCACCTTGTATCTAACAGCCGCTCTCTTCGATGTTCGCACCATTCCCATATTGAATCTGCGAAATAACTTGGATCTTCTCTCAGTAACCAGATATGATTATCGGCCTTTCCCCGTTTCGCGCCTATGATGCTCCGCATTTGCTGATAATCAAATGCTGATGGGCCGCGGTATTGCCTTTCGATGGTGAGAGATACAGTATTGGGATATTCAGCAGCATCTGTAATGATTGCGGGAAGGATATCTTGAACCGGAAAGTACGAGTCGATCAAAGATCCCAAGTCGCTTATATCATGAAGAATGCCCATACAGCATTCGACAAGAAACTGCATGAGTCTTTCTTGGATCTCAAGAGTCAGGAGAGCATGGCCAGGGTCAATCGAAAAGGCTCGTCCGGACCTGAGTGCCCCCAGAGCATCCGAGTCATCGTCCCATGAGACAAGCCTCCCGTATTTCGTCGGCGTTCCCCCATCTAGAAACATTGTTTGCCTAGAAATGAAAGGCACTCCCACAGCCCGACTAGCATGTGCAGTTCCGGTACAGCTAATGTCAGAGCGGGCAAAAGTGCCTGGAAGATTGCGTCCTCGGCCATGAAGGAAGTACAGCAAGCTCCGCTTTAGAGATAGATCTTCAAGGTTGATCGTAGGCCACAGGAACCACTCCCTAAACATAGTAACCCCGCCTGGGCGGCCAGCCATCTCTTCACGTTTGAGAGCTTCAAAGTCCGGTCGATGAGAGGGTGCCATATTCGGCCAAGCGGTAAGCAGGATAGCTTTTTTCTGCTTCATCGTCTTCTTCAACCATCTTTTTCGTATAGTCACTTCGTGCCGGTCGAGAATCTGACCCAGCATATCGTGATTCGACAGGATGTTGACTGCTCTAGCTTTTGCTTCGGCTTTTACTTGTGCAGCGGATGGGGAAAACGATGGCATAGCCACTTGCCGACTCTGTGCGTGCTTCTTGAAACATTTTCCGGAATTTTCCAGGTCAAAACCATGGAAAATTTCCACAAACGCAGCCAGCTTAGTGATTATATTAACAACATGTAAGTCTAGAAGATGAAAGTTTGCAAACGTACGATGCAGTGAACCTACCTTAAGTAGGCGATTATTAGTTTCGTATTAGTAATAACATAAACTGTAGATGAATGATAACATTTATTATCAGTGGCAGAAGCCCCTGACTATATTGTAATCTTAAGGTATGCGTGAGAGGGGGCAGGTAGCTTCAGCCGTATTTCAATTTTAGATAGAGTTAAAGATATTACATTTACTAAAGATGATTGACGAAATGCCCATTTCGTCATTTGTTCTGAGCAAACATCGTGCTTCAATTGCAGCATATTATAACCTTGTCCACCACGAGACTACACATTGCAACCAACTTGTCAAGAAATTACAGAACTCGCAATCCGTCGTTCAAAATCTTTAAACTTTGATTTGTATGGAATTTTTTCCCTCAAAAAATACTTTGGGAAATTGTTCTACCAATCTATGTCGATTTGGGTACGGAAATTGAGCCTCGGAAATTGAGCACAAGCTAAGGATGTTTTTTGGAGGTGTGAATAGTGCAGTTTAAGTAAGGCATAGTTTGCCTTTCTGGTACCTACTTCCAATTACAATGCCCCATAATCTTTGTACCCTGCTGTTCAAAGTAGTTGCAAAAAATCTTCGAAAAAAGAGAATTCAACAATGGTGGTATTGCAGGTTTGCAAAGAAAACATTCACTACTAATAGGCCAAATTTCTAATGGACTTGTTTAAGTTGGAGCTTTTTTATTTAGTAACTCAGCAGTGAATAACGGTCTCACTAATTTTTTCAGATGTACTTTTTATGTGATATAGACATAATGGAGAATTCGAAATTGTTACAATGTTTTTTCATCATCCTTGGGTCCAGTCGACAGACGTGATCATGACCGCCTTCCTGAACTTCAAAACCGAGACCCCAAATCCTCAGAAGGATAAAATACTACATCAGAGGAACAAATTTAAGGCACGGCTGCCTTGAAGTCTTTCCCCAGACCCGTTTTCTCTTGACCACCAACAGCACCAAAGTCCAAGCAAACAAAATGAATGCCAGAGCTTGTCAACCAGTGAAGCCCACCACCGGAGAGGAGGGGGCTGCTAAACAAGAGGAGTTGTTGAGTAAAATCCATCATCAGCCGACTATTCCACTTGCGAGACAAGGGATTGACCGCATGCAGGATTACAGGGAGAGTATATACCGCTGCATCAAGCTTGTTTATTGTGATAGATGTATTATTAATTGATAGTATGATAATAGTACGACTGTTCCACGTGACGAGTAACGTACTCTTCACCGACCCCACCCGCACCGCCTTTAGTAGAGATTACTTGAAGTGTACGAAAGGGGGTTTTAAGTGGATCTGGTACACCCTTGCAGGCGGTGAGCCTATGGAAGGCTCCAGAAGCTTGCTGCTCTAAACCCTTATTTTACACCCAATTCCAGGCTACCCCTAAGCAAGTTACTCTATCACTACATCTTTGAACCATCTTTCACAATGTCGACTAAGGGCTCTCGCTAGACTTGGGATACTCTAATCCGTGTTCGATTTAAGACACTTATTAAGGAAGGCTATTCACGACGAGACGCTACCCGAAAACTAAAGGTTCCTATTACCTCAGCTTACTATTGGCTTTATCTACCTAATCGACTAGGAAAGGCACCTAGCGCTACTCTAAAGATATCGGACTAAAAGATTAAGGAAATAGTTTAATAGTTTATTAGCCACTACGATCGGAGGAGCTCGACCTTAAAAGAGATTCGAAAAGAGTTTAGTTTAGAATGTTGCGATAATACGCTTTTAGCTACTTTTGCCCGAAATGGCTACTATTATCACCGGCCAGATTATAAGCCTTTTATCTCGAAGAAAAACAAGCTTAAAAGATAGATCTTCTCGATCGAGAACTAGCATCGGCCTCGAGAATACTAGCGGAGAGGCATTTATACCGATAAAACGATTACTCGGACCGATATTCTTCGACGTCGCCGGCTCCTCCGAGCCCGGGGTAAAAGAAAGAGGCTTAACTATATCTAGTTTACTTTTTACTTAGGTCACTAATCTATTATAGCTTAGGCGGCTATCGGTTATAATTATAAGTCTCCTTTATTCTTCGTCTTATACGAGGGTAAAGGTAAAGGTTTTACTTAAAAGAAGTATGCCGAGTAGATTCTTCGGGGGCCACTAAAAGAGATCTTTAAACAGCCAGGAGACTTCTTTTGTGTAGAAGATAATAGCCCTATTTACGGTAAAAGCGATACTTTAAAGAATCACGGGTTCTATAACGCCGTCCGCCTCGAATACTATATTAACTTAATAGAATGGCTACCCTACTCACCGGACCTTAATCCTATCGAGAATATCTAGCGGGTTCTAAAACAAAGAATAAGGAATAGGAAGCTATATAGCGGATAGTCGCTCTTAGATTTGAAGGAGGTATTACAAGATATCTAGAATAAGGAGATAACTATAGGTTTGATTAACAAATATATCGACACAATGCTAGAACGAATTAGAAAGGTACGAATGCGCTAAGGAGGACCTTTAGGCTAGTAATTGTATATAAAAATAGCAATAGATTCATTCCTGATTTAGCAAAAGATTCTGGCAAAATACAAGGGTATACTAGATCCACTTAAAACCCTCTTTCGTACAAGTAATTTTAAGTTTATGTGTGTGTAACACATTATGACGGAGGAGAATTACATCGGCCTCGTATAAGTAGGACGAGTAAAACTTGTCGATTCGAGGGAGACTTATATTATACTCCACATATTAAGGATAAATGACCAGTCAACAATCAAACTTACACAATCCCACTGACTAACCCATATTGGAGGGCGGAGACGTGGCAAAGTACCTAAGGTGTACCAATTTGTGACCGCAGCCTCGCTAAAATATTAGCCGACGAACACGACTTCCAAGGGTTTTACGATAAAACGCAACTTCTAAGGGTATCACTCGACAGTCTACGTTTTCTAAGGCCTTAAATTTTGTTCTCTTTATTCTTTAAGTCAATAAATACACCACTCTACTTACTAGGATATATTGTCTTACCGTCGCGATTTATATAAATTTTGGCCACAAATCCGCAACTTCCCACTCCACCTTAGGGAGCAAATTGCGTACGGCGCTTGAGACGCCGTCTCAACGCCGAGCGAGGTTTTGGTTCTTGGAGTTTGTTAAAAGAGTTTCGTTTTTCAACACTGGACAACACTTATTAACCTGCCTTCTATTGCCAGCATAATGTTCAAGATCCTTCCAGCAGCTTTAGAAAGCTCGAAACATTATTGCTTTCCCCACTTCACACAATTTCCGACTGAAATTCGCGATCATGTTTGGGACATTTGTGCTCAGAATTACCCTGCACGTATCGTCGACTTGAGAGAAATTCGTCAAACCGTCCCGACACAGTCAAATTCCGCAAATTCTCGACAGTACTCAGGGCAATCCAGCACAGCAGGAACTCTTGTTCCCACAGCAATAATCGAGACGAAGGTGGTAGCAGGATTCAAGTCTCGGACTCCGGCTCCGACACTTTTGTATGTATGTCAGGCCTCCAGAAATATGGCCAAAAGATCGTACACAAAGGCGTTCGGGACAGAGGATATGCCACCAGAGACATGGATTAATTTTGAGAAGGATGTGCTATATATTACGAAAGACTTTTGCTACCTGGGGCTTAGAGATTTACCATTTGCAATAAATCCATGGCAAGTAACTATAAGATTCAACACAGGGCAAGAAGAGCCATTCGGATACTTTTACAAAGAACTCAAGCATGACATTCGAAAAGTCAAGGACCTGGCCATTTCTGGACATTGGAATTTTGGCAGTGATAGACCATGGGATTACGAAACGGACGGAGACATGGGAATGATCACAACTCACTTCGCACGTGCAGAAAGAGTCACTTTGGTGGAACCTCAGCACGCTCTCGGGCGAACTTCACACCTGCGCTTCGCAGAAATAAGTCCGTACGAAAAGGCCCAATCTGAAAATCCAGGGCATCTTAAAGAAATGTTGGGATATAGGAATCATCTGTTTGATAGAATGGCGTGGGACAGAAGTGGCGTATGGATGGGCTAGGACCCGTATCCATGGTTTGAGTTTGGAACGGTCATGGATATGGAACAGAACTGCAATGACGCTGGCATGAAGACACGGAGCTCTGAGAGTAGATTAGCTACGGAGGAAGATCGCTGCCGGGCGGTTCCGGATGCGGCGGACCGTAGAGACCATGATGAGTATGCTGAAAAAATGTCGGTCTTCGAGAAAGATGAGGAATTGGTGAAAGAGAGGCTACGTAAATACATTGGCATAATTCCGGGCCAAGTAATTCTATAGAATTGAATAATACCTCACTTGGCTTCCGGCAGACAGGATTGAAACTTGAAAGGAATCGTAGCAGTAAGGAGACAGGTTCAATCTCAGCACGGACTATACTCTACGTAGTTCTAGTATTATAATTATATAGAGTTATAGTAGTAAAGATATATTAACGACCTCGCTTTACTGTGTTCTACTACGTATGATTATTCTACACGCATGTAGTGAGTACCGCGAAAATCTCTGTTCGTGGCTTATATATCAACAGAGAAGAGTGGAAGGCTGGGTTACTTATATCGAAGTTAAAAAGAGAATAGTTCAATTAATGAAGTGGAGTCATTGCCGAAGAGAAACAATGCATTCTTTCTGGAATATGGTATTTTGAGAGCAGATGAATACATTCGTGTTATGAACCCGAGTATAGGGGTTTAAATCTCAGCTAAAGCTGGTCATGTTGCACAACGGCAAAAGCTAGATCAACTACGTGCCATCATAAGCGGAATCATAGCCCACAAAGTAAACTTTCGCCTCTTGCGACTAATCAGCAACCTCTGGTCATGTCCGGCAGTTCTGGTATACTCGAAATGACCGGATTTGAAATGAAACATCACTACAAGACGAACCCGCCGCTTCTGAAATTCCAATTCCTACTCTGGAGCCTTCACAGTCTAGTTGGTGGTAAATCTGAGCAGTCGGCTTATAGAAAATAGGGACTTGCTGCCATAACCATGCACTCCCAAACCCATATCCCTCCCCAGTTTTGACATTGAAGCAAGCGAGGTCACAACCAAAATGGGCTACCGAAAGATATTCCACCCCCTCACAACCATTCCTTCCATACATGACTGCCCGGTTGTCTCCCCCCCGCTTAGCCAGGCTGCTGTTGCTAAGTTGCAATTCTGTTCCAAGCTCTAGATCGATGATTTGCATGCCTTCCAACGGTACCCATGTTTCGTTTGCAACAGTTGCTCTCTCCATATCATTGATTTCCAAAGAGGTCAGCTGGCGTAGTGGTAGACCATCATACACAACAGTACGAAGGCTGCTGAACTCCGGTTCTTCAATCCCGCTAGCAGTATTGTCCATGTGGACAGACGAGGCTCCTGCTATCAGAACCAACGATAGTATATTCGTTTTCAGCATGGTAGTAGTTAATGTATCTGCTTGAGATTTATTTATTATAAGATGGTTTGAATGATATTTTGAGTGATGGTTTAAACTTTTCATAGTCAGTTGCAAAATATACTTAAGAGGCATTGAGAACATCTGATACTTTTATAAAGCTAGTCCTTTTAGGGCTGCGGCTATCACTTGCTTAAAGAAGGGAAAGTTGTCAAGTCCCTGGCCGTGAATCTAACCCCTGACGATACGGCATAACTTCTAAAAAACAAAATCTGTCAATACCTCGCCTAGAATAAGTATCAATCAGTCAGGTCCCCTGATAAATTAGAGTCAAGTCAATTGAGAGGCCTCCATAGAGCTTAAAAGAGGTTTGAGATCCTTTAGTTTACTGCTGTATCTACTTCAAGCCAAGAGGGATATCGATAGAGGCCACCAGTACATTGAGAAACTGACGGGACACTATCTAACAATGCCCGTTTCCGAAAACGACTTTCCACTACACTTTCCGTCACATTTATAATGAGCCTCGACAACAGTGACAATACTGTTATTTACACAAAAGAATTAAGTAAATATAACGTTTCGGGATAATATAACTATTCTACCGTAGCAAGGCGTTCCGTCAGACTTGTAACACACTGGTGGGCCAGCTTGGCGGTCAGAGACTGCAACTATTACAGGTACCTGCAAAGTTTATAATCTTGCTGCAGTAACCGTATGATTGTTACATCTCCATAATTAGTAGGCTATAAAGCGGAAACTACAATCTTGCCATGTTACATCTATAATATTTACATTCCTACGCTTAATAGGCTATTTAACAGAAAATATAATCGCATTGTAGTCATCTTACCTGTGTTACATTCTCTACTCTCAATATGCTACTGAGCGGAAACTATGATCTTACGATACTAATTATATTATGTCACTTCGTTACAATTAATAAGCTGCTTGGCAGAAACTTTAATCTTACTGTGCCAGCCTGCAAGGCATAAAACACTACTTACGATGAAGATCTTGCTTGGGATATTACGCTGAGCTTTTTTATCCCATTATTCTACACTTGGTAGGCTACGTAGCCGAAACTGAAATTCTATTTTCGTGAATTATGAACAGGCTAGGAAAGAAAGCAAACCTATGTTTATTGAGATATCATTTTCTCGATATCCGTCTAATAACCTACTTGCCACTTCGTTTTCTTTCTTTTAAGCACAAGCAAACTCATCCAGATATTTCATTGACAGTGATAATGATTAATAAGTCTTTATTTTTTTGCAATTATTGGGATAGGGGGAATTACCGCTATTGCTGTGAGCAACACTACTACTATCGAAAGCATTCCTGTCGATGTAGAATTGCTAGTGCCTGCGGAAGAACTACGGGTTGTTTACTACGACGGGCCACCACTATGTGAAATGACAGCCGACGATATCGCCAACTTCGAAGAAGCTTTGGCCGAAAAAGGAACGTGGGACTAGCAGAGAGCACACCTTACATCGAGGTAGAGCCAGGAACTATCTTAGACTTTGGCGATGGAGGCATTAGCGAGCGGTCCGGTGATCACTACGCGAAAGCATTTGCCAACAACCATTGCGGAACCCGGTAGCCGCAACCGTTAAGAATTTTAATGGCAAGGCTGGCTGTGTTACATGGGGTTGGGCTACGAAGATTGCCTTTTTGCACCAAGATTTTTACAGTAAACCTAATACGACTAGCTTTATTCGGGCAATGATTGCACAGGTGTCCAGGAAAGATTTGGGATTGGGAGTGGCTGATTTAGTTCTTGCACTGATTAGTCTGAAAATTGCTGTGGGTTTCAATCAATGTGGGTATGGTATGGATGCTGAGAACCTCAGGAACCTTCCCTTGGTTTTTTACTGTATTCCCGTTTTCCTAGAGGCTTCGTGGGATAAATTGTATGTTGGTTATAGAGTCCAAATCCAATAAGATAATGCTGATACGCTATTTGGTCTTGGTCCCAGGTGTTGTCGATATGATTTGCACAGGTGCCTTTGTAGTGAATGTGAAGTCTCTCAAAGATTGTGTGGCCTTCAATATCACAGTTACGAGAAAATTCACCCCCTCCTTGGGATATGACATAGAGCGTGACCTAGAGTAGGGCACTTGTGACCAGCGGCAAGCAACGATGCAAGTAAACAAGGTTCTATTGCCTCATACAGATGATTGGGACGACGGAGAGACGTACAATGAAAATGACCCAAATGTGCGAAGAGGATAAGAGTGAAGTTGCTGTGTCGTTGACATATTGCTACGCCAATGGTACAGCATAATCTTGAAAAGATACCGGGCTTGATGGAAATGAGAGAACCGGATAACATGATAGTCAGGCTCGCGGAGGGTAGAATAATGGTCAGCCGCCTGCCCACTAATCCTGGACTAAGCCGACTTCGATTAGAGCTTTAAAATTCTCATTTATTTGAAGTAATTGACGGAGTATGTAACAATGTTCCAAGTTAATCCACCCAACATACGATATTTCGTCAACTTGATCGAATAAATACCATGCTCCGACTGCCATTAATTTTGTCCACCGCGGGGGAGGCTCGCTCAGCCGGAGGAGTTCGAACCTCGTCTGGCTTGACTCAGTAATACCAGCAGTTTTATGGCAGGTAGTAAAGAGTATTGATGGTAGGTCATCCAACATGAGTTACATAACAATTGTCTACTCTTTGACCAAGTAATAGGCAAGTATCAAAAGGGGAAGGCGTAAACAAATGATTTGCAGAAGACTCATCAGTCCCTGGCATCCGAAGAGAAAAGGGAGTGTTGAATTAAAGTTTCCGGGCCAACTTCCGGTGGATCCTGTGAGCAGACTAGCTTCTTTCGGAATAGGTACACTAGAGTGCCCACCCGTTTATCGAGACCGACGAAGCCTTGAAAATCTCAAAACTTCAACCTCGGGAGCTTTCCTCAAAGCTGCACACCTTATATGTGTTTTGACAAGAATGTCAACTAGCATTGCGACATCATAGTATCACATTTGTTTATGATGACAGCCGCATCCGCAGGGACCACTTGCTCTACAAGCAGCACTTCTGTAGCCAGATTACCGAACAAAAACACCACCAATTAGAGTCCGGTGTCTTGGACGAAGAATGCAGGGTTGGATGAAATAGAATGTGTTATTTTAACGTACTGGAAATATCTAGTATAAACATGTTAATTTAAGATTTAATCTTTAATATATACTAAAGTCACATAAAAAGCAAAAAACTATATATTGTTTAGAACTATAAAAACCCTAAAGGATAAGAAACTTTTCTTTTTACCTTGTTTATTATAAAAATAAGGTTTGTTATAAAAATAAGGTTTATTATAAAAATAAGGTTTATTCCAGCTGTTAACTATAAAAATGTCTTTTATCTGCTTTTTTTTATTTATCCGGGGCGATGGTTTAATTTGGTAAAATAACAATCTTGCACATTGTCTATCTAGGTTCGAATCCTGGTCGCTCCAGCTTCTGTTTATTTTTAGGTTTTTTTAGTATGCGGAAAATAGGTTGAGTGTAGATGTTTCTTGATATTGAAACGTAAGATCCGGCTAGAAGCAGCAAAAGCATATTGTGCGCCTAACTCACGATTCGAGGGCGCGGAGCTTTCCCTTCGGAGATCGAGCGACAGCTCTAAACATCGCCAGCCTTCACACTCCGCTGTTAGCGCTATCAATTACCTTCACCGCTACAGTCAGACGATAATAGACAAGATCATGCTTTGATGAGACATGACTTCGGGCTGCTGCTTGCCGTAGGGAACCAAAGAGTGGAGTAAGGCAGTTTTCTTCTTCCTCGCTTCTCCAACCACGCATATCAACTGTGGTAGATTGCTCCACCACAATGGCCAAAGTCAAGTCCATCAAGTTCCGATTTCTTCATAAATTCAATTATTCCTTCAAAGTAAATTGATTGTTTACCTTGCTTGAGGCTCCAAATACACCAGCGATAATACATTGTCAATATTATGCAGAAAAAAATCCCTTTCAATCGGCCAACTTTCATTGGAGGAGAAGTCGACAATGTTATCGATGCCACAAAACGTGGTAGCCTGGGTGGAAATGGTCATTACACTAAGAAATGTCAACAATGGATCACCCAGCACATGGGCGGTGGACGAACCTTCCTTACTACTTCCTGTACCTCAGCTCTAGAGATGGCAGCCATACTTATGGACATCAAATACGGTGACGAGGTTATTGTGCCAAGCTACACCTACGTTTCAACGATCAACGCTTTCCTCCTTCGGGGTGCAACTCTTGTTTATGTTGATGTTGATCCTGGAACCATGAATATCGATCACAAACTCATTGCGGCAGCAATTACTCAAAAGACCAGAGCAATTGTGGTTGTTCATTATGCGGGGGTAGCTTGCGAAATGGACAGCATTACGACTCTAGCTCGTGATTCTGGCGTGTACATTGTGGAGGATGCCGCGCAAGCCCTGACATCCAAGTATCACTCGCGCAGTCTGGGTTCAATTGGAGACATTGGTTGTTTTAGTTTCCACGAAACTAAAAACTTCACATCCGGAGGTCAGGGTGGTGCAATATCAATCAATAACGAAGAGCTTCTGGCAAGGGCCGAGGTGGTCTATGACAACGGAACCAACCGAATGCAATTTCTTCGAGGCCTGGTCGATTACTACCATTGGGAAGATATAGGCTCTAACTTCTTTATGTCTGAGGTTCAGGCAGCGTACCTATGGGCACAGCTCGACAAATCCTCAATCATCCAAGAACAGCGGTCAAAGCTCTGGCGCCGATACAGAAAGTCCCTTCGACCCTTGGCAGAACAGCGTGCCATTACTCTACCTCTCATTCCGGATGACTGCGAGCATAACGCGCATATATTCTTCTTCAAATGTCTATCTGCGGAACAAAGAAACGCATTCATCGCTCACATGGATCTAGGGGGAGTAGTTGTGTGTGCTCACTTTGTACCACTCCATTCACGTCCGATTGGCCTCATGTCTGGACGCTTTGTTGGCCAAGATAGGTTCACAACAGCGGATAGCCAGTGCCTAGTGAGGTTGCCGTTGCATTACAGCATGAGTGTTGAAGAACAGAACGTGGTGATAGAAAAGTGTTGGACTTTCTTCAAAAAAAGATAAGGAGTGTCGGTGTCAACAGTGGGATATCATGGCCTGTAGGTTACACAGTCTGAAATTTGCTCACTGTCTTGGGGATTGTTATACAGGAATCTGCCGGAACTTCAACACAGATAGATTTAGAATCAGTTAATAGTGATACGATTGGTCCTTTTCATTCAGCATTTCTTCGTAGTGTTAAATACATCTCAGCCAGCATCTACCTAATTTGGTGCGCGAATCACATGCGAGCCGACATACTGACAGATCTCAATAACCCGAATGTGTGAGTTTCAGAAGAAGGGTTCAAGTGGCGTAGTTACACAACCGTCCGCGGCTTCCTGCATATGTAAAATTCGACGACTTGAAAGAATTGCGATCAACAGGTTAGCTCGCCGAATCAGCTTTCAGTTACTGCAGGTCCCCAAGAAAGTCCGAATCGGCTTTTCAAATTAAATCAACTAAATGCAGGTACACCCGCATGAATCTTCCAACGGGATGTTTGAATCATTGAGAAGGTATTGCGGCAAAGATATCAACAGCCTACTTGCATAAATTCCTTCGAAGATGATGAATCATTGCGAATTTTCTCATATTCATGACAGATCTTTTCAGAAAGATCCTTTGAGGCTCCTTGAGCCAATCGAGTCTGATTCTCCTCACACTCATCATGTCAGATCTTTTGACCTCAAGAAAACCTTCGATGAAGAATCCAATCGAGCTCTCGGATACAGATCGGGTGACATTAGCTATCACAGATGAAGAGTTTATTCCATGTACGTGGCAAAATCTGCGCAGAACGATTAGCAAGGGGTGCTGTGGTCGCTGATTTCCACTGCTGACCCAGCTGTTGTGTAGAGATCAACGATTTCTCAACTCTTCCACGAAAGTCATCAGTTCTACGACAGTACCTTGTTTGGGCACAATCGGTCATCGAGAACTATGGGTCAATTGCTACCTTTGTTCGAGAGGAACGACTTCGCTGGATAGCCGCAGGATGTCTTTTGCGTGGGAATTGTGCCAAGTCAATGGAGAAATCACCATTTGCAGACCATGAAAACTACAAATTCTCTACAACGACTGGTCATACGGACTTACAGATGATATCCAACACCTAGTCGTATGGATGGGAATTCGTTTGGCAACAGATGATACGACAGGCGAACTGACAGATGAGTCGAGGGCCTCGGTGCAGAGCTTTGTGGATAGAACCTTTTTGAAGCGCATGAACAAGAAAGAGCCTGAGAGCTGCCTTGAGGATCGCGTGCTATGGTTCAAGAACGAGCCAAAATTGCAAAGTGTGAGCGCCTTGGAACACTTCCACATTATCGTGCGAGGAGCTTCGAAAGAAACGCTTGATTCTTGGACAAATGGAGACGTGCCTATGTAGCAAAAGGCGGAGTTGATGTTGGACTATCTGCCACATCGGACTATAATTGATCCGCTTTGCCATTCACGTTGAAAGGTTCGTGTGAAAATATCCACCAGTGTGTTGCAAGTCAGACAGGACACCTCATTATAGTAGTAGACTAGCAATTTCCTCACACGTTATATTTGTTCAATACTTTTGAATGAATTTGCGATAGTTCTTTTTTTTTGTGAAAGCTGAATACCATCATCCCAAAAGGGGTGTTAGGAAGTCAATTTCTGAGTTCGTTGTATTTTTTCCCCCAGATAATGTCCCTCAGTTTTGCATTGCAACAGCGATCGGCTGCGATCCACCGATTTTCCTATCCTACACGCAAACTCAGCAGTCAATATCTCCTTTCGACACGCCTGAATGAATTCTGATCGATTTTCCCCTTTCACCTTCGCATCCATCCCCCAGAGAGTTTCATGAATCTGTCTTCCTCCGGCTCGGCTAGCAATTTTTCCTCTGAAATTATCTTGTCGGCTCTCAATAAATGAGGTTGCTTGTGGTGATTCGAAAAGCCCTCATCGGGTACCCATCTATTCACCATTAGAACAAAATCCGAAATGTATTCAACTTCAAGCAGAATAACTAGAGATCTCTTACGTTTCAATAAGTGTGAATGCAATAGCCTTTTCAGGTGTCTTGAATTCCCATATCTGATAGGATAGACATCCCGGTTCTCTACTTTTCACCTCACTAGCCAAAGTATTAAGCACCTCTTGAAGCTGAACACATGATTAGACCAGATTACGAAGGGGAACAAAGACCAACATCGTACACGCTGTACACATTCAGGCTTAGGACCTAGCGTCCCGAGCAGATTGACATGGTGTAACTCAGCCATCTTAACTTGCAACCACCGTTGTGCCCTCGATCACAACGGTTTGTACCTTTTTGCCTTATGTGTCGTGTAATGAAGAGCCTGATTGACAGTTGCGGATAGCTAATGCTGTGTCTTGCCACGCAAAGTAACCACGCTCGATGTGAAAGTGAATAGGAACCCGAGGTGGCGTGGCAAAGTGCAATTGCGTGTTTATGAGGAAGTCACGATCCTTGTAGATGATGCTGTGATTGGGAATATAGGTGGTACAATCGGAGCATGGTTCGAGTGGTTGTGGAACGGTTGGCGTCCAGGTACGACGCTGAAACTGTCTCGCTTCCGATGGCGGGCGGCAAGAGGCGAATTTTCCACACGCATTTGGGGTTATACTGCATGTTGGATAGTTTGGATTTCTTTTCTAGGAAGTTGTATCCCTGATAAGAGATTCACCGCTTCTTAGGCGATTCTGAAACTCGTCTGAATGTGTTCATTCATCAAGTTCTAATATTTTTCGATCCGTAGACTAAGTAGGTCGAATAGAGTTTAGAAAGTCTTATTTACTCAAGATAATTGACGGAATATGTCAATTGCTCCAACTTAATTCACTAAATGTACGATATTTCGTCAACTGAATTGAAGAAATATCGTGTTTCGACTGCCACTTTTGTCCACCACGAGCCATTGAAAAGGTCAGACCCACTTTTGCCGACCCACTTGTGCTTTAGGACGCCTCCCGGCGGACAAAATTAGTGGCAGTCAAAACAAGGTAGTTGCTCAGAGTAATACACGAAATATTGTATAGTTCGTTAATTGCTTTGAATAAATAAGAAGCTTTTCAGCCTGTATCCAAGAATCATTAAGGCAAGAGCACCACCGACGTTAATAGTAGGGTAGCAGAAATATACTGCCACTTATCTTGTCCATCGGGAGGACGCGTCTTCGACACGCTTGGAGTTCAACTTCATCAATGTTCCAAGCTTCCTCTCAGAAACGGACGAAGCTCTTAAACGCGTTGCCTAGATGAGCGCTCTATATCCCATTCCTACCAACATAGAATGAGGAAATGAAAAATCAGTTTTGGTCAAAGCTTCAATTGGGATTGAGCCCCGCAGTTATCGGGAACCCTATCCGACAGGGCTCTTTACAGCGATGTTTTCAATGGACATCCGCCAGGTCAGTCTATGGTCCGCTTCTTTACTAGAACGATCAGTCCGTCATTGAGAAGAGTAGAAGATGGTCGGGGCAGAAGAATCGGCACTCTTCGGCAAGTGGGAATCTCGTCTTATGCTAGCAGCAGATGATCATTCTCTTGACTGTACATTACTTCTTTGAAAAAAATGTGTCCTTCTCTTTTTCTTGGTGCCTGGAAGATATCCGTCATTCGAGTACATGTTTTTAGTTTATCAGATTTTGAATTACTATAACTAGCGACTTTCTTTCTTCGGATTTCAGATAATATGACACTCTGTGGCGATAAGCCACTCGAATCATTCGAAGTAATGTCAAGCGACGATCTAAATCTACGGAGAACTCACACCCAAAATGAGAGTATATTGCCTACCAGTATTACCATTCCAGACTCCTGCGACATCTTCTTCCCCAGTTGTGAGCGGGTTCACACATCCCAAACAAGGACGCCACAGAAGCATGGCAATCTACCCGATTTCGAGAAATGCGTAGAAGTATCCGGTACCCGAGATCTCGAGCCAAGAAGGGGCAGCAGTGGCCCATCAAGTCCAAGAACGTCTGAAACGGCAGTTGATCTTTCGCATCTGGTTGACTGGGATGGCGACGATGATCCGAGCCTTCCTCAGAATTGGAATCGACCAAGAAAATGGGTGGCGATAGCTCTAGGTAATGTCCAAATTCGAATACCTTTTCTTTCACTAATAACTCTCGGCGGTCAGTCTCCGCGTTTACATTCATGTCACCGGTAGCATCGTCAATCCTAGCGCCAAGTTTGAGTCAAATCGGCAACGACCTTCACATTCAGAATGAAAGTGTACAGTCACTTACTCTATCTATTTTTGTCCTGGGGTTTGCGTTTGGCCCAATGATACTTGCACCACTCTCCGAGATTTATGGTCGAGCGCCAGTACTTCAAGCATCAAATCTCCTATTCATTGTCTTCAACCTCGCTTGTGGTTTTGCAAAATCGACGGCACAATTGATCATTTTTCGACTTATCGCAGGTCTAGGCGGCTCGGCCCCATTGGCCCTTGGAAGTGGCGTTCTTGGAGACTTGTTCACCGCCGACGAGAGAGGCCTTGCGGTCAGCATTTACAGCTTCTTTCCAATCCTTGGCCCTGCTATTGGCCCTATTTGTGGTGGATTTATAACTGAATATAGCACATGGCGCTGGGGTTTCTGGGGAACAACCATATTTGGTTTTCCGGTCTTGATTGCCGGAACCTTCTTTCTGGAGGAAACATATCCTCCAGTATTATTAATGAGAAAAAAAGTGCGACTTGCAAAGGAAACGGGGAACGTGTATCTTTTCACGAAATATGAGAAGCAGCATACGAGCCTGGCTGCAGAGATTGGTGATGCGGTTATGAGACCAATGAAACTCATGACAACTCAGATTTTGATTATAGTGCTTGGACTATATAACGCATATCTTTACGGGATCATGTATATTGTGCTTGTTTCTTTTCCAAAATTGTGGCAGAAACAATATGGCGAATCGGTCAGCATTGGAGGCTTGAACTATATCACGCTTGGAATCGGTTATTGCCTTGGTATACAAGTCTGTTGCCCTTCTTTATTTTTTTTTATTCCTGACTAACGGGGATTTCACAGCTATCTTCTTATTTTCAAGATAAACTTTACCGAAAGTTGAAAATCAAAAACAACGGCATAGGTCTTCCAGAGTTCCGCGCTCCTCTCATGATACCAACAGCAATCATGCTTCCCATTGGACTCTTTGTATACGGTTGGACGGCGGAGTACAAAGTCCATTGGATATTTCCAAGTCTTGGAGCGGCGTGCTTCGCTGCTGGGATCAGTACGTACCGTTCTTATATGTTGGGAATCACAACTAACAATCAGCTTAGTGATAGGATTCAACGCCTTGATAACCTACATCGTAGACTCCTATCCAACGTACTCTGCTTCCGCAATTGCTGCCTCGTCTCTCCTTCGCTCCTTGGCTGCATTCGTATTTCCCTTGTTCGCACCAGCTATGTACGAGAAATTGGGGTATGGGTGGGGGAATAGCTTACTTGGATTTGTGGCTTTGGCTATTGGAGGACCTGCACCAATTTGTTTGTGGTTATGGGGTGCGAAATTGAGGGCCAAAAGCAAGTTTGCTACTGAGTAGATATTTTATACTATGGCATAGACTTATTTTGATAGGATGCTGTAAACAAGATGGTGGAAAGTCGAGTTGCATTGAAAGGCGTAAAAGTAGTATTGGTTGACATCATTCGGGAAAAAGGTATTGCATTGGGTCGGGTTCAAAATCCTCATGTCTGCCACAAGAAGAGATATTTATTGTTGGACATTGCAGAGAATTGGTCCTTAAATTCGTGTTATCGTTTGCTCCACGAGTAGTCTCTCGGACATGGAATATATATCTTGCGAACTCCCAGCATTTCATCTAAGAAGTATATACTCGCCGTTCTGACAGATCTTGAAAGATACGATATTCAGCGATTGCTTTTTTCCAATTCCTATCATTGGAAAGAAGCGGGATGCCAATTCCTTGAGTCCGGACGAAAAGCAATCGCGATTTGAGCTCTGAGAGCATTGTTATTTAAGAATGGTTTAGGACACTTGTCAACAAGATGTTTGTAAACTCGCCAATACACCCAAGTGGGCTTCATCAGTAGGATGCACAAGAGAACCGTCGATGCGAAGAAAAGTTGATGAAATGTTCGATTGTATATACAGATTGTTTCTAGGCAGTAACAGATACCTCTTTCGGCGCTTCTACGACGCTCTCAACCACAGGTACGACCTTTTCTGATTGTTTGACCTCCTCCTTCACTTCAGACGCTCTCTTATCAATCGTAATATCGCCATTCGCATCAGCATACTTCTCCTTCAAAACATCATATCTGAAATTCCTGGATGGATGTCCAGCAGGCGTCAGGGGCTCTCCCGGGGTGCTGAGCAGATTTTCTCTGTAGGTTCCGCCTGGGACAGTGTAATCATCCCACATCAATCCTCGCTTTTGAAGGACAGGAACAAGGAGCTCTACAAGATCTTCGTAGGATTCCGGATTTGATACATCTAGCGAGAATTAGTTTTGTCAATTGACAAGTGGTCTTTAAACACTTACAAGCAATGTTGAAGCCATCAACATCCCCATTGTTCACCCAATCCTCCATAACATCGGCAACCATCTCTGGAGTTCCCACTGGCATTGGACCAAAACCGCAAAAAGCCATCTTCTCGCCCATAATTCTGGGTGTAATATTTTGACCCTCGAAGCGCTTCAGCATATTAATCATTGCATGGATTGCATTGTCGGACTTTCCAATTGAGTTCACGTCAAAAGGTTCATCAAGAGGATATTTAGACAGGTCGCAGTTCAAATACTGAGATAGCTTTGCCATGCCACCCCTCCAGTCCGCCGCCGCCTTGTATCGCTCGTATTTGGCTTGTGCTTCCTCAAGCGTCCTACCAAGGATAGGTGTCATTTGAGGGAATATTTTGACGTGCTGGGGATCGCGTCCATTCGCTGCCGCGGCAGCTCGTACTTCTTGAACATATCCAATTGTGTCTGAGGGTTTCCCGCCCCCGACGAAGATTGCTTCTGCATGTGCTGCCGCGAACGCCTTTCCAGCTGGAGAAGCGCCGGCTTGGAAGATCACAGGCGTTCGTTGCGGAGAAGGATGCGCTGGTGCGATTGCTGAGGTTTGGTGGTGGTTACCGATAAAGTTTATCTTGTGAATCTTCGTGGGATCATAAGCCATGTCTTTCGACTTATCGAACACTTTTGAGCCATCCTCCCAGGAGCCCTCCCAGAGTCTGAAAAGATTAGCTCAGTTATGTGGCTCTCAATGCAAAAATAGAACGACTTACGAATAACATAGCTCCAGGTACTCCGCTGCTTTCTCGTAACGCTTGTCATGTGCTGTGACCTTTTCTAGACCGTTCGCCTTCGCCGAGGAAGTAGAATAACTAGTTACGACATTCCAAGCCACTCTTCCTTTAGTAGCATGATCGAGGGTAGAATATGTTCGCGCAAGCACGAAAGGCTGTAGGCTGTCAGCGATAGTTGACTAGAATAGCGAGTGACAACGGGAGGCTAACATTTATGTATGATGTGCTTCCGGTAATCCCAAAGCAGACCGATTTTGTGACTGAAGCCATGGCCGACACAAAGACAATCGGGTCCATTTGAGCGCAATTAGACCCAGCCTTGAATTGTGCATCAAATTGACCGGGGAAAGCATCATCTACACCGTACACGTCTGCAAAGAATATCCCGGTAATCTTTCCCTTCTCTGCCAGTTTTGCAAGCCAGATATAGTACTCCAGACTATCCTTTTTGCTGGTATTATCGTTGTCGATTCTGTTACACTGTTAGCAAACCCCTGGGTCGGATTTGCTTGATACCTACTTCCACATACCGACTCCCATATGAGCGCTGTTACACGTCATATCAAAGAAATTAAGATGGAGCTTCTTTTTGGGAACCATTTTGACTGAGTGAAAATAATGGCAGGGAGAAAATGGAAATGGGTTTGAGAAAAGAGAGGAATGCAAGTGGTTGACAATTGATAAGACGATGAAAGATCCCACAGCTTTATAACCTACCTAAGGCTAGCTATGGGTTTGCGTTAGTCAACGGCCGAGCCGACATATAGGAGTACCTAGGGAATGCCTTCCGTTTCGTAGCACTTCCGAATCAACGAAGATGGCGCCCATGATAGAAGCACCTCAAGAACTGATTTTGAAGACGATTCGCTATTCCTGAATCCGATAGTTGTAATAATATGGGGAGATGTCCGCAGGGCGGGAATCGCTTCCGACAACCTCAAAAGTGTGCAGAAGTGGGATAACAGAATACTTGGCTACCTAGGTAGTGACCACCAGCAATCTTCTGGTTTGTAGAGGTATGTTGACTTTAGTGCTGCGAGAATAACTGAAATTATCGACAAGTTTGTTCAGGCAGCTTTCATGAAACATGGTGGATTTTTGTGAACTTTCAGACGTGTCGTGCCAGCATAGATTGATGAGTACCTAGGTACCTAGTCTTCAGGGGAAGCTATAGAGCTGCGATCCCCCAAAAGCCGAGCCCCTGCCATGTTTGCGTATCCTCGAAGCCACGGGGAGCAGTCTGTCCTATTCAAGCACTGGATCTGGCTCAATAAAGCGCATGTTCTTAGTTGCAACGACCTTACAGACGAATGTAATTTTGTAAAAGCCAAACCTAGTTGTTGTGACGAGGAAGTTAACACTAGGCGTTTTCTTGGCAAACGCGCGAACACGTGACTGAGAAGTCGCGCTCACGCCAGCATGGATCCCACTGGAGATAAGCAACTTCGCGACCTCCCACCCTTCGTACAATGTGCTTATCTCGAGGCTATGCGGATCCGAATTCCAGTGGCTCGTGGGAGCATTTCAGCGGCACTCTCCAATCGAAAAGAAACATGCAGTACAATGTGTCAATCGTATCATTTTACCCGCATTGCAACAACACGCCGAGCTCGAGAACACCCCTAGAAAACCAATAGAGAGCCAAATGGACGAAGTAGACCTCAACACCCCACCGCCAGCTTCAAGCCCAGACGATGATGCAATATCACCGAGCCATACGAGTAAACCTGCCAGAAGATCGAGGGTTTCTTTGGCTTGTCAAAGATGTAAAAGACGTAAACAGAAGGTATGGATGTGTTCCTAAGTCCTGCTAGAAGACCTCCTGTGTCTGACTCCGTTTGCAGTGCAATGGTGACCAGCCATCCTGTGGTCGATGTATCAAGTTGAACTTAGAATGTCACTATGTGATGCCAATCAACCAAAAGCCGGGCCAGGCCAAAATATACATCAAGGCGTTAGAAGACCGGGTAGCTGAATTGGAGATGCTCTTGACGAGAGGGGGAGATACTACTGTATCTCATGACCACTGGAACGATCGTCCAGACGGATCCGACCATACCGAAGAAAGTGACATTCAACCTCTCCTTAACGCAGTCCGTGACCTATCCTTGGATGTGGCAGGTTCATACGTAGGTGGAGCATCAACCATCACTCTTGGAAGAGCCTTGGAATCGGCTTTAGCTGGCAAGACAACTCTCAATTTGCCGCCTGGAAGCTACGATAGAGCATACAATATGGGCAGAGGGTCCCTTACAGTAAGCGATGTGAGCTCTCTGCCTGGTGTGCAAGACGTAAGCGTCAGTCACCTTGACCAGGAGCAGGCAGATGGCATGGTACACGCGTATCTCGGCCATCTGTATACAAACTTTCCTATAATGTATTCATACGATGTTCTAGATCTGCACAAGCGACGTCACGTACTGACGGATGTTTATGAGGAGAGCATTCTACATCTCATATATGGACTCGGAGGACATTTCTTAGAAAAGGTAAGCCGGAATATTCTGCCTTATAGCAGTATTAACAATTAATCAGACAGGGGATACCACAGGCGCATACTCACCAGAAAGACACTACGAAATTGCGCTAGACAATCGTGAAGCCATCTTACGGCTGGGTGATACTCGATCCCTTACCTATCTACTCCTCTTGTCTCAACATTGTCTGAGAATGCCAAAAGACCCTGGTGCTTGGTAAGGCTTTCTGCTGGTTGATACCAATCTCCAAACCTCCCCTTCGCTTTTGTTGACCGTCTGAACAGGACTTTCGTTGGCCTGGCTATGAGAATGTGCGTTGAGTTGGGGCTCCATCGACGCCGTCAATCATCACGTTTGTCCCTGAGGTCAGAGCTGAACAAGCGCATCTTCTGGGCATGTTATTACTGGGATAGAGATATCTCAATTGCCCTAGGTCGTCCACCCTCGATTTCCGATCACGATATTGATGTCGAGGTAAGTTCGTCGCCTTCTTTGATGACGCATAGTTCTAACCGTCTTAAGTTACCGCTGGATGTTGACGAGGCAAATCGTAGTGTGGATGCGTTGCGACTTGCTTCAGAAGCAGACAAGTCAATTCCCGTCCTCCCGGAAACCACCATGACATGTTACATTCATCTTCTTCGACTGAAGAGAATAGATTCGGATATTCAACACTTGATTTACCGAGTCGATACTAAAATATCCTCTCAAGATATCTATAGGATAACTGATGTGTGTCTGGATCGACTTTTGGCCTGGAAAAGCGCCATCCCCCAACAAAGTACTCAGGTAGCTCCAAGTGATCGCCACAATTTCAGGGGCGACGAATACCACAGTTATGACTCCTATGTAGGTTTGATCTACTCTCTACTATTCGCTCCTCGCAGTGTATTCCACTTGCTCATGTTCAGAGGCTAATTGGTGAACAGATGGCTTCATACCACAAAAGCGTTCGGCTTTTGCTTCAGCCCCGTTTATACGAGAAGCAGATCAACCCGCGATATCTCGAAATTTGCGCTGAGTCTTGTAGAGGAGTTTGTGAAACCTACAAACGAATTCATTACCGAATCCCATTAGTCTTTACATCTGTTTCGCTCCAAACGGTATTTCTTGCAGGTATGTTATATTGTTGTTGATAGCGAAGGAGTGGCATTATGAACTCATACTGATCAAGTACTGGCAGGTCTGACACTTGTGTACTGCATGTGGCATGACTTCTCAAGTAGCAATGGCTTCAAAAGTGTCGGTGCACTTACCGACTGTAGCATCATTCTATACGTGATGACTGAAAAATGGCCAGCTGGGAGAAAGTATCGAGATCTGTTCGAGTCTGTAAAACAATCTGTACTCGATGCCATCTCAGAAGAAAAACACATTCCAGGAACCGCTGTGCCATCTTTGAAAGACGAGATGCAGTTGAACACACAAGGTCTACACGTAAATCCTGATACCGAGGGTATCCGCGAAGACTTGGAGCAAATGATCGGTGACATGACTGGCGAGCAAATAACACTATGGGACGATGTTGACATGACCCTAGGGGGGGGTCTTGAGCCAGATTTCACTATACCTATCGAGGGCTCTTTGTCTTCACAGGCTGGTACGCTTTGGGAAGTGCCAGAAAATGGTGGTTGGTTTGATAATCCATACACAGATACAAATCATATCCTTGGTTCGTAGGGTTTTTGTTCACGTCATCAAAGTTGCAAAGAAAAGTTCAATTAAAATCAGTTCATACATCTGGTTTCTGAACAGACTTTCAGGCGTTCTAGATAGCGCCAATATTTGGATCGTCAAAAGGTGGAATCAACGGCCGCACAACGGGGTTACTCGTGATGGGTCTCAAACAAATTGGACATGGATTCAAGCCACCAAAAATGCTTGAGCGCATCTCAGTATCTACCTAGGTATCTTATCTGCTTCGGCCTGACTTGTTGTGTTCAGCGTTCCCCACTATTCATGAATCTTGAGCCCCACTTTCTTATCGGAGATGTATATAAAGTTATCAGCAGCAATACCAGCCATGGAGCAAGAGGGACACCCAAAACACAAGGCTATGCGTCATTGGCTGCCGTGGTCCCAACGACATGGTACGGTTTGTCCCTACCGAAGCCAGGTACATGTCGGAACAGCGATGCCGCTTACTCGTTCTCCAGTATTGGAGTATTGGAATGCTCGATTCATCAGCTTTCAACTCTTGGGACAATGTTGCCACCGGACTATGCCTTAGTCTGTCAGCGTTCGTCGTCGTTTTGAAGCGTTCAAATCTACCCTTGATGGCAAAACAGGTCTAGTCTATATCTCAATCTGATAGCTCTGTGGCTTCGCGGTCTGATAAGCATCTTGGGCGTGTGGGTGTTTCCAAGACGAGTGTGCTGATAACGGATTTTATATAAAGCTTCGGAATTCTGTCTGAGATTTTCTAGAGCTCTGCATTGTCTATACTCCTTGGAAAGATTCGGGACAGTTGTGAAACTGCCAGTTCAAAATCCCTTAAAATAGCCGAGACACACCATCAGACATGTCGAAGTATTTGAAGTGGGCAGAGCTACCAGCGAGAGAAGACATCTATCAAGATCGAGGGACAACAGAATGGGGTAATCACGACTTATACCCAATTGTACCAAAAGAGCGGACATATGGACGAGGTGCCTTCCTGCTATATTGGTTGACTTGTGGTGGCGGTCTGTCTACCTTTGCCATTGGAAGCTCTTACATTGCCGTTGGCCTGAGTGCAGGTCAAGCTATTGGAGCTGTCTTGATTGGAGCATGCCTATCAAGCATGAATGCACTGCTGTGCGGACGTGCTGGGGCCGAGAAAAATTTGGGCTATGTGAGTCGAAAGCTAAGGATCTGAAGCTAAGACTAATCTTTTACAGACAATGATGGCACGAGTCTCTTTTGGACTACGTGGAATGTGGCTCCCTCTTTTCTTCCAAATCATGGGCAATATGGTTTTCGTAAGTCTAGTGGTCTCTAATATCTACTTTTTTGGCTAATCAAATCCATAGTTTGGTCTTCAGGCTGTGTACGGAGGTAAATCAGAAATTCGCTCTCTTCTTCTGGGTAATCTAACCGCTGTACAGGACAAGCAATCGGACTCATGATCAGCGCCATAATCCCAGGTTTCAAAGATCTCAAAAACACACTTCCCGCAAGGTATACATTCTAGCCAGGTGATATATATTGAGAAATACTAACAATCGCACAGTTCGGGAACAACCACGCATGATATCATTGGGTTCTTTCTCTATATCATCACTTATCTACCGATAGTGATATTTATCCAACCACACCGTCTCGAGAAATTCATGTGGCCAGCGCTAGTAGGAACCATTGCGTGTGTTTTCGGTATCATGGCATGGGCAGTACACACAAACGGCGGCTCAGCAGGCGATCTTGTATCCCCAGCTATTCCACTCTCTACCGCCAATCGAGCTTTCAGATTTGTCCAATGTATCTCTAGTATCTGCGGCACTTATGGCGGAGCAGCCGACCGATTTTCCGACTGGACTCGATTCTCGAAGAACAAGAACTCCTACATTGTTGGCTCTGCGACTGCTATGCCAGTTGTCATCACTTTATGTGCTCTCTTGGGTACATTGACTGCCAGTGCGACAAAAGCACATTACGGAAAGGCTATGTGGCAACCGCTCACTATTCTGTCTTTCATTCAGACTGAACATTACACTGCTGGTGCTCGAGCTGCGACCTTCTTTGCTGGCTTGGCAATTTATGCTCATCAAATCTTCGTCAACGTTACGCAAAATAACGTTGGTGCTGGAATGGATCTTGCTGGGATCTTTCCTCGATATGTCTCAATGAAGAGAGGTGCTCTGTTCTTGCTCGTCATTGGTGTGCTATGTCAACCATGGAGATACTTGACGCAAGCGACTATTTTCTTATCTGTCGTGTCGAGTTTTGCTGGTATGTCATCTGTCGCAACTCCTTATAGATGAAGAAGACTAACACATTGATACAGTTTTCGCATCTGTGACGACCATAATTCTGATTCTTGACTACTGGTTCATCCGCAAGCAGATGTGGAAGGTTCCTGATCTTTTCAAAGGTGGACCAGAATATATATACTGGTACTACCACGGCGTCAACCTCAGATCCTGCTGCGTCTTTGTAATTACAGTCATTCCATCATTCCGTAAGATTACCCCCTGAAACGCGTTCTCTACGGTAATCCACTAACATAGACACAGCCGGACTCGTAATGTCTCTCATGGGCCACACAACAGGCGCAGCTGTCAAAATATACCAAATCACCTACATCTTCGGATTCGTCCTAGGCGGTATCCTCTACTTCACTGTCAATAAGATCTGGCCTCCACCAGGCGTTGGTATTGCGGAGCCTTTTGATGAAGCTGCAATTGTGGGCGTTGCGCCAAGCTTTGATGGAAGTGATGATATTGGGCTGGGACACAAGGACGCCATGAACGTCGATGACAAGGAGATTGCACAGAATCAAAGAGATTCAAGAGTGTGAGTATGCGGGTGTGCAGTGTCAGGCGAGCTTAGAGATATTAGAATTCTATGAATATTAGACAGAAGGTTTTGACGATAATCCGTTATAGTTTCTAGAGGCTTTCATCAGTTGGAGTGCTAGAATTCAAATTCATGATTACCTGGCCCGATTCGTGCTTCCGATGGCCTGCATGCACTCTTTATGGTCTTGTATTCGGAAGAGCAAATTATTTAATCAGTGCTCATACTAACGAAACCCAGTTAAACTGTGGAGCACGTAATTTGAATCCCTAAATTGAAGCCGGCGCTGCTTCCCAGTGTAGAAAGCACGTTATCTTTGCTGGGTCGACGCCATAATCACGTTCTCGCTCCATTCCGGATCTAGTTAAAGTACTTGAATACGATGAACGCGACTAATGAATCTGATACGTCGCTAAATTAGGAGCTGTGTGATGAGCTTTTGAAACTTAAGACATCAACAAGGGCATTGCAAGCCCGACGGGAGATCTCTTATCTGTGATAGTTTTAGAAAGCTACCATCCAACAATGCTTCCTCGATTGATACACCTAATCCTTTTGGCAGAGGTGATATTTTACGTATACTTAGACGGATTGAGCAAATATGGCGCTTTGCGAAGAATACTGTTATTCCACCAACAAAAGTGGTGGTATCCCATGAGACTTACAACACACTGGTGATCCAATTAAGAATAACGTCACATTATACAAATAAAAATTGTCATATCAAAACAAGTAATTGGCGATGGATAATGTACCAGTTCTAACGGGGATAATATGGTAATAATTCGATTGTTCTAGCACAGAAATACGGTATACCCACCTAGATAATGGACGTTCTACACGTTCCACGTGATACTCATGTGCCACTATTCTCACCCTGGTGACCATTTGTTAGTGGCTCTTCCATCTGTGACTTCTTTGCATTCAACTCTATCTTCCGTCCAGGATGTGATTCAGGCAAGAATGGTTGTCCTGGAGCAGCTTGCAAGTTCTCTCTCGCTGTTCCCCCAGGGGCCGCATAGTCAGTCCAATATATGCCTCTTTTCTGCAGCTCAGGGATGAGCAGTTCTACGATATCCTCGAAGCTACCAGGACTGGTCACGTCTTTGAACTGTTAGCTAGTGTCAAGTATTTTTGGAGGTAGGACTCACAATTGAGATTGAAACCGTCAATGTCGCCTTCTCTCCACCATTTCTCGAAGAAATCAGCCACCGTTTCAGCTGTTCCGACTGGTCGTGGACCTGAGCCTCCAAGTGCAAACATCTCAGCCACGACCCTTGGAGTGAACACCTTTTCGGTTCCAATCAGCTTGATATTATCAATAACACCTTGAATGGAGTTATCATGATGCTTCCCAGCAAAATCAAACTCCTCATCAACCTCATAAGCACTTAAGTCCACGTTTGTAAAGCCGCAGAACCGGGCGAGTCCTCCATTGATACTAAGTCGGGCTTTGGCAGTTGCAAGCTTGGCTTCTGCTTCTTCCTGGGTGCGCCCTAGAATTGGCATGATTCCTAAAAAGAACTTGATCGAAGACGGATCACGGCCTTCAGCGGCAGCTTTCGCACGTACAGCTGTAGTGTACTTCTTTGTGGACTCAATTGTTGGATTGGCACAGAATATTGCTTCGGCATGTTTCCCGCCGAATTCGATGCCAGATTTCGAGGACCCAGCCTGGAACAAAACAGGCGTCCTCTGTGGCGATGGGTGGGTCTGGTGAAAAGCGTGCATTTTGTGGTATTTACCGTCGTACTCGACTTTGTGAATTTTGCTAGGGTCGTATGCCATTTCTGGCTCTTCTTGCCAAACCTGGGCACCATCTTCCCACGACTTCTCCCACAATCTTCGAAATTAGCATCTTTCCGGGGACTCAATAAATTTTGACTTACTGGTATACAATATCCATATACTCTTCTGCTGCGAGGTATCTTTCGTCGTGCGGCATCACTTGATCTTGGCCCATCGCTTGGGCGGCCGAATTACTATGACTTGTCACAATATTCCAACCAACACGCCCATTTGTAAGATGGTCGAGCGAAGAATATGTGCGTGCGAGTATATATGGTGCTATTAGAATGATCAGGTTTGCTGACTGTCTAGGCCTATTGAGTTACTAACGGATATATGATGTGCTTGCAGTTATTCCGAATGAGACAGAATTTGTTACAGCTGCCATAGCCGAAATAGTCATCAAAGGATCAAGTTTTCCAATATGAGAACCTCCCTAATCCTCTAGTCAGATATCTTACTTTATCAGTAATTCTCAACAAACCCTATAGGAAGCGTCAGCTGAACCGCCATAGATATTGTGTCCAGCATAACTATCAGCGATAAAGATAGAAGTGATTTTCCCTTTCTCCGCGAGTTTCGCCAGCCAGAGCCAATAATTCAAGCGATCCTTCTTCCTGCCAATATCTTCAGGGTCTCTACATTCTCGTTAACCAGCGTCTCTTCAACCATAAAAGTACCGACTTACTTCCATTGTCCAATCGCAGTGTGGCTTCCTGTGCAGGCGGCGTCAAAGAAATTCAACTGCATCATCTTTTTGGGAGGAGTCGCCATTTTGCCAAAGTTTGCTACTGGTAGACAACAATCAGTTGCAGGAGAAAGTCATTTACAAACCTCCGCGCATCCCAGGCACTTGCCCTCTATAAATTTGAATTACCGCCACTTTTGCGGTTCCAAAACGATACAGGTACTAAGCGGCATGGTAGCTCCGCTGCGGTACTTTCAACCGACGACGGCAACCATTTCGTGAAAGAACACTGCAAACACTGTTTCGGTCAGAACATATGCATATGTATGATCCATCAAACGCAATGGAACACTGGGTCCATTCAGAATGGGGAAATGGTTATCAGTTATCTTCGCGACGTCGGGGGGTTCGTCGCCAAGGTTTGTGTTCCTTGGAGCGAGGTTCCGAAGCTTTCGAGCTCGAGGTAATGATCATGTCGATTTTGCAACAAGATTCGAATTATTCAGACTCGAGCTCAGAATTATCATTCCACAAAGGAGGTTCGGATCGGAATATCGTCAGTACGGAGCAGCTTCCCAACAACAGTGAAGCAAAGTGTGTCGGAAAGGATATCACCAGAATTGACGCGTTGCTGCCATCGCATGCCACCAAGAAGCGACCTCAATCAAGCAAGAGTCGCTTGTTTGATGTTGATCTTAGAAGAGACGCGTAAAAATACGGTGTATCTTTACTCTTGAACATGTTGTGATAAATAGGTGGGATAGTATTGTACCAACGACGGGAAGAAAAGTATTCGATTGAAAACATCGTGTCGGTCGCGTATGGTGTTTCCGGCCCGGTGTGGATGCATTCGGCTCCGAACACGCCGACATCCCGAAATGCTCATGAGAATCAATTCATGAATATGAGCTGCTACAGTTATTAACTAATTGAACAAGTATACTAACTTGCTGAGGGAGAGCGTTGTCCTTGTAGAAGGATATAGGCTGCAGAAGTAAGCGATGTTGCGGAGGACAAAATTGATGTCAGTTACTAACCCACTAATATTTAGACTAAATAAGTCGACTTCGAACAGAGTTTATAAGTCTTATTTACTCAAAATAGTTGACTGGATATGTCATACTGTTCCAAGTTTATCCACTACATTACGATATTTCGTCGACTTAATCGAAGAAATATCGTCTTTCGGCTACCACTTATTTTGTCCACCGCGAGGCGATAACATGTTGTCTTCGAAAAGCAAACTCAGAAATATGGGTTAGAAAATTTCATATTGTCTAGTCATATGAGAGATTGCGTGTAACAATTGACACCAAGATCAGCTTTAGAAATCCAAAATCGAGGAACACATCTAACTGAGCGACACCCAGATGATCATGACCTCGCTCACAACTTCGTTCTGACTTCCCTATGGCTTAACCTCAAAACGCGGTGGCTCTTTTGGACCCTCATGATCCACTCCCCTCTCCCAAACCAGTTTTCCTTCGTCCTCATCCGGCTTCTTCGCATCATATCTCACGATCCTCCTCACCCGTCCCCCTTTCCTGAGTATACCAGGCAGCTCATATAGATACCAATAAGCAAGCTTGGGAGCCGGATAAGGTTTCAAGGGATGCGCATTTTTCGGGAGCAAAACATGGATCGTCCCTTGCGCCATTAAGCCGAAGTAGTACGACAACATGGCATCCGCTTTCCAAAGATTATCATCGTCGACTTCATCCAGAACGTGGTTCTTGAAGGACTTGCTGAAGAGATCATGAAAGCTAACGGGCTTACCACCTTCCATGTCTACATTCGCCTCTTGAAATGCACGGATTTTGTCGCTGCCGCCTTGACCTGAGTAGAAAGCCCAGTTCTTGCTGTCCCCCCAAATGCCTTCCAGGTTGTAGGCCTTGATGTACTTATCAACGTCGTCGAGAGTTAAATCTCTGTTCTTGCTTCCCTCTTCAGGTATTAAGTTTTCGTCGAATTCTTCGCTTTCGTCCATATCATCGTCGGAGTCTATTTCGCCTGCTTCACCTTCCTCCACTTCTTCCGCCTCCTCTTGATCAGCGTTTCCTTCTCCAGCTCCCTCTTCTTTGGAATTGTCTCCTCGCCTAGCCTCATCTTCCGTCATCTCATCGTCCGGGTTGACCTCTTCTTCAACTTCGTCTTCTTGTTGATTTCGAGACATTTTGTCGATGAGCTGGCACACTTTTGGAGATACAGATGCTTTTAACGATTGAAAATTTTGGGATTTACTGATAAGTCAGCAAATTTACAGACGCCATTCAAGTTACGAAAACCTAACCTACGAATTATGGCTGTACCAAATACAGACCTACTTTTAAATGAGAAACGTGTTTCGAGATAAGACGAGTCTTTTTGATCCAGTTTGATATAGTAAGAAGTTGTGGAGAGTTGAAATTCAACACAGTAGAAACAAGAATTTCAACCTCTTTATATTCATTTTTTAATTCCCTGAGTACAACAATGCGGCGTTAGTCTTACACATTCGCAGTTAACAGGATCTATGCATACCAATGCTCGGGTGTGACAGTCTATGCTTCTAAGCCATAACCTTAGCTGAAAAGGAATCGAACCATTACAGCTACTTCCTATTAAATGCAAATATTAGAGCTCATCCATTCACTTGACCAATGAGTATATTTGAAATCAATCGCTGCAGATTAAAGTTGCCAAGAACATCTGACATTACAAGATGACCCATACCGGTAACCTACATCTAGATTTTGTGATCCAACTCGATGAGTTTGCGCAAAGATGAATAAGGAATGACGGATAGTACTAAGCCAAATATGCTGATATTTGCCACTCTCAAGCAAGTTAATAGCCGAAGACTTACTATTAACCGTGCGAGATAGCCGCAATGTTTGTTACTTTTGATATAAAAAGTAAATTTGCAAAGACAGCTTGCACGCCACGAAAATTGAAACATGTCAGCTCTTAACGAGCAATCCTCTGCGATAATTGGCGGCTCTTAAATCCGTGGTCTTTCGTGGCTAAGATTGACGATGTTCGCTTATCTGACAACGCTCATTTTCAGGTACTTCACGAGCGATTGTTCCATATAGCGACCTGATCTTTAACCACTTACTCGGCACAACCTCGACGTCTCCTATACAAAAAGCAGTTGTTCTCCTGCATATCTTCAAGACAAGTGTTGTCAAGCCCTTGGTCAAGAATCTGATATCTGACACCTCCCGCGATCTGTGGAACCTCTTTTGTTTTTGCTTTTTCCGCGAAGCCAATGACGGAGCTTGTACAACCCTGGGTTGGAGAAATACAATTGGCACAATTGGTGTGGTGGGTATGACAAGTGAACAGCCACCGGAGAGCTGAGAATCGATAACAATGCTGTACAGATGTGCATATTTTAGATACTTCGTTACATGAACTCACTTTGTTTCTTTCTCCGCAGTGGACGGCTCTCCTCATAGCACAGCTAAGGGAAAGAGGCTTAGAGAGCGATGTCAAATATGACCATGCTGCAGGCTGTTGCCGGGAAAATATCAATTGTCATTGGAGTATCCCAATTATGTTGACGGGACGAAGAACCCCGAACTTCTGAATGAATAAGCAATACAAGGAACTGTCATTTGAAATACGTTGAAACAAAACACGCTTTCTTCCCAAAAATTATGTGTCGTTGCCGGATACCACCGTCTGTAGGCTTCGATGGGTAAACTGGCGAGGCACACCGGTGATATTGAGGGTGGTCAGCAAAGCCTCAAAGTTTAATCAATTGATGTAGCCTTGCAGTCGGTTCGCCGTGAAGGGCAGGTCGACTAGGTAGATACAGTATGCAACAGCAGTTTTGGTAAGGTAGATTTGGTGCCAGATTTGGAGTAGCATCTAGATCCCAGCCAGATATCAAAGGTTGTTTCTTCATTTCTTCTTTGTATCGCTTTCTCTAGCGTACTATTCGGAGTGCTCATTGAGAGTCCGTTTGAAAAAGGATGATTGACGGCAGTAGCCTACGAGGCAAACGGTTCGCAATGAATTAGGAAAGTGTATCCGAGAATATCAACGGCTTCGTACTCTTCATATGGAAAATGACTTCGAAGACGCCTCATTAAGGCAGAACGCACGACTTAAGGAGGGCGACGTCGACAATACATGCAACCAGGATTTTTATAATTGACACCAATTACTTCCTGCTCCAGCCGATTGAGACAATGTTCCTCTTTTACTCCAGCCGTTAGGGCTAACTTGCTTTTGCGGCATCACTCTCCGTTCGGCCCGGCTAAGCCACATCGTTCGACCGAAGAGGTTTCGGTGAGTGGTAGCTGATGAGTCAATTGATATGGTTGTTCATGCGTTATGGTCATTGCCATGAGCTTCGAATTGGATACCGGCCTTCTCGACTACCATTAGTTAGACACTTATAAGTAACGAGTGCAGGTAAGTACAAGGCTTTACTTCGCCTTAACTTTTGTATCGGTCTGAACAGCCAGAGTTGAGATTCAGTATCGGCATGTGACGGGAGTTAATGCGTGAAAGCCTAGAGGTAAGACATTTACAATTTATCTGTCGGGCTCATTACTGGTCTCAGGTAAGAGATAGCGGGACAATTGCTCTATGCGAGCAGAGATGATTCTCCGGAGAATGCCACCCAACTGCCCTAAGGTACTGGATCCAGGCGTATTTAGAATTAAGAGAACAATGGTGCCCAAAACAGCCTCAAATGTGCTTGCTGCCCAACCTGTTGCCTGTCGCTGCTATTTACTGACAATGACTTGTTCCTCTTGCAAATCCCTGAATCATCAAAACATATCTGAGTGCAGGCGAGCACTTCCCAGATACGCAACGACGCATATCGAACTTTTGCACGACATACTTCGAAGTAGCTGCGAGAGAGTACAACTTCGTTGCGACAGAATTGGAAGTTGCAGCGAAGATCAAGAGAAGCAAACCGGCAGCTAACCCCGCGTTGTCCATTGAGGTAATAACCCGGTCTCCACGTTATATTCAAAGCACAACTAATGCGCAACAGTTTCCTTGCTTAGCTTTAGGTGCTACAACACTTCACAGAACCCGTCCAAGACGGCACATGGAGTAATTCCCGGCCGAGAACCCCAACAAATTCGGCATCCACCACGAAGACGGCCCGGAGGCGCAAGAACTATGTCTCAACCCGGCAGAAATAATGCCAGCGCTCCAAGAAATGTACGCTTAGCTCACCCAAGCTCAAGGCCTAGAGCCGGGGACGAGGACATCCTCAATACCGCCACTATTCGGGAGCTCTTCTCAGATCTTACAAGAGGCTTAAGTGACGCTGCCGTGAAGGATAAGGTGACGAAATGTGAGATCTGGCGAGAGGCGAGCTACCAACAAGACAATACCAATCAACAGAACGCGCCACGCGCGGGAAATCGACAGTAGCAAGTACAACCATGGCCTCAGCAGCAGAGTAAGAGGCCAAGAAGCAAACAGAATTCTGCTCTCGTTGAGAATGACGCCGGCCAGATTTTCTAAGCAAAGTGTCGAGACAGCTCTAAGATATATGTCACTCGACAAACGATGACTGATGGTGGTTCGAAATACGATAACCACGAATGACAGTCCGTAAGAGGTGGATTGGCCAATTGTGAAGACAGACTGTTAAAGTCTGGCAACGCGATCGAGGTCTCCGATATCCCTGGCGACGGAGTATACGCTCGTTGAGACTCTCTTTGAAGGATAATGGAGCCGGTGGATAGGTGCAATTGTATTGGTATCTCTGTCGTTTCAATTAATAATAATTTCACCTGCTAGAAAGGCAATTCTCCACAGCTTACCTGAACCATCTCTCTCTGTTGCCGTTGCCGTTTCCGAAGTATATTGTCGCACAACATGTGCCGAATGTAATCTTTCCCACGTTATACCTTCCATACTTCGTACCGTTAGATGTACACCACTGGGGTAACATCGCTTTCGTCCCGGACGCGGGATAACGTGGGATTGTTGCGTGTATCTGGCACAAAAGTAACAGTAATTCGCATATACGCCCAATCGCTCCAGTCGTATTCGAGTTCGTTGGGCAGTAAAGATGACGCAGGAAGCTGTCGTGAAAGTGCCGTGTCTCGTGAAAAATCTGCCAGCGAGTACACAGCTTAGATTTCACCGCTTCAACTTGGGGTTGTACCTCCGAGTCACAAGGAGGATTGATGCTGTACTCAGTCGTCGCCAAGAATTATTTTGCATCCGGGCCAATAGCTTATATCAAATGTTATCAAACTCGAGTGGGACCGCACCCGACGTAGCGGGTCGAGTACCATTAAGGTCTCCCTATTTCGATTTATCATTCGAAAGCGGTTCTAATTAGTAGATCGTAATGCATGATAGATCTTGCAGTCAAGTCTCCCGCCTCCGCGCACGTTGTTCGAAACTCCTTGTAACTCTAAAGCCTACCGGCTGCTAACCGGAAGAAATTTGTTATTGATTCGTGGAAGATGGTACTCTGAGGCCGATGGAGTACATCAGGAAGTGTATCTACAACCATCTAGCCGTGATGTATGCCACGATTCATCTCGAGATACTGGGATATTAGTACGTTGAGATAACAAAAATGGTCGTTTTCATGCCAATGCCAGCGTTGAATCTTCGAGGCAAGAAACAAAACTCGGCAGAGGAAGTAGCCTTCGAGTCGAAGACCAAGGTCCGTGGGGTTGTAACACGCCGACAACAAACAGAAGTAAAAGATCGGCAAAATGGATAATAAGACGTATCAGCTGCATTGCCAGTAGAGCATACTCTCGCGATGGATTGCTTCCGAAGCATTCCGACCGGTATAGCTACTGCCATGGGCCGTTAATGACTGTGACGAAATAGGGCAAAAAATAAACAGGACCAAGCAGCGAATTTGCAAAGATGGCAGTTGCATAACTTGAGGGTCAAAGTATAAAGGAAAGGTTCGATAGCCTCAATCTGGAGTGCTGTCCACAATTAACATTGCGTTTACGGATAACGGGCCATTATATATGAAGGATTCTTGGAAAACATACCTCGGACAACAATGAGTCAAAGAGATTCTGATACTAGCTTCTATACTCTGGACTTTCTTGAGCAAATTGGTGCCATGGCAGGCGCTTCGCGATCCCCTTGTCTGGAGCAGATGGAGAAAGGCTCAAAAGTGCTGAAGACCATGCTCACATTCAAAGAGATCGAGAATGAAATCGGCAAGGAGTCAGTCCTTCGAGTGATGATAATGGACAAATTGAACTAATTGCTTTCAGACTCGCGAACAAAAATTCGGCTACCGACCTCACCAAAGAAAATATTTCGCATCAATCGGTCGGCCCAACCATGCTTGACTGCTGGTCTGACACCCCAGAACGACATGAGTGGATCACGTATAGAATGCAAAATAGTTGAAGCTTTTGGAACTGCTGTTAATCTAAATGGAAGTAATTGAAACCAAGGATGAAAGGTGCAATTCAGAAGGGGCAATACCAGAATAGTTCTTCGACTAAGTTGACGAAATATCGTAATTTAGTGGATCAACTTAGAACAATATGACTATTTCGTCAACTGTTTTAAGTAAATGAGACTTTTTAAGCTCTATTCGAAGTAGACATGTTATTTAGTCTAATAAATAAGATTCGGGGGTTAGGATTGACTGCAACTTATTTTGCCCTCCGCGAGCTGGGCATGCTGAAAAGAGTTCTGGTCCAATAAATACACCTCAGAACGCCCAAAAATTAGGTCATTCCAGTGTACAGAGCCAAACATCTTTTGGTTTCCTCGAGACGTGATTGACGGAAACACAGCGTGCGACGGGAGTTGCGAGACTACATTAGCCGGTACAAAATTAGACCAAACGTTCTATAGGTGTAAACACATCAGCAACACGACCGTTATTTGGCATATGTGAGCTTCTCATGCTACTGACACGTAGATTCGATGTCGCAGAGAGGACAGCGAAAGAGAAAAGTCACATCTTGATCATGCGATGAGGTCCTACAGAGTTTAACGCTTCTGAATCGGATAGTGTCACATATACCATGTTTTACATAATCATATAGTTCATACCAAATTGCCTAAACCATATCATTCATTTTTCTCGTCATCTGCGTCGGGCTTTTCCTCAAGCGTAACCTCCGTTACTTTTTCCCCTCTACGCACGCCGTCTTTCATCACAATGTTATATTTCCCTCCCAGAACCAAATCTTTCGCTACCAGTTCTCTCGTTCGGCCCAAAGACTCGATATCAGCAATTCGTTGAAGAGTTCCTTCAAGGTGCTCGTCGAAGCCTTCTTGAGAACATATGTCGCGAAAGGCTCTTTGCATAGGGACGGAATCTGCCCGCACGAAAGCAGTGCTTGTGATAGTGAAAAGATTTACGTGGTCATACTGTTTAATAAAATCTGCTCGGGTCATAATCTCTCGGGCTTTATGAAGAGGGATCTGAGGAATTTGGTGAGGTGATGCGTTTGGTGAAGCTTGCAGGGCATCTTCCGCTTTTACGAGTGCTTGGGCGAGAACCATCGCAGCCGACTGTGATGAAAGAGTTCGTTAGCTTAGCATTTTCAAGGCCACTTTGAAAGACAGCGCCGACTCGCAGTGGCAGTCGCAACAAGCGAGGACTCTTTCTCAGGTCACCGAGCCGCTGGATGATGAAAAGTTTCGACCAAGATCGCTCTTCCTCATGGCAGGTTTACTACCAAAATCACTTACAGCGTATTTCTGTTGATCCATAACGTCGTCATCCATCTCCATACCCAGAATCCAGCATTGATTGAGAAACCATCGCTTCTCGGTATCAATGATTAAGTTGCATGTCTCCAGCATGTCTTTGGATTTGGCGACGCGGTTCAGATACGTCAGCCGTCCACCAACACGGTTGTACACTTCAGTCAGAATTTTTGACTCGGGTGTCTCTGCAAAGTATCTCTGTCTATATTTAGCCAGTGCGGACATCGCCTGAGGTTTAGGGAGGTCGGTAACGGAAGTTACTTCCATACGTGTCGCGAGAACTTTAAGCCGTTCATATACCCAATAATCATCGCTGTTGAACACCATAGTTACCAGATTACTTGCTGCCCACTGCTCGGCGCGCTGTTGCAGAAGCTCAAGTAGGTCTCTCCCGTCTTCGTCGTCTCTTAAGAGATGAACTGCATTGATAATCACGACAAGTGGTCGTCCAACGTCTTTTCGTCTCTTTAACGCCACCTTTTCAAGCTTGTTGAAGGCTCTTTCAATGTCTAACAACGCAGTAGTATCTCTGGGACCCCTCTCCGAAAAGTAAGAGCCAATGTAATCCTCGTGGAATTCATAGTCAAGAGCCTTGCCGAGGCGAATCCGAAAGATTTCAAGATCTGCATGCGCTTCAAACATGCTGATACCTTCTCCGTCGACTTTCTTCATAGCATCGAGAAGCATAGAGCTTTTCCCGGTTCCCTTCTCTCCAATCAGGAGATGATAGTGTCCTCGTTCTGTACCATCAACAATGCGATCAATCTTCACTTGCTCATCTCGTAAGATCCAATGATCATCGTTCTCTTGCCCTCTGCTGGTGGTGATTGAATTAGGAATCTGCTTTCCAATCGCAGCCAGTTCTAAAACAGGATCGCCTGGCTTGAAGGCACCCTCTATCTTCTGTAGAACCATCCATTTGTAAAATTTATGATATAAATAGCCACCGAGTCCAAAGCCGGTGCCTAGCACAATAATTGACGCAAAGGCTGTTGCAGCTGATTCAAGCATCTTCGAGCCAATTGTGGACTGATCATTCTGACCTGAAGTATCGAATCGTGTCCTGGGACCATGCTCCTCATACGAGCCGGAGGATTCCGAGTGACGGGATCCATTTCTATCACCATTCGGTGAGGATGGTCCTTCTACGAGTGGTTAGCAAGAATACACTGGCTCACGACACGCTTTTCTAACGGCACAGGCATGGCTATGGTCCACGTGATACAATAACTTCCAATTCAAGGAATGGTGAAGGAGTTCCACGCCCGACTGTTGCTCTTCTCAGGGAATGAGCCTCTCAAGGCCATTCTGAACCAAAAATTGTGATGTTCTACAGCACAGAAGAGTGTGACAAAAAGGGGAACCTGATAATGACTGACGCCATTCAGCCGGAGTGATTTCGCATCTACCTATGAGGCTAGACATTGACTGCCGACCCAATTCGGCCGCATAATCTGGGGTGCATAAAAATTCTGGCACGCGACAGCCGTCTTGATCAATTTCTTCGTGCCTGCAGAAACCAGACGCAAGCATGGATACTTCCACTATTGGGGTGGAGCACTGGAGACACATGTCTGGCAGCTCCTGCCGTGTAACCACCGCTATTCAGTTGGGGGCCGCAGGTGGGTAAAGCGCAATGCGAACTGAACATAATTCACTTACGATCGGGCTCGAAATGGGTAGAGCTGGAGTAAGATTCTGGACCTGGATTGGTTGCACTGCGTCTTGGGGCGACACTGTCAGGGCTTCTCGTAGCTCTGTACAGCGCGTGTGCTGCGAAGACGCGCGGGCTTCTGGAAAACGGTGTCCGGGAGATGCGCTTCGTACTGGCTGCTCGCCGCATGATCCTGTGCAGGTGTCCTCCCTTCGTCGTGGAGACGCGAAAAGGGGCGGCTACTGGCAGGGAGAGTGGAAGGAGATGGAGATGCGTCGTTGATAGGGGAGAGATGTTGTAGGAAGAGCCACTGAAATGTTTGGGGAGTCTCGCGTAGGCTGGTGCTACTGGCCGTCCCTGAGCACTTGGCAAATTAGCATAATTCTAGAGTCTTGGAATCCCTCTCGACATGACTGCGATTATTTCCATACTGGTCAGTCATGCTTGCGGGGAAACAAACAAATGATAATGCGATGGTTAAGATATGATCTTACCATCAAGACCCGGTCGGGAGTCAGCTTATGGGCAATCATATTGGGCTTTTTTCTCGCAAGAAGCAGATCGGATGATCTCAGCATGGACTTGTTGCTGCAGATGCGGCTCGGGAATCGGACTGTGGCCATGCTTCTAGGGCTTCCAGAAGACCACACGGTTACATTAGTGCCGCGTGGCCATTATTACCCTTTTCGCTTCCTTTCACATTCGCTTCCTTCTCTTACGACGAACGTCTTTCGAGCACGCGTGCTGTAGTAACTGTACCAGCACAGAGCCTGCCACAGCCATCGCGGTGCAATCGCTATCATTACAATCGTGTCAACATCGTCATGCAATGCCAGGAAAGCCTAGTATAGACTATGCTTCGCTCCTAGGCCACTAGATCTCCCACACGGTAAGGGGCTCGCAACCGCGGCAGCAGACGCTGGCAGACAACGATACCCCTCTTGACTGCTGGCTCAAATGATGGAGGCAAATTCATGGCTATCTTGCGCTCTTCCTTGGGCTACGTCCTACGCACTACCTACAGTCAGTGCATGATTGTTTGGTAAAGAAGCTGGTAAGTCAGACTACCACACAAACACTGCAAATGTAATTAGAAGTGCTTGGGTGCACACAATAATTCAGCCAAGAGACAGTGCCCCTATCCTTCCGTTTGAGAAAGGACCTACATAGGTATAAACTTCTATAGAGCAGAACCACAGCCGGTAAAATTCTTCGAACAACAACTCGTCGCCCGTTGCTCCGGCCAGCTAAACAATGATTGGACGCTCGAAATAACATCCAGACCAAGGTTGCCGCTACTCGGCTGTCTATGGCTTGGTTCAGACGGAACGACTTGGGATCTGTTTGCTCCCGTAAGGCAGATTACATCGCTGAAACGATGCGTGCTCGAAGTGGGACATTTGACGGTTTGACCCAACTGGGTTTTATGCCAAGATACCAACATCCCCGTTCAGATGATAGGGAGGGAGTACTGTATATTCACGCTCTGACCCAAAGCAGAAACGGCTTTGTACTAAAGTATCTCCGTTCAGCTCCCAGCCTTGCTGTGAGTATCCCGTCGCTCGAGGGACTAGGAAACGCGAGCTCATTGGCGTCTCGAACAACGGCTTTCCACAATTTCCGTAGACAGAACAAATAGCAATAGCTCGAAAAGGGTTCTTATCGGCTGTCGAACTACTCTATTACTTGACTTTTCCTACCAAAGATCAGCTCATGTTTTGTTTGGGGGTAGTGGAGAACCCTGGTTTCTTTTGTGACAGTTGCATTTGATCGTCGCAGGGGTTGCCATTCAACGTCACGTATCCACTCGATCTTTTTAAAGATTAGTCTGGGTTCATCTGGTCAATCAACCCTCATAATGCATGAACTTCATGCAGAGTCCTATGCCATTGGACGTCGAAAGTCGCTGGTCCCGTCAGTTCGGGTGCTCTGCCACAGCCCAGCAGCGGAAACAGCTTGATTTACTCATTATGTTTCTGGAGAAATTAGTATTATTTCAAAGCTAATCTAATATCTAATGGATTCCCGTTTGCATCGACACATGTGATAACTACTTATCAAATGCCACTCGTCACCTGTCGACCAGGACTGATTCTTGTCCCGCTTCGACATTACAAAAGCCACCCTTTTCTGATCAACATTGTCTTGAACAAGCGGATCGTATATGCGGAAGTGTTTGCAAGAGTTCCTATAGGGCCCCGGGTGTTAGCAGCCGCATGTTTTAGGGAACCCGTCACACAGGCACAGCAGTAGACAATATCCCTCATTATTGACGAACTCGGTCTCCTTATCGGAATTTTTGAAACGCGAATGAGAAGTTTCTTAAGTTGGACATATCCTCCGGAACTCTATCATTGAGAAAAGAACTTTACGACCTCCAGTCTATATTTCTCTTTCAGGCCGACCTCGAAGAAGCGACTGAGATACGAAAATACCAGAGAAAGCCGTGAATTGTATGCCGGCTTTCTGTTCGTGTCCAAACTGGGTGCAAGTCCTGCTACCGCTCTGGGACTTTTGAATTGGGACACTTTGCCGAAGGTTTTGGCGAGCCCAAAATGTCGAAGGAAAATGTTCTTGTTGCTGGGGACGTCTCCGCAACCAGCCGCACTACTACAATACAACACACAAATTTGCGATCAATCTCACCAGAATCCTTCACTGATAAACACTTGACATCTTTGCCTTGGATTCTGTACCATATTCTGGAAAAACAGCCATCCGATGAACTACCTCTCCGAATAATGTTTACATTCAACGCAGGTGAGTTTGCAGCCCGAGTAAATAATCACAACACTGACAAAACCCAAGGGCAACAACTCCCTACGCTAAGACAAGCTCATCAATGGTGGCAATATGAGCCCTCGGGCCAGAAGATCATCGAGTTTCTGTCCAAAACTCGTTCGACTAGTGTGGATTGGAAGAAGGAAATGGAAGGAAACTCATCTGAACAAGCAAATGCTTCAGAAATTGACCAATTTTTGAACGCAAACCACAAACTGTTGTGGGATCTAAGTAACTATGGTGATTCCGCGAGTCCTTGCAGTCGCGTCAAAGGCTTTCCAGTGCAATTCATTCTGCATGTGTGCCGGCATGTATTTGCAAAAGAGTACCAATCTGTCGATTTCACTCAAGCACTAACTTGCATTGACTACCTTCGCGACCTTGAGTGTACGAGAAGATCGGCCTTGCGCGACGCTGCGCTTCGACTAGGCATTGAGCGGGGGAATTGGAGAACGATTCTAGCGGATGAACCAGAAGCATATCACTGGGTCTCTGCCGTCCAGAAACAGGAGCTTGTAATTGAGGCTTCATACGCCGCCATTTTCTTGGATCTGCGGATATGGGTTAGTACCCACCTAGTAAGGTCGCAAAGTTCTCTGCTGACAGCCTTCTTAGACCATGATATATGAGCTCAAATCCGAACCTTTCTACAAGCCTAACGTTCTAGCGATGCTGAATACTCTTTTCCCGCCAAGCATGAAAGATATGCCCAATGACAAGGTAGATATCAGAACACTGGAAAAGTACCGCGCGACCTTTTACAAATATATTCTTACTGTGGACAAAGAGGGCACAGGCATTCTTAAAGAATTTGTCCAAAAACTCCTTGTTCCTGGAACCAAGCATAGCTGGCCAGAGACTAGAAGACACTTGGAAGAGTATATTACATTGGCAGAGGTCATGATCAAGGAGGCGAAAGCTGTTGATGGAATTGACTTCTTCCACGATTCTTCCTCAGTGGGCCACTCTAGAACAATCAGTAATGCCTGCTCTGCATTTTCAGATCGTCCCGCCTCGGCCAGCAGCGCAAATACCAGCTACGACGACCATCGGTTTTCTGCACATTCGGCTAGCGGTCCCAGTGCCGCAAAAGACGACAACAACATCAGCAACGCCGCTCTGAAATGGGAGAGCCACTTTCTTTTCGACCCAGACAGTAAATTTGAATCCCCTCCCAACCCGGCCTTGTCATCCAAAGATTCCGTTAAGAAGACTCGTCTCGCGTTGAAAACGGATGGTTTTGGCGGCGCAGCTGAACCTTCGATCAATTCACCTTCAACCGATCCAAAAACCGACTTTTCATCTAAAGCCTCACTTTCTTCAATCCGAATTCCGGTCCCAGTACTTTCTGCAACCGAGACACACTCGACGACACATTCAAATCCAACAACAGACAGCGAAATGCGCGCCATCAGACGTGCCATATCTCGATCGGTGCATCCTACAGCAGACCCAGTGAATAGTGGGGATTTCGATACCTCCCAAAGTGAACATGTTTCTTCAATGGTTATCTCTGAACATGGATCAAAACAAGGGGATCTTGACTTTCTTTCCCGGCCTTATCGAGCAAACCATTCCCTATCACTCGAACCGGCGGGAACGACAAAGCGCAAAAAGAGCTTCAGTGATATGTTGCTCCGTCGGAAACAATCAGTCTCAAGAGAACACTCTCCATTCTACAGTAGAAGCTCTTCCGAAAGCTCAGGAACCGAACCCAATCGTTTAAGAAAGCTGAAGAGCACCAGTAACATCGACAAGGGACAGCGAGCTGGAGCCTGGATTGATAGTCAGGATGCTTCACTTTTGGAACAGCCAATATCAGCAGACAGAACACGAAAGCTTAACAAAGATGAGAAGGTCGGCTCGCTTCCAGGTATGAAAGCCAGAAAATCCTTCTCGCTCGGTCGATCTCGAACTCCCAAGTACCTCGACATATCTAAAGCTTCCCCCTCGGAAGATTCACTCAAAACTCCCAAAACGCCGACGTTATTCAGTCGACCGAAGACTCCTACATTTTTCAGTCGCCCTAAAACTCCAACACATGATATCGAACAGCCCTTTCCTACTCTAGGCAGTGCTGGCTTGGTCGGCTCGGACGATTCTGATCACACGAGGAGTTCCGCGCTACCCATACCCTTGAGGATCAGGAAAAGAATGAGTCGAGGGAAATTGAGTCCAGAGATGGAAAAGGAAATGGATATCGAGAGGGAAAGACAGTGGTTGATCGAGAACAGTCTGAGAGAACGAAGTCGGAGTCGGGAGAGGTCGAAGGCTGGCGAGGAAGAAGAAGTGAAGAAACTCGAGCCAAATAGCCCAGAGAGAAGAAATGGGAAAAAGCCTATGATATGGCAAGATGGTGGACAGAGCGGAAAGGCTAGCGGATGGGTAGAGTTCGAGATGCCGAGAGAGGTTCCACCCGTTCCTCCACTTCCGCCAAAAAGTGCTTTGAGAGGCACAAAATATTATTAGTGTGAAAAGGTATGCGAGGAGTCTTTGGAGAATTTTAGGAGTTTCGGACAGAGGGCTACGGGCGACCGGTCTTCAAAGGCAATAGACATTGTTTTTGGAATGTAATGGAAACAGTTCTCCACAGGGTCGCGGTACAGCGGGCGACGAGACGTATAGCTTGAGCGTTTAGAACGTATTTAAAAAGATCGTTCAATAAAAAACTATACATATGTGATTATTTGCCTGTCTTTTCAACATCACGATAGATGTGAAGTGATAGAGGGGCACGGGCGGGGCACGTGAAAGCGTAACCGTTTTTGGTCCGTGCTTTGACCAGCCACCGCGTCGAGCAACGACTATCAACACCTTGGGTAGCGCGAAATTATTTCAAAAGTCTATGAGCTGCACATCTGCGCTCATTCTAACGCGATACCATCTGCTTCTCTCTTTCAATCGCGTCCATTAGTTCTATCTGCTATTTCATGGACGAATGAAAGATATGTGCGCCACGAAACCCTCGATGTCGCGCGCATGAAGAGAAAGCAGCATGGATTACATCAAAGGACTTATTTGGTCCTCACAACCTGCAAGGAAGGAAGAGGGGGAAGAGGTTGTTGATGAGGCTCGCAGGAGTAGCCCGCCATTGAGTTCAACCGCGATTGAGGAGGAGCACCAGCCGGCCATGGAAGCGGATGCGACTGTTGAAATCCAGACGGCGAAAGACAAGAAGAAACGAAAACGCAAAAGAAAAAGTTCTAGCGTCACGGATGTTGTGGATGTCGTGGAGGATAATGATACGAATCGAGGAGGTCTACAATTGGAAGAGTCATTTCAGATCAATGGCATTGAGAACGACTTGGATAGAAACAGCGGCATGGTAGTGGAGGAAGAGGAACAAGCTATGCCAAATCGATCCGAGAAGCGTAAGAAAGCACGCAATTCCAAAACGAAAGCGGACGAAGAACAGTTAGCCGACAGTTTACCTGCGAGAGCGAAAAAGACTAGGAAATCCAAAGGGAAGAGTGTCGTGGAGGCACCTCCAGAATTGCCTCGGGATGTGGAAACCTCAGATATGGTCGCAGAAGGTCTGGAGCCGCAAACTGCTTCGCGCGAGGAATTGGGCGATTCCAGCACATCCACGGAACCAAAAAAGCCGAACAAAGTGCTGCGGCAAGAAGTGTCAGTCGTAATACCTGCGCCGACGCCCGAGAAAAATAGCGTCATGGAATCGGGGGAACGGGCTTCAGCAAAATCGGCAAAGGCCAAGAAGAAGAAGTCGAAGACAGTGCTAAGTGAAGACCGAGTTCACAAAGACAACGAGGTTGAGGTTGCGGAGCACCCTGTTCAGGAACATGAACCCGAAATGGAAACCAATGATACACCACCCCATGCTTCTACCAAAGCGTTGGGCAAGCGAAAAGCATCAGATTCGGTTCCAAATACCACAACAAAACCGAAACGAACACGCAAAAGTAAGGACAGTCCAGGAACAAGTTTACTCGAGCTAGGATTTTCGAAGGAAAAGAGTGGTTCACAGATGGATACAGAAAATCTGGTACAAACTGCCAAGGAACTGTATCTTAAGAGCACTATGGAAATTCCAGAAACAAGCCCGATTTTACCGCCTGGATCAAAGGGGAAACGCAAGTCGAAAGCAAAGTCTCCAATTGTGATATCCGCGTCAAAATCTACCGCTACACCAAGCCGGCAACAACGTAGAGCAACGCCACAATTCACGCCTGTGAATAGAAAATCCACTAACGAGCCATCTCAATCTCTAGTAGAGAATGATACAGCTCTAAGCGCAGATGCTCAGGCTGCTCAGGAAGAGCCATCGGTTCAGACACAGCCCTCGCCACCTAAGTCAAATCAGAAGCGCAAGCGCCGACTTCTTGTCGATAGCCAAGAGAGGGAGGATGGTCCAAACACACCTCAAGGTGCCTTCAGCACCCCGGCCACAGGGAGCAAGCTAATCAAGGACGACGGGACGCCTAAAGATTCAAAGCATAATGGGCAGGTACGGAAGGGTAAGTTCGCTCCTCGTGAGCTCGAGGCTATTGATGTTGCTGTCGAAACCTACCGGGAAATGCACGACCTCACACAGTTCAAGGTGAATGAGATTATCCAAGCTCCTAACACGAGCGAAGAGACAAAAGAACTTTGGACGTCTATTCGGGACGTTGTTCCAGATATACCTCATCGTAGAGTATATGACACGTGCCGTCGTAGATTCCACAATTTTGAAAGTCGTGGGTCATGGACCAAAGAACAAGATGAGGAGCTTAAAGATGCTTACGCACGGTTTCCACAAAAATGGAAACAGATTGGAGAGCTGATCAATCGATTTCCCGAGGACGCGAGAGATCGATGGCGGAATTATTTAATCTGTGGAGACAACCTACGCAAGGATTACTGGGAAAAGGAGGAAGAGGATCGACTACGTGAAGTAGTCTCAGAGTGCGTGGAGATTCTGCGTAGAGCGCAGCGAACCGCTCGGAAACCTGATATAGGCAGAGATGCTCTGGAATCTCTTCTTGATTGGCAAATTGTCAGTCAGAAGATGAATGGAGTCAGGAGTCGTCTTCAGTGCAGTTCTAAGTGGAGACAATTGAAGGACCGTGAAGACTCCAACGATGAAGGCTTGGAAGCTATTACAACAACGGAGTGGCGAGCGGAAGAGGCTGACCGTGAAGCTCGGGCAATGAGCGGAGCGGAAATTTTGCAATTACTTGTCACCATTCGTGACAGTGGTGCAGGAAAGGAGTCCAAAATTCCATGGTTAATTGTTACCGAAGCAGTCGAGAAGTTAGGCAAACGTATGGCTCTGAAATTTTGCTTTCGAAAGCTCCGAAGACGAGTTCCTGGTGGTAAAGATATGCGCTTTAGGGAGATTGTGGACACCTTGATTGCAGAATTTGAGGCTTCGCAGCCCGATATACCGCAACACTATATAGACACCGAATTCGTGAGGCCCGTGAAAAGGAAGTCTCAGGATTTTGTTGAGAATTCTTTTCATGCAGAGGGGTCGCGGAAGAAGCGGCGGCGTGCCACGCAGGCAGAAGACGACAGACGAGTGAAGGCAGATCTATCCAACCAAGCATTAGAAATTTCCCAGGATGAGCAGGGTGTGGACCGTGGAAAACAGTCAAGCAAGAAGAAAACCAAATCGAAGCCTGGAGTTGAGCTGTCAAGAGATGAAGAGCAAAACGGAACAAGCGAGCAGGTTCCTACAAGACAACGTCGTCGAAAATCCAGAAATCAGGCCAGTTTTACTGCTAGAGATGATGAGCAACCTCAGACACCTAAACCAAAGAAAAGGAAGAAGCTTCGTGATAGTATGAAAAGGCAGGATGAGAGTCAGAGTCAAGAAGCGATTGGCGAAAACGGACATAATGAAAGCGCTGAAGATATCAGTGAGATTATGCAGAGTCTCAAAAAGGGTCCGAAACTGAGGAAGAATAAAAGAAAAGATCTAGGAGAGATTCTCGGAGAAGAGACCGCCGATCGCAGAAATCGAGATTCTGTCAATCATGTTGATGAAACCCAACAAGGCAACCAGTCTGCATCACAATTTTCCGACCAAGAAGAACCTCCTGAAATCGACAAAATTGGCAATTCTCGTTCCAAAAGTGCTCAATCAATGATCGATAATGATGAGTCCGACATCCATGAGCATCATCGCCAAATTGAGGCTAATCATAGTGAAGATGAAAATTTTGACAATACTCTCGACCCAGAAGACGCAGACGAAGCCGTCAACGAACCGTCAAATGACGACCGAGGATTCAGAATTGAAGACCCTGAAGTACCAGAAGAATTTGGTGACAATAATCCTCAAACGGTTGCAAATACAACTCTTCAACAGAGCGAGGACGAAGCTGCCAACGATACTGCGCAGGATGGCGATCTCCCTGAAGTTGGAATTGAAGATATCGACCAGGCGCCGGCTCAGCCGAGTGACGAGGAGGATCTCGAAGGTGATCAAGGAGTCGGTGTGGCTTATGACGAAAATGAATTGGACCCGGATGACGGAGTGGTTTATGGAAGTTCAAAAGCTTCTCCTTATCCATCATCCGATGAGGAAGAAAATCGGACACCGAGTCGGGCTGGAAGTATTGACTTGGACACAATGACGCCCGTTGTACGGACTCGTACAACTTCATTGAATGCCCGCTCTAGTTCAGTGCCCAGCTCGCCATCTTCGCATTCAGGAGGCGATCCAGATCTGGGGTCTGTCAATGATGAGTCCGCTGAAGAGACGCAAGCCGTTGACGAGCAAAGCCGGACTTTGGATCACTCGCTTGGTCAGTTCGGAGAAGAGGAAGAAATTGATGACGATTACGACATAGAACCTGAGCACCAGCCAGGAGAGTATGAAGGTCTCGGTCAACCATCAAATAATGGCTACGAGCATGTTCATAACGTAGGGTATGAGAACGGAGAGATCGATGAATCCAGCGAGGAGATGGAGGCCGTTGCTCACACTCGTGACACGAGCCCAGACCTTGACACTCCTATCCGCCATGACGGTCGTCGAAATTTCCGTACTCGCGCAAAGGTCATCAACTACGATGATACAGCCCATTTACATGCCGACGTTGACGAATCTGATGCATCGCAAGATCTACTACCAAAATCCAGGCGTTCCAAGACTACTTTCAAAGGTAAACCAGATGTCGAAAACCATGTTGAGACAACAGCAAGCAGCGTCGAGAGAAGCGGCAGTGTGTCTTCTTCGGACTGCAGTATTCCGGCGGAAGCAACACCGAAACACATTAGGGCTGAACGTTACAATGATGAGTTTGTAGAGGATGAGCCTGAAAAAACCGGTTGGGAAGCAAGTGATCTGCCGGAACCGAGTCGAAAGAAGAAGAAGGCTAGAGCAAGTGAGTATGGAAGTAGCCAAGTGTTGTAGCAATGTGAAGTTGGAAGGCAAGAAACCTGGATTGGAACCTTGTATGGAATGAGTTATGATAATGGTTATGGCTAGATGATTAAGTGGGGAAGCGGGATTGCTCTGCCTGTGCTGGGAGATTCGTGGGGATGTTGCTATTATTGGTGTCTAAGATATCACATCGACTCGTAGTTAATAGCATACCTATATACAGCTTCATATATGATCGGACACATTGATACGTATATCTCTTCATCCACTGGTCCTGTAGCAAGAATCCCCCAAAAAATAGACCATGAACAAGTCCCAGTATACCGCCTCGCGGAAGACAAAATAAGTGTCAGTTACTTGCCTAGTAATTTTGGGATACAATAAGTCGACTTCGAATAGAGCTTAAGAAGTCTCATTCACTTAAAATAATTAACTAAATAAGTCATATTGTTCCAAGTTAATCCACTAAATAGCGATGTTTCGTCAACTTAATCAAAGAAATATCGTGCTTCGACTGCCACTTATTTTGTCCACCGCGAGACCGCGCAGCCATGTACTTGTACCCGCGTATTTCACTGCATCGCATCACATATGCTGACATCCATTCTGCTGACCTTGCAGCATGGACAGTGCACAGATGCATCTAGCTATATCAATTTCACACGAACACAACTATTCGAGTTAGACAAACCACAACGAGCGATGGCTTTCCGCAATCCACCAACCAATATTGTCGAACGTTTTAGGTTATGGGAATATGCCGCGGACAAATGATTGGGAGATCGCCATCGCAGGCGTGGGGTGATAGAAAAATATCTCACAACCCACGTTGAAAACCTTTCCAGTGATGGCGAGGACTGGTCCTAGCAACGAAACCGCGAGATCTCGAGATGGAGCATACACACGAGAAATCTGCGACGGGCAGCTTGACAATACCTGGGTCTCCTGAGGATGGACACCCAGTTGGTGTCGGGAACGCTGGACAAGATGTTGCGATTGCGATCGTGGGGGAACATCGACAGGAGATTGACCCCGCGGTTGAAGCTCGAGTTGTACGGAAGATTGATCTGTTTTTGATACCGGCTATGATTATCATGTATGGACTTGTTTATTATGATAGTAAGTGGAATCTCAATATCTGTGTACCTCGATACGGACAATAATCTAATGCTGTGTTTCGCAGAAGCAATCCTAGGATCAGCGGTCCTCTTTGGAATGACATCCGACCTGCACCTCTCGAAGCTAGACACAAGCACGAAGCCTCCCAAGAACGATACTTCTCGATTGAGTTGGGCGACCTCGATGTTCTATTTCGGCATGCTCGCGGGTCTATATCCTATGACGTTCGCGTTGCAACGGTTCAAAATGGGCCGCATACTTGGAGGGATCGTCTGCTTCTGGGCGTTGATATGTCTGCTCACCGCAGCTGTTACAAGTTGGCAAGGCCTATATGTGCAGCGATTCTTTTTAGGATTCGTGGAAAGCATTATACCTACAGCACTAATGTGTATTGTGAGCTCTTTCTACACGCAAAAGGAACAATCGCTACGTCAAAGTTGGTGGTTTTCTTCTACGGGCATCTTTACAATCATCGGAGGCGCTCTGAATTATGGCTTTGCTCAGATCACAGGTGGAAATCTAAAGCGATGGCAGTATATATACCTTCTCGCTGGATCTTTGACCTTTCTGGCGGGTCTATGTTGCTTTTTTGTACCCGATTCGCCTGCTTCTGCTTGGTTCTTGACGGCTGAAGAGCGGGTCGTTGCTACTGAGCGTTTGAGATATGGTCAAACAGGTGTTCGATGCACAAAGTTCAAATGGTATCAGATTCGAGAGTCAGTCCTTGACATAAAGATCTGGTTGGTAGCATTGATGATGGCTTCTGCCTACACTGTTAATGGAGCTGTCTCTGGATTTGGTCCCCTGATTGTTTCTACCTTTGGCTATTCGACGTTGGATTCTATACTTTTCCAGTTTCCTCTGGGCGGCATCTGTTTTATCTTCATTCTTTTGACAGGTTTTCTTTCGTCACGTATACCAAATATTCGCATTATATTGCTTGTTTTGTGTTGCTTACCAGTCATAGCTGGCTGTGCTATTATCTGGAAAAGCTCATGGTATCACCGCGCAGCAGCTCCAGTGATAGGCTACTCCATTATCGGATGGTTTGGTGCTGTCGTCTCGTTGATTATCACCATTGGAATGGCCAATGTAGCAGGACAAACGAAAAAGTGTTTTATGGCTGCAACCATCTTCGTTGCCTACTGCGTTGGAAATATTGTTGGTCCTCAGTTGATCAAGTCGCAGACCAAGTCAAGACACTATCCTGAGCTATGGCTTGGTCTCGTTATCTGGTAAGCTCGATAGCAATCCTCAAAAATCAAAGTACTGACTTCATCAGCTATTGTATTACCATAGTATCTGCTATTGCATTATACGTTGTTCTCTACAGGGAGAATCAGCGTCGTTCGAAACTGGACTTGAATGATATAGATAGGGACAAAATGGCTTTCCAGGATCTGACAGACAAGGAGAATCCGTACTTTCAGTATATGTTATGATTCCAGCGAACAACACATATAAAAGAATAGAGGAGGGAATAATGTGAAAGGGGGTTGGACCTTAGTTGCATCACATATACCCTAATTTTGGCTCCTGGAGAACAAAGTTTGACTAAGGCTCACTAGAATTGAAGTATAAGAGAAAGTATTTATAGCTCTATCCAGAACCGATAAAACAAATTAGACATTGGCCCCACTTTACCCCACTAAGTATGATTGGCCAACTAAATAACAACCAACTTCACTTGCTACGGATTAGCTCTCTACTCGGTACCGACTCAAGGATTGGTCCTCCCTCATCGTAGTATTATCCCATTTCTTCAAAGTCGAGATTTGATTGTAAATCAGTCAGAATTGCTATGAAGGATGAATGCTTCGGCGCGGCCGTATTACCTGATTAGGAAGTACCTCGGCTTCTCTTCGAGGAAAACCCTACTCGTATAGTAGCTACCGAGCTCTGTCGGCCGAACAGACCACAGCTCTCAGACAACGCAGCAATCGCACATCTTCTCCACACGTTGATTTATCATACCGCATACCTTATTTCTGACATCGAATACTATTATATAGAGCTCCGTCTCCCAGTTGAAATGGGCAAACCAACTCCAAGAACTAGAAACATCATGGCTCAATCAACATACCAAACCGTTGTCCTTGCTCAGAGACCTAAGGCTACCATTGTGCCTGGGGAGACCTTTGCCTTAAAAGAAAACCCTATGATCTCTGAGGCTGATCTCAAAGATGGCGAAGTTCTCGTCGAGGTATTGTATCTCTCTCTCGATCCAGCCATGAGAGGTTGGCTGAATGGTAAGTTTACAACATCCTTCTATTTCAATACACCTGATTGACTTTCTTAGATGTTCGCTCCTATATGCCACCAGTTCAGATTGGCGAAAAGATGCGAGGTGCAACGATAGCTAAAGTCATCGCTTCAAAATCTAAAAAATTCAGCGTTGGCGATCTTGTTACGGGAAACCCGGGTTGGACTGAAGTAGCAGTTATCGCCGACACAGATCCATCGCTTCAACTAGCTAACATCCCATCAAACGGCAAAATCACTGACGTTCTTGGATGTCTCGGTTCTACCGGGCTCACTGCGTACTTTGGTATGACAGATATCGCTAAAGTCAAAGCTGGAGATTTTGTCGTAGTCTCTGGTGCTGCTGGTGCTACTGGCAGTATCGCTTGCCAGATCGCTAAGCTCAAGGGAGCGAAGGTTTTGGGAGTTGCGGGAAGTGATGACAAGGTCGCGTGGCTGAAAGAGCTGGGTTGCGATGATGCTCTTAATTACAAGGCTGCAGATTTCAAGGAGCAGTTCAGAGCCAAGACCCCGGATCTTATTGATGTTTTCTTTGACAATGTTGGGGGAGAGGTTTTGGAATTAGCGTTCTCGAGGGCGAAGATGTTTTCTAGATTTGTAATTTGTGGAGGTATGTCTCGATTCTTGTTCGTCCCGTGCTCAAAGCTAATCATGTACAGCTATCTCTCAGTATAACTCCGCCAAACCACAGGGTCCGAAGGTCAGGCTTTGGGTTTATCCTCAGTCATTTATTCATCACTAACCGTTCAACAGAACTTCTCAATGATCATAGCCATGCGTATAAGAGTTCAGGGATTCCTTGTCTTTGATTATGTTAAGGAGTACGCCAGCGCAAGAAAGGAGCTTGCGCAGTGGTTGGCCGAGGGTAAGATTCAGCGTAAAGAGACAATTATCAAAGGCGGGCTCGGTGCTGCTGAGAAGGGTTTGGTAGAGTTGTATAACGGTGTTAACACTGGTAAGTTGCAAAATGCGACATGTTGTAGCTTGCACTTACTGACATTTATTTCCAGGTAAATTGCTCGTCGAGGTCAAGGCAGATAGTGAGAGCGTCGCTTCGAGATTGTAGATTATTTAAATGCTAGATTTCCGAATTACGAGCTATAATTTAAAAGTTCTCAAACAATCACCAAAGCGCTAAACCCCGATCTTGCATGCTCAAACTGGCGTTGTTGGTTGGAAATGGTGATATCCTGGGTCACGTTCCTGTTGGGTTTGGTTTGGAATGTGATCTGAGATTCCAGCCACCAACCACTAGTCGGCATTCACTACTCGGCCTTACTTAACATTCAATAAAACCAACTTACTGTGAGAATTAAATAGAAAGACCTCATCTTTCCCATATACAATTCTCGACATCCTTTGTTTTCTACCTGCGTCCTAAGAATCTCCTCGGAGCTACACATCATCAGTCAAATCCGCACTATCCGTAGCGAAGCTTTGTCTCCCTTCTTTAGTAAGCCCTTAGCTGCCGTACTCTAACTAAGTGCGATGGTAGCTTGGCGCTGATCGGACTATGTAGCTAGTCAACCATAACGATTCGAAAGTGAGATCACTTCAAGCTTCGGAAGGTTCGGAACGCACGATATTCTGCCACAACTTTTGACTTACAGGCCAATTTCAAGCACTATCGTATCTTTTGTTCCAAAGATGAATGTCTCCTTTGCTCTCGCCAATAGGTTTGCTGGACGACATCTTATTGTCCAGCCTGCCGATTTACACCTAAATCCGCCGGAAGCTTATTTATACATTCAAGATGGATTGATCATTTTATGTGGACTGTTGTATGCTTTTTGCTACATCTTTTACGCTATAAGAACCTATAGGGATAAAAGATTAGCTGGGCCTTTGGTCGGCTTGTAAGTCTCTCGATGTTGTGACATTGGACCTGCAAGACTAAACCCGGTTCGAAATATAGGGGAGCGATGTGGGCTCATGAACTCTTCTATGCCTTTGCAACAACATCTACAACCCTTGAGACTGCGTGCTTTCTAGTCTGGTTTATACTAGATATCAGTTTTTCGACGACAGTAATATGTTATGCTTGCCCGCCGGGCCAAAGACGTAAAATAGCGATGCAAAATTTCGCGCTCTTCCTTGTGTCCATCTTCATCATGTATGAACTCACTGTCATCTTCCCAGATGATCGTGAACAGATGACGGGTTTTTGGACTGGCATTATTCTTGAACTTCCTGTTGGCTATGTAAGTGTGCATTCTTTGCTACAGCCTGAAGGAACGACAGGTCACTCTATTGAGATTTGGTAGATATCCCACTCTCTCCTTGATCGAAGATAAGTTAATGTGGGAACAAGGATAACTCGTCTTTCGGGATGTCTCGTTGCCTATTCCGTCTTTCTATGGCGATATTTGAACGTGCCCGAAAACTGGGCATATGTCGGATCTGCTTGGAGTATTGGAATAATGGTGCTGACGTTAATTCCTGAAGCTATCTATCCTTTCGTGTACCTTAAAGTGAGGTCAAAAAAGGAAAAGAAAGCGTGAGACTAGAGTGGGCATATACTGTGTCGGTCAATCGAGATGTGGCACTGTCAACAATCTCGCTTTAGGACATGAAAAAGAGTTTCCTTTGAGACACTCATCTCGACAAATCGTCAACCGGACCGGAGTAACAAAAGAACAAGCATATTAGCGGCTTCTTCTTTTTGGTCGTACAGAAACACAGCGCTCTGTACGAAAAATTCCTTATTTCATTTGTTGCACTATCGAGGAAATATTTGAAGGGATGGTATGAATGAGCATACGGGAGGTCTATTGGCTACAAACGCCGAAGATGTTGTAAGAACAGCAGTGCGAGCACCTGCCGCAACGAATTAGAATACTAGAGAACTACAAACTGGAGCACAAGCACCGACGGCTACTTATTCGGTCCATGATGATTTATATCTCGATGTGCAGTAACTTGATTCACAATTTGTGTTACCGTTCGCGTAATTCAGAGATATAACAAGCGATACATCACTACACCATACCTACAAATCATTTACAATGCAAAGGTAACGCCCATCCTGGCTTTGTGGGTTTCGATACCGCGAAGTAGGTAGTTCGGTTGAAAGTGGTGAGCGGACCTCGAGGGAGAATTTTCTAAATGGGGTGGTCAAAGCTTCTTCCTCTTTTCCACCTCTCAACCTCGTCATGAACAACCCCCACCCGACCACGCCATCGCAAACCACGCCCTTCCCAACGTCAAAGCAAGATAGTCAACGGGAATGGCCTCAAAATGTCCGAATTAAGAAGAAGATTCCCAAACATCCGCTTTAACCGGATTGCTATACGCCCTGATCGGGCTCGTCCGAAGCCTTCAATAACCGGCCCTTTGGTGGCCAGTTCTCCACCAGAGGCGAAATTTGCGCTGAAGGGTTTGCACCCAATTTTCCATCTGGAACGGCCATGGACGGGAAGTTAGCCCAGGTGAGATGGGTCCACTAACAAATCGACGAACCCTTTTTTTTCTCTCGCATCGACGATTTCTTTATATATTCCCTTCATGCTGTTTCATTTCTCTTCTTTTGTTATGTTGTAGTCGTGTATGAGTCGAATTCAAAATGGCCAACAAGGAAGATAATATGACTATTGCCCCGGTGCAGGAGAAGCACCACGATGCTTCTTCTGCGGAGGATGTCGAGAAGCTGGTCGTGACGCATCAGCCAGAATTGAAGAGGAAGCTGAAGAGTCGTCATTTACAGATGATAGCGATCGGTATGTATAGGATCAGAGTGATCAATTGCGCAACAGGAACTAACTCGCACTAGGTGGTACAATTGGCACAGGTCTATTCATCGGTTCTGGAGGTGCTATCGCGAAATCTGGGCCAGCTGGTGCTCTCATTGCCTACATCTTCGTGGGCAGCATCGTCTACTCAGTCATGCAATCTTTGGGTGAAATGGCTACTTACATCCCAATTACGGGTGCATTCACATCTTACGCTACTCGCTTCGTCGACCCCAGTCTTGGATTTGCTATGGGTTGGATTTATTGGTTCTCATGGGCTATCACTTATGCCTTGGAGCTGACTGCGACGGGACTTATCATCCAGTATTGGGACAAAAGTCTCTCGATTGCCATCTTCATTGCCGTGTTCTGGGTCGTCATCACGGCAATCAACTTCCTGCCTGTCAGCTTCTACGGCGAGACGGAATTCTGGTTCTCGATGATCAAGGTCATCACCGTCATTGGCTTCCTGATATTCGGCATTTGCATCGATGCTGGCGCGGGTCAGAATGGCTATCTGGGATTCCACACCTGGGGTAATCCAGGCGCTTTCGCACCATACCTCCTCGATTCGACCGGACCTCTTGCGAAGTTCGTTGGGTTCTGGTCGGTCCTTATTCAAGCTGGCTTCTCCTATCAAGGGACAGAACTCGTTGGCATCGCAGCCGGAGAGACGGAAAACCCACGCAAAAACGTTCCTGCAGCAATCAAAAAGACCTTCTACCGAATCCTCTTCTTCTTTGTCTTCACTATATTCTTCATCGGTCTCCTCGTCCCCTACGATAACGAGGACCTTCTCAACGGTGGATCGGACGCTTCCAGCTCTCCGTTCGTGATCGCCGCCAAACTCGCAGGTGTAAGCACCCTCCCCGGACTCATCAACGCCGTTCTTCTCTTCGTCGTTCTTTCCGCCGCAAACTCGAACGTATATTCTGGATCTCGTATCCTCGTCGGTCTCGCTGCTGACGGATCCGCGCCATCTTTCCTAAAACGTACCAGCAAGAGCGGCGTGCCATACGCGGCAGTCGCAGTAACTTCAGCAGTTGGCCTCCTAGGACTCCTCAATCTCTCCAACAGCGGCGCGACAGTGTTCAACTGGTTCATCAACATCTGCGGTGTCGCAGGATTCATCGTATGGGCATGCATCAACGGCTGCCACATCGCCTTCATGCGCGCTCTCTCCGCTCGCAACATCTCCCGCGAAATTCTCCCATACAAATCATCCTGTCAGCCATGGTTCGCCTGGTACGGACTCTTCTTCAACATCCTCATTATCCTCACTCAAGGCTTCACGGCCTTCATTCCATGGAGCACCGTCGATTTCTTCATCGCCTATGTTAGTTTGATTCTGTTCGTCGTCTTATATGTCGGTCATAAACTCGTGATGCGTACTAGTCTCGTCAAGCCGAACGAGGCGGATATCGATACTGGACGACTTGATCTTGATGATACCACTTGGAGCATCAGCGAACCTACTACTAAGTGGGGCAAGTTCTGGGCCTGGTTGGCGTAATGAGTTGTGTTTTGTTGTATCTTAGCGATCGTGTACGGGATAGACGGGATTAGTAGACAAAAGTGATTGACGGAGTTTGATCGGTCGATACCCAGATATAGAATAATACATATATTAATTAGAACTTAAGTTTCATGATTTTGTGAAGATGGGTGTTGATTTTCGTTGCAAGCTGACCATTTGGCACTCGTGGCACTCTTTTGATGGGATTGGAAGCTCCGTTTTGATAGGTGCGGTAAGTGGTTCGATCTTATTGGATTTTGGTGAGTGAGTCATTTACTGCCCAACTATGCAGTGCTGGGGCTGCTGCAACATGTTATTTCTGATACATGTTTAGGTGCTACGTACATTTATCTTCAGTAGTGTCGCCAATCATAGGATGCTAAAGTTGGGCACGGAAATCATGTGAGATCTGTTACCTCAAGGCATATATCTTCACACAGTTCTCGCTGTATTCGTGATGGATCACTTCTTGTTTGCTCACATACCAGGTTATATACACAAACCGTTATGAGTATTCCGTGAGAAGCTTTAAGGTCGAGTTGGGTTTGTCACATGACTGCTGGGTTGTACCAATTAGTGCATGCTTGAAGAGGAATAGACTAAATGGAAAAACCATAAAGTTATCTTTAGAGAACATGACTTTGTTGCAGGGATTAATATCACATATTATGGAATTTGTTGAAATGGTCCTAGTAATGGATAACTATTGTTTAGGTATATGATATTTTATAATTTGTAAACGAAGCGTTGTAATTATCACTTGTTCTTGTCCATCACGAGCCATGATGCATTGGTGGCGAGTCTAGTAGGTTTAAGATTCCTCTTTTTAGGGGGAGTTCTGAGAATTGTGAATTTTGAAGTATAAGCAGGGAAGAGGTAGGAGGTGTACGCAGAAGGAAGATATGGAAGAGGAAATCAAGTGCTCAACGTACTTCAACCTATCACTCTTATTCTACCCTACCGGCTGGGATAAGACGATTCCTGGGCCAAATTGTCTGTGGGGTTCTTGAGAGTGTGGTCGGTGACGAATGATTCCGTTTCAAGTTATCTGGAAGTAAGCTTGCGTTGTCTGTAAGTAAGCTCGCGTCATGTTAGTAACTAACTATATTTTGACAGGCAGAACAAATATGCGAGTGAACAGGCAGACGTAGGTATAGTAGAACTCGTACTAGCATGGCTGATATGTGAGGTATGAATCATAAGTCAGTTCATAAGTCTTCAGAACTTCACCTTTTCCCTAAGCATACATGTAAACAATACTATATTCTCACTTATCTCTGTCTGATTATGAATTAGACAGCATAAGATTCACTCCAAATATAAGTGTCCTATTGGATCTAGAACAATCCCACATATATCACTTGTGGACTTGCAGAACTGACCGCTCTGTTGCCTGTGAACGCACCCACCATTGACTTTACCGGAGCATTTCTGGACCTAGGTTTTCGATGTGTCGGTGGATAGATGGTAAAGTATGTGGCGGTAAAGTGTGTGAGACGCATTACTCATTTTTTACTTTGACGGTCATTCGACTCTAAATTTTTTTACAATGGATGGGTGTTGTCGTATGACGCGCCATGCTCGATTGCCGTTTCTGATGTATAGGTGAGCCATTGAAAGAGTGATACTGGTAGAGTTCCACCCGTGCACAGTTCTTGTTCATTGACCTATTGTAGACTTTTAGTTGCCTGCTTGATTGGCATGAGGATCATGTGTGGGTAGGGGAATTGACTAGCGGCCGAGTGCCTCCACAAAATGAAGCCCACGATCACGGTCATGTTTAATTGAAATGGTTTTATAGGCAGAACCAGATGACTCTTATTTCCTAGGCGACTCTTCTTTTTAAGAACATTATTATCACAAGCTTCGACGATGCTGTTGCCATGAGCGTGACACAATCCGGGAATGGGGAAGGAACCAAGCTGGTGGGTTTTGACCCATCACACTTTCACATTTCTAGAACATTGTCATATTCAGAAGCAGTTGATTTTCACAGGCGTCAGAGGTTGCGGATAGACTCGGGTGTTTCGGGAAGACCACGAATCGCGGAATCATTCGATGTCAATCATTTCAATGTTTCTCAAGTTCGTCCGTACCCTGTTCCATTTTTACAGAGCGATATGCATGAACCTTCGCCAGCAAGCAGTACACGCTCGTAAAGATGGCAAAAGGAATAGTAACAAGATGACGGACAAGAGTGCAGAACTAGATGACTCTTATTTTTAAGATCATCATTATCATTATCCTGAGCATTGATGTCGCCGCCATTGCCATGGACGTGACACACGCCGGCCATGCGGAGGAACCAGTCTACGGCTTCACAATTCACACTTCCCAATGACCAATTGTGAATCATCTCAGACATCAATGCTTATGATTCCATTGGTATTTATTGACCCAACAAAGCATACTTTTGACCCTGGGCTTGATGCTGCAAGTTTCCATCAATCGACGGACGTCAAACGGCACGGCTTCAATCCTATCGACGAGGGTAGTCACACTTCTGGCATGCAACATCGTCACCCCGAAATCCATTGGAATCAACGGCAATATGACTGATTGATCTCTTGGAAGATCAATCTTCAAATCAACAATATTCACAAATAATTCTGAGAGTGACTGCCTGGTAGAGGCAAATCACGTGGAGTCTAGGCCTTCTAGTTCTCGATCTCCAAGAGCGGGCAAGTTCCACATCCACAAGAGTGGAAGATAATCGCCCACACCGGTGAATCCTGCTCGCACATATGCATATCGGTCACCCACACCCAACTCGTTTGTCAAACGGAAGATGCCTCCCTCAGCCAGATGAATATCGTTCTGAGCGCCCTTTCACGCCTCGAGCGATTGGTCGAGTCGAGTTAGTTGGCTGCGGCACCCAGGGTATCAACAGTATATGAGCTGCACGCGCCTTCCGATTGTGGTGAGGGCTGTCAGAGATTTTGTTCGCTGTCCGATGCTACGTGAGACGTCTTCACCGTGTCATGTTGTCTTGGAGCAGTCGTGCATCTGTCGCTTTTCGTTTGTCGATTCTTGTTTATCGGTTCTTGTTTTTGTCAGCCCTAGATATGGGAACAATGGGAACAATAGGGCTGCTCGGTGAGGAGTCGAGGTCTGCTCGTTCGAGCCTTGTTCGCCATGTTGGGGGCGTTTTTATTCCTTCTGTCAAGTCGAGCCGGTATCATCGGCAAGGAGATTGCAGTCAGCGTCGCATATCCAATTCTGGTCTACGAATGAGGCTGGGTTACAACGTAACCGATATGCGGCTTGCAGAGTTTCAAGACGCAGGAAGTCTGCGAATCTCATTCGATTAGCCTCTTGCATGCTTGGACAACTGTGCCGGACCGGGGGTTGGTCATGTTGTTTTTGGGTGTTTGCTTCTGCCTGAAGACCGGTCATCCCCAGCCTTTTCCGACGATTAGCACCAGGTGGCTCACATCATGGACGAGACCATGTCAGGTTGTAACCTGAATACAGGGATACACAACCACCGGAGCAGACTGAAGCGGTCGCAAGCAAGGGCAAAATCCACTAACATGCGGTGTGTAGCCGCCACAAGGGTTTTGATTTGTTAAGATACAGAGACCCGTCCTTGTACGATGATCAGCCCGGCGGTCGCATAAGAGTGGACGTATTGCGCGAGGGCGATGTTGATGTGTTCTTATAGAAGGGCACATCCGGCTTCGCGAGGAGGAGAAGGGAGATGGTTTTTTTGGACCGCCCTCCGCACTCCCTGAGCGCACAATTGCTTTACTACGCACTTCTTTATATGTTTTGCTTGCAAGTCCGAGTCTGCTGGCAGCCCAGACCCATCACGTCTCTCAGAACACCCAGAAGCAGCCAATGGTCTTCAAAAAGACAATGGCCCCGCTTTTATCTGCGTTCTGAGGGCGCTGGTTGGCTGATCCCTGCCAGTGCTGCTCTCTCACCGAAGTCCTCCTTTCGCCAACGCACCCGACCAACCACTTCCACCCACCACGGCCGTCCAGGACTCTGTCGCATACTGACTGTACAGACCGTCACCGTACACCGTACCCCAAAGAGGCACCGATGAAGGCGACGGTTATGGACGACGGAGTGTAGACAAGAGGGCGGCACTGTCGTCGCAAGTCGCAAGCCGCCAGTGCGTCTCCCTCAGTCTTATACCGTCTGCCATCGCTGGCGGTGCCCCATGTCCGAGTGGTCTGGGTGACCGGTGCAATGTGTGGTCCGAAGTAAGTCGTCCCTCAGTCTCTCTCCTCTCAGTCGGGTCCGATCCAAGGCGTCGGCGTGTTTACGGTAGGTGAGATTTCACACAGCCAGAGGTACTCGCACTTTGCGCGAAACTCCCTCTGGACCCCACACAGTCCGTCAGTCAGCCAGTCATTCACTCACCAGTCCTCGACTCCGACTCCAAGTACCTTTGTACCATTGTCGGTGTCAACCTCTCCGGTCGAAGTCCTGTATCCTATTCCTGTCCAGGGTCCCTCTCATAGGGCGATGGTCCTCCTCACCCATCCCCTCTCACAGCTGTCGCAGTCACTCACTCACCAGTCACGCTTCTGCACTCACTTCCACCTTCGCACCTCTGGCCCTCTGCACCTCGCATCTCTCTGCACGCCGGTCGCTTCTGCTTCGCGTCCCCCAGCAGCTTTTCTCTCTCTCCCACCCGAGAACAATTCCTTTCTTCACCTCTTTCTCCTCAACCTTCTTCACAACCCTCGACAAACACCAACATACACAATACAATTGTTTCACTTCTATCAGCGCTATACTCAACATCGTCAAACAATATGTAAGTTGATGCACCCCGAGTCCAACCTCTAGCTTCCTTCATCTTGCTGACCTCGCTGCCTAAGATCGTCTTCGCAATAGTCACCTCTTTACTTCATTCTGGCACAATGGCCTACCAACAAACTGGCCGCCAGCTTGCCTCCGCCATGGACAGAAGAATTACGCAACCTTCTGACTTCCGATCTCCCGCTCCGGCCAACGCATATGATCAAGGCAACAGCTCTCTCTATCGGACCAGATCCAACGAGGTGTCGGATGACAGCGGCTTTTTCTCTGCGGATTCTCCAAATTCATCACCTCTTGCTTCTTACCGGGACTTTCAGCTTTACGACTCGGATGCGGATTATGTCGATGATGGAGCTTCTCTGTTTGGCAACCAAGGCAGTCACACCAGCAGTCAAGTCGCTCAAACCCCGAGTTATTCATCGCAATCTTCCTCTGCAAATCGCAATCGCAACGGGACAGCATCCAGCCAAAGTAGTAGCGGTCTGGTTTATCAAAGCACTGAATCCTCCCATCCGTCTCTCTTCGGCCACTATCGTGAGGTTTATCCAACCGGCCCAACTCCATACCAGGAATGGCAAGTCCAGCCGTGGCGGCACGAAAGGGTAGCTTATCAGTCCGAGTCGCTTGCCAACACTTCCGATCCAAATCGTTATGATGAGGATATTCGCTTGACACCAGAACCATCCATCCCTCAACCCCGCTCGCCTAGACAGCGAAAATCAAAATCAGGCAGCAGCACCACCCACAAAAGGCGCAAGCACTGAAATCTCCACCACCACCACATTTCTGGCTTTCTATCTCGGCGCATGCAACAGCGATATATCCCACGACAGCTTTCTCGATTCACAATTTCCTTTTTGAATATCATGCATGCACGGCGTTTCAAACTCTTTCCTTGGTTCTCGGTGCCTTGGAAATAACTCGGTTCTTTGCTTTGATTTTGCGGGGAGGTTTCTTTACACGACAGCAACGGTTGGATTCTACCGGACTGGAAGACTTGGGAGCATAATGATGATGATGAGACAGGGAGAAGAGTGCGAGCTGGACTTGGTGCTGCGTTTTCCTCGTCACGATGATGGAAAGATGATGATGATTCGAGTTGAGGGTTCCTATGTCATTCAAAAAGTTCTTTGTTTGGCACTCTTTCGGTTGCTTTTATTTTTGGCTCGATCTACATACCCCATATTCTTACTCCCACAATATCTATTAACGAGGACATATACCAGACGAATAATTCGTCGCGAGAATAATATATTTATCGCATTTATTCACATAAAATCTGTACTCTTCATGATCTTCCGTGACCACTCTTTTGAGCCCGCTACAACCTTCCATACAAGCACATCCCGCACCTCGAATTGCCACTCTCACCCCGACGGTCCAGCCCTCTCCCGCCCTTTTCTCGCCCTACCGTATCCGCAGGACTCGTGGCTCGTGTTCGCGGCTTAAAAATAAACTTCCCTAGGGACGCGATACGAGGCGAGGTTATCGGACTGCAGCGTCTATCAATGCGGGGGATCGTCACTGGGGAAAAACTCCTCGTGGGTTTGCCACGACCCCGCATTCCAGTGCAGATCGTGAAACTGTGTTTCTATATTTGTGATTTGATATTGGTCTGTTGGTTCATTGGCTCAATTGAATATACGTGAGGATGAAAGACCCTAGGTAATTGGATTTAGCATTGGATGAGCTAAGAGCTCTCTGCCCTATCGTATACGTTTCGGGACGGCCCGTAGTACGGTGGAGAAATGTTGGGTCTCGGCCTCCCACTTATCGCGTGAATTGTTGGGTTAACGTGGCGATCGTCGCCTTCCATAGGTATTTTATAGTAAGGACGGGAAACTTTTTTTGTATTTTATCTGTTAATGCACGATGCGGTTGGATAACAGAGGAAGAGTTGATGTTTGGAAAGGGGGAAAGGAATGCTAGTGAGGGTACGAGGGAACATTTCATTTTTGTGAGCTCTAGGTTAATGAAGATTGCACGAGCCTAGAGGTCTTGTGTCATGGCACTAGGGAAGTTTTCATTTTTCTCCTTGGGATGGTGAGGATATCGTTTTAGTTGATGGTTGAAAGCACGGTCCGCGCAACGGAGGAGATCTACAGCTGAGCAAGTCTCTTCAACTCAATCGCTCGTCCAATTGAGCATCTATATACATGTCTGCACCGTACTCGTCCATTTAAATCAACCCGAGAAGCTCAATTTGTCAGTTACGCACGTTGCAGGATCTTGTCCGCCGTATCATTCCTCGCAACGTTTGAGCCATCTTTCTTAATTGAGGACGCTCGTTTCTCTCTTCGTGGTCTCATCTTATCAGCCTGCGTTACAGGTCAATGATTTATAATATGACGGGAACTACTCCCGCTGGCCGTCGGTAGCATGATGGACGCGCTTGGCTCGACTCCCAGTGTTGGGTATACAAGAGAATTCTGGGTTCTGTTTTCTGATTGGAAGTGGTATTGTTATACGGAGAGTACTCTCTGATGATCTGTCATTAAAGTTCCTTCGACTTGCTAGGATGAGTCCTGCAGGAATGAGGTTTGTAGACTATTTATGGTCCTGGTTCAAGGGTTCTTCTTCTAGATGAACTAGTGCAGTTGGGACAGTAACAGTTCAGACAATAATGATCGACATCAGCGGTGTTACTGCTGTGCCCGCTTTCGAAATCCGAGCTGTCCTTTGGTGTTAAGGAAAGTCTTTTCCGTTCATCTGCCTCCGAATATCAAATTAGCACATTAACCTTCAAACCCTCACAGCCCTCGAAAGAAACACAACAAAAACATACCAACAAACCCCTCAACCGCCCCAACAACCGGTACCCCCAACATAATCAACGGAACCAACTGTCCAAACCCCCACGCATTCTCCTGCTCGTCAAATCCCTCCGCTTTCACCAGCCCCTGATATCGACTCGTATCCCTCACAAACCCAATATTGCCAATCCCGGCAACCATGAACATCGTCGAGACAAAACAGACGATATGGAACGTGCGTGTGGCGACTATAATTGCATATGCTGTGGTCGACTTTTTCCAGCGTTTAGACGCCCAAAGGATCTCGATACTGATCTGAATCGCGCAGGCGAAGAGACATGCAATTCGCAAGCGCGTGTGTAGGGCTGCGGGTTGGGCATTGCAGATATTAGGACACGCCGCTACACGTCCATTCAAGGCGTCGCTGTAATCGAAGCTGGCAAGTTGCGACCAGGTGACCATACCGATCACCACAGCAAATATAGACATGCGCAAGTAAAACAGGAATTTCGACTGTACCATCCAGTCCACGAGCACGAGCAGTGTCATAGCATGCGTAAATGATGAGTACCAAGCGAGATAACTGACGATATTAAAGTGGTAGATGGAGATACTATCTCGTTGCACCGCAGCGACGGTGAGGATAGCGAGGGCGACGAAAGCTTGTTGGTCTGCGAGGCCGATGATGAGGGAGTGAAGGGTGTTGTTCCAGAGGGTTGCGGTCTCCACGCTCATGTGTTTTGCGAGGCGCCCGAAGAGGATCTGGAGGTTGCGGAAGGAATTTTGTTGGGGTAAGTCTCCGAATTCGATCAATTTGGCGTGTTTGACGCGGAAGTTTGTGAAGTACTTGAAGATTGCGGCGAGGAGTGTGAGACATGCTGAACTTAGGAGAGAGGCAAAGACCTGGGTTTGTTAGTTTGTGTTGAGTTCTGAAGGTGCTTGAGGGACGAAGTGCTTACCCCTTTTCCGGCGATATCAGCATTTGGTTGTAGCTCTCCACAGTTGTCGGGGTATGTAGAGCATGCACCGGAAGTGCTCATTGTTACGAAGTCAAGATCATGTTGTTAATAGGAGGTTGCCCCAACATCAACTCCAAGACGCTCATGATCGAAACCAAAAGTGCTGAATCTGAAACTTTTGGGATATGGCCTATTATTTTTATGTTATGTTCGGTCAGCCTTACCAATATGTTACACCGATTGGATGATTTTGAGCGCCACGGTTGAGCGAGAAAAAGGGGTTGTAGCCGAGCTGAACCACCTGCCCAATAATACCTGCACAATAATCGGTGTTGATTCTGCATTTGCAGGACCTGATAAATTGTAGAACTACAAAATCGCTTCTTTCCTCAAACTTTAAACTATTTGGCGATTCTTGAAACATGTTCTTGCGCAAGAGTAATACTTGATATACTAGCGTGTACATGCTAGGTAGGGGCTCTAGGCCAAGATGTCAAAAATGACCAGAGTAATTTCCTTCAGCCGCACCGAACATCTACTCACAGAGCAACAGAACAATATAGCTAGTGAAGAACAGGCCCCATGGGACTCTTAAGCCTGTAATGTCCATATCTAATTCTGGCGGGTGTGGGTAGTGTCCTTTTGTGGTTGGTTCTCCTTAAACGGCACCCGTTACTGAATTAGAAGTGAGCGGAAGATAGTAATACGGTGTCTTGTTCCTCCATATATGACCAGTCAGTCCTGCGCCATCGAGGAATAGATTTTCCTATCCTCTAATTGACCATCCCGGGTTTTCATAGGGAGGAGCAATGCCTGCACTCTTTCGACTCCCACCAAGCCAAGAGGATTGTCGCACTTCGTTTCCGAGTTCCCTCGCCATATCTTGTTAAGGCAGGTTATTATGTTCTCTATCCCACTCACTAGACTGAGAATCACGTTCGGTGAACTTAAACATAAAGTCTTTCGACATGTTAAAGGTCACATCTATATAGGATCATCGGTATAGGCAGGCGGTGGTGCCTCCTCGTCCACCACAGGCACAGGTGCCTCTCGAATCAGTCTCTTCTGCTCCTCGAGCTTCGCTACCCACAGCGCAGATCCGCAAGCTGAAGTGAGAAGAAAGAACATCGAAAATACAGGCACAAGTTGTAACAACAATGCCATAGTGCCAAACCTAAACCCTGATCAGTAGCTGGATAGTCGTCGAACAGTACGAGAAGAGACGTACCATGTATATTTCCACTTCCTACTCGAAATCTCTCTATTCCTCTCCTTCTTAGTCAAGCCCCTCAACTTAAACCACCTCCAATGGTGAAATGGTCCTGCCCTTGCTCCCGTCAGGACTAAGAAGAATGGAACTCCAATGACAGGTATCAAATTTAGCGGCAGGAAAACTATAAATTCGGCTATCTGGCGAAAGGAGAATGGCGAATAGACTGCTGATTCGGTTGGCCTACCCAGCATCTTAACGGCATTTGGCGCATCAACATGAAGGATTCGAGATGAGGCTACGAGATCTTTTTGCCCTTCGCGGATTAAGGTGGCCTTCAGTTTGTCAGTAAAGCCAGGCATACAACGGGCACATGATAAAATACATCGAACACGTCGACCAATGTCTCATCCACCAGAAGTGCTTCGAACAATAATGCAATCACTACCTGTCCTTCGCCCAGAACCAAGAACACGGCGCTGACCCAGGCGGTTGGGCCATGGAATATGAGGAGGAACGCGACTTGAGGCAGATAAGTAAATGTGAACAGCAGACCGAGAACCACGATAGAGGTTATGGTGAGAGGTATGAGGCGGCGCCCAAAAAGGGGATAATATTCGCGGTGCGCGCAGAAGTACCAGATGCCTTTGAAGGGGTAGAGGAATGATGAGCTAACAACATTCCGAATAGGAAGTAGTGCAGTAGCACTGATATCGCGGGCGGGCATATTTGAAGCTGTTGATTGTTCAATCGCTTGCCTTCAACGTTGGCAATTGTTGATGTTGCTGCTGGAGCTGCCTGGGGAAGCTTGAATGATTGCGTCACTGCTACAGGGGTGTGGTCAACAAATGTGGCAGGTGTTACCGAAGTTTATCCTCGGCTAGAACATCCGCTCACCAGAACAACGACAATCAGTCTATTTCCGTGAGGCTTTCTTGGGTGTTCAGCTCTATGAACGCCCATACATTCATTCCTATAATCATAACGCTCTATGGATTGCTTCCGACACCAATATCATGTCCATTATGTGTTGAGCGTAGCCATTGGAGTCGGCCATGGGTTCCGACATCAGGCATAGAGGGAGGGTTGTGCAATATGTGCTCGTGAGCTGTGTTTGGAGCTATGCCTTGAGGCCTCGAGTAATCTACTCAAAGTAATGCAAAAGATTTACCAAAATCCACATGAAACTTTCTGTTGTCCTTGGAATCAAATCACTAATATCTTTTCCAAATAGGTCGGGAGCTCCGATAAACACATCGTTCTTGAAACAAGAACCTCATTAGCTATGAAACATCAGACTGTCACGATGTTTGTGGTTGGCAAATATGTTTGCCTATCTGTCCATCTGTTACCTAGCACAATGGCTTACACGCGAATGCCACCGTCTATGACGGCATTGGGTTCCGTGGCCGGCGTGTTCGTAGGTGTAACACTTCATAATGCAACCGCCTGATGACAATACTTAAGGTTTGAAAACATGGATTTGAACTTGCTAGCGTCTATACAAGAGAGTAGCGTAACATCTGCATTGCAGTTTCCTAGCAGCAATCTGTGCATTTGACATGCAACGGGCTAGACGACAGTTCGAGACTTTGCTATTTGGTATCTCGTAGACGCCTCTGGCTTTGTTCTCTGTCGGCTCTAACACGTGCTTATTGGGGGTCGATTTGGTCGCCATGTTGTAGTATGTATGAAGTACCAAAGCATCTTCGCTATGTGCTCATTTGTGTGGACTTGGCGAGAGATAGTTTCGAGCTTTCAAGTAGCTTTGTAATCCTAAGGTCAGGGTATGAATTCGTCCGGCTCCCTCTGGATAACAATTCAGAAATTTACCCATCTCGTGGTAGGTCTTCATTTGTTTCTATGTTGGAAGCTGTAAACATAGCGACACTGATAAGCAAGGGTCTGGTGGGAGCTACCTTGATAACTTATTAGGTCCATTCACCTGAAATACAACTTCGTACAGTGCTCAGGGGAAATATGACCACAAGTTGAGATGATAAAGATATCACCATGAACATGGTAGCAATCACACTCACTGACTTGTCATATGGTACAGAGCCGTTAGAATTTCCGACTGTAGCCGAATTAGGAGTAGCAGATATATCGAGACGAGTACTGCAGATAAAATGAAAGGGGCTGCCTCGAATATGTGGTGGGACGTAATGCAGTTTGCCGTCGTGTCAACAAACATATTCCGAGCCGATTTCTCTCCCGTCTCCACCCTCATCTCGACATCATCTTTCTTTCCTCCCGTCCCCAACACGTTCTTTTAATCTTCCAAGCCGCGTCTTTCTTCGACGCGCAGACGTTCTTTCCATTCCAAACTCACACTCCTTTTATTTTTTCTTTTCTGTAGATCGTCTTCCGAAAAAATCGATCTTCGCATCAACCACAGTCTTTACCATCAACAACTTCATTGATATCATTGATTGATATCTCAAGATGCGCGCCTCAACTTTGGCCTCCTTCGGGTGTACCGTCATGTTTGCTGCAATGGTCTCTGCCGCACCAGCTGGGTAATTATCTTTCCACTGATTATCTTCCACTTTCTGGAACTGACTGTAAGAAGACTTGTTGCTGTCGACACCTGTGCACCAACAACAACCACGGTCTTTGTTACCCTCGAACCTTCGACAATCACCATCCACGATGCCCCAGCAAGCACTGTATATGCAGCAGATGGACAAACTCCAACGATCCCCGATCCAACTCTCTTGTCAACACCATTGGCCACCGATGTAGACCACAATAAGCCTGCAACGGCAGACCTGTCCGATCCTGAGATTGTCACGGTCACTAACACAGTAGTCGTCACTGCTCAGTATACCCCTCCAGTCTCAAGCTCTGCGTATGTCATCAGTTACTATGTCAGCGGCACTTCAACTGTTTACTTGAACGGCCCAGGACCAGACGCAAGCGAGTCTATCAGCTATGCTGGCCCCGAGACGGTGACTATCGAGCCTGTCGAACCTTCTGCTGGCCCGAGAACAACGACATTGTCCGGGAAAACCACCATTCGCGTTACGCAATATCGAACCGTGACAGGTACCCTATCTGTTCCAAAAGAATCGTCTCCGGGAACCAATCCAAGTTTCAGTGGAATCGGCGCAGGTGGTTGGAATGGCACTGCCAGTGGAGCTTACTCAACTGGAACTGGGCTCGCAGGTGTTTACCCTACCGCCCAGGTAACTGGAGCTGCCTCACGCACTACAACAATTTTTCCAACCTCGTTGTCTGCAAAAGATGGATTTGGCGCTTCAGACCCTGGTACTCTGTCCATCGCTGATCCAACATTTGATTTCTCCAAGACATTCCCATCCATCAGTCTATCGACAATGGCAGCTAAATCCGGTTTTGACGCTTTCTCAACTCCAACATACGTGGATGGAACCCCTACAGCACAACACTCAAGTCCAACACCATTGGCAACTCAATCTACTCGTAAGTTACGAAAATTATGCCATGCATGGCATTAGATTTCTTCACAGCTCATTCTCTATCAATGCACCCTTGGCCTTGAAAGGTTAATGCTAACATTTTACGTAGAATCTAATGTCACTTTCATCGCTGCTTCGAGCGCCGTATCGAGCTCAACTGCAATTCTCGTATCAAATTCTTCGATTGCTCTCCAGACCACTGTGATTGGAAGTACGCCAACTACACTAGCCTCCATTTCCCAAGTCACTAGCACAAGCTCTTCCTCCATCGGATACAATCAAACCTCAACTTCTGTTGCCTCAAGCGCATCGCCTAGCACGAGTGCCTGTGGTGAAATTGGCGACTTCACTCTAAATGTAAGCAATATCCACACACTTCCTGATCGATTGTCATTGATCGGTCCTATATCTTACCACTTGAGCTAACATTCTAAAGTTTGATGATATCCCAGGATTAGCTGCTTCCGACGACGCTGACCCACAACCTGTATTCAGCCCGTATCATCAATTTGTCTTTTCTAATGGCTACGTTGTTGTCCCACCCCCAAAAGATCCATATCTGCCATCGTCACCTCCTCAGCTCACCGAGTTCATTCCCAACTTTACAGTCAAGAACAGCACGGCTGCATCTGGCCCAAATTCGGCTGAAGGAGGCTTCTCTGCAGACATTGGAAATGGGGACCATGATCATACCGGTTGTTTCCGCTTCAACTTTTATGGTGGCTCAGTTGGCTGCGACTCTCAAGGACCATCTTGCGTTTTCACGTTCACTGGACTTCGTCATGACGCCGCTGCGGGAAAAGATGTTGCTGTCGCCTCTCAGATTTTGGCAGTCGATGCCTGTCCCGAGCTTGTGGATTGTACTCTTACACCTGTCACCCTTGGTCAGTCTTTTAGTGATCTCACAATACTTCGTATGCAGCTGAGTGTCGGTGGTGAGCCTAAGATTTGGTGGATGGACGATATTCGCATGGGCTGGTACGACAACTCCTGCGCGATGGGTATGTGCCGCACAACTACTCATTTACACAGACGTCAAATCAAAAGCAACATCTCGAAGTTGCACCGCTAAGCGACTCTGGCACAAATATCATACTGGAACATTTTGATGAACAGATATACATTCTCTTAAAAAGGCATATCTCTTGACTAGGATGCTACTGCATTCTGTCATTGCAAATTCTGGTGGAAAGAAAATTATATGTTCAAGGTACTTTGATTTGCTTTAAACGATTGGACTTTTATGAAACATACGAGAGGAGATTCGGGCCGGCCTGTGTTGTTTTGTAGCAAAATCATATGAAAATAGCTTGATGACACGACGGAGCTAAGGGTGAAGTTAGTGCTCAAGGAAGGAACTACGTAGAAAATGAAAAGTTTTATATTCAGTTCTTGTCTAATGTGCTGCAAGAAACTGATGCGATGGGATCAAAGAGTTTCCAAAACTTGAGACGTAAAATCCTGAGTTTCCCATAGGGATGGGCTGTTGCACTGAAGGCAGAAAATGACTTTGTGCCTTGTTGATATGCTAGCACACCTAATTCCGCAGATGAAACCAGATGGCTGTCTTGACTCAAATCAGTAATCTCATCAATACTTTAGATTGAGTCTCTACCCTCGTCCGATAGGATCAAACTTCCAAATCGGCAACAACAGGTCACTTCTTAGGGAGGGTTCGATTCGATACCATGCTGAGGACTTCATTCGTTGATACCGATGTGGTTGTTGAATTCAAGAAAGAACTTGGGGATACTTGATGCCTTGGTTTGAATGTCGGTCATTCGTTTTTGGCGTAGGAATCTTTAGGGGTGCACGAGAGAAGTGGTTGAGTATGGTATAGAATGGTGGGGTAATGGGATTGCGGAAAGTGTGTGAGGGTTCTGTGGCTTATAGTCATGGACTGCATAATTGTGATGGATGGTTTTTTGAGATGTGATTATAACGAACTTGGTTTTGGTTGAATGTATGAAGGGGGGGCGTGAGTATGGGACGTGCAAAGTTACTAGGATGATGTTGTATACTTATGCATATGTTTTACCTGTTGGATTGGCACACTTCTTGCTTTGAATTTGTAGTCATAAAGTAAATGCACAACCTATATGCATGTAGCTCGATCTGCTATGATATCGATTTATATACATCAAGCCATTATACCATTCTATATACATGTCATCCTCGTTCTTGCCTTTGCAACCTAAAGTATCTATTTACATAAAAAGTCTAAAAGCGCTTTCCAAAACCAGGTATGCTACTCGTAATACACATTAACACTTCTCATCCCAAAACCCAATGCTATAAACTCGAAAACAATTAGAAGTTTAAAATCTTCACTTTCCTTTTTATAAAAAAACACAACTCTCCAATTAATTGTTCAACATACAAATCTAGATCTTAGGCCACACCGTATGACGATCCACCTTATTACTTGGTATGTCTTCCGAATACGCACTACTAACACTCAACGCACTCTTCGTACTCGCCTTCCTGCCCAACCCCGCGCCTAGTTTCTTATTACCCTGAACCTGCGGCGGGAAGTTTTGCGTCGACGGACTGATTTTCACAGGTGGACCACGCATGCCAAGGACGGGGGATTCGCGGGAGAATTGCATCTCGTTGACGATACGCTGGGAGGCGGTCGTGGGGGTGCGTTTATGTTGTTGCGGGGAGGAGGGTTCGGGTGAAGGAGGGGTGTAGAGAGAGTGACTGCTGTCGCTGGATTGGCGGGCGAGTGCCAGGAGGGCGATGTTGGAGAGGGGTGAGGGTTGGGTGGTTGTTACGTCGCCGCGGGCTACGCGTTCGAGGACGCCTTTTTGTTTGTGCAGTGGACTGCGGGGGATCGGTGAGACGAGGGGGAGATCGGTGTAGGGGCTTCGTGGTGGCTCGGAGTCGCTGTCTGAGCCTACTGGAAAGCCCATTGTGTCGAGTGTATCGCGCGTGGTGCCGTAGTGGAATGGAAATTGTGGTGTCAACGGGGTAGAGGAGTTTGGAGATACTGGTAGGTTTGGGGTGGAAGGCTTGCTTGTGTCGTGTGCGGAAGTGGTTCTTATGGAATCACCAGCTCGTTTGGGAGAAGAAAGAGATACTTCGTCAACGGTGGAAAAGCGAGAGCTGTCGACTTTGATGGAGAATCGGCTAGTAACCCGATCACTTAGTGAGCGGGCTGGCGTTCCTGGCAGGTCTCGAGAGTACCGGAAGGATCTATCTGATTCTCGAGCACTGAGAGAACGATTGAGTGAGCGTGGAGGTGTTCCGTCGATGAAACTGTGTAGTAGGGCTGGGTCACTTGGAACCATACGAAGACTGGCTTCTGGCGTGATCAAATACGGACTCGGACTGCGACTCATCGATCTCTCGTGTGCACCCAAGTTTCCAGGAGTCGTTGGAGAGTATACGGGACTCGGTGATTGCAAACTTCGTAAAAGCTTGACGTCCTGGCTCTGACCACTCCTCCGGAATGGAACACCTGCAAATGCTTCATTCAGTCCTGTATAACTCCGCTCCTCAATAGTTGCTCGGTTCTTGTTTTCTGCTGCTCTCTGTTTCTTTGCCTTCTTCCGAGTTCCAAGTAGAAACAGAACCAGCACAAGAGTGATTCCAAGTCCCGCCACCCCGCCTATAACTCCTCCAATTATGGCTCCTCGGTTCTTGCTCGACAGTCCTAGGCTATCAATACTCGCCGCTGATGACTCTGATGGCGATGTGCTCGAAGTTGCTGCTGGAATATATGGTGTTTGTACTGATGTAGGATTTGCTGATGGGGTTACTGCCGCTTGTATAGAAGGCGAAATGCTTTCCCATGGTATCATAGGAGGTACCTCTACGTCCCCACCAACAACCAGGGGACTATTCTGATCCATGAATGTAATCGAAGTGAAGAATAGGTATCAACCAGTTGCTCCTATTGCTGGGCCTAGCCCAAAAACCCAAAGGAAAAAAGAGGTAAACGAAAGAATGAAGATCAACGAGTGAAAAAAAGAAGAGAAATGAATGTAAGAATGCAGAAATGCACACGAATGCTCGGTCAGGGTGTATGCATGCTGATAACCTCTTCAGTTAAGTCGCTCAGAGACCGGTGGAAAGCGGGCAACCAGGAGCTCTCCGTCCACACCATCGTACCGACTACCAGAGTCAAAAACGGGACCTGCCATCCCATGTCGTCCCAGATTTAGTACCCCTTCGCATTGACGCGTGGTCTTAGACAGCTGGTAAACAAATTTCGGGGCAAACCCGCACGAGCAGCAAAAATCACGTGGACATGGAGAAGTGGATAGCAAGTGGAGATGTTGAGCCGGCCTGGGAGATTTGGATGGACTTCTGGAAAGCCAAAGGAAGGATTGCCCTCCGTAAGCAGTTCCAAGCAAGGCAGAAAGCCCAAGTTGCTTACTCTGGAGACTCTAACAGACGGTCAGTGACCATTGACGGCAGGAATAACAACCCTTCATGTCCGGCAAACGAGAGGACCAACCATGAAATTGTTTACACGAAGGCCGGTGTTTCTCTGCACGACAATCGGTTTCATTTGTTCAATGGACGAGAATGGCATTACCTGCAATCGGCGGTAGAAAGTCCTTTCAAAAACCCACACCGAGTTAGTCGACGACTCGAAGTAAGTTTCGCAGGACATCATCCCTCTGACAAGGTGACGAGTCACTACCAAGGTATGGACCAGAAGTGAATCAAGTGACGATGATGAGTAAAACAATCATGAAAAGATTTCCGTAGGTCAAAGAGCGATGCGAGTATATGGCCAAGCGTTCGACATAAAGAGGTTACGGACCGGTGGGTAATTAATTAATCGATCGAGATGGAGATGAGATGAGCGAGTTGGGAAGGGAGCGGTGCAATCAACTTGATACAATGAGTATGTAAGTACACACGTGACTTGTTTCGGTATTAGACTAAAAGGGTAATTGTCGGACATAAGGAGGCCTAGAATCCTCGCCGTTGAACGAAACTGTTCTACGTGAGCCCGCATTAACTTGAACATAATGCGGTTTCCTCGGATGAAAACAAAACTATATTATAATACATCTTCTTTGATTATCAAACTGAAAAAACCAAAGTAACAAGTTCTTTACACGAGCAATTACAACGCTACCATTCCATCCCACATTTTACACTTTGCCCATTCACCGGATGCAGCTCCTAATGCCACCTCGAGTCCCCTTCGGTACGCCTTATGCCATCCTTCGCTTTCCGCCCCGCATCCTTCGCTCGCGACGAAGATACCTCGACCACTGATAGCTCAGAACAGCTCAATTGGACCCTGGTTCATGAGACGAATTTCTCGGACGGCTGAGATCTGCTGGCTGACTGACTGACCGACGTACAACAAACATTCACTCAATCTGCCTGCTCGTCAAAACTTCTTCCACAAAAAGCATCGTAGCTCTATGGTCTGTCGCGTGTTTTTGTAGTGCAACATTGACATTGACATTGACCCTCCCGACACCATCGCGAGCTATTTCGTCCCGTCTCTTATCGCAGCCTGATACTAACTCGCGAGCCGACCCCGCGCTGACAGCGCAAAATACTCTAAATCCTGTCGTCAAGACCGCAGCCCCTTGATTTACAGTCCAACAGCGACGATGAGTTACAACCCTCAAGATGGCAAGCCGCAGGTCCAGGCATGTCGGTACAAGACCGGAAAGACCCTCGGCGCGGGTTCATATTCGGTGGTCAAGGAATGCGTACATATCGACACAGGCAGATACTATGCCGCCAAGGTGATAAACAAAAGGCTGATGGCAGGAAGAGAGCATATGGTATGTCTTGGGATCTTCGAATTGTGTGTGGAAGCAGCCTCTAATTCTGGCTTTAGGTGCGCAATGAGATCGCGGTCCTGAAACGAGTCTCGATGGGTCATCAAAACATCCTCACGCTGGTCGACTACTTCGAGACACTCAACAATCTATATCTAGTGACAGATCTCGCCCTCGGAGGAGAACTATTCGATCGTATCTGCCGAAAAGGATCATACTACGAATCAGATGCGGCGGAGCTGATACGAGCGACTCTCTCCGCAGTCGCATATCTCCACGATCACGGAATCGTACACAGAGATTTGAAGCCAGAGAACCTGCTGTTTAGAACACCAGAAGATAATGCCGACCTATTGATCGCGGATTTTGGACTCAGTCGAATAATGGACGAGGAGCAATTTCATGTCTTGACCACAACATGCGGAACACCAGGCTACATGGCGCCGGAGATCTTCAAAAAGACAGGACACGGAAAACCCGTTGATATTTGGGCGATTGGAGTCATCACCTACTTCCTCCTCTGCGGTTACACACCTTTCGATCGCGACTCCAATCTCGAAGAAATGCAAGCCATCCTCGTCGCCGACTACTCCTTCACCCCCATCGAATACTGGCGCGGCGTCTCCCTCCAAGCCCGAGAATTCATCAAACGCTGTCTCACCATCGACCCAACACAACGTATGACCGCACACGAAGCACTCTCTCACCCCTTCGTCGCCGGCCTTACCACAGGCAGAGAAGGCAACACCGAAAAGGGCAGCGATCTCCTTCCAGTCATCAAGAAGAACTTCAACGCCCGCCGCACCCTCCACGCAGCCATCGACACCGTCCGCGCCATCAACAAACTCCGCGAAGGCTACGGCGGTATGATGGACGGCGTCACCTCCGAGAACCCAGCCGCAGGCGCCGCACCGCTACCCTCTCACCAGTACAAGACGGGAGGGACGGCCGACTCTGGCGTCGGCGGTATGGGCGATGCCGCGCAGACAGATTCGGGATATGTGACGGGGACGGGTCAATTAGGACAAGGCGCGTATGATAGCCAGGGCGATGCGCAGATGGGTGGGGTAGAAAGATTCAGCGGGCAGGGACAGACGGAAGCGCAGATCGAGGCGCAGACGAGGAAGATTGCTGAGACGACGAAGGGGCTGTGGAGTGTTGGCCACGCGAAGGTTTCGGGGCGGTAGTAGCTTTGACTGTCTGAAGAATGGTCGAAGAACAAACGAAGAACAGGAGAAGTAAGATGGAATATAGGAATGAATGTGATGACTACGAGTATGAAATCGACCGAGCTAGCTGAGGTACTTTGGGACTTGGTATTTGGGGAGTATGAAGGGGGTGTTTTTTTTAGCTTGGGAGCTTTTAAATGAGAAGATAATTTACTGTGATGAAAGAAAAGAATATGTTTTACTTGATTCCTCTAGTTTATGGTACAATTGCTGACAACTAAGCGAATCAGTGTCTTTGATCCTATCCCAAATAGGCTCACGGAATTCTTCACAAAAAGCAAGTAAAGAAACATGCGATAAATACGTCAGAGCAACTAAATAACTTCTCACCCCTATCTATCTTCGACACCGAACTCATTTTACTATTTCTTCATACGTAGTGACTTAATCTATACCGTATGCTTAGTAGCATTCAGGGCATTTGCGAACCAAGTTTCAAGCACCGTACTAAGGAAACGCTGGCTAGTGATCCTGGCTAATTCTAGAGCAACCTTTCAGAATATACATATATTCTTTCCGAAGATGTCGAAGCTCGCGATTTATAAACGAATTACAAAAGACCGTGATGTAAGATAATGAATGTATTGGAATTTAAAGGCCGTAGGCATGACTTCTGCCATTGTAATACTTACCATTTTCCTTGAGTCAACAGGTCACGAATTGTGGATATCACAGTCACTGAAAGCATTGTAAATTAGACAACATAAGTATTCTTGAACTGTGTCATTTGATTCTTGAGTTTCCGGTCCACCTCGGGCTTGAGTCTTCACTTCTAATTTCCTCCTCTTCTGCCGCTCAACACGAAAATCTTCCTCCAAACCCCTACACCCGAAGCGGAGCCTCTCGTCAACTCACAACAGCAGTTCAAGAATGGTTCCCATTAAATCCTCCCCATTAGGAACCCAATTCCCACATTATTATGCACAACCCACTTCCAGTGAGTACATCGTCCCATGAATTTCGATGCAGCATACCCAAAAACACCCTGTATACCGGCTCCCGCGCCGATAATATGCCGTCCAAACACCATTGTAGCAAAATCTATTTTCAGCGAGAGTATTGAAGGTTTATTCGTACAAGTCGAGCCCAGCACAATTCATAACTCTATACGACACAATGTGACATCCTCCCCTTTTGTGACTTTCGAGATCGGAAAAGGCGGTTACTCTAGCGATTGTGGTATTTTAAACTCAGAAATTGAAATTGAATAGGCCGAATCCCTAGAATCATGGTCCTAGGGGGTCGGAAAGAAGTATAGGCGGAATAGAAGAGATTGCCACGTCGGTAATCGATTGGCCATTGCCGTCAGGTGTGGGGTTCGTCGATGTTGGCCATGGCGTAATTAGTATTAATATGTATCTTTCCCAAAGATGAACCCAAATCCTGTCCCTATGATGCTCTCGAACTGTAGTTGGAAAAGGCTGATAATACTATATACAAGTCGATGAAGATGCGTGGATCGTCGTTCAAGAAATCTTTCGGGACCAAGAATTGGGGGATAAAGTTTATGAAGAATGGAGTTAACCATAACTGTTCATAATGTTTGACGCCGTGATATGCCGTAAATCATGAAATATTAGGTGTTGGCTTCAGGAACTGGCGAGCTGGTCTAACGATAGATCGAAGCTCCTAGCCACTATCGCGGAATGACATCGCCGAGTTCGCTGTCTGATATTTGAGAAGCTAAAGTCTCCCCTTCCCATGAGGATTGCCCGTCATCGACTGGACTCCTTGAGCCGGATGATATGGATGACGAAGAGCCGATAGTCCATTCATCACCGCTGTCGTGGTTGAAATCGAGTACAGTTAAACCATACTCATAACCATCGTTCATTGGCGCATCTCCGGCCTCGACGTAATCGTAGTGCCATCGGAAGAATTTGTCGGGTTGAATTCTTGGTAGGAAGTTCGTCTTTGCGATGTAAAAGGCGATCGAGGCGAGGAAGGCACCGCCAACTAAATCGACAGCATAATGATGAGACAGGTACATCGTTGCCCACCACATCCACATTGCGTATGCGATAACAAATGGCTTGAGCTTTGGGAAGCAGTGCATCATGAAAAGAGCTTCCAAGACAGCGTTTCCAGCGTGTAAGGACGGGAAGGCGCCGAAGACGAGAGGAGACGCAGTAAAGTTTGTGGTGTACATATCGATACCGAAGAGCTTGTCAATTCGCGCAAGACCAGCGGGAGACCCTTCCATGGAGTAATTGGCGGGTGCAAGTCCGTACATGTTCTCATACCACGGTGCAGAACAAGGGAAGATCAACTGAATGATCACGCCTGTAATATTGACATACCCGAAAGTACGTCCATAAACAGGGAGAACACCCGGAGGACCAAAAAGGAACATGAGAGCTGCCCAAACGAATGGTCCACCAAAATGCAAAATTCCATATGGCAACCAAGCTAGCAGATCCAAAATCCAATGCGTGTGCGCGGATAGGATATTGCTCAAGTTCGCACCGTAAAACACATTTTCCAGGGCTGGCAGAACCTTGACCCAAATATGAGGTCGGTATTCAGCAGGAATAAATCTGGATAATATTAGCATGGTGGACATGCGATCTGCGAGTGATAATTGCCGATCACTACCTATAGCGAGGAGTGCCAAATAAAATCATGGGAAAGTGCACATACCGAGCATTGAAAAAGAGAAACACCCATGATAAAATGGGAAGTGCAGGCAAGAAAAACTGTCTCGTTATTGGTACGAGCAGAGCTGCCATAAGCGCCGTCGCTGCAAAACATTTCATTAAAGGCCCTGGCGCCTGGCTTATGGAGAGCGAGAAAATGGCGAGAATAATCAGGAACAAATATTGCCCGTCATAATATGACCACCGATGCTGTCTTAACGCTTTTATGGTGTCTCGAGGATCAAAGGATGTTTCGATCTTTGCGATGGAGGATGCTGGGGAGATTGCGGAGCGGAACTTCGACCTCAGTCGGCGGCGATACCTGCGAGGTATAGGATTTAATATCGATGGCCAGGAGAACGGCAATTTCGCTTTCGAGAACGTTGGTGAGCTTGCGCTCGCGGCATAATAGTTCGAATCTGGCATCTTGCTAGAAGCTATTCCACTCGTGCGAACGATTCGATCTTGCGCAGATGGGTGGTGGTGGTGGAGGGTTTAGGATCGTTCGATGTTCGCGGCGAGCGGATGTAAAGGGGTGGCTGACGATCGATGCTATGAGCTGCACATGAAGCCGAGAGATACTGTAATGGTCGAGGGAGCGATGTTGTGAATGCGTCGGAGGGGTGAGAATGCGGTATTGGGAAGAAGCTGCTGCGGGAGAGTGAGGATGTTGTTGGATGGGGAGGACGAGTAAGAAAGCCAACACATGAAGTGGTAGGAATCGTAGCGCGAGGCGGATTGCTCGGTCTTCTTGAGCACCGGAATTTGTTGCAGGTGCGATGATGATGGGCCTCTGCGCCTGCTAACCCGTGCTAGCGGGACTTGGCAATGGACAGTAATTTGAGGTTTGCCAGCAACAAGCCACAACTGGTCCCAGCCAACCCTGCATTGAGATTGGAATCGGGGATTTTGGTAATCAGGTATATTTCGATTCATGATATTTACTCTTTTATCTGCTCGTTTATACCATTTATACACGTTTTCTCTCAGTCATTCAAGCATTCTCCCAAAGAGAATCCCGTATGGAACTGAGTTCTGTGACCAGATTCAGGGCGGGAACAAAGAAACTACACACTCACATACATGACGCCTCATGCCCGCCTTTTCTTGTGTTCACCGCGGGTTACAAGTATTTCGACGACAACATGCACCCCCATATACTGATTTTTACACAGAACTGACTTACTATTGCTTCACTTGAATGCACATATACCTCGATGCCGAATTCCTACTGGTTATCCTCAGCTCGCTTGTCCAAGATCTTACTCGCATCCCTGAATTCACATATGAACGAGCTCCGGGCGATCCGCAAATACTCAACTCAACGTCTAAGTGGCTGAAAACGGTGACAATTGCCTTGCCTGACATAAGCGCGTCGCATTCGCACTTTGCAATCCTTCCGCCGAGTTCTCCGGATCCGAATATGTACGACTAACTGCCGGTGAGGATACAATTGTTGTCGTTGATGTCGAATATTTTTTCTTCAATCAATCTATACGATACTTGCATTTGCTTTCACCGACAGGATACTCGCGAATCCTTTCCCACCCCTGGCTGCCAACCTGGACGTTGTCACACCTCAAGCGCCCACGTCTCCCGTCGACACAGCTTTTGATGCAAAGCCGCGTGCTCTCTCGCTTAGAGACTCAGGTCGTTCAAGGCTTCCAACATTGTCAATCATTTTTCGTCGGGACCCTTGTAGTCACTGTGTTTGACGTACGGTTCGAGTACTGTATGATAGACTGTTATCTGTCACCAAGGAACCGTAAAGCGCTCTAATTATTCCCTTTTCGCTCCTTCGTGGAACACGCCGCTGCCAAATGCGCAATTTCAGGCGAAAGGCTGTTGCCGCTGTCTTGGACTCGGTTTTGTGGGGTTCAAGAGGCTCAGCCGTGAATTGAGGCTTCGCTTGCAAGTTGAAACATCGTCGACTTCCTATACTCAATTTGACTTTATTACAAGGAAGGACTTTGTACATGTATAATGCATACTTGACTCTTCAAGCTGTTCGCATCTTTCAAAAGCACGAGTACATCTCCTTACATACAATATGCAGGTCACTTGATTAGAAACTCACGCACCCAACCTTAGCGAATCAAGCCACAACGACCGTCTCTCATAGATGATGCTTGCATCGTAGGTTGCAAGTCGCACTTCCGCCTCTGATGTCAGTGAACGTCCAGTGAGGTAATTCCAAGGCAGTAGTAAGTCATTTCTGTATCACCGCTTTCTCTACACATCCTTCACGAAAGCACTGTAGGATTCAAAGCAATCCTCTATCACCATCCTAGCACCCACACAAACGAACCACACATGCATGTACGACACAATCTCCAAATCCTCTATCAAAACCCCTCACCTGACGAGTATCTCCCCTCGTCTTATCATTGAGCTCTGTGATACCAACAGCAGCTTATCACACGAGCACGACACCTACAGCTCATACCTGCATTTGCATATGGTGATCACGAGCTCGCTGCCAAAATAGCAAACCATGGATTTATACGCCGGTAAACACACCTGAAATTCACACGCTATATGTTTTATCATCCCCTCCCCATATAAAATCTCCCTATCCCCCAAATCCAAAAATCTCTTCACCAAAAAAATCTCCCCCCGCCGCAAAGCAAATTACCTCTTCCACTCCCACTCACCCCTATCGCGTAGGAGCAAACCTTTCTGCCCCTATAATCCACCAGCTGAGCCACACCGCCCTCGAACACCCCGAACCCCGAACCGAATTTCGTAAACGGATTTTTCCAAATTCCGTTTCCAACCAACGAGATTCCGAGATCCCCCTTTTTCATCGGGGAGCAGGGATTGACGGGTCGACTCGCAACATGCTTTAGATAGCGAATAGGAGGGCGGTGCGTTCGAGTGCGAGACGCGTGAGGACGCGTAGAGTGTTTGGGGTTTATTGGTCGTTTTATTTCAGTATAGGGCTGTGTAGGCTTTTATTTCTACGGTATAATGTATAATCGAAGTGTTGCGTATAGGCATTATGGTATTTGCAACTACGATACTCTCAAAAAAAGGCATGCTTCGAGATAAGCATTTCTCTATCCCTAACTCCTAGGTACAGACTTAGGGAGTCTAACAAAGCAACTTGCCGTACAAAACCTAATCATAGCCCTCTAAAATAACCACATCATCCCAATATAGTACACAGGAAAACTCTACCCGGTTTGATAATCTATCGCTGAAACCACAGGTTATAGACAAGATCAATTTCCACGCTACTGGCTGGATTTCATTCCTTATACCTGCTAACGCATCCGGAATTTCTCGATCAAATTCAACGATATAGATAGTGGTTGTGTAGCTTTAAAAAACTAGAGCTCTTATACTAGTTTCAATAGATTTTTTAGAGGTAAGCTTCTCGCTGATGGTTGAAGTTGGCGATGCCTCTCACCTTGATGTACGCTCTACCTTTGAGATTGATCCATCTACTCAATCATTAATAAAGCTGGAAACTTTCCGACCGTCTCAGCTTCATCACACGCATGACAGAGCGGAAAACAACAAGAATGACGTGGGTGCCGCAGCTAGTATATCGTTTTGATGCACTCTGAAGCGCCACCCGAGGCTTCTTCTTGAGATACTGTGTATGCGGCAGCGGCAGTTCAAGAGACAAAAGCCAAATCATCCCGAGGTCTTCTACCAGTCACAGAACATGTTTTGGGTACAGTTTCGTAACGAGTGATAAAATTGAGACATTAAATATATCTATATCTTTGCAGCCCACACGACCGACTAAGCCGTGCGTTGCAAATGAACGAGAGAAAGAGAAAACATTATGCTTTCAAACCAAATCACCATTTTTCTACCCCAGCGCCTGACTATGCAAAACAAAATTAATATCTAGAAGACCATGCCCTTGACCTGCTTGAACTTCTTAACATCGATATCCCTCCAGACAGCCACGGCAGCAACGGCAAGCACCAAGACAGCGGTGGCAGAGATTAGCATAAGCTTCTGAGCCTCTCCATAAGAAGTGATGATAGCATCGCGGGTTGCACTGCCGACTGGGTAGCTGAGTTGGGTGCTGAGCGAGCCGTAGATGGCAGTGAGATTGCCGAGGGATTCTTGTGGGAGGTGTTCGGCGAGCTTCTTGGGGAAGACACCAGTCCAGATGGCTGCTGCAACAGAGGATCCGATAGCACCACCGATAGAGGAAAACATACCCTCGACGGCGAGGACAACAGCGACCTGTTGATGATTGGCTGCGGCCATGGCGGCGATTTGTTCGCAAATAACGAGAGCTCCTCCACCGAATGCAATGAAGATTTGACACATGACGATGTATCCAATGTTCTCATCTGGTGCACGGAACTTGATCATCAAACCGACACCGAGGATGGTGATTGGGACACCGAAGTAGAGGGCAACCCATTTGAATTTACCAGTCCAGCGAATGGCGGCACCGACGACAAGGGCCCAGAAACATGATCCGATAGAGTAGATGTTTGCAACGTAAGAGGTCTGGGTAACGGTGAGGTTGTTGACCACCTGAAGGAAGGATGTGAAATAACTATCCCAGATGTAGAACTCAACGAAGAGTACACCGGCAAGGATATAGGCTCCCAAGACTGTTCGGTCGGTCAAAAGCTTGAATGGAATGAAGGTGACTGGGGCGAGGAATCGCTCGTAGAGAGCAAAAGCGATGAGGAAGACAATTCCAAAGACCAACATGCAGATGATCAATGGTGAGTTCCATCCATCGGATTGGAAGGAGTAAAGACTAAATGGCAGGAGGAACAAAGACATGCCAGCACAAATCAGGAGCAAGCCCATGATATCGAACTGGATGAGGTAGTACCAGACCGACTGAGGAATGGAGCGACCGCTTGGTGTGGTGTTGATCAAACCCATTTTTTTGGCCTTGAAGTAGTTGTACATGAACAATCCGAAGAGTGGCATGCAGACGATAGGAGTGACAATCGCAAAGGTACCGAATCCCCATCGGAACCCAGAGGTCTTCAAGAAACTCTCAGCGATTGGACCACCAATCCAGACTGTGACGATGTATGGCGATGAAATAAAGGCAAAAGCGAATCCTCGGCTCTTCAATGACGAGGTATCGGCAACGAAGATGCCCATGGTGTAGTTCAAACCGTTGTATCTAAGGGATAATGTATTAGCGAGATTTTACACAAATTTGGATGATTTGACCTACCCAACCCAGTAAAAGACTTGAGCCGCGGCATATGTCTTGACATTGTTGCAAGCAGCCATCATGATGAGACCGAGAGTGAGAATGATCACCATCAAGAGGAAACCTTGTGGACGTCCCCAGATATCAAGAATCTTGGATAGCGGAAGAGTTGTCAATCCACCAATGATGCTCGACATGACGGAAGTTGTGGCAGTCAACGAGTGCTCATAGAACGAACTGGTAACGTAAGGAGTGAGAGATCCGGTAGTTGTTTGCTGCATAGCATTGACGAAGTATATACACCAAATCCTAAATTGCATTAGAAAGAAGGTTCCCTCTTCATCTTCATCAGAACTTACATAATGTAAGCCGTGTACAAGTGCGCCTTGCTCCATGCCTGGGTGGTAGCCTCTGCTATTCGAACACCATCTTGGGCATTGCTATCGAGCTCTTCATCGCTCTTTTCGCCATCAAATGACTGTGCCGTTGGCGAGGGGGCCTTGTCGTTGATTTCAATGTCACGATCCGATGGTTGCACAACATCTTGACCAACAACTTTCTCGTGGACGTTGGACATGGCGGAGGGACTGATGGGTCAATACAGACCACAAACGATGAACGAAGGGTTTTGAAGGTCGTTACACCACGTTGACCTTGTATCGTGCTGCGAGGACGAGAGAGCTTGGGACAGCTTCCAACACCGCGGATCTGGGAGAAGTTTATATCTCTTCATCCTCTTGGTACTGGAGCTCTCCCCTGCTCACGCAGATGCCGTAGCATCCCGACTTAACCCTCCGGTGGAGGCATCTGTGCATGTCAAAGGTGGAACGGGAATAGCCTCGGAGGGGCAACCTCGTCGATGGGTGTTGATGGTCCATAGAACGGATCAGTTAAGCTCTTTCAGTGGGCGACGAAATTGATGGAGGATCAGCCAAGAGACCGAGGCCACGCACATACGCTGCTCACTTTCCGCTCATTCGTCGCGATGCGGTGTCGAAGGTTCAATTGGCGTGTGTGATTTGCGGAGGTGCCCCTCAATGTGGCAAGGCGGCTGGACTAGGGTGAGAAAATTCTGATCTTGTCTAATCTGATTATGATCTGATCTGATAATCTAATCAGATCCAGAGATAATGCAGCAGGAGGACCGCCATTCACCGCCACTTGACTCTGGTGCAACCATCCATTCATGCCATCCCACCCATAGCGCTTCTTTTGTTTGAGTCTTTTACATAACTTGAGCAGGAAGCGTGGGTCGAATGAGGTGGAAGACGCCGATGTCGCCAGTTCCCCCCGACGGAGAAAAAGACTGTCGTAGCCATTCGAAGCCCGGTAAACGAACGATGCTTCAAACTATTGTGCGAAGACGGATTTCACCAGGGTTGGAATCTCCTGATGCCGGAAGATGTGAGAAGCCCAAGAAATCCAGACGCAGGGTCGCCAACAGACATTCAACTACGGAGATACCGTACGAAGCCCACCCCACTCGTGCTCCATTCCAGAAAACCTTGCACTTCGTAACTCTTCCCAGTTCGGAACGTGGCTCTGTGTAACCTGAATAATCGAAATCCATTGAAGACGGCTTGTTGATTCGAGATTTTGAATGGTTCCGTGCTCCTCATAAGCTCTTCTGCTGCGAAAATGTCCGCAGTTGGACAGATGATGAGGTGTGGTGCGCCAGAGCTCTCATCAGGTGACCGGAGACTATGTCCAATACCTAGGTACCCACCCAGGTAGGCCTCCGAACTCTCACCTCCATCAATTATCTAGTAGGCGTCTTCCGGGACAAAACTCCTGCCATGTCTTAAATTCCAGACTCAATTCCCATTTCAGTAGCTGAGTAGCCCGGAGCCAATGTGAACCAGACACAAAGGAGACGTCTATTTACCAGCGTGGTATATAGTAGAAGGAGCTCATAGTGAGAGGATAATATTTTTAATATCTGGAAAGCTATGTCAAAATTGCAATCGTATATGTCTGGCAGGAAGTTCTACACTCATCATGTTGACATAAAACATCCAGCTGGAGGACTCTCCTGGAAGTACATCCTAGGCTAGTGCTGACATGTCTGTCACGTGGCTAGATCTTGAGTAATGTTAAATTGCACCTCAGCGCTTGGATTGTATATGTTAATACAATCTGAATTCATAAGTTCACATTGCCTTGTCGTCATGTCAGAGGTATGTCGCACAAATCTGCCAAGCAAGACGTTCAAGAAGCCATACAAGAAGTCTACCAATGTAAGACCGATGTCACCCCCTCTTCCCGCCACTAGTTTGATATTGACCTGCAACGCAGGGCTGCACATCTTGCAAGGTCCGGAAGGTCAAATGCGATGAAACACGACCTTCATGCCTACAATGTCAGAAGCGCTTTGCTGACGCAGATTGCTGCAATTATGAGGTTAAACCCTTAAAGGCAAAGCGTGCTCAGAAAAATCCGACAACCACAGAGATGAATATTCATATCGTAGCTCATCCCGCAAGTCTTACTAGCGCAAGCCTGGTAGAATTACGTTTGATGCATCACTTTACTAGTATGTTCGAATTATTCATCCAAAATATTGGATCCAGTTACTCCTATTGAAATACTATTGAAATACTATTGAAATACTATTGAAATGTCCTAACTAACAACACACCTAGAGTCCACATGTAACCAAACATCTGCTACCCTCTCAACACCTTTACCATGGACCAGCATTTGGGAGCTTGACATTCCTCAAATTGCTTTCACATCAGATCTCGTGCTTAACGCATTGTTTGCTCTTTCAGCCCTTGACCTGTCGTCACGATGCCCTGAAGATTCAGCAATGGCAGTGGCTTCGAAAACCTATTTTCATAAAACCGTAGTAAATCATCGCCAATTGGTTGAGAGAGATGATGACACATACGCAGTCCCTGTACTTCTTACTGCAGTCCTTATTGTAAGTTGATCTAACGCTTGATTATATGAGTCAAAGGATCATAAGATTAATACATCTAATATATGAAGGAAGATCCAATGGGCTGACGCGAATAACAGGCACATTATACCTGGCTTTCAGCGCATCTTGACACAATGCCTCTTAGTCAGACCTTCTATGCTACCAAAAATACCTTCCACATGTGCGAAGGTATTATCGCACTGACCGAGAGTAAACCGAGTCTCATACAATACAAGTATCCTCGCTCAGCACCAAAGTCTTATCAATCGTCTCCAATAAAACATGGCGAGTTCTTTCAGAGCGCTGTGGATGACCTGGACATGTTATTTAGCGAAATGGACGACCTGAAAAACTCAAACCATGCCAAAACATACACAGTGGTAAGGAACGAGCTCATTGGGATCTACCATATGATTGCACTAGACTTGACACCATTTGTATTGCTTGAGCAGAAAATCGTGCAATTTCTTCATTCAGGTTAGTGACACTTGCAGCTCATGTGCAACAACGCCCATATACATTATTTTGCATGCAACTCCTTCTTGTTTAAATGAAGGGACCAACTAATCAAGCCACTAGTTCCCCGCGACTTTGTCGATCTTGCTCAATCCAACGACCCTCCTGCAATGGCTTTATGGCTACGAAATATCGTCCTACTTGAGCTTTTCGAAAAGTCGTCAACTTGGTGGATTCAAGGCTCTGGACTCTGCAGAACTGGCACAAGAGCGGCGTATAGTATTCGCTCGTTGATGCCAGAAGAGCATTTGTGGACAACTGACTGGCCAATGAAGATTGTAAATAGGGAAATAACACTGGGCGGCTCTCCATAAATTGGTACCATTCGAGATTACCACTCCATTGATGAAATATGCATGCTCGTTATATCAATGCACCCAGTTGCTCCACGAATTAAAAAATTTATCAACTCTCTAAATAATACTTACTATACTAGGAATGGGCTGTGGAAGCAATTTTTTTTACTTCCTGTTCCTTCCCACATCTGTTCTTTGGCTTAGAATATGGCTAGTTCTGGCTACTTCCGATAGCTTAAATATAGACTGAGTCCTACACGATACCTCTGCTGCTTTCGTCGCTCAAGCAGACAGCTGAAAGCTAATCAAATTCATTGATCACATACGTCGCTTCGTGGATCATATCTTGATCAGAGAGAATGGTTGCATGAATACGTTCTTCGGGTCATACTTAACCTTCAAATCTTTGTAGGTGGGGAGGTTTGTGCCGAACAAATTTTCGTATGTCAATTCTCCAGACATATCCAATGAAACATATGTACCAGGCAGGGAGTTATCAGGATCAGCATGCTGAAGGGTAGACCGCGAGATATGTGCCCATTTCACGGTATCTTGGGCTTGAGATTCCTCGTCGCTAGTGCCAATCAACTCGACCAAGAAGTGCGGTCGACGATTTGCAAACACTGAGGAATTGCAGACATCCGTCGAAGGTCCACGAATCATATGGATCACCAATGCGGGCCCACTGAAAGCAGGTAGTGATTCAGCGATGTCGCCTAATTTACCGGCAACTTTCGACAAGGAAAGAAGATTTGCAGTTCGACAAGTGCCGTAGGCGCTGTTGAAACCAAACGCAGATTGCGCATGCAGGTACTATCAATATTAGTATCAAGACAGTATTCAAGATAGTGAACGTGTGTCTCACCTTGAGAGGAGTCGTGGTTTCCACCGTGTTCATAACACAAGTGCCCAGCTTTTCGATCTTCGCGAGCCATGGCCTTGCCTTCTCCTCATCTTCAAACGACGATACGAACGAGACCCCACACATTCTTCCCATAGGACCCGTTGTAGTCATCAATGAAACTCCAATCTCGTTAGGAAAATCTTCCTCGAGTAATTGCGAGAAATTCCGGCACATATTGTCAAACACCGAGCCGACGTCTTGACATTCGAAGAAAACCCATCCAGCTAAGATCTTAAACTCGTCAGCCATCATCCATCTTTGAGCACAAAGCACATACCGATTCAACGTGATATGTCTTGATTCTCAACTCGACAATAACACCAAAAGCACCTCCAGCTCCACGAATGCCCTTCAATAAATCTGGGTGCTCATCGGTATCAAGAACACTGCCTCCACTATCGACGACCTTAGCACCCACAATATTATCTACACCGAGTCCGAAGTTATTGTTGAAAAAGCCGTAGCCACCATATATCGCCCACTGAATAACACATTAGTCTCGTCGAACTCCGCATTCGCAAGTACCTTGAACCTACTCCCGTATAGCCTACATGTCCCACATTTCCAACTGTGGTAGCCAGCTTCTCTTTATCCAATTCTTCCTGTAACTGGATCATGTTGATACCCGCTCCAATCGTTGCAGTCCTTTTACCTTCGGATATCTTGACATATCTGATATCTCTCATGTCGATAGTTACAGCGTCCTGGGCTTGAGAGCGACCCATCATACTGCATTGCAAGTTAGCAGTTACTTAATGAACAGAGGAAATTAAACCTACTCATGACCTCCGCCGCGTATTGTGAATTCAAGACCATTTTTCACAATATATTTAACAAGCTTAGCTACGTCGTCAGCGGTTTGTGGTCGCACGATCATCAATGGTGTGGTTTTATTGCTCTGGATGTAAATATGTCGCCATTCTGCATATTGTGGTGATGAGGGTGTCGCATATTTCACATTTGGGACGTCCTTCGCTAGAAAATCCTCGAGGGATTGAAGCCTTGTGTTAGCCATTTCGCAGCTCTTGTTCTAGTGAAGATATCGCAGAAAAACCAGTAAATGTATGAGATTGGAACACGACTAAAAGGTCTTTCTTTCTGGGCGAGAGTCTCATAATCTACTAGAGAATACGTAAAATCATCATGCACGGGTTAATGATTAACAATGTTGGCTGCTCGCAAATATCACTTTTCTGCGCCTACCGGGTTCGCGTTCGCGTTGGCATTCGGGATCGTGTTATCAAAGCCTAAATTGTAAGCACTAGTTGTTGGTCTTTTTGCGTTCAAGGAATCAAATCGCCATGCTGACATGTTTTGCAAAATGAACATTTTAAATTACGCTTATTATACTTAGCTTAATATTCTAACAAATCCAAAGTGATCTAGTAATATCTTTGTTGCGAAGGAGGAAAACGGTCGGTGGGCTTCTTGTCGCGGCCCGAGGCGAAAGGGGGTTCTCGCTTATTCGAGGCCCCTTGAAGGGTTTGGTGTACTTCTTACTCCACTCTATACTTGATCGCGATCTGTATTGACAATCAATTTATGATTTCTGAGTGCCCTTATTTGCTTATTTCCACACTTGTTGATGCAGAAGATTACATGGGTGGTGGTACAGCTTATTGGTCTATTTTTCCACTGCCTCGACCGCTGCGAGGAAGTGTCTATAAGAGATTGCTCGAGGTCGAGTTTTATACCTCACTGAAAGCTTCACGATACAGCACTGACACTCTTTATTGTTTGGGAAAATTATGTGATCATCGTGCTATTTTAAAGCTATGTATTTGCTGCATCCACCTGCCCATACCATCACGAATGAAGTTTGACCGTCAGAGTGTTCTGATCAACCATACTGCCGTTGCCAGCGTCATAAATAAAGAGAACCACTACAAATTTTATTTTAGTGAGTTTGTTCAAAATTTTTTGGAGAGTATTACTTACACGAGCTCCAGCATCTTTCATAATATTCCAAACAAGTCCATCAACCGCCTCCGCATCGTTGACCCTTGGGAATGGCTCTGTGGGAATAGACTTTTCCAAGAATCTGCAAAGTGGTTCCCAGCCTTCACTCAATTCCATCTTGTGGAATTTTTCTACTGGGGTGGATCTTTCAACATACGGATTATGCTCGTCCAACCTTTCTGACAAGAAATTAGGACTGAACTAGCCTTCCGAGCATATGGAGCATGAACTTACCTATAGTCATAGGCCCGAATTTTTCTTCTTGTCTAGTCGAATGTGAAAATGAGTAATCAAATTCATAGGGGGATTTGATGGCGATCGAGAACTCACTGCTGCAAAAATTGCGTCACAAGTTTAGGATACCACCGCTTACCAGGACAAACCATCAGAAACCAATTCAAAAACCCCTGCCCAGCAGTATTCGTGACCATTTCCCAACTCTTCCACCACCTTTCTCTATCACGAGAAACACAGACGACCTCTGCATCAGGATATATTTCAAGTAGCTCTTCGACAAAGCAATTTCCCGGGGCATCTGTAATCCCAACAAAACCAACTGTTGCTTCCCTCAAAAGTTTTAGAAGGAGAGGCCGATCATGTCGAGTTTCGAATACCTTGGTCCATAGTTTGACATATGCGTCTTCACGACCGAGAAGTTGAGAGCCGCCATGCATGACTGGACCGTCGAGAAGCTTTTCGAGTGCTATAGCCATCGACAGTGTTCCTATGCGTGGGTAGCCTGCGCCGATTACTTTGAGTGTCCTGGAAGGATCAGTGGGGATTGATGCTGAACCACCCATGATATCGATGTTCTATCAAAATCAAATTATTTGGAAAGTTAACTAAAAAATGTTTGTTTTTTGTGGCTCAACAGAGAACCATTGTCGCTTATATTCTGTCAAATCTGTGCTCGACCTTTTGAGTGTTTTATTGGCTTTTGGCATATGAAACTCTTGAACCTGCTTGTCAGTCTTTGTTATACACTTAATTACCCATTTAAGTACTGATAGTCGGCAGCCAAGCTCTTTTATTTAGCATGATCTACAAGTGCTTACACTCGGGAGGTATTCAGTCACAATGTTTCACCAAGCACCCAAGAAACTTTCGGAATGCACGAGTGAGTAAGATCCGAATTCACGTGAGATTATGCACAATGACATATTCTAACTTCCTGAATGAGGCATACCAAGCGCGGCTAGTTGACAAGAACAGTGGTATAATTGCATAAAGGTGTATTCTGACCCGTGCCACGCCTGGGAACTCGACAATCAACAAATGATACCCAACGCTACTTGTTCGACCAGTCTGACACGATGTCATATAACACGTCTATTACTCTTAGTGACTAGCGTACCTCTGGACCCTCCTTAAAACACAGGATACTTTATTCTGAAGTAAGCGGTACATAGGAGAACTTTCGTCCTGTATCTTTTCGGCCCAACAGTTACCTGAAAAGTGTCGTTTCCGTGCATTAGCATATTTACAAGCCATATTCCTTTTCGTCATCTACACCATAGAAATGTCTGATTTTATAACGAAATTAGTTTCCAAGGCAGCCTCGAGCACGATAGCTCAGCCAAACCCAGAAAGCACTCCAATATTCAAGATTATCTTCAAACCAGACAATCGTGACAGTCACATCACCTCCATCCATCTCGCACATTCTCCAAATCCAACTCCTTTGTTCATTGTCCGGACTCAATGGTTCCACAAGCCGAACACAATTCTCTGTACGAGTTCATCGATAAAACAAAAAATGTGCATCGGTTGACCTCAAGCTCACATGTTTCTAGTTTGCAACGGCGCTGAAATCGGTCACGCCACCTTCCCCAACTTTCGCCATACCACCGTGATCACCTACCAAGGCCAATCATTTCCGATGAGAGTCAGCGGCTTGACAGGATATCAATCATTTGATGCTCCCATTCTTGGGAGGTTAAAGTGGCAACCTGCAATCATGGTCGGAAGCACAATTGAGCTGAAAGATTCATATGGTAATAAGCTGGGCCGATTCAAGCCGGCAGACATTCCAGGCACGACCAAGGAAAAAATGCTGGAACTATATTTTGCGACAGATGAGTATGTGCTACTTCTTGACGCGAACTTCTCATTGAAGAACTCACAGAAATTTGATATGGCTTGCTGACCTTCTGATAGATATAATCTAGGATTATTGGTTTTGACAGTGATGGCAGCAGCGGCGCAAGTTCCCAAAGGAGACGCCGCGGGGGCTGTTGGTGATGTTGTGAGTGCGGTAGCTAGCATTTAGCCCATTGAATGTTGAAAAACCTTATATAGGAAGAGAATACTTCCTACGAAGTTATCATTATGATCAGATTTATAATTGGTTGGTGCCCGCGAATCACAGATAAGGAAGAATGGGCCAAGTCTTAATCTCTTCAAGCAATAAAGCATACCCACGTTGAGTGCTCCATCAACTGCTCTATCAGCTGCTCTCTATGAGATCCTTTGCTTGAGAGATTAGATCTTTGGTAGCCAGATCCGCATTCCTAAACAGCTTCAAATGGGCAATCTCAGCGACTAACAAGCTGCCGAAATGCTCAGCCCACCAGACCTGACTTCCACATTTTTCAACCATTACGCCCCAGTACATTAGCATGAGCAGCGCAACGGCGTCCCCATTTTTGACCGCGGTCACGTATCTGTCACCGGCCATGTTTAACCAACCAAGTGCATAGCCACGAGTAAAATCATCCACACACTTCTCATACAATGTTCTTAAAATTCCAACTGCGGTTTTACATACCTCCCAATACTCCACTTGTTGGCTTCTTCGCTGAACTGTGTCGTGGATTGAACTCGTGACTCGCTTGTCGTTGAGCTCGGTCAACTTGACGAGTGCCTCCTCTACACGTGGATCCAGCGGAGTCCGGGCCAAGTCTTCAAATGGCTTCAGCTTCTGAATATATGGATTTCGCGACATATAGTCTCTTTTGCTTTCGATTATTGGAGCACATCCGCGTAAGAGCTCGAAGTGAGCAAGCACTGTTTGTATAATGCCATCACTCTCGTCGTCAGCCGAACTCCTAGCTCGACCCTGTGCGGACGCAAAAGACAGGACTAATAACATCAACGACATGCAAACTGCAGCGTCAATATCCTCGGAGCCGATTACAGAGAGCTGAACGCGGAAGCTGCTCAATGCAAGACTATGATATTCTGTCGCTGACTCAACATATCGCTTGTGGTGAGGTGTCTTCGTCAACCTTGCAATTTCGAATGAAGTGAGTGACAAGAGTCCATACAGAAGGTAGTCATGTTTTATTGCTAATTGTGGTACCCAGGACTGCCACACCTCATCATCCTCGGAGCCAGGCGTGCAGCAACACTTGTATGTTGCGACAGTCCATCGATGCATAAGTTGCAACTGAAGTAAATGGCCGTCATTCGGAAACAATACCTCGCGAGACAGTGGTAAAGCAGACGTAGTTGAAGTTGAGCCCGGGCTGGTGGAGGTAAGAATACTGGTGGTGTCTTTGGTTGTCAGTTGCGGGTCAGCATACTCGCAAACATCTCCTCGAATATTACAGCGCCCGCATGGAGGTCCCGACTCATCGCATCTGACATGACGACTCTTGCATTTCAAACATCCTTTGCGCGACTTCGCATGTGGCCGGCGAGTTGGCATAGTTGAGGTTGTCATGTTCGGGAGAAGGATGAAATCGGGGGTCTGTAGTCGTAATCTCGTAATTTCGTAATCTCGTAATTTCGTAATCTCGTAATTTCGTAATCTCGTAATTTCGTAATCTCGTAATTTCGTAAAATCGTAACCTCGTAATCTCGCACAGAGTTCTGTGAGCAGGCAATGATTGGTTGCTGGTCATACCTTTTGAGTTGGAAGCCTGGAAGCGACATTGGTGGGTGCTAAGCGAGCTATATGTCGAATGGATTCGAACTTCGAGACTTGATTGAGTTACATCCAGTCTTCATGAATTCATGCTATGGAAAAGTCGTGTTCTTGGCCACTGAGCTGGTCAGGATCCATCTACTCACTTTGTTATAAGTATATTTCGCTTTAAGACCTCGAACTCTTCACAGCGTCTTATTCACTTAAGAAACATTACAAAATGTTTTTGGTGTCTACGCCATTCACTATTCAAAGATATTCCTCAGTCAGATCTAGGTGCCAAAAACTTTCGTTCACGGCTTCTCAACGAACGACACCGAGCATCAAAACATTCCCATTCCATCAAATGTCAAGTCAAGCTCGTCAAAACCAAACCTTCATCTTGCCGGATGGTCGCCAGCTAGGCTACGCTGAATATGGAGACCATGATGGAACACCGCTCCTCTACTTTCATGGATTTCCAGCCTGTCGCCTGGAAGCCTATGCAGTCGATGATATAGCCCGGCGTAGGAAGATTCGCTTGTTATCACTAGACCGGCCAGGATTTGGTTTGTCTACACCACAACCCAATCGAAGTATCCTAGACTGGCCAACAGATGTCTCCAACTTCGCAAAAGGTATGCAGCTATCACGTTTCGCCGTCATGGGACTTTCGGGTGGAGGACCATACGCACTTGCTTGTGCATACGCTTTACCCCAGGAAAGTCTCATTGGGGTTGGTCTTTTCGCGAGTGGACCTCCATGGATTGCCGGTGCACACCACAACTCGAGATATCGACGATTGGTTAGTAGTATGGCGAAATATTGGCCAGGTGGACTTAGATTATTCTTTGGCGGCTTGGTGGGCTTCTCGAAATGGTTGGCGAATACGGGGCCAATAGCACGGACAATTGACCGCTGGCTAGAGTTGGAAGACGAAAAGAAGGAAGTTGAGGATCAGGGTTCGAAGCAAGAAACCGCAACCACACCTACCAGCAAGAAGACAACATCAGAGCGCAGACTAGACTTGGTACATGCCCTTCTCGAAGAACCTTTTGCTCAAGGAAGTCGAGCGGCAGTGGACGAGGCCAGATTACTAAGTTCAACTGATTGGGGCTTCTCCCTTGGGGATGTAGGGTACAATACGGTAAGGATATGGCATGGTGCAGAGGATAAGAATGCACCAGTTTCTATGATACATTACATGGTGCGGAAATTACCGCATTGCGTCTATCATGAGTTCAAGGACGACACACATTATACAATGTTTAAGCATCTAGAAGGGGCCATTGCAGAGATTATTCTAGAGAAAAATGTAGAAGATCGGACAACCTTGGATGAGGGGACTGAGAGACGATAAGTACATCGCTGGATTGCGAAGATCAAGCAGCTAGGTCTGGTGGGTGTGGACGCAAGGACAGCTTATTACTAGAGAGTGCACTGAATGGTTTCGCCAGGAAGCTCCTGTAGAGAGTTAAAAATTCAGAAATATTCAAAATTGGACGTCCATTAAGCGATTTGAAAAGGCTGTGGCGACATGACTTCCAAAGAGCCTGATAGTAGTGATACATATCAAATCTGAGTTTGAAATTCCAAAGTTATATATACAAATTTAAATATTTACAAGAATGCCTCAGTCGTTTTACTCAGTCTTATTCGTACAAACACGACTCTTCCTCTAAACGCATTGGGAGTAGTAAGCGTTCATAACAGTGCAAGTTCCTGAAGCACAAACGGTAGAACCAGTGTAGGTAGAGCCACCGCATTGGCCGTAAAGAGCAACACCTCCAGTAGAAAGGCCGGCTGATGCAGCTGGGGAGGCGATGGTTCGGAGAGTAGTTGGGGAAGATATGGTACCGTTGTTGGCACCAGTTGGGTATGGAACAGCTGTCTTGGATCTGCAGGAGTCCTTCTTGGTTGAAACTGGGGCAACGGTGGGGGTTGCAGACTTGGACTTGCACGAGTCTTTCTTGGACGAGACTGGAGCAGCTGTTGCGGTCGGAGCCTCAACCACGTCAGTGACGGGAGCTGGCTCGACTGGCTCGATGGTTGGTACAGCCGGAGAGGGTGCCAAGGTCTCGATAATAGCGCTGCTTACACTTGAAGCCTCAGTAACAACTGCGCTGGTTGCATTGGCGGCAGAAGCAGGGGCGCTTGCGCTTGCGACGGCAGAGGTAACTGGACTCGCGCCAGATCCAGCGCCACAGGAAGCAACGGCTCCTCCCGGTGCGGTGTAAGTGGTGATATCGAAGCCATTGTAGATGTTTGGAATGTAGATGGATGGGTCCTCTGCATTGTATGCTCCTGGAAGTTCGATGCTTGGGCCACAAGTCTCACTTGCTGAGGTACCAGTGATGGCTAATTGAGCACATCCCATGTAGCTAGAGCGATAATTAGTCGAAGTAATAACGGACTTGGGAATATGTGAACTCACAATTGACCACCTCCAATAGTCTGAGCACCGTGGAGAGCAAGCATCTCACTTCTGAGCAAGTACTCTCCAGTAGCCAGTCCAGTAGGAAGCTTGAACTCGTATGTCATATTGTTTGCCATCATGATTTCATTGGCCCAAACGCCGTCAGTTTGATCGAACTCATCGATCTTGATCCATGAACCGATACCGGTCGCAGACGCCGCATTATCGACGGGGCCGAAGAGGAAGTGCTGAATAGGACCTGGGTGAGATGAAGAATCCCACTGAACCTTGATGGTGTCACCAGCATTTGCTTTGGCTGTACCTTTCCCAGATGGAACAGTGTTGCCATTGACATTGCAAGTGATATCGTTAGATGTCACATCAGTCTAAGTCTATTAGTATAGCGTTCCGATACTAAAGATAGGCTAAACTCACAACTGGGCTGTTGGATGGTGGCATACGGATAGCAGCTTCGTATCCTGGAGAAACATCGTTGACCCAGAATTGGTGGAAGTTTTGGTGTGCCGAGACAGCGCTGGCAAGCGAAATGGCGAGGACTGACTTGAAGAACATATTGTTGAAGTGAGCGTTAAGTATCTTGAAAATAGCGGATATCTTAGAAGTTTTTGATAAAAGAATGTTGGGGATCTCAGATCACACCTAAAGAATGAGAATGAGTGTATGGGTGAAATGAAGAAACGTTGGAAATACAAAGACTTGATCGATGTGAGGAGAAAAGAAAGGCATAGTTGGGGACAATAAACACTTATAAGTTGTCTCATCCAGCAGTGACCTCACCCAAGAGAACCATTTTGATAGCTCTACGTTTCATACAAACAGAAACAAATTAAACGCCCATAAACTTGGGACGTAAATCTGAAAGGGGCTTCTTGGCTTTGAGGTTCATCAATAATGGATCCACGTCTGGGCGCCGGAGAATTTATGCAGGGGGTACGATGTACGAAAACCATTACGATTCCATGGTTTCTCGTCTTAGCGAAACTTTACAAGACATGTTGAGGTCATGGAAAATTCGGGAATTGTCCTACATATATTTCGAGTATTGGATTTCGAAAAAGCCGAAGGACTTTGCAGCCGTTTTGAACGTAGTTTGAATCTCGATATAATAGTTGCTACCGCCGCCAAGAATCTGGAAACAAGTGGGTTTTCTGGAATAAAGTACCCCCACACATCACCAGATCGTATGGTGGCTCGTGTAACGTTTCTGTAAGAAAATCTCGATTCTCCGGACTGTTCTTCGTTCTTGTCAGCCATCAATCTTTATATTCTTCAGACCATTGTACTATACAGAGCACATGGATCCAGTGTCTAATAATCTCTGAACCCACCATACAAAGCGGTCCTAACACGATGCATTTGGTGGACGGGCCGGACAAGAGGTGATTCTGATGCCCAAGTCGAAAAACGGCATACAATAGGCATCAAGTGACTTCTGGAACCGATTCCCCTGTCGGCGATTGTGGTCGAAGATCTCGGTTACATAATTTTCTGGTGCTGAGTTCTGGAAATGTCGAAATCTTGACTTTATGAGAAAGTCGTGACAGAGATTGAAGCAAAAGTGGACGAAATTAAACCACGTGATAAAGCCCCCCTGAAGGAAGCGTCACTTCACCTCCAATCTTTCCAGGTTATCCACATGAAGTAGAGAATCAGAGAGCCAGGAGTTGACATAAGTGTGTAAGCATTGCGAAAGCCAATCATTCCAACGTTCTAATGGAATAAAATTTTCGGGGAAGGAAAATTAATTCTGACAGGATATGTAGCGTAAAACACCAAATCAACGGGCTCAAGTTATCACTCTACACCTTCTTTGGTCTGGATATCTTGGATGAATCGTAGCTTAGCGATAACTTCACAAGGCCGATGGCAATGCGTGTGTGGGGATGAATCTGTTAGACTCACGAATGTCACATCCAACTATCATCTAGGAATAAAATCCGGATTATTCTTCGTTCTACCACAAGATTAGAAATTAACGCCGTGCAAACTGATAGCTAAGCGAGGAGAGATTCAAGAAAGGGTTCTGCCAGCTGTCCTAGGTAGTTGTTCTCCTGGTTCTCAGTCGATTGGTAATGTGAAGACTGCGTCCAGTTAAATTGACGGATTCCTATCTCTTTCCTAATGAATTAATTGCAAAATTCGCTTCACAGGAGTTACACATGATTTATTCTTCAGTCAATAGCAAGATCACTTTTTGAGGATAAATGTTGGATTTTTTTCATTAATTGCAAGTCGCAGGTATGTAATATTTTCAGCGGTAGCAGATTTGAAATTAATTACATTCACAGCTATACAACCGGGACAGCCACGAACCCAATTTGCTGACACCGAACGTCGAGCGAAGTAGCAAGTGAAATCCCGTTGCAAGGCTCAGAATTAGTAGTACAACCACTCGGACAGAGCTGAAATTGATTGGCTCCATTGAATCCAGTACAAGTCAAAGTACTAGTAGGTCCAACGCTACAGCTGAGGTCTGTAGTGCCCGTGAAGGTGCCTGGCGAATTGAAGAATATTGTTGCGGGTGAAAAGTTGTCTGTATTTGCACGGTATCTGCCATAAGAGAGAAGCTTTCCACCGGTTCCGATGTTAAATCTGGCTGCGGAGCTGATATCGGTTGTAAATGCATCAATAATCCCATCTTCCTGGTTGTTCATGGATACGTATTGTCCGTCGACGGTCGAACCAACTGCTCGAAGTGCATAAGCGGAGCCAGTTGCAGTGGCGATCGCAGTGGAAGTAACCACAACAGTTGAGGTAGGTGATTGAGTTGCGGTTAACGTAATGGTCGTGGTGCCAACGGGAGTAGCAACTGTTGTGGTGCTTCGTATGACACCAATACATGAGCATGCTGAAGAGTACCGAACTGCTCCGGAGCACGCGGATGCGTAGACTGGAATCCGGCTTGGAATTACAGTTTGCTGACGGACTGCTAGTTTCAATCCGGTGATTTGATGATTCAATGGCGCATCAACTGCTCGCTTCTCTTCATCGAGATCAACACTTCTCTTGCTGCCGCCTCCAACCGCTGTTGTTGTCGATGTTACTATGACTGTAGAGGATGAAGTAACGACTGGAAGGGTTATTGTAAGAGAAGCTGTGGAGAAAATCGTGCTGTGTGAGATATTAGAGCAGCTCATTTGATTAACAGTATAACAATGAATACCTTGTAGAAGGTGTGACCGTTGCCTTGAAGAAGGAAACACAGTCCGCTGAAGCAGACTGAGGTCCAGGAGCTGCATTGCTTGCAATAATTGCACGAAGACAGTTGTCGCGGTTACAAGCAGTAAGTTGAGCGTTCGCTTGAGAAATGTAGCTGCCCAAAAGGACAGAGGTAAGAATATTGATATACATCTTAGTCTAGAGAATGAAGGAAACGATGATAGCTATGAAACACAAGACAAAAGAAGATGCGGCACCAAGATGCCTTCTTATACTCCACGTAAGGATATCTAATACAGGATTATGATGCGAGACGATGATTGCGAGAAATCTAGATGCAAGTTAGTGCCTGCTATGGTAAAAAGGAGACCAGAAAGGCATTAGGCTGGCTGAGAATATGCTTATCCCTATTGACTATCCCATCCCCACGACACCGGAATCTGGAGTAGTTAAGGGCTGAGTGACTAGGTTTGGAGCAGACTATTGAGTGCTAGAGCTGGTTTAGGTCGAGAAAATGCACTAGGTCCCGTGATAATTGGCCCAAACATCATAAAAGTATGAGTTGGCGGCGGACGCACCGAAAAGACCAACATGCAATGCATGTCTCAGCTGAATCCATCCAGGTGGCTTTTGCGCCCTCCTCAATTATTGAATTACAAGCTTTCGCTAAGCTTTTAGCCTATAAACACAACGCCTAAGCCTCTAGTGTCAAGATAAGCGAGCGAACCATATTCCCCCTTGAAAGCATAATCCTAATGCGGCGTTGATGGCTGAACTGAACTGTACAACAGCCAGTCGGAGATTATATAAGACGGACTGTCAATGTCCAAGCCATGGCTCAGGGACGAGCGTTAAGCAAGCACTGAATGAAGTGAATGTGAATGTTTCTCCTCTTCTCGGTATGATGCATGACTTGGGATGTTGATGATAATAAGTTGTTGCATATCATCTATTACTCAGGACTCACGGTGTTAATCATGAGGTAGTTTTCTTCTCCTTGGACACACAGAGTTTTTGGCCATGTGTGGCTTTGTCGCGGAATTCAATTAGACAAGGTATAATTTGGCCATGATTATGACCCGTAACGGGTAGGTGGGGTCAAATAGGTGCTCTTTTCTCCGATGATCCTACACCGCTGGGTGGGGATATACCAATCAATTATTCCATTTCGACGGAGTCATTTGTTTCTATTGTAGGCTGAATCATGATGGTGAGCTGAGAATGATATCTTGTGCATTTGTAAAGTCGATTGAAGTGGATCACAATTTCTGAGAAAATCATACCCGGAAAGACCAGGTAAAATTCGTGTTTGCAAATGGACTTACATACACAAACTTAAGTATTCACTCTTGATACACTTCCTCCATTCGAAGTATTGTTCTCCCACTCCAGGCGCAGTGGAGCAAGAACTCCTTGGCATGCAGTAATACACAACTTGCATGACAGCCAAAGCACAAATTCATGGCTGAGAACATCCCTAAAAGAAAGTATCAAGAACAGATCTATTTTCGCATGACATTAAGATGCTTCAGCTGCTGTCTAAAACCTGGCTGAAATTTCATCTACTGATTCTCCTAGCGACGATCTAAGTTGCAGTAATTATACTTTCTTTCGCATCGTTTCTGATCTTGTGTCTGGTCAAGCTTCGCTACTGTGTCAACCCCACAACCACGGAACTTTTCACTGACGTAAATTACCATTTCCCGTCATAGTAAACATATTCCTTCTCACTCTTTGAACATTCACCAGTGCGTTGCAATTAATACCGACGAGACACCCTCCAGATTATCAAGTAAAACAATGTTTAGAGGCCGAAATCCTAATGCTCCTTCTTCAATGAGTATATATGATTTTGGTCGAAGAGACAACAAAGTCTGTTCATTCAATTAATTGAGCGAAGAGAGCTTCTTGGGTAAAGTTTATCGTGAACTTATTACTGTATGAAGGTGTCCTTCAAGACTTGCAACGCACTACTGTTGTACTGCCAGTACATCACCAACCCACGAATCACGCTATAGTTTCTTAACAAGAGTGTTGAGACAGCTCGCCATTTATTTTTCTTTTTCCTTGTCGTTTCTGCGAGGGTTTGCAAGTATCAAGATATCTTGTATCTGCAAGATTTCATCTACCAACCCAAATCGTCGTTATCTCAAAGCCCAGCAAGAACAAAACAAATTTCTAGTTGTATTTATCAACCTCAAATTGTCCCTCGCATGATATTATTCTCGCCTACAATCAATCAGCACGTTTGTTTCCGAACACTGAGGAATCCTTCAGTGGTGAAGTATTAGGGTTGAGTTTTCAATCATAAATGATCCTCATAATAAAAGATTGCCATACATCTAATTCGCTCCTCGTATATGTTTCTCCAATCAAAAATATCCAGACCAAAACTTTTCATGCCCACCGCATCCTCGCTCTGGCTTAGAGATTTAGACAAATTCGAACTCCGCTCTCGCTTAAATTCACTCCGTACTTTGATATCCGTCCCCACCCTTGACCAGGGCAAAATGCACCCTCCCCATGTGATTTGACTCATATCAGATTCGTTGAGCCAGTGGGAACAGGAGAAGTTATCAGATCATCTGATTATGTACGTTACATTTGCACCAGAAATGCGGTTGCGGCTCGTTGGTTTAACGGGGCCCCGAGCGTTTGAGTACCAATGAACAGCATCAAGCAGAAGGGTCGCCGTCCTTCGGCAGCATTGACCTACTTCTAGCTTCTGATTCTGCGATCATCGTTATGATCTCGACCCTGTCGATTGCTTGTGTCTTCTAATTCGAGCAGTCTCGCGAATTCCGAGATGGGGCGGCGAGTTTTGCATTGACCTAAACACATCTCTTCAGGACATGATTAGAAGTCCGTAATCGCTGTTGGATCTCAATATATACTTGGATACTTCCTCTCTTAGCAATCTCGTTTATCATCCATCTCAATTCGCTCTAATATTCTTCGAAGTTAAGGCAGCATTGAACAAAGAGCATTGCTCTCATTATGGCAGTCAACTCCGATCTCAAAGTCTCAACACTACTCCCAGAATCTCCCAACCACGAAAATGAAATACCAAACAATCTCAAAGACATTTCAGCTTCAATTTCATCCAGCGACCTCGAAAAAGCCACACCAAACACCACCGAAACTCTATCAATAGAACCAAACCTCGTAAGTAATCCCACTTTCAAAAACCCAAACACCTTCCACTGACTAAACAAGGTAACATGGACCTCCCCAACCGACCCCCGGAACCCCAAAAACTGGCCTAAGACCTCGAAATGGCTCGTCACCGGCATCGTCTCCCTCTTCCTCTTCGTTACCATCATGTGTTCGACCGTCATCTCGCCCGCTCTGCCCGCCATCGGCGCCGATCTGCACATCGAGAATGACGCGGAGCTACAAACTGCCATGTCGATTTACGTGCTCGGTTACGCATTTGGACCGCTCTTTCTGGCACCGCTATCTGAGCTCTATGGTCGTGTAAGGGTGCTTCAGTTGTCGAATGTGTATTTTGTTATCTGGTCTGTGGTGTGTGGGTTTGCGAGGACGAAGGAGCAGATGATTGTTGCGAGGTTTATGGCGGGGATTGGGTCGAGTGCTCCGTTGGGTGTAAGTGTTATGACATGTTCGAGGATGTCTTTGTTAATGATTCTTAGATTGGTGGAGGTATTCTTTCGGATGTCTGGCATGCTGCGGAAAGGGGTCAGTCGACTGCACTTTACAGTTTTCTGCCACTACTTGCTCCAGCTTTTGGACCGCTTATTGGAGGGTGAGTCACCCGAATCAGTCCTCAGACTTAACTAACACGCCTCAGATTCATTTCTCAAAACCTCAACTGGTCATGGTCCTTCTGGATCATGGCAATCGTAACAACCCCACCCATCATCCTCTCTTTCTTCGTATTCCGCGAAACCTACGCCCCAGTAATCCTGCACCGACTGGCCGCAAAACTTCGAAAAGAAACCGGAAATCATGATCTCTACACCATCTACGACAAAGAGCGACCTAGTCTCCCAACCCGTCTAAGAATCGCCCTTACCCGTCCAACCCTCATGCTATTCCAGCAACCCATCATCCAGGTCTGGGCTCTCTTCGGCGCCTATTCGTTTGGACTTCTCTATATAGTCCTCACCACTTTCCCTACCTTATGGATCGATCAATACGGACAATCGCCATCAGAAGCAGGACTCCAATGTCTGTGGTTAGGCCTGGGATTCACGACTGGAATCTGTATCGGTGGCATCTTTCAAGACAGAATTTACGTCTATCTCCGAAAACGCTACCTCCAAACTTCAGAAGAAATAACGCATCCTCCTGTAGCCGAACACCGGCTTCCACTTATGATACCATCAGTGTTGTTCATGTCCATAGGTTTGATCATCTACGGGTGGACGGCTCGCGCCCATACCCATTGGGTAGGTCCCGGTATTGGTAGTGTTATATATACTACTGGCTACGAGATTTTTGCACAGTGCAGCGTAGCGTACATTATTGATGCATTTCCAGTACACACGGCTAGTGCCTTGGCCGCTGTTAGTGTTAGCAAAAGCGTTGCTGGTTTTGCGTTCCCGTTGTTTGCGCCTGCTTTGTATAACGCTCTAGGCTGGGGCTATGGGAATACAGTTTTGGCGGCCGTAGCGTTTGGATTGGGGATGCCGGTCATTTGTGGATTGTGGGCTTGGGGTAGGAAGGTTAGAGATGTCAGCTGGGGTAAAAAGAGGGTGTGAGATAATTACCAAACGGGAATAAGATTCCTCTTTTCAAGTTTGCCAATCTTTGGGTAGAAGGGAGGGAATGGTCAGGGCATCGATACTTTGGGTATATATACAGTATGGCGATGAGACTGGTTGAAATAATAAGTTTATCATAGCATTAAACTTATGCTAACCAGAGAAGCTTAGAACTTGTGGAGGCTCAAATCAAGATTTCCTCAAAGAAATTTAGAAAACCATCAGCATTTGAAGTTCAATTTAACACTTACCTATATTTTACAAAGCGTCCCCATAACCTCCTTTGTCTTCCCCGAAAACTCCTTAATCAGCGCACTCATCTCCTTAAACTCCCCAATACCCGCATCGCCCATACACTCGAAAATCCAGCTCTCACTACTCGTAACCGTCACACCGAGTGCCCTGAGCCGATCCATTGCAATCGGCACCTCCTCTTTATTACAACTCCCGACCCCGTCCCTCAGCACGTAAACCTTGTGGCCTGCTTTAATCAAATCGATCGCTGTCTGTGTAACACATATATGACTCTCGATGCCTACGATCACTACCTCGCTTGGCGTTTCGGAAGAGAAATGTCGAGATATTGAGGGCACCCACATGCTGAAGGCCTTTTTGTCGACGTGCTCGACGGACTTTTCGAGGAGGGGGGTGAGTTCGTTACAGGTTGGACCGAGGCGAGCTGCATTTTGGGTCGTGACGAAGACGGGAATAGAAAGGATTGAGGCTGCTTTGAGCATTTTTTGGGAGGTTGTTATGCTGGTAGAGTGTTAGCCTTTGCTACTGCGTCTTATACGTTCAGGCAAGTACAACTGGGAGCCATACATCTTTTCATATTCCCATATCGCAGGCCGAAACTTTTCTTGTATGTCGCATATACTAAAACAATCAACTATGTCAGTCCACGATTTGCTGGGCCGTCATCATTGAAGTGCAACGGTATATGTGAGTGGGTAACGAACAAGAGCGCGGGACGAGCTGCATTTCTGTTAGCTTATATCTTGACTCTTTTGATTCGGAAGTCGTTACATAAACGCCTGCTAGGTGAAGCTGCCATTGCGGGTAATTGTTGTGAAAGACAAGACAGTCTTATTGCAGTCGTGGATGTAAGTTTCGACATCGCTGCATTCACAAAACTTCATTAGATGCTTCCAACATGGGGAAGGTGGGGTAGCCGAGGGGTTCATGGATGCCAAGCGGTGGGTTTTCTCCGGATCAAGACATCCAGGTTTCCGAAGCTGTCAGAATCTACCTAGTACCTAGGTACTTATTAGGCTCAAACTAGGTACAAATCTGTTAGGTTTTCATTACGGACATGTTTGAAGGTGGTATTCGGTTGTTGAGTACATTGGAAGCATAACTAAGGATACTTCTTGTTCACAGTATCACAGCCTCAACTTTTGCCCTTTCTAACCATGACGAATCATTTGCCTCCGCCGCTTTGTGAATGTTGTATAGCTCGTCAATTAAAGCCGGGACGAATGTTCCAGGTCCACGTACGTCGGATCTTGCAGCAGCAATCTCCGCAGCGATTTCGTAGTGTAGAAGCGCAGCTAATGTGGCCACTAGTTTGTCTTCCTTTGAAACGGCGAGCATTATGGAAATCGTGGTACCGAGAACACAACCACTCCCTGTGATTCTGCCTAGAAGTTCATGACCGTTCTTAACAGCGAGAGTACGACTTCCGTCACTGATGATATCAGTAGCTCCAGTCATAACAACCACATTCCTTTCTCTTAAAGCCAAATCACGGACCAGTGTTGCTTTTTCAGTAAATGTCGAGGTACTAGGACCGCTATCCACCCCTCGCTGCTGAACCATTGTTCCGGACACAGTGCTAATCTCTCCTTCATTGCCTTTGATGACATCGAAATATCCTGCAGCCATCAGAGTTTTGATAGCATTTCTTCTGACAGATGTAGCGCCACCACCAACAGGATCGAAGACAACAGAACCTCCCGCTAAGTTATATGCTTTCAAAGCTTTGGTGTAGTTTGTTAAGCCATCGGGGGTGACCGTTCCCATGTTAATCACCAAGGATCCTCCTAATTTTGCGAGATCTGCTGCTTCTTCCCCGTAATTTGCCATGATGGGTGAGCCCCCGACAGCCAGTGCAACATTCGCCGCAAAATTTTGGACTACAAGATTCGTCATGTTGTGAGATAGCGGCGTTTTTTCTCCAACTCTCTGAACCACTTCCGCGGCTGCTTTGACGAGCTTTGATAACTTTTCTGCATCTTTAATGTCGGAAGACCGGGAGTCTGCTGATCCAGCCTCCGTGAAGAATGGCGGCGGTGTCTTGACAAGCTTCAACAGGTCTTTTGATGCTTGCGCCGGATCTTGTGCGGCGATTATTGCACTCACAATGGCAACGCCATCGAGCGATTTGGAAGGATGAAAAGACTGAAATATGACTCGCTGAACAGTAGAGGCGTTTATGCCACCGATGCACACTGTACGGACATTCTTTCCTGCAGTTGAAATGGCCTCTAGGATTTGCCTCGTGCCTGCAGTGCCAATCACATCTTTCGTGTTCGTTTTGCTGTTCTGTCAGTAACAACTTGGCGAGTCATCCAGAATGTTCACGTACGTTGCTGTTGCAAACAAAGTTCCTATGCCTAGGTAATCCGCCCCGTCTTTGCAAGCGGTTTGTGCTTCATCGATACTGGATACTGTGACACCAATTATAGCATCTTTTCCAAGCAGTCTCCGAGCACTCGGCAAGTCTACCAACAGTCAACACCGAGCTGAAATGATGACAGTAAGCATACCTAGGTCATCTTGACCGATATGCACACCCTCACAGCCTACTGCTAAAGCTACATCTATTCGGTCATTGATTAGAAGAGGGACGTTATGTTTTTTAGTGACAGCGTGAAGCCGTTTGGCTGTAGAGACCAGTACGGCGGTGTCGCTAAGCTTGTCTCGATATTGCACAATAGTCACTCCGCCCTCTAACGCAGCTTCGACCACTTGGACTAGATCTCGATCACCAAGAATTGCTGGCGTAGAGTCCGTAACCAGATACAACGAGTAATCAACCGCCCTCGCCATCTCGCTTGGAGCTCGGCACCGGACACTCAGCAGTTGCACACTTGCTCGGACTGATGGCTCGGGGGTTCTGGCGATATCTTTCACTTGATATACTGAGTCTGGAACTGGAGCTGAACGAGGTCATTTCGTCAGGCTTGTCTGTCGCATGGTCCATAGTGAGGAGCATGATGCTGTCTCGGGTGTCTTACCGGCCAGAATAGGGAGATATCGGGTATGATGAGCAGAGAGTCAATTTTGGAGATGTAGAAACTCAATAAAGTCGAATCTGGAAACGATACGTAGATCTAGTCATAAATGGCTCTTTAATACCTCGGATTGTGGCAGCAGAAACCAGTCTAATGTCCAAGAAGGGAGCAAGGAAATGGTGACTAAAGCAGCCGCATTTGTTTGAAATTTGGCCCGGTGAATCACGTGGACCTCACGCCCCAAACCTTCCGACGGACTGCCGCCTTGTGTCGGCTCTTCGCCGTGGAAATGCTATTTGGGTCCGTCGGTTTCACTCCACACCAGTCTTCCATTCACGCCTGTGCTCAGTCGCCCCAACGTGATTCGAAACTTCTTTTCCTGCCAACCCACTTCCTCCTCTTCCCACAAACACCAAAGTCTTTACAACAAGACAACAACACTTCCAACCCACAATCCACACACTTCCACAATCATCGTTCGGTCCAAATCAGAACCAGAGCGTAAACACCCACCAGCTTCTCGCAACATCAGGAGTCCTCGTCGTCGCCTTTGACACACACAGCGGACAAGTCATCCCCAGGACCACGCTACAGTTTCGCGGACGAACTCGTCGAGAAGATCAACAAAGCCAACATCAAGTAAACGGATACATCTGCGTTATATGTATCTCACACCCCACGCCAACGACCTCAGACACCAGCCGCCTCTCGAGCTGCAACCATTTCGCATACCGCGGAAACCTTGTAGCCCCTACTTCAGTAGTAACGGGTAATCCACCGCAGAATCATCGAATGTTTCGCTAGCAAACCGTCATCAACAATCTCCTTCTTGCCTCTCGTCCCTCAGCAACCGCATCTGCTGTCATATGTCGCATCATCCGGTCCCATAAACCACAAACGAAGAACCTACCAACAAAATCTTTGAAGTTATTCCAACCTACACACAACCGCAATCATGGCTACCATCAATATTCGTAGCGATGTGAAGGATCCCTTCTACCGCTACAAGATGGAGAGACTCCAGTCCAAGATCGAAGGAAAGGGCAACGGTATCAAGACTGTGATTGTCAACCTAAGCAGTGTTGCTAACTCCCTTGCCCGCCCTGGTGACTATGTCATTAAGTACTTTGGCTTCGAGCTAGGTGCCCAAACCAACACCAGCCCGGCAGACGATCGCTGGATCATTAACGGAGCCCATGAGGCGTCTAAGCTTCAAGATTATCTTGATGGTTTCATCAACAAATTCGTTCTCTGCAAAAAATGCAAGAACCCAGAGACGGATGTGGTTATCAAGGACGGCAACATTCTCCTTGACTGCAAAGCCTGTGGTCAACGTTCCAACGTCGACCTTCGCCTCAAGTTGAGTGGATTCATCCTCAAGAAGCAGCCAAAGAAGGGCAAGAAAGACAAGGCTGATCGCAAAGCTGCCCGCAAGGCTAAAGAGAACGGAAACGGAGACAAGAAGAATGGTAATGGTAGTGGAAACAGCGATGACGCCAACTCTGAGAATGGATCCAATGGCGACGGTGATGTCGGTATCGAGGCTGGTAGTGATGACGAGTTTACACGCGGCATCACCAACGCTGCACAAGACTTCGACGATGAAGCAGAGGTCAAAGACGTTGAATGGACTGTTGACATGTCCGCAGAGGCAATTAAAGCCCGTCAACAACAACTCCCAGACGACTTGAAGCAAAAGCTCGTCCTCAACGGCGATGATGAAGATGAAGAGGGCGAGGGTGGTGGCAATTCCAAGTACGATCAACTCCTCACCTGGGTCAACGCTGAGGTCGAAGAAAAGGGAGGTGTCGACAAGGTAGATGATCTTGAGATCTACTTGAAGGCAAAGGAGCTTGGTATTGAGAACAAACACCGAACTCTTACCGTCTTGCTCACGTCTATTTTCGACGATGACATCGCTAAGCAAATCCCGAAACGTGCCGGAATGCTTAAGAATGTGAGTATTTATTTTCCCGTGTATTTTCTCTCCACTAATATCAACTAGATTGGTACTTCCGAAAAGCATCAAAGAGCAATTCTTGGTGGCGTTGAACGCTTTATCGGATCGCGTGGCAAGGACAAGCCAGAGATCTATGAGCAAACCTCCAAGGTTCTTTTGGTCCTGTACAATGAAGACCTCCTTACAGAGGAAGTTATCACCAAATGGGGCACCAAGGCCAGCAGAAAGCATGTCGATCTCTCTGTTAGCAAGAAGGTTCGCAAGTCTGCAGAAGCCTTCCTCAACTGGCTCGCCGAGGCCGAGAGCGATGACGACTCCGAGTAGACAACACTTCTCCAGTGGTCACGCATGACATTTTGGGACTGTGATAGATCTTACCCGTTGCGTTGTTCTCCTGTCTGGCTTTTTCTGATGTTGAAGGAATGGGGACTCTTGTGCTGTCATGGGGTGAAAGTCTTGTGGCGGAACAGAAGATAGATTTCTATTGCTTGTTTGTGTTATTATGCTCATCTCATCTCTTAGGTATTCGCTAGTATGCAAAAGTATTTGGCTTTGTGCTATTAAGAGAATATGAAATGGAAATTCCTCTCTGCCTATTTTTTCCATGACATGAATTTAAATGGTGAAATAACTACACTCTATTGGATACCAACCGGCTGTCTATTAGAGGTACACCCAAGTAAACCTCATCCCAAAACATCAACAAACTTATACCCATCCATCGTCGGCGTCTCCCATCTCTTTTCCCCGCCGCCCACCCCCTTCCTTAAACAAACCAACCAAACCGCATCCCTATTTCCCCTCTCCTCACTTAACGCCGCCCTCACGCTTTCCCTCTCCCAAACCACACTCCCCAAAACCTCAACAACCTCATCAAATTCCTCATCCGCTACCCCGACAAACTCCACAACCTTACACAGCAACTGGATCATCCCCTCCCACTTCCTACTCGCCTCACTAAACACCCCACGACTGCCCGCCCCTGCCCCAGCTTTCTTTGCTTGGATCTTAAACTGTCTCGCGTACCCCATCAAAGAAATCCATTCCATCGAAATCCTCCCCCTCAGAAACTCACCCGCTTGTTCAGCGAGTGTAGCGATCGTAGACATAGCGGTCACAACCACGTACGCAGAGTCATCGTGTAGGAGGTTTACTACGACCGGCCAGATCTCGTTGATGAGCGGCAGGAAAGTGCGTTGTAGTCCTGCGAGGCCGGGCGAGGCGGTTGCGATTAGAGAGAGCAGTTTGGTACGGAGGTGTGGGGAGGGGGAGGTGAGATAGTGTTGAGAGAGGGAGGTGATGTTTTTGAGGAGGGTGTGGATTTTGGTTGGTTTGGCGGGTTCGAGTTCTTGTGCTGGTGGAAAACCTTCTTCTTCGTTGTCTGAGGAAGAGGGGGAGTTGGTGCGGGCTTCGGCTTCGTCGAGCAGGGTTGCGGCGGATTTCCATGGTTGGTGTGGAGTAGGTTCGTAGGGGAGTGATTCTTCGTCGATGGATGAGGTTGAGAGGAGTGTGATCAGTTGAGATATTGTAGGCGGAGATTTGTCCATGATGGGTTCATCAGGGGTGTCGGTAATCTGTAGTTGATTTGATGTTGATCCGACCTTGACTATCTCATCCAGGACTGTGAAAAGAGTGTCGACAAGATTCTGATATCCGTGGAAATTATCTAACGCCGCAAAAATAGAGCCCACCACATCGTCAAGGTATAGAAGTAAGGATGGGCCAGTAAGGTGAAGCATCATAACTAGGACTTGGGGTGTTTGAGGTGAGATATCAAAAGTATTGAGACGTAGTGAAATAGAGTTGACCATATAATCCACATTATCAACTATCAGCTCGCTGGCACTTCCATAGCCGCATGAGTCTGAGAGGAGAAACAGGCATGATATTGCGTGATCCCTCAATCTGTCATTTGGCGATCCGAGAAGTTGGACGATCGGATATAGAGTGTCGATAAGCTCTGGTCTGAATTTCTTCTTCAGACGCATCGCTCTGTCAGCCACAACCTCCAATGCTATAGCTTGCATAAGCCAGTCATATTGCTCCTCAGATCCATTAGCAAGAATCAATTGTGAATATGCCATAAGTTCTTCATCCATTGCCTCTTGCTCATCAGATAGGGTGAGTGCGGTCTCGAAGAACTCGTCCATTTCCTTATTAGCATTCGCTGCAGCTTGTAGCGACTGGAACGATAACCAATAAGCCGCTACTAGACTTGGACCTGAAGCGTTTTGGACATATTCAAGCATTTCGCCCCCCAATTTGAGTTGCGCTTCTCGGGATCCAAGATTAGTGACTAGGCCCACAAGACTTTGCCTCGTCTTCTTTTGGCTCTCTTCTGCCATGATAATGGGCCGAAACTGAATCTCTTGGTTCTCGTGCTTGACCAGTGATGTCACAGCTTGACTGTTGGGATTGAATTCGGCTTCTTGGAGACCGGCGGAAGACGGGAGAGACTCCAAGGTCAAGGTAATACTATCTCTGAGTGAGCTGCCAAGGGCATCCTCAAGAACAGCAGAATCGATGCCGAGATTCTTCACCAGTCGACTTGCTCTCTGCAACCGCTCGATCGCTTCACTTTTAGCAGCCTCATCGTTGCTTTGCATCAACCTTGGTAAACTGGTCACCCAATTGTAGGATGTTGTTTTCACTAATTCACCTATATCAGGATGAATGATCGCAAGGTCTGTTAGAGTTGTCTTTTCAGCGAAGAAATCATCTTTGATTTCATCTTCATCTAATGCCATACAGGTTTCCACAAGTAGGGAGGTGGACTCAAAAAGGGTTTCGTGACACTCGTCAAGAATCCTCAAACAAAACCTGTTCAGCGCCTGGCGGACGCCGGGTCCATCATTCTTGCGAAGTCTTACAACATTAGACAAAGCTAACTTAATCTGAGCCGTGGTAGCTTTCAGCCATGCAGGAGTAAAGACCTTTTGGTTGATTTCACTTTCAGCAGTACTTTTGGGGATTTTGACCGTGTTCCTGATGCCGCTTGTATGGATGTCGCTGAGAGTAGATGAAAGAACGCGCTCAAGGACTTCCAAGGCGTTAATGAGTGTTCTTCGTGACCTTCGCGCTGTAGTTGCAGGCATAAGAGTCTTTGTTAGGCCTGAAATCGTTCCCGGCAAGAATGTTGCCAGGGCCTGCGAATCCTTGATGGATCTCCACGCAGAATCAAGAGCGGCCAGAGCCTGCAGCTGTACTTGCGCTGATGGGCCGTCCGTGATACCTTCGAGTATCACTGTCATACAATGACCCAGCGCGGGTACCGTTGCACTTTCTACCAAAGCTGCAGAGCCGCCCGGCGTAAGGGCCATAGCATCGAACAAAGCTACGAGCGCTCCATATCCCTCGCTTACGATCTCTTCAGGTATAAGCTGCTTCTCATCTGGCGGTCCTCCCACAATAAATGCCAGCAGAATCAGGAGCTGACTCGCAAGACCAAGAGGAATCTTCCGAGACCATCCAGAGTCAAGCAACACCCGGATACATTTGACGATGAGCTCGGCGAGGTGGTCTGTGTATTTCTTCTTCTTTTTAAGCATCTGCGACAGAGGAAAGAAGACATATTCTGCCAATTTCTCGTCAAACGCTCCATCAGGGCGCTTGCAGTGCTTCTCGAGTATAACAAGAACCTGGCTTGTTGTCGTCACCAGGGACTTCGTGCTGTTTGGGCTTCCATCATCGCGAAGAGCAAGCTGGGTAAGCTCGACGCAACGAGGCTTGAGCTACAATCATTAGAATTAGCAAAATGTGATGTCCCAAGGATATTGACTTACAAGTTGGAAAAGCTCATTCCTGGCAGAGCGACCCCCATTGTCCATATCGACAAATCTGGGCGCATCATCACCAAATATAAAGTATTGTACAAAGATCCTCGAATGTTGTAGAGGTCAGAAGGGCTTAGGGCGAGGCTGCATGCGACGGACAGGGCAAGACAAAGCCCCACTTTAGCCGTCATCTTCGAACTACGGGGTATTTCCAGCAAGTCGGAACTCTTCTCCACTTGCTTTACTGTACCTCACACTTCTTCGCAGCATCATTTGTCTCGTCAATAGTTCTGTCGAAAATCTCCTCAAAATCAACCATGAGTGCTATCAAAAGATGTACAATTCACACCTACTCCTTGCTTTGTTTTGAACTAACTTCCTAGCAGACTGTCCCCGGCGATTTGTATTCGGATCAAATACATATATCGATTCCTGAGATGCCACTTAAATTCCCGGAAATATACCTGCTCAGTGTCAAATACGAAGACAAGCTCTCCGAGCTTCATGCTATCGAGCGTGACATAGACGTCGTCTTTAACATCGGCGAAGCAGAACTGGTGCTCGGGGATGTTAATACAAAGGGACGTGCCAACTATGAGCTCCGCAAGCTAGGTGTATGGACCAAAGATGTTACAGAAGTAACAGTGAAAAGGACTGTCCCAGAACCCGATGAACATCCACGAAAGCGGCGTAAGATTACGAAGAATGTGGACGGCAAAGATGTGATAAGTCTAGACTCGAGTTCAGACTCCGAACCGCGATCCGAGGATGATCCCCATCAACGAAAGACTCCATTGAGTAAAGTGCGGGCTGTACCGTCGAGTCTGGACGGTGACAATGCTCTTGGGTCTACCAAACTGGGTGAGACGATCAAAGTCCTCAATCTGAAATGGTACCATGACTCCATGAAGCAGGGGAAGCTTATGCCGCACAAACCGTATCTTGTTTATAAAGGGAAGGTCATTCCTAAGCCTGGAATGGAATCAACCAAGCAGCAAATCACTCCAACCATGATATTTGCTCGCGCAAAAGCAGATCTCCAGAGCACCCCACCACCAAATTCGTTTCGCAGGCATCATAGGGGAACTCCAGATAACCTGCATAACTCGCACGGGGCCCGGGCGACTCTTTTACCTCAGGAAACCACAGCTGAGCACGAGTATGTAGCAAATCTGCCGCCTCTCCCAGATTATCTTCTTCCGGGATCATACGCCTGCCAGCGTCCGACGCCGTTACATTCCCTGAACGAGTCTTTCATAGCACAGCTAAGGATGATCAAGAAGAAGCGAGAATACGCGGGCGAGGAAGAAGCCGGCTATGCTTTTTATACACGTTCGTATGAAGCTGCCATAGCAGCTATCGCGGCTTATCCTCATACTTTGACTTCCGCTTTAGAGCTCCTCAAATTGCCTCATTGTGGATCCAGATTTGCTGCTCTGTTTCAGGAATGGAAAGAAACTGGAATGATCAAGGAAGTAGAAGATTTGAAGTATGACGAAAAGTTCCAAGCCATGGACGTTCTTACCGGTATTTTTGGTGTCGGAGATAAGACAGCTAGAGAGTTTTACGCAAAAGGTTATAGAGATATCGACGACATCATCGAATATGCGTGGGACTCTCTAACTACAGAGCAAATGATTGGTACCAAGTTTTACTATGACTTCCAGCAGCGCATTCCCCTCCCAGAAGTCGAGAAGATTGCGAACCACGTGCTATCTGAGGCCCGAAAGGTATATCCAGGTTTCGAAATGGTAATCTGTGGCGGCTACAGAAAAGGCAAGCCAGATTGCGGTGATGTTGATATTGTGCTCAGCAACCGCGATGAAAGCGCCACCGACAATTTCATCTATGAATTTCTCTTGGATCTGAAAGACGAGGGCTCTATAACCCATGTTCTGAGATGGACGATGAGGAATTCGGAGAGAGGCCAAACTCCTGTGAACCCTATCAAGGCAAAAGCTGGTGGAGGGTTTGACACTCTGGACCACGCATTCGTAGCCTGGCAAGATCAAGACTGGCCTACCAAAGAAGCAGACCTCGCCAGAGATCCCCAATTCAAGAACCCAAACTTACATCGTCGAGTTGACATAATCGTCTCACCCTGGAAAACGGCTGGATGTGCTATTCTCGGTTGGAGCAGCGGGACCTTCTTCGGACGCGATTTGCGGAGTTATTGTAGGAAAGTTAAGGGCTGGAAGTTTGATACTAGCGGGATCACGACGTTGGATGATGGGACTTGGGTTGATTTGGAAAAGGGCGATGGGGATATGTATGTTAAGGAAAAGAGATTGTTCGAAGGCTTGGGGCTGGAATGGAGGGATCCTACGGAACGATGTACAGACTGAATATTATTTGGATACAAAGTTGCTGGGTTGTTTGTTTTAAGCGATCGCCGGAGTTGAATCTATATCATTAACTTTTGTCAACACTATCTAATATCTCTACTTGATCTGTACCTAGGTGCATCTGTAAGTACTGTACAGTAATATCCATTTGTTAACACAGTTATATGTCAAATCTTTTGTAGTCTAGATGTACAACATCTTCCAAGGTTTGCAAACATGAGAATCACAAAAAGGACCATGTTTCAATGCTACAAGAGGCTATCTAAGAAGGGTTTGGGTATCATTTGCATTGTGTTCCCTATGCCAAAAATTGTGTCTATAGACAATGTCCTGCGAATGTTTGCAAATTGCAAGCCACAACACCAGGCCAGATATCTGATAATTTACATTTTTGAATTTTCCGTATACCCCACTGGCCGTTGCCAAACACAGGGGATTGATTATTTTACGCACCACCCAAACGCCGTCTATATCGAAGCCAATCCACTTTATTTATCACCAGTACCTTATAGTCATCAGTCGAAGCCGCTAGGCCAGTAGAGCTTTTGATGTAGCTTCCTGTTTATACATCCTCGAATTCCATATCTTCTTCACTCTCGGCGTCGGGTTCGTCCTTGGGAACGGGTTCCTCGATCCTAACCTTCTTTGGAGGTCGGCCATCATCGATCGGTGTGTTCGGTCCTGTCACCGGACTTGCAACACCTGTACTGGTTCCGCTGCCAGAAACGCTACCACTTCTCTTCAAGGCACTTGCTAAGCCACTTGCACCAAGGGCAGGGGCGGGCTTGCTTTCGCCTCCAAAAGAGCTAAGGGGTGTTCCCACGCCAGAACCAGTACCGGCTACATCCTCGAATTCATCTTCTTCTTCGTCATCCGTCTCATATTCTTCTTCCTGCTCTTCCTCTGCTTCCTTCGCTTGCTCGGCCTTCAATCGGGCAAAATAGTCGTCTATCTCCGCAGTGTCATCCTTAGCTGAAGGGCTGTTGAGGAATGCGCCTTTCTTCTCATCTGTCGATGTGAAAGCCGAGGCGCCTGTATTAGGGTCGAATTTGACTTGTTCACCACTGATGGTACTGTGGGTAAAGTGAACAGGTAAAGCATTTTGGGCTGCGTTTTTCAGCTTGCGATCTTTTTCTGCTGCGATATCCGCTGCCGTAGGCCCCTCGGATGCTGTAAGTGTGACTGCAATCGACGTAGGTCCAACGTTCGTCATGCCCTTTACAGCGGTAGGGCGCTCAACAGCGGCATCAAGTGGCGCAGTCTCACTGGCCGGATTTGAACTGTCTCGTGGTACTGGGATCCTCTTCGCGTAGGCTTGTTCGAAATTGTTCTCTGGGACCACCACTGCATCAATCTTTGGCAACAGGTCCGTTATGAACTTGAATTGCTGGCTCATTTTTGTTGACTGCTCATGTCCCCCATGGTTTTCTCCCGTCACAGGAGAAAGTGGAAACTGGCACTTCTTGCACACAAATGCTCCCGGTAACGAGTAATCGAAGGAGTCCAAAACGTCCAAAGCCGTATATTCAGACTTGCAACGAGCGCAGAAATATTCTGTTTTGTCGTTTTCTGAGACTGTATTACCCTGGACCTCCTTGTCAATCTTGTAAACCCTATACTTGATAGCGTCGATCGCGGCCCGGTAATCGATGAAATAGTAGGTTCTGTTCATGGGCCGACTTTGGCCCTCCTTGAGTTCCGGTCGAGTATGTCTATGAAAACTTGTTAGTATGTTGATCCGGTTTTGCCCAAGATGTACCATACACTGCGAGAAATCGAGCTTCCTTCAGTCGCCCGCACAGCTTGTGAAGCTCCTTCGTGTTCATACCCATTGCATATGCGGCATCGTCATCTCGTAATCTGCCAGTCTCGTCAACGTGCTCCTACCTAGACCTGAGATCTTGCAGTGACCTACGCGGAATGAAGCACCAAGGCATCCACAACTAGGATGTGCTTGGGATCATCGAAAAAGGTTCGCACGCATGACCGGACCAGTTGTATTGCGAGATCCATGGTAGAAAAACCTTCCTGACGGTTGAGGAAATATCAGTGGGTTGAAACAGCACCGTTCGTCTTTGTGATTCGTAGGGCGATGCGACGACCCGGATCAGGAGCAGTGTTTGAGTGCAAAGGAAACGTTTAACGATTGACGAAGGAGTTGAGACAAAGAGATTTTGTCAGCGAAAGTTGTGATTGTCCATTCTTCAGTTCATGGCTATACAGTCCCACAGTGAGTGGTCAGGCCGTGAATTAAAAAAGATATATGATATCACAAACTGAATGATGGGAGAGCAAGAGGTCAGCCAGGATTATGCGCCCACGTTTTGCACAAGGCTGAACCGAAGGTACCAATGCTCCCCCGCCACGCTAGTCCCGTTTGAGTTAGAGCGAACCGATAGCTCTGAAATGTGCACTTTTTTCCAGCTCGATTCCATCATTTTCGCGCGCGAATGTCATGAGAGGCATTCGATCAATTCTGAGATGGCAGACGATTCCGTTCCAGCTGCGCCGGCTAAGGCCGGTGGTGAAAGTTCTTCACGGGGGGGTAGGAACCCCAATTCGTCAAATTCGAACTCGAGGAACGATAGAGGGGGCTCACGAGGCAGAGGAGGGGGTCGCGGGCGCGGGCAAGGCCGTGGAAGGGGAGGCAATGAGAGAGGAAGGGGTCGAGGAAGAGGTTTTGGGGCCAATGACTTCGGCGGCCGTCATAAGAAAGCTGATATGGGTCGGGGGGAATACGAGTGTGTTGCGCTTTTCGATTTATTCATTGCACAACTAACTAAACGAGACGTGAAGGTGTAGACAGACGAAAACGACGAGACGAGAAGACTGGCAATGGTGAAACCGACGATGTTGCCAAATATCATAGCACGCAATTCAGCAAGGAAGAAATCGAAGCCGAGGGTCGCAAACCAAAAAGAAAAGTCGCGGTGTTGATTGGTTATGCAGGATCAGGTTATAAGGGGATGCAAATCAACGGAACAGAAAAGACAATCGAGGGTGATCTCTTCAAGGCATTCGTCGCTGCCGGCGCGATTTCGAAAGCCAATGCGGATGACCCGAAAAAGTCTACACTGGTCAGATGTGCGAGAACAGACAAAGGTGTACATGCTGCAGGCAACGTAATCTCTCTCAAGCTTATTGTCGAGGAGGACGATATCGTTCAGAAGATCAATGCTGCTCTACCGCCCCAAATTAGAGTTTGGGGGTATGAGCGAACTAACGGCTCATTCAGTTGTTACCAGAGTTGTGATTCCAGGTGGTACGAGTACCTCATTCCAACATACTCTTTCCTTCCGCCGCATCCGCGAAGCTTCCTAGGACGAAAATTGGTTGACTCGGCAGAAAAGAAGGGGGTCTTAGATGAATACAAGTCGCGACAGGAGGATGTGGCCAACTTTTGGGATAGTGCCGAAGAAAAATACATTAAGCCCATTCTTGATGAACTGGATCCGGAGATGAGAGATGCGGTTATGGAGTCTATTCACGCCTCTGAGATCATGCTAGATTTAGATCTACCCAAACCAAAGAAGGAGAAGCCAGCCAAAGCGAAGCCAACAAATGTCTCTATGGACCCGGCAACGCAGGCAGAAAACGAGGCGTCCTTATTAAATGTTCATGGAGATCGTAAAGCACATCTTGAGAGGGCAATTGCTCAGGACCAGATGAAGCGCAAAGCTGAAGAGGATTCAGTATCACGGGACCAGCCACCACCAAAAATACAACGAATATCGCCTGATCATACGTCAGTTGATACTCCCGAACAGAAAAATGGACTGGCGGAAACAAATGCGCTGGCTACAGAGAGCCCATCGGTAGAGGTTGTCGCAAGCGAAGATTCAAATTTGAAAGCTGTGGATACCACATCCCTTGTTGAAAATGCAAAAGAAGAAGTCGAAGCAGAGAGTACTGCGATTTCGGCGAATGAAGAAGCAGATTCGACAGTGGCAGACACGACGGCCCCTCTCGAAGGTGCAAAACAGGAATTAGAAGCAGAAAGCACTGCGATCACAACGAAACAAGATGAGCCTAGGCGCGAGCTTACCCCTCTGGAAGTCGCTATCAAAAGGGTCAAAGCTGCATATATCACCGCCAAAAAAGCCTACCGGATATCGGAGTACCGCCGTCAAAGAGTTGAAGAAGCACTAAACACATATGTTGGAACATGCAATTTCCATAATTACACCATTCAAAAATCTTTCTCTGATCCTTCCGCTAAGCGAGTTATACGCTCATTTAAGGTTGGTAAAGATCCTGTTTACATTAACGATACGGAATGGCTCTCTCTGAAGGTACATGGTCAGTCATTCATGATGCACCAAATTCGAAAAATGGTCGCAATGGCATCGATGGTGGTTCGCTGTGGTAGCACTGCTGAGGTTATTCGCGATAGTTATGGAAGAGCTCCAATCAGTATTCCAAAAGCTCCCAGTCTTGGTTTGTTGCTAGAACGCCCGGTGTTTAATAGCTACAACACCCAGGCTGTTTCGAAATTCAACCGAGAGAAGATTGATTTCGACAAGTACCAAAAGGAGATGGACGAGTTTAAGCAAAGAGAAATTTATGATCGGATATTCAGAGAGGAAGAGAGAGACAACCAGTATGTGCAACCACTATAACCATATCCTGAAGTTACAACTGACAATCTTAGATTCCACACGTTCTTCCATCATATCGACAACTTCAAGACCGACTACTTTCTTTGGGTAACAGCAGAAGGGGTGGCTGGTGCGAGACAGAGCGTCGCTAGGAGTGAAAACGTTCTACCCGAAGATGTTTACGAGAGCGACGAAGAACAACCAGATGCTAAAGGTGAAGAAGGATGAAACCTCATTAGAGATATTGCGGAATAGCCAAACCCTATATCAAAGCAGGAACGAAGTATTGTACTGTGCCTTGCCATAGCGAGGCCTGCTAGAGCTTATGCGCAATGGCCTTCATGTAAAAAGGTCAGTTGTCTACTATAAGCGGTGTCGAGATTGTTCCTGGAATAGAAGAAGCTTTTGCGCCTGTGCAAAGTAATGCAGTGCTAAGTTATAGCCCAATCTCTCATCTAGTTTTGATAAAAACAAGCTGCACCAAGAATTTGTTTTGATGAGACAACCTAACTATTGGAAATATTCAAAGAACAAAACCAATTGCCTAGGTCAGTCAAGTGATTATTGAATCCAGATGTCAACCTTTCTCGCGGTAGGTAGGTTGCGGGACTGGTTCTACTGTACCGAGGTTTGTTCCTCAGACCGATCTTCTCCGGTTCTCGGACGATCGCGGCACCCCGCAATTTCACAAGCCGAAGCACGAGACAGACCCCTGCCGGTATACTGGAGCGCGGCCAACGTCACAGGAACGCGTCGGAGTTCATGTGCAAATAAACCATCCAAACACATCTCACATGAAAGCCGTGGGAGCATCTACGTTCAGCTGCGATATTCACCAGCCAGGAGCTAGAATGCTTAATGCCCTTACTCGCTCGTCATTGGGTCATTAGAGACACCTGACGAAAGCTACGCGCAAAATTCCCACTTGCTCTCCGTTCTGGATCCAGTTGGGATTGGAGTACACCTCCTCCGCTACTCCGAGCTAAGCTTCCCAAGAGCTGGAGTTATGGGCTTCCCCACATGTGGTGGCTATCATCCACTATGCCGAGTTTGCAAAGGAGCAGCCGGGTTAGTCTAGGAATGCGGTAAGTTTTGGGGACCGCGGGTCGAGGTTTGAAAGGGAGAGGTAGAGTCACATCATTTGCATACACTTCATTATTCATACTACGCTTTTCCTGCCTGGTCATTGTTTGTTCACTGAATATATTTTGGTAATTCTTTGTTTGCTTTCCAAATACCTTGAGTTTTAATTGAACTTGGACTTGTTTGCTTCATTAGAAGGTGTAAACAAGTTGGGCGCAAGCCTTGGAAGAATCACAAGATGTCTGCGAAGAACATTGCAGGGCCAAATGGCAAGAAGCCTACCACTGCGGCGACGAATTTGATCGGTAAAGCGCAATTGCACTTCTAAAAACACATGCGCTGACAATCTATAGCCGGCGGAGCAGCAGGTATGATGGAAGCACTTGTCTGCCATCCTCTCGGTATGTGACCTTACACTCAAATCTGTAATAACCTCTTACTGAATACGCAATCACAGACACAATAAAAGTCCGTATGCAACTTTCCACAAGAGCTCGTCGGCCAGGAGCCAAAAAGCGCGGCTTCATCAAAACGGGCATGGAAGTAGCGCGCAAAGAAACTCCACTGGCGTTATACAAGGGATTGGGCGCTGTAACAACTGGTATCGTTCCCAAAATGGCTATAAGATTTACGAGTTTCGAGGCATATAAGAGGATGTTGGCGGATAAAGAAACGGGGAGTGTAACTGGAAAGGCAACTTTCCTGGGTAAGTTTCCCTCCTCCAAAGCAAATACATGGCGTGAAGAAAACTATCTTTAAGAGCTCTACTAACCCAATTCCAGCTGGTCTAGCAGCCGGAGTAACCGAAGCAGTCGCCGTCGTAACACCTATGGAAGTCGTCAAAATCCGTCTCCAAGGCCAATATCACTCAATGGCCGATCCCCTCGACGTCCCCAAATACCGCAACGCCGCCCACGCGCTCTTCACCGTCCTCCGCGAAGAAGGGATCGGCGCCCTCTGGCGTGGTGTCTCTCTCACAGCCTTGCGCCAGGGCTCTAATCAAGCCGTAAACTTCACAGCGTACACAGAATTCAAAGAGATGTTGCAGAAGTGGCAGCCGGAGTATGAGACGTCGCCGTTACCGAGTTATCAGACGACGCTCATTGGATTGGTGTCGGGCGCGATGGGTCCTTTGAGTAATGCGCCGATTGATACGATCAAGACGCGCTTGCAGAAGTTTCCGAGTCAGATGGGGGAGAGCACTATGACTAGGATTAAGGCGATTACGAGGGAGATGTTTAAGTGAGTTGATTCTGGTGTGATACGTCTGAAAAGAATAGGCGATGTCGAAAAAGGGGTTTGGGGACGATGTGCTAACACAATCTATTACAGAACAGAAGGATTCCATGCATTCTACAAGGGAATTACACCACGTATCATGCGTGTAGCGCCTGGTCAAGCAGTCACGTTTACCGTCTACGAATTTTTGAAGGAGAAGTTGGAAAGCAGTAATATTCCGTATGTTGGCGGTAAATATGAGGAATGATCCTGTCAAAATCCCAGCAAGTCATGAGTACGGCTGAGAAGCGACAAGTTGGCCAAGTAAGCAAGTCATCTTTGGCGGCGTTGGTCGTTGGTATATATGGTGACCTAGAGGAGAATACCTTCCCCGGGCGCTGGGGCCCACGGTCTGTGTATTTCCAGGAAAATAGCATAATCCTGCATAGCGTCCTCAAATATAATCTATCTTTCATGTAATCGAAAATCGCTATCCAAGGTCCAACTTTTCATGCTTTCATCAACATATCCATTCATTTCCGCCCAGGTCTCCTTGGCCGTTCAAATGCTTTCTTCACTTCAACCTTCGGGTGCAAATCACCCAATATACTCTCTTCATCTACGTCTTCTGGACTTCCTGCTTCGACACGCTTCTCAACTTTGATACCTGCTTCGGCCTCAGCGACCTGCACAGCTGATCGTGAGGATGCAGCGTATAACATGCGTTCCTTGATTTTGGAGCCAGATGGACATGTGTAAATGAAAAGGATAGGCGATTGGGTCTGACCGGCATGCTCGTGTGTGAAGCGGTAGAATGAATAGCGGGGTGCGGAATTGGAAATAGTTTTGGGGAGGGCGGATATGGGTGTGCTGGTTACTGATGCTAACTCCATGGTTTCGGTTGCGATGTTGATTTGCTATCCAAGGTCAGCATTTCTCATTTTACGTCATTGGAAGTTGAACATACCAACTGAACCAAATTATTCTCATCTCCTTCCCCAGAAGATAATCCCTTCAACGCCCCCAACGCCTCCTCAGTAACAGGCATACTAACCCCACTACTAACATGACTTTTCCTCTCCCCGGCCCCCCTCCCCTCCTCCGCCTCCTTCCTCTTCACCTCCCCCAAACTAACCTCCTCCTCCGTCAACGGCGCCGCCAACTCATTATGTTTATCATGCTTCTTAAACCCCTCCGCGCTCAACTCGTCCTCGCGCGTCGCAAATATCGTCTCCCGAAACCGTTCTATCCCTAACTCGCGCACGAGTGTCAGACGCGTAGATGCGAATAGCATCTTCTGCCGTACGGGGGCGGCATCGGGGACGTAGGTGACGGCGATGAAGGGCGCTGGTGTGTTGGAGGGGTAGCGGCGGAGGATTATATAGAGCGCGGTTTTGGGCTGGAGATGGGGCGTTAGGAGGGGGAGGTCGCCATCGAAGCTTGAGGAGTTGGAGGGTAGAGTCGTTGAGGGCACGAGTGCTTCTTTTTCTATGGTGATTATGAGACCGCGTTGGGATTCGTCGGAGACGAGCTTTTGGAATGCGGTGTGTAGTTCTTGGGAGGCTGGAGGGTGTTAGAGCGTGGGATATTTGAGATTTGTAGAATGCGGAGGAAGTTTATGTACCTGATATTCCGGACTGCATCTTGACGGTAAGCCTTTCTATGGAAGGCAATCGTCAATGGTGTCTATTAGGTAGCTTTTAGAAGGGATGGGGAATACAGGTTGATTGTGAGATTCGCAATGCATAGAGGGGCAGTCTCATGGTACGAGTACGGCTGGTAGTCCGTGCGGCGGGGTCCAGTACGTATCTGCATTCGAAGCTGGAGCTTCGTCTCTTCACCTTTCCCTAACTTCAGTATATTCACCCCAACGAAGTATTGTATTATTACTCACCTACCATGGAGCCGTACCAAGTGACAACGGCTAGTCTAGAAGGTATGCATATAATTTTCTTAACCCGTCCATGTCACCACCGCTTCGCGTCAACAACCTCAACGATATAAAACCACACGCGATCAACGACATCGATTATCGATACAAGAGATGGCACCCCAGCGCCCAGGATCCCTTCCGAACATTCATGTCCCCCCCATTGAGTCTGTCACGGCATCCAACACATATACAAATGGTGGCCTCTCTACCCCCCAATCATCCATCTACAGCGAAATCAAATCAACTCTTGCGCTTCCAGACACAACCATTGCGCCCAAATCTCCACGTCTAGAACAACCACAGATACTAACCACGGATTTCTATTTAGATCGTGAAGGGAAATATACGGCCGATATGCTTACACGGTTTCGAAACTTGGTGATGTTGGCGAATAGTCAGAAATCGGCGGATGATAATGGGAGCAAGGCGTCGAGGGAGGTGGCTGCTAGTGAGGCGCTTGCTATGGAGGTTGAGACTAGGGCTTTGGTATGTTTTAAGGGCTTGAATTTATCACGAACGAGCTGCGATATTCACGGGATCTAGTGGAAGAAACTTACTAACGTTTGGAATAGGTTCGTGCTGCGGAAGACTTGCTCCAACTGACCCGCGAGATGAAAGAACTATGGTTATTCGGCCCATTACGAGAAATCGGAGAAGGAGAAGGGGAGGGAAAGATGGACGAGGACTCCGTCAAAGTTGGGGAGATGGTAGAGCAGATTCTGAGGAAAGATGCCGAGTCTTCCAAATCAAAACTGGCGGGATGATCTAAGGTTACGATTTCACTTATCACTGGAGTTCTTCACGGCGTCAGGAATTGGCTGTCCAATTGGGCTTGGAGTTTGGAAATCAGGGATATGGAAAAGTTTCGATACCCAACCTGTATCAGGATTACAAATTTTCGAAAAGTAGGAGTCAATTTAGATGGCAGGGGATGCCACATGATAGAATATAGAATCCATTTACCTCACGGGCACATACACCACTGTATTATATGTCTGAAATCACACCACACTATCCTGCTTAACTTCCTATCCCCTCAAACAGCTACCAGAACCTCAGAAAACGTGCATGGGATTCCAGCCTAGGACAGACTCTAGATTACATTCAGTTCGAATATGCAATTTCAATACTTCCTAAGAGCCGTTTGCATAAGGTAGAACTAATTATTAGAGGGGAATTAGGCAGAACGTCCTTTGCATTCATTCCGAGTCCCACTGTCGGCTTTGTGATCACTTTCTTCAGCACCAACACCAATTATAATACCATGCTCTTCCCTGGTAGCACTCTCCTTTTGAGATATAATCCCTGAGGCCTTTGTAAAGGCTCTTTACCCTCTTTAAAGGCTAGAGTTCGGCATCTGTCAAATTGTGTGCGTGTCAAATTCTCAATTCTACCTTGATGATTTACGGTCAGACTTGAAACTATCACGATGTGACGAAATCTCATGGACGGTTTGGGAATGGGAGACGGTGTACGAATGATGTCCTAGAAGAAGTGTTTCACCCCCAATGGCAATCAGGGGACACTTGCTGATGTCATGGATTGTATTCTACTACTAATACATACAAGACAGCCCTATTCGTTCCGACATTCTGCTTCGAAGAAACAACTCATATTTCCACACCTAGTCAAGTCATACTTCTGCTAAAAGACTTGTCCAGGAGCACAATCACCATCGGCCATAGCTCGAACTGCACTCATAGCATTCGTTACGACATGCAGTAATAATAATTATTGTATATTCATTTCACTCCGCCCACATTCATAATCTCAAGGTCGCCCCAGATCAATATTCCCCCAGAACGCCCTTTCCAACTAACGCTCACGAAGCAAGCTCCATCCTGCAAAGCCAGCATGTCACCTGAGCAAAACAACTAAAAGTCCCAATCTTGTTCCTGTGTGCCCAAACCCACGGCCCGAGAAAAAGAGCCAATTCAAATAATCCAAAGAGTTTTTTGGTGACAAAGAAATAAATAGAAGCAGCAAATTAGAATAACGAGCGCCCATTTGGCCCTTTTGGGGCAGTTGTTCCTTACGCCACAGTACTCCGAATTTCATGCATCAAGCCAGCACGTGTATCATTTTCGTCCATTTTTATAATAAGTGGAATCACGGAGGTCTTCAACCTCGCAATTGTTGCACCAACCAAAAGAGATGAGTCCGCAAACTCAGCAGGAGGCCGTTATCTTCGTCCCGAGTGTGGTTCTTGGTTAGACATCAACGTCGTTAAGGTCATCATGTGGTGGGTTTCCGAGCTCGGCGATGCTCCCCATTGGCTCGGAATCATAGTCTTCTTCTGATCCCACCCAATCTGAGAATGTCAGCAAAGATTCCTGGAGGGTTGATTAATCTGCTGGCTTACCAGATACTTCTTCATCCACCTCTTCAACCTCTAGCCTTTTCAAATTGTTGGGGACAGCTAGAGCACGGTTAGCCAGCTTCTACGATACCCATGCATTGGCCGTAACTTACTGCTTCTCAGATCGAAAAATTGGTGGGATAGTTGATCACCCTGATCTTCGTCGAAAAATGGCTGGCAACTCTGAATAACGTTTGAAATACTGACTAATGATGACCTTACTGCTTGTTGGCGAGCCCGGATAAACGTGTCGTCCAGATACTTGAGACATGCAACACCTAGTTTCTGACCCGCTTCAGTTATGATGCTAGACTTCTCGTCGGCCTCGGAAGAAGGTCCAAAATCAGCATCTGGCCCATGGGATATGATCAGGTCTGTCAGAAAATCCTCAGTCTCCAGCCTAACCGGAGCCTCATAATAGGTCAATAAAGGCGGTGCCCACATGCCAACGTTGCGAAGCATTTGGTTGAGAAGGTAGTCTGGATGTAAATTGGACGCATCTGATGGAGATACCCGAGCTATCTCCTTGAAGAACCGTAAGAACTCCCTGCCTTCGGTGTGGTCGACATCTTTCGCACATTTCATGATCTGATCTAAGACATGAGGTGCCCTGTTGGAATCGGTGTTCTCACAATAGACGATGGCGGCCTTCAAGAAGGGACCTGCTAGAGAAGTGGCTGATACTCTTTTGATACCGGCATTGATCGCAGAGTAGATGCAAGGGTCCAGCTCATCATCATCCCAAGACATAAGAGTTGTGATGATCTCGTGGGTATGTATCGGATTTTGGTTGATGAGAAGAAGCTTCTCCACCAGAATGAGAACATTGCTTCTTGTCCAACGTTGACAAAATATATCGCGCTCCGTGATTGTTAGTGGTACTCGGCCCTCTTCCCCCATGAGTAGATCAAAACGCATTTCGTTGTCGTGCACCGGCTCAGATGAACGGTCACACGCATTCATAAGTCTCCAAAGCAGAGTGATGACTGCTTCGAAATTGACAGGCTTGGTGTGGAAGCGTTTGGACACAATATTTAGCATCCGCGAGAGCTGCGGGGTAAGCGCCAAATTAGTATCCGCACAAATCACCTCCAATACCTTTCGAAGATATGCTGCGTCTAGGAGGAGTACAGCTTCATGATTCCCCAACCCAGCGATACTGGCTAGAAGGCCAAAATACTCCGGCCAAGCGCGGCAATTGATATGAAATATGTCCCAAATCTTAACAAGACCTACGACGATTTTCTGGATAATGTGCGGATCGTCATTTTCAATATCGTCCACTCCAGTACTACCGTCGTCCCCACTAAGACCGTAGGCATACGGTAGATCCGATTTCACCTTTTGTAACGCTGAAAGGATTGATGTTGCAATTTCGTTCCTGACCATGGCGTCCGGATTCCGAAGTAACATATGACGAAGGGTATCTGGGTGGGTGCAATACCATTCTAGGTAGTCACGCGTACACTCCGCGCAGCTGAAGCACGCCTGTTTGATAAGCATCATGAAGTTAGGGAAATCCGGTAGGTCTTTCGTGCGCGTCACAACCTGGTCGAGATGATTTAAGGCCATGAATAGCGCCTTTCTCTCAAGGAGGTGTTGCTCAGAACACTGACCACCATTCAGCTTTCTGACGTGAAGCAGCATCCTGGTGACGAGCTGCAGATGAGACGGGTCGTATATACAATATTTACGCATCAGTAACTCATTTTCCAGGGCGATCTGATTGGATATCTCAGCAGGTACAGGTAAGCGAACAGGGCTTGAGGTTTTCGACGCGACAAGAGACTGCTGTTGAGAGGCGAGGACCGAGGATCTCTGGTAAAATAGCATATAAGCGCTGTATGACTTTTCATACGGAGTGCCGTCCGGGCGATAGTCAAAACCACCAAAGGTCGCATGCTCCATTGAATTTGGTTCCCACGAAGTCACAAGGTCATCGTTAAATTCGAGCCACGTCTCTTTCTCGCTCGTTGAGGGTCTCTCCCGAATGTACGAGTAGTAGTGACCAGACTCCGCAGTACCCGCATGTACCAGGACGCCAACTAGTTCAAAAACATCCTCCGAAACATCCTCGGGATTATCCATCAAGTATTCTACTTTGTATGGCCGCATATCGATTTTACTGGGGAATGAAAAATGGTCGTTGATCTTGCTACGTTGTAAGGTCCGCAAGTTGAAGTCAAAGCGCTTCAGGTGGAATATAAGGTTATCAGGAATGTCCTTTAAACACGCCCTAAAAGCTGGTCAGCAACAGAGCACGGAAAAGCACCATGTTTCAAATTTACCGTTTAACAGCATCTACATGGCGGTCACACGTTGAGCACTTGTATTTGTTGTCTAATTGCACCATTAGCATCAGTTGGAGTGGTTTTCTTGTAATTATGTCAACTCACCACCCTCCATAACCTCTCCATCTACATAGGCTTGTAGACTCTCCTGCAAACAAGTTTTCCCTTTGATGTCACACTGTATTGCGGAGAACTGCTCCAGACGTTCCGAAATATGAGGGCACTCCTTTGACTTTACCTGCTGCACCAATTGACCGCCATAAAAGGCACGGAAAGCCTTCTTGGCTTCAGGTGATAAAATTTGACCCTCCCATCTATCGAATAGAAGGTTATAAAATTCATCAACATCCATTTGGATATGGACATCAATAGGGGTCTCTTCATAGGTGCGGATTGAAGCAGCAAGGTTCTGGGGGTCTACATACCGCACCAGGCTATTCTGCATGTTCGAGAAGAGTAGTTGCGTTTCGTGCAGTAGCCTTTGAGAAGCTCCCTCATCAGCATTCTGCGCATGTATCATAAAGTTTCTGAATGGAATATTCATGAAAAGCTGCGTGAAAAGTGAATTGAGATAGCATGTGTTCGAAAGATTTTTCAAGCCCACGTAGCCGGTAGGTGAGCGAATGTGCTTTGCTCTATCCAAGAAAAAAATGAGCTCATAGCTATACGGTGCTTCAAGGTTGTGAGTAACTTTCCCGAACAGAGTGGCGGTCGCACTTACAATCTTCGAGCGTCCCATCATAAGGTACGAGGTCAAGTAAGCACTGAAGAGTCTTTTCATACCAGATAGGGTCATCCTTGACGAGCAGAAATATCGTTTCCGACATAGTATGTCGAGTGAATGGGTGCAAGAGCGGAATGCTAGGAGTGAAAGCTCGATCTTGATCATAGGGGATCGACAAATGGGTCTCTGGAAAGAGATGTCTCGTGAAAAGCTCGTAGCCAATTTTACTACATAAGATTGGTTTTCAAATCGCAGGTCATATGAAGGGAAAAGTTCTTACCTGCATGCCAGAGTCTTTTTAGATGCCTTGCCAAAAGAAGCAGCGCAGTAAAGAAGATTAATCAGACCCTGAACGACGGGGTCGAGGCTTTCGGGTTGTCCAATGACCTAAATTTCAAAGGTTATCAGGTGTTTGTGATTGAATGCACAAGCACGTACCTCTATGCACTTGTGTTGGATCAATAGAGCCCCCCAAGACTTCACAAACGCCTCGAGATCAAGAAAGTCTAGAGAGGTCTCCGCAAGTCTCTTCAGAAGCGTATGCGCTAACAGAAAGGCCTCTTCACATTGTCGTGGATAGCGAGTAGCTTTTGATACTAAGGACTCAACCATAGGCCAGAATTGAACAATAAAATCAGAAGTTGACACTTGAGCCATGCTAATTAACAAGTTAGTCTTGCTGGTACAACAATCCTACATTGACAGAAGGTGGCGGGGTGCTTACCTGGGACTGAAAGTACATTTACTGACGATTTGCTTAGCAACATGTTTTCTTACGACCGGACGACTATCGCGAAGAACCAAATCACCAAGGAGGGAGCTACTCTCCAGGTGAGAAGCAAAAGATACCCATAGTGGAGGCTTGTGCAATGAACATTCTAACAATGCCTCGAACGCGCTGCATGTTAGTTTCACCGAGCCTTCTGTAGAGGCACAAGACCTAGCGGTATCCAGGATACTCAACAGCCGTTGAAGTAGGGTTGCACTAAGGTGAGGGGCAACATTGGAGGGAACAATTGGTTCTAAACGCTTTCAGCATTATACACGTTGAGATTCGAGGTAAACTTTACCTTTGAGGAATTGTATCAGACAATCGATTAGATGAATAGCAAGCGACTCGTTCAATGGTGTTGTTGCACACCCAGCCAAGATTTCTTCGTCACAAATCGCGGCGACAAGAAGAGAAATAGCCCTAGATAAAGATGTCTCATTAACTCCCCCCTTGATCCCGTTAGCTCAAAACTCCTCCATTTGAACGTGTACTCACCCTCTTCGACTCTCCAGCGATATATTCTCGTAGTGCGTGGATAGCATAAAGACACCGGAACGGTTGTCCATGTGGGAAAATATCAGTATAGACTGTTTCTTGTGAATCAAAATCCTGAAGTAATCTCTCATAGACAGGAAACTTGATTAAGAATGTGTAAATCTAGCAACAAATCAGAAAGCGGACAAAATATTGACGGAGGTGTGTATATTACCTCTCGAGCGACTTTTTCTTGCATTCCAAGATAGCCCCAAAGTTCCTCAAAGTGCTTCATTATTTCCGTTTCAAGGGACGCTTCGGAACCGTTTGAGGGTATGATAGAACCGTCCTGGCGTCGAACTAGAACCAGGCTTGTGAGCCGTAGATCGTCAAGTGATTTTGAAAGCGCAGCTTCATCGGGTGTGAAAGGTTGGCCTGCCACATATATGCTGTAATTTTGAAATCCAGTAGCTTGTTCTAGGCTTGCCAGAAGAGCTGCTGTGGTATTCAACTTCCCTAGATGTAACTCCTTTACCTCCGTAGACACGTTGCCATCAAATGATTGATACTTCACCGTCAAAGGCTCGCCTTGAGCTACACTGGGCTTCCTGGCCACAAAAGGCCGTGGTTTTACCGCTGTAAAGTGAGGTTTCGTCTGATATGCTTTTAAAAATTCCCTCAGAACTGCCAGCGAGCGAGCGAATATTTGTTCCTGTTCGTTGAATTGAGATTCCGATGGCACTATCACCATGCCATCATCATCACCGTTAGATATACCATTACTGTATGCTTTGAGCTGAGATGCAGCTGTGGCCAACTGCTCTAAACACCGTTTAACAAGAGCAAGATGTATGCGTTTGGCATCTGCTCGTGACAATGATCTAATAAGCTGGCTCTCTAGATAAACCTCAACAAGAATGGAAATTGCCTTCGCGTCGATGGTAAACGGGGGTGCGCAGAGTATCATACGCCAGAGCTGCTCCAGTCCCGGAGAGTCGAAACAGAACTCGCCACCGGTGTGGTTTTCTTTTGCCGAAGCCAACCACGATGTGACTGCCGAGCGACAGAATTCAAGAGCACCCTCAGTGAAGCATTGAGGTGGTAGTTTCGGGAGATGCTCTTTGAAGCACGTGGTAATATAAGCATTCCCCGGATGAGTTTTATTTATCTTGTTTAAGATTCCCCAGGAATGAGCTCGTTCTACTTCGTTGGCCGACTCAATCCCCACAATCTGATTCCAAAGACGCTGGCCTAGATCCGGGGTTACAGTATCTGCCTGGAGATCGAGGATCATGTAGAGAAGCTTTCTGCGCGCAAGATTTATAGGGCTGTTCTGAAGGAGAGAAGATTGAATGTGGTTCTGCCGTTGCTCTATTTCTTCGACAACTAAGCGTGTAAGACCATGGTCATTTGTCAGCGAGTTTAAGTCACTTTTGTTCTGTTGAATGAGGGCGTGAAGGACACAAATACTCCCAGGCGCCGTAGGAGCATTCGACGACATGTCTTCAATGCAACCAGCGTAAATATTCTGTCGAGTTTTGACATCGATTCCGCTTTGTAACAATTCCAGAAATTTTGTGGCAGCAAAATTCTGTATATCCGGGTAGCCATTTGGGACTTGAGGAGTAATGACTGAGGATTCTCGAATAATTCGAACGCACAAAGTAAAGGGCGGGGCATCCAGGAAAGGAAGACTTAAAGGTTTTGCTTTTTCGATTAGCTGCTGAAAGACGCGAGCACAAAACTCCCGCATTGCTGGATTAAACGAGGCGAGAGGAAGCCCATTAGCCTTCTGGCAAAGGTAGAGAACAGCAGAGTAATCGTGTAAATTCAAGCATTGCTGTATCATCTTCAATATCGCCTCCACCACCCTAGGGTCCTGGCTTGTCGTGACGGTGTTCCAAATCCGATCGGTCAACTCAGAAGGATATGTCTTCGTGACAATCAAGAAGCCAAGTATGTTGTGGCTCTCGTTGATAATTTCAGGATGCGACCCGATACTAACAAGGTAGTCAATCAGCTTGTGGTGAAGAACGAAATTGGCAAGGAAAACGAGAGTAGGATTTTGCGATGGCTCCGTGTTTTTGCTTTGATTATACAATGTCAACAAATCAGCACACATTGTTGTAGCGCCGATTACGCGTAGTTGCATCTGGGTGGAGGTAATAAGGCTTTTGAGGATAGTGAATCGCCATTCATAAGCAAGTACCATTGGCATAGCCTTTCGAGAAATTTGAGGCTCTAGCTTAAGCCGTTTGTCAATCAACAGTCGAGTCGAGGAGTCCTCAAATGTCAACGCCTTTTGGAAGATGTCGGTCAGATTCGTGATGTGCACCAGGGCGATGTCCGGCGTGAGGCAGGTGACGTGCTTGTCGATGATATTCTCGAGGCCACTAGACATGACTTTGAAGTAGTCAAATCCTTCAGAAATGTGCTGCAGAGCAGCGTCAATAAAAGGTCGAAGCGGCGAGTTTTCGAGCAGAGATGCTTCATCCATCACGACCTTTCCTACTATGCGACTCGTTTCCATTAGGCTCTCAATAATTTTGGGTTGTCTCCCCAGCAGAGGAAGCTGTCCTCGGACAAGTCGAGTTAGTCTGGGTATTGCGCCACCCTCTTCTTGAAATCGTAGACTCATTTTGTGCACTTCATTCTCCCACACCCAGCTGTAATGTGCTTCAAGATTTCTCCCAATGTGCTGCTGCTCTTCTTTTCGGGTCAGGAGCCAGGATAGGATCTCCAATATTCGATAAGACCCAAGATCTGGATCTTGCTCAGTACCTGCTCTTTGTTTGTGGTAGGTAAGTGTCATAATATCCATCGCAACAAACCTTCCAGTTAGCATTGCCAATAGATGGAATAGTTCGGACAGCACACGGCGGCCTTGCTGGCTTCGCTGTAGAAAATTACCGAAAAATCGACTGTTGGAACACCTCGTATCAATATTTGCATTATAATTTGGTAGGAAGGGTCCTTGCCTGCGTGCGTTTAATCCCCAAAATATCTCTGGAAATGTCGTCCAAAACTCTCGATTACTGACAAAATGTTCGTATAATTTTCGAGAGCCATCGGCATAGCTCAACATCTTTTTCATCCAGTCACGCAGCTTGCAGAAGACAACATCGTCATTCACATCATCTGCGAGGGTCAGCTATAGCAGGATATGTAAAGTGCGGGTTCCCTACCATGTGAAAAGAACCGGGATATCTTTCGTACAGCTTCGACCGAGGTTTGGTTTTCTAGATAAGGAAAATCCGGCATAGGGTCCCTTGTTACCAGGTCTCCCTCGAGCACTGCCGGACTGATCTCCTCATATTCCGCATCATCCTCAGAGATTGACACCAACTCGACCGTAGGACTCCTTGTAGGAGAGGAAGGGGATGAAGAAGGAGTCCCAATAGGGGGGACGGTCGACAAAGCGTCGCTTTCTGACTCTACACTGACTCTCGTGCCGGTATCGTCGCCGCCATTGACCATTTTGGAGGGCGTTGAAGGCGAGACTGGCGACGAAGGAGCGTCTTCGAGGGTACGCTGGGTCCGCAGATTGATCGTTACTCTGCTCGATGTAGGCTCGGGCACAGGAAGGTCTGAAAGTGTTCGAGTGGGAGTGCGAGGCGGGGCAATGTCGAGCTCTCTTCTTGTGCTCTCGTTGTCTCGTGGAGGGGTAGACGGCGGCGCCGAGCCTGATTCACCGTTGGTTTCCGCAGATCTACTGCGCGAATCTCCACGGGAAACACGTTGGCGTTTGCGGGAAGAGCTGTCGTCTTGGTTGTAAGGGTAAGCTCGAGTTGAACAAGGCTCTGAGGAGACCGCACGTTCTCGCGACAGCTCGGAGGGTTCGTGGTCCATTTGGCAGGCACTCGATGGGGTGAATTAAATAAGGCGGATGGTTCTGGAGGGCGCAGGCCCATGCGCACAGGCTCGTCACTTTCTTATTCCCCAGCACAATTGCATGAGGAGTGGTGTTGCAGGTGGTAGTTGTCTGGATTGAGCATGAGCATAAGTGTGGTGAAGGACAAGGGTGTGGGAGGTCAACGGTTTAGGCGACGAAATGGGAGGTACAGCTCTGAGGTTCCGTCATCGATCGATAGGGAGCTGGAACTTGTGCTGCTGGAATAGTCTAGAGAAGGGGCAAAGAAACTCAGCAGACAGCTGAGGTGATGCGCAGAGGGAGGAAGAGTATCAAAGAACAAGAGGCGGAACTGACCACTCAGTCGGTATCTGGAAAAAAAAGATGGCATTCACTAACGGATGGAGGGGTGAAGTCGTGTTAGAGCTTATCGCACTACGTCGTACAGGCCTGGAACGCGTGCTTCGCATTTATGCCTCGCATGTGAGGCTCTAAGGCATCCCTGGTCATTCGAGCCAGTCGGGATATTGCTAGCTTCACGCCCGTCCAGGTCTCCTGCTACCAGCTCAGATTTTCCATATCTCTTAACGTTGTTCTACCGTTCTGCGTCCAACTTTATAACAGGTGCTTGGACTTTGCTTTTTCAATACACAATTCAGCCAGATTGACTTATTGTTAACTAAGTTTATCTTAGAATCTCAATTCCGATCACGCGGAATAAATACTCCATAGTTTTGCCTTCCACATTGGCTACCAAACAACGCGTTCTCGAGACGACTCATCGTTAGTAGGCGAAAAATATCCTCGAGTGGAAAAGCGTTAGAATTTGTTTATTCATCAGTGCATCTCGACGCAATGGACAAAAATTCTAGAATTACCTTCCAGCTTGACTCTCCATATAACCAAACGGCTTGGTTCGTTCATTTACTCCCGTTTTTCTAATGCTCCAACTGATATATTTCTTAGGCCTGAAGTTGCAGCCGGGGATCAAGACACAATCCTGGAATTGCTTTGCAGGTAAGAAGTCCCGCATACATGCTTTGATTTCCCAGTCACATCTGAGTTTGCAACAGCATTGTTTCTCCAGTTGGCCAATGGCGATCTAACTTCGTTCTTCCATCCAAGGGGAAACGCAGTCAGAAGCGGAAACGCAAGGACGCGAAATCTAAAGAAGCCAAGTCCGACGATTCGAAACCTCCAGCCCCGGAAATATCCTCTTTTCTAGAAATTGGATTGAATGTTGTTACCAGACGACTTGAAGAACAAATATCGAAATCTAAAGATGATGAGCTTCAAGGGAAGCCAAGCTCTGTTTTACAAAACAGTCTGTCACACGCAGAAGGGATTTCTCTCGCCGCAAAGAGAGCGATTAGTTCTGCGAAGCAAACGCACGTCGTGACCCCCTTTGTAGCGATCTTCGTCCTTCGTCCTTCTCAGCCTACGGTTCTGCATGCACATCTACCCCAATTGATAGCTGCTTCGTCCCTTTGCACCCCATCGCTCCCAACACCAAAACTTGTCCAACTTCCAAGCGGTTGCCAGTCGAGGCTGTGCGAAGCTCTCGGTCTAGCACGAGTAAATTTCATCGGCCTACGAGAAGGGGCACCAAATATCAGTCAGTTAGTTGACCTCATCCGGACTGCTGTTCCAGATATCAAAATACCGTGGCTAGACGAAGCCACAAAGGCGGCATATCTTCCCGTCAAGGTCAATGCGATTAAAACTACAGTTGGACCAACCAACAAAGCTTCACTAGCAACAGGCAAGGGAGCCAATCAACCATAGACTTAAAAAACCACCAAGTTGTCTATATCTCACGGTGTAACATTTCAGTACAGGCTCATATTTGAGTTGTCGTCCAAAGCGACAGTTGGTCGCTTAAGCTGCTATGATGTCGCATATTACGTCTGGTATCTAGACCGGAGTAGACTTCTTTAATTTATTTGCAGTCTGTCAAGCTCAGTGGACCCACCATTCTGACTAGGTACCTATCGTTGAGATGATGATTTACTTAGTGAGTCACTAGCGACTCCATCTCCACCTTAGCACGCTACGCTACCATAGACACATAGGGTAAGGTTTACAAACTCTTCATAACTGTCTAAAATATTCATACTATTTTAGCGACGAGAAAGATATACTGCGCACCCGGTATCTGTACGGACGATATGCTGTTGGATTTACCCCATCGTGATGATTAGATGGTGTGTGGTCATTTAAATCAGGCAGACATTGGAAATTTCCAGGATAAGGCACCATTACAGAAACCTGTCCGCAACCTGGGGGTCCAATAATCTCTTATTCTTTATTTGGGAAAGCTTGTTGAGTCGCACTTATAACATTCTAGCTAAATCATGTTTGAAAGACCGGCCTTTTCGAAGTGGCCATACAGAACGCCTAAAGCCCGCAAACCGAATAAAACTGTTAATCTAGTGCTGATGGGTCTATCTCGGTCGGTAGGAGTTGACATCGCCAAGCGAAATTACATCAGAAAGAAGCTATTAGTCCTGTGTGAGAAAAGAATTTATTTCCAAAAGTGAACTCGATTTGAATAATTGTTACGTATGATGCTGGGTGATCAGGTTCTTGTACGTATTACCCCTCCTCGAAGTGTAAATTGCCTTCTTTCCTTACAGTATTCACTTTCATCAATAAGAAAGTACTGACTGGAGTGAATCAGCTCGAACATAGTGACGAATGCGCAGCCCAAGCGTGTCACCACCCTTCCATAAATTAGTACAACGATATATCTGAAGCATCTGCTACTCCGTTTACTCTACAGCCTTTAGCTGGTGGTAAAATGGAGACCCACGGGATCCAAGTCACGGCCTCTACCATTGAACATTCGGACATTTCTATACCATTCACCCAATCTGTTGCTGTAGACAACAACATTAATGGCAACCCCGTTCAAAACAACACTCCTCCAGACTCCTCAAACGAAACACACACCGAGATCAATCCTCACCAACCATTAAATCAAATGTACACTTTCAAATCCTCTCCCACCACAGGCAGCTTAAGTGCTAGCTCTGTTCCAAAATCACTCGCCGTCTCCTCCACGAAACAACGCACCGCTCCAGAACCAAGAGCCTCAACTTTCTCACAGCAGGACAGCGAAGATACTGAACCTTTCAAACATCCCGCCAAACGTTCGAAACGCCAGAACAAGCCCAGAGATGACCAAGACATTGATTACCGCCACTTTTTAGGATCATCCTCGCCTTTACTATCAGCCATCCAAGGACCTCGTGCCGAACCACCATCAAATCAACCATCGGGAAGCGCTGCTATAAAATCAGCTAAGCAAGCAGCTGCTATGGAAAACGACTTCTACGACGCCTCGCAGGAGAGTTTGATATCTCCAATGAAGCCAAAAGGGCCCCGTCAACCTCCAACTCGGAGTCGGCGGAAAAGCTCTCGGTCTGATAGTTTCAACCGGGAATTGGCGAAGGCTCTGAATGGTCCTCGTCTGCTGTCCTCGTATACTATTGCTGTGTTTGATGCGTTGACGATTGATGGGGAGGATGAGGATGAGGATGAGGATGGAGATGGAACGGGGTATGAGGGGGATGGGGAGGACGAGGATAGTGATTGTGTTGGGGAGGAGTGTGGGAATGCTCAAGCTGAAATCTAGGGATGGGGTTTGTTGTGAGGAGTTTGCGAGGATCATGGTGCTGGGATATTATACCACTTACGCGGCCGAACGTTGTTTTATCTCTCCTTACATTTTGAATAATTAAGTGCTTGAAACAGCTCATCTATTCATGCCTGAATAAACCTCTTGAAGCTGTCAACGTCTGATCCTAGTCATCCAAGACGAGCCGAGCCTTAATCAATCTCCATTCATACTGGTTTTGTGATCATCTCTCGGCGACCTGTAGCCAAGCATTTCGGTGCCCATATTTCCATCTATGACACTTCAATGACGGAATTCGCTTGTATTGTCTCTCCCAAAACCATTTTTGACAATGAGGTAAATCCGAATGCTGGATAGCAAAATGAGTAAACAGACTTGGTCGGAAATTCCAACTAGAAAGGCCATTTGATAGATATCCTAAAGACGGATCTTTTATAAAATTCAGCTTACTATGGAAAATAAATTAGACTAAGGGACGGAGAGTAGATGGTAATCACTAAATTGATCTTTGTAAACGTAGAGTGATTTTGGATATCCAAATTTAGGTCGAATACTCAGAAGGGCGATGTGCCTGACGTCGTATACACTTCGGGGATAACGTATCGTCTTCCAAGTTGGGCTAAGTCCGAATTATCTATTAACTTAAAGACGAAGAGAGGTCGTCAAATCTCAATTAGGAGGTTTAATCTCGTACAGATCTCCATAAACATCTCATCCCTTTAGGGGTTTTTTTTTCCCCTAGAAATCCCATCCAGAAACCCCTCACCTCAAACTTATCTCCTAATCTTACAACCCACACCAACAACCACACGCACAACCCTAGCATAACATTCCAAGGGTCCACACCTTGATCCCCTATCAAACCTTAAATTAAAAGGCCTTCCCTTCACTGCTTGTAGCACTATATCTTGGAGGGTGTCGAATCAGCGAGGTGAATATGTAGGTAAGCGGACGCAAGATCGACGGTTTGTAAGCCAAGTACATAAATTACCCCTCCCCCAAGAGTTCTCTATATAAAATCATGCGTTCATGATTGCGAAATGATTTTTTTTGGGGGGGATATATGTGAGGGTTTTTGGGTTTTGTTAATGAGATTATATTGGTTTATGAACATAATTTTCCGTAAACAGGATTGAGTTGAGGGTCAGAAAATCGAGTCTCGCCAAACTACACGTTAATTCAAAATGGAGGCTCTTATACTCGACGTCCCAGCCAAAACGGCAACCGTCAAATCCATCCCAATCCCCTCGCCAGCTCCAAATGAGCTCCTCATCCGTGTCCACGCCATCGCCCTCAACCCCGTAGACGCTCTCTACACATTCCACCCTCTGGCCCTTCCCACGCAACAACGTACCGTAGGCAGCGACTTCGCCGGCACAGTTCACAAACTGGGCTCCTCCGTCTCATCCCCCCATCTCCAAGTCGGCACCCGCGTCGCTGGCTTCCTGCAAGGCGCATGTTCCGTCAACGACCGACCCGGCGCCTTCGCCGAGTACCTCGTCGTCCCACACGACCTCGTCTGGCGGGTGCCAGACAGCATGACTCTAGAGAGTGCGGCGAGCGTGAGTTTATGCGCGCTCACAGCCGCGCAGGGGCTGTTTCCTAGATTGGCGATACGCGCCCCCTTTCCGTGGAACGATGAAGTGTATAGACCGAATGGACTGCACGAGTCGTTGCGCGTGTTCATCTACGGGGCTTCCACCTCTTTGGGCCAATACGCTGCGCAACTCGTTCGTCTGGCCGCGAAATCAAGTGATAGACCCGCCGTGCTTTTCGCGGCAGCGAGTCCAGGCCGCCATGCGATGTTGAGGGCGCCGCCGTATAGCTATGATGGGCTGGTGGATTATCGGGATGAGGAGTGGCCGGGGAAGTTTTTGGAGGAGCAGAGACAGGCGAGAGTCGATTATGGGGTGGATTGTATTTCGGAGGGGGAGTCGGTGAAGAGGGTTTCGAAGGTCGTTAATCCTACTGGGGGTATGGCTGTGTTTCGGTCGAGAGCTGGGAAGGCTTGGACGGCGGAGGAGGGGGAGCTGCCTTTTGAGCCGATTTATGGCGCTGTTTGGGAGGGGTTGGGGGTGGAGATCGAATATTATGGTGAGTTTGTTGTTTTCGAAATCTGGTTCCATTAGCTGACTTGGTAGGCTTTACTGTACCGGCTTCAGCAAAAGCTCGTGAGTTTACAGTGGCTTTCTACTCTTTCCTGTCCAATATGGCCGGGACTGGTCTGGAGTTGCAACCTAACAGCATCCGACTGATGCCAGGAGGTCTGAAGAATGTTGTAAATGATGGATTTGCCCTCCTTGGGCCTGGTACCATGGGTGATAGGAGTAATGCTAGGACTGAAGATTATATGAAGCCAATCAGTGCTGAGAAGTTGGTGTATAAATTAGTTGACGAATGAATTCGAGTTGTTGATGAATGAAAGGACATAAAATGATGTTGAGCACTTGAGTTTTCCACACTGAAAAGAAACGTGGTGACCTAGAACAGACAAATTCAGAGAGTCATAAAAGACTTACCACTTAACAACCACCAATATGCGAACCGCAAGAAGCTCTAAGTGCTTGATTTGTGCCGTTTTCATTATAACAGTCTTAGCCCCACGTCTATCGTACAATTATGTCGACGTCTCTCCTGGTACAAAACTCCTCACCCAAAGCTTGAAATTCATCCTTATGCCAAAATCATGCTCACACCAGTGTACGCAGCCAGTCCTACGAGTCCAGCCTGGCATAACCAGAACCAGATACCACGGTATCGACCCTTCCCACCCTCACCTCCTTTGTTGTAACCCGTCATGTAGAGATATCTGGCCACTGTCCATGCACCTCCCAAAGCACCCGCCGTTTTTGGGAATCCGATACCTGCTAGCATCAATGCGCCGAGCATGGATACCTGATTCTCGATGAAGTTGGAATGCGCGCGCTGAGCGCAGTTGAAGAGGTGTGCTTCATTGTCTGTTCGTGACTCTGGGGCGTAGGCTTTTGGGTAGGCTACCTTGGCGAGCTTGCGGTATTTTCCTACATTGCCAATGTGGACAAAATGCATGATGAAGGTTGTAGAGGCGGCGAGGATGACATAGCTAGGAATGCATTAGTTTAATCCAAGGGGATATTTGGGCTGGAATTGAGGTTTGCTCACCCATAGTCTGGACTGATGGTAAAGGTCGACATGTTTGCGTGGTTTAGTAGAAGTTTTGGAGGTTGATGGTTGAAGGATTAGAGGATTTTTTGAGGAAAAGCCGAGATTGAGAAAGGAGATGTTGACACCACTAGATAGTCAAATTTCGAAAACGGCAGCTGGGCATGGAAGAGAAGACACTTGTTTCTTCCCACGACGCATTGCTTCTTGCCTACAAAATCAAACTGGGCCTGGTGGATGTCTCCGTATCAAGCCGAGCACCGTGTCCCGCAACGAAGGGTTGCCCCGAAGCCGCGTCGCAGAACGCCATGGGCTTGACGACGTGTTCTTGATGCCTCTTTTTTCATTCTGTGCGACGACGAGGTGCCGAGGCTTGGTGCGTGAGCATCTCGCCTGGAATGAAGATATACTCCGAAACTCCTGAAGAATGCGGTCGCCGATGAAATCTCCAGCCAGAACTGTTGTTGGAACCCACATATGCCAGTAAGCACTTGCAGACCCCGGCCGCTTACCTGGGATTCTGGGACCCAACTCCATCCGCGGATTGTGCTGATGTTCTCACGGCGAGGACTCGCATTCGAGATGATGGACGTCCGCATACTTATGTAGTCGACAAGTGCTGTGCCTTTGCAGCCGAGGAAGCCGACCGAATCTTCGGTATTTCACGATAGCCGCTGAAGTCAATAGCTCATACTTGGTGGAAGCACGCAATAACCAGGTTTCAAGTTGGTCAGACGGTCGAATTTTACACCTTTGGGTGTTGATACTTCGCGAATAGTTTTTTGCTAAAGCCGGGTTCTTGTCTCATCATGTTCTATCAACTCATCGCACCTTTCAGAATTATTTCGTGTAACCTATCTCTCAGAAGAACTTGCATGCGCTGTTTGTTGTCCCTTGGCCAAGCTTTTACACCATGCGTCTATTCGGAGCATGTGCAACGAGTAGAAGCTGAGAATGTCCAGGCATCAGCTGAACCCTCAGCTCAAGATGTCGTACATTTTCCAAAAGTTTCCTTTCATTCTTTTGAACATGTCACTCTACGAAAATACTCGCAGCCAGTATCGCCTGTCTACAAGTGGCCATGGTTTGGGGGATCAACTTCGAACGACTGCTCACTGCTCAAAGCAGAGCTGAAAACTATTTCATCAATACTCCCTATTTCTCCCATTTCGTAGAGCTTTGTGTGCTCTCCTACCCTTCCCCACTGGAAGAGTCGGCACCGGCGGTTACCAAAATCTTTCTATTCCTCATTGCTGGATTTTTCGAGTATCTGGCCGCTGCCACCGTCGCCGATATCACGGATATCTATTTCAAGCTCTGTGGGGATTGGTTGAACATCGGACCAAAACGCCCCGGCAATGCCTTGTTTGAAGACAATGATGTTGGATATGAGAGAATAATCTTTAGTCTGTTTGCGTTGCGATTTGCGACTCGAGCGAGGGCGTTCTTCAGACAGCCACTAAGGAGGGGTGGCAGAGTACGACTCCACGATGTTGTCATTTCAAGCTTCTGGTTTAATCCGGCCCTCATCTTCCATGTCGTTCTCAGAGCGTTGTCATATTGCTTCGCTTTCATACCGTTGCGATTCGGTCCACTCTATCTGTTCTGGTGCCTCTTTGCACCGTCGAGCGAGATCCCTACTCTCGGCTTGGCTACTTGGTTGCGGACTGAAGATGGTAGAGAAAAGATAGCAAAAGTAACGAAAGGCGATTTCAGTTTTTGGTATATAACCAAATGCACAATTTCTACCATATTTCTAGAGAAAGTTGTGACCAATCTCCCGTTCGTCACGATACATATTACACTTTTCGCTCAGGGATTGGTCTTTTACTCAGCGACATGGCCAAAGACAAGATCTGCGTTGGGCGAGAAAGCTGAGAGAATTCTCAAGCAGCTTCCTGAACCGTTGCTTCAACAATTCGAGAGTGCGTACATGGCCGTCGAATGGTTATTATTTCTGTTAGCCAATGCTATTCGGCGATGTGCGTTGACGATTTTGAGGATTTTGTCGACATCAATTACTCTTTTCGCGTCAACGTGTATGAGCCAGAGAAAGAAATATCAAAGCCGGAAAATGGATGAGACGTTAGAATCCTCTGACAAGATTCGACTGCTCAGAGTATTGCCAGCACTCTCCACTAAAGAACCCATAATATGCGAGCTTCAATGGCATGCTGTGGCAAACCCTCCAAAATACAGAGCAATATCATACTCCTGGGGAAATCCTGCTTTCGTGTACGAGATCTCTGTGGATGAAAAGCCTGTAAAGATAACAAGATCGGCTCAAGACGTCTTGCAGAACATACGATCGTCATGGAAAACGGAAGCTGTATGGATTGACGCCATCTGCATAGATCAGTCTAGTAACGAGGACAAGGCTCAGCAAATCCCTCTCATGCCTTTGATATACCAAAATGCCGCAGAGGTGATCGTCTGGCTAGGACCATCCAAACGAGCGGTACTAGCTACGGAGCTCGTCAATCGAGTCTTCCTAGCGAATCGACTGAGTTCAAGCTCACAAACGCGGTTTACATATCAGATACCTAAGGAAGCTGCCAGAGCGCTGAAAATCATGTTATCGAAGCAGTGGTTTGAAAGATGTTGGGTTGTCCAAGAGGTTGTTGCGGCCAAGAAAACGCGAGTCACTGTTCGTTATGGCAATGAATCGCTAAGCTGGCAGAGATTAAGTTGGTTCACAGATACTATTTCCAGAGACCCTGCGCTTCTCAGTATGCTATCAGAAAGGATTGGCTACTCTGGCTTGGAGCAAGCAACTGCTTTGCGCAACGCAAACGTCGTTCGACGATTTTCATTTCTGCGGTCAGAAAAGGAACCTCTTTCGTTGGTCTTTTACCTCATTCAAATGTTCCGTTTGAGATCTCGCTTCAAAGCAACAGAAGTCAAGGATCGAATTTACGCTCTTCAGGGACTATCAGGCGCAAAACCAAGTCTTGTACCACAGTACGAGAAATCGCTCCGCGATATTTTTATAGATGTCGCTAGAAATGCAGCAACGACATCTCCTCCTCAAAATCAACTAGATTTCCTTCCTCACGCAGGTCTTGCATTCAACTCAAAGATCCCGAATCTCCCCAGCTGGACACCAGACTGGTCACTCGACCCACCGACTCTCCCCCTATTAGGCTGTGAAGGCGCACCAGAACTTCTCGCAAGTCCTCAACTCACAAAGATCCTTGACGACATAGCAGATCTCGAAAGCTTCAACTCCACGGCCCCCATCCCAGGAGAAAAACCACCCAAGGTCATCGCTCTCGAAAAGGCAATCAATAACAAAGACCAATTGAGCCTTATGCTCCCCAACGCCACTCTCAACACCATCCCCAAGATCACATTCCTAGAAAACGACATCCTCCTCCTCCACGGCCGAATCCTAGGTCCCATCACCGCGGTCGGAACCATCTTCCCCCGCTACACCCCAGAAACATGGATCCTAACCCTCCACCGTCTCGCCGACTGGTCCGCCCTCGCGCGCACCCACTACACACCTTCCTCCCCCGCCGCACAAACCGCCATCTGGCAAACCTTCCTCACGCTCCTCATCCAAAACCGCAGCTCCACCGTCCCGCTAGATTTCACATTCACCAATCCCTTCACGTCCCCAGATCCGGCTATGCTCGCCCCCTTCGCGCAGTTCCAGCTCGATGTCATCTTAGCCGCCGGCGTCAAGGCGTCGAACGAGGAGGCTGACAAGGCGTTCCGCGCGTTCTGTGAGGTTGCGAGTATGGGGTGTACCGGGCGGTGTTTTGCGGTTGTTGGGGCGTGTGTGATGGGGTTGGTTGGGGAGGGTGTGAGGGTTGGGGATTTGGTTGTGGTGGTGGATGGGTGTCGGGTTCCGCTTGTGTTGAGATGGGTGGCGGATGGGTTGTGGGAGTTGGTGGGACCGGCGTATGTTCAGGGGTTTATGGGTGGTGAGGGGATGGGAGGGGGGTTTGTGGAGATGGATTTTAGGGTGCGCTGATGAGGATTTGAGGGAGTGGTATGTTGAGATGGCGATGTTTGTTCGTAGGCTCTTGTTCTAAATTCACACTTAGCTTGAAGTGTTTCAGCGAATGAGTTCGAAGTCGAGAAAGTGATTTCTTGTATCTTGCTCAGGATGAGGTTTCTATATAGCACTAGTGTATTGCAGAATGGGACACCCCAAAGTACAGTGATTAGAAACAAGTTTCTAACCCGCCTTTCTTAACAGACTTATTTAATATTTTTGTTAGAGACAATATCATATATATATACTCCAATCAACCAAGTAAATATCCCCGTAGACAGCTAATATTACCGTGTATACCACGCCTTATAGGTCTGAATATCGAATTAGTTTTCCCCAACCTAATACACATAACTCATCGCCTATACATAAGCCTAGAAGCATATACGTAACATACACCTCTTCTTAGCTATCGGAGGAAATAGAAACTAATATAAACAGCAAAAAGGGTATCATTCTATCTACTAACACATCTATATTACCAACCATACCGACTACTAGCTTCCTTCCGATTATTCTTCCCAGCCTGAAAGCTCTCCTCCAACGCATCCTTCTGTGTCTGCGCAGCATTGACCAACTGTTTCAAACTGTGTTTCCCCGGCGCAATCGCCCTTACAGGGTTATGCTTAACCTGTTCCCCAGCCGCTCTCAGCTCCTCGTTATGCAGATATTCTTGGTCGGTGTTGAAGTTTATTACTTTGGTCGCGGCGAACTGGGAGCGCTGCCCGCCTTTTTGACGACCGAATAGTTGCCGTCGTTCTGCGGCGCTGAGATGCAGGTCTCCTGCTATGTCGTCGAGGGATTGGGAGACGGGTGGGGTAGGCGCGAAGGGGAGGGTTTGGGAGGTGGTGGGTGTGTATTCTTCGACGCTGTAGGGGTCGTCGGGTGAGGATTGCGAGAATGAGTTGGATGGTGTTTGGTTTTCTAGAATGATTGGCTCGTATTCGCCTTGTGATGGTGTGACTGCTGGAGTCGAAGTCTCCTGGGACATTGAGAAGAGTGAGACTTTTGCTCGTGGTGCCTTTTCGGCGGGTGTCTGAGGAGGTGATGGAGCTGGTGGGGGTATTGAAGATGCCATGAGAGAGGCTGCTGTCTTCTTCTTCGGTTTCCGGGCGACTGATAAAGGTCTGAACATTAATGGTTTGCCAACCAATTTTACTTCTTCTGCTGGCGTCTGGTCCACGGGTTGGGCAGCTTTCGGCGCTGGCATGCCCATCCCACCACTGCTAATATTCTCTGCTGTTTCTTCATAACCTCCATTATAATCTGATGATTCTGATTGCCTGCTGAAGCCCGGTGCAGCGCCCGTTTTCAGGTTTACCCCAGTTCCAAGGCCACTCTTGGTCGAAGTATTACCAGCACCGTTTGCGCCTTGTCCGGTTTTCTTAGGCGCAGGCAGGAATGAATTGAACCCGCTGAATGCCCCTCCACCACTGGTTTTTGCTCTTTTCGTAGGCGGTTCATCGTTTGAATTGTCGTGCTTCAGTGATGCCTGTGGCAAAGATACTTTTATTTTCCCCGGATTTGATCGGTCGACGACTTTCTGGAAAGCGGGTTTCGCAGACGTCGAAGCTGGTTTGGAGACTTTAGCTTCCTCTACATCTGATGCGTCGGAGTCGGAGTAGTCGACGAGGCCCATCGTGCTTGATAAATTCCGAGTGTTGGTGTGTGTGTTTTTGTTTGTGATTGTCCTCGAATCTTCGTCGTCCGAACTATGTCGATGCCAAGCGGCGCAGCGCCTTCGATGACAACCTCGGGACGCGCTAAAGACAACCTCCAAAGTTCCAGCGAGATACAGGGCTGAGTCCTGTCCCACCAGCACACCAAACCAATCAACTTTCTCTATTGCACACTTCTATCATTTGGATCTATGGCGCTCGGTGTCTATAGGTCTATGATATCCAGTACCACCTGAGCGCGCAATATGTCTGTTATGCAAGTGGAAGAGTACGTGATGGACCCCGCGAAGGCATGAACTGAGGAGGGTTGCTTATACTCTCATAGTCTGGTATCATACCAATTACGAACTAATTATCTGAACACAATCGCAGATGGCGTAGGAGAACGATTGATTACGATTAACGATGCTTTTATGAATACTTCGGGTTTCAAAGCTGCTGGCTGGCGACAAAATGGCGCAAACATTAAACGGACATATTCCCCTCCCATACCTACCGCGATAGCTTCGGAATATTTCCAAGCCCCCCCGAGGTCAGCTGGTCTGGCAGGAAATGACGATGAGATTGAAGAAGGAGGTATGGTGACTGGCGGCGGTGCTGGAGACACAGTTGGACCAGGCATAGCAACAAAACGAAGACGTCGGCGGGAGCAGATGGAGGAAGAGGACAGCAGCGATTTGAGCGACGATAGCGATGAGGATGGCGATCAAAGGGCTGCGCAGCAGATCAAATTCTCCAAGATGCCAATACGAAATCGATCTGGCTCTTCACCAATCCGAGGTTCTAACTTGAGACAAACGTCTACTATCTCATCACCGCCGAGGACAGGGCCGGAACAAGGAAGAAGGGGATCGCAGTCAGCAGTGGACGCTGTCAAGGAACGAGCAAGGCGCGATACAGTTACCAGTAGTGAGATGTCCTCAGAAAACGAGTTCGATGCTTCCGCATTCAAGCGAACGAGAGACGCTGCTAGAAATGCTGCCAAAGCTAGTAGAGCCCTTCATAGTCAAACCTCGGATCCAAATGTCGGTGTCAGACGGCAGCAAAGTGATCTCTTGGAAGAGGAAGAGGAAGAGGAAGACTCAGATGCGTCAGACATGGACTCTGAGTTCGAGGGTAGTATTGATTCAACCTCCATGTTAGACAAGGTTCCTGGCGCAATTGTATCTTCGCCTGGTGGTCCTATTATTGGGACAATGCCAAAAGATATGACGCGCTCACCAACCAAGAAGTCGAAACCTCCACCACTGCCACAAACCCTTCAAGCTTTACCGCCTCCACGGCCAATTAGCATGATTCAGCCAAAAAGTCTGCTGACTGCTGCTATAAAGGCCAGACAAACAAAAGCCGCTTCTCCATTTGAATCATTTGCCTCACTCTCAGGACAGGGAGATCCTAATCCTCTATCTCTAAGAATCTGGGCTCCGTTTGCGACCTCGACGACGAAACCTTTTGAGGTCCTCATCCGCAGAAGTGTTCACGTGAATGAGGCAAATGACCGTCAAGTAGCCGTCGCTGATCTCATCGGACTGAGTCTCTGGAGATATGCAGAAGAAAAGATTGAGCCAGTGATCCCAGCAGATAAACTCAATGTTAACTGGTGGACTTTGCGAATGGTAGAGGACGAGGAAGTCGATTATGACTTTCCAGCTCTGGAACGGACGAAAGCTCTCGTATCTTTCACCACAGCCAACAACCGCGCGGTAAGGGCAAGGTCAAACACGAAGCCGTATGATGAATTTGCTCTCGTGCAGGCCACAGAGGAGCAATTCCAGCAAAATCAAGCGTTGACTCCTCAGTTCAAGCAAGAGGCTGCTACGGCAACGACCTCTGCCATTGAAGATGATCTCGCACCAAAACCCACTCCGACACCCATACCATCAACACTCCATGGCACACCTCGTCAACCTCCACTACTGGCTAGCATGAGCGGTATTCGACAAAACAGTACCTTAGCAGACGCACCCGCCATTGGCGCGCCGCTGCAGCCTGCTAGGACATCGGTCCAGAAGCTCTTGAGGATCCACATTCATTCGGCAGACGCTGCCCCAGGCCAAATGATAACTCTGGATGTTACGGCAGATACATATCTTGCTGATGTTTTAGATACTGTCTGTAAGAGGAGACAGCTTGACAAGGCAAATCACGTATTGAAATTGACTGGATCTGGAACTGTTGTTTTGCTGGATCGAAAGGTCGAATCTATTGGCAACCGAGAGGACCTAGATCTGCACCGTCGAAAGTTCGCGACTGATGGTCCCTTGACCATGTCTGGATCCCCAAGTAGTAACAACTCGCCCAAAACCTCGTTGATGATTGACAGGCCAGACTTTCGCAAATTCAAAAGAGGACAGATGCTTGGAACGCACCCACTTGCTCAAGAAGCAATTAAGCAGGATGAGCTCGGCAACTCTAACTACAGGAAATATACGGTTTGGAGGAAGCAGCCGATGCGGTTTGTGGGAATGAATGAAAGAGTGCTTGCTATTGATGGCGAGTACCTACACATCATGCCAGCATCTACCGGGAAGACCATGTTCGAAGGTCAGGGGAAAACTACCACGGTACATTTCAGCAACGTCGTGGGCTGTAAAGTCACCCGGAGACACCCAACCAATTTCAAGGTACGCTAGAACAAGAAGCATTTGCTTATCCAAAACTAACCAGATAGGTCGTCGTTTACAAATCTACCGAAACCAAAAGATACGACTTCGAGGCCAAGAGCGCCGACGAAGCTGCCGAAATCGTCTTTGAGATCAAAAAAGGAATTTCACCATATCATAGCGTGTAGACTTGTGTTTCTGTATTCGAAAACGGTTCTTGTCAGAACGAGGGTCTGCTGCAAGCGGCTGCCAGTCCTGGATTTCCAGGGATGTCGGAGGGTTGAAAATCGGGACCTGCAGAAAGCTAGCTGGGGCGCAGGGCAGCCCTTTTTCTAAAGTTCCACCTACGAATGCGGCCACCGGCTATCTCGAGCCGTGTCTATTGGGGAAACAGACACCGGCCCGGCCACGTGACGCAAGACGCAAGACGATTCTAGTGTTTTTGTACGTATGAATGGAGTGCAAGTGCCTCAAGTGCATCCTCGCCATCAGCTTAGCTTACCACCGTACGAAAGGAAAGGTAGAAGTACCAGAGTGGTTGCTCCCCCAGCTATATATGAAAATTCGCTCAGCGAAATAAGCCTCAATTGCAGACGCTGCTTACTCTGCTTACTCTGCAGTACAGAGTTATTCTCATGTTTCTATCTGATTGTCGGACGTGGCGTTCCCTGGTTAAGTCTGCTCTGCCCTTGATGACGATGTGTACCAAGGATCTTGCAGATCAAGCAGTTGGCGGAGTAGCGAGACGCCTCTGGACTGCTCGACCCTGCGAGGGCTTTGCCAAGACTGGGGAGGTCGGCAATACGGGATCTTCACGTGACTGCCACGAATTCGACGTCTTTCTGTCGCCTCTAGCTTCTCTTCCTCCTCGCTTTCGACCGAATTCGATGCTGCTACTGCAATGGTCGTACGCCACTCGGATAATAGCATATGTGCTTCCAGTCAGCAGTAAGGACATCCGTTTGTTTGTTTATCTCATGATTGTGCCTGGGTGTGAAGGAGCGGAGAAATGAAGCTCGTTGCATGATCTTGACATCTCCTGGATTCATCCGTTTGCCATCTGCGAAATAGAATGCCAATTCCCGACAGTCCACTCAACATTCCCCCAGAGATGCTGAGCTTTCTCGCCAAGTGAAGCTGAAGACAGAGCCACGCAACGTTCGATTAGGCTTCTTACATCATCCATCAGTCTGAAGCCGAGACCAGCTCCACCTGGCACCTGGCACCTGGCAGCTAGGAACTGTTTCTCAACCATTATTATTCGGTTCGCAGGTCTTGTCGGCATCCAATTACGTGCCGATACGAACCCTCTCCGCTCGATTGGGTTCCTTCACTTCCAACTACAAAGTATATCATTGAATCTGTGCAACACCGTTCAACCGTTCAACCGTTTGGTTTAATAATGTCAAGGGGCAACCACTTCTCCACAGCATTTTCAGAAAGTGTCGACTGCAAAGCTAACCGGGCTTTCAAATGTCTCAAACCTGGGAAGCTACCTGCCAGTTCACGGGTGCAGCTAAATCGGGCGAAACATCTGTGTGTCCAGTCGTCAACCCCGCCAAGTCTCCATGCCAACTTTGTTTATGATGCCGTGCAATTGGTCAATCGTCCTCTGTGTTGTCTAAATACTTCATCCAACCCTGAATAAACCACAGTGGAGAATCCGTGCATTATACTCGGCTTTACCTTTTATAGTAACGATAAGTCAAATCCTCTACTTACTATTGGCCACAGAGCCCTTGTTTACCGTAACTTCTAGAAGACCCACTGTGGTTTATTCGGGGGTATACCAAGTAAGAGCAAGTCGTACGCAGTGGCGCCCGAAGTCCCGTGCGGCTCCACATTACGTCTTAGTATAGTGGCTTGGAACTGGACCGGACTGCTTTGTATCACAGATCCAAGCTAACTAATGAAACCTCCACCTCGAATCTTATGCCAATCCAGTCTTAGTGACGTACTTTGGGTCGGCGAATCCGCATCAACGCATTTTGCATAGCGCCATTTGTGATGAGATATAAGTACTTTGGTTCTTCTTTCCTCTCTCAACATATTCCACAAAACCTCTCCTTCTACAAACTAAAAGCTGAATACTTCACCTTGATCCATCTCAAACATCATTCAATCTATTCTCACATAACAACTCACCGTCAATATGCAATTCAAGAACGCCGTCGTTTTGGCTCTGGCCACTGCCTCTTCTGTATGTATTGCAACTCTTTATCATCCATAACTGCATTCTAATAACTCATCTAGGCTCAAATCCTCTCTTCCATCACCTCGCTCGGCGGAGACGTCACCTCAATTGCCGGAGGCGTTGGTTCCACCGTTACCAGCGCAGTTGCCGGGGATTCGACAGATAGTGCCAGCTCCACCGCTTCCAGCGACAGCTCTTCCGCCAGCAGCTCAGCCTCATCTCTGTCTTCATCGATCTCCTCAGCTTCCTCATCCATCTCATCATCTCTCGCTTCCGATGCCTCAAGCGCTTCCACCAACACCGACACCTCAGCTGGTGCCAGTGCCTCATCTTCAATCTCCTCCCGATCATCTTCAGCTTCAAGCTCTCTGAGCAGCGCCGCCAGCGGAGGATCATCATCATCCAGCGCTAGCCGAACTACCTCCCTCGTCGTTACATCCGTCACCCGTACTACCACTGATGCTGCCGGCGCCACTGTCACATCTGTCGAGGCCTCTACCAGCACATCTACTGGTGGTGGTGCTATCCAGACCGGTGCTATGGGTGCCGCAGCTCTTTTCGGTGTTGCTGCTGCCGTTGCTGCCATGTAAATTGGGGTTTAGAGTACTGGCGGAGGAAGATAATATGAGATCACGAGCGGTAATGAGGAGTTGCTTTGCTTGTAAATAGCTTCATCAATATACCATTCTTTACTTCACTTCACATCTTCCGAGCGTAATCATCACAACTCATTTACATGTGCTGTTTAACTTAGTTATAAGACTTAACAACCATATAGGGAGTGACATAAACAGTACTTTTAAGCTTGTATCCCAAAAAAAAAAAGGTGGTCTGTTCAATGGCTGGTCCTCTACGAGACATACGAGGGAGATCATCTTCTTGTTTGCTTCCTGCACGTTTCCTTGCTCAATTAATTAATCTCCGGATCAACTACGTCTAGAATACGATGTACGAAAACGACGTTTCTTGTAGTTAAAGTGCCGTCGACCCTTCCTAAAGCGGCGACATGCTCGGGAATATCGGCCATTCGTTAGCAGCGGATCCACTTTTCTCTTCCTTCAAACAGAAGACCACGATGCGGATTTGCCTTTTGTGACTTCTCGATCCGTTTACATGTGGATTCGCATTATTAGCGATATCTTTGCTTATTGCGCTCGTTATTACTTGTGTACTCATTTTTAACTTCAATCGTTGATTATTACGGCGATTTGGGAAGGCAGTCGTAAATAAAAGGGGCGAGTCTCGGAGATATTTCATCACGTGTTTGGTGTGTATAGGTAGTTTGAGTTGAAATGAATCCCATGCTTAAGATGTACTAACAGTTTAAATAGGTAGGTATGATGAGCTCTTGTGTCTATACCATTTCACCTTGCTAGGAGCGGATCTGATGTACTGCCACATAGACCCGAGTTCTGTCTATTCGCCATTCGCAAACATATTGCCTTAACACTCTCCTTTAACGTAAATTGTATATACAGCAATATCTTGTAATTATATCATGCCGTCCTCTCAACATCGACGGCGAAAATCTAGTACAACCAATCTTGGAGATCTTCCCAGTTTTCTGGAGAATTCGCCATTCTTCATACCTTTCTCTAATGAGGAATCTCCAGCTCAATCAGTGCCAAAACCGACGTTCTCGCAGTTAGTACGGTCGAAGAATGCTCAAGCGCTGCTAGCTTTCCTAGTTGGAGTGTTTTTGTTCTGGTATTTGATGCCTAGAAAGGGAGATATATCTTATGAAGCTCTAGGGCGATGGGGGCTGTTACACGGGGGAGGTGCACAATGTTTATATGATCCAAAAGCACTTGTTGCTGTCCCTAATATTACGGATCTGGGTACGAAGGAATATGAAGGGTTAGATTGGGAGAAATTAGCATATGTTACTTACGTTACACATAAAGACGTATTGTGTAACTCGGTTATGCTTTTTGAGAGTCTAGATAGACTCGGGAGTAGGGCTAAAAGAGTTATGTTGATACCTGATACTGAGGAGTTCAGGACGGAGGATTACAGTAGTAGAAGTGCCCAGGAAGACGCTACCGTAAAGAGACTGCTGAAATTAGCAGAGTCAAAATACGGTGTCAAACTGGTTCGCATGAGGATCATTCGAAAACAGTTAGGTTTTCGTACGTCCCCTCCGCTCCAATTTCACCCACCCTCCTAATAACATCCCAGAAATGTGGGCAGCGTCCTACTCCAAACTCCACACCTTCTCCATGGCCGAATACACCCGCATCATCATCCTCGACTCCGACGCAACCCTCCTCGCGCCCCTCGACGAACTCTTCCTCCTCCCTCCCTCCACCGCAACCATGCCCCGCGCCTACTGGCTCGACAAACCTACCCTCGCATCCCATATCATGGTCATCACGCCCTCCGCCGCTGAGTTCGCGCGCGTCCAGAAAGAAATCGATAAAGCTGGCCTCGGCGTGTATGACATGGAAATCGTAAACGCGTTGTACGGCGCCACGTGCAACGTCCTACCACACAAACCATACGCTTTACTAACCGGGGAATTCCGTCGCGCGAAGGATAAACACACGGCTTACCTGTCGCCTGGCGAGGTCTGGGATGCGAATCAAGTGAAGAAGGAGGCGAGGTTGGTCCATTTCAGCGATTACCCGATGCCGAAACCGTGGGAGGGGATTAGTCAGAATGATGTCAAGGCGAGCAGACCGGCTTGTGTGAAGACTGAGGGGGGAGAGGATTGTAGTGATCGGGATGTGTGGAGGGGGTTTTATCGCGAGTTTAGGGAGAGGAGGATGGAGGTTTGTGGGCTGGAGAGTATGGCTTGGTGGGGGAGTAATCCGAATTATTGAGCGGTTGGACGGATGGGGGAGAGTGAGCGAGGGAGGGGTTTGGATGTGATGGGGTTGAGTTTATGTTTCGAGTTAGTACTGCGGATTTATCCAATTTTGGTAGGCTAACGAATTCTAGATAGCGCTTTTATCTTTTTTGGTATTTATACTTCACAGGACAATGAGCATCCAAAGCAAAATCCGTCAAGTGACATAGCGACAGGAGCGACTTTTGTTTCATCCACATTATCTAGTCGTCTATATTTATGCGGAAGGAGCCGTAGGACGATTGACGAAGCGAAAAGCCACCAACTGTGGACTTCAACATCGAGGATCATTAACCCTATTCTTTAAAATTTACACTTTTGACTGAGGGTCTGACCTCTGGTCGAGGAATGCTTTGCTTTCGGTTGGGCAAATGTTTATATTTAAACATAGGTCTTTCCCTTCGCCTATAAATATCGGGTGATTTGCCTCCTTACACCCACAGCTTTCTACCTCAAGTTAAGAGTGTTATTCACAGGAGAAATAGTCCAAAAAAAAGGAGTAATTAATTAACCGCAAAGATCTCTCTTCCTTGTTACTCTATGAAAATTTCTCTATCTTAAGTAGGGTATACTGCTGAAATTCCGATAATCTTCATACTTCGATACCGATGAACTACTGTCTTCCAAAATACATCTACATCAAACCCCGACTGTGAATTTGTTCTAGAGCGCCCACATCTTCGAGGAAAGCCGAAGCTCCCTGCAAGCTGTAAAGGCCACTTATATGATTTCCAAAATCCAATTTCTTTTCTGCTCTCGCTTCGGAGCTCAGGTCACTTGAACACCCGGCTTCTCAGAATTCAAAACCGCTGGATCCGACGGATCTGAAATCCTTTCCGCTTTTGAATCCTGACTAAAGATCGCGTTTAAAGCTGGAGTTGCGGCATCGATCACAGGACCTAAACGTATCTCGTCAACTTGATGCGCAAGGAATATATTAGGAGAGAACGTACCGACACCTGGAATTGCGTGCGTGATTATGCTGGCTACCGATCCAAGACGGTTGATAATTGGGTTGTCAACCTGAGATGTTGTTAATGCTGGACGGTGCAAGGATAAAGAACGGAGGGGAGGCTTACTACTACGCCTTTCACTACGTCTACTGTCTTTGAGATGAAATCGAAGAAACCCATCGTTGCGATTTGGATTGGGTTTTGCAGTTGTGTTCTTTGCTCAATGTTCGAGGCCACGGAATGCGACAACGTCACAGAGAAGAGAAGGTAAGCAGTGTATCGATGCAAAAATTTGCAGTATAGCGATCCCAGTTTCAGTGAGATTCAAAGATTGTAGTTATTGACGGGAAAATAGTTCTTCAAGTCAAAGCATTGATGTAGGAATTGACCCTGATATGAAAGCAATTCACAGGGAGGCTTTCATACTATTGAGAGAAAAATCGAAGTGATAATGCACAGCGTGTCGGAACGTTTTGCTCAAAATCAATATAACACTTCTCGTGCATGAGGTCCACAGAATTCTCTGCCGCTACACCTTATATTGCCAGAGAACGCTAACGTCTAGAACCAGCGATGAAACGCCTTCATCGGTAAGTAGGATGACATGATGCTCTTGGACGTAACGTACGACTTTGTCAAAAAGAACCTTTCAAGAAAATTTTCTGCATGACCGACAGCAAAAAATAATAAAAAAACTCACAGGTAGAGAAGCGCATTGTTTGTGGGAGGTTACGGTCAATATGTGGAAAAAAATGAGGTTGGCTGAGTTTAGACGTGATCGCTAACCGCTGATGCATATGCACATGCAGGCACTTCGGGAATTCAGCTTGCCATGGGTGCCACAAACGGCGGATAAAACTTATGGACCCTACCTAACTAGTACTTGAAAGTGAGACATAATGATGCTAGCTGAGATGTATTAGACTTAGTAGAAAATTAAGCTCTAGAGTGCTGAGATTCTTTTGATAGACTATTCTTTAATCGTCGACTATAATAGGGCGCTCCCTCGTCACAAGTTCCTCAGTCGGAAATAGTGAGTTCGCACTCTTAGCAAGAACGCACTCGCTTAAGTAACCTATAGAATTTACGGAGTAAATGTAGTACCCGGAGGAAGTGTCTTGTTAGTAAATATTTCGCGGGAGTAAAGGTATATCTACCACCCTCCTACTTAAACACCTACTCTTACTGGGCAGTCAGCGAGTGCGTTCTTGCTAAGAGTGCGAACTCGCTATTTCCGACTGAGGAACTTGTGACGAGGGAGCGCCCACTAAAGCCGACGATTAAGTATTTGAGCAGTATAGAAATACAGCCTTCTGCTGCGACCTCTCCGTATAATTCCACCAGCAGAGTGGCATCTCTCGTGTTTTCGTTCTAGGAATTTCTTTACTTAGCTATAATCGCTTCTCGGTCTTCTTTATTTTAGTCGTAATATCCACTATAGTTTTAATTTAAAAACGACAAGACTCCCCTGAAACAATTCAGTGCAAGGACTACTAGCCGGTTCGAAAGGAAACAGCTCACAAGAAGCTTTAGATCTCTAGATTCCGAGCACTAGATATTTGCTACTCGTCCTCTACTTCGTTAATTGGGTTGTTTGCGCCGAGTCCGCTACATACTGTCCAGGGCGTGTGGCTCTTCGTTGCGTGGCGCCGACATTATTTGCTGCATAAAAAGATTTCCCAGCAGAGTTCACAGGTGATCTATGGAAAAGAATAGGTTGCAGCAGGTTTTGAGGGTAGCGAGTGGAGTGAGCGATGTGAAGTTATTTTTCAGACGTGGCCGTATCTGCCAAGCCATAACACGTGACCCTCCTAATCCATTAAGTTTCAAATCTAGCGAAGAGTTGGAGGTCGTCGACGTCCATATTCTTTCGTCTTCGAGTTCGGTTCATCGATTCTTGTTCTAGGTATCTTCCATTCCAGCGTACTTAGTTTTCGCGGCGGATTATCTATCTATTTGGATATATCACCCAGGAGATCCGTCATGTGCGAGTTGGGTGCACAAGTGGCACAGTCGACGAACGCTTCACTTCTGAATCCCATCCCAGATGCCAGAAATCGAGGATTGGAGACATTGCCATCCATCGTCTGTTTCATCAGTTCTATTTCATACCTTTTCAATTTACATATACTTTGTTAACAATTCCATTGATGCGGGAGTCGGGTGCGCAAGCGGCACAGTCAATTCCTGATCGTCCTCTATAATCCTGATGCTCGATATGCCCCGCTCGATGGAAGGTCAGCGCCTCGATTTACGATGAAACTTAAAAATAGACGAGTTGTTTATTCCAGAGGAGTATCCTCGTGGTCCTGATTTATAGTTACAGACGCTGGATATATCCTCAACGTGCCCGTCGGTATTGTGGCTTTAAAGTCTTGGTATACGGCGTGTACTTGAGGATGAACTCTACTTTTGATAGTGAGGAAGGTCATTACATACTTTCCTACGAGACCTATGACGCTGCTGTGCGTTCGTCGTGGAGAAGAAGGACGGGTGTTGTGGGTGGACTGTATATCTGCTGAATTGATATCTATATCTCGAAGCTTTCTCACTTTACTTCATCTACATTCTTTTTTGCACTATATTGAAAGCGTTTATTACTGTTTCTTCTAAGACATTTGATGATATCTCTTTTGCCAATTGCTATCTACCACCTCAACATCAAAAGCGATGAAGGTCTCTACGCCCCCAATCTTAACACTATTAGTGTTCAACTCGCTCGTCTCAGCCGGAGCCATAAACCGTCTTTGGATGAGAGAACAGCCAGCACCACCAGCGCCACAACAGCCAGCAGGCCAACCGGCAACGCCCCCAGACAAATTCAATGGCGAAACACAGGAACTTCAGGCTCAAGGTCTCTGTCGTCTCTACACCGACCAAAACAAGGCAAAAACAAGTTCCATGGATCTATGCAGCGCCAATTGTAACCCCAACCATTCACCCAATCAACCAGGGGCACCTGCACCCGCAGCAACCGACTTTACAGTTAACATCACCTGTACACCATCAGAAATGATCCCGGGCGACAAAGCCCCCAAACCTGATCCCGAAAACGTCATGTACACCACAGGCGTTTGCAGCTGTGAAGTCCCAGCCGTCGAATACCTCAAAAACATATTTGATGGCCTACAGCTCCCACAAATCGCCAAATCGATCTGCGAACCATGGTTTAAAGAAGTCTCAACCATATTCGATGCGGAAACGAAAAAAATGACTCAAAAAGGTCCCAGCACCGATAAGCTCCCCGAGATTGGGGGGAATACCACAGTCGCACTGCGAATTGCGGTTCAAGGCGCGAACACTCTCCAGGCGAAAGGCGGCTCGCCTACGGATTTCGCAGACTATTACAAGGAGGCTTGTGCTGAGAAGGCGACGCCCGAAGCGGTGGCGATGGCGGAGAAGGCGTACGAATCTTTGATTATTGTGGATGATAAGTTGGAGGTTGCGAAGGTACTGCCGTGCAAGGATGGGAAGCCGGAGTGTATGAGGAAGCCAGGTGTTGATTCGAAGAAGAAAACGAGTGATGAGACTCCGGAGCAGAATCTACCTGGGGAGCCTGGGACTGAGAATAAGGAACTAGCAGATGCACTTGCTAACGATGGGAAGGCTGGAATTACGATCGATGCAAAGCTAAGTAACAAAGCTGTTGCAAAGCCGACTGAGAAGGATACCGATACAGAGGCGGGGGCTGAGCCTGAAGACGAGGAATCTGCAACCGAAGATGATGAAGCTGCTACAGAGGACGAAAAAGAAGCTACTCCTGAAGATGCAGAGGAAGAGCCAGAGGCAGACGAAGAAACCACCGACGAGCCTGCTGAAGATGTAGAGGAAGAGCCAGAGGTAGACG